ACTTGAGTCTTGTAGTGCCGGAGAGATAGTAGTACCTTATCAGTCACGGGGTGCTCTCTAGTTCTACAAGATAGCTCACTCTCGAGTAGAGAGTCTCTACGATCAGTATCTGCTCTCTAGTGCAGCTGGGCGTTGTGGACCAAAAGTGACCGATTCACTTTACTCTGATCAAACCAAGCCAACGAACAGACCACAGATGAGGTTTCTTGAAATGTCCAATTCTCCGCTTGCACTTATTTCTATCGAGCAAGCCCGTGTGCCCCTGATGTGCTGAGCAAATCCATCTTTGGGAATCGACCCGACCCTCGTGCAATCTGCAGTATGCATGGAGTGACCCCCACCGTGAAAATAGAAGAACGCTACGGATATGACATGATCAAGATGGCCTCAGTAAACTCTCATACATCGGTGAGTTCGGACAAAAGCACCTGCTTAGGGGGGATTTATACTTCATGATGTGCACCAAGCTTCTCTGCATAGCACGGCCGTGGACAACGCCAGAACGAACTCGAAATTCGATAGACATCAGGAATATCAAAATACCAGCCCTGATCGTCGTCTTAGGTAATGAGTACAGCACGAGGTCTCCAGTGAAAGTTGATCCTTACTACTCAGGTCAGTCCTGCACGGTCACGGCTGGGTTTCAGGAGTCTTCCGGTTCAAAGCCCCGGGTGAGCCCTACCGGATCATTCCGATATTGGCAAACGTGAAGATTGACTCGGGATGACCATTTAGAGTCTAGGTCTCTCGTAGAGTAGATATTCCGTTTGTGTTTTTTTAACTTGGCTTGTCTATCAGGGGCATGTCCTTGAGCAGATGATCCCAGCAGAAGTACCTCACTTTGCCCGTCCTACATGATGCCCAAAGGATCTAGACTACTCATGAGACCTCATATCCCAAATAACCACTCAGATTGGATCAGTCAGAGAAGACGTTTCCCAAACTGTAAGTCATAGATCGGATCTGGGAATACCGAGAGACGCATACATCTCATTTTCCCTCGCTGCGAACAGCATCTACATACGTCTAGGTTCTACCTCGTCCAGGAGGTTTAAACGGTGGCGAGTCTGAAACCCTGATAATATAGTGCCCAATCTCACCCAATCGCCTCGTGACTCCAGTTCCATGAATGAGTGGACGGATTGAGTTCAAGTACCCGGCCCGACTCGCCGGGGATCCAGTTTATCCAGTTTACATGAGGGAGTCGAAGAAGGCAGACAGTCTCGCTCCTTGCGCTCTACATTAACATTCACTTCAGGGGGCAATCGTGTCCAACCGGATCAAGGTAGGAGGATCAGATTATTGTGTGTCTGCAGTGCTTCACAAGAACTTCTGGGTCCCACGTTCCATTTCAAGGTGGATCAGTTAGGCTTGACTAATTGACTAACTAAAGACGGATGCTTCATGGTCGAGGCAGTCTTTCTGGGGACTTGAACCCCCCCCCCCCCCCCCCCCCGCCGGACATTGGCCGTTTCGAGTCTGGCTACAGTTCAACATCAATTCATCATGAGGGTATAGTCTTCTCAACAGATTGAACAAGGAGCACCAGAGGACTCGAAACGCCAGTGGGGGAGAGGCGTCACTGTGAGGATACTCGTATGAACCTTCTTAGTCAAGTGTCGAGATCCTGCAATCTATGTCTGTACTCTGTAGTCAGTGGCCTGAAGCCAAGAATCGAGAGGACTTCGGTCCCCCTTTTCCATCTACTGTAATAGACTAGTCGCATGTCCCGGGGAAACGCCGACGCAGCAGCTTCTTTGCCTGTCGAGTACTCAAGTGCGATCTGCATGGACTCGGCCTAACTTCGGGCATTCTCCAGGCTGCCGCGAGTTTGTGACCACTCAAAAGGTGTCACAGTAGTGACAGTACTACTGCACTGAAGCTCAACGCAATCACAAGACTCCGCGGAGCTTCTGCACGCGCGAGGCGCCTCATGCGGTCGTCACCGACTTTCCCCCAAGTCCAAGTCCAACGAGTGCAGAGGAGACGTCAGTAGGCGTGACCCCTGCCTGTGCCAATGGGCTTGGCTTTCGAGAGATCACTGGCACACTGGGACTTGATGAAGCCTTATTTTGCTGTCTGCTAAGCTGAGAGTTTTACTCCCTACTCATACATTTGAAAGGGGGGGGGGGGGGGGGGGCTCTCAATCATCATCATTATCATCACTATTACCTTGCTTGACCATGGGCAAAGTACAGCGTTGACAGGGGACTATCCGACGTACCTTTTTGTTCTAACACCCACCTGGTCTCTCGGAAGAGGATCGATCGGCGATCGCTCGTCTTAAACTCCAAGGCCCTATACTGGTAGCAACACCAAAAAGAGAGTTGAGTCGTTGACCCTGTTCACGATTCTCGGATTCAATTCACACTTATTTAAGTTGCCCATGGACTTGAACAGGGCATCCTCAGCAACCGTCGAAGCACAATGCCTGGCTTTCCCACTTGCGCTCTTGTGAGAGACGTCTTCCCTGCCAGTCAGGATGTGGCTGAAACCCCCACGTGAACAGAGCAAACGAGCCCTTTTGTCTCTCGTGTCCGACGCAAAGACAGATTTGACCATCCAATCACAGCTGACCAGATGCAGCTAGAGACAGCGACGCACCGGTCGTCTGGAGGCCCCCCAATTCGAGGCTTTGTGCACTCGTTACGCCACACCTTTCTCGAATGATGCGACAGCTTCGAGCAGTATTTTGTTCCATCATCCTCTCTTTGTTGTTAGTCAAAACTGAAGTGGACTTCATCTCATCCAGGTTGGTCCGTTCCTTCTATGATGCTCAGTGTTGCTCCGCCTTCAAGGACTCTTTGGCCGTGGCCATGATCCAAGGGGGCCCGGGGATACCCTGGCGGAGGATGTGCTATTTGACGAAGCAAGGAAGTTGGACGGTGACACGCACAAGGCCAATGACTGTTCTCATGAGATCAATGGGAACGTACCAATGCCAAGTCCATGGAGTGCTGGTGAGCGACCATGTCTGCTTATCCACCGGAGAGTTTCTTCCATGAACTGCCTTCTGTGGTTCGTTCGCCGAGACAATCACCGCCCCGAGGCTTCCACTCGTAACGCCTTTCTCAAAAATTGGATCTGACTTTGACAGGTAATCAATAGCCTGACAAAAGGAGAGCCTTGATCCCCATATTTGCAGGATCGCCGAAGCTGATCCGATCTGCGTGCATGGCCGATTCTTTCTGGTTGTGCGCTGTCCACGGTCCATGATTCTGACCCGTCACCCTTGTACTGAGCTTCTTTTTTACTCATGCACTTCCTGCACGTCGGCACCGGCACTAGAGCCTTTTCTCTGCGGGCCTCAAATCCCGAGGCAGCCCCTGTCAAGTCACAAAGTGTCCAGCAAGCTTAGCGTTCGGATTCAATGTCAAACAATCCTCTCAACTTGACTGTTCCTCAGCAATTTTTTTTTTAAATGCGCGTGAATGGCATCCCGATTGTGATCGAAATCCATAAAACGCCAGACATCAGTGCGCCCCTGATTTGTTCGCCTGCAGAGGGGCCCGAGAGACTGCTCCGCGCCTTGTGTTCTGACCGACCTACTGGGCGATGCGTCATGACACGAAAGACCTCGGTTCTTCTAACCTGAAATCCCAACGTCAACTCCGTTGTGGTGCACTAAGCCAGAACAAAACCGGGGAGGGAACAGGGAATTGACCGCTGGATCTCACGTCGGCCAGCTAGGACCCTTCCTTTTTTTTTTTTTGTTTTCGGTGATCAGCATCCCACCGTGAACTTGCCCACGAGCGCAGGGAATGTCTCACATTGAACATGCGTCCAGAGGTCTGCTCAAGCTCATAAGTGGGTGAATAGGCGATTCACCGGGCCACTGGACTGTTGGATTGTCTCACTCGGTTCTGCAAGAGGAAAGGTTGGAGCGGCCAGCAGAGCTGCTGGGTTCTATTCTTAGCCCCACGGAACTCACAACACTTCGGCGGAGAGAAGATCTTCCTCGATTCATTTGGGATATCAATTCCCTACAAGCAATGTGAAGATGCTTGTCAAAGGGGTTCATTGGAAAGGGGAAAAAGAAGATCGTCGAGCGGACGAGGAGTAAAAAGGTCAGTAGGGTGAGAAATTGAGGAAGAAGCCGCAAGGCCAAGCTGCATGTGGTGGAGAGTGGGCTTTGCGGGTGGGACGGCAGTACTTGGCTGTGAGTGCCTTTCGACCCTGCAGGCCTGCACTGTTCCTCTCGCAGGCACACTCAAGCACAATACGCTTGGGGATCTCCTCGACACCAAATGAATGCAAAAGTGAGATTGAGTCTGACTCGGGCTTTCTATTTGGCTTCTCATAAGCACGTAGCAGAGCAACGTGCGCCTGTCCTTGCCACAAGTCGCTTGTGCAGACGTGACCTTCGTGATGTCTCGGGCAATGACGCAGTAAGACTGAATTGAGGCCGAACATGGAGTTTCCTTTAGACCAAGCTCTCATTTGGTGGCATATGAGTGTTTCCATTCATTGTCAGCCGCCATATGCAATTCAAGACAGTTGACGGAACTGGCCAACTTATGCACTACCCAACTCATCCTCTCACCGGACGCTGATCGTACACGGCCGTTGCATACCCAAGTCACGTTGTTGGGCATGATCGCAGTATTGCCTCTACCCATGAGACTGAGGCGCGGCGTATTCCGGTCAGCTAAAGGTTCAAAATCGGCACAGAGCTGAGTCGACTGCGTTCGCCTACTCTCCAAATCCAAATTGATTTTGATCGATTGTTTGAATGGAAGAAATTTGCGAGGAAGGCAATTACGCACCAAAGCACGCATAAAGATGGCTAGCTAACAGCGATATGAATTCACTTAACTTCTCCAACCTTTGCAGCTCGTACTTTGAGCTAGAGAGGTGACTTGAGTCAAGATCAATAGTAACGATAGCTCCATGCTCCACCCTTCACCATGAAGACTGCACTGATCAGTAAAGCCAAAACCTCGAAATCAACATCCGGTATTTCAATCCTCCAAACAAAACCACAACCGCATCGCCCGCCCCTAAGCACGGTCTGCAATGTCGTACACCGATTGACCATAGCAGACATGATAGATCTGAGACCAGAACCGGTACTTTGCCGGTCGCAGCTCCTTCTCATCGGCGAGCCACATGGCAAAGCATGTCGCACTTTCCTCGGGCGTGTCACTTCGGTATTCTGCAACCTGCACTGGAGGTCAGAACCTCCATCTTGGGACCATACGCATGGGCATGTCAAAGTGCCAGGTGACCAGTTACTCACATCCTCATAGGCTAACAGGGTCTGGTAGTGTTGATCTGTCAGTCCAAGTTCATACACCGTGCTTTCGTGGATGCACTTCGAGCCCATGATATAGGCCCGGGTGAGCAGTTCACGGTTCCCCATTTGCTTGATCGCTTCGATATGCTGAGTCTCCGACTGGTGGATAGATGCAACCTCAATCAGGCGGGTGATGACGTCGGCCTCCCATCTCTCAAAGAATGGGGTTTCAAATCTCTTGAAATGGCGCTCGAGCAGTTGAATTTCACGCTTCAGACGGCTTGCGTTCGCTTTGAGCTGGGTAATCTTCAATTCAAGAATTTCATTTGATGCATGGAGAGCCCTTATCTCTTTGACCTGGACGTTGTCAGTGGGACCTGCCGAGCTACGTAAACTGCAAGTGTGTGAGACCTGCTCACCAGATTTTCAGATGTCATGTTGGGTTTGGAAGGTGATGTTTAGACTGACTTTGGAAGTCAGCACTTCAATTCACTCGTCTTTCGGTATGTAAAGAGTCTCTTCCGTACTCTGCCGGTTACACTCTTTGCGAAAGAGGGGGAGGTGATGTAGGATATCCTTCGCAAGAGAAGGGTGGTCATATTCGTGGGTAAAAAACAGTTTGGGGCGCCGCTGCGAGAGCAGGTGACAACGGGGCCACTGTGGCCGAGGAAGGCGCTTCGTCGTGTAGCTGCCACCTCCGAGTCGAGTCGCTGATGACATCGTGAACTTATCAGACAGACAACAATAGATTCCGCGTGAACATTTATCCCATTCTATGCGCTTGTGGTCTTTCTCTCCACTCGTAACTATAATTACAACTTGCTGCCATTTTGCTTCCCGAATTCAATGACCAATTTACCAAACTGCTTGCCCTGCTTCATGTCCTCGAAGAGATCATCAATAGCGGCGAGGTCATCAATGTCAACCTTCAGCACCCGGGAAACGACAGGGTGGATGTTCTTGCTCGCAACGAAGTCCACCATTTCCTTGAATTCCTTTCGTGACCCCATAGTTGACCCACGGACATCAATGTTCTTGAGCACGGTTTGCATGGTGAAGGGCATCTTAGGAGAAACGGTCATGCCATAAACCGAGAGAACTCCGCCGGCCTATGTGCAAGGTCGTGTCAGTCAGAGTATGGTATGAGCGCAAAGCTTCCACTGCCGGTCACGATCATCAAGGGTGTTTATCGGTCTATCTTACCTTCAGAAGCCGAGTGGCCTTCTCAACCGCATCACCTCCCGCACCATCAATAACTGCGTCAAAGCTCTTCTTCCCCGAAGGCAGCATCCCGAGCAACTTCTTATCCCAGCCATCCTCTTTGTAACTGACACCGCCCGCGGCACCAAGGTCAATTGCTTTTTGGATCTTGTCCTGGCTAGAACTTGTGACGAAGACATGAGCCCCCCGAGCAACGGCAAATCGCAGAACCATCAAGGCAACACCGCCGCCAATGCCGGTGATCAAAATGACTGCACCCTTGCCCGAGTTCTTTTCGCCCGCTTTAGAGACCAACGCTCGCCAGCCGGTCAGGCCCGTCAACGGTAGAGCCGCAGCCTCAGCATCCGACAGATGAGCAGGTGCTTCCTCCACCTCCGATTCTTCAATGGTGACGTACTCCTGCAGGGTACCCTTTTCATAGACCTTGGTGCCGCCCATGATGCGATATCCCGTGGGCTCCTCCGGTCCATCGGGAGAGTCTTTCCAGCCCACGCCTGGGTTCAGGATCACGCGTTTACCTTGCCATTTCTCGGCATTGGCCACCTGGGGACCAGCCCCGACAACCACTCCCACACCATCTGCCAAGAGAGGAACATCAAATGATACACCAGGGTACAGATGCTGTCGAAGGAAAAGATCCCGGTGGTTCAGAGAGGCAGCAGTCAACTTGACCAGCAGCTCTCGCCCTTGCGGGGAAGGCTGGGGCAGATTGCGCACGGTAAGCGGGTAGTAAACCTGACCAGGCTTGCCCGGCTTCCCATCAATGGGTGAGATGTATATGGCTTTAGACATGTTTTGGAGGTCACTGTGGCCAATTGGTGTAATGAGCTACCAAATGAAAAGAGACTCCAAAGAAGGAAATAAGCTCACCACGCACCGCTTGTTAATAATGTTACCTCGTGCGGGGACGACAATCTTATCGATAACCGAGGCTCTGACGGAGTTCGCCCCATTTGAGTGGATTAATAATGCTGATGACGGAATCCCAGATTCGCCTCCAACCTCTCCCTACGATATACCTTGCGACTCGTAGCTACTCAAGCAGTCGCTGAAGTGCAGGGCTGAGTCTGACCAATTACTCGCTAGGTCTTCCATGAGTGACGCACAGCTTCTAGAAGACAGGCGACAGGAGCAGAGTAGGCTGTTTCATAGATTCATTCTACATGTACCTTCCTCCAGTCATATGTGGAACCTCGGTCCAGTGGGATAGTATAATTCGTTCACAAATGGCTTGCCGATCATCCGTCATAACAGCTTTATTACTTTCGACCTAGTCGATCAAGAGTTTCAGCAATAGTCCAGCAGAAAAAAAGAGCCTTTGACTCTGCCGCGGAATCGAATAGACAGCAATTGAGTCATGTTTCTGTCAGCAGCGTGTAGGTGCTTTGATGTACAGTACTCTGAAGTCTGAACAGATGCGATAGATCGACATAGAACTAGGTACGTACGGCATGTGTGGCAGTGTAGAAGCCAAGATAAGACATTGCCTGGGTTCGCAGTCATTAAATCAATCGGGGAACGCCGAGGTCTTGTTTAGAAAATAGAAAAAAAAACTAGGGCTGGTACTTAGTAGCTTGCTTATGATCGGCTCCCAGGTGCCATTTGCCCATTCTTCTGATGTCGATTTTATACGAGGCTTGAGGGACCCACCTGCATCCTATGTATTCATGGCTCAAGCATGAGCATAAGCGCACGGCTGACGATACAAGTACCACGTACCCCTTCGGGCAGGGCATTGACAATGTACAAAAGCAGAGGGAAGGGTTGGAATTAGACGTCTCTTCTGGGAATTATGTGGTAAGCACTGAACGCGAGTTCCACTGTCCGAAAAGAAGATCAATTCTCAATCTACTCCCATCTTTTTCACTCTCACATAGTGTCATGTGTCATAACCAGGCATAAGAAGAAAATTTTGTCACCTGGGGAACAAAAGGCAAGACTACCGCATAATGTAAAGCACTGGATGACCACAGCATTTCTCACTGCACACCTCCCAGTCATCAGCCGGCACTTCAAATCCAAAGCGTGCATGTCCGACTTGAGCGTCCACGCTACTTTCGGAGCTGGTATCTTCGTGCTCAGTGGGGTCAGTGTCAGAGGATGAACTTGAGTCATGGTGGCGGTGCTTTCGATACCGTGTGTGCCGATGCCGATGCCCGTGAGGACGGACTTGCTCACGTTCAACAAATTTCCCTCGAGATTCATGCTTGTGCTCGCGAGGAAGTGCTTTTTGTGACTGTGGCTGTGGATGTGGAGAAGGAACATCGAAATGCACAAGACCACAATGACAGACAACACGTGCCATGGACGGACCAGATGCTTTTGCAAAGTCATTCCCGTGAGGCGTGCGGGCAGCATTGCTCTTTCTGAACTTCTCCTTCGGGGCTTCCGCTGGTGGATGAGCCTGGGGTTTGGCGGCTGGGACAGTCTCAGGTGTGTGTTGAGCAATTGACTGACAGCAGTCCGGACAGTGAGAAGGAACTGGCACCTTGATCACGTAGTGCTCCGGTGCTAGGCCATGATAGCTGTGTCGATAGGCGTGGGGAGGATGCAATCTGTGTGGAGAGTGACTACAAACCGGCGCATATTCACCATTGCTGTACTTGGACTCAGTATCGCTATCAGGCGAACGAGGTGCCTTGGAAGACTTGTGAGGTATTTTCTGCGAGTTTTTGGTTGAAAGCTTTTCCGTCGAGTCAGAACGTCCATGTATCGGATGAAAATAATATCTGGAGGATCCCCGTAAGTGGGATGCTTTCGATGAGGCTGAATTTGAAGAGTCCGACTCTTCACCAGGAGCTGGGGGCCTCGTTTCCTTGCGCGCTTGTTCCCGAGCGGCGTAAGCCCGTCTCTCCGCGGGAGGGGTGGTTGGCGAGGAGCATTTGGTGGTTCGTGGTGGTTTCGTATGAATCGAGCCATTGCGCTCCCGGACCAGAACTGGGTGAAAATGTCCGCTGTGAACATGGCCAGGTAAAGCATAGATACCCCCGCTCGGATGATAGAAATATCTAGGGTATGAGGCTTGGATTGAAGACATGGTCGACACTCAAGTTAAGAGAAGGTCCTTCCAGCCTGGCAGTTGGAACATGTGACCTGACTTCAAGAGATTTGACGCCGGGGAAAGATATCTGAGTAGTCACGGCCTGAACAAACTCTCAATGCATGGAGAATTGACAGGAGGGAAAACATGTGGATTTTGTATTTCCGCTCGGATACTAGAGTCTTCGGCTTGGGTGTATAGCTAGCGTTTGCTGGCTAGACCTACCTGTGGCTATGACAGACAAAGAAAATGACGATAAGGCATTGTTGGGCGGTTGAGATTCGCATGGGTCATGGAGTTTCCGAAGGCAGAATGGGTACATCTCACCCAACCTGTGATTTCAAGGAGAGCCACTGATACGTCGGCACAAAGAGGGTACGCTCCGCGGAGCCTGTCACAAAGGATGAGCATCTCGACCGGACGAGCAGATTGCCCGCCGTACTCAAGCATGACACTCATTCAGCCAACCCAGCTTGCCGAGCGCAACACTTTAGTGGGGCAGTCTTAGCCATGACACACAGTGGCTCATGTTCGTTTGGTAGACAAAGGAGTGGATGGATATTCGGGACGGGTAATGGCTGGGGATGAATGAAAGGAGGCGGGCGAGGAGAGGAAGGGGTGGGAAGCGAAGCTCAACGTGGCTCCCCGACTTGCGCTGAAGGTCAAGGCGGTCCCTTCTACCAGATGGCACAGTCGAATACTGTACTGTATATTATTACGAGTAGCAAGTAACCTTCCTACCTTAATACTAATATGTAGTAGCTTCTAGTCCATTGGTCGACAACATGAGAAGATCCACGAGTTTTAGTAGAGGCAACATCGCCGACATTGATTGTCGGTTCCCTCTATTGAGTGCTTCTGACGATATGACGATGCTGAAAAGCACCATACCATGTATCAACGCACTTTTCCCATTTTGCCAGCCGTGAGGACATGAGTATGCGTGTTTGTCTTAATATCAATATGAACCAATCGTCTGCAGTGCAGCAAGGGCGTACGGCATTCAAGGGACGACAAACAGTCTCGCCACAGCCACAGCACAGCTTATCGACGAGGGCAAGAAGGGGCAGATTATTGCAGTCACCTGGTCAAATGACTCGATTCACAAAACAATGTCCATGTGAACAGATTTTCCTGCTTTAAGAACAAGCGCTCTAACGAGTCCATGAGGAGAGAGATGTTATACACACCTAAGTTGCATAATGTTGATGATTCAGAGGATGATGAGGCTCGTCAACTACAGGACGTACCGTAATATTGGAAGTCCTTACAAAATACAATAACCGTTTAAAAGACGTGGCCGGTCCAATGACGGAGCTGAAGTGGGCGTAACTGCAAAGACCCAGCAAGCTTTTATTGCCACACACACAAGCTCACGGGAACCAAGCCTTCGGGTCCATGGATGCCATGGTAGTCGACATCATCATTTTGGGATCGAAAACACAGTCCTTTGACAAGACACATAAAAGAAGATGGAAGTGAACGGTCAGACAAACATCAAATTGGAGGATATCGGCAACTCTCACAGGCTAACATAGTTGTATCTATTGAGGACTCCCAATTAGAATGGGATATTGAGCATGTCCATATGATACTATGAAGTGGCCTTACTATAACAATATTTTTGAGTTTGTGAGCTACATTACTGTACATTGTACTTCTGAGATTTAGAATACGTATATACAATGGCTATAAAAGATGGGCTGGATTTATGATGTGTATGTCGTTGTGACTTGTAAGTGTCAGGTAGTGGTCTTCCTCGAGTTACAATAACTACCTAACTCAACAGTCAACGCTGTAACTACTAGGTAATCAGTAATGTATGTAATACTGTGTTGTGTTCTACTGAGTGAGTCACGTGATGTTTCATCTTCGCGGCCTGCACGAGCTCAACAGGTGGTACTAATTTACAGACTGTTTCATTATTACCATACAGGCTCCATTTACACCGGCAAACAAACACTCGTGGCTGGTAACGCATGGGTATGAGCCGACCAGCAAATCTATTGCCACATCCCGCTAATTTGTTTTTGGCCTCTGGAGAAACCCAAGCGAAATCGAGTTTCGATCTCTTCGTCCTTGTCGTGACCTTTTTAGTCTGGCGCCCTCGCATTCCGCTTCACTACATACACAACTGGTCCTTTCGCCTCGCCGCTTACCACTCGTTCCGAGCTTCTCGACTTGACTAGCGTTCTGCTACACTACTTCCATCAACCTCCTCATTCTCACCTTGTAGGCCTCCGCCTGTCGTGTTCTTGTTCGCATCACACACCCTGTTCCTCCGCCACTTCCCCAGTCTTTCGACGACTCTCTCCCTCTTCCTCCCCCCCCCCAAATATTGGTTGTTTCAAGGACGATCCTGATCTGTCCCTTTCAGCTTCATTATTCATAATGCCTACACCACTTCCCTCGAGTTTTGCTTCGGCTGCCGCAGGCAACGCCCAGGATCCCAATCGAAGAGGGGATGGGAGCACCGGTGGAGAATGGTAGGCCCTTTTTTATGCTGTCTTGTCCGCCGAAACCTTTGACTCCAGTTCCACTTGCATGGACTCAACCCGTGTCTCTCCTGCCAGTAATGGACAGTCGTCGTCGATGATCGGCTATTTCGTGACAACAAAGGCTAATTGAACATGCTCCGACAGGTCGCGATCCCGCATGAACGGAGCTACGCAGACATTCCGTCGCCCCTCAATGGCTACCAATCCTTCGCACTCACGGGATAGTAGTCAAATGGCGTCTGCCTCGACCCCGACATCCTCTGGGGCCTATATCCCTCCTCACTTGAGCTCAAATTCCCTCTCTAGTGTACAACGCAACGGGGACGCTCGATACTCGAAAGAGCAACTCCTAGAAATGTACAAGGCACAGCGGGAATCCGGCTTTTTGGGTAAGCATGTGGAGGATTATTTTGTCGCTGACTGGGATCCTCATACTGTCTCAACTCCCACGAATGGGGCGTGGGGCAAGCGGGATGACCACAAGACCTCTGCAGGCCCTGAAGTGTGCTGGGATCATGGTGGTCAGGCTGAGCCCTTAGGCCTTACCGATATGTCAGACGGAGAAAAAGAGGTCTGTCTCCGCGTTGTGCGGGCTTCTACGCACATTTTCCGATTTCAAGTGCATGAGTTGCATTGGCTAACACTGGCCTCGAATAGTTGTTCTCTGCTTCGGTCAACTCTCCCCTGAAGCCACCACCTGCCAACGCTGCGAAGGAGAATCCAGCTACTGGTACTACGGGCCGGAAGTCGTCGATCTCGTACACCCAAGGCCATGCAAACAATTACCATACCGCTTCTCCAAGTGCGCCGCGCCCTCCAGCCCGCCGCCGAGAGACTGGCGATTCTGTCGGCAACCCAATGTCACCTACCGGGTCGAATACTCGATTCTTCCGTGACGACGCTAATACCTCAACCCCTCCCCCTGCCCTTCTCCGCCGTAAGACGGATTACCGCGAAACAAACGCCAAGGATGATAAACCAAAGGATGCTAGCCAGGAAACTGCTTCACCTTTTGGTAGTTTGAAGCGAAGCTCCACGAATCCCCTGAACCCAAGTCTCAGCGGACCCGGCTCACCCTGGGGCACTGCCTCACAGAACGCCAATTTCTCACCCATGGGAGCTTTTGGCGCATTCTCCATCAACTCGGCCGCTGCTCACACGCCTACTGCGGAAAAGAAAGCTGGGTTTGGCAGTCTCCGTGGGGAGAGTAGATTCAAGGATTTGCTCTCCAAGGACAGCACGGACGATTCAGCAAGTCCTGCCAGAGAAAAGCCTCCTGTCAACCTCGAGCGACTCGCTGAGGAAGGCAGTGACAAGCGATCCCAGTCGCCGTGGGGGGATGCTGTGAAAACGCGGTTGAATCGAAGTGAAACAAATCCCTTCGATGAACCCCGTAGCGGTAGCGCTGCTCTTGGTGGATCTCAGGACATCGAGGCTCCGTCCCAGGCCGATCTTGGATTCGGGGCTTTTGGTATGACTTCAAGCATACCCGGTTTCCGGGAGTTAATGCAGAGCCAGGAGAATTCGCGGAACCCAACGCCAAGTCTCCTCCAAGGGCATGAGCCCACCAGCCCGACGAACACCAACCCGTATCAAAGCCCCCACGGTGATCGCGTGGCTGCTGAGGCAGACGATGTTGATACAGATGGTTCGGATATTCAGCACCCCCAGCATCCTGGTCTCAGCGGACTTCGAGATTCATCCAATCCATTTGGATCGATGCGACGCGTCGGCTCGGGCATGGATCTTCCTTCGATTGATCGTAGTCAGAACTCCAGTGTAAACGCGAATCGAAATTTCCCCGGACTTGCTGGACTGGGCGGTCTATCAGGCCTGGGAGGCTCGTCGGGTTGGCCCTCTAGCGATGCTATCGGCACTCCAACTCGTGATCGTTCAGCATTCGTTGGCGGTTTTGGCGATCCCATCTTCGGCTCTATGGGCGGTTTGCAATCTCCGAGTCTAGCCACACTCGGAGGCGGCGGCCTATTCAGCCCACACGCTGGTCTGTCGGGGACAACAAGTATCGGTCGGTCAAGCAAATTGGGCGCACTTTTCTCCGGAATGGGGGAAGAGCAAACTCGCTCAGAATCAGTGGGTCTGGAACAAAGTGACGCTCATCTTCTTGAGAGGGGCGGTCAGGCCAACAAGCCTGGCTCGAATTCTGCGTCCCAGACCCCGGTATCTGCGGTCGGCTCTATTCCTGCAAACATCGCTCATGATCCAAACCAGGCTCCAACCCCCGGTGGCTCCCTCTCTGCGGCTCAGCAGCGAACCATGGTCATGCCGGATCGGATGCGCTGGATCTATCGGGATCCGCAGGGTAACATTCAGGGCCCGTGGACCGGTCTAGAAATGCACGATTGGTTCAAGGCTGGATTCTTCAGCCCCGATTTGCAGATCAAGAAGTTGGAGGATGGCGAGTTCGAGCCACTGGCTCAGCTGGTCCGTCGCATTGGCAACTCTCGCGAACCCTTCCTCGTGCCCCAAATTGGCATTCCTCACGGGCCTGAGCCTGCTGCTGGACAGTGGCAGAATCCCGCCCAAGGATCCGCGCAACCTCCTTTCCCCGGCAGCTTCCCCAGCTTTGGCACCACACTCACAGCAGAACAGCAAAATGCATTGGAACGGCGAAAGCAAGAGGAACAGTACCTCATGGCCCGCCAAAAGGAGCATCTTGCTCAGCAGCAAGCCATCCTGAAGCAGATGCAAGTTCCAGGTGCCCCTCCCACTATGCAGCCCCAACTGCAGCACCAATCTAGTGCCCATAGCTTGCACAGTCAGCCCAGCTTCGGTAGCATTACTTCCCCAGCTGCCTACCAGCCGTCACCGATCCAGGCACCCCTTCAAGGCCAGCAGCAATCCCAGGGCATGCCCGGCTTCTTTGACGCTCCTGCTTCACTTCGACAGGGAGGATTGCCCAACGTCCTGCCTGGCATGCTTGGAACCGAACTCGGTGGCCAGGATCAGCTTCCGGCCCTCTTTGATCGTCTCAATGTTGGCCGTCAGGATCCTTTCGCCTTTGCACCTGCCGGCTCATTCTCTGCCCGCCAACCCGACAGCTTCCTTCACTCTCAACAGGTAGCATCTATGCTCCAAGATCGCGCTCAACTGCAGCAGGAGCAGGCTGACTTTGACAAGGCCAACCATGCTATGGATCCCTTTGACCAAGAGGCGCGTGAGGAACGATTGCGTCAATTTCATGCATTGAGGGCCCAGGAAGTGGAATTGGGTATGCGCACTGCCGAGGGACTCCCTACTCACCCAGCTGCTATGACTGAACATGAGAGGGAGACTATGGAGGCCGAAGCTGCCGATAACGAGGAGCTCGGAGCTTCAGAATCCGTTCTGACCCTGTCAGAACAAGTCCATAAAGCCGCTTCCGCTCAGCGTCAGCAGCAGCAGGAGGAAGAGCAGCATCAACAGCAGCAGCAGCAGCAACAGCAACAACAACAGCAGCAAACAACTCACGAGTCTGCCTGGGCCAAGATTGACAATGCTATGCCCCAGCCTTTCCCGCCCCCTCCCTCTGCCTCGCCTTTGCCTGCTCCCGCAGCTCAGCGCAATCGTCAGAATGTTGCTGAGTCTCTTGCTGCTGGCTCTCGCTCCCAGACTCAGACCCCTGTCGATGCTGCACCTACCTCTGTCGCTCCCTGGGCCAAGGACACTCATGAGGTGCCCAAGGGTCCCTCTCTGAAGGAGATCCAAGAGGCTGAAGCTCGAACCGCCGCTCAGCGCGAAGAGGTCGCTGCGGCCGCTCGTCGTGCTCAGCTCCTCGCGGAGCAAGAGCGCCTCAGCCAGGCTCAGGCTCAGGTCGTTCCTGGCCTTCCCTCGTCCGCGAATTGGGCAAGTGCTGGTTCCCCTGCTACTCCATCCTCTGCCGGCTCCCCCTGGAACACCAAGACTCAACCTGTACAAACTACTGCCGCAGCTAAGAAGACTCTTGCGCAGATTCAGAAGGAAGAGGAGGCTCGGAAGGCGCGACTGGCTTCGGCTGCGGCGGCTGCCGCCGCGACGGCCACTCCAAGCCCTCCTGCGTCTGCGGCAAAGCGTTACGCCGACCTGGCCAGCAAAGTCCCCGCTTCGGCCACTGCTGGCTCTGCCCTCGCTCCTGGAGTTTCCGGAGCTTGGACTACTGTCGGTGCTGGTGGCAAGGCAAAGGGCCCCCCTGCCGCACCTTTGGGCCCTCGCTCTACCAGCGGCAACGTGCCCACCGCTTCTGTGGTGGCCAAGCCTCGCCCTACTGTGACTACACGAACCACCGTTGGAAGCGTTCCTCAGGCGAACCCCAACCGTGCCATGGAGGAGTTCACCAAGTGGGCGAAGCTGGCCCTGGGTAAGGGTCTGAACAGCAACATCAATGTTGACGACTTTGTTCAACAGCTCCTATTCTTGCCTGCGGAGACTGAGATTATCTCCGATTCTGTGTATGCGAACTCCCAGACCATGGACGGCCGTCGCTTCGCGGACGAGTTCATTCGCCGTCGCAAGCTCGCAGACAAGGGTATTGTCGAGCCTGTTTCTCCCAGTCTCGCAGAGCAGAAGAGCGGTGGTGGCTGGTCTGAGGTTGCTAAGAAGGGATCTGCGGCTAGTACTGCGGCTTCTCAGCAACGCGAGGAAGAGACCCCCAATGCTGCGTTCAAAGTTGTTGCTCCTCGCAAGAAGGGCAAGCGGTAAACGCTTGCAGACTCTCAAGCTCTTGCACGAGAAAGATTCGATTGGCCCACCTTGTCCCGGGGTCTTGTTTGATTAAAAGCGCATCTATCTCTTGATTGTGTTGTCATTGGCGGTCCAACTTTTGTTCCAAGCAAGCGATACGGCCATACTACTTGAGTCGTCTTTTGCGACCTGTATGAAGCTAGTTGTACCAACATATCTAACCTATTGTTCAATCAAACTTATCATGTGCGTGTACAATCTCCATTATCTGTTATGGAGGAAGTTCTTTCTCTTCGCTCAAATTCGTAAGCAGATTATACTGTCTGCTCAAAAAATCACGTCCCCGCGTGAATCTTTATTAGCGAGGTGTAACATTTAGATCAAATCAGATGTTTGTCCGCTAGCGGGCACGATACGGAAACAGTCCTGTATCTGTCGAAGGTTGGGTCGGCGCCAGTACTCCTGAAGACCTCCCCAGTTACATTGTATGATACGGAATACTTTTGTTGTCAAATCTTAGACATGTCTTTCGCATTTTGTCTATGATATAATTCTACCTGTATTCAAGGTCTCCATGTGCTTTCTGAGAGTCTTGCGGATCTATCCCGTTTAGTTGCGGTTGTTCTTGGCCTTGAGGGTGGTGAAAGGCACCATCCAGCTATCCCACATGGGACCGTTGCCGTCGTGGTTGGGAACGTTAGGGAGGCCCCAGTTTTGCTCGATTGTGGTGAGCTGGGTGAAGTCTGGACAACGAATGAGCAAGTAGGTCAAGGGATCACTGTGCACGATATCCCGTGCAGAGGTAAATCAGCGGTGATACATACGGTTGTAGAATTTCTTATCGACGCAGCCAGTGCAGCTCAGCGTGTCTTTACCAAGCAGCACAGTGTAGACGTCATTAGAGGTGCCGTACGAGTCGGGGGAGTAGATATCTGAAGCCGTGAGCATGCTGCGGTTCAGGTTTGAGGATGGAGGCTTCTTTCTTACCGTTCTCATCGAAGGTCACCATGATAAGAGTGTTCTTCATGAATTGCTCATTGTCCTTCATGGTGTTGATGATATATTTGAGGTCGGTCTCGGTGTAAGTGACGTTGGTGTCGTGAGCGTCATTGTTCAGGGTGGGAGTGTAGTACATGTACTGGGGAGCATGCCTGCCCTTGGCAACGTCCGCAGCAAAGTGCTCTTCGGCATTGACAATGTTTTGGCAACGAGCAGTATTCTCACGGATGTTGTCAAATGACATGAAGGGGTTATGTTTGCTGTCATGGACGTGATCAATAAATGGCTCTTCTGCGATATGACTTTCTGTTCAGGGCGAAGCGATGTACTTACCGGACATAGCCGGAGGTCTTGTTCTGGTGCATGGGATTACACGCGCCACCGTCCAGTGGGTAGTAGCCCTCCATGTAGGCCTTCCAGGAGATACCCGCGGGCTCGAGGATATCGATCAGGTTGCCCTGGGTGCTGTTGTGATCGGCATCATCGTACACTCCTGCCGCAGTGGTGGAAGAGATCATGGTGATGTAGTTTGGCTGAGATGGGTGTGTGGTTCCTGAGTAACTCAGTTCGTGTTAGTCCCCCGACGAAAAAGAGAAAACCCCGGGGATGGTTCGAACACAGCTGTATTTTACCTTGATAGCCATCCAGCAACACGCCCTCGTCGGCCAGCTGGCGGTAGTAAGGATCCGCCAGTGCCGTAGCCTTGTTGGTGTTCTCCATCACGATGACCACAAAACCTGGAGCGAAAATCATGAGTATCTCCAGTCATGAACACCGACTCGATACCTTGTACTCACGGTCAAACCACTTTCCAGAGGGACCACATGCCAGGGGCACGGCCGAGGCGGAGGCAACGAGCCCAGAAAGGGCGAGGCTTTGCGCAAACTTCATTATGACAATATAGAGAATAGTCGGTTACGAAAGGCAACTGATGGAAAGTAGATCGGGATGTGCTTTGATTTCCCGGGAAGTCGTTCTCGGGGCATCGCTGGCTTTTGAATACTAGAGGTGGAGTCCCGCATACGAAGGTCAAGCACCATATGGCTTTTCGTCGTGTCAGAGTCCCCGAATCAATCGCCGGTCAATGAGTCTCAAAGTCTTAGATGGTCCTCGGGCACTCAGAGCCGCTTCGAGTGAGCAGGCTAGAGATCTCCCATAGCCCACGTGGTAGATGTCCGTTGTCCATGAAGGTAACCAAATGCGACAAGGTTAACTCTTCAGGCTTATCTTCGCAGTCATAGTGGATGCAGTGGCTTCAGCAGGCAAATCAGGATGCGCACGGGCGCTGATCTCATGAGGCGAGCCACTGCGTACAGTGACATTGACCCGCCCCGAGCCTCCGAAAATTAGGGTGCAGTAAGCTTTTACCACTGCACTGGGCCTTCACGGGGAGTCAGGAACATCGTATTCTTGAGTCTTAGGGGAGGGATCCTTCGATAACCCTTTGTCTTCATGTCGAGGATGCATCTCTTTCATATCGGGCTCATGAGTCCAACATCCTGCAGTCACGGGCCCGAGACTCTGGGAGATGTTCACCAAGTTATCAAATTTTGGACAGGTACATTGTACATGAGGATTGCATAATGGTCGGGCTCTGTCGCCGTCGCTCGAGATTCGAGGACTAGCATTTTCATACTCGCGCTTTGCGACTGGCGGACCTGTGAAAGTTTATTTGTTGTGGTTCAAAGCGTAGGTTCTGACAGTCCGCAAAATTGCCATCAGTGAAGTGGGTCTTCGTTCCTCTGAACCAGAATGAAGTCTTTAGATGGTGGAGACTGAGGATCGGAGTCTACAGAACCCTCTGCACGTGGGCTGGAAGACTGGATCGGCGTGACTTGCTGTCTTTCTTCAAATTAGCCTTGACGTTGAATACAGCCCAAGGAGCATGTTAAGATGTTTGCTTTGTCGCGATGATTACCTAAATGTTCAATTCCACCCCGGGGCACGCTTTTGAACGGAATTATCTCCTAGTTTCTGGTTGTATGTTTCATGCGACAGACCTCACACATGTCTCTACTCTCTTGTGTGCTGAAGACGACACTAATTTCTGTCGGTCAAGCTTTTGAGAGATTCTGGGAGAACCAGTCCAAGTCACTGAGAGATTGTTATAGTGTTGCATCTATATGGCACTGAGTAGCCCCTTCAGTTTGTGCGTGTTGACTCGTCAAGCTTTGTGCTCTGATACTGGCTGCGTCTGCTGGTCCAGTGGCATCGTTACGCTTCATATCTTTCGTGCCTCCATCCTATAAGTTTAGAGCCATGAGGCTTGGCACCAAGCTGAGCTCTTTCGTTTGGATTCGTAGGCAGAGAATTTCATGGAGGCGTTCAAGGGGGATAATGTCAACAGAAAGTTGGAGACCACCAAGAACTTGGGAAGACCATTGCATAAAAATCTGACTGTGGGTCAGATGATCTACTGGGCGTTCTTCGAGCAACCACGTGTGATCACGAGGTCAGCCCATTCTATCAAATTTGTTCTTTCACTTGTTACCTCCCTTCGCCGAACTTTGACAACGCTAAATCGTTCGTCTAACTATGAGATTCTTGTTGAATACCCTTGTCGAGTCTCTCGCATGAGGTACACCCTGGCCCAGCTCATCTGAGTTCAATCTGCCTGAATGTCGGGATGTAATTCGCCAATTCGGCCTTTACGGAGCACTAGGCGTTAGCAGATGAAGGCTTCTTGCCAATCAAGGATGTTTCGCCAACAGCCATCTCATCACCCTTGCCGTCTGTTGAACACAGGCGCGCAATATTTCCTCACTTGGCAGCAAGCTTGAATCTTCATTGCACGGAGCGCAGGTCTTTACTAGCAGGAAATAATTTAGTCATTTCAGCCAGACGTACAAGGCCCGAGACGCTCTTACGAAAATTTTGAAGATCTTGGTAAAATCAAGGTCGCAGCGCAAATCACGGTCTGATCATCCTATCTGGCCGAAGAATGAGAAGAAGCCAATTGTGAAAGAATGGCTGGAGCAAAGATCGTCTCAGAGTGGTCCACCGAGAGATAGTAGTGTAGGAGACCGGCAGACGTCAACATGCGTACAACATCACACCAAGCAACCAATACATTTCTCGCGGTTGGCTCGATTCCACTCGGTCTCTATGTAACAGCGAGCGCGAAATCAGATCCCACAGAAATGACCAGGTTAGTTCATCCGCTGGGCCTGGAAGCTCGCATTCCCCCTGAATCTAACCCATATTGACCGAGTCGGTAAAGGCGCTCAATTGGCTTGCATTGTACTCGTGCGTTCTGGCCGAGATTCGCAGTATTTGTGAACGCTCACAGTCCGATTTGATGGGAGTCAAAATAGCACGGCCGTGTTTGACGCAAGGAGCTCAATGAGTACGTTGCTCTCTTATCATGCGTCAGACCGGTGGAAAGTACGATCGCAGCTCCCAGCAGTGCGTATCGAAGGCAAATGGAATGTCCTCTCTTTCGCTTACATGGGCCGGGACGGGGGCCCAGGCTCCGAGAGATCTTCCGCTTCGCCGATTGATTATTCAACAAGCCTAACGTGTAGATCGGACTGACTCGCCACGTCCACCACGACCCACGTCTGTGCCCCGACCTGCCACACACCCCCGGGATAGTCGGCGTGCCTGCATACAGACAAAACCTACAGAGACCAGGGATTCACTCGGCCAGGATCAGACGCTGGGTGTTAGTTCATGTTGCAATCCGAAAATGATGTGCTGGTGGCTGCGCCAGCGCCAGCGGCCGCAACGGTACCCCGCAAGAGAGGCCGGCCACGAACCCTGACGGACGATCAACAGATACCAGAAGTGGGTACACGCTGAAGACGGGGGCCGATGATGCAATTGCGGACACTGACAGGACGCCGCGCAAATATAGAGACGACGAAAGCAGCTTCGTCTCGCTCAACAGGCATATCGAAAGAGAAAGGAGACGACGATCAACAACCTCCAGTCGCGCGTTCACGAACTCGAATCAGGTATTGAGGCGCTCGGCAAATCGTTCCTCTCTTTCAGCAATTTGCTCCTCGATGCCCAAGTTCTCCATGAGAACCCGCAGATCGCCGCAGCTCTCCAAGAGATCACCAAGCAATGTGTCTCGCTGGCCCAGGTGGACCAGGATCCGCCCGACTCGGAGGCTTCCGTTGTACGATCCGACACAACATCCACGTCGCCATCGCGGGAGCCGAGAGAGAATCTGCAGATCATAAGCACAGGCTCAGGGTCCCATGTCTCACAGTGTGACATATCAACATTCAACACTATCTACCAGCCGTCTGAAGTACACCAGGAATTGTCGACGTTCCAAAACTTGCCGCTCACACCACCTTGTCCACCAGAGACTGTTCTCCCTTTCGGTCTAGTCCTGACATCTCCGAACATAAGCCACCAAATGCCTCATTTCGTGTCTGATAGCTACTCGACGAGCGTGGCGGGCGGAGCCATCCTCGAGGGGGGCTTCTTGGACACTTGCGCAGCGTCTAGTTCAACGGTGCTGTCAGAACGCCTACCGACTATTGACTCATGCGGCTGGGAATGAGCCACTAGTTCAAGCTATTTTTGGAAAGCCGCTGACCAACTTTGAGCGCAATACCTTGATCTCGGAGTTCTTCGCAGCTACGCAAGACCACTTCGGCGATATTGTCGAGTTCAAGTCACGAGTCTTCAGCGTTGACCATCGCTGGCGCAATGACTGCTCACCGAGTCTGGAAGCAACGTCGTCTGGTATGTGGCAAAAGGTTCAGGAAAAGGGCATCGATGAATGGATCGATGCGAATGAAATACAAAGGTTCTTGCAAGAGAGAGGTGTCCGTACCCAGGACATCAGTCATTCTGCTTCGACCATGCCTCCTCACGGTGGTCAATATCATTACGCCCTGCAGCTCAATATCTCAAGGTTTGTTGATTGTAAGTTATCTGCGCAAGTGTTCACTCGACACTGGTCTTTTGTTGGCTGCGTTTGACCGTTTCATGCCTAACATCTGGATTCCAGTTCTGTGCCATCTTGGCGCCAACTGTCTCGGTCGCGGACCGATATTCCAAAGAAGCAACGTAGAGCGGGCGCTCCAAATGACAATTAGTGAGCTTCCGTGGGGAGCCGATGCTGGAGGTAATTCATGACCTGGACAACTTCCCTCCTTACTGCTACACGATCACCCATTTCTTGAGGCAATGTGCGAATGCACTGGATCGCCAGGTTCGCTCGGAGGACTGTCCAATTTTACAGTCTTCGCAGCTCATGTCCATGGAAGGGCGATGAACACCAACCGACACAACGTCACCGCCCCGGACAAGGCTTGGTTCTATTGAAGCGTTGCATCTCTGTTGGAAGGTGATACTCAACGCGTACCCATATGATGATAGCAAAGTTACAGCATGCTGCGTCTCTGAGCCTCAGATTCTCAATTTTCGGGTTGCCCCCCGTAAATGTCAGTGATGGCGGCCAGCACTTGAAGGAAATTCTGGACAACGACCAAGCAAAAGGGAGATTCCCCGGGAACTCATCGACTGCAGACATGCTTTCTCAAATGCTCACCTTTGCGGCGAGTGCCCTTGCGAACTTGGGGTAAAAGGATCAATTTGTCAGTACCTTGGCGGTTAAAGCATATATGGGCCTATTACAACTTCTTGATGTTCTCTCGGCGTCTTCGCGAGAAGAGCTTCCAAAATTTGTATCTCCAATCACTGAATTTTGTCAAGATCAATTCACTTAGCCGGATAGGCTGGGCTCGCACCCAACTCATACTCTTCTGTTGAGCCTCAGTACCCCACGTGGCACTTCTCACATTCGACAAACCCTACTCTTTTGTTGAAGGTTAATGAACGTAGTTTATCGTCCACAGCAAACTGGAGCCAACGGGCTTGCACGTTGAAGCCTGACGGACGGTCCGCTTAACGTCGGCTTTTGTCTACTGACAGAATCCAAATCTGATATACTAGTACGATCCTGCTACCTCTTCGATAGAATTTACGCTGCGGAAACAGTAGAAACCCACGCAAGTATTGCACTGGCCCGCCGCAAATGACTCAGAGTGACAGAGATGACGGAGATTGAAGCTCGATAAGACGGGATTTGCATCAGAAAGCGGCATCGAAGCCGGTAGATCCTAGGCAGACGCCAAAGTGGATACCAACGTGGAGGCGCTCAATCTACCTAGTCCTCCAAGCTTACTAGAGCTGCTGTGTTATGATTCAGCACCACGGAGGAGGTAGTATCTCACGCCCGCTTGGGCGTGCGCATGCATCCGCGGTTGTATATCAGTGGATCTTCAACCAGGAAGAGGTACATAATTGACCCCATTTAGTTAGTTGCGGGGACGAGAGTGAGTCAAGTTGTCAACCACCGAGTTGGGCGGATATCTGTGTTCCAGGCTCCAGACCAACATCCTGTATACCATTGCCTGCATTCGGTAAACAGTACACAGTTACACCCTTCAATAGATAGTATCGAGTCATAGACACAAAGATTGTAGGATTTTGATAAACCTTGAAGCAGGGCGCACTAGTGTCAAATATCGACATGTAAGCGCTTATAACTTATTGAATCATAACTGACTCGTAATTGCTACCGGACTGGCCCCCACGAATCCACGCGCCAGACGATACAAGGCGTCGACCTTCCCGAGCGCCCTAGACTCTTGGACCTACATTATATAGGTCATAACCAGCACCGCTTACTTCTTCTCAAAGCTGGTTCTCACATTGTCGCTCTTGAAGTTAGAAAGGTTTTCTTCGATTCGGATCAAGACTTCACAGCCCTCGACGCCCAGTCTGTTGCCCTTCTCTCACTCACTCCGTCCAGCAAAATGGACTCTGAACGAACCGCCTTTGGCAAGCCAATGCTGAAGCATTGGCTCTTTGACCCGGCTTATAAATGTTTGAACCATGTTATGTGAAGCGACTGACTTTGGCAAGCTCAGTTCTCCAAAGTGCCGGACTTCGAGCTAAGCTTGCTTCACAATGCCAGGTTCATACGGCGCTCATCCAGCGCCCGTTCGTGACGTTCAGCGTAGTATCCTCGACCAGGCGGATCGGCGGCCTGACCCTTATCTTAGGATGGAGCACTATGAACTGCTCGAGGACGCCCGTCATGCAGTGGCCCAGCTTCTGAATGCTCCCACGGATGAGTGCGTCTTTGTCAAGAACGCGACCACTGGAGTCGCTACCGTGTTTTACAATTTGAACTTCCAGCCTGGTGATTCGGCGATTATATTTGAGACGGTGTATGGCGCTGTGGAGAAAGGGCTCGTCTCATTGCAGGAACGTTCTTCCCTGCAGACTCGCAAAGTTCGCTTCGAATACCCTATTCCTGAGCAGGAGCTTCTGGCTCGGTTCCGCGAAGTGATTCAACAGACACGGGACGAGGGCTTGAAAGTTCGCGCGGCTGTGTTCGACACGATCGTGAGCAATCCGGGCGTGCGATTCCCATTCGAGAAGCTCACGGTCATTTGTCGGGAAGAAGGGATTTTGAGCGTGATTGACGGTGCTCATGGCATCGGACAAATTCCGCTTGACATGCGCGAGTTGCGTCCGGACTTTTTCGTCTCCAATTGCCACAAGTAAGTCAGTCCTCTGTATAGTCAAAATTCAAAACCTCCAACGCGCCTATCTGGACCGACTGCAGTTGAGAACTTTGCGGGATGGCAGAACACTGACCGTCGCCAATGTCGCAATTCTGTTCAGATGGCTATACACTCCCCGTTCAGCCGCCGTTCTTTACGTCCCCAAGAGCAATCAGCACTTGATCCGAACGACATTGCCGACTTCATGGGGCTTCATACCAGTAGTCGATCCATCCGAAGCCACCATCTCTGCCTCGCCACATCCAGGTCTAGACAAGCCAAAGACCGCTTTCGAAGAGCTTTTCCAATTTGTAGCTACCAGTGACGACTCGGCCTATCTATGTGTCCCTGCCGCAGTCAAGTTTCGCCGCGACGTCTGCGGCGGCGAAGAAGCCGTCCATGAGTACTGTATCAAGCTCGCCCATGAAGCCGCTGATGCCGTGGCTTCCATTCTCGGCACAAAGGTCATGCAAGAGCCGGGTTTGAAGCCCGGGGAGATCAGTAATATGCGAAATTGTGCCATGGCGACGGTGAGCCTGCCCGTTGGCGTCTCTGATAATGGCTCCACTGAGGATGGTGCTCTTGTGACACTCGCACCCGAGGAGGCTGTTCGAGCCTCGGTATGGATGACATCCACCCTGCTGACGAAGTTCAACACTTATGTCCCGATCTTCCGCCATGGCCCGTGGTTGTGGACGCGACTCAGTGCGCAGATCTACCTGGAGAAGGGCGACTTTCAGTGGCTGGCAGGTGTGCTTCAGGAATTGTGTGATCGAGTGGCTCGGAAGGAGTTCTGAGGGTCATAGAAGGAGCGAAGAAACTCAATGCAACCAGAAGCGCAGGCTGGGGATGACGGACCTCAAATTTCATTGAACCAACGCGATGGAAGGCGCCGTGGCTGAGGGGTCAGGATCCCTACCACCTACCCATAACAAGTGAGTAATGCTCGATTTCAAGATCTTCTTGATCCGGGAACCGGTCTCTTTCATATCGAAATTTTCAAGTTTAGATCCTCTTTGGGCGTGTTGCGAACCGCTAATTTGTACTTGAGATGAAATGATCGAAGCGGGATACTCGTGTTATTGAGAGCTTCCATGTGATGCGGGTGTGACATTTCACGTCAGTTTATCAGCTTTATACTTCACTTACAGTCTTCTTCATCTAATCATATGTTTTCAGAATGCCGCGCACTTTCAGGTAAAGGTGGACGGAGGAGCCAACAGGCATGTATGGGTCAAGGTAGAGCCACAATGTGAGACATTTCAAGAACCGAAACGAGAGATCCCGATGGGGAAACGATGCCTAACTATGACCATATGGAGAGAGGTGTCGATTGTGATGTATTGTATGAGAGCGTATGTACAAAATCAAGTGGCTCGTCGCTCGAATTTCGAGGACGTCAAACGATGGTTGATTCTAACGAAAGCACTGTAGTATCGCGTGTAGTCGATGATCGCTTTCGGCATCTCAGCTATTGCCGCCACCACTGAGCCGGTTCCAGACCCAGCCCGTGATTCCGCCCGAACCCGTGTTAGCCTCACTCTGGCTTTCCTGTGGAACACCAGGCTGTTCCGTCTCCGGTGCTGGGGCGGCATGTGTGTGTGCAGACGTTGATGACTGAGTGCCATCCGTGGCTTGATTGTTGGGGAAAGACGAGAAGGAGGAACGCTGAGGCGGTATTTGTTGCGAGCTTTGTACAGGACTGTCCGGAATCACAAATGGGTCTTCTTGTGTACCTTGCGCGGAGTTCGTCCTACATGCATGTGTGATTAGTTATATCGACGCCCAGCGAGTCGTTTGCATGGAACAACGGGGACAGGATCTCAAGTCTCGACGTACGTATTGGGCGAACCAATGCTCCTTCGGCAATGTGGGCAGGTGTTGTGTTGGCTCAGCCAAATTTTGATACAATCAAAATGAAACCAATGATCACAAGGAAGAACCGTCACTTCGGTATTCAATTCCACTGACTCCATGCAGATAGAACAGTCTGCCTTTCCGTCTGTCCCTACCATTTCAGGAGTCACTTTCTTCTTTGGTAATGAATTTATGACTGACTCCGGGGCTGGCGGCGGACCGTTGCCTTGCTGAGCATGGTCAATCAGTTGCGATATGACTCGATCCAGTTCCTCTTGCGAATAAACCGCGTCTCCACTGCGCTGTACATTCATCAAAGCGGAAAGCATTGCAAAGGGACTAAGTCGAGATGCGTCCCCTGCTGCTTGGCCTGCCGCGTTCTGCTGCATGGGAATATCTCCCTGGATGATATTAAATAGGCTGTAACGTGAAACATTACCTACAGTTAGCCATTCCATTGCCATGCTTCCCGGGGTGCTATACACCGGAGGATGAAGCAGCCTCAATCACTTACTCGGCTATACTCTGTAAGCGTATCGTGACAGGAGTCATACCCGGGCCGTTGAACGGCTGACCTTCGTGCGGCCCACCAGTGTCGCCCTGTACGTCAGACGGATCGCGGATTCCAGTTTCTTGCCCTTGTAACCCGGCCATATGAGCTTGAGGAGGAGGCATAGCCATTCCGGGACTTTGCTGGGCCTGTCGACCATTGTGCATACCGGTGAGACCTTGGAAAAGAGTCTCAAGATTCTGCATGACCATCGGAAGCATTGGGTTTGGCTGAGCACCTTGCTGGGATGGGATGCCACCACCGATCATGGTGGTGCTGAAAGAGAAGCGACCATCGGGGGAACGATATGACTGAAACGAAACCCCTGGTATCCCTGACCCGAGCTCTTCTTGTGCCCAGGGATTGTGGTCTGCCCAAGGATTGACCGGGGGAGAGCGTGGCTCAGCTTCTGCTTCGGGCTGTGGACTCTCTGGAGGAATTTCAATCTGCAAGAAACCGAAGACGAGTCAGAGGATATGCGAACCAGATTGCGAGAATCAACCAAGCTCGAGGACGGCATGCTACATACTATCTCTATGAAGTCGGAGTCGCAGTGTGGGCATGTCAGATGGCTCTCGGGCCCAGCACTATCCCCACGATTCAAAAGCCAGACTCCGCCGCAGGCATGACACATGCCGCGATCGCCGCTGTCGGCCATGTTGTCGACACACTTTGAAGAGCTCACAGGTGGCCTTTCAATCTGGTCACTGCAAGATCGTTGACTCTTCGGTCATCGGTACGTCTGAACTAGGATCAAGGGCCCCGATGGATACAAAATCGTGACAGGTCCACGTAAGACCGTTGGATTAGGAGGTGGCAGGCGCGGAGTCACGGGTCGATCTTATCAGGCGCGGGGGAGGCTTGAAACAAAGCCTTCGGATGCTCAGAGTCAATTTCAGGTTACTCCCGCGGCAGAAGGATCTCGAAATGACCTAGAAGCGGACGAGTCAAAGATTTCGGGGTCTAAGAATTAGCAAAGCTTAATAATGAAGCTTGTTGCGCCCCAGATGGAATTGGAGTGAGGGTCAAGCGGATGGATTTGATACGAAATCAGAGCTCCACCTTCGTGGTGCGATGACGTCGGTATTGGTGGCCACCCGATTCCGGCATTAAAATTGTGCCAGATAGGGCAAGAGGGAGCCTCATATACAACGCTTACTATGATTCATCTCAAAGGACAACAGTATTATCTCTTACCCTATAATCATGAATATCAAGCATCTCTTCCTGTTCTCCCATCATTTCATCGTGACTTCCAATTGAGTGCTTGATCATTTGAAGCAATGATCTCCTGCCCATCCCTATCACAATCGAGCTTGAGGTATGACACAACTGCTCAGAGATACCATTCGGATACATAATGAAACTCATATGCACAAAACGCTTCGGCTCACTCAAATTTGCGACGCTATGCTACAAAACCATTACTCAACCTCATCCGGCAGAACTATCTTTGTTGTTTAGTGCCTCTGTGAGTTAGAACGTACAGAAGAAGTCGTGGCAGGTAGAGCTAGGACAAACGATACAGATCGAGCTCTTTTAGTCATTTGAATCAGTAATGATACGTTCGAATTAATGACATATATATTTTCGAGGCGAGACCCCCGAGTTTCTCCGACAAACCAAAGACAATATGAACACGATAGGTAATGACTGGTATCCCATGAATACAAATATAAGACAAAGACGACAATTTCGAAAGTGCGTTGGAAGATTGGATCAGATTTTCGGAGAGAAGTGAAACTCGAATTCTTTATTCCATCTGCCACTTCCCTTCCTCACTCTCGTCCACCTAGTCGGATTTCACCACGGACAATCAATGTCCCTCGTGCTTGTCCGAGTTGCCAGGGTGATCGTCATGGTCTTTACCACCCATATTTGCGCGGGAGAAGCCGACCAGGTCGAAGAGGTTACCGTTGGTGGCATTGGTGTCATTGCGACCCAGAGAGCCGAGGCCAAAGTTCTGAATGGCACCGCGCAGGATACCATAGAGAGTGATATAAGTGTCATCAGTGGTGTTGGGGATGATGCCAGAACCGAATAAGATCGTGGCGATGTGGTTCTCATTGTTGGGAGACGAACCAGCGTCGTTCTCCCAGGTAGCCTCGTCGAAGGTGACGACAACCAGGGTGCCTTGGGCTTCCAACTCAGGAAGATACAGGTCCAGGAATGCGCTCAACCACTGACCGCCGGTATTGGGCTGGTTGAAGTAGTCGCTGTTGGACTCGGGGTCATGGGCGTTGTGAAGCATGTCAGGGACGTAGTATGAGTACTCGGGCAGAGTGTGCGACATGACGTGATCGGCGAATGTGTTGTTGGCGCCGTAGATCTTGCTGCAGCGCTCGTAGTTGCCGGTGTATGTACTGAAGAGTAAGGCCGGGACGTCGAGACGACGGTAGCTTTGAGATGCCCACTCAGGGTTGGTGCTGTCCATGGGTCCGTTGGTGATGTAGTTGTTGCAATCATTGGGGCCGCGATGGGTAGCGATGGAGTTATACCACTCGACGTATGTGCCGTAGGAGATATTGCTGGCATCAAGAAGGTCGTAGATACTGGACACGTTGACGTTGTAGAAGTCCTCATGAGCCATGCCGAAGTAATCACCAGCCACGATAGCAGCGTAGTTGGGCAGAGATGGATGGGTGATTGCGTAGCTACGGGTCAAGAGCTTGCCCCGTGTAGCAAGCATCTTCCAGTAGGGCTGACCCATGGTCCAGTCGTAGACCTCATTTTCGAAGACGATGTGAAGGATCTTCTTGAACTTGGATCCGCCACAGGCCTCGAAGAGCTTGGACTTATTGATCTGCTTGGGGTGGCCCTCGCTGACCTGGAAGTAAGGGTACTTGCCAGTCAATCCATCCGGGATGAAATAACCATCCTTGGTGTCATAGCCGGTGAAGTTGGTTCCGATGACCGTGTTATTGTTCACCGACCAGTAGTAGTAGCCGCCATACGTCTTAGGGTCAAAGGGAGGCTTGTAGGAGAGGGTATAATTGGCCACAGCTGGTTCGTTGCTCTTGAAGACGTTACCACCGATGAAAGGGACGTCATGATCATACAGAACGTTCTGAGCAGTGGCTACGGAGGCAAATGCCAGAGCAGAAATGGTCTTGGTGACAGCGTTCATCTTTGATAGCCTCGGGGCCGCCGCGGACAAATTCAAAGCGAGATGGGATTGAGCTCTGAGGAAATACTTCTCCGAGGATACTCGAGCATTGCTCTCTTATATACCCTCGCTTGTTGGAAGACTCTCTGGAAAAGCAATGTTTCTCTTCCCCATTCGTGGTACAAGTAGGTGGACTACCACGCAGCTAAACATTGGGGATCAGCGGGATCATGACAAGCCTCTGACATCTTCTGTAATAGGGCTCGGGGTCCAGCTTCCTCGACGCCAGTACCCGAATCAGGGGATGTCGACCTCGAGAGTCATTTCGAGAGACGCACGTGGGCGAAGATCACTTGGTGGCTCCGCAACACTTGGCTGATGGCTAAGCTCCCCAGCCAAGCTTTTGGGCTGTCGATGTCAAGAATCAAGGGTCCGAGTTCGGGTGGATCATCCACACAGAGACTCCCGTGCCTGAGTCAGGGTCTCTCAAGTCTCGACTGAGCAAGGCCTCTTGTGAATGTTCCGAGAAGACCGTGGAGCGCCGTACAGGCAGAGTATCTGAGTGGGGATGAAATTGGATTTTGTACCTCGGACTGGATCTGATGGTGATGGTGGATTGGCCAGTGTAATATCGGCAATCAACTTGGAGATGACAATTGCCTTCGGACTTACACCGTCGCCCTGGCGGATATCAGCACGAGATCGGCCATGTGCCTAAGGAAAGCTTCTGAAAGAGCCCATGTTCATAGTTCTTCCGAGCTGAGAAAGATCGCCTCTCATTGATCTCAGACATTGGGGGTCTGTACTCGCTATAGCAGCTCATTTCAGCACACATGATCTTCTCAACCCTTTGCGTGGTAGAGTACTCCGGTCGACATAGTCTCCAGCGTTGGTGCCAGCATCAAACTTTTACCGATTCGTCGCTGATCATTGAACGAATTTGGTCTAAGCTTCAGAGAACATCGTAATGGCCCGAGTCCAAAGACGGCACGTCCAAGATGGATGGAGATTACTTCGGACTTGATACCCCAATTCCGTAAGGATCGAGCCGAAAAAAAGATGTGGGACACGCCACAAGGTAGGTAATTGTCACTGCTAGTTACTCGGTCGTACTGATGGGTTTCATATCTCCGAGGAATGACATGGGTGAAATTCCAGTGTAAATAACTCGGAATCCTCAAGAGGAGTATCTGGTTCAAGGGGATATCAAAATCTCTTGAATGTCTCTCCATCCACCATTGACTACCCGGGTGCTTTTGAATTGGCGGACTTTGGATCTGAAAGGTCGAAAAGTCTAGGGTACACGTCTCTGAGGTGCGACGTCGCAACATTCATAGGTACTATCAAGTCGACCTCCGTTTCCTTCTTCTTTCTCAGCATCACACCAAAGCTTTTATTGTATTTGGCTCTGGCCGTGTAGGCCCAAAGGATACAGGCTACATCTTATTAAACATGCACCACAGAAATAATCAAGAACAAGGGAAATAATGGGGTAAATTTATGTACTCAAAGCTAAGACCAAAACACAACGCCGTCAAATATGCCCAAGTCGCCCAGAGATAGAAGATCAACGCGTACACCCAGAGGGATGGAACATCACACCAACTAGAAGACGGGATGGCTCGTTGGCGTCGGATACCACAAGGCAAGCCCAACCAAGGCTGCTGCGGAACCATCACCTTTTCTGCGCACTATCGATAACGTTCTCCAAGCTCATCGTCTGCGAGCGCCTTTCATAATCAGGCTACCCACGACACCTGCCGCCACGGCGAGGCCTCCTACAATGGCGATACCCATCAGACCTTCCTTGGCCACCTTGTCGTCGATGAGAGAGCCCAGGCTCGCCGCTTGCAGGTTGGCGGGCTCCTTTTCCAACAGTAGATCGTTGTATCGACGCGCTTCACCATAGTTTCCTAGCTTGTAGTTGCCCAGGGCAAGATAGTAAAGGCATTCTCGTCGGCGCTCGGGCGCACCGCGGAAGATCTCGGAGAGGAGGCGGACACCTTCCTGCTGGTCGGTTCTCGTATTTGACTTGATCAGGCCCTGTTGACGAAGAATGTCCGCAAAGCACGGAAGCGCAAGATCAGCATCTTCTGTATATCGTATGCGGTCTCATTTCAAGCTCATTCAAGCTCCTGCGGGGGTCGTGGTGATGGTCATACCCATGCGTAATTGAATTTTGTTTGGATTCCGACGTAGTCGCCTTCCTTCTCATATTGTGCGCGAAGGACTTGTAACTCAGCAGGCTTTAGCGGGCTAGACAGGAGTAGAAGCATCAGTCTCAGGGCTCAAGAATCGTTCCACCATGACTTTTGGCAGTGGGGATTGTACTGACCTTTCCGCATCTGCAGCATCTTTGTGGCGCGAGCAAGTCAGCTACGAGCATTCATGACAAGCAAAAGGAGTCAATCACACGTACAAGGAAGATTCGACATGATCACGATATTCACAAAGACCAGACAGCGTACGACGTGTCCTGACTTAAGAAATTTGACACAAATGTACAAGTGCTGAACCAGCGAGGCAGCAGAAGATCAAGAGCCAATCGTGCGTCAAGGGCAGACGTCACATGCGGAGAGAGTTCAGGATGTGTGGCGGTGCAGTCATCCGCTGTGGCGGTTGCGGCAGCAACAATCAAAACAACTAGTCCCTCCCGTCTCGACGCCGACTGTCGCAATCTGGGACACCAAAAGGCAAAAGATCTTGAAAGATTCGCAGATCAGGACTCAACCCGACAAAATGCTGCTTGATGAGGATCCTGCCACGGTAAGTAACTCACATCGGTTATGGCAAGTTCGTTACTAATGACTCTGTTAGTTGATCCACCATACTATTGGCAACTTCAACATTCAGCCAGACCGACAGGCAGTCTCGCGCATCAATGACTCGCTCGCCACACTCCAGCAATCGCGAGATCTACGGATTCGAGAAGCCGAGGCGTCTCTGCGAAAGCTCGCCAGGCACCTGCATTCCCTGAGCACCCAACACGAGGAAGCCACCGCAGTCCACGATTCAAGCAAACATGCCGCTGAAATCGTAGAGTTGGATACGAAAAAATTTCGCATTGCCAAAGCTGCAACCGAGCTAGAGATTGAGAGCGAGCGGTTGGAGAGTGAACTTGAAGTGCTCAAGGAGAGGCTGGCCGATCTCGAGTCACAAGGCCTTGAGGGTGACGAGACAACCCGCCGCGAGCGGGAGGCAGACGATGCGACGATGTAAGCTGTTTTGATGGTGCAGTGATGTTCTTACGACTGGTCTTTTCTAACGTCACATTCTGCCAGATTACGACTGAAGATTTTCCGATCGCTCGGAATTGATATCGAGCCAGACGAAGCGGGCAATTTCAGCCGCGCCGTGATTCGGAACAGCCGTAAGGGCGACGTGCACGTGGTGAACATTGATCCCAAATTCTCACGTTTCTTTTACTCGAATTACTTTTGGTCAACAATGCAAGGATGAGGATTCTTGGGGGGTTATTCTTGTGAGGAGTCTTGAAGGTGTCTAATTGTCGTTCATTGGGGTTTGGGGGGGGGATCTTTTTTTGTTTCGCCATTTTCGCTATACCCCCATTGTGTTCTTTTTCTTTTTGTTCCAAGTTGATCATCAAATGGAAGTTCCATCAAGCATTTTCCTTCTCCGATAGGTGCTTTGAATCCAGTTCTTTGCGCAGAGATTGTAGAATTCTCGTCCGGTCAGCGGCTGATACAAAGTGGTCTGCTTGCAGTTCTGGCATCGCGTCTGGGAAGATCTTCTCAACACTATCCAACAACGCGTCCTTCTTTATTGACGGGTCAACAGTCCATGATTGAAGCCACTGGTGTTCCTGCTCAAGTAAGCGCTTCTCTACGCAATCCATGTCTGGAATGTCTTTGCCATTCCAGGTCAAAGCGATCTCCCTCGTTCGGCCTGTTTCCGTGGCATTGCCATATTGCGTTTCCACCCCCAAGGCTCCTAGGCCAAGCTGTTCGGCACGCGCATTCCAAAGCACTTGTTTCAGCGTACCATCCAGCTCAAGCATCATCCAAAAGAGCGGAAATTGACTTCGTGCTAGCGCATCTCGCACTCCCTTGGTGGCTTCGCGAGGGCTCATCAGTATCCCCACAGTTTGATCTGTGCGCCAGCCGACAGGGGCCTGTCGTAAAGCCCCCTCTAGCTCACGGACAATATTTGGTCCCAGCTTCGTTTTGAGAGCTTTGCATTGAGTCAAAACACGGAGCGCACGTTGTCCCTCTCGTTCAGGCAGATGCCATGTCCCGACTAAGTCTATTCCGGCGTCATCTCGGCCACCAATCCGATGTAGTGCGAAAGCGTATTTTCGCAGACTTTGGAGCACCGAGTACTCGTAGTGAGTACCGACGTAGACGGTACTTGTGGAGGGTAGACCTGTCCGCTCAGCGTAGGAAAGAAACGATTGGAGGTCGTCGTGTTGCCGGGAGGACGGCGACGGTGGAGAGGGAAGTTTGAAAATCCGTCGTGTGAACGGTGTCAAGTTATAGGTCGACCTCGATACCGAGAATTGGCGGTCATATTGCCATGGTACATGAGTTCGCTTGGCCACGTTACCATAGAGGCTGAAGCAGCTCTTTGGAAGACGTAACCGGCGCATGGAGTGTGAATGACGAGGGTGCAATCATCTCCTCACCGCATTGTTGCGGAGATTTAGAGTGTTGTCTCCGCATTTCTGTCGCGCGGCTTCTTCGCCGCCACCGCCGGAGAAAGTTCATTTATCTTCATTCAAACTTCATCTCGCGCTGGTCGCATCACATCCACTTTGCGCCTCCTATACCCTCTCAATCATGGCAGACATTCTTACTCAGCTGCAAACATGTCTTGATCAGGTAAGTATAGCTCGATTCTCATTCTCGAGAGCGACAGCTAATTCGGTGGCTCACGGACATAGCTCGCAACTCAATTCTATGCCACTCTTGGCTATCTCAATACCTACCATGATAACTCTCCCGCCACGCCTCCTCCGGGCATATCAAATGCCGCGCCTGCTCTAGCAAAGATGTCCAAGAACACCACCTCCCCTCCTGTGCCAGCATCCATCGCAGCCTCGGCGGGAGCCGGCGCAGCAGCAGGCGCAGCTCAATCGCCTGTGCCGCCACCCACGCAGCAGCCAGGCGCAGAACCAGGAGCAGCTGAAATCGAAGAGACCAACATTTTGCCTAGACCAGACTCTCCCCTTACATTTGCGGCGCGACAGCGGGAGTTGGCTCGCGATCTCATCATCAAAGAACAGCAGATTGAGTATTTGATCTCGGTATTGCCAGGGATTGGTGCTTCTGAGAGGGAGCAAGAGGCAAGAATCCGGGAATTGGAAGTACAGCTGCGTGAGGTGGAGAAGGAGCGTGCTGCTAAAGCTACAGAATTGATGCAGTTGAGGAGCAGATTGGAAGATGTTCTAGGTGCTGTTTCTACAGGACTATACGGCGACCGGCAGCTGTGATCATCGGACCCAAGGTCTGCTGTCTCTGCGCTACTTTTTTTCAGTCCTGCCTTCATGAAAGCTTCTTACTTGGGCTTCTGATACCCAATAATACCTCGATTCTGCGTGAGAAGCCGCGCATTCTACTCCATAAATTGACGGCTGCGAATTGGTGTTGATCGTGACCTGTCTCGCTACATAATATAGTCTGATCCGCTTCGTCTCATCCGCTTCGACCAGTTGACACTTTTTCGAAACAAGAACTCCATTCAGCATTCGTCGGCATTCATGGTGACATGCGTAGAAAACGAAGGCCCTCGTCAAGGTACTACCACCGGTAATACCTTGTCCAGCACATCATCCACAATATCGGCAGGATTCGGTCCAGTGTAATGCTTGCACCAAAGGCGTTTGTAGCCAGAAACACAGAAATGGCCATAATGCTTGCAGCAGTCGTTGTCACGGTTTCTTGCATCTTTGCAGATGTCCCTCCAGTCTCTGTCTCGCGTCCATTCAACCAGAGTGCGGCCATCGACTGTAATGCCGATGGGGTCCTTCGTCGTGCCACACATGGGCCACGAGCCTTCCCAAGTACAGTCTCTTCCAAGGTTGTAAAATTCACAGGCCAGTGCTGGAGCGAGCGATGCCGCTGCTGCTGCGAGAGTTTGGAACTTCATGTTGTAACTTTGGATGGCGTTTATCAACGCAAATGGTGTTTGGATGTTATCAACAATAGGGGATATTGGAACTTGAGAGGAATGAGAGAGACTTTGTCAAATCCGAGCGGACGGGTGCCCTTTATTAGATGAGATGGGTCGTTCTGAAAGTTGCATGTTATCCATTTATTTAAAAAGGGTCTGGGAACCTCATCACGAGTTGCTGTACTACTTAACAGTGTCGGATTGTCCGGGATCGGTCGTCACTATGTGAGACTTAAAGCGGCGAGCTGGTCAGCGTATATCCTTGCACTGCTATCAGCCTCGGGTACTCGGCTAGAACTCGATGCGAATCTTTAGCTGGTCGATGACTTCTGACGATGTAACCTGAAAATCCATTTGCCTGGAGCTGAGTGTCCAAGCTCGACATGAGCTCTGTAAGATAAACTGGATCAAAATTGCCCCGCGAGCTCACGCCAGGAATCTCTGCGGCTTCTATGCCAAGTCTAGATATCTGAGTGTCTGTGGTCATGTCAGAGCGGTCAGCTGGTTGTAAACTTGATTGACATGCATGGTATATCCCTAAGAATGAAGAACAGGGAGATCTCGGGTTGAGGTGTTTGTTCTACCAAAATATTACGAGCAACTGACTCTCTATCTCTATCTCTTTCTTTCCACAGGACAGCACAAATGTAAGGAGGCCTCGTAGTGCTTGTGGCCAAATGAATTAAATCACTCCTAGAGGCAAACGGCACCTCACTTGTATAGCATGCAAGGAAAATTGTTTAAATCCAGAAAAGTGTGTGTCAGCGCCTGAAACAAAAACAGATTCAAAAATACTGTTCCCGGGGGTATCAAATCAGCAGAACCTGCAAAATGGAAGAAATAAATCAGAAACCTAGAGCGAAACAAAATAGAACGAAAAAAAAAATTGAAGGCCGACGCAGAAGCAGTGCACGCACAACTGCGACACATCCGTCAGAGTGGTGCAGAAAGCCGAAGGCTCATTCCCTCGCCGTTTGAGCTTCCCGTGAGACATTGTCCAGCGGAAATCAACTAGAGACAGCGCAAACACCGACTTGTTCTCATTTGAAAAGACTGCGATATTCTCGCATTCTCTGCTCCCGGACCTCACTCTTATCAAGTTTGCCTCGATTCATGCTCATGTCCGCAAGCTTTTGCTTTTTCTGAGCAAGCTCCAGGATCTTCTCCTCAATGCTGTTCTTCATGATAAACTGCATGATGACAACTTCTCGGCGCTGACCCAGACGGTGCACACGATCGACAGCTTGAGCAATAGCAGCCGGGTTGTAATGTGGCTCCATGACAAAGACTCGAGAAGCAGATGTCAAGTTCAGACCGACACCACCCGCACCAATTGTCGCCAGCATGATAGTGACAGAATCTTCTTTGGCAAACGCATCAAGCGCGTTGCTGCGTGCCTTGAGGCTCATGGTGCCATCAATGCGAGTGAAGCCATGGAACCCATTTTGCTTCAGTGCAATCTCTATCAGATCAAGATGTGACGTCCACAGCGAAAAGACAACGCTCTTGATAGGTGGTTCGCCGGAGAGTGCCTTGCTCTCTTCAGCGATACTTTTCAAATTGTCGATGAGGGCAATAGTCTTCGTGTGGGGGCCTTCATAATCACCCAGGATCTTGCCGTTCTTTCGAGATTCCTGACGTTGTATTTGAAGCTTATCAAGGCCTGTACCAGTCACCGCAGAATACTGCAGAGAAGTCCACCCACCACAGGCTCGACACTGGATCATTGTGTCTGCTTTGGAATCAAAGACACTCTTCCAGTGAGAGAAGCAGTCGGGGCACAGAACGCAGAGGCAAGGCAGATAGATAGCTATAATTGCCTCCTTATCCAGAGCCCCAGTTTCCGTCATCGGAACCTCTATCAATTTGTCACAGATCTTGCAAGTATCCCCGGACTGAACCATCAGATCGACATGACGAAGGGCCTTTTCGTTGAAAGCATCTTGATTTTCGTCAGGTTCGTTGTCTTCCAGGTCGATGGCGTCTTGCACGCTCGATCCTTTTGTTCTCTCACGATCCTCGACATCTAGAAGTTCCTTCCCGTGCGCGCTGACCTGGCGAAGAATCATCATGGCTTTCAAAACCACGTGATACATGCGCCCACTTAGCTTGGTCTTGCTTTCCTTCGCGATCACACCCATCATAGCGTTGGATTCATTCCTGAAAAATTCGTGCAGTTGGGCTTCTTTCTCAGAGAACTCCAGTGTGACAATCTTCTCAGTCCGTTGTGGTAGATTGAGCAGTGTCTTGACACGGCGCAGGGTGAACGAGTCGATCAGAACTCTCAAGCTTGCCAGCGCATTCTGGTTTCCGGTTTTCATGGGGCTGGTGACATGCTGCGAGAAACGGGCACGATCATCGTATGGAAAGAGGCGAAGGAATTTGGTGACTGAGAGCAAATCCTCAAGCCGATTTTGGATGGGAGTTCCTGTAACGGACCAACGACGTTGCGCATTAAGGCTCAAAATGGCCTTAGTCTGCTGATTGTTCAGTTCGCGAATTGTATGTGCCTCATCCAAGACTATGCGGAACAAGTTCATCTTCTCCAAAGGACTACCGCGTCGTGCACCTTTGCCGCGCAATTCACTGAACACGGTGGCATAAGTTGTGATCACCAAATCCAGTTTCGACAGCTCTTCGAGATCTGTCATCCGCGAAGCGCCATGGAAGACGTAAAATTTCATCGATCTCGGCCGAATATGTTCGCTAATCTGCGCGATCCAGTTGGCAATGGTGGTCACTGGAACTACCAGAAGAGTAGTTCGTGTGTTGCGGATACCAGGTACGCTCCGAATCAGATTTTGGTCTGGTACCATACGTGCCCATTCAGTCGCCTCTTTAGGTGTAGACAGAATCAACGCCAAGATGCTCAGTGTCTTTCCAAGACCCATTACATCGGCCAGAAGACCTCCGTAAACTTGAGCCGGCTCCTCATCGCATATGACCCCGGTGATAATCTCGCGGTATTGTGTCCGACCCTTCGTCTCAACTTTTCGCCACAAAGAATTGTGGTCCTCTTCCTTGCTGCCGTACTTGCGTGGTGCCTCCTTTTCCGTCATGAACCAGAGTGCTTGTTTTTGGTGGTCCAGAAGAGGGGTCTTGATTGACGCAGGCGGCTCAAGCATGGGGATGTCCATGCTTACAAGCTTGTCAAACATTTTCATCACGGAGTCAGTTATCTCCTCTGCTGTACGAATCTCGTACCGGAGACCTGCCGCTGGACGAGATCCTGTGTTTGCGGCGGCCGCTGTTGCCATCATTGCGCGTCTTTGCTCTGCGTGGGGATTAAAGACAGGTGCTCCGTTCTCCACAAACGCTGGGGTTGCAAGCCAAACGTTTTGCCGTCCAAGCCAATCCCCGACCTTTTGAGCATGCTTCCGCGCTCCGTAGATAACAATCGACGCGCGGTAAAGGGCATGTGTCGGTTGCCAGATCTGCTCTCCAGCAAGCTTCTTGCGCATGTCGAGCCGGGCCGTAACGCTCAGGTCCATGGCAATTGAATCGAGCAACGGTACCAGCGCCGAGGCAGTCTTTGCATCCACTGTCCCAAAGGTCTTTCCAAAGGGATCCTTCACGATGATTTTGAAATCGGGTCCGCGTTCGCGGACTAGGTCCAGCTTCATAGATGACCACTGCAGAGACTCGGGTCCAAGAACAGCATTCGCTCTAGGCTTAGGTACCAGGTGCGCATTGATCATAGCATTTTCTAGCTTGCCATAGCAAACACGCTGTTCACTGAGATCATTGGAACCTGTCACCTGCAAGTCATCGTCATCAGCGGACTTTGCCACGTCGGCTGTCAGATCCACTACATGAGATGTTGTTTTCTCCGCGGGTACTGCAGCTGCGCTGGATTCACCATCTTTCATCCATTGTCCAATACCACTGTTTCCATTCACAGCAATCACGGTTCGGTCCGGAGTTGCACTCGGCGTCACAGACCCATCCACTTTGGCCCTTTTCGCTGGCTGGAACACGTGCCGGCGTTGTTCAACATCGTAGACATTCTCGATAAGGCTCCGTGGGGTGGTATTTGTGTCCTCGCTGTCATGAAAATCCCCAAAGGTCCTTTTACTATCATTGGCTTCGTTGCCATTGCCGTCGGTAAATGAGATCGCAACGTCGTTGGCTTCAGTCGAAGGGTACATTAGCGGTACAGTCCCGGGGGTGCCATAGACCGTATGATCGGAGCGCGTGCTCGGGGCGCCTTTTCGTTGGCGTTCTGCATAGCAGTGCCTGAATTTGGTAAGCTTCTAAGGTTTTTTAGACTTTGTAGTATTGTAAGCGAGGGTATGAATCGCCCCGTCTAACGTGGATGGAGCGAAGCAATGACTGAGAAACACTTCCAGGCCACGTAGTTGCAACACCCTGGTCCGCGTATGTCCGAGTCGGGTAGAAGAAGAGTAGAAGTTCGAGTCCATCAGACTGGGCTCGGCGACATCTTTATAGAGGAAAAAAGTACGAACTCTCACCATTTGCCTGGCTCTGCTTTCGATAACCTTTGGGGTTTAGAAGCATCGCCGCGTGTGGCTCCATGATAATGCGACTGGACGGCTTTTCCCGCCGAGTGGTCTGTCTGCTTCACCGGCCTGATCTATTATTGTACTGGTCTGCGAAGGGACTGGGAGGGAGGCCGAGAAATCGAGGCTGCGAGGCCTTGACGCTTCAAGGATAACGGGCAAGTGACGGAACGAGTGACGAGAGAAGTGACAGGGCAAGTGACGGAATGAGTGACGGAACGATCGACGGCTGTGCTTCCAGTGGTTGTGGGTGAGGCGAAGGCGACTGGCCTGGGATAGATGCGGAGGAACAAAAGTCAAAGAGCGTCGCAAATCCAATTTGTGACTTCCGCCACTATCGAATCACAAGGGCCTTGGCGAACGTGACAAGAGGCAGCCAACTTGGTCGCAGAGCATGACCTCACTTAGGAATGCTTGCACTCGGAAGATCCCGCCGATAAGGATGCGCTTATCGAGTCCCTCCCCCGCCGGAGCCGCATTTATCCAGCCTCGGTCGTAAAAAAGAGAATGGCCCGACAGAGACGTCTTTCACATTTCAAACCACGAGAGGTAGGCGCTAGTATCGATGGAGGAAAAGGTCTTTCTTTGGTCGTAAATCTGAGTGTAGATTAACTTGTCAAAAATTCAGCATACAAAGCATACAATACATTGATGAGGCCTTGAAATGATGAGTCACATCACTGAAGATTCAAGGTACTATACAGTTTCACAAAGGCCCAAGGCAAATGGGCGACATCGCCGTTGATGATGGACATTGTAGGTATCGTTGAATTAAGTCTCGTCATGTATTATACATAAGGCGCTGAAATGAATGCGCCGTAACCTATCCGAAGAATTCGACGAAGTTTATGTACAACAAAACTCCGCCGTTCATGAATATGATCCAAAGGATGACCAAGGGGAAAAAGCGATGAGTGGAATGAGCCTGGTATGACTGCATCCCGTCGCAATCGTCTCGACCATACACCAATGATGCCATCACCGATGATGAGGGAGCGCAGAAAAAAAATTCTACCTGACGGGTGTCTTCGACCCTAAAGCTGAGAGGGTAAAAAGGGGAAAGTGCGAGCGATCGAGTCCAATTGCGGGACTCGAAAGCAGACTGGTCCCAGGACAGTAGGGGATGAAAATCAAACCAGGCCCGTGATCTGGAAATATTTGATAGGTCTCTCAGCACCACGTGAACACCGGGTTCTTGCTTTTGACGGCTTCGAGGCGTTCCACAATAACTTTACGCTGGTTCCCCTCCATTCCCTCGGCGGCAGCATACCCCAAATCGCCTTCAAGATCATCACTGCCGAATGTATTGATGTGCGGCACTCTGAACGAGACAGAGCCACCGTGCTTGTGGTGCTGCGGAGGTCGATGCGACTGCTCAGGCCATCCGTCCAAAGACCTCGCATGAGCTCCCTCTCCGGTTCGATGGGCAAAGTAGCCATCATTGAGAGTTGTAGAGCCACCGGGTGAGTCTCTATCCGTAGGTCCTCGGTTAAGCTCAAATCGATTGGGATTTGGGAGGTCGAGCGGCGCAGACTCGAGACCCAAAAGGTCATGATTATGTTCAGCATTTGATGATACAGCAGCGCCAATATCCATTTCCTCGTCTTCGTCGTAGTCATGATTAGTCGCCTGGCGTCTTCCCGCATCCGTAGAAGGTGCTCGCATCGGAATGGCGACGGGCACATCCACCAAATCATCCCAAACGCAGACTCGGGTTCTCCGAGTCAATTCGAGCGGTCCATGATCGAGCTGCTTGAGCGTCTCCACGACGTTCCAAGCCTGGCCCTTCATTACTGCAATTTGTCGTGCGAACATGCTTTCTTTGAAATCGTCGTCTTGTGAGAAGACCTGGCGCAGCGCCATCTGAGTCCCGCTCCACCATGCAGTGGAGGTCAAAAGAGGGAGAAAATGATCACGGGTTTTCTGCGAGAATGGCTGACCGATCAATGAAACCGGCAGAAAGAGCCATCCAAAAGGGAAACTTCGCCACTGTTACACAGTCAGTTGCTTTTGATTCCAGACAGAAGAAAGTTTTCGAAGAGGTCTTACAGCATCCGGATGCTTCCACGGCCATGAAAGACTGTTATCAATGGCGCCGATTTGAATCGAGGCTTGCTGTTCTGAGGAGGCTAGAGGTGTGCCAGTGCGGCTAACCGCCATCATCGTTTCTTGACGCTTGTAAGGGCGGAAGCCATTGGAATTGACAGACACAGGCCGGGGCGGAGGCATCAGTTCATCTTCGTTATGCTGAGGTGCGGGTTCATTGTTCTTGGGCGGTTCTGCGACAATTGAAACCTGCTCTGTGCCCCAATCGATCTTGACCATCCAGTTGTCCAGACCTCGGTCAGTATTGCGCATGATATAGTCCAGGATCACCAGCTTTTCTAATTCCTCGCGGAATGACTGCTTCAAGTTTTCGGTCCAGTGGAATCTGCGCTCCCGAGACTCGTCGCGTGGGTTTGGTCCGGGAATTTCACCCGCCTCGTAATCGTCCTCGTCATCCGATTGCGCGCCCGATGGACGGCAAGCCTCATTCCATGGCCGTTTCTTGCGCTTGGGCGCATCTTGGGCTCGGAAGCCTGTGTTCGTCTGATCCGGCCAGGGATGCTCGCGAAGAAAGATGTTGGCGTCCTTGTATCCTTTCAGGAACACCTGAAAACTGCCAGCCTTCGGGGGAAGGATCTTCTTCCCCTTGCGCGCCTTGCGTCGGTCCCAAAAGTCGTAGAAGAATGATCTTGATGACAGATAGACGATATCTGTGTATGGGACCATGTTGGTGCGCAGACGAGCATCAAGAACATACGCGGCGGCTTCGGAGACGTATGAAAGGTTGGGGATGAGACATGCTCTGCCAAAGAAGCAGGGGAACAAATTCCTATGGAGCCATTTTGTCCATTTGGGATTCCGCGAGGCATATGGCTCCTCGTCCTTTGGTTTGAAGACACCCACAACCTTGCCCTCGGGATTGCGTGCAAAGTAACTACCCGAACTCCCTTGGGCGATCATGCGTGGATGCACATCCATTTCAATTGCCAATCGCACACTCTCAATGATCTCCTCAAATTCGGCACGGGCATGTCTCTGAAGGCCTTCGAACTCATCTGTCTCCAATTCCTCTGCCGTGATAGGCCGAACCCCAGCTGGTGCTTGAAAAACGGAGTGGTAGATCTCTAGCTTTTCCTCCTCAAACGTCTTGCCTTTGACACGATTGATCTTGAATTTGGATGCAATCTCGTCAGCCCATTTCTCAAGGCGTGCATTAATTGCTTTGATGTCGACGCCGGAATTGCGACGGCCGCGCCGCTGATAGTAACTATGCCTCCGTCGGTGGCCGGGGGGTGTGGCGTGCCCAGACGCCTGCATCTGGGCTCGGGAAGAGATGGGCGCATAACGAGACGCGGAGGCTGAGATCGTGGATGTGGCAGCAGCAATGTCTTCGTTCTCTGAGTCGTCGTGGAGGAAGCCGCGTTCCTCTTCCTCCTGGGCAAGACGGGCGTAGCCCGACGTGGCCGGACGATTCTTCGGCATGATGACGGGGCAAGGCAGACTGCGGCGCAGCCAGGGTGGGTGTGAATGTGTCGGGAGGGTTGGAAGTTGAGATCAGTGTTGAAGCATTACGCTGAGGTGCCGCAATCAACAACTCACACACTAGATTCCACTAGGGACGGAGACAGTGAGATGAACTGGCCAAGCCCGTCATGGACGATTTCGGCAGTATTATGATGGCCGGACCGGGCCAACCTCAGGCTAGAGCCCCCTGCCTGATGAAACGTGTATTTTACACAGAATACCTCGGCCGGGGTGCAATCCGGCGGCGTTAAGCCGCGGGACTGTTGCCCCTGGTAAAATAGAAACCGGCCCACATTGGCTTTTGAAGCGCAAAAACAGGGCGTGCGTATGTACATAGTTGCGTACAATATTACAAGATCATCTTCAGGCTCTACTTGGCATGATGGCGTGATGGCAACTCTTACATATTACGGTGATTACGGCCTACCTTGACGCACCGCCACAACTGCCGTACGGTCTTTTCCGCTGTGCGGCTGGACTTGAAAGTTGCAAGCAGCCAAGCAGATGAGATTGGTAATTCGAGATCCCCGATACATGGAGGTAACGTATTCTACATACCACGAGCTTTTGTCGCCAATTTCACTCTCTTGTCTGGGAGTATGAGGTGATTCTGAGAATTCGACATGTACAGCCCGTGAGACTGAGAACAACTACCGTAGGAACGAGCATGGCCACGTGTTAGGTATATAACAATACATCCAGGATAGTAGCCCGTAAGTTAGTAGGTACTGTGCTCCCTGAGTTGCCTTGGGTCTTTTGACAACTTGGTATTGCGCAAGCCTCCATGGAGGCAAAAGGAAGATGGATTCACTCAGTAGGTTCAAAGGTTATAGTGCCCCTAGAATTACCCTGAACTTCCATATGCCTATGGTAGTGGTTAACGTACGGAATATATATGCGTCTCGAGTTTGTTGAGTTCAAATCAAAAGCTTCACCTACATAGTCAAGTGCCGGTATATATTACAGAACTTCGATATCATGATTTGATCGCATTTCAACAATGAATGTAATCGCTCAAACATTCCACTGCTTGATCCTGGGTTGTCCTGGATTTCATCCAGTCATGCTCGAGTATGTACACGTGCACTGTGTTATGCACATTTACACTTCAAGCAGGCGGCATGCGATAAGCGATAAACCTGATATCCGTGCTCGATAGCAAGACTCCGCGGGACACGCTCAACTCATTTCCTTCCTCCTCGCAACTCATTCGAGATCACTCCAATTTGAGCCACGTGTGTTTCGGAGACTGTCTTCGATGCTCAGAAGTCGATCGTGATTACCAAGTGGATCCGTCAATTGTGCTTTGAACGGTCGCGGACTTTGTCCAGTGGAGAATTTCTCGAAACGACGACCTCTGCCGCCAGCCACCAGCAGACACACCTCTCTACTCCACGAGTCTTGAGTCCTCTCATCACCCGCGCCTGAAGAACTACTTTTGGTTGTGCAGACTATACAACTCGTTTACTTCTTCCCGTGTGCCAGGTCTGTTTTGTGTTTGTCTTAATGTTTCACCCCTCGTGCTGACTCGATTGTCAGATTCCTCTCTCGCCCCCTTCCCCTTCAATTCGGTCGCCCGTGGCCGAATTTCCATCGATTCCCTGCCCTCGCCCTTCACAGTGGCTTCCATTCTTTTTCCGGCGTCGCCCATCGACCCGGCTCTCAAACCTCCATCTCCTGGACATCAAGACTTGGAGCTTTCTCGCATCGACTCTCCATCGGTCGATCCGGTTGCTGCGCGCCCACCTTCGGCTGACGACGACGTTCCGCCGCAGACGGTTTCCCCAGTTCCGTCTGAATTGGCCAATATTAGCAAGCTTGCCAGCGTTGACTATCGCGACGGATTCCCCGGATCGGTATCTTTGAGCACCTCCCTTCCAGGACTGGCAGCTCTTGCATCGGTCGCGTCTGCTCCCACGTCTAATCTACGGTATGTCGGTGTGTCTTGGCAAGATCAGACCAGACAAATCCTATCGAACTTGAAGGCTGTTTATTATCAATCGTGATTCTTCGTCACTCATCTGGGGCAATGCTAATTTAGTGCGCCTCATCCCCTGTTAGTGAATCATTCGACGCGAACGCTAGCATGGCGAACATCAGCTACGCCAGCACAGCACCAACTGTCGGCCAGAGCAATAGTCCGGTAGGTTGCATTATACCTTATGTCCTTGATATCCGTCGCGCGACTCGGTCCATGTCGCAATGATTCGTTTGCATCCCCATACCACTATCTGTTATCCAGTGCTGCTCCGCTACATGGTTTTCACGCTTATCGATGGGGCTTATCTCTGCCACCGGAGGTTATCGGCGCCCGTTATCAACGAGTGACGGGGCCTTGGCACCACCTGATCCGTGCGCCTCTGCAATCGCCTATCCTTATCGAGCCCATCAAATCTCTCCCCCAATCTTATCATCACCATTATCCTCCCATCTGTTTCCCCTCTCACTCCTCTCATACCCTCAAGAGTCATGGCGAGCACATTGACTGACGACAAGCGACCGCAATTACAGCCTGTCTGCCAGAACTGCGGCACCTCCACTACGCCCTTGTGGCGCCGCGACGAGTTGGGCTCTGTGCTTTGCAACGCTTGCGGGCTATTTCTCAAACTACATGGCCGCCCACGTCCGATAAGCCTGAAAACCGATGTCATCAAAAGTCGCAATCGCGTCAAGACCGGCCAAGGCCCCAAGCGCAAGGTGAGTTCCTGCGGCCGTGAAAAATTTTCACCCCTCCTTGACAAAAGTCTTCCACTACAAGAAATTTCTCATGATGCTGACACACGCCATTTGCTTCAGTCGGGCGGCGCGATCGATGGCAACAACCTGGGCGGAACCACCGATGCGGGTAACGCCCTGGCCTCCAATGCATACCGTCGCGCTTCGCGAAAGATGTCGCCAGGTCACTCGGATCGTTCAAATTCCCCGCTGTCGCGAACCGACACCCCCGGTTTTGGGTCGATGCAGGCACATAACTCGAACATCGCACCTCAACACATGTTTGATCAAGTCACTGCCGGCCGTGATGGCGGACTAGGCTCATCCGGCCTTCCTGCGCTTCCTCTCCGGCAGCCGTCCCCGTCGGCTCTGGACCGTCAATTGGATTCACCACAAACATATGAGAGCCTCCTGGCATTGAATACCTCCCTGAAGACTCGCGTCAGTGAGCTGGATCTCATCAATGAGCTTTTCCGTGGACGTGTCGCCGAGCTCGAGCAGAGCGACGCCAGCGCACGACGCTCGGAGATGATTGCGCGTGACTCCGAAGCTCGACTGCGCCGCAGTTTGGAGGAGACTCAGCGGCGCGAGGAAGAATTGAAGCGTCGTGTCAGTGAGCTGGAGCAGCAGCTTGGTGCTAGCGCATCGGTGGAAGCAGACAGCTCAGAGCCATCGGCCAAGAGAATCCGGCTGTCCGACATGGTCGAGAATTCCTCCGAGGAATCACCAGCCCCACCTCAGACGCAATCTCAGTCTCCCAAGAGCAGCTGAGTCCTCCTTTAATAATCCGGCCGACACGCAGCGCTCCGCTTCTTCCATTCTAGTCTGTGTTTTTGGAGCCTGTCTTGCGAATGCTATGAAATCCAATCGTCCCTGGTCCCTTTGATACCCTTCCCCAACGCACTTCTCGACTGGAACTCTCATTGCCAAAAAGCTATCTCTTACACACAACCATCTTTGTTATTGCCCCTTTCTTCTTTGGCTGGCCACGTGTTGACCGAACAGTTTTATTTTAATTCGCTGTCTGAGTGATGTACGAAAAATATCAGTATGCCTTAATGTGATTGTCCCGGATTCATCTCCAGTAATCGACCCTGCCTGAATCGCTGCCTGACAATCTAGTGATGAGTATGACTATGTGGCACATGCGGGTCATATACGGTCCACAGACCAGTGTATCAAACACAAACTAGAATGGAACAAGCGGAGCGCTGCGTGTCGGCCAGATTATTCAGGGACTGTATTGCCAATATCCAGCGACAGGCCAGGCCGAGGTGACGCTGTGCAGCTTGACTATGGATGGCGAGAGAGGACAACCGGCATTGCGTATCGGAATGAACCGTCGTTGACAAGCAGTTATTCGTCGAGTGGTCCTCCAACATCACGAGGGGGAAAAAATCCCCGTTGAATGCTATAATCGACGATTGTTGTTATCGATAACAAATGCATTGACGTTGCAACATGGTATGACTAAGATGCATGCACCGCATCGGCGCATCGCCGCATACTATCCGGGCCTGCCAGCAATTGAATGGGTCGAAGTCATGGGTGATCTTGACAGTTGAAGCCTGTACTCTTTATTTTTTCATGGCAGCTTGCAAACCTCATATCTCGAACACGTAATAAAAGCAACCTGTGACTCGACTGCCACTTCGACGCAGAGCCACACGAAGATGGAAAAAGCATGAGGCAAAAGAGAATCTCCGAATAGGGGAATCGAACCCCTGGCTGCCGTGTGAGAGACGGCGATGTTAGCCACTACACCAATTCGGATAGGCGTTGCAACCGATTGAGCTAATTGCTCAGGCAGTTGTTGAGCGACACAAATTTTGGCGTCATGAACCAATCTACATTTCTGGAAAGCCGTCCAACGACTTCAGTTCCGCAATCGCCCGATAGAGCCCTCCAGCGGCAAGCGAAAGATCAAGCAAAGACCAAGGCTATTTATTGCTCTCATATATTGTTCAACATTCCTCAGCACCAGAGCGCATGTCACTTTTAGACGCAGGTCCACCAGTCGATTTCACATCGTTCAGATCGGCTAAATCGTTCGGATGGATCCCATGGAAGACGATTATTCGCGTCGTCCGGCGGTTAAAATTTTATGATCGTAGCCCGGCGTAGTTAAATAGCACTTTAGGGACATTCGACTCCCGATGACTATACCCTCCCACCCGTAGAAGGCTCTTATGTATGCAACCTCATGTTGCGACTTCGTCGGAAGCCGCTCTCGGATACGTGTGCGACCCTACTAGGGTCTCTCCCTATATCACTGTACATTGTATGTTTCTCGACACGGGTGTTGCGGCAACCAAAGCAGCTTGGCGGAACAATTGCCTGGATATATGAACATGTCAATTTCACCGCAGTACAGCCATCTGCCACCTACCTTGAGTAATGGATAGTACGACAAATCCCTGCGAATGCGATACAAGGCGGTGGACAATGGAGTAATGGACATGTCCCACACGTGCATAGTCATACTCGCCTCCTAGCATGCCGGGCCGTTACGGATTCCGGAGTCAGGACTCCAGGAGCACCTCCGAGAGCTATTAATCCAACTTACATCGCATAAGAGTGGAAGCGCCGTCATAAACCGAGGATGAACACAAATGAACAATATTAGTGCAAGAAAGGACTGTCGAACCTGCGGGCTTCATACTGTCAAGTAAACCATGACTGGCCGTAACCCAACGGGCTCGGGCTGGAATCATGTAGTCGATGGATGACCACCTACTCCATCGCGATGGGCGGATCAAAAGTTTTGGGGTTGAGTGTTCATCTATATAAGCAAATTTTGTAAGATATTTCAGAGAGGAGTGTCTAGCTCATCTAGTTCCACTGTCGTCCGAATTGGTGTAGTGGCTAACATCGCCGTCTCTCACACGGCAGCCAGGGGTTCGATTCCCCTATTCGGAGTTTCTTTTCTCATTTGTTTTTTGGGTCTGTCTGGTCAAAACCGCGAGTGCTACACTACTGGCAAAAAGTTGCATACCTTTCTCTCGCTTCACTATTTAGAAGCGCTGTGTGAACCCTAAAAAGCCGGACATCACCAGGTCACAAAATGATATCTAATATTATGGCCAGTGGCCACAATCAAGTATGACACACCACGGAGCGGTGTCCATGCTGCAGGCATGCCAGGTAGTGCGTTGCTTCTTCACCCTAAGAAGGCCGAAGGAGATATACAGATACCTTACTGGGAAACAGGCTCGACGTAGTAACTTGTCCACGAATCTTCCAAGGCATCAGTATTTCAGCAATCACATTCAGACTAATAGCAGATAGTCTATGCCCTGTGGAAGTCCGTCGCTCAAAGAGACCTACATAGCCAGCCCCTTAACAATGCAACGCGGATTCTCAGGCAGGTAGTTGGCATCTGAAAGCCCTGCCAAAAGGGACAATTCAATGCATTTATCATTGCCACGATATGAGTTGCCATTGATGTATCATGCATCTCCATACATCTAGCAGCGAGTCTTGGCTTTTTCATCAATGCGGGTGAACCGATTGGACCATCGCCGCCGGATTCGCTTTAGGATCTTGAGGGGTATGAATAAGAGGCCTAGCTAGGTCCTTTCAATGATAGCAGGTAGACACAGAGAAGACGAAAGTATACGTTGGTAGCCCATGAAATACATCCCCTCCATACCTAGTGCCAACCATGTCCGATCAGACAGGTGGTAAGCAGAGAGGATGACCACCTAACCTTGCAGAGTATCTACATGTGCATGACCTACTTGTTTTCTTGGCCTCCAAGCATTTTCACTTCCAGACAATGGTGGCGGATCGAAGTCAGCGGACGATATACGAGTCAGATTGAATGATAGCAGAGAGTAAGTTGGTAAGTGAAGAGGGTGAGAATTGTCCTAGTAAACGAGAAGGTAGCAAAACGGATGTCCGAACCATGCACACCAGGTCAAGTTACTTGAATCAAGAGAGCCAGCTGTGTCCAAGGTGCCGTGTCGGGTTAGGATGCATGATATTGTCAAAAAAATACGGTCATTGCATGAACCAGTTCGGCTAGTTCAGTAGTGCCTGGTTCCACTTCCGAATTGGTGTAGTGGCTAACATCGCCGTCTCTCACACGGCAGCCAGGGGTTCGATTCCCCTATTCGGAGTTCCATTTTGCTTTTTTTTTGGTCTGTAAGATTTATTCACTATGAACGCAGACTGATTGACAAAAGTGAGGCCTACGATTAGCCAATTGATCGATAGCCGATCACGATACTATGGTAGCCCGGGAACCCCAGACCCCAGTTCAATAATGTATTTTGATATGCAAAAAACTCGAATATCAAAATTGAAAGGATGTATGATGGGAGGGCCGGTTTTTCGGCACGGAGGAGATGCTTCAAACAAGGGAAGATCAGATCAAGTAACATGGAAATGCGACAAAATGTCACCGCTAGTAAATGCAAGGTATATTGTAAGACCAGAAGCAACCCAGGCGTATGCAGTAGATGGTGTGCTGCTAGACCACCTCAAAAAGATCAGATCGAAATAGAACAGAGCTAAAACAGACCAAAGGCTCGTGCGAAAAGCCTTAGTGAGTTGAGAAGCAAATCGTGTGTGGGTGTGTGTGTGTCGAGGGGTATTTTCACTGGTGCTGCGATCGATTGGAACCGGAACTAGGCGGTACGTTGATCGATCTTTGTACGCCCGACTTTATGGATCTGCCTCTCTCGAATGATGCTCCACAGACAAACGGCCACACCGGCAAGACCAGAAAAGAATGTCAGGTAGTAGGCGGAGCGATAGCAAGCCAAGCCGTCATGACATTCACGGTCACCCTCGTGCCCAATGACAGAATGTCGGTCATAGACGGTCCCGTATAACAGATTAAAGACGTTACCGCTAAAAACTGGAGCCAAAGTCATGACGCCCCAGTTCTGGGAGAGGCCCCCGATACCGAAAGTGTGGGCAGTCAGGGAGGGAAAGACCCCGAACAAGAATCCGTAAGCGACGCCAGTGAAAGCGGAGACCACAATCAACGTGTTGGGGTTAGAAATCGACAGGCCCGCGAGTTGAGTCAAAGTGAAGATGACTGCAGAGATGAGGAGGCACCAGAAGCGGGACATGTTGAGTTTTCGCACGAGCAGATCCGACCCGATTCCTAATAGGTCAAAGGTGTCAGAAGGGGTCAGAAGGGAGGTACCACTTGAGACTGATGCTATCACCTACCACTGGAGAGTCGGCCAAGAAAGTTACCGAACGAAAGTATTGAGACGTGCATTACCTGTCTTTGCTGAATGAACTTGGAGGTAGCGCTGTCGTCATAGTATAGCCAAAGGGCCTTGGCCTGTGAAATTGTCAGAACAAGTGTAATTACTTCATGTACCCGTGCAGCCTTACGCTATTGCCAATATTACTATGATCCAATGTGTTAGCGGGATAAAGAACGCTGGAGCAATGCTGACACCTTCTTTTTATTTGAACTTACTTGATCGTCATCAGACCGATGCCCGACAAGAGAGCCATGGTCAGGAAAAGCTGCCAAAACTCGATATGACGCAACATCGTCACACCACGGATGTCTGGATAATGAGCCTCCATGGCCACATCACCGAGGAAGTCATCGTCCAGGGTGTCAAACGAGGGCCTGCCGTCGGGCCTCGAGACGAGAGACGAGGTTTCATCAGCATCAACGCCCTGAACACTACCCCGAAGATTGGACGCAGAAGAAGGCGTTCGTGCATGTGCTGATCGCTCTTGATGAAAAGCCGTGGAGCTGTGATCGACTGAGCCGGCTATGTCGCTCGCGGGGCGCAAGGGCTGAGCCTGACTGTAGTCGTCAGAGCCACGGCGAGGTAGCGACGAATATGACTCGGCAGCAAAGATACGGAGTAGCGGGATTGAGCAAAACGCAAGAATTGAGGTTCCTAAGGCTAGGAGAAGCAGGAAACGACCCGTATCATCCTTGAAGACGAGCGTGGACACATTTGACCAGAATAGAGCGCTGAGCCCAAATGCCGCCAATGGGAACGCGGTCGCTGTCCCACGGTGATCAGGGAAGTTGGAAGCAGCTATTGTTCATCGAAGTCAGCTGGGGTAAGTCCCTTTCAATGTGGAAAAGGCAGATATTTCAGGAATAGCTACCTGTCTTGATAGCGCCACCAAACGCGGAGCAGCCACCGACACCGGTTAAGAATGCGAAGAAACACAAAAGAATTACGGGCATTGAACCCTCCCCAGATTGATAAGCTGGGCCAGTCAGCTTTACATGTCCCTAAGATGATACTTGCGTCCCGTACCTCGATAGATTGGGTAATACCCCAAGCCTAATAGAATCGAACCGATGAAAGTGATCACTCGCGGACCCCGGGCGTCGGTCAGAAGTCCCATTGGAATACCCATGGCATACATTCCTAAATTACCTGCCACACCCTGCGACGCTGTCAACAAGAAAGCGTCCTCGAGAAAGGGCCGGTAATGCGCCACTCACGATCAAATTGCTTTCGGTCGACGAAAGCCTCATTCGATGCGCAAATTGAGGCGCCCATGCTGAATATGCATACTGTCCAGTCATTGAAGTTTAGTATGATCAACCGCGACCACTGTCTTTCAATAGAGCGACATACGTTCGTGCCGCACGATAAGGCGACCAGAGTGCCAGCAATCACCGAAATGATGCGGCCGGTCCGGTTATTAGACGCTGTCATCTCCGTTCCCAACTCGCTGAGATACAGCTCGAAAGTTCGGATCTGAGCTAGGAAACGCGTGCCCACTGCCCGGTGATTTATTTGAGATAACACGAGGGGCGGCGGTGATGGCGTCAACGTGCGAAAGGCTCGAGCTTCGTGTCTGGTGGCAGAGGGCGTAAACGAGAAAAAAGAAGCCGAAGTGACATCGGAATCGTCAAGAGAGCGATCGATATAAAAGCCAGATCACACCTCTCAGGGCCGCGAGCAACAGAGTCGAGAAGCCAAGTTAGACGGGGTCAAGCAGAAGTTCCGAGGCGTCGTAATCGACATACGAGGGAGGCTGCGATAACGGACGATAACGGAGACCAAGCGGGTCTGGCCGTGTTTCCCGGCACATGAGGATCTCCACATTTGGCTAGGGCTGAGGACACGGCGAGCGGAACTCTTTTCTGGATCGAGAGGAAACAGCAGAGTAATTAACACTTCACAGTCCCACGCGGCTATTTCCTGCGGAAGAGGACTTTTGAAACCGCCTGACAGGGCGCATGTCGAGAACAATTTGGTCGCAAGGTTCACCCTCAAACTATTCCTCTGCCTTCACAGTAACCACAAGAAGGCTTAAACTCGAGTCAGGAGCAACAAGTGTAGTCATTGTTGTCTAGGAACCGAGCTCGGACTCGGTTCCGGGGACACACATGGTCGGGTACAATATTGGTTACGTATAGCTCCTCGAAGCTGCCAAGCGCTTCGGGTCAGTCTAGGCTGCCTCGTGGCTCTTGATTGTGATCACCGGCAGCTTGGCGAATGTTATTCACACTTGTGCATACAGTATCGTCCTCTGGTTGTCAGTTGATGTTCATTTGTTTACCCATTACATGATTACAGTGGTCCGTACTCCGGTTCTGGGTACCCATGTGATACAGAGTGTCTACATACAATGATGGTCCCTTGAAGCAGCGTTGACTCAATTTGCAGCCAGCAGCTTCATAGTCCCTTGCAATGGTATCGGCCGAGGACATGATGGCCAGTTGCACATAGAGCCAGGTTCACAGAACATGACTTGTTGTCTTCGGTTGACGGTGGACACCGCCCGCCCCGCCCCCATTCTGTGGAGTTTGGAGAGAGCAGAAACATCCGCATATTACTGCACGTGACTAAGGAAAGGATGACGAAGGCGGGCGATCGGCGGCAACTCCACCTGACCGACATGAACGTCTCTCTCGAGACTCTAGGCACCAAACACCGGATTGTCTGTCGGCTCTTTCTGACCCTGGAACACCGACTTCGGACGTCTTAATATCTCACACACAGACTTTGTATATTGTGCGCCATCATGGGTGCCCTCTTATCATTGCCGCTCATGGCATTGCCTAGCGTTGGCACAGTAAGTTGCCTCCGTCGCCCCGACTCTTGGTTTGGGCCTCCAAGCAGTACTTAAACTGACCACTTTGCCTTCCCAATAGCTGATCACGCTCGGTGGATCATGCTGCGGCGCAGCGACCTGCTCTGCGGTCTGCAGTGCTTGTGGGAAGTTTCAGAACAGGTGAGTTAGTTGATAGCAGTCACTCCCCAACTCATTCTCACTGAAGATGACTGACCACCGTACAGCATGGCAACGCGAATCGCATACGCTTTTATTCTGCTCATCAACTCCATAGTCTCGTGGATCATGCTCACGCCGTGGGCGATGAAGAAATTACAACATTTGACTCTAGATTACATGGAGATTACCTGCGACGGCAAGGAATGTCACGGCTGGGTTGCCGTCCACCGCATTAATTTCGGCCTCGGTCTCTTCCATCTTATCTTGGCACTTTTGCTGCTGGGTGTGAAAAACACCAGAGACAGTCGTGCGGCTTTGCAGAATGGCTTCTGGGGCCCGAAGATCCTTTTCTGGATTGGATTCGTTGTCATGTCATTCTTCATTCCCGAGCCCTTCTTCTTCGCTTATGGTAACTACATCGCCTTTTTCTGCGCCATGCTCTTCCTGCTGCTGGGATTGATTCTGTTGGTTGATCTTGCACACACTTGGGCCGAGCTTTGTCTGCAGAAGATCGAGGACAGTGATTCACGCTTGTGGCGCGGCTTGCTGATTGGCTCAACCCTGGGTATGTATCTGGCTTCTCTGGTGATGACAATTCTCATGTACATCTTCTTTGCCAAGAGCGGATGCTCGATGAATCAGGCGGCCATTACCGTCAATTTGATCGTGTTCTTGATCATCTCTGCGGTGTCCGTGCAACCGGCGGTTCAAGAGTCCAACCCTCGTGCTGGACTGGCTCAAGCCGCTATGGTCACGGTGTACTGCACCTATCTCACACTGTCCGCTGTGTCCATGGAGCCGGATGACAAGAACTGCAACCCACTGATTCGCTCCAGTGGAACTCGGACTGTTACCATTATCCTGGGCGCCATCGTGACCATGGCCACTGTCGCGTACACTACCACGCGAGCTGCCACTCAAGGAATTGCCCTGGGTTCAAAGGGTGGTCAAGGTTATATCCAGCTTGGCGAAGATAATGAGCACGGACTGGTCACCCAGCAGCCCAACGCTCGTCGCGAGATGCGTGCCGAGGCTCTCCGTGCTGCCGTGGAGAGTGGTAGCCTGCCGGCCAGTGCCTTGGACGAGAGCGATGACGAGGATGACTTTGAGACCACGAGCAAGGATGATGAGCGAGGTTCCACCCAGTACAGCTACACGCTCTTCCACATCATCTTCTTCTTGGCCACAACCTGGGTGGCAACGCTTTTGTCGCAGGGTATCACTATCGATTCTAATATGGACTTTGTCCCGGTCGGCCGGACTTACTGGGCTAGCTGGGTGAAGATTTTCAGCTCCTGGGTGTGCTATGCGATCTACCTCTGGACTTTGGTGGCTCCACTTGTTCTGCCAGACCGTTTCGCCGTGTATTAGACTGAAGAGCGCCGTCCTTAATTCATTCCCTTTCATACTGGCGTTGCAAGCAGCCCTCTATTCACCTGCTATTCTGTTTGGACGGACGAGGGTGGGTCAATGAGTTCAGGTCAATAGCCCTGTATCCTATGTAAATCTTTGAAGCTGTTTGATGCTTGCGATTGATTGCGATTTCCAATAGCCCTAATTTTTCTTACCTCGCTGCCATTGTAGAAAGTTCTCTACCAAGTTTGAACACACACACTTTTTGACGTTGGCCGCCTATCTAGACTCGAGACCATGTGGAGAACCCGCGCGTCCGATCAGTCCGAGCTTGGCAGCTTCCCCTCACGCGTAAAGTGCGACGCGAACCTGTCTCTGCAGACTTTGGAAGAATGGCGACGATAAAGGCCATCGAGGCTCGCTCAGTATGACTTGATGACCCTGACACTAAGCGGTGATCATGCACCCGGCTAATAATTTCACTCCGTTAGGTCCATCAAATCCAGTCTGGGCAGGTCATTGTTGATCTGTGCTCTGTCGCCAAAGAGTTGGTTGAGAACAGTCTCGATGCGGGCGCAACGACCATAGGTAAGCAGGGCCTCAGATCAAACAGCGACTATTTCTCAAAACGCATGAAGACATTTGCAGACGATTGGACATTGACATGTTGCTAGAGGTTCGATTCAAAAACAACGGGCTGGACCTGATCGAGGTGCAGGATAATGGGAGTGGCATTTCGCCGGACAATTATGAGAATGTGGGTGAGTTTGCGTCCGAAAAAAAGAATCACAAATTTCCGTCAATCGGTGATCATTTGGCTTACAAGACGACGCGGCCTTTCGCTCAGCTTTGAAACACTATACCTCTAAACTCTCCTCCTACGAAGACCTTACAAGCCTCCACACCTTTGGCTTCCGCGGCGAAGCCCTGTCTTCGCTATGTGCCCTTGCCGACTTTCACATCACAACTGCTCAAGCACATCAAGCGCCTCGTGCCAATCGGCTGGAATTTGAAATATCGGGAAAATTACGCAAGACTCAGATTGTGGCTGGACAAAAGGGAACAACGGCATCCGTGGAGGGTATCTTCAAACGCCTGCCCGTGCGAAGACGAGAGCTAGAGAAGAACATCAAGCGAGAATATGGAAAAGTGCTCAACTTGCTCCACGCCTACGCGTGTATCAGTACCGACGTCAAGTTCAGTGTCAGGAACACTGTTGGCAAGACGAAAAATGTGGTCGTCTTCTCGACGAACGGAAACCGCACGACAAAGGAGAATATTACCAATGTGTACGGGGCCAAGACACTATCGGCACTGATCCCTCTTGAGCTGGAGCTCGAGTATGAACCTTCCGGTCCCATGAGGCATCTCGGAGGTGGAGGACAGTCTCATCAGCTTGTGATCAAAGGACATATCTCTCGACCGGTCTTTGGAGAAGGGCGTCAAACACCAGACCGACAGATGTTCTTTGTTAATTCGCGGCCGTGCGGACTGCCGCAGATTGCAAAAGCATTCAATGAGGTATACAAATCATTTAATGTTTCGCAGTCGCCCTTCATTTTCGCCGACTTCCAAATGGATACGAATGCTTACGACGTCAATGTTTCACCGGACAAGCGAACCATTCTGCTCCACGACGCGGGGGCCTTGATTGAATCACTCAAGGTTTCTCTGCTGCAATTATTTGAAGCAGCCGACCAGACAGTTCCGCAGTCACAATTAGTGGGCTATAAATCCGCAAAGACAACGCCAAGACAGCAAGGACTAGGGTCGCTACCGGGTTTTATCACTGCTCGTGAAGTTGCCCAGGAAAGCCTTGTCGGTACTCCAGTTCGGAAAGAGAGCCATACTACCATCGATGATTCGGACAAAGAGACCGGGGAACCGCCAAATACTGCGGGAAGCAGTATCAAAAGATTCATGAGCACGCAAAGTGAAGTCGGTGTGGTGGAACCCTTCTCAACGCCAAGTAGGTCTACACGATCATCGCGCCAGACGCCATTACCCCCTACGATTGAACCGCCTAGTTCCACCGGATCCCGGCGTGGGTTCGAGGATGAGTCCCAAAATTCGCCAGTGATGGCATCACATAAGTATTCCGACCCACCAAGTCGTCACCCTTCCTCTCCACCTCGCAGACAACCATCAGCATCAGCTCGACTTCCAGATGCGTCTGAAGATCTGCCAAACATTGTGCAGAATGCGTTCGATCGTATGCGTCCTTGTCGACAGCAGCGTGAAATGGCCACTATTACGATTGGCGAACACACAGTGACCTCTATGATTGGCAGCGCTCGGCCGCGGAAGCGCTTTACTGATACTGGATATTTGTCGAGTGATCCTCCCAAGCGAAAGCGAAGAATACATACCCCGTCTCGGCCTGGAATTTTTGGGGAGCAATTAAAAGCTTTTGCGGCGCGAGGATCACAGGTCGAAGGCGAGGACGAAAGTGACCATACCGAGGGAGAGGAGGAGGAGGAGGACGAGCCTGGATTAGAAGAAGAGGAAGAGAAAGCGGATGATGATTCCAACAATGCAACAGAAACAGAGAGTGGAGTCTCTTTGAACAAGCGCCCAGATACCCAGCATGGGCGAGCTGATGGGAAGGCTCATTCATCTGACATCGATCACACGGACGGCCTTCTGAACGTTGATCCGCAGACGACTGGCCCCAGCAATGACGGACAGAAGACAGCGCAAGAATCAGCCATTGTCACGGAAGATGACGCGTTCCTTGACGAGCTCGCAAAGAAGGCGCAGGAAGAAGCAGTCGTTCAACGGCTGATCCACCAGGCAGAAGAAAAAGCCGTTCTACCTTCTACTCACAACACCAGTCGTGCGAACAAGTTGAACAAGGGGGCTGCCCATCGTGATGCCACTGTTTCCCTAGTCAGCACTATAGACACCTCGGCCCCTCAGCTCCGCGCGCAGATTGAGCAGCTGCGACAAGGCATCAGAACCCATGAGATGCCGTCTCATCAATTGGATACAGATATCGCAGATGACCAAACGGCAGAGGATCGCCTATCTCTCACTGTCAGTAAAACAGACTTTGCGCAAATGCGTATCATTGGTCAATTCAACCTGGGATTTATTATCGCAGTCCGACCGGGACATGATCAAGATGAGCTCTTCATCATCGACCAGCACGCGTCGGATGAGAAGTTTAATTTCGAACGCCTTCAAGCCGAGACGTCAGTGCAGAATCAGCGTCTGGTCCGGCCCCAACGCCTCGATCTCACCGCAGTCGAAGAGGAGGTTGTACTGGAGAACCGGTCCGCTCTTGAGAAGAACGGGTTCATCGTGACTGTGGACGAGAGTGGTGACGAGCCGATTGGCCGAAGATGTCAGCTGGTCTCGCTGCCGCTCAGCAAAGAAGTCGTTTTTGGTTCGCGCGATCTGGAAGAGTTGATTGTCCTCCTGTCTGATTCTCCCGCGACCAACAGCGTGTCGGTACCTCGACCCAGTAAAGTGCGGAAGATGTTTGCGATGCGTGCCTGTCGGTCGAGTATCATGATTGGAAAAACTCTGACGAGCCGCCAGATGCAGCGGGTCGTGCGGAACATGGGAACGATCGACAAGCCTTGGAATTGTCCTCACGGAAGACCGACAATGCGGCATTTGATGAGTCTGGGGTCGTGGGAAGGGTTTGATGAATATCGAGACTTCCCGGAGGACACGGCGGTAGACAAGGAGGTCGGCGCCGGCGGTTTGGACAGGTGGAGGAGATATGTAGAAGATGTACAAAGAGACGCTGCTGAAGAAGATGTTGAGGCGGACGAGGGAGATGCATCATAAGCGCTCTCGTCACTGTGAGACTACAGCTCGCATCTTCGATCCTAAGCTCATACGAAGGATATAGAGCCATCTAATCGGTATCTGCACCTGTACCTTCACATGCGCATGCATATAGTCATTGCGTCCAAGGTTTCGATTAAACGCCGCAGTAGAAAAAGGACCAATTTGAGTTCTGCAGCCCTAAGTTGACTGGATTCCCTACCACATCCGCCTTCTCTCATCCTGACCACCACCGCAACCAAAATCTCGACGACTTTCTATCATCCGCCTTCTTTCCTTTGCCTTGCCAGAGTCCATTCCCATTTTGCACTGGCCCATCTTCATCGCCTGCCACTCCCAAGCGTAAGATCTCATCCATACCCATCTGTTCGTCTTCTTCTGAAACACCTCGCTGCCCCCGATGCTCTCTATCATCATCGTCTCCCTCGTCCTCTTCATTCTCTCTCATCTCCACCCCATCCATCATGTCCTCCAAAATCAACAGATCGCGCTCAATCATCTCGGCCCAATTCTGGACATCCCCAATCTCCTTCAACCCCTCCCTTGTTTCCTCCGCCCACCCTGTCCACTGCGCATTTTGCCGCGCCAACTGCGCCGTGTGCTCTACCAACTCGGCTTCTTGCCGCTGCAGGGCAGCCTCGTTGGCGGTGATGATGGCGGCGCGGTCGCGGAGGGGCGCCTCGAGGTTGGTCCCTACTGAGCGGAGAGTTGCGGTGAATGCGGCCAGTGCCTCTTGCTTTTGGTGGTCTTCTGTTGAGTCGGGAAGATGAGTGGTTGATGGAGCGTAGTCTGTCATGTTGGTGTCCATGACTTTTGCTATATATTGACGCGTATGACACAGGTACGTAGGTGGAGGGGCAAGCTTTGAGGATATGTATACAGGGGAGTGGATTCTCAACTGATGGCGGGGTGCCGATAATAGTAGGAAGATTGAAATATATGTTTCCAAGAAACCCGACTAGAAAGCAGATAGACAACCTCAGGCGGCCTTGGACTATATATGCAGACGAGAAATTTCTTGGGTAGCACTCGACTGATCAACAAAGAGGGACAAAAGAGGGGAAGAAGAAAGGCGTGGAAGAAGGAGCTTGTGCTTACAGTAAGTTGTTCCGGGATAATAGAGTTGTGTACTGTACAAAATGTACGTATGTAAATGAGTGCGTGAATTGACCGAACACGAAGTATCAGGTACCTCACTGAACAGGGACATCTACAAGATGATGTGTACCAACCTAGTCCACCATTCAAGTGATACTACGACCCTCATCGAAATATTCTAAGTAATACACGGAAATGCGGAGAAAAAAAAAAGATCATGGGTTGACCTTCGATGAAATGGACGATCCTAACACTTGTTGCGGTTGCCTTTCATTACCATTTGATAACCCACATAGATGCTAAGACGAACCCCATGGGCTCACGGGAACCACATGTAAAGTGTGTTCAATTTACATATACCGACTGCAACCGAACATGAGAGCACCCTAGTCTTTGAACTGACCTGGCTACGCGCAAGTGTGCAAGTGCAACCCCCGCAATCCTAGTATCACATTGGCGATGCAGTCGTCTGTCAGTACTTCAGAAGCTCTTCTGGATCGCGGGCAAGAACTCTGTCTAGGAGGTCCACCGTGCTAGCCGGACAAGAGTGAGCCCAATCATACAGACATACGCATTTTGTTCAAATGCAGGAATTACGCCAAGGTCAGGTAATTTGAAAGTACAAAATCCATATACATAGACTATAATTAATAGGTTGAATGCATCAAATATTGACGCCCCGGACGTTGGGATAGCGGGAATGCAAATTGGATGGGCACAAGACATAGGATAGAAACAGATGTATAGAACTTGAGACCCAGAAGATTTTCAGAGGAAGAGATATACCGTCGGACCCATAGAGATAAAAACAAGACAAATCGCTTGAAGCACGTGGAGCAAGATGATAACTAATAACACAATGACAGGAATGTCTTCGATGCGTATGATTCGCTGAAGTGGAAGGGACGGTTTGAATGCACACACCAAAACGATGTGCCCGAGTGCATCCGGCGTTTCAAGATTGAAAGGCGAATAGTCAACAATACAGGAGTTCGAAGACTGCATCTGGTTCAAAGAGACTTGAATCAGAGAAGGCCGGAGAGGACTGCTTCAGTTGCTATAGAGACATACAGAGTTAGTGATCAATTTCTCCGAATAATCTCACAGGACTCTAAGTCAAGGTGTGACGAAGAGATGACATACCTGAATTAATGTATGGCCTCTTCATGTCTAAGTTGACGCCGAATCGACGCTCAAGCTCCTGCTTGATGCTCTTCTTGGTGACAGTCATCAAGTCAGCCGTGCGTAGGATCTCCCGAATTTCAGCGAGAATCGCATCGTCACTAGGGAGGTGGCTCAGGTCCTCCATGCTCATATCGGTATCCAAATGGTGGCTCATCATCTCTGAAGGTGCCAGAGACATACGAGATCCGGATGCAAGAAGTGGTAGATCAAGCTGAGAAACCGGCCGCGAAGCTGCGTAACCGTATTCGGATTGAGCGAACGGATGCGCACGTGTGCCATAGGAATAGCCGGACATCTCAGACCGATCATCACGGGAAGTTTGACCCTCCTGTGCCTCCCATAGCTCCATTTGGTACTCCTCCCAGCGCTTCTTGGGAATAGATGCTGGGTCAAATTTGCCTTCATCTGAAATTACCACCTTGCGACCCTTCTCTCCAGTGATGATACGAGTGTTACCCCAGGAGAAATCATCCATGTGCCAGAAAGAATAGAGAGGAAGGGCAAGACTGAACACGGGAATGGCGAAGACGTAGATGATCATCCAGCCAATCATCTCCCACTTGCGACGCATAATGAAAATGAACGCTTGCAAACCATAAATGACACCAAGCAAGACGAATGCAATCCATGGCACCATTGATGGATCACGCACGAGCCAAACGATCAGATAGATGATGTACGCGACAGTGACCGGCTGGATGATAGTGCTGAGCAGGTCGACAAAGACGACGAAGCGCATACTGAAGCAGCAGAAACCACACAGTTGTTGCAATGGAATGAGTTCAATCAAGTTGTGCACGGTTGAGTTGATCCAGCGACGACGCTGCGATAAGAAGACAGTAAAACTCTCTGGTGCCACGGTCCAAGCATGACAGCGGAAGATGTACTTAGTCTTGAACTTGGGATGATGCTTGAGAAGTAGGGTGGTCAAATAACGATCTTCACCCAGATGAAGCAGGTTCTTCATGTGGAGCGTGTCCACACGAATCTCAGAGTAACTCTCAACAATCTCCTTGCTCACAAAGAGAGGCTTACCGCTTTCCGCTGAGCGAACGCGATACATACTGAAGCATCCAGGTAAGCAGGTGACCGAACCGAACAGACTCTCGAAAGCCTTCGTCAGATTGTGCGAGATGTAGTATTCGTAGACTTGAATCATGGTGATGATAGAAGTTTTGGCGTTCGAGAGCGACGTCTCACCGCAAGCGGCGATAAGCCGCACATCAGACAAGAAAGCAGAAACGAAGCGCGTTGCAGAATCTTGGGCCACAACCGTGTCGGCATCAACCTGCAGAATGTACTCATAGAACGTCGGGTTGACTCCAATGATATTTCGAATCTGGTGATGCATCTCGAGCTCCATGGGGCTCATTGGGAGATTGTAATGAACGCGGTTCAGGAAGCGCATCAGGACCATTTGTGAGTCACGCTTACCACGATTGCCAGGACGAGAGACTTCAGACGGCTTGCCAACCTTGACGACTACCAAGTAGGGTACGATGTGGCCCTGTACCTCGTATAAACCAGAGTAAATCTTCGCCATGTTGTGCTGCTTCATACCCTCGCCTAAGCTTTCAAAGCTAAGTGGCTCGGGATCGACTGACTCGGGAACACCAAGAATGTCTAGAACGATGCGAGGAGTAGGTCGGTCGTTACCCTGACCAATGATCATACCATCGCAAATGACCAAAAGAAGTTTGCGCTTGTCGTCATATCGCATACGAGCCATTGAATCAATCGCACGACGCAGAGAATCTTCATCTTCGGTATACGCAGGCACTTGACAGATAATGAACTTGTCGAGATTCTCGGGCAGATTCTTTTTGCCAAACTGCAAAGCAGCAAAGAATTTGAAGACGATGATCAAACAGATCATGACCGAGATAGCAAGAATGAAGTATTGAGCGAATTGACACCGGGCCGAGTTACGAGTGTCAACGTGGCCGACGAAGAAGAGATTATCAAGGCACAGCTGCATGTGCGACCGCGTGGTAGGATCGATTTGGAGATCGTTCCAGTACTTTGTGACATCGGTGCCGGCCTTCTGCTGGAAAAGACTGACAAGAAGTGGGCTCATGTAATTGGTGTTGACATCACTCTTGGGGGTCACATTCTTAGGGAACCGGGGAACCCGAGGCCCAGCAATGTAGTAAGTCATATCGTAGACCTTGCCGTCAATGCTGACGATATTCTTGCCATCTTGATCAGCGAGCTGCTTCATGTATTTGTCGGTGAATCCCAGGTATCCTTTTTTGTAATTAGCCCGCAGCATGACCATTTGCTCGTAGAACCAATCAGGACGAGGATCTGAAGTCCAGCTGCGGAAATCATGATATTTGGCATTGATGTCATAGTCGGCGCTTGAAACGAGAGAACTTGAGTCATTCATGTTGGACCGATAATCCAGAGGAACACTCGGATCGACTTTACCATCCACACCTTGACACAAAGCCGAGACCTGAACAGGAAAGAGGTTGGTGGCATCGGTACCGGCATAATTTTTGAGAGCCTTCTGCGGCACGATATCAGGGTAATGGTACGGTATGAAGTCTCCCAGATTGAAGACCACACCACGAATAGCAATGAAGGAGTTCTGGCCATCTTGGCCATTGTGGCTGCTCAGTTCTCCCTTGGAATAGACGTGTTGTGTCGGACAGACCAGGCCAGGGAAGGCGACAATCATGAACACGGCGACGGCGCAAGCAAACCAAATGATCATGTTAATCGCGAGCTTCTCACGCCAGGCCGTTCGAACATCCTTACGCTTCATGCGGCCGATCCATTTGATCAAGAAATCGGGGATATAGAAGGTCAGGAGGTAGACCAGGAACATCCACCGTTTCCGGGACCCAGAAACTGGGACATCGTCGACTTCCTCCATATTCTTCTCATTACCTTTCTGCAACATCTCCTCGCGTGTTTCCAGGTTGCGGAACATGTCGCCCGAGTTGAAAGCCGAGGCGCCGGCATCGGACTTGCCATCAAGCTCCCGGCTGCCAAAGTAGCCGCCTCCTTTAGACTCGTCCCCGTAAATGTACGCCCCAGGAGACTGATCTGCAGGATTCAGTAGGCGAACCTTGGTGTCTGCACCGCCGGGCTGGAATCCTACATCTCCTTCGTCAGAGCCGACGATCCTGCCGTAGGTAGGCGCTACCCTTTCACCAATCTTGGCCAAGTCGGCCCAGCACCGCTCACTCAAGAAAACTCCAGTGCTTCCCACTCGAGCCTCGTTACTCGGCCATCGTCTTTCATCCAAGACCACCTCGGCCTTCTCACGATCACTTCCCACAACAACATTGCCGATTTCGGCCAGGCCGAGGAACTCAGCGAACGGTAAGAAGACAGTGAAGTCGGCGTTTCTCAATCGTGAGCTGATTTCGGCAATGCCGAATGTTTGTACCTGCATGCGCACACATTTGCTGTCGAACTGATTGGCAATGCGACGATCATTTGGTTTGAGGCAGATCACAAAATAGGGATTGAGGTTCGGGGCGCTGAGACTCTTGTTGATGATTTCGAGACCAGAAAGGAACTGGCCCGCAGCACCCTGAGATTGACCCGCCACCAGTCGATCCTTCCGACCAGCAATACTCCGCCGGGAGCTGGCGGCCTGACTGTCGTGATCATCTGCGTCTTCACTTTCGGCGCGATCAGCAAACAGTTGACGAGCCTGCTGATCGTGCTTGCGGCGGGCCATACTAGGCATCCGCAAAGGCTTCGATGATACCTGGGCTTGCACGATTGTAGTCTTTTCGCGAGGATGAGACACGGTCTGCAGCGCCTCCTGCCCAAAGAGCTCGCGAACGAAGTCACTTCGAGTAGACTTCATGAGATTCATGAGATCTCCCGACAGCACCTCTCCATTCTCCTCGATGAGACCAGTGACAGAATAGTCAACCTCGCCAGCGAAATGTTTGACGGTAAACGCCGTGCGAGCCTGCGAAAGGTACCCGGTGCCAACTGTGTTTCCACCATCCACAGAGATTGCTGGATTTTTGCCCTCGAAGCGTCGTCGGACGCTCTCAAGGAATTGGGCGTCACTTCGGCCACGTCGAGTTTGATCGTCTAGAATGCTTAGAAGGCCATTGCCACTCTTCAAAAGGCCACGAACAGTATCGGTGTTGTCAAAGTAGCTTGTTGCTGGAACGCTGATCTCTTCTCGGTCGAGGATATCTGCTTTGTTATCAAAGAACGATTGCAGGCAGTAATTGTAGAGAGACTCAGTTGCTGCATTACTCAAAAGCTGATCGAGCGTGGATCCAGTGGCTGGAGCTTGAGCGAAGCCGGGGAAATCAACGATTGAAATCGTGTTCACCACGCTGTCCTCGGCAGCGCACAACTTCTGGTTCACACTTTCGATAACGTAGGTGACGAGGAGGGAATAGATTGACTTTGCAAAAGAATCTGCATTCTCTCGAGCTCCTCGAGGGTCCAGCATGACAGTCACCCGCTCCCGATGAATAGTCTTAGTTTTGTAGCCTAAGCTGTTCTCGAGAGCTTCCGCACTCAGGCCCAGGAAAGCGGCAACATTGCCAAGAGCATCTTTGTTTTTCACAACGGTGACTGTCTCTCCTCCTTCGTGAGAATAACCACCACTCTCCTCAGCGGCGGTCATGGTTGTGTGTCCCGAAACAAATTCCAATTGGCCAATGTGCAGGATACTGGCCAGAATCTGACAGATTTCCGCAATTTCACCGCGCGAGAATTCGAGTTTCCTCAGGGCAGTCTTAAAGTGCTGGAAACCCTCATGATCATTGACCCCAACTTTCAGCTGCGTTGGATGACCAAGATAACGCCATCGCTTGTGGCCAGCCTCGGATGAGAGTTTCCCACCTGCCGTGGTGATATGAGTGGAATTATCGAAGCCCAAGTGAGCCTTTTCGGCGGCACTAGTTCCAGCCAACAAGTAGTAAAGCGCATGGAAGCTGCGCTCCCCAGTTGGTACAGACGAGATGCGACTGCGCTCCAGTCGATAGTCGATAATTTTACCGCCAATTAAAGTCGGGTTGACCGTTGATGATCCATCGTACTGTAGCTCCAAGAAAAGACCAGCCTTAGAAGCGGTAGGAGTAGTAACTGATTTGGTGGTGGTTAGGGTGTCGAAAACAAAGGCTGCGTAGGACAGCTTGGAGGACAGCGGTGTTGATGAATAGGAGAGAAACGAGGAGAGTAAGTGTGAGCGAATGGTCGTTTTACCCGAGCCACTCTCTCCCCTGCAGTCAAAGAACTGTATATTAGCTCAGACGTTTCTTTAAAGCCACACATCATTGAATAAGGCATATACCCACAGAAACACAACGGCTTGATTCTCCCCGCGTACACCTAACCGAGTGAACGCACGACGAGCAAGATCCTCAGCCTCTCCAGCAGCGCTACCTTCCTTCTCTCCGTCCGGGCCTTTTGTAGCTGATGTGTACGTGTTGAACGAGATCAATGCTTGAGATGACAGACGAGCAGTGGGAAGTCCGACGTGAAAGCTATCGAGGTCTGTTAATAGGAGAAATATAGGTGAGACGGCTCTTCGGTTGCTTCTGCACTGACCGGCTTGCCAAATGGGCTGTCAGATGCGTATCCGACTGAAGGTGCGCGGGGAGCGAGGGGAGCGAGGACTGGGCGTGGGCCGGTGTGCTCCCGGTGGTGTTGCCCGCCATTTTAGAGGCTCTTCACCTCTTCACGGTGAGGGCGACCGACCAGATGGGTAGCTATAAAGCCTGGCGAGATGGAACGTGGATAGCGAGCGAAAAGTCCTGACTAACAACGTAGGTCGTGCCCAACAGTTTGAGGTCACTAAGCTTGGAACGAACGTGATATCAGGAATGCCTGCAAGAATGAAGACCCCTAGTGATGGTCAGGCCTCAGTGACACGGGGGTGCCAGGGTAATAGTGGGCAAGCGCACGAGATTTGGATTTGATGCACAGGAAACGAGTGATAGCAATCAAACCAGCACGACAACGAGGGTCAACTGAGAGGACAAAAAGTCACTTTGGTTTGGGGGATCACAGAAAAGAGCAGTGGGTGTGGACGATCATTTGGTCTGGGGCTATACGGAGCTAGCGGTATTATATGTACTGTGTAATTGTATCAAGCTTTGTTACAATACCACAGGGCATCAATAGTGGGATACTACATAGGATACTAGGACGTCTTGTGTGAACTGCACGGTGCACAACCGTACACTAGTAACAGTCGGCCTACGTAATATTTACCGACCTTTGCCTTGATGAGTCGATTACGATTGATACTGTCACATAACCGTGTGCAAAAGGGTTTGGTAACGTTAGTTACAAGGTTCCTATCATCTGGATGAAATACCCTGCTAATGCCTTACTTACTCTGTCATGAATGATGACTGCACAATCTAAACAAATATACTGGTAGGTAATTTTATGTATTATTAATATATATATACTTTCTTTTTCTGTCTCCACAATACTGACTGAACATAGGTCAGCTCCTTTGCTTTCTATTCTCTTAGGTTATATCTATTCACTCTCTGGGTACTGGACCCTGATCGTGATCCAGTCAATTAACAATCTGGTCGTCTTGGAAGCTTTGACTCGGGGCTCCATCGGTACCAAGCCTAACATTAACAGTACGTATCCCGGTACCAGGGAACACTAAAGTTACCGCAGCAGAGCTAAAGATAGATCAGATTGGGCCACCCCTGATTTGATTCAGCTATAACGAACCACACTCTTTGGTCGTTACCATAAATGGGATCTTGGAAACTCAAAACTCTCCACTCCGTACACGGCCCCCTAGATATACCGACGTATACTGAATACTCGCTCCTTTTGAACCGAACCCGATTAGTCTACGGATGCCCTTGATTAATATACTTTACTCCTTGCTCTCCATGCGACCTGTCAGCCGCACGTTATCAAGTATAGTAACAATTTAGAGAGTATACGAAAATCAACAGTGCAGCTCATGCACACGTATCTATGTACATGCTTTGAGTATAATATATCAGGTACGTACCCCTCGCAGGTAACATATGGATGCGATTTTCAGCCTAGTGTCCTCTCAGCCTCTCACACTCGTAGAACAGAATACATGTTAAGTTACGGTATGCTATATATACGGCATTACGGCTCTGTTCACGCCAGGATTTCGCCTGGCTAGAGCTGGATTGATAGGAGTAGAGTAGTGGATCAAAGGCTAGAATTACTCCACTACGGTAACAAAGTTCCCATGAACGGGCCTATGTGATTCGACTATAGAACCACCTCAGGAGTCCTGCGATATCCACCAAGATCGAACGCGGTTTTCATGAGCTTGTCTTCCGCAGATTTTGATCCATCGGCGGCATCGAGACTTATTGACCGAATACGATGAAGCCGCCCGGCCCTACAATCTTTCCCCTCTGTATTACTTTGACATACGACATTTTCGGCCAGAATCTCGCGCGACCGGTTCCCACCTCCTGCATTAATGAGAGTCTATTACTGAGAGATACAGTGATGATCGGCGTCGAAAGTTCCCGAGACAAATGAGTCGACAGTGACACTCGTAGCATTATTACAGCACTCTCGTGTATGATGACACCGGCACACTCTCAGACAAAATACAGTCATACGGTGGCAACCAGTAACATATTTCCAGAATGGCGCTCCCACATGTGAGACAACCCAAATATAGCACCCGACAGCGGCCTATGAGTAATGTTTCCTGTAATGATCCAGATAAATCTTGAGTTGTACTACCTAGTACCTACAGTAGCAGATAGCTGAGTAGCACCTCACATACGGTAAATGATAACAAAGCCACAATTGTCAGTATGTATGTATGTAGAATTGTACACGGATATTGGGCTGTTAGGTCTAGGAAGTTTTATAAAGTTATCAGCCACATAACAGATAGAACATTATGTGAGAACTCAGTACTGAACTACTAATTACCCGACCTTGGACTATTTGGTATTTACCAATGAGACATAGTCTATAAAATCAGGTTCCCCGTGCCCCTCCCAAGGACGTATCAAATTAGAGCCATATCGTCGATCAGGAATGAAGGATCTTAGTAGTGCCGAGCCACAATAGTACCTAGTCTTGTGTATCAGCTGACATTTCAAATAGCCCCCTTCTTCCCGAAGAAACAATCAATCCGAGCTTATTTTTACCCGTCGTCTTCCATCTATCAACTCGTCAAGTCACTTAGTAATGACTAATATCTTGTACCAGCATGCTCTACAACACGAATGCTCAGAGCCTTAGCATATTTCAGTATGTCGCCACCCAGTCGAATTATCCTCAGCGTTAAGATTGAAGTATTCGGTCCGTCGAGATCTTATCAAAGTTCTAATGCTATTGCGGGAGTCAATTTTGATAATTAGTATGGACACGCCTTGATCCGGGACGTCAATGCTCGGACATCTTGTATCAATCTCAGTCTGTAGTAGTGTACTTAAAGTCGTTGCAAAGCACACTTGAGGGACTTAGCTACTCTCTGCCTCAAACTACACGTTCCACAGTATCATCATATAGGACGTGTATTGCATATATGTCGTAGGAAGTAGGAACATAGGATGATGGTCTATTAGATAATGTGATATTGACCATATTAATGTACGTGAATTGATACGCATAGGGTATTAGGTAGTGCCTGAAGGCCGGAGTCATCAGAATCAGTGGGTAACAGCCATATTAACTAGTGGTGGGCCGGTGGCACTAACCTACAACTGCATGTGATCAAAGTTACATGGGTGTGATCTGTAATACCGGCCTAGGCCAAGTACACAATATTACACTATACATCACGCTAGTACGGTAACAAATATACGCTTGTACAGTACAGTATGTGCGTAAATATAGTACAACAAGTGGCCCATACCCGATCTTCCCCAGTTCCCACGACCATATCACCCTCTGCTTGAGGCCTCCCTCGATTTTTCCCTTATGCCGGATGCTGTCAGTCGTTTTCTGAATTTCGACCTCAATCTCAGCGTCGTTCTCACATATTGTTGAAACCCCTAGGTTTCATTCTCCATTCGCTTACACGCACCTTGTCCTTCAGTCGCTCGCTAATTTACACACTCGACGTCTTGTTGGCTTCGCTTTGTTGACACACCCCTCAAGTCTCCCCTCGCCCATCTCACTCTACGCCCGAACAGCTCCCAGCTTGTGTATTCTCCTGCCATTGTGGTTTTCGCCCATGCACCAAGACTAAACTCTACGATTGAACTGTTGTTCTGGTCATATTGGCCATGTCGAACCGCTACTCGGTTTATTCTACCCAGTCTGCCGGGTTCGCAGGCCCCCGTCCAGCAACTCAGCAGCCCTCCCAGGTCTCGACAACCACTTTACTTAATGCTCTCCATTCGTTCTACACAGCTGGCCAGCCGTATCAGTTAGACTCGGCGACGAGCCTCGCTGTGAATACCTGGGTGACTGCTGCTACAATCTTGCCAGATGGTCGCAATGGAGCCACGTTGGATCGTGATTTGGCGGTGCGAGCATGGGAACATGCCAGGAGGCGAGCTGAAGATGGCTGCATTGTTCTAGGGTTTGTGTTCACTTTTCGATCCTTTCATTCTCCCAAGGACTTTGGCTCACACTTTCCTAGCTCTCTTCATCAGTCCACGCCGTCGCTCCTCGAGCCGTTTCTGACCGCACTACCGGTTACCACACCCCAAGTCGTTTTCACATCTTTGTCGGCCCTTCGGCCGTTTCTGTCAGCAGTGACTGCATTCAACCCATCGTATTCTCTCCATTCCGCGCTCTCAGCCTCGTATACGTTGACCCTGCAAGGCACCGTCATTGGACTCTCTTTGGCTCTTTCCACATCTGGCATCAACGTGCGCAAGGGTCTGCTGGAGATTTCCGCAGAGCCGGGCTACCGGGCCTTCGATGTCTTCTACTACCTCCTCACCTCTGCATCGACTCCAGCTGAGCGGGAGTTTCTTGGCCTAAAGGACTTGTCTCAATATACACTCCTCAGCCGATCAGGAACTTACGAGCCTCCATCCTACCTTCCTACTGCCGATGATGCGGCAGCTGCTGAAGATTTGCGGACGAACCTCAAGGCCATCGGAATAAGAGGCGCGTCTCTGCGAGGCCTGTTGTCGGTCCTTGCTGGTATTCTCAAGCTGGGGAACACTGCTGGACTAATGGTTGATCAGGAGGAGCTGGAGGACGTTTGCGAAGATGTCGGAGGTCTTCTCGGCCTTGACCCGGAAGTTCTGCTCCACAAATGTTCTACCAATGAGCGTGAAGTTCTTATTGCTGGCATCTACGAAGCGCTCGTGGACTGGGTCATCAGTAAAGCCAATGAAGCCATAGCTTCCGAGGTCCAAAATACCCTCGAGCATGATTCCAACACTGGTGGCGCAGGTGTTGCTTATCACGCTGACGAAGATACGGTAGCTCTGACTATCATTGATATCCCGCGGCCAGCTTTGGGCAAGGCTGTCGCAATGCGTGGTGTGTTTGATGACAGTCTCGGGCTCAATGCTGAAATGAAGGAGGATGGAATTTCTCTCCCTGCCGTTGGTCAGTCCGTCATTGGTGAAATGCATGCTGCAGTGACTGAAGTCGAGCCGGACCTTGGCATGACGACGGGCGCTGCTGGTCGTGAGCGTGAGCACGAGATGGACGTACGCCAAAGCGTTCTAGAGAAGGTGGGATTGGAAGCCGATACCGACTCCTTCTTGCGCAAAGTCTTGTTTCCTGTCGAGACCGAGGGCATTTCTTTAGGTCAAAGGGGGCGCTTCGATCTTTCTACAACTCTCGGTAGCAGCCGGGTCTGGTATCATCTCTCCATCCATCCCACGGATGACCTGCCCAGCCACCTTGTGGCCAATACGACTGCCTGGTCTGCAGGAGCTGTTTCACGCCAACTGAGGGATTGGCGTCTGCCAGAGTGGGCAAACCGACGTTTGAAGCAGCTTGACTTCACAGCTGATTTCGACGTAGAAGAATTCGTGGCTCGGTACTCACGTCTTGGCTGCACCGAAGGCCAGGACGGTGTCGAAAGTTGGATTCTTGAAAGAGGCTGGAGCAATGGTGATGCCATTGTTGGACAACAAAGAATCTGGATGAGGGAGGGTGCATGGTGGGAGGCCGAATCCATGCTCGACCTTAAGCCAGATCCAATGCTTACCAACCCCTTCGAATACGGAGGGGCTATGTACGAGTCTGGCTATACCCCTGACATTAACCCAGTCGCTGAGAATGCTACGCTCCTTGGCGGTGACATGGTGATGCACAACCCGAGCGTAATTGTTCCAAGCGTGATCGCCGGGACCAAGTCAGTTGCTCCCACCGGAATTACGACAACGGGTGCTGGTGACTATGGTCTTGGCCACAAAGGTGACGACAACAAGGGCGACATCGCTTATTATGATGACTATGGCCGATACATTGGTGATCTTGATCCTGAGTTTGGTGACCCAAAGCACATTGAAAAGAAACAGATCTCACTCGGCCGGCGACTTTGGACTGGATTGGTCTGGGCTCTTACATTCTGGATCCCATCATTCCTTCTACGATATCTTGGTCGCATGAAGCGTCCAGACGTTCGTTTTGCCTGGCGAGAGAAAGTTGTTCTCGTCGCCCTGATCTTGTTTTTCAACGGAGTCGTCTGTTTCTACATCATCGCTTTTGGTGACCTCTTGTGTCCTAACAAGGATAAAGTGTGGAACACCAGGGAAGTCAGCTGGCATACTCAGGACAATAACTTCTTCGTCAGCATTCATGGACGAGTTTACGACATTTCCAAGTTTTGGAAATTACAGCACAGCGACACGAATACTAAGACCACGGCCAGCAACATGAAACCCTTTGCAGGGCTGAATCTGGACCCTTACTTTCCGCCTCCGCTTACTCAGTATTGCAATCCGTTTGTCAGTTCCGACAACAATAATCAAGACATCCAGTTAAGTTACAACGATACGAACGCAATTGTGGATCCTACTGCGAGCCATGCCTGTGGAAAGCGAAATCAGCCTGATCCTAATTCGAAACTCTACCATGAGTCGTGGTACGGAGACATCTTCTTGCCAAAGATTGCCGACTACTACAAGGGTGAGTTGGTTTGGTCAAAGGGCACGATAAACAAGCAAGCCAATGACGACGCCCGATACTGGGTCATTGTGAATCAGAAGGTTTATGATCTTACCGACTACTTCTACACGGTCCAGATCATGAACAACCTGAAAACGTATGACTTCCTACCGAGCGCCGTAACCGACTTGTTTAAAAACCATCCAGGCGAAGATGTCACAGACAAGTGGTTGGACACTGCAGACTTCCGCAATGCGCAAAGATGTCTCGACTTTGTCTTCTACAAAGGCAAGGTTGATTTCCGCGATAGCCCGAGATGTACTGTCAACAACTGGATTTTGTTGGCTTTCACTATTCTCATTTGCGCGGTGATCCTTGTCAAATTCATGGCTGCGCTTCAGCTCGGGTCGAAACGTCGGCCAGCTCCTCAGGACAAGTTTGTCATTTGCTTGGTTCCCGCGTACACCGAGGGTGAGGACTCCCTACGAAAAGGTCTTGATTCTTTGACAGCTCTTCAGTACGATAACAAGCGAAAGCTCATCTTTGTGATCTGTGATGGAATGATTGTTGGTGGTGGTAACGATCGTCCAACCCCCAAGATTGTCCTCGACATTCTTGGAGTGGATCCTAAGATCGATCCTCCAGCGCTTCCTTTCCTTTCAATCGGTCAAGGTAGTGAGCAGCTAAACTACGCCAAGGTCTACTCTGGGCTTTATGAATATGAGGGCAACGTTGTCCCATATATCGTTGTCGTCAAAGTTGGTAAGGAGTCTGAGCAGCGAAAGTCGAAGCCTGGTAATCGTGGCAAGAGAGACTCCCAAGTCCTTCTCATGCGGTTCTTGAACCGTGTCCATCATCGCGCTCCGATGTCGCCAATGGAGCTTGAAATCTTCCACCAGATCAACAATATCATTGGAGTGGACCCAGAGCTCTATGAATACTGTCTCATGGTGGATGCCGATACCAGTGTCAAGGAAGACTCGCTCAATCGTCTGGTTGCTGCATGCGCGGCTGATGCGAAGATAGCGGGAATTTGTGGTGAAACGAGTCTTCAGAATGAGGAACGCAGTTGGTGGACTATGATCCAGGTGTACGAATACTATATTTCCCACCACCTTGCCAAGGCCTTCGAATCTTTGTTCGGCAGTGTTACATGTCTTCCGGGCTGGTGAGTACCTATTCATTCAGCGCCACGAAGGACGCCGGCTAATCCATAATTTAGTTTCTCTATGTACCGTTTGAGAACTGCTGACAAGGGTCGCCCTATTATCATTGCCGACAAGCTGATTGAAGAGTACGCCGATATTGACGTCGATACGCTACACAAAAAAATCTTCTTTCTCTGGGCGAGGATCGTTTCCTCACAACACTCATGACCAAGCATTTCCCGACTATGCGTTACAAGTTCATTCCTGACGCGTTTGCGAGTACGGCGGCTCCAGAAACCTGGAGCGTTCTCATGTCGCAGCGTCGCCGCTGGATCAACTCGACCATCCACAATCTTGTCGAATTGGCGGCTCTCAAGGATCTTTGTGGCTTTTGCTGCTTCAGCATGAGGTTCGTCGTTCTAGTGGACTTGCTGGGTACGATCATTCTTCCTGCGACATGTATCTACTTAGGTTACCTGGTTTACCGCGTCGCAAGTGGCACTGGACCTTTCCCTGTCATCTCAATTGTCATGCTGGCTGGTGTTTACGGTCTACAAGCCATCATTTTCATCGTCAAGCGCCAGTGGCAACACATTGGATGGATGCTTATCTACCTTGTGGCGTTCCCTATCTACAGCTTTGTCCTGCCTCTGTACTCTTTCTGGAGGCAAGATGACTTCACGTGGGGTAACACCCGTGTCGTCATTGGCGAGCAAGGTGACAAGAGAGTCATTGCGGTGGAAGATGAAGGCTTCGATCCTCGCAGTATTCCTCTTCAACGTTGGGATGACTATGCACTGGCCAATAACCTTCCCGGCCGCCGTGGTGAGATTGGTTTGAACCAAGAAAAGGGTTACTACAGTGGTCGTTACGTTGATGAGCACGCCATGGAGATGGATGACATGCACTCGCAATACTCATCGGTCAAGCCTGCCTCGACTATCCTTACTGGTTTCCCGGGTCAAGGTCGCCACACGGGCCCCTACATCCCCCCTCAGTCACCCGCTCCTTTCGCCGGCGGAAATGTGGCCGGTAATCGCAATTCGCAGATGACCAGTATGTCCCGCTTCACGGACTTCCCCCAAACGGGCGCTCCCTCGGCTGGTGCATCTCGGCACATGTCTGTCGGAAATTTGAGTGCATACCAGGACAATCCCGCCCTCTCATCTCGTCACAGTCTTGGATTGATGCAGAGCAGTGAAAACCTTCTCGCGGCATCTCGATCACGCAGTCCTCTCAGCCAATTTCCTTCGCGTCCGGCCAGCACTGCCTTTGACTTCCGCGCTGGTAGTGGACCGGATGATGCTGCGATAATCGAAGCAATTCGCCACTGCCTCTCAGAAGTCGATCTTGACACTGTCACCAAGAAACAAGGTATGTGATTACAGTCACCTCGATCATGGGCTTTGTCAACGAATACTAACTTATGATTGCAGTGCGTGTCCTCGTTGAGCAGCGTCTGCAGACTTCGCTTTCCGGGGAGAAACGAGCCTTTGTGGATCGTCAGATTGATCACGAGCTCGCAAACATGTAATTGGTTTCCGGTTGCTTTCTTTTTGATTTGCGCGTTCTCTGGCCATTTGCATATATCAGCGCGTATTCTTTCCATTGTCGTATAATTTGATCCTCCGAAGTTCACAATCAGAAAACATATTTCGGCACCTCTAGCGTTCTTGCTTGATCTTCTGAAACACCGATGTACATGGACTTTTTGTGTGCATTGCTCTTATATTATAATATTCTGAGTACATAAAGTCGAGCTGCTTTCGTATGGTCATTGGGTTAAATACCCGAGGCGCCACTATGGATGCCATTGGCATCAATGCGTAGATCGTGAAAACATATGCTCAATTATTTCGGGTTCTGCTTTCGTCGATACAAGCTCATATGCTCACGGCTCAGTCGGCCTGTCATGTTGAACGTTGTGCTCGAGCCAATTTCACCATGAGCGGCTTCTTCTCCCAGAGATTATAAGTTTCTTGGTTCTGCCAGCTCCCGACTTCGGCTTCCAGAGTCATGTCGAACTTCCACAAGATCTTGGCCGTAATCAGTCGCATCTCGGCGTAGGCAAGACTTGGGGGGAAAAAAGAGGGAGGTCAGCACACAAGCAAACGACAAGAGAAGAAGGACTTGAAGTCCGATGGGAGAGATAGGTTGAACTTACTTCTTCCCCAAGCAGTTACGAGGCCCCAGCGAGAAGGGATTAAATGCAAGGCGCTTATCGTTCTCAAAGCGAGGAGCTCGTTTCTCCAGCCATCGCTCTGGCAGGAAGGATTCCGGCTCGGTGAAATTGGATTCGGCATGGAATGTCGAGAAGAAATGTCCGCTCACGACTGTGCCTTCGGGAATATGATGACCATCGACGACTGCACCACCTTTGGGCACCACTCGAGGTGTCACATCTGCCACGGGAGGATACATCCGCAGAGACTCTTCAAGAGTAGCATTCAAGTATGGCAATTGAGCCACAGACTGGAAGTTGATCTCGTCGTAAGACTTGAACGCATCTCGGACTTCCGTCACGACTTTCTTTTGGACAGCAGGATTGATGAGCACGAAGTAGGTGAAGCCCGAGAGAAGCGTAGCGGTTGTTTCGCTGCCAGCCAGGATGAGGAGGGCCGCATTACTTTCCATCTCGCGAGGTGTCATGGCACGCTCGCCAGTCACTCGCAAGACATGAGTCATGAAATCTGGACGATCGGTCTTGGTCTGTAATCTGCGAAGAACTTTCTCACTGCTCAGGGCGAAATGATTATCGCGCATCTTGGCCCCTTCCCCTGAGATGAGAAGTTTGCGCAGGACCGGAGCCAAGATGGGATACATTTTGCCCGGCCGCAGTTGAACATTGACTTTGGCGCTCGTGAAAACCATCTTCACCCATGGATGATACTGGCTATCGCGTAAGCATCCGAAGGGCTCTCCAAAGGCCAGATCACCGATGATGTCGAAGGTGGTGAAGTTGTACCAGGAGACCATATCGACCGTCGCACGAGAGTTGTCGATCTGCCCCTCGAGTCGATCCACGAGGAGATCAACATAGGAATGAACCAGGCTCTCTTGATCCCTCAATGCCTTTTCGGAAAAGGCGTGAGACAACAGCCGTCGTTCCCTTGCATGGTCGGCTTCATTCGAGTTGACGATACTTGGGCCAGTCGGTCCCACAATATATGTTGCGGGATCTTTCAAAAACGATTGCTGGCCAGCTTTGCGATGTCCATAGATATCCTTCCATGCCTGCGCACTTCGATACACAAGAGTAGTGGGGCTCACTCGAACAACATCTCCATACTGATCGTGAAGCTCCTTGATCTTCAGATGATGCTTGCCAGTCACCAGCCAATAAAGGTTGGGCAGATTTGTACAGGCTGCAAGCTTGGGCCCGGGGAACTTGGCCAGAGGACTGAAGAATAGTCGGTACACGATAATGACCACCCCATAGATGAGTGTCTGCGTGCAGTCTCGCAGGTTAGTCCTCCTTAACATCAAACATACAACTGGGCTGAGGAGTTGAAAGCCTTACAGTCGAGATAGTAATACCCAACAGAACGCGAGCATTCGCCTCAAGGTCCAAGGAAAAGAAAGTGTCTGACACCATCCTTGTAAAAGTCATTGCTGGTCAATTCCGCTCTAACAAGGATCAGATGTCGTGCCGAAATAAAAGACATTCTGCAGCAGAAGGCATCAGAGCTTTTATACACTTCGGTCTGGACTGTAGCATAAATGAGCATATGACGTATTCAGTGCATAGAAGTCAGGTTCGACACGCATATTCTGGCAGCAAGCGCAGATTGTGTCACCTTGCCCGAGACTGTGTGGGACAGAGAGTTAGGCCGCCAGAGAACGTCGCTGGCTAGAGACAAGATCTTCTTGATCTGCGCATGTCGGGCTCATCCCTCCACGAAGGCTAGCACGGAACGTATATAGAGAGACTGTTGCAGCAACGTAGCATAAGTCCTCTATCTAGGTGTATTTGTGCATTTGTGCATCTGTGCATTCGCCAAAGCAAAATTCTAGCCCTGCAGTACACCTGATTGAATTTATTAGCCACGCCTCGACCATGCTACAGCTTCACTTTTCTCCACCATCTGCGCATCCCGGAATTTGGTGAGGGTTACATGCATTAGTGGCGCACCTGAAAGGAATACGCTGGCTTGACTTACTGCGGGGAAGAGACTTGCTCAAAATGGTAGTGGAGTGAATAATGTCTCGACTTCAGATCGACCTGTTTCGTCGAGAGTGTTGCCGATTGATCCGTGGGAATCAGTGGCTCAATGTTGAGGATATTCCATGTTGACCGATACTTGCAGACATGAAGAAGTCTTGCTACCATTGAACCTTTCCCGTCTCAGAGCCCGTCGAGTAATGCCTCACGAGGTTGAATTGCAGGGCCAGGAAGAGCCGTCGCTTACATGAGCAGATCACCCGGGCCCAAACATGAAGCACACTTGAGTTGTCATTGTCGTGTGACCCTCTCAGTCTTCAGTTGAATTTGTCCAATGCAAGAGTGTGAAACGTGTAACAGACGAACACGGACCCCATAATAGACAATCGGAGGAGAACCATTGTCGATCAGCCTTCGTGAGGAAAGATCGCCGCCCAGAAGGTCTATGAAGACATAAGTCTTGTGCACCAGCTTTGTGCATAAGGAAAGATTCACAAAGACATTGTATCGGAATGTAGGCTTCTTTAACGTCTTGTTCATCCCGCGTGCGTCAAGTGTTCTGCATGTACATCATCACAATGGCCAACTAGAGGCTCTTCGCCTTGCAGGAACGTCATTAGACCACTTGGAAATAGCCACCGAGTCTCCTGCATGACGCCGAAGAGGACGAGTTTCACGACTGCACAATAGTGCTAGAGCTGGCGTAGACGAAGATGAGACATACAGGATCGTCGACAGGGGCGCTGAAGGGCCGTGGAGGGCCGAAAGGGTGGACTTTGCCGCGATGAAATCACTTGCAGAGCAATGAGCTGCCGAGAACTCGTGGATTTCTCGTGCCGTCCATCTGCACCGAACAATTGAAGTTTTTGTAGACCCCGGCATCTTTCGGGAATGACATTGACGAGCGTCGGACGATACGGTTATTAGCAAATTGAAGTCCGCCCACATAGCTCTGTATTTCTTCCTTGACGAGGACTGTCACGAGGAACCTGACATATGGAAGGCATGCAGAATCTTCCGAACACCCTTGGGATTGTGACAATGATGATGATGGTAGTAAACGTCCTGAGCTCGTTCCAGAATGGCTCGAATCCTGGCAACCGGAACTTTTGCCTTCCGATCGTAGGTGAACAACCCGTTGACTTCTTCCCAATGTCATACAGCTGCGTGTACACCAAGCCACAGGTATGACCACCCTTGAACACGGCCATGACTAGGTTCTCAAAGCGCCGCAGAACATCATCGACATCGGCGGCGGTGGTATAGCTCCAGTCCCGCTCTCTTGCTTCACCATCCCGAGGAGGCGCAATGTTGACACCGCGGAACTCCGTACAGATGACCGGTGCTCCAGCCTGATGCTGAGCACCGGTATCGACAAGCGTGTGACCTGAAAAGCCAGAGTAGATAGGCTTGACAAACATTTCGCGGCGGGCTTTGGGACCAAGAATTCCACCCTCCATTTGGGAGCACGTCTGGGCGAGTTTAGAGGAATCTGCGTAGTCATGATAAGTTGTCAGATTGGTGAGTCCGTGTTCCCAGCCGCAGTTGTCATTGATGGGACGACTTGGGTCGAGGGTTCTTGAGCAGCGATTCTCGTCAGCGAGTCTGTCTTCTTATCAAGGCATAGATCACTCTTACTTGGTCAAATAGTAAGTCATAGCGAGCGGATATGATTCCGCTGCTCGATACTGTCCTTCGAGGATGGGTAGGCCCAGCTCTCATTGTTTGTGGTGTCCACGTAATCACGCATGGATGGTTGACGTCCCTTTTGACGGCTTCGATCCATTCCGTGTTCATGCATTCAACGTAGTCAATTTCAAATTCGTATGCATTAGCCATCTCGCCCCCATACCAAATAACCAAGACGATCTGCCCAGTAAAGAAATCGAGCATCTTCCCTTTTTGATGCTTACGGCACCCATTGAAGGCAAGTTCCTTTGCCATGATGATATCTGCTTTGAGAGCCTCGGACGAAGGAAGGGTCATTCCTGTTTCAGGCCAGTAGCCTTGGTCAAGATTCAACATCTAAAACAGCGGTTTACCGTTCAGTCGGAATGTACCATCGCCGGATTGCCACGACAAGCTGTGCATGCCAACCGTTGTGTGAACCTCGTCCACCTGGTTCCCTGAGCCATTGCGGAGACGTAGTACGAGGTCGTAAAGTATGGGGTGTTCGGGAGCCCAAAGAGCGATGCCGTTAAGCCACACTCCTTCCTGATCATATGGTGCGGTTGTTTGAAACCCAGCAATGTCATCCAGCTTCATGTCGAGATCAAAAGCGACGAGGTCCCGTTCTTTGGGGAGCTCAGCCTCTTTGGTAACAACACTCGACCCGATTAACAGGACCTCGATCTCCACGGCACAAATACCCTGTGGTGACCTGCCAGTCACAGCAATCTGCGCATGAACTTGGCCGCGCTGAATATCGTCTGCTCGTAAAAGAGTTCCGCCGCTGCCACAGCATAGCCGCATACCAGGCACACTCTCGATCCAAACGGACTGCCACCCCCCCCCCCCCCCCCCCCCCACCCCCGTTGACGTGTAAAAGATGCTTTCCGAAACAGGCTTCCAATACTGCTTGCCACGAGGCTGCGCCAGGTCACTCGGCGACTCTCTCGCACGCACGGTCAAACGAGTAGATTTGACACCCGCACTGAAAGCATCGGTCACATCGAGGTCGAAAGGAACATGGCCGCCTCGATGTTCCCCAATAAAAAAGCCGTCCACCCAGACGGCGCACTCGTAGTCGACCGCATCAAAGCGTAAGAGGAGTCGGTTTCCTTGGTATTTTTCGTCCGCTGTTCGGACATCATTGATGTGTCGTTCATACCACATCACTTCGTGGCCTTCTGGCAACCCGATTCCTGACGCCGCCTGACGCCGCGGGTTGAAATGCGTATGGAACCTCGATCTCAAGTTTGCTCTGGTTGTGAGCTGTATTTGGGGGAATGCCTTTCTTTGGCCATTCGTTGGCAAGTCCCTCGTTGCCATCGTCGAAGAGGAAATCCCAGACCCCATTGGGAGACACCCAATTGAGAGACTTACGTTCGAAGTCTGGACGGGGATACGAGGTAGCCATTGTGAAGGTTCACTTCGGCCAGTTGCGACATGCAGTACTCGTTCAGCTCTGCTCCTGTCCAAAGCGCTCAGCCACTCGGTCACCACTGGGATAGTGAATGGAGAGAATTGGGGAGATGTGAACTAGCAACCCTTCACTCCTTCCTCCCTCATTGCTACGTCAGCCGGTACGCGTCGATCCCAGTATTGACTTCTGTCCGAGTCGCTTAAGCTAACAGAATACCGAGATATCGACCTCCAAATTATTCAATGGTCAGCGTTCTAAGAAAGGACTCTGATGAGAGCCAGGTCTACTGCACTAAGCAACAACAAAAAGTGTCACCACTAAGAGGAATGCAAAAATGGTCTCCAAAGTCGATCTGATTGACAAGAATATCGCAAACAAAACATACGATGAGGCGAATCGTAGACAATGTAGGAATGCCGTGTCAAGAGTATTCGACGTGGGCCTGAATGGCGCCAGTCAAGGGGGGTATCATCGTCTTGACGCCGGGATTTGCAAAGGACTCCGCCACTATCTTCCCCCAAAAAGCCTCGCCTATACGATACCCAAACAATCGAGATCGCAATGGGAAGACGGCTGGGAAGACAAAGAAACAGAATAATCATGACAAGATGGAAATAAGAAGAAAAGAATTGGAAAGAGGATTCAGAAGCATCGGGCGGATGTTTCCCTCTTCCAATCAATGCAAGAACAGAAATTCGAAGAGAAAAAAAAGAAGACATGTAGACAAACAACAACGGAGGAATATGCGTGATCACACGCCGGATTCCTTGGATATCTCTTGTTTTCTTTTCTTGACGCCATCATTGCCTGCGTTTCCGTGGTATCACTGAACTCGAAACAAAATCAAAGCACGAAGAATAGACATCAAGATGAAAATGACGCGAGAATGGAAAGAGGACAGATGGACCCAGACGAAAGACAAAGAAACATATCAAACCGAAACACGCTGGAAACAATCAAAACAACCAAAAGGGTATACTGCTGCTGTGAATTGATATTTTGGGTTTAACGCGGTGGCCCAATGGGGGCCGGGTATCCAGAAGTAGAATTCGAGGTGCTAGGGCGACCACTTTCAAATGAAGCACGCGGATCATGTTTGGGTGTAACATCTCCGGGCGCGGTACCGAATGGAAATTTGGTGTCAAAGCGAGTGGGCCAGCCGTTCGTGCTGCTGCTACTCTTGTGACTGTGTGAGCTGCCAAGGACGGGAATATCATCCTCGGTCAGGTTAACGCCGGAATCATTCCAAGGATTGCGATATCCGCTGTCTCGAGACTCCATGGAGACGAGCGAAGCCTTGGAAGCATTGCTAGAAGCATGCTTGAAAAAGGATGCAGGCGAAGCAGAATGATTCTTGCGTCCAATGAAGGATGAGAAGGACGAAATGCTGCCCGGCTTGCGTAGGCGCTCAAAGATCGAGCCACGTTCACTGGTCTCGTCGGCAAAACTGGGTCGTGTTGGGGAGTCAGTCACAAGTGGAACTGGAGCATGCTGCAACAACTTCGAATCGAAGAAAGGGAGGGACTCTTCGAATGAGTCGGACTTGGGACGCGGGATCGCGCCCTTGACAGTGTTCGCATCGAGGCCATGGGCGACGAGGCGTGAGATCAGGAAATCAATGGCGTCCTTAAGACCGCCTGCATTGTTACGCGTGTACCCGAGCACAACCCGGTCTTCCGGGGCGGAGTCCGGGGTGGAAGAGGAGCCCTCCTCGGTCGTGGGCATATCGGCAGCCGTGTCGACATTGATATCGACTTCGTATTGCTCTTTGAGCTTGGTTCGGACGTCGGCGACAAATTCGGGGGACTTGAAGTAGCTCTGTAGTTCGGATGAGCTTTGGAAATGCAATTCATGACTTTCCGGAACCATGCCAAGCAGAGCATCCACCGCCTGAGGAACCTGATACTCAGGGCCAGAAATGGTGACCACATCACTGGCCAATTCAGTACTGGGAAACTCAATCTTGCAATTCCATTTCTTTTCCAACTCGTCGATCTCAGTGATCCGAGCCAAAAGCTCCCGATGGTAGAGGCGATTGATGACGACCCGCTCAGAGACGTACTCGGCATCAACTTTCTCTACCATATCCATGATCTCTTGCTTCACAAGGTCCAGGCTCTGAGCATTGCGCGCAGGAGTTCGGCAGATAACATTATCGACTTTGATATCGTCATCCTCCTTGCCCATTCCGCCGCGATCCATGGCATTGGAAAACTTGACGAAGACGGAATACTTCTTCATGATGCGCTGGATGTGCTGCCCGCCGATACCGATGATTCGCTTGTGGTATTGATCAGGGACATGGAAGGAAATTGACGCCGGCATCTCCTGTTCGACAAGATCGAGACCATTCTTGGTCGACTCGTACTGGTTACCGCAGACGTCGATGTAGAAATTGTACTCGTTGAAGCCGTCGAAGATGATCTGGACGTTACCTGTGAAATTGTCAGTTAACGCGGGTCGATATAGTACACCCCGACAGATGAGAGACTTACTTTGACCCATGATCTTGTTGATTTTGCCGTTCTTCTTACCACTGACGAACTCCTTGTGCTCGTTTGCAAGCTCAATCTTGACTCGCATCTGATATTGACTGCGTGTCACGAATGGGATTTGGTTCACCACGGTCATGGCCGCCTTGACTGCATCATCAGAGCCATTGATGGTGAAAGTCAGGTTGTCAAAGCTGACCTCGGCTTCTGAATTGGTGCAGATGTCCGAAAGCATGGAGCGTATGTCCGCCGCGCCGGGGGTTCGAATGCCACCTTGTGCTGGATCGGGCATCAGAATCCACCACGAGGCGCTGTAAAATTGACCAGCCTGTGCAGAGTGATTAGCAGGAGTCGGCAAGTACTCTCGTCCAACGGGTTAGGCATACCAGGGCCATTATCTCCCGCACAGTGCGCTCGACATGCAGCACTTCGGTTCCTTGGATGCGCACCAAGCCACGTTGACTTCCAAGTTGGGGGAACAAGACGTAGGAGCCGTTCATTTCCATCACTTTGCGGACTTTATCCAGACGGTCGAGGAGAATGTTGTCGATCTTGTTCGAATTCACAACCACATCCTTGACGTAAATTTTGACTCCCAGAACCAGCTCTCGCAATTTCTGCTTGGCGCGAGCAATTTGCTCCGAGGTGTCACCTGTGATGTAGACTTCGTCTTCGCTGCGACGGCTTGCACCGGGGGGTGTGTAGCCAAAGATACGGGGGAACGGCGGCGGGAAGTAGATTGCGGTACCGGTAGCGGCTTCGATCAGCTTGATGTTCTTGCGGGTCCGTCCACACACGAGGGTGTGCATGGTCAACTCTAGCTTGATAGCATCCACATGACGTTTCAGCTGCATGTCTGTGTTAGCCTGGTATCTGTCTGGAACATTTGACGCGCAGCGCGGGTTGTCCTACAATTTGATCAATCATGATGAGGATTCGCGTCTTGGCATGCTCTGAGCTCTCCATGTCACCATAGATAGCGACTCGGAAGCGCTGCTCAAGTCCGTTATCTGAAGCATAGCCATAGGAAGAGACCACTGCGCTATCCGCGTCGTGAAGTCTGGGGGTGAGCAAAAAGATGTCGGTCCCGGTGTAGGCCGCCAAGGTGTCCATGTGTTCCAGTACACTTGCACGAATCCCTTTGGGTGAGCCATCCACAATCAGGTGCATATCAACGTCAACAGTCGCGCATCGCTACATAGGCAAAAGTATTGTCAGCAAAGGACCGCCTCCACTTGCGCCTTTCAAGAATCGGAACCGTTCATCCAGCCGGAGTCGACGGAAAGCAAAGACCGACCAGGGGGAAGGGGGAGAAAACCTCATCCACATACCAGCATGATCGGTGTCTCATTCAGGATCTTGGCCCGCATCTTCCGGACTATCTCTCCGTCGCCGGTCACACAGACGTTGGTGACCATGCCGTTTGGGCGCCGTTGTAGCGAGGGCACGACCTTGGGTTCAGAAGACGTGACAGTGGCTTCGATTCGGCCTCCACTGGTTTCAGTGATCTGGCGGCATAACCTCCGCAAGCCGTCCACATTGCTCGTGTGAACTGGAAGCTGGTGGATGGGTGTTCCCTCGGGGCTGCCTTCAGGAAAAGTCCACCGCTGTAGGGCATTTGGGCTCGCGTGGAGAACATCCTCCACGTCGGGACCAGCCAACGTATAGGAGAATGGAACGTTGAAGGACAGATTGACGGTCGGATCGATGCTCGTCGGTGGTGTCATGGGTGGCGCACCGTGTGGTCGACGAAATGTCATGTCGGAGTGAGGTCGAGACATCCCAAAAGTCGGCGTCATTCGTTCCCAACCATGACGGGCCTGGCCCGTAAAGTTGGAAATCTTGTGCATGGGAGACTCGTCTGGAAGATCTTTCACCCCGACGGTCTGGCGGGTGGGAGAAAGAGCGGGGGTGAGGGAAGTGTAGAAAAAGAGAGCGTTGGGAGAAGAGACGGGCGGAGAGGTGAAGCTGAGGCGGCCGTTCTCGCCAGGGATAAGAATGGCCGCTGTGTGGGCGTTTCGGGAATGGTGGGAACGAGGAACGATCGAGAGGTGAGAGAGGGGGGGGGGGGTCCAACTGGAAGAGACCACTGAGCGGACCACAACAAAGTCAACCAGAACAAGAAATGGAACACCACCAAAAGCAACGGTGATGCGAAATGACGATCAAATAGAGGAGACTTAGATGGCACCAAAGGTCATGGAAATCAGAAACAAAGATGCGTCTGAAGAAAAGGAAAAATACGAGTCCACAATGGCTGAGCCCGTGGTGTAGAAAAGATAAGAGGGAGAGAGCAAGAGATGCTGAGGGCGATACGAGTGTCGTCAGTAACTTGGTGAGTACGGCTGTTGAAGGTTGGTGGGTCACGAGTGTCCTACGAGTAGCCTAGCGCTGTAGTACTACTCTCGTACGGGATGTACATGTACTCTCAGTCTCAGTACCTGATTCACTGATAGGTCGTTGAGGTCAGTCTGTCAGTGTGCTTGGCTTAGTACCACTACACCCATCTCGTTAGGAGATATCTATCTATGACACCGGGCTGCCCATTTCCAGAGCGCACTGGACTTGATTCCTGGTGTATTCTGGTGGACACAGTCTGATAACGCTCAAGACCTATATGTATCGTATCTACTATTTGGCAAGCCGCCTTGATGAGTTTGCTTGCTTGCGACCGGTGAAGGCTGAGCATACAGCGATAGGTATGGATCAGGCGTGTAGGTGTCCAGATTCTAGCGATGATGTCCTTCTATTGCAGTTGCTATATGGTATACTCTCCTGTGAAGGATGAGCTAGATGGGCTACTATATGATGATGTGTTAACGCTTACTGCAGTATAAACTATACAGTACTTGAGAAGCTGATAGTTATACCTTGATCGTACTGAGATCGGAATCCACATATGAACATACCTAATACTACTGTATGCCGTGCGATTCTGCAGTAACTTCCCCAATTTATTGTCATCTGAGGCAGATCCCCACTACCGAGGGACTCCTTGTCACTAGTCTCACAGTCGTCGCCCAAGCAGGTTCAGCCAAAACAATGCACTATCGAGTCTTGACGAGAGAGGGCCTCCGATCACCGGGATTGACCGTTCGCCGGCATGCGACGCCGAAAGCCCAGCCTTTTGATTCTGAGCCCACCGATCCCGTTAGGTTCTAGAGCCAGAGCGCCTAGTTCAACTATTGTAGTCAGATCAAGTACTGTTGTGTTTTCCTCCCCTTTTTCACGGTAAGTAACTCGCGATGCCACACCGTCCATATGGACAACGGCTAGTCCCTCGGTCTGAGGGGGACTCTAATTTTTCAACTCCAGCACAGTCACTGCATATCAGGAATGCTAGTTTCCCGATAGGACAATGGCCCCTCCCCCCGTTTCCATAGGTCTATGTATGTATGCACAAACTGCACTTAGCAGAGTCAGCACAGGGGGCATTCTGGTCTATTTGGTCGTACTTTGGTTTCTTAGTTTCGCGCACTCGCTAATTCCTCTCCGGGCTTCAAACAACTCCGGCTTTAGGCTCCGCACCAAATATTTTCCGGATGAGTCTTCCATGATCGCTGAGTGTTCACAAAACCTTACTTTTGAGACACCAAAGGAAAGACCTTGAAGGAGCAACGCTTGATGCAGAGTGCTCCAAAACCGCCAAGGAAGACTCTCTGTGCACTGGTGCACTATGCACCACCGTAGAGTGTAGCGTCCTAGGTAGCGTTCAGAGGGTGGTAAAGCGCAGCCAGGCGGGTACAATACTTACTCTAGGTGTCCTCGAACTTGTTTGTTAGCATCCGAAAGTTGCCAGCCACTGTAAGTTACAGTCAACGACTTAAGAGTCAACAGTATGCACCACGTGAGACCACATCCAGGCCACTCATGGGCAGTTATGGCTTTCCACAGGGTCTCATCAGATCAAACATTCGCAGAAGCATGCCAGCAATCAAAGCCCCTATGGCTGCTCGGCTCTCCTCGATTCCAGACCCCTGCTTTTAGTCTCAGCGTGTAGGGACCAAACTTGTCAATGCTTGGATTTGCATTTTCTTTGCACTTGTCTAGACTGGTTGACCGGGAAGTTTTGTTCAGGAATCTGGACTAAACAACCTTGGAAGTCTGTCGGACACGCCAACAGCCTTACAGTGCAGTAGTGCACCCACTGGAGACCCAAGGCCTAGGCTCAAGCCCACTTGAATGGCGCTCAACTGCGGATGCGATGGCAGAGGACAGCCGTATGGTGCTTTACCCCAAGGCCTGCCATGATCCGTTCAGCCGATCTCTTTCGGTGCCCTTCGACCCGGTCTGTGCGAGGCTGCCAGCTCTCGGAGACTTCTGGGAATGAGCGGATAGAGGTGACATGATAGGCTGATCGCAAAGTAAACAGCTGATCTGGCAGATCGTCTACCGCCTCTGGCACCACAGGCTGTTGCAGATCGTCTGAATCGTATCCGCCTTTCGCTCAACAGATCGTTCTCACACTGGCTGTACATGCGAGGACTGGGCAAACCAAGAGGATTTGCAAGTGGAAGCCGTGTCCATGTCGCGAAATCCACTACCTAGTACCTAGTATCTACCCGTTATGTTCACGGATCGCTCCCGAGGGACGACCAAAGATAGCTATTTAATGCACAGTATACTTGAGTCTTAAGGAGTTGTGAGTCCCACTTACACCAACATAATCCTCACTCTTTGAATTGGATTGTGTGCAAAAAGGGGGGGCTATACATACTCGAATCAGATTCAGGTCATGTGCTCGAAGATAGCCCAAAAGATGCCGAAGTAGTCGACGTCATTCATTCGTACTAAGTTTTGTGTGGGGGTTGAGGTATCGAAAGTTCCAAAGAATCTGTGTCTGGGGTTGGAAAACTACAGATATTCCAACCGGCCGATCTCACGACGACGAATCTGTGATTAGTGCTCTACTACAACCCAGGCCAGCTGAGTGGTGAGTCCGGTTGCAATGTATTAGGTATTCAATTCCAGGTTGCCCGTTTGGAGTCAAGCTATTGACCTCGTATGGGGACATGGAGAAAGCCACAAAGTCACAAGTCCCTTGACTGAATCTGGACCTCCATCTGGGTATGGGGCAAGAAACTGAGCCTGTGACAAAGACATTGCTCAGGGAGATCTACTTTCCCAGACGAAGATATCCCAGCATTATTGGTCGTGATGGGCCTGGCACTGAAGGCCGATCTGCGTTACTCGATGCGTTTCACGACTCTCCTTCAAACAAACTGCCGACCACCGTCGCAGACAATACAAAGAAGAGTCACACTGAAACAGATTCTCGAATGATATCCCAAGCGCATGTCGAAATATACTGTCAATAACGTCTCCTATCAAGGGAAATATCCAGAAGCTACCCTACCTGTCCACACTCGTTCACCGTTGACGCAGAGTGACGGGGCGCGCATAATGTGAGGGGTGGGAACTTTGCCCAAGCGCACATGCCCAACACAGGATTCGAAGGGGCTGGAAGCAAGTCAGATCGTCGATCTGGCACAGTAGACAGACGCACACAGTACAAATTGAGGAGTCAAGGGAAGCTCAGGCTCAAGCTGTCTTGATACCAGAACCTATCGCATCTGGCCATGGTATTGTCGCCATAATCGCCTATGGTCGGCGGATATACAACCAGTCGGCAGTCAACCGCAATAAATGCAAGCAAAGTACGGGTAGGTACTACTAGTAGGTACCTTTTAGGCAAGGCTTACTACTAGGCAGTAGTACTCACGGGCAGTACAAGGCGCGGTATCCCTTTGTGCTGACCTCGAATGGAGACTTGGAAAGTAAAGGGAACGAGGTTTGGCCAAGTTGTACTCCCGCAAATGATCCCAAATTGTATAGTAGCATGTGATTCGCTGTCTCTCCCGACGCTACAAGTTATGAGGTATTTTCTAAGTCGTGTACAGCCAGTCACTGGCCAGTCGTACTAACAAACTGCAGTACTGTAGTAGGGCTCAAAAGTACCATATCTCGAGTCTTAGACCGCTAGTGACTTACTTAGTACTTTTACTTACTGCACGGCCAAGTTCACACCGCATCGGCGCATAGTCATACTCGTGTCCCCAACCTTACGCTCTTTCACATTTCGAGAACTCTCAAGAACACTGGAAACATGACATGATCTCAAACCATTCAAAAGACATCTGCCGGTGATTGGAACTGAGCACGACTGGGTCGTCGTCCCAGTCATCCGCCGTTACTTGATGATGAAAAAGTCAGGTACAGTAGTAGGAAGTTGGGAACTTTCCACTCAGTACTACGAAGACACCTGACCTCAGGAGCGCGATGGACACGTTGCCCACCGTGATTTCGAGCTCGCTATCCTCCACGCATTGCGCCCTTGATCAAATTTGCCCGTCTGTCTCAATTTTTGATCGCATAATTGAGAGACTTATGTGGCTTTCTCCCCAACCTTCGGGCCTTTCTCATCTTTAACCGGCCCTCTCTTACCCAATCGGTAATTTGGTATAGTACACATGCTGGCCCCGGAGCGAGCGTCTCCTGGCCACGCTCCCGACACCAACTTTGGTCACCCGAGAACATGATCGTATCGGACAGCCGAAGCCTGTGTAATACAGCAGTGGTAGGAAGGCTTGCATGCCATCTTGACACAGAGACTCGGAAGATCGCGGCATACTGAAAGTCGAAATGCTAAATGTACTAAGCGTTGAAGCCAGGTAAGTGCGCGTCGGCCCAGCACCTCTCGAACATCAAAACAATCACATCCCTTCGTTTTCAATGGCACTGGACCTGGACGCACGTGATGACTCACAATCCAACTCGGAATCAACTATAATACATGACTGAACACACCGCATTGTCTGATGCTACCCTTCCTCGAGCTGCCAATGTCTCTTTGTTTTACGCTGCAGCAACTTGCGTTTCGAAGCGGATAATGTGTTGACACTTATACAGTAACAAATATGAGGTACCAATCGTGGGCTTGAAACATGATCGCCAAAGATTGTCTCAGGCCGAGGGCGAGCGCTACACTGGTTCGAGGGCATGCATGGCGAGGGCTATCCTGACCCAGGTTACACAGGCACTATTCAAATCGAGAGTTCACCTCTGCCCAATTGCACGCCTATTATTCATCACCAACAGTGGATTTTAGTACTGTCTCATGGTATGCAAAAGTAAAGCGTAGAAAAGGAACGTGGTAGTACCGTAGTACAGTGTATTTTTGACGCAAGATAACAAAAGGGGGATGCAGTGCGTGGGAGATATGCTAGTGGTGTATTCTGGAAAGGAAGAATGGAAGAGAAAACGCCGGTTAGTAGCGCGGCTGGAGCCGAGGAACCGAGTCCGCGTGCCCATCCAACGCCACATGATTTGCATCTTCGGCTTCGTGATATCGCCGGTCACGAATGTAGTAAGGTCGTTCGACATACTGAGCCCGGGGCCGTTCGTCTGCAAAGACACTCACTTCGCGACTTGCAACCCCAGGATGCACGCTGCTCACGCGTTGCACCACTTCCAGTGGTTCTTCGTACCGAGCCGCTTGAGGCCGCACACTGCTGGTTCGAATGACTCGCTCGCGAGGGGGACCATGTTCTTCCGCGTATGCCGACTGACGTGGGGCATATTCAGGAATCGGCACGGTCTCACCCGGGACGTACGGATCATGGATTTCCATAGGGCCGGTAAAGACTCTACGTTCCGTTTCGACAGGTCGCACGTAGTCTGAAACCACCCGTCGATACGTTGGCGGGGGTGGAGGCATTTCCTGCACGTACCGGTGCTCACCGTATTGATCCTGTACGACTGATGCAGCTCGCACACTCACCGTGCGCGAGGGGACGGGTTCTTGATATCCGTCGGTTCTCAATGCTCTGGACATGGGCCTGGGAGGCGGGGCCATGGATTGCACACTTGGTGCTGGCACCATCTCGTATCGATTTCCGAACTCGTCGACTACGAAACGACGTTCCGGTGCACGGATCAGACGGACTGGCGCGGCCTCTTCGTAATATGGCTCTTGATATGTCGACTGACGACCTTCATCCACAGCCATGTACCGAGTTCCATGGGAAGCCGGCATTTCATCGTAATAACGCAATGATTCATGGGGTACCCTTTCCACCACTGCATAGGATGCGGCACGGGAGCCACGAGGGTCTGTAGAGCCATATCCTGATGGATGATCGGGTTGTCGAACGTACTGCGTAGCGACTACACGTCGAAGGCCCGGGTCTGCCCGCGCAGCATGCCGCTCGTCCACTCGAGAGATTGAACGTTGGGTACCATGGTCCGCGGCATATTCCAAATAGCGATTTGCATCGTGGACTGGGCCTCGCACAGGAGGCTCGCGTCTCTCGCCCGCAGGGCTGTACCGAGGAGATGCGATGTCGATGTACACCGGTCGCTCTCGCGGTTGTCGGTTGGATGGGACCGCAGGATCATCAGCGAAGGGTGGCGGGGATACTGGTTCAACCTTGATTGGAACATCAAAAGACCCAGTAGCCTGATTCTTGGAAGTGACAATCTGTTCCCCGCCACTTGCTTGTATCTTCCTCCGCTTACGAGACGAGATAGAAGGCACACCGGCGCTCACGCCTTCACGGCCGGATTCGGGATCCGAATACACTCGACTAAGCCCTGAAGCTGAAGCGGGCTGCCCCATCCGTCGCTGCTGGGCCGAGGAGAACTTGGTGGTTGAGACACGGGAGACGTGGGAGGGCTGAGGAGCAGCCGGAGAGGTGATGTGGTTTCGAACAACCTGGACTTGTGTCGAGGGAGACTCAATCGCGGAGGAAGTGTGGGTTTGGTATGCGTATCGATCGTGATCAGGGAGCGGGGGTGCCATTGGTGACGGAGGAGAATACTCTGGCTCATCGGACGCACCTGGGGATCGCTCTCGACATTCAAGACCAGCAGCTGGTCGCTGCGTGAGAGCTAGATGCTTGCGTGGATGATGGGTGCTCTGGTCAACAACAGGGTAAGCATCACGCATTTCCTGATCTGATTCTGTTCGATTCAGAGCTTCCAGTCGCTGCAACTCATCTTCGTATGTCTCAGCCACATCCTGAGTGGGTGCGCTTGTCGCCAGAGGCGGAGCCACCGAAGATGGTCTTCGAAGCTCTCCAACGGGCCGAGGCGAGTCTGGTGCTCTACTGGAGTAGAAAGAGTTCTCATCGAAAGACTCATTCTGCACATTTTGCTCTGATGATCCACTCAGCGACACAGGTCGGACAATTTCCAACGCCCGATCTAGCACTGCTGAGACATCAAATTCCGGCTGCGTATCTTGAATGGCAGGCTTTTGTTTGGATTCTTGCTTCCTCTGCTCTAGCTGGTCACGCAGCGTTCTTTCCACCCTTTGCCGTTGCAGTTGCATTTCTGCCCGAACAAGGTCCTCCGACTTGGTCAGGAGGATGGGGTCGATTTCAGATGTGGGCTTGGATGCCACTTGAAACGGTGGTGCAGCCGCGTTGAGCGTCGATTGTGTCGAGGCTTTGATTTGCACAGGAGTGCGCATGCTCTGATCAAGTCGAGCCACTTCGGCCGGCGCTGCACCCTCTACTTTGTTCTCAGAGGGTCCCTTCTTCGCAACCGATAGAGCCGGAGAGCCATTCGGAATGTTCCGCGACGCAGGCTTGCGAACGAATTGCTGGGGTACCTTGAGACGTGGGTGAGTGCCGGCAAAAATGTCATCACTGATTTGGAGAATGCGCTCGTATTCCTTCGATTCATCTGCGCCTGTCGGCGTCGTTGTAGACAGCGGCCCTGTTGAGAGGTGAGTGGTAGATCCATAGGCAGTGGCCATGATCTTCTAGATAGAATCTGTGGGTATGCAGCCAGAAAATGCAGGTCTCAGCAGCTGCCCTGGTTTGGCTATAGAGCAGAGTCCTGGGCAGTTATGTAGGAGAGGGCAATGTGTTTCAACTTTCTGGTAGTTTTTGGAAATCTCTCAGACTTCCTACCATGTGCGAGTTTCTGAAGCAATGCAGAGTAAAGAGTCGCGGAGAAAGGTATCTCGATGAGCTGCGCTTAGTCTCTGAGATGTACCAAGGACCGCCGATCTGAATTCCGCAATTTCGCAGCTTCGCAGTTTCGCAACCTCGCGCGAGTTCTTCCTTTCCTGCGCTCGCGCGTCGGTTTCTTGAGAGCAGGCGGTCACGGGCCGCTGCCTGGTGCTGACGGGACGGACCCGACGTGTGCTGATTATGTAAGAGGGTTGTTGGAGACAGCCCGCTGAGGACGTACGGAGGATCCACGGAGTGTTGAGTGGTCCAACTAACCGCCCGGGTCCGGGTGGCCCTAGGTCAAACTAGTACTACTACTACTACTACTACTACTACTACTACTACTACTACTAGACTACTAGTGCTGTTGCTTTGAGGTCACGCTTGGAGCTTGGCAAGCACCTGACTCGAAGGGCGGAACGTTTTCGTACTTCCCAGTTTCAGCGGCGTGTGCGGAGGTGTGGCTCCGGCAGTGGGGGACCGTGACACCAAAAGTCAGGTGACTCAGGTCCCTGCACAGGGTGGACCCAAGCCCGGGGCCAGTCGTCCACTCCAACGCCCTGGCGTCGACTGGGCTGGCGGCGCCAATCACGGGGAAACGTGGGACTACAGCACATACGGTAGCAGCGGTACCATTTGCGCGCGTTTAACAACATTCTGCCCGAAAAAGGCCAGTCCTAACGCGATACCCGCAGCTCTTTTTTCCCCTCCATGCATCGCTTCCCCTCGACGATCCGTTGTCGCCAGCTACATCGCTCGTGGGCTTGGTCACGGACTACGTATTCATCGATCGTTCTGCCGCAGTTCACTCACCGACCCATCATGACTTCTGGAAATGGCCTGAAGGGAGCGGCTGACTCACGGCCTATCTTCTTTTTTGATATTGATAATTGTGTACGTGCATCGAGGCGCTCTAGGTGTGATTCGACTTCGTGACAATCTCGGAGACGTGCTAACTGTCTCGCCACATGCAGCTTTATTCAAAAGGTCTGGAATCATTCCATTGTTCACGCCTTCAGGTCAACTGCGTCTGACTTACCCAAACAGCATGTAATATTCATGATGAAATGCAAAAGTTGATCAGTAAGTACGCTCTTTACCGCTACACGGCCAAGAGCGAGTCACTGATTTCTTGCCTGCTTCAGATAGATTCTTTGTCAAGCACCTCGACCTTACGACGGAGGATGCCCATATGCTGCACCAGAAATACTACAAGGAATATGGTCTTGCTATCGAGGGTCTCACCAGACATCATAAGATCGACCCACTGGCCTTCAATCGTGAAGTCGACGACGCTCTTCCTCTCGGAGATATTCTCAAGCCCGACCCCAAATTGCGAAAATTACTGGAGAGCTTGGATACCACCAAGGTGAAGCCATGGTTGCTGACGAATGCCTATATAAGCCATGGACAGAGGGTCGTAAAGCTGCTGGGCGTGGAGGATCTGTTTGAGGGTATCACCTACTGTGACTATGGCCAGCTTCCGTTGGTTTGCAAACCCAGTCAGGAGATGTACGCCAAGGCTGAGCGAGAGGCTGGCGCTCCTAATACTGAGTCTTGCTACTTTGTGGGTACGTTACTATATTTCTCCAATCTGGTTGAATGGTCACCTGCATCGCAATCTGTCGCTCAATGGCTCTACGAAGCCACTAACCAAATTGTTACTTACTGACTTTAATGGCTGACTCATTTGGCCTGCCAGATGACTCACACCTCAACTGCAAGCACGCACAAGCCCGAGGCTGGAATGTGGCTCATCTGGTCGAACCTGGGACACCCATCCCACAAATCCCAGCGTCGAAATACCAGATTTCGAGTCTGCACGAATTACCCATTCATTTCCAAGATGTGTTCAAGAAGGATTAGACTTCTTCTGCTCTGAGGAACGATTCCTCCGTCGCAACGATTGAGATATACATGTGTTTTATAGACAGGTAGACACTCCTAATTCAATTATCTCGAGTGAAGGCCCTTGAATGTCCATGCTTGCTCTCGGACAAATGTCTATCTGACCCTTCAAGAGTCGTTCTATGAACCCGACTCTCCAGGTACAAGTATGAATACCCGAATGAAATAGCGTAAAATAATTATTATCATTGATTTGATGTTGTCGGCGTCGATGAGTATCCATAGTCAGATATCGACTTTGCGTCTTACTTCGTCTCAGAACTCATCTCAAAATCAAAAGGCACGAGAATTAGTAGCTCTATAAGCGTCTGAGTTGGCATTGAAATTCGTATCGAACTACAGTGGTAGTTCCTGGTCGTCAACAGTTGATGCCTTGGGCGACGGGCGGCAATTGTCCGCCGCGGAACTCCTGAAACGCGCCGTTTCCCCAGACATTGTTGCGGACGACAGCTCTTTGATACAACAACAGCCCCTGCCAATTTCTTGAAGGCGGCTTGTCGCCGAAACTTGCTCCTGCTCATCGCGATGGCCGGCCAAGACTACTCTCCTGGCACAGTGGTTGTGTTGACCGATGGGCGGCAAGCTACTGTTCGTTTCATAGGTCTAACTCACTTCGCCAACGGGGAGTGGATTGGTGTTGAACTGACGGATCCAACGGGCAAGAACGATGGCGAAGTACAAGGAGAGCGGTATTTCCAGTGCGAGCCAGGCTTTGGCATGTTCATTCGCCCATCGGCCATAACTTCCACACTTCAGCAGCCGTCCCGACAAAGTAAACAAACGGCCAGGCCCGGCTCTAGTGCGAATACTGGCAGACAATCACAGGCAGGGAGCAACACAAACATCCGCAACAGTGGGGTTTCTACACATACAGCGGGTAAGAGGCAGAGCACGACGGCTGCTGCGAGTCAGCCATCGGTGGCAAGAGTCAGCTCTCGACCATCTCTGAGGGTATGAAGTCACGCTCCACAAGTACAAAACAGCTCCCAACTGCAACACTGACAGATCTTGCTCCATAATAGTCACCGACGAAATCACCAACAAAGCAGTTGGTCTCGCCAGCGACGTCTTCGAGTCGTTCGTCCGCCGGCGCTGCTCCACGAACTTCTGCGGTGGCACCGAATCGTCCGCGGCTAGCTTCAACAACCAAATCCTCAGGGAGTCAGCCCGGGCCTCAACTTGCTGCACCCAGGTCGTCACGGCCATCGATAAGTGGGCCAGCGACAAGAACGTCTCGATCCGCAACAGCAACCTCTACTCTCTCCAAGCGGCCTTCGTTACGACAGGTAACTCAGGCGAAAGCCCCCGATGCCAGCGACACACCAGCAAGTCAGCCGTCAGAAGGGTCTGCTGACGCAGACTTGCCCGAAAACGAAGATGTCAGTCCGCGACGTGAAGAAACTGCGCCGTTACCAGCACAAGCTCCGGTGCCGTCACCCCGGGGTTCACGACCGTCATTAACCGCGACCCGGTCGATGGGATCCCGGTCTAGCATTACGCCTTCCGCGGGCCGGCCGGCGCAGAATGCTGCTGCGGCCGCGCGAGAGTTGGAAGAACTACAAACACGATTGCGGGTCATGGAGAAAAAGCGGAGCGATGACCGCGAGAAATTAAAGATGCTCGAGCAATTGCAAGTCGAACGTGATAAATTCGAGTCAATAATTCAGAAACTTCAAGCCAAGTACCAGCCGCAACAGATGGAAATCACAGAGCTGCGAAAAAGCTTGAAGAAGACACATGATCGTCTCGAGCAATTGGAGCGAATGGAGGCCGAACATGAATCTCTTATGGAGATGGCTACTCTGGATCGAGAAATGGCAGAAGAGACCGCCGAGGCCTATAAACACGAATGTGAGACCCTGCGATTGAAACTCGAGGAGTTGCAGCTGGAAGTGGAGGTCTTACGGGAGGAGAATGAAGAGTTCGGACAAGTCACGAGTCCTGAAGAGAGGTCCAGTCAGGGTTGGCTTCAATTGGAAAAGAACAACCAGCGTCTCCGTGAAGCTCTCGTCCGACTTCGGGATATGACCCAGCAACAGGAATCTGACCTGAAAGCTCAGATTCAAGAACTTGAAGAAGACCTTGAAGAATATGCAACCGTGAAAGCCGACTACGAGGCCACCAAAGAAAAGCTTCTAGTTGCCGAAACAAATGTGCAAGACCTGAAACAGCAACTAGACACCGCCTTGGGTGCGGAGGAAATGATCGAAGAGCTTGCCGACAAGAACATGCGGTACCAAGAAGAAATGAATGAACTCAAGGCAGCAATTGAAGACCTGGAAGCTCTACGCGAGATAAGTGACGAGCTAGAGACCACCCATATCGAGACCGAGAAGCAGCTCCAAGATGAAATCGATTATCGTGATACTGTATTCACAGAACAGCTTCGCAAAATTGCCCATCAAGACGAGACAATCGAAGACCTTGAGTATACTCTTTCCCGCTTCAGGGAATTGGTGACGAATCTTCAAGCCGACCTGGAAGATATGCGCACCTCTCAACAAATCACAGAGGCAGAAGCATCGGACCTTAATCAACGCTCGCGAGCGATGATGGACCTCAACACGAAGCTCCAAGCTTCGGTTTCCAAAGCGCAAACAAAGTCCATCGACATGGAAATGGGCCGTATGGACGCCGAGGAAGCTGCCCAACATTTGGCGATCGTGAAACTTTATCTTCCTGAATACTATGAGGAAGAAAAAAACTCGGTATTTGCCCTTCTCCGGTTCAAGCGTGTCAGCTTTAAAGCGAAAATGATGAACAATACTGTGCGTGAGCGGATATCTGAGCAAACATCAATCTCTATGCATGAAGACATAGTGCACGCGCACGAAGTATCCGAGCAGCTCTTGTGGATATCGAGCATCTGCGATCGCTTCATTAAATACATCAGCTCCTGCTCCCCGGAAGAGTTTGGAAGAATTAGGGTCACCTTATTCGAGATGGAACCAGTCGAGCGGACATTGAACTTCTGGATTGAGAATCTGAAGAAGAACGAAGTGAGCTCCAAAAAGTTCGCCGTTGAATTACAACGGTCTATCGCCCTCCTCGCGCATTTGTCCGAAAGTTTCATTCCCTCAAATCCGGAAATGTTTGCGGAGGAGCTGTGCATGCGGGCAAGCCTGTGCCAATCCTACTTTGAACACATGTCTGCAGTTGCAGCCTGGTTGAAGACTTTCATAAAGTCAAAAGCCTTGCCCTCGACTCCGGCCGAGAAGTCAGAAAGCAATGAGGAGACTAGCTATGCCCTCAAGCAGCTAGAGTCTTTTATCTCTCAGGCTCGTGGATTCAAAGTGGCAATGGGCAAAGTTTTCCGCTCTTTGGATGACCTCCGCTCACGCTCTCTCGCTCTCTCAAATGAAGCCGATGAACCCTTCCAGAAGATGGAAACATCTACAAAGCAGCTGTCTGAAATTACTCGTAAAATTTGCGAAAGTGTCATTACTCTCACCAGTGATGAAGGCCGGGCTGATCCCTTTACTATCACGGAGATCATGGAAGCGATGTCACCAGCAGCTGATTCATTGTCAACAAATGATGAAATACCCACCGGATCATCGGATTCAATGACTCTGCTTGCCAACAAACTGCGCGAGCTGGGTGGCGCTTTAGAAGAGCTTGACGTTATTGCTGCAGATCTCTCGCAAACCACTGAGTTTGAGAGGAGGCCTTTTCCATGGATTTCTCGTTCGGAAGAACTCACGTCTAACAAGGCGATCTCGCCAGATGCCGACGAGGAGATACGCCGACTCAAGAACGAAGTGCATGAGATTTCTACTGCACTTGGTGTGAAAGATAACACTCTTGAGGAGCAAAGTATCAAGATTGAGCTTCTCGAGTCACGCATGCGTGAGGCAAACAAGAAGGCTTCTATGGTCAAAGATCTCGAAGCCAAGATCGACGAGGTCCAAACTGTGAGCGCCGAACTCGAAAGGACCGTCGACGTACAGAAGAAGGAGCTCATGTCTATGGAGGCCGAGCGTGACGACTTCAAGGCTCGCCTTGAAAGAATGAAGCGCATCTCCGGGACCGCAGGTGGATCGCCAGGCAAGGGAGGTCTGGTCATTGACAGTGAGGCGTCGCTGGCTGCAATGCAGGAGAATGAGAGCCTTCGGGCTGAAGTGCAGAGTCTCCAAGCTGCTGTGCGCTTTTTGCGGGAAGAAAGCCGACGCGCAAATCTCCTGGACCCATACTCGATCAAGCGAACTACGGAGATGCACGCCTGGTTGGATGCGCCGCTGGCTCGAGCAGCTCCTACGCCCGAGCAGAAAAAGATTCAGCGTACTGCGCTTGAAAGCAGGGATATTCTCACGCATCTGCTGAAGCTCACCAAAGATTCTCGCGTGTGTGACTTGAAATCAAGCATCGCCGTCCCTCCTGCGAATGAGAAACCTACTCCTCGCACCGGGTGGCGTCCATCAAATTCTCGCTTGCGCTACCACACTCTACGGCAACGTGAGCAATATGAGCACTGGGCCGAGTGGTGTAACGAGGTTGCTCACCACGAGCGCGAGCACGATCGGATTGCCGCGACAAAGAAAGAGCGCGCCTTACGCGAGCAAGTTTCGCGCCGAGGACACAAGGCGTCCATTGAAGATCCACAAGGAGCGGGTCATGGCATGATGGGTCGTGCGTGGCAAATACTTGGGATCCAGAACAACCACGACAAAGCTCCACTCACTCGTGAGATCGACATTGAAGGAGTGGACATTGTTTCTTCTGATTAGACTGGCTTCCCCCACGCGGGCCAGACTCAGGTCGACAGCCAAGTCACCACCATACGCTCAGCATATTCGTACTCCTGGACGCGTCGTTCCTGCAGTGGAGGTGACTTGCACAGGCCCGGGCATCGCAGTTATAAAGTGTTGAGGACAGTGGTCAGCATTTGTTGCTATGGATCTAGCGCCATAATTACACCCAGTTGTTGGATCTATACAGTCTATAACTACACTGATTCGAGCCACGACCCTGACCAAGCGCCGAGACTGCGACTGTGAAACTCATGCGCAAGTACACTCAAGGATTCGATGCCCGGAACTTGAGCAAGTTGTTCACGAAGAAATGCAGTTCCGGCCGTGCACTGTGACTTGGCGGGATCTGCCCTTACGGAGATCAACATCAATTGAGAACAAATCTCAACTCTGCATGAATGTTCGGTTCGAACTGCGAGTCACCCTCGGATTTGGTTCTTCCAACACAATGCCAGCCCCCTCGATATACAAGTGCAAGCTCCGACATGGTGATCCTATAGTATTCTGTCCCGAATTGCTATACTCAACAACCACTCCTCGGTTGTGGACCAGGTTTAAGTGCGAGTCGCCAGTCTAGACGCAAGAGTCCGGGCGAGTAGACGATGAGAACGAAAGCTCGAAGCGATGGAAATCTCTCCACGCACAGTGTATTGCGGTGAGCTTCGGGTCAATGGGCCGATTGGTACGATTGAGTATCTCTTATGTCTCAGTTCACAAATGTATATATTCCCATACTGCATGGCTCTGTTACTTGGTGTACTCTGAATAGCAATTCTCTTTGATCAACTATGTTGACGTCAATCACAGCTGCGCCTGTCGTATTTGACATGAAACCCAAATCCCGATATCATAGCAGTCGGCGTCAAGCCGAGCCTTGAATTAGGGATGTAGATATTCTGAGGAGTGTCACCGACACTGTCCGTGTCCACCACAGCCCATACCTGGTACCAGTCCACACTCCAGTGACTCCACCGTTTCGTTTCCACACTCCACACTCGGCCCGAACCACCCTTAGCCATCCATATGTTTGCCACCTTTTCGACGGGCTAGTCGACCCGTTCACCTGTCCGTCATATGCACAGCTCACAGTGCATGCATCTTGTGGCCGACCGAGGACTACTACCATGGTGAGTAGGGCCAGATTCCCTCTCGTACATAGCTCGGTCATACAATTGCAAGTCTTGAACTCGAGAAGACCCCAAATAAGTCATGCATATCTGGCCTCTGCTCTTCGCAGATCATTCTCGCCGGACAACGCTCTCCCATCTTGTCGCGATAATGCGATCTTTTGTCAAGAAAACTCATCTCCTTGGACGCCGTACGAACGTCGGTCCAGACCGATTTTGAGATTGAGATCGGGGGAGAAAGGTGTCGGATATTTCGAACGGCTTTGGACGCGCCGTCAAGTGATTTGCCCTAGGCATTGAGGCTTACGTAGGGGATCGATCATGGTCGTTTGGATATGCCGCAGGTGGCTCTGGCTCTTGCGAGAAGTGGTGTAGAGTAGTGCTTCCTTTACCAAATAGATGTATGGAAGCATTGTAGTGAAGTTCACACAAGGGAGAAAATTAGTAATTATTTCAGATACAGTGTAGTCCCGCCAGAAGGCCCTGGGCGAGTGTGCATCTTCCTTGATGAAAAGTCTTTCGATGAACAGCCCAATCGTTCTCTAGGTATGCCAGAGTTGGCCGATAAGTTTCAACTCTATCAAGATATCGCGAAGTGGGAATTGTATTAGGATAGTGACCAAGGATCAAAAGATCGAAATGAGCCAATTAAAACTTCCATCTGCTCCAGAAACAAGCAAATCCCAATAAACAGGGAAGGGGTATTAAAGACCAATCAAGAGACAAACAGGCAATCGCCTCTTCAATCCACGCTGCAGACGCAAGATGTCCTCGTTCCATGGGAACGAATCAGAAAGCTATGCCGATCGCAGAGCCTCGATACTGGGAGACTCCATCGGCATAATACGGGGAAGGTGGACACTGCCGGTGCTGAGAATCGAGTGATCTTTGCTTCACGAGCCTTGCCTCAAGAGCCTTCTCTGAAGAGAGGTGCAAGAGAGGCGGGAGCGTTCGTGGAGTGACCCCATTTGTTGAAGCGCTTGAAAAAGAATCATTTGCTCTATGCTCAAATGCTCTGCCAGTCGGGCTCGTCACTGCTGAGCCGAGAGTCGTGCCACTCAAACTGCGGAATCTCTCCCCTCCACAGACGTCAGCTTCCACATGAAAGCCTTTTCCAGCTGTGCTTGACTTTTCATCGAAATCCCATTCGTGAATCTTTTCAGGAAGCGGCTCAGATGTAAGACACATCTGAGTTTCGGTTGTGGACGGGCGACGTAGAGAAGAGAGACGGGATGGGAAAGTGCGCGTGCTGTGAGAGGAGAGAGATTCGGCAGCGAAGTATTGCTGATTGTTCGGTGTGGACTTCGATGCTGTACGACTCACGTCATCTTGGGTCTTCTCGAAGGTCCCATGAATCGAACGATCAAGCAGGCGTCCAGCCGGTCCGGCCGCAGTGTCGGAAGAAAAGTGTGGGAGAAGAGAGCCCGCAAAGTGAGCCGGCGGAGGATATCTGATGAGCCGTTCAGAGTTGACAGACATGCGACGAGCTACCGAGCCAACTGGCTTTCGGGAGATCGAAAAGCGCGCATCGATCGATTGGCGTCTAGCTTGGAGGGTCATCGTAGAAGGAGCGGGTGTCTCGTCGTGGTCATCCCCGCCCATGCAAAAGGACTCAAATGACGGCAGATCAGACAGACGATTACTGAGACGGTGAATGCTCAATTGGAGAGGCTCAAAGAGCGGGGACTGTGCTGGTGTTGGGTCCAGTTGGAACGATTGCACTCGTCGGAAGTCTGACGGGTCACTGATCTTCAAAGGAGTTGGCGGAGGTCGCTTCCACGAGAGACTCGCTCGCCGAGAAACACGAGATGCCATGTGGCGCCCCTCTTCAAACCATGATGAGAGAGAGTTACGTGACTGTTGAGGCAGCCCAGGGCTGGGCAGGTCATCATAGACCACCAGCTTCATAGGAGGGACCAAATGAGGTTGACTATGGCAGATCTGCATCTCCCGCTCGAAGCCTGGAGAGTGAATAGTAGAGGTGTTAGTTGATGACATTCATCAGTTGCATGCTCTACCTTAGTCATGACTTGCCTTTTTCATTCCATCGCGCGTTCTGTTGATCTTGGGACTCCGGGCCTGACAGACAATCCCAGCATGACCGGAACCAGCCGGTGATGGGGGATCTTGTCCTCTCAAAAGATAGAGTCATTGCGACCAGCGCTGGTAGATGATCAGTCCATGACCCGTGGAAATAAAAAGATGGAGAATGTTTGAAAGAAAGAAAAAGATATGGAGGCAAGTGAAAGTGTGGCAGAAACAAAGGGCTACAGGGAGGACTCAAGATTCTCGACGATGGCCAGGCTCTGGTGCCTGATGAGAGCGAGGGAACCCTACCTGCTCCTACAACGAACCCATCTACGGACTCACCTCAGACCTTCACCAGCCACTTCTCCCTTCGTACTTTCTCCATGAACCAGTCAAGCCGCTTGGTATGCAGCAGCTCTGACTGGATGCAGAGCTATTCCCAGCACAGCAATCTACGCCGGTGATGATCCCGCCTCATCCACTGCGTGGTCGCTTAGGTGCGATTGCCCCCAACAGAACGGCACAGGCGTGCTGATCCTATTTGCCCGCAGCTGCTCGAGTCATCACACTTGAGCATCATCACATACCTTGGCTGGATGCATCGGCGAGGTGGTCCAGTCGATTACTGGCAAAACAGCGGGGAGGGTGGGGGCGGGCTCAGCGCTTACAGAAACCTTGAAGGGATTCCAAGGTTAAAGTTGGCGGTCCGTGGCCCTCGTGTCGAGTCAGTTGCTTATTGACTCTTTGTTTGATGAATCCTGGACCATTTCGCGGAAATTGATGAGCGGTCGAAGCAGACGATGCAGCGTCAGCCTCTTGCAAGGCTGTGTATCGTGCATACTGTCTATTGCATACTGTATAATACGCCCCTACGACGAACCTATCCACGGCCCTTCGTCTGAGACCGAAGGTGACGAAAAGTGACCTCAAAAGCTTGAGCATCCCCCGCCGGAAATGTGCCTGGAACACGCCCAGGACGTACCTGCCTACTCGAAGAGAAGACACACGACTTGCTGGACTAGCTTTGCTGGTAGATGTGGATATGTGAGTTGCCTTCAGAATCCAGTCCGTCCTGCGCATGTTATATCGTGGTACGGTCTACGACATGAAGCTACCGGGCTATCCTCATGGTAAACAAACCTCCTTCAGACTCCCTTAGACATGGATAGACTTTCAGCCCAATAGACAAAGAAAGCCGACGGAGGAATGGCAGAAGACTCTTGTGGATATGTATGGTAACGATGCTCGTCCGTGGCAGCCATTGACCGCGACGGAACCAATACCTACTCTCATATTCTAAGACTAAATACACTCTGTTTTGTACATGGACGATGCTGGCGTGGACCGTGGAGTAAGAACCAACGTATTTCCTATCTGCTCCAGACATTCTCTTCCTCCGTGGCGCCATACCCCCATTGTGACGGAGAAGCCTCTTCCTCGTCGTCTTGCGCCGAGGTTGTTTGCTGGGCACCGCGGTCATTCTGGTTCAGCGCATCATGTTCAGCTTCTTCTTCGATTGGCTGCCCAGACGGTCTCCTGGAGAGGAACAGGTTAATGAGAAGGGAATCTTCGCGTTTCGAATCACCATGACTTACTGGAATTGCTTCGAGTCCTCGATCGTCCAGGCGGAGCCACGCTCCCGCTGCGCCTGATCCCGAACTTCTTCCTCGGCTTCATGATCTTCAACGACAAGATGCACAAGTTGACTACGGTTAGAATGACGGGAATGACTCGATTGATGCGAGCTTGTGGAGCTGATCTTGCGTTGCACAGAGGGAGGGCGACCAATCTCTTTCTTCGACTTGCCAGAGCTGCTGGGCTTCCGATTGCGCTTGCCTTCACTAGCAGATGAGCGATGTCGGGTCTTTGATCGCGAGGTGCTTGCGTCTCCTCGAGAAGCAGACCCTTGATAGCTCGTATGTGATGGAAGTCGTTGGTCCCGCGGGACTTCATTGGCCGTGATGACCGGATACTGCTCAAAGTCAGAGATCACTTGCGTTTGCCAAAGGAGGAAGGAGCCGCCTGAAGGACGACCACTCCACCACTTACATTCCAGTCCCCAAACTCCAAAGCCCTTGCTTGGTTGAATATCTGCTCATCATCGTCGTCCAAAGTAACTTCGACCTCACTGTAGGTCCGGAATCGCTCGATTGAAGGGCGGCTTTGGCTATCGCTTGGACTTCGGCGGTCGCTGGTTCCACCACTGAGCAGTGGCGTGCGCATGTTGGCTTCGACGGCCTTGCTGGCCTCTCCTGGTCTAGGAATCCAATACTTGGCTTTGCCACCTCGTTCGTAGCGCATGCCATCCATGACACGCTTGACCCGCGATTCAGACTCGGCATGAGCGATGATGTTGTCACCCGAGTCAAACAGTCGGTACTCATAATTCTCGCCGCGTAAGGTCATCTTCGTGTCTTCAATCAAATCCAGAGGTCCAAAGGCATCCCGAGCCGCGTATTTGACCGGAAGTCGGGCCGCCGAGATCCTAGGATCGGCGTAATCATGCCACGAAAAGGCATACCAGTGAGCCACGGCAAAGATAGGCATCTCATAGCAGATCAACGCATCCTGGATTGCCGCGGCAAGATTGTCAGGCGAGTATCCGGCCACATTTCCAAGCGCCCCTAGCCATTGCAAAATTGACAGAAAGAACCCTTGCCAGTACGATGCAAAGATAATAAGCTTGATACACAGAAATTTGGGAACCGGCCGAAACGGTACAAGGTCGTCGTGTAGACATACCCAGAACATTGCCAGCGAATACAAACTGACCGTGACGCTCACGTTGTACACAATGCCTGTCCAAAGATACCCTGATGTGACACTGAGATATCCTTCCTCATATGTATCGGTGGCTTTCATCACAATCGAGACTATGGCCAAAATCGGTTTGAGCCACGCATACTGAAGGATTCCTCGCTTCACGGCAAGAAATGAGTGGGGATCTGAGATGTCAAGTTTGGGGAGGACGTGGTTCAGTGGCCAGGCATGTGAGACCGGTGGACGACCATGAGTCATGATGATCAGAGCTCGCTCTCCCCCAGAAAATTGATAAGAAGATGGAAAAACGTATAGATCGTGAATGCCTGATCCTAGTCAGTGAACGCATTGACACAACTTCAAGATTGTCGTTCTCGATCTCGAAGATCGCATACCTCATAGATATCACGGATAGGATCCAGAAATTGAGCTGCCTTCAGTGACACAATACTTGTCCACGAAGATGCTGCGTAAATTGGCACCCTGAGCTTGATCAGCTTCCTTCGTCCGACAGTTTCAAAGCCTCTCCTGATACCACTGGTCACCCACATAAGCAAAATCCGTACGACATATCTCTGCAACAGCGGTTTCCTATAGTTCTTACTGCGTGGAGTCAAGTCAGTTCTCGTGATTCACAATCGAAGGCCGAGTGGGAGCTGTACAGTTGGAACCAAATAGAACTGGTCATCGACAGACAGTGTCAGTAAAAGTCTCGTGCTATGATATAATTGTCCTTGAGGTAAATGGGTGGACTGGACTAAACTTGAGGCGAAGCTCACACGAATGAAAGCAGCGACGATACGAGAGCTGAAACACCTGAGGTGATGATGATTGCTCGTGCGAGATTCGAGCCCGTGCCACCACCGGCAGAAGCTGCCGCAGCTGCGGAGAACATGTCGGTCAAGAGAGGTATCTGAACGACCTCTTTTCAAAGTATATCAAGGTTCAGGTCATTCTGAAAGCCAGCTGGGTGCGCAGCGCATCGCTGAAACAGGAAGAGGAGCTTGTTGATAAGCTGCGAAACACTGCGGAGAAAAGGTGTGGTCCCTATGACGATCTCCGCGTGACACCGCCCGCTCATCTCCACTCCCGCAGCTCGTCGCGATTACCCGCAATAATATGCCTCTTGGTTCAACCGGGCGCAAAGTTGCTGCAGACTCGTTGACCACGAGTCACCTTTTTTCATTGAGACGATGCTGGCGTCGCTCGGCGAAGTGTTGCGGAAATGGCCAGTACCAGCTTGACGGCTTCCTATTTGACGCCTGACCCAAGCTTCAACTGGTGTGTGGCCCCTGGAAATTGCTCGGTGGTGATTTGTCACTTACAGTCCATAAAGGTTCTTTTTGCTGGAACTCATTGTCTCTTTGATTTTGTAAGTCATCATGCATTCGCACCGAGCGTAAGGAAGAGGCTGATACTCCTATAGAGCCCTATTCTTTTTACTCTATTTCAACCGACTCTTTGCGACTCTCTTGTCCTATGCATTACGCGCATTCACCTGGCACTACTATCGCATTGATATCGATATCAAATCATTGCAATTGTCGCTTCTCGGAGGACGAGTGTTCTTCAAGGGTATCCGTTATCATGGCGTGAATGAAACGATATTCGTAAATGGAGGATTTATAACTTGGAGGTATTGGAAGCGCACAGTCGCTCGGACAAATCTGGCACGTGAACCAAACGCAAACGAGGCGGAGAAGAGTTCTTTCGGCTCCAATCCATCATGCCCTGAGGATAATCTGAGCGATAGCACTGGGGAACAAGGTGGCATTCGGAGAACATTCGAGCTTCCGTGCCGTATCTCGCTCACCATCTATGGCCTGGAATGGTTCATCTACAATCGAACACCGGCGTACGATAACATACTTGCGGGCTTTGGCTACAAACAGCCGTTTGCGCATGATGAGCATGAGTCCGAGCGTCGCCCGACTCAACGTCCATCAGAGGCTCGATTTTCTGAAGAATCTTGCAATCTCAGATCTAGACCTGCAGCAAGACCCGCGAATGACAGGGGATGCGAACCCAGTCCTGATGCGCCGAACTCTCCAGGCTCAAGAGATGCGAAAGCCGAGAGCCCTGATACTCAAGGCCCAGTGTCACACCTGCTGCAACTACTTCCAGTCAAGCTAGAATGCAAGAAAGGCGCCATCGTTATGGGAAATGAGAATACACGGTCTGTCTTAACCGTCACCTTTGATAACGCGGAAGGCACAATTGCCGCTTGCAGGTCGGGACCTCTGGACTTGTATCGGCAGTTGTTCAATTTGAAATTCGAACATCCGGTGATCCACCTGAAGCCGAATCCAGATTTCAAACAAAATCAAATTGATACTGCGAAGACCTTGAGTGCTACGCATGCGCCTGATTCTGACTGGAGACGTGGAGGTAAAAGATCATGGAGCTTTCCATTTCGCAAACGCAAACTGTGGCACAGCATTCGTGGTCTGGTTCCATACTTCCAAAGCTCGGTTGAGTCATTCGCTTCCAATGCTAAGCAGGCTGGAAGCAATCCTCGCAGACAAACCCAGGATATAGACATGGGTTGGACTGGTCTATCTCGGTTTCTAGATGAGACGAGTGATGACGACCACAACAAGTGGAATTCGGTAGAGTATGGTCGATATTCCACAATTCTTGACAGTCCATGCTTGCACGTGACGTATTTCTGGGACGTTCCTGGTCGCGTTGGGTCTCAGGTCTTTGAGAATGAGACATCTAGCAACATCAACAATGCCTTACCTCCTCAATGGGGTCTTGATCTCAGAATTGAAGGTGGCACTATCAATTACGGACCCTGGGCAGATAGAGAGCGCATTGGGCTTCAAAACGTGTTCTTCCCAAATTTCTACCGTGACTCTGAGCCTGCGGAGCAATTGGCGCCGGGAGTTCTTCGCCAAAGCACAGTATTCAAATTGCGACTCGAAGTAGATGAAGATCTCACCCTCCGCATCCCTTCCAGAGAGCCGTCGAAGGACTGGCAGTGGAAAGGGCGCGCCGATGCTGTCCGAGGTGCCTCGACGTCCAGGTCGCAGGGTGAAAAAAGAAGACTCGATCAAAGGAGGCCGAGAAGAGTCATTTGGGAGCTGATATCCGCCCTTTCGGATGGCTTTCTCTCCGGGTCGGCCCAAATTCAACCTTGAATTATACAATGGACATGGTGGCCTCCAAACTTGGTTTCCGCAACGAGCTTTCTTTGGATCTTCGGGATTCGCGAATGTCTTCCAGTGTAAACCATGGGCTGCTGTGGCAATGTCCCCGCCAAACCGTTCGATGTGACTTGTCTAATCCATTGTCTTGGAACAGCTTACGGACATGGAATTTTGTCGTTGAAAGTCAAGGTCTTGAGCTTTTTCTCCTTCGAGATCACATATTCCTCGTGACAGATCTCGTCACTGACTGGGCCTCGGGCCCTCCTTCTCAGTATCACACCTTCGTTCCGTTCGTCTACAAGATTGATCTTCTATTCCCAAAGCTTCAGCTTTTTGTGAATGTGAACGATCGTAACATCATCAACAACCCGTCAGATCTAGCGGACAATCGATTTATCGCTATAAAATGTGAAGACTTGACCTCCCATGTTGTGATACCTTTGGATAAATTTCAACCCGACCAAAGCGCAGTCAATTTTAGGGTCAACCTTCATGATGGGCGTGTCGACTATTCAGTTCCGCCGTGGGACACTCTGCATACGTTCCTACAAAACGATCGCCTCGGGACACTGGGGAGCCTTGCCATTGAAGGCTCCTACTCCTACTTTGCATCATCGTCGCCTGAGCTCATAGACACTCTAATACTCAACATAGAAGGCAGGGCACCTCGGCTTTATCTTTTTGGTTTCTTGATCAAAAGCTTCTTGGCTATCAAAGAGAATTACTTCGGCGACGAAATGCACTTCAAAACCCTGGAAGAGTATCAGGAACTAGCCTATGCCGACGAGCGACCTTCAAACTTCACCGGCATCAATCCTCATCGGAAATCAAACGACATGGATGTGATAGTTCACGTTACTGTTGCAGATCCATGTGCTTTGCTTCCGGAAAGCGTATACGACATCTCCACTTGCACTCGCTTGCAAGCTGCATCTATCGAGGTTGATCTTAGATTCACAAATTACTACATGGACTTGCACTTCTTCCTCAGCCCTGTGAAATTGGACATGGAGTCAATTACAACAGACAGCCCGTCAAATGTCTCGGGCACTCAGCTATTCATTGACGGCGTCTCAGCTTACGGACATCGGCTGTTTGGGTTGCCCCCCGCAGAGCCAACTTATGTCTGTAACTGGGACTTTGATGTTGGTAAGGTCATCGGCGAATGTGCCCCAGAGTTCCTCCAGTGTCTCACGGCTGGGGTCCAGAGTTTTGATTTCTCGTTTGACAACGAGGAAAATTCACTTCACCCCCTGTTTCCGCCCGAAATATTTGATGTCACATTTTTGAGAGCCCGTGTCGCCTTGGTGCACATTTCGATACTTCTTGATCGAAGCGCCATCGTCTTCGAATGTCAGCCCCTCTCAATAGATTTCAATGACTGGGCGGACTCCAAGTTCTCAAAACGAACAAGGGTTGTCACGCCTGGCATCGCGATAGCCGTTCTGGATCGTCAATCGGCCTCGTACTCTCTCCGCACGCCAGAGAAGTCGATTTCCCCGCTAGGAATTATTGAATTGGCGATTTCAGTCAGCATTACGATTCGTAAGGGCGATTTTGCAGAGGGACGGCTGGCACAACAGGAGCATATCAAAGCGCACGATAAGCGGACAAGCCGAGTCCAGTGGTTACTGCACGATTGGGAAGACATCGGCCCATCATCTTCTGCGTCAAGTATCGAGGAGAAAGTGCTACCTCCTTCAATGCCGATACCCTTGATGCCCGAACCAGTCAGTCGGAGCATGTTCATGGATCGTGAATCATTTCATCATGTCCTCTCAAAACGTGCCGCTGGAAGCTCCCGTAGCTTCCTGATACACTCGGATACGTCAAGTCTCTGGAGTGGCGAAGGTCCTAACAGCCACGGTGCGCGGCATTCGCAGCCGATGTACAGCAGAATGCCCCCCTCATTAGCCAGTGCTGGAACTTTGTTTGATAGGCGACCCCGCGGGGCTGGAAACTCTAGGTCTTCGACAAAGGCCTTCGAAACTTCAAATCCCTGGACGCCGCCCAATTTCGCCTATTGGAGGCTGGTACTCAATCGCATGGACATCCCACAGTTTGCCATAGATCAAGCCGCACCGCAGACGAGATCTAGCACGCCGCCTGCGCAAAAAACGATGTTCCTGATGTTTGCTGATGATCACATTGCACGCAACAATTTCGCTGTCACTGTTCCATCTGGAATCCGAGCCTACTTGACCCCAGCATTTCTTCATAACCTGGTTGCAATGACAGATGCGCTAGAAGCAACAGCCCCGAGACAGATGATTGATGCGCTTCAAAGGGACGTTATCTCCGACATCGTCGCTGAGGGCAAGTCTCGTGATCCCAAGAAGGCCACGTCGATCGCCATTCGAGTCCCCAAAATCCACATGCGTCTGATTGATTTGTCAAACTCTCCAGATAATCAACTTTTTGAGTTCCGTGATGAGTACGAGCTTGTGGTGGATAATGTACGAGTGGAGGTTGAAAAGCAGGCCACGCGACCAGAAGATGGCGTTTCAAAGAATTCTACGGAGAAAGTCACAGCTCACGCATCAGTTGACCAACTATGGGTCTCGGCTGAAGGAAGTCGTACCGACGCTCTCGACCAGAGGGCCGCTCTCAGCTTTGAGGCACGGGATATCAACTCATGGCTTGTGGCTGGGCCAAGTACCCGAGCTCATCTACAAGCACGAGAAATCGATGCTGTCACTTCAGTGAAATCTGTCGAACGCCTAGCTCTCCTCGGTCGCCGAGCAACGGAGATGTTCGGCTCTGTCGCAGCAGCCTCTCAGCGGGGTTTGGCGTCTCGAACGAGGCGTATCCGTTATTTGATTTTCATTATCACCAAGTCGGCCGGTGATATTGCCGACCCCGTCTTTTTGACCCGCATTTCCAGCGTGCTCCGTGTGGATGTTTCCCATCTGAGACAGCATGATTCTTGGAAGATTATTTCTCGCATCCGCCACATCTACAACAGTCTACCAGCACAAAATAAACAAGACCTTAACCAGATGTGCCAAGCCGACGATTTTCCCTTGCCTGAGGATGCACATTACTCTGTGCTGACTGGCTTCGATCAATGGCGCGCCTGGGACCTAGCTCATGTCGAGAAGAGTTATATTATGCAAAGAATCTGGTCAAACTCGGGTGCTCAGCCGACGGATTCAGATCAATCAATAATCGTGTCCAACTCGGTCAAATCGTTTCGAGTATGTTTGGACCCGGGGCCGAGAGAGAGTACCCTTCTTATCGAAGACACGTCGAACGTCGTGTCGATCGTTACCAAGGCATCGAATCAAAAGGAAGCCGCAGGCATTGGCACTGCTATTACACCACAGCTGTACTGCTCCTCTGCTCATCTTCATCTGAGATGGGAATTGGTTGACTTCGTCGGTAAACTGGCCGAACACTTGTCGCCAGTTGTCAAGGATGTGTCACCAATCCTCCCCGCCCATACTGAAACGGAACGAAAGTTGATATCGTTGCACTTGACTGCGGGTGTCGATCTCGCATCGGTGACACTAGATGCCATTAATGTCAAGCTAGCACTTTTTTCTGAAGCTCTCCACGGATCTATCGTCCACAGCCCTGCTATAAGGGGAAGGGGCGATCAAACCTTTGCTATACTTTTGAGTGCTCGAAGTTGCTCTTCTGAGCTGCTCGGTCAGGCAAAGTCTCTGATGGTATCGAGGATCTCCATGCCCTACCTGTCTGTTTCAAGCATATCATCCGAAAATGATCAAGAATACAAACAAGAGTGGAGAATCGCGGGATCTTGTAGCAGACTCAGATTTGACATGAATGAGGATCCAGTCAGTTTGGCACACACTGCAGATCGCCTGATAGAGGACGAGATCCGATTTTTTCACCGTCTCATAGAGAGTCTTGCGCATCAGTCCTTACCACGTGAATCAACTACGCCCCCGACGAAATCTGCTCACAATAGCATCAACGTGGTCCTGATCCTTCAAGATTACCTTCTTTCATTGAGTGTTCTGCCGTCCCTGACATACCGGGTCTCCGGGGACGTGGCCCGGACGTCGATCACCTCCGGAATGTCGTCCAAGATAGCGGTCGACTTTGACGTTACAAAGCATTCACACGCATTTACATCCGGAATGGGGGAGCGATCGCGCGTACTCTCGATCCTCGAGATACCTCCTATAAACGGCCATGTCGTCGCAAATCTCGCTTCCCGTCAAGAAGTGGAAGTTGATGTGATCGTCGAGCTGGTTCGCCTCCAGGCCAGTGCGGTCCGCAGCCTTCTCGGAATTCTGACTGGGCCTGATCTGACTCGGGTTGTGTCTGATTTGAAAGAGAGCGTGAACGTACTGCAGGTTCACCTTCGGGAGGTGCTCTCATTATCAGACTCCAAGCCAATGATAGAGTCTAATAAGAGTTCTGAAGATCCTGTTGTTCTCTACAAGTCCCGCCTGACGATTGCTGGCGTGGAAATTCATGCCGTTGCTCCGGGCCTCAAGAGCAATACTTACTCCGCGGAAATGATTCTCAACCTGGGGCTACTGCAAATGCGTCTTCACAACGGCCTTGATCGTGGTTCAGTGATTGAGTATCCTGAGTTCGGACTTGATGCTACCCAAATAAGGTTTGAACTGCGCAAGCAAAGCCACCTGCACAGCGAGGTAAACGGTATCGTATCAGCTGCGGTCCAATTCCAAGGCACGTCCACTGTGCGTGAGAACGGGCAAGTCATTCGCGCATATCATCTCACGAGCGAACATTGGAATGTGGAACTTTTTCCTGAAACAGCCGCTCTAGTTGTCGACCTTGCAATCTACACACAGGAGCGATTCCGGACATTGGATCTATCCCACGAGGTCGAACGTCTACGAAGGCTCCGGCATCGGCATCATCATCATCAACAACAACAACAGCTCGATCTTCCAGGTTCAGCCGAAGAGATGCCGGAGATTCAGGTCAATGACGGTGAAGCCACACAAGCTTTCCTAAATGCCTTCTATTCCTTGAAATTCATCAATATTCAAATCGGTTGGAATATGCTAGCGGATTCCGACTCTTCTGGCAGTCATGAACCGGAAGACCTGGTCTTCTCCATTCGACAGGTTGAACTGTCAAATAAGAAGAAGAACGCTGCCAAACTGCGGATCGAAAATATGCAGTTGCAAATGGTCCCGCTCAGAGCATCTAGAGAAAAGCGCTCACTCAATTCGGCATTAATGCCGGAGCTGGTCTTCAACGTTGCGTACTCTTCGAATGATCGGGAGCTGTGGCTAGCTTTCCAAGCCGCTGGCAAGTCGCTAGATATTCGAGTGACATCGGAATTCATTATTCCTGCAAATATGATACGGACCTCCCTCGGATCGGCCAGTGAAGCACTTCGCGAGGGAAAGGCTGCATGGGCCACAAATCCCTCTCAGGACGATCCTGGCAAGACTCGCAATCTTTTTGGCAACAAAAGGTTGCGATCCCTTCTAATTGACGTCGACTTTGCTGGCGCGACGGTCTCTCTGCAAGGCAAGCAGAGCTCAGAATCTCAAACTTTCTTGACTGCAACGTTAAATGGTAGCCGAGTTCCTGAGTCGAAGTACGGCCAATATGTGCAAGGCGATACGGCCACCACTGCGACTCTTCAAGCGCCAGGCGTGGCGCTAAAGGTCCAATTTGAGGACGATGGAGCCGATGAGCCAGCTTTGAATGCAGAGTTGAAGGTTGATCCATCCACAAATGCTCTTTATCCGACTTTGGTACCGCTAGTCAAGCAAATGACTGCTACTGTCAAAGAGATCATGAGTGATCAGGAGCATCCCGAAGGCAAACCTCGGCGCGAGTCATCTGCGGCGTCAAGATTACAGCCACAAACTTTGATGTCCGAGACTGCATTTAGTGCGCCAGATCCGAATTCCATCCTGGGCAAATGCAGAGTCAATCTTGGGCTATTGTTCAACAAACAAGAATTTAGTTTGAGCTGTCAGCCAATTGCGAGGGTCGCCGCGACAGCACAGTTTCAGAGCATTTACATCACCATCAACACCGTGCAGTCGGCAGAGTACGGCCGTTTCCTCGCTCTTTCCTTGGCATTCAATGAGCTAGAGGCATCTGTGAAGCATGTTTACTCGAACGAATCAACGGCAAGCTTCAATGTTAACTCGATGGTTTTGTCCTTGATGAACAGTAAACACCTCGGTCGAACAAGTGGCATGTCTGCAATATTGCGTGTGAGCCCCATGAAAGTAGCATTGAACGCGAAACAGGTCCATGACTCGCTATTATTCCGCGAAATCTGGTTCCCTTCAGACAATGACAATCCTGTACCGATGACACCTTCACTCGAGCCAGAGCAACAGGAAAACCCGACGTATATTGTGCAGCGATATCAGCAGGTCGCTGCCGCTTCGGTATTTCCTTGGAATACCACAGTCGCCATTGAGCACCTGCAAATTGCGCTGGACTTGGGGTCCACTCTGGGCAAAGCTGAGTTTTCAATCGACAATTTCTGGGTATCCTCCAACAAGACCTCCGATTCGGAGCAAAGTATGTGCGTCAATTTGGATTCTGTCGGCATCGAAGGCAAGGGGAGGATGGCTGGGAAGGTTGCATTACACTCTCTCAAGATTCGCACGTCCATCAAATGGCCCGAAGAAGCCGTCGGGCATACGCCATTGATTCAAGCCTCCATCGCCTTCCACCAGCTTCAAGCCAAGATCTCCTTTGACTATCAGCCGTTTTTGGTTATTCAGATTTCCGAATTCGACTTCTTGATGTACAATGTGCGCGAAAACTCGGGCGAAGGAGGCGAGCGACTGTTCAGCATGTTGGAGGGTGATACCGTCCAGGTTTTCTGTACGTCACTCACAGCATCTCAAACCTTGGCGGTGTATCAAGCCTGGCAGCGGTTGGTGCAAGATAAGCAGTCGGCTTATGAATCGTCCCTGCGCGAGCTCGAACGTTTCCTTCGGCGGAAATCTACTGCGCTCCCCTTGCAAATGCAGGCGCGTGCTGAGAAGATGACTGCACCAGACGAAGAAACCGAACGCATTCCCGGTTCCCTGCACACTGGGGTCGTGGTTCATATTCGACATGTGAACCTGGGAGCTTTCCCCAGCTCGTTCGTCGACAATCAGCTTTTCAAAGTTGAGGCCTATGCCGCGCAAGCTCGATTCGGCGTCTACCTCGAGACCGGTCACATTCATAGTGCGCTCGGTCTCACACTCGGTCAACTCCGTGTTGCTTTGGCCGGAATCCCTCGTCCGTCGTCCGTGCACCTTGACGACCTCTCCATCGGCGAAATTAGCCAACGCGCCGCCAGTTCCCGCGGAGGTACCATTCTCCAAGTGCCACGACTGGTGGCGGGCATGGAGACCTGGCAAGTGCCGGGGACTCGGCAGATCGACTACACCTTTCACAGCACCTTCGAAGGCAAAGTGGACGTGGGATGGAACTACTCACGCATCAGTTTCATTCGTGATATGTGGGAATCACATTCTCGGGCCTTGGCCTCGCGACTCGGCAAGCCCTTGCCACCGTCCGCCGTCCGCATCACAGGAGGGCGTGCGAGCAGCAGCAGTAGCGGTAGCGGTGATCAGAAAGACGTTGATTGGGACGGTGACGCAGTCAGTGTCGAGCCACAGCAGGATAAGATTACCGCCGTGGTCAACGTGCCCCAGAGCAAATACACCTACACGGCCTTAGAACCACCCATTATCCAAACACCGCAGTTGCGGGATATGGGCGAGGCGACTCCTCCCCTGGAGTGGATCGGGCTACATCGGGAGAAACTTCCCAATGTCACTCATCAGATCATTATTGTCTCTCTTCTGGAGATTGCCAAGGAGGTCGAGGATGCTTATTGCAAGATTCTCGGGGCTTGAAAGGCGCGGTCTGGTCCGAATTCCACTCTTACTGCTTGATTCTGTCATTCTTCTTCTTCTGTTGTCCATTCTCGTCATTGTTGGTCTACCTCTGCGCAGTGTTCATGCCGACTTTTTACTGTAGGAAGCACAAAGGACGATCGATGAGAGATACACGCGTTCCATTATACTTCTGATCCCCTTATGCGTTGTTTAACTGTATAGATATCTTCCTACCGGACCGAAATAGTATAGCGGGTGTTGCATCGCCGCCTTCCATGTTAATTCGTGACGGTATATGGTGCTCTTCGTTGAGTTGATCCATGTACTTCGTCGGGTGTATATCACAAGCTCTCCGTCTGTGCTGACGGGTGAAACCCCCGTCAGTCAGACCTGACGACTTCCGGGCCCGTACCTTACCCATCAGAAGATTCAAGATGAGGTGACGTTTGCCATTGAGTTTGAAAGATTACACAACATGGTGCCGTGGTCGACGATGGTCACCGTTGCCAACGTGACCATCTGCCAACCCTAATCCCATACACTACCAGATTACCAGTCGTACGAGGCTACGAGCCAGGGCTGCTGGCGGCACAGAGTCACGTGGCTACTGCAGCCCCGCCTTAACCACCCGCAGCAGGTGGCAGTATCAATATCCCGTCCCGGCATAGAGGCAGTAAGGAGTGGGGGCGGGGCAAGTCGTACAAGCCTTGTCTCATGGGGGCGCATGCAGCGAAACGGGCCTGCCGCCTTTTCGCAAGGTTGTAACACTAACTTGTGCTGTACCTGCGAGTGAAGCAAATCTACTGTATGGCTGTACGCATTTAAATACTATGACTCTTTGTATGCTGGCAGATGCACTTCCGCCAGGATCACGCCGGTAAGGGTTAAGCTTGACAGAGTCTTCAACATGCGATGATGCTGATCGCACATGATATGCCTGGACTCTGGTAGATTTCCTTCTACCGATCTACAATTCTACAAACATTCAACAGTATTCGCTCTATTGTACGGGGCTCTTAGTCTGATCTATGTAATATCTACCGTATTTACCTCTTCTTGCCGTCGTATGTATCCACTTCTGTCCTGATCATTCTGCCTATGTATTGAGTGTTTCCACCGGAGCATGAAGCGTACGGGCAGCCCTGGTGTCGTAGCTTTGAAATTGGCTTCAGTCATGTTTATCTGAGAAGGGTTTGGAAGTGGAAGTGTCTTGCCACATTCACATATACATTCCAGTAGTACTCAGAGGCCGGGCAGGCGAGTAATTGTGGCGAATCTGGCGACTCGGGCAAGGTCTCGCCTGAAACCGATGCTCAGGTCCAGTCCTAGCTTGATCATTGGTTCGGCGGTGAGCTCTTCTGCTTCCTTCACCGAAGGCTTTCTGATGAAATTTAGGTTCTGGCCGTGCTTCCTGAATGGGTTGGGTATCTCTGTCCTCAGTGATTGTACAGTAGTAGTATCTGGCTCGGAAAACCACGGGATTAGGCCAAAGTTTGGAATTGAGCTTTCAGAGCAACTCGGAGACGTTATTGGACCTCGTGCTTCGGAAACGGAGGAGATGAGCCGGGTGGCAAAAACTAGTATTGTCTCAAGACTCTTAGCGCTTTCCAGTTTCCGGCCACTTACAAATAATGAATGGTCTGCGGTAAACCCGTCACAGGAAGGCAGTGCCTCTGACGGTCTCAAGGTACAGTAAGCAGTTCAGAACTTCAGAGTAGGGCCTATGGTAGTAATTGAAAGTGATAGACTAGCAGCAGATGACCTGGTTCACCCGCTGCTGGGTAGTAGGGAGTCTAGGGACTAGGGAGTACCCGACGTTCGTTACAGATGCACCCATGCATCCTGGACAGTGTGGTGGACACTGGACACTATGTATTCCCATCTGACCCGACAGCAGATGGGTAAGCCTAAATCGTCCTCCAGGGCTGTTTCAGGTAAGCACAGGCGGTACCGTACTACACGAGATAGTAAGACTATGTACCTTGGACAGTAGTATACTATTACTGAGCAGGTGGTATCCAAGATAGGTAAATCAAAGTGTTGCACTCCTTGATTCCTTAGTCAATCTTAGCCTCTTGTAGTTAGTTAGCACTACTACTAAATTACTAAGTAACGTAGTGCCATCAGCCAGGGCACACAGACAAAGTGTGTATCGCAAAATGTACCCCAAGCTCTGCTCAAGCAGTTACTGTACTATTCTGGCCCACTTTACTAGACATACTAAAGAGAATCGTGCAACGACAGTGATCTTGTATTATGCATACTGCATAATCATACAGACTCAACTGATCAAGAGCGAAGGTGTCCCCCAATTTCAACAGCTGGTCGATCAACATGCCCTGCGGCCTGCGAAGTATCGTTAGGATGATGACGTGGGGTATGCCCGCTCCACGGTCCTCGGCCGATGTCTACAAGGGCGCCGAGTGATCGGGAGCAGGAGCACCGATGATGTCCTCATGTACAGTGGAACGCTGAACTTTGAAAGGGTCTCTCCGTCCTGATAGCATCCCAATTGAGTTCCCGATCGATAAAGCACTCGATAAAAGGAAAACAAAAGCCGAGGGATGAAAATTTATAGCTGCTAGTATACTGCATCATCTATGTTAGCTTGAGCTCTACCCTTGAACCCTACGTAACTGAGGTACTACTCAATGGGTACTACCCATTGAGTAGTATGCTATTGCTTTGTACTTTGCACAGTGGCCACTTTAATCACTGCACTACACCTGGGTCCTCTAGTACTAAAGTTAGCTACCTACCTACTATGGATTTATGGAGTGTGTCGAGTCGTCGACCCAGTGGGGCCTCCCTAAGAGATTAGAAAAAGGCAGTGTAGTTGTACAACTGGACGTAGACCGGAAGTGTTTAACTCCAGCAGAGCCTAAGAGCGAACGGAGGATGTCAAACCTACACCGTGGTCAAGCAGAGTGTGGCATTCAAACGATCCTGTGGCTCGCCGAGTATACTATGCAGTAGTGTGTAAGGTGTAAGATGTAGATGCCTCTCTGCCTCGACCTGCAAGCAGTCTCGACGACGCAGCAAGGACCGGGTGTATGTGTTGTAGTTTGTAAATTACAGCACGATACACGAATACCGCGGCTGTACAAGCGTTACCAAATAGACGTCGCCCAAATGGAAAAAATTCAAGACTTGTTCGACCCAAAACGCACAGAAAATCCAGCGAAGCGGGGCAGCCAGCGAAAAAGGTCCCCACTTTTTCGTCTCTTTTTTTCCTCTCCCACTTTTCTCATTTCCCTCCCCTCCTCGACCTGCAAACTTCTTCTCTCCTTCCCCTCTCTCATCCCTCTTTTCTCCCCCAGGAGCAGTTTACACTCAGTCCATCAGATCTTTCAGGCTTGTCCGTGAAAGATCCTCTGTGTGTTCTCTAGCTTCTTCTCTTACCCTTTCTTGAAACTTTTTTTAACCCCGCCTCTGGGCTCATTCGAGGATAAAAAACCGTCAAGATGGTTAAGTAAGTTGAGGGATCCGGAGCATCGTCATGCACATCATACACGATGCTGGAAGAACCATGCAGCTGACAGCGATTCTCATAGCTTCACCATTGAGGAGGTCCGTATTCTCGACAGTCGACCTTGGGATGTTGCCCGTCCTGCGTGAGGAGGGGCAACGGCCTACGCGCAACCCCTCCTGCCGACCGCAACAGCTCATCATCCATCCGCATTCATATATACTAACCTCTAGTGCAGATCCGTGCCCTGATGGACCGTCCGGCCAACATCCGGAACATGTCCGTCATTGCTCACGGTACGTCTCGGCCCTTGAACAATGTTCTCGCGATTTGAAAAGTCACCCAGGTGCTGACCATGGACTTCTCGCTCTCTCTAGTCGATCACGGAAAGTCCACCCTGTCCGACTCGCTTGTCCAGCGCGCCGGTATTATCTCTGCCGCCAAGGCTGGTGAGGGTCGGTACATGGACACCCGTAAGGATGAGCAGGACCGTGGTATCACTATCAAGTCCACTGCTATTTCCTTGTACGCCAAGTTCCCCGACCCTGAGGATCTTGCCGAGATTCCCCAGAAGGTCGATGGTCCCGAGTTCTTGGTCAACCTGATCGATTCCCCTGGTCACGTTGACTTCTCTTCTGAAGTTACTGCTGCTCTCCGTGTCACTGACGGTGCCATGGTCGTTGTCGACTGTATCTCCGGTGTCTGTGTCCAGACCGAGACTGTCCTGCGTCAGGCTTTGACCGAGCGTATCAAGCCCGTTCTGGTCATCAACAAGGTCGACCGTGCTCTTCTCGAGCTCCAGACCACCAAGGAGGATCTGTACCAGTCCTTCTCGCGTACCATCGAGACTGTCAACGTCATCATTCACACCTACAAGGACGCCGCTCTCGGTGATGTCCAGGTCCAGCCCTACCACGGTACCATCGCTTTCGGTTCCGGTCTTCACGGCTGGGCTTTCACCGTCCGCCAGTTCGCCGTCAAGTACGCCAAGAAGTTCGGTGTCGACCGCAAGAAGATGCTGGAGCGTCTGTGGGGCGACAACTTCTTCAACCCCAAGACCAAGAAGTGGACCAAGTCCGCCGATGCTGATGGCAAGCCCCTTGAGCGTGCTTTCAACATGTTCATCTTGGACCCCATCTTCAAGATCTTCGCCGCTGTCACCAACGACAAGAAGGACGAGGTTCTCAGCATTGTCGACAAGCTCGACGTCAAGCTCACCCCCGAGGAGAAGGATTACACCGGCAAGCTCTTGCTCAAGACCGTCATGCGCAAGTTCCTCCCCGCTGCTGACGCCATGCTTGAGATGATCTGTATCCACTTGCCTTCCCCCGTTACCGCCCAGAAGTACCGTGCCGAGACTCTGTACGAGGGTCCCACCGACGACAAGGCCTGCATTGGTATCCGCGACTGCGACCCCACTGCTCCTCTGATGCTTTACGTTTCCAAGATGGTGCCCACCTCCGATAAGGGTCGTTTCTACGCCTTCGGTCGTGTCTACTCCGGTACCGTCAAGTCCGGTCTCAAGGTCCGCATCCAGGGTCCTAACTACGTTCCTGGTAAGAAGGAGGATCTGTTCATCAAGGCCATTCAGCGTACCATTCTCATGATGGGTCGCTTCGTTGAGCCCATTGAGGACGTTCCCGCCGGTAACATTGTCGGTCTGGTTGGTGTTGATCAGTTCCTGCTCAAGTCCGGCACTCTGACCACCGACGACACTGCCCACAACCTCAAGGTCATGAAGTTCTCCGTCTCTCCCGTTGTGCAGCGTGGTGTTGAGGTCAAGAACGCCCAGGATCTGCCCAAGCTGGTCGAGGGTCTTAAGCGTCTGTCCAAGTCCGACCCCTGTGTCCTGACTATGATCAACGAGTCCGGTCAGCACATTGTCGCTGGTGCTGGTGAGCTTCACCTTGAGATTTGCTTGAAGGATCTCGAGGAGGACCACGCTGGTGTTCCCCTGCGCATTTCCGACCCCGTCGTTGCCTACCGTGAGACCGTCCAGGGCAAGTCTTCCATGACTGCTCTGTCCAAGTCCCCCAACAAGCACAACCGTCTCTACATGACTGCTGAGCCCTTGGCCGAGGAGGTCTCCCTCGCCATCGAGTCTGGCAAGATCAGCCCTCGTGACGATTTCAAGGCCCGTGCCCGTATCATGGCCGATGAGTACGAGTGGGACGTCACTGACGCCCGTAAGATTTGGTGCTTCGGTCCCGACACCAACGGCCCCAACTTGCTCGTCGACCAGACCAAGGCCGTCCAGTACCTCAACGAAATCAAGGACTCTGTCGTCTCTGGTTTCCAGTGGGCCTCTCGCGAGGGTCCTATTGCCGAGGAGCCCATGCGTGGTATTCGCTTCAACATCCTTGATGTGACCCTGCACGCCGATGCCATCCACCGTGGTGGTGGTCAGGTTATCCCCACTGCTCGTCGTGTTCTGTACGCCGCCTCTCTGCTTGCCGATCCCCAAATCCAGGAGCCCATCTTCAACGTCGAAATCCAGGTCCCCGAGCAGGCTATGGGTGGTATCTACGGTGTCCTTACCCGCCGTCGTGGTCACGTCTACGCCGAGGAGCAGCGTCCCGGTACTCCCCTGTTCACCGTCAAGGCTTATCTGCCTGTCAACGAGTCCTTCGGTTTCTCTGCCGATCTGCGCTCTGCCACCGGTGGTCAAGCCTTCCCCCAGTCCGTGTTCGATCACTGGGCTGTCCTTCCCGGTGGTTCTCCTCTCGACCCCGCCACCAAGCCCGGCCAGATCGTCACCGAGATGCGCAAGCGCAAGGGTGTCAAGGAGCAGGTTCCCGGCTACGAGAACGTGAGTTTAACTTCCCCATTCTTATCCGGCTTCTTATCTTTCACATTTACTGACATCATTCACTGCAGTACTACGACAAGCTGTAAAAAAGCTCATGACTATCCAGCACAACTCTGGCCGTCAGGCGCGAAATCTCTTTTTATGAAATTGATGAATGCAATACAACTACCCGTTCACACAACAAGTCTCTTTTCTTGATAACGCCTTCATTCCCTGCCTTCATCCGTAATCGCTGGCTCACATCCGTAATCACTGGCTCAGAAACGATCTCGATGCGCGCTCTCCGACAGCGCCGCAGTCGACCTCATTCGCGTTGTAGTGTTATTTATACTTGGCATTGAGGACTCGGACTCTGGTTTCCGGGTCCACCGAGGTCTCATGACAAGCAGACTAAACAGCCTTTGTCACAGAGGTAGTGGGCTCAAAATACTTTGTAGCGCTCAGCCCTCGGCTTAGGTATCGTTTGCTTTGGCGTCACTCGTTCACTATGGTTTTAATGTAGCCACAATCCGCCCAGACCCGTATAGCCTTCAATGTAGGATCACTAGGGTGATGTAGAATGCGCAGACCCGTGAACGAAAATACAAGAGCCAGCGCGGGTTGCGCAGGCTCTACCGCCTCGGTCACGTGGTTTTGTCGCGAAACCTCGCGTTTTCTATCCACATAATCTTGGGTTATAAGTTTATTGCAGCATCTTCACGAATACCACTGCACTCCCTGAACAATTAGTAATCGCGAGTTGCTGCTACTCTTCTGACCATATTACTTTCTCTATCTTGGGTCAGTGGTGCGTAACTCCATTGTTAAGAAGCAGCCGGCAGCTAGATCTAGCTGTCTTCGCGGTGACGCTACGTCCCAGTCTTTTTTTTTCCGCTCCAGCGACATTGTTACATGGTGATACATCCACAAAATTCTACGTTATGCAATTCACCGACGAGGAAGCCGAAAATGTGAAGGCTTGGGTTGTGAAGCGCCTGGAGGACATGTGAGTGTCATCCACGCAAGAGAGTTTACCACTCGGTGCTTTGTGTTCTTTATTGGCCGATCGTCTTATTGATATTCACTTTATGAATTCGCAGCTCCGACGCAGACTCCGACGTCCTGGCAGATTACGTCCTGGCCCTTATCAGAACCGACGCTCCGGATGATGAAATCAAGAACAATTCGATCGAGAACTTGGAGGACTTTTTGAGAGAGAGTACGCAAGATGACTGTCGCGCCAATTCCTTCTATTCAAGTTGCTGACGGGAGCTCTAGACACGACATCATTTGTGGACGAGTTGTTCGCGAAGTTTGGACCACAAGCTGCTCCTTCAATTCCAGCGCCTCAGCCGCAAGCACAGGTTGCTCAGCCCCAGTCCCAAGCGCAACATGATCTCAACGCCGCAGCGGGACCGAGACCCGACTTTCAAAATCGCAAGCGTACATACAATGAGGGGTTTCAGAGTGAAGGAGATGGCATGAACGGAATGTCTCCGAACCGCGCCCTCAAAACTCCGCGCCGTGGGCGTGGCGGTGGCCGCGGCGACTGGTCTGGTCATGGAATGCAACAATACCCCCATGCTCAGGGTGGTTATCCAAGCCAGATAATGCCAGGCTTTCCGCCATTTGACCCGAATGATCCTATGGCCGCTGCTATGATGATGCAGGGCATGGGCTTCCCCCAGATGCCCGGTATGCCGGGTATGCCGGGGATGCCGGGGATGCCTGGCGGTCCAGGTCAGCCTAATGCAGGACCGATGGGTTCGATCAATCAGCGCTGCCCTTTCTACGACACACAAGGTATTTGCTACCTCGGCGCTGCGTGCCCTTACCAACACGGCGAGTCTGGATCCCAAAACGAGTACGACCCAAAGACCTCATCAATTGGTCTGGGCCGCGGAGGAGCCGGTTCCTCGCGTGGTGATCGTGGGCGAGGCCGAGGTCGAGGCGGCCCTAATGCGCGAGGCCGTGGGGGTCGATCTGATTTCTCATCTGCGGGTCCGAATGAGGATCAGTCCATCACCACAATTGTGGTGGAGCAAATCCCCGAGGACAAGTTGTCGGAGGAGTCGGTGCGCGAATTCTTCTCACAATTCGGCAACATCACTGAAGTCACTTTGCAACCGCACAGAAAGCTGGCGTTAGTGAAGTACGAATCCTACCCCGAGGCTAAGCAGGCCTGGTCCAGCCCCAAGGTCATTTTCGACAATCGATTTGTCAAGGTCTACTGGCACAAGCCCAGACAAGATGACAAAGCCGGCGAATCTCATCATGAAACTGCTAGCTTTAATCCAGAGGAGTTTGAGAGGCAGCAAGCAGAAGCCCAACGGGCACACGAGGAGAGGATCAAAAAACGACGTGAAGCCGAAGAGGCGAAAGAAGCCCTTGAACGCCAACGCAATGAACTTTTGAAGAAACACGAAGAGGAAAAAGCACGCCTCCTGCAGCGCATTGGGGGAGGTGGCAATACCGGCGACGCCATGAATACCGATAGCGACCAAGACCAGTCTGGCCAGACCCGTCCCTCGGTTGACGACAATGCGAGCGAGGTGACGAAGAAACTCCGCGCACAGCTTGCCGCTCTCGAAGCGGAGGCGAAGACACTCGGGATTGATCCTTCGCATGGGGACTCTGCTCGTGGTGGCTATCGTGGACGTGGTGGTTTCCGTGGGCGTGGAGCATACCGTGGCCGTGGAGGATTCGATCTTTCATATCGGGGTGGGTATCGCGGCCGTGGGGGCTTTGCTCCTCGGGGACGTGGCGGAGGTGTACTTCGTCTCGATAATCGGCCTCGACGAGTGGCTGTTTCGGGCATCGTACCAGGATCGGAAAACGACGAGGCTCTGCGGCAGCACTTGATTGTAAGTGTTTTGTGTTTCTCCGCTTTATGTTTTCTTCTGTGGTCTGTGTTGGGAACGTGTGCTAATAATCTCCTCTTTATCAGGGTATTGGTGAATACGACTCGGTTGAACCCAATCCTGATCAGCCCAATTCGGTGATTGTGGCCTTCAAGGAACGCTACCAGGCTGAAAAATTCATGTTCAGTCGCTGGAATGCCCCGTCAGCTGGAGAGGTCCAAAAGACATGGATTCCTAATCCCCCCGTCTCGGTCCCCGCGGCGGCGACATCAACCGAGAAGAACGGCACGGGTGAAGACGACCACGATATGAACGTACAAGGGGGCACCTCGGCTTTGCACGAAACGGCACCCAGCCATATGCCTCAACGAGAGATGGATTATGATGTTGCCGAGGAGGATAGCTGGGGAGCGTAAAAGAAAGAAGAAAACAAAGCGGTCTCTGTTCCCTTTTTTTTTCTTTCCTCTCGATCCATTTCCAGAAATGTACTCTACTGTTCAACGATAATTGGGGGTTTGTATAGAAGCTTGCAAAAGTTCTTTAGCACAATGATTCCACCGACTGGTGAATGAAAGTGCCTCCGTTTCCCAAGATTCAAGATTCTTCGAACTATATACCTACTCAGCCTGCATATCTCCGTGTATACCATTAACTACTACATACTTACATGGCACCATGATATCTCTACATCTGCTGGGGAACCAACTCGACCCAATACCCGTCCTAAGACAATCAGCAGCGTTAGCATAAAAACCGCCAATACCAAATCGAGAAAAAAAAATCGAGAAGACACTCTCGTCCCTCAGATCCCCCAAAAGTGAGGTAGAGAAATCACCAACCGGATCCGCCACCATCGCAATCTCCCTGAAGAAAGCCGCATAATTCTCATGAATCTCCCCGACCCCAACGCCCCTCTCCTCCTCCCACTTGGAAAGCGGCACCTCCTCCCTCGCACAAGTGCCCACCTCCTTCAAAACTCGCACTCCGGCGTCCCTCAACCGCGCCACCGCCCCCTTCACATCCGGCACCGTGAATCCCAAATGCGCGAACCCCAGACCCGGCGCCTCGTTCCCATTCTCCACCTTCTCGGTACCATGTATGTGATACAGTTCCAGCAGGCCCTTTGTGCGGGTGAGAGCGGGGATGGCGCTCGTTTCGCGGGCCCAGGCTGCGAGGCCGTCGGCCGTGGTGATGTGCGCGGGTGGATGGCCGAGGTAGTAGATTGTGAAGGGGCCGGCGTTGAAGGTGAAGATTGTGCGCATGCCGAGCAGGTCGACGTAGAAATGAAGGGAGCGCGAAGGGTCGGTGATTCGGATGGCGAGGTGGTTGAGGTGGTAGTCTTGCGTTGGGTTGGTGGCGGTGGTGGTGGTGTTCGTTGTTGTGGATGGTGGTGGGGGGTTGAAGGTGGGTGTTGGACCGCCGGGGTAGAGGTGGCCTGGTTCGTTTTGAGGTGGTGTCGGGAATGAATTGGGCGGGTTGTTGGGCTTTGGATCACTCATGTTGGGTGAGGTCGTTGTTGGGAAGTGGTGTGTTTGTTGGCGGAGCTCTACTGCTGTGAGTTACGTTGGTGAATCGTGATATCGTAGTTATGAGGACTGGATGCGGGGATGTTAAGGTAATACGGGGAGTGGAGAATGGGGTCGGACCAGACGGGACGGGATTAAAGTGTGGGAGCAATCGACCAGGAGAGCTTCGCAGGTACGCTAGTTGGAAATTGTAACCATTCGGCAGAACGAGGGATTGGCAGAATTGGAGAAGAAGACCATAAATTTATCGCGATGCCTATACACCTGTTTATCGATGATTGCTTGGCTCACGAACAAGAACCGTTGTCGAGTGTTTCTTTTTAGAGTGAGATGGGTGCTTACTTGGACAGATCTCAGTAATATGTGACAATAGAGCACACTCCTCACGACTTCCAGGCATTTTTCGTGGCAAGCTTCATGGCATTAATGGTCGGTTGCCATTCGGGGGAAGGGTGGAAAGGCAAAAGGTGAACGCGCACACGGCCCCATCGCGGTGGTTCATTCCAGGTTCATGGAGATGCTGAACCATTTCGTCTTCCAAATCTCTAGATTGTGTATGGAAATTTCAACTCGAATTCTCGTAGACAGCCGTCGCGCAGCCTTTCCTGCCAAAGCATCAAAGCTAGATTAGATCACTCATCCCTGTTGATCCAGCAAATCGGCATAGCTATTCAAACTCCGGCCGATCAAGCTGACCATCTCCCAAATATAGTCGGCCGTGAAAAGGCGCGCCCAAAGGCGGGTCACCGCCGCACTGAGTCGAGTGTTATTCGCCAGCAACCACTCCCGTGAGATCCCATGCTGCACTTCCATCACCATCTCCAAGACAAAGTCCCGCAAGCGAATTTCCTGCTCGGTCAGACCAGGGCTAGGGTCGGGGACTGTCACTGCTTCAAGCCATTTTGCAAGTAAGACTGCACATTCGAGCGAGCACAGAGCATGTTGATTCGACCATAATGCTACTTGGGAGTGAGCCACGAAGCCAATGCCGAGTTTGACAGGCGTGGAAAGGGCGTGCGCGCAGTGCAATGCGGCTCGGGTCAGCCGATCGCCTCGTTGAACCCGAAGATTGTCATTGAGGCTTGTGGCGATCTGAACGGGATCCCAGGTCTGGAGTTGCCTGGCGGAGCCACAATCTGCGTTGAGGCGAATATACGCCAGCCGGACCAGGGCCGCAGATGTGAAAGAGACTGGACCGTGCGGACTCATCGGGTCAATGGAAGACTCTTGGTTCCGTTCCCAGCACTGACACCACCGCTCTAGAGCTTGTTCCATAGACACGAGCTCTGACGTGGGCACGGTGGCCAGAGCAAGACGATGGCCGCGATTGTGTGCCAGACGGCCCGCCTTGGTCATCACCCAAATGTCCTGCAAAAGTGAATGGATCAGCACGTAGCCTCCAAGGGAGGAAAACCGTTCCATTCCGCTCTGTGGCGTGAACAACGCCGAGAGGGCGTCCTGTATGTCCGGTTCACCGGGGCTCTGGGTGCGAGCTGCTTGCCAGAGATCAGCTCTGGGTGATTGCCACTCCTTCTCTGTGCACGGCAGATCCAAAGCAAGCTCCTCGGTGAGAATGACCGGAGGGATATCAAACACAATAGTGTGGATGTTGAAGAAGCAGCAAACAATAAGCTTGGTCCTCTTGACGCACTCTCGACGAATCCAGCTCGTCCAGGTGCCGTCCAGTTCAGGGAGACGATTGAGGCCATCCTTACGCAGCAGTGTGGCCATATGGCTTCTGATTGCCAAAGATTCGTGATAGGGTGGGTTGTTGATAAACCACGAAGAGACCGATATCAGCATCAAAAGAGCTTGCAAAAGCTCCAACGTTGCCTGGTCATTAGCTACATTCACCGAAGGCATTGTCCCCGAGAGGAATACCCGTCGAAATTGCTCGAGGGTGACCGGTTTGGCAATCTGGTACAGACGCATGCTGGTGTCTGGTTCACGTGAATACCGCGCCCCCAGCGCAGCCATAGATAAGAACAGCGGCAGGGACATCGTGTCGGCATTCAGCGTTGGCTTATGGACAATGGGGTAATGGTCGTGAAACCCCGTGAGGTACCCGGTCAAGCACCGTGAGAGCGCGTGCCGCGACGGTAAGGATGGATCCGACACCACACCAGCATAGTCCATCAAGGACTCCAGGGCTCGGTCACGGCACTGCGCCGTTACCGGGACGAACCCCGTGGGCTGTCGCGCCTTCGGGGTGGTCTGGTAGCCCTCTGGCTGAAGAGACGGCAATTGAGCTCCATGTCGCGGTAGTACCGAACTAGATGGCGTTGAAGTGGTCTCTGACGTGTGCCCTCTTTCGGAAGATTGATCAAAGTCCGTCACGGGAGAGTAGGCCAAGGGTGGGAACAGCGGCAGCGGCTGGAATGCTGGTGAGAAGGGGTGACTGGGCAAGGGGACACTATCCAGAAAGGAAGTGAAGTCGTTGCCCTCATAGGGCCCTGCGAAGCCACCAAAAGCATACCCAAATTCCGGTCCGGGCACAGGCGTTGGAGGCGCTGCCGCCATCGGGGTTTCTGGATTTGCCAATCGCACGCCTGTCATGGGCGTGTGATGTGTAGACGGCTCATGGGTGACTAGATGCGCACTGCCGTTGTAAGGTATTGAGCGAGTCATCTGCACATGGTCGGTGACCACCGACGCCAATGTATCCAGACCATCTAGGTTGGAATGGACTGGCGGAGAGGTTTGCATTGTGGTAGCGGCGGTGTTGCCGATGGCTGCCGACTCACGACTACTGCCCCCGGGCGCATGAGACAGCCGCTCGTGACGGGCCAAGAGGTCTCTACAGTGGATCAGTTAGTCGGTCAGTCTTGCATTCAGACAATTGGATACGAAGGAGGGGACGCCGAGGAGACGGCGCAACATCCCGTTCCCCCGGTATGATCCACGGATAAATTCTGCTGACGCACTTGCGAGTAAATGCCTTGGGACATTGAACACAGACATACGGCTTCTCCTTGGTATCTTATAATGGGGAGTCAGCATCTTGTCTGGGTCAGGTGGTGGCACAGAAGCAAAGACATACGCGACCGGTCATGACGCTGCAGATGTTCGAGGCGCGCAAAAGCCCGAGGACATCGTTGACAGTGGTAGGGCTTACTGCTACTCATTGCTCCTACCGCATCATGCCTTTCTCTCGCTTCCAATCTGTCTCTCTCCCCGTTTCGTGGCTCCTCGCGTCGTCGAATTGATGCGGCGTTCCCCGGACTGGAGCAATGCGCCTCAAGCTTGGGTGTTCTGGGTAGGGAGTGAAGCCTAAACGGGGAAAGTCGCGCCAACTCCGCGGCATCTTCTGGAGAGCTCTTTCTGCCCTCGGGTGCCGACCGAGATCACATCTTGATCATTTGACAAACTTGTGTATGATTTCGCCAGGAGTCTTTCATTACGAGGGTCACGAAGAAAAAGAAATTGAAAGAAGAGTCAAGTGGCATTCAGCTGAGCAACTATTGGCATGTGACCTTGAGGTAGACTGCAAGGAAGTCGGAGGGACTCTTAGGTAGTAAGGTGACAAGTATTAACTATTAACTAGTTAGTTCACTAGTTATTTGGACGGGACTGCTTACTTACTCTTAGTCTTACCGTCTTCAAGGTGGTATTACCTAAACTCTTCATGTGATGAAGTTCCAGAACGCCAAGAACTTCCATCTCCCGTGACTACCAGACAAGGCCGTTGCGGGCATGATATGGCCGCCTGCTGACTCAGCCCAGAATCGGAGACCCGAGATTGACTATTGACTAGCCGCCTCTCCAATTTGGAGATCACTCTCCTTCCTCGATTGGAGAAGAGCTGCCGCGGACATGACTTGCACATACCTCCATTCTCCAGCCACCAAGGTCCTGTAGTATAGGAGTACTTTCGTGGATACTGCATGAGTAGCGACTGGAGACAAATAGATATACAGCCAGATGGATCATGGAACAGACTGCTTCCCGGTCCACGAGGAATCAAGGGTGAATTTGATTCGTTTCTCCAAGAACTATTATCCAGATACCCATCGAGTTCACTAACCTGCAGCATCACACACACAGAATCTCATGCATAGTTGAGGTTTACCACGTGAGCGCAACCCGAACTGTTGACTCCTTCCCGTCAACAGTCAAACAGTCAAGTGTTAGCCACGAAATAGTAAAGGAAAGATGATTTGGTATACCGTTATGCACTATCGATTCAATTTGATGTCGGGCGACTATGGGACCCCAGACCAAGCATGATAAACCCACCAGGCAAGGACTCAACACTGCCCATCATAGTCAAAAATGACATAGATGAATTTCGCATTGCAAACCATGTGTCAGCTCAAATAGTGCCCTCAAAAAAGACATAACACTCCTCGATCGAGTCACGTTCCCGCGTGCAACAACGTGCAACAACAATCGTGTACGCATGCATCCTGCTCTACACGATTCAGTCACATACTTACGAGCGCATATAGAGCGTGGTTCTTCTCTCTCACCTCTACGCGATACCTTTCGTTACAAAGATCCCTTTACAGACTTCACAGCTCCGATAGGAGCCACATCCACATCTCCGACTGGACCTACAACCGCCGTTTTGCAGGGTGGAGTGGAGCGTTTTACTCGATGTACCTTGCCTTCTCCAACTTTGATTTTTTCCCCCATCGTCATTGGAACAGGCCCACCCTGAGACGGCCAGAACAAATTGATAAAGATCGACATATAAAAGCCGTCAGCTGCATGATCTGATGATGACTCAACAGCACTGCTGTGAGTGTCCCATTGCAGAGGTTGCAAATATTCCAGCCGGCAACTCTCCCCTACCAACGCAGGGTATTGTCGTGCCAGCTGGATCTCTGACGCCCAATTCCTCCCAACCGAAATCCTGAACGACTTGGTCTGCAGGATTGCGGGGGACATTCGACCGAGTCATGGCGAAAACACGTGAAGCGACTCCAGAGTCCCTGGTCGAGCCCCAGGAGATCGAATATCATTATCTGGAACTGGATACACCCTTGCCTACGCCGTGCATCGCTTTGCCCCCACAACCAGGCCAATCCTCCCCGCCAGAGGCTCCAAGCCTCGAGAAATACACCTCGCCATTTCTCTGGCCCAAATGGCGCAAGTCCATGATGACGAGCATCTCATGTGGTGTCACGGCGTTGGCAGGTTACTCTGCCGGCGAAGTGAGCCCGGCTTCGGAGGAGCTGTGCAAAGAATGGGCCATCAGTCCGGTGGTATACAATTTAAGTATCACACTGTTTTGTTTCGGGTTTGCATTGGCACCCATGGTCCTTGCCCCGTTCTCCGAAATTAATGGACGGCGACCGATTTTTGTTGCCAGTGGAGTCTTGTTTGTTGGTATGGATGTCTGGGTGCTCCTCAATTTGCATATATAGAAACTGACGACCCATTTTTTTGTGTCTAGCGACGCTGGTCGCGTGTGGCGGGACACACACCTTTGCAGGTCTCTTGGTCGCTCGATTCTTCCAAGGGGTAGGAGGTTGTACGTACCGATCTGATATCAGCCTCTTCCACAGGGGATTGTCATCTGGGAATAGCTAATAAATCTGCGGTAACAGCAACCTTCTCCACCATGGTTGGCGGCGTGATTAGTGATATCTATCATGCCGAAGATCGAAACACCCCAATGGCGCTCTTCGCCGGCGCAGCACTATTTGGAACCGGATTGGCACCTCTGTGTGCCGGGGCCGTTGTGACTCACACCACTTGGCGATGGATTTATTATTCCCACGCCATCGTGTCGGCCGTCTTTGTACTCATTATCTTTGTCTTCTTCAAGGAGACCCGCGGGAGTGTGTTGCTCAGTCGCAAGGCCCAAGCTTTGAACAACTACTACGAACAACTCGAAGACGCAGGACACGTGGGCGTGATCATGTCAAGGCCCGATACCTCAGACGAGAAGTGTGTTCGTCGTATTCGATGGAAGGTGAAAAGCGATGAGCAGCGGGCCTCGTTGGCTACCATGATTTCGGTGTCGCTGTATCGTCCGTTCCGTAAGTCTACCGTGGTTGATCGCCCTGTATGCCGATCACATGGAAATTCTAACGATCATCTGCGTGCAGATATGCTTGTCACTGAGCCTGTGGTATTCTTCTTCTCCCTCTGGGTCTCCTTCAGCTGGGCCACGCTCTACCTCCAGTTTGGCTCTGTTCCTCTCGTCTTCAGCGCCAATCACAACTTTAACGTGCAGCAGACAGGTGCTGTGTTCACAGGTAAGTTCAAGCCAAAGATCGAAAGCATAGTATCGCGTCTGATACCAGCTGTTCGCTAGCCATGTGCGTCGGTGCCCTCCTCATCACCGTCATCAGCGTCTGGCAAGAAAAGATCGCTGCACGATTCGGATGGCTGCACTCATCCGCAGAGTCGCGCTTATACTTCGTCTGCGTCGAGTCCATTCTGCTCCCCATTGGTCTTTTCTGGTTCGGCTGGACTTCCTTTTCTTCCATCCATTGGATTGTGCCCGCCATGGCCGTTGGATGTGCCACCATGGGCATCTTTTCCATCTACCTCGCTACCTTCAACTATCTGGCCGACACATACCATAGGTATGCCAGTTCGGCGATTGCGGCTCAGTCGTGCTGTGAGTCCCCTTCTTTCCTCCGATTGAATTCTGATCACTGGGATCCAAGTGTGCATTGAAGAAAGAAAACTTGTATTAACATGCGTGCTCAGGTCGGAACCTTCTCGGTGGCGTCTTCCCACTCGTCACAGCGGCCATGTTCAACAATCTCGGCTTCCCGGGAGCATCGAGCCTCTTGGGTGGGATCGTGAGTCTCTCTCTATTCAAGTTGTCCTCTCCATCGCGGATAACGGAACTAACCATATCTGGGCCGGAATAAAGGGCGCCCTTCTTACTCTTGTCCCATGGGTACTGGCTTTCTACGGCCCACGAATCCGCGCAAGAAGCAAGTTGGCCAGTGTAAGTGGCATTGTCAGCCGGATCATTCGCCCCCAAAGAACACAGACACTGACACATTCGACTTTCACCTAGGAACTTGCGCATTGATGTCTTGAAAACCGGACAAACATCTGAAAATTATCTTCGCGCCGCCATCTTTATGCGGGTTGGGGTTGACGGCTTCATGAAAAAAAAAGAAGTTCCTTGTATAGACTGCATGCATTGGGATAGACGGAATTATAATCGGATCAACAAGTCAATTCTTCGTTTGAGACTCTAGTGAGGAGTTTCATAAAAATGAAGTTCTAATATCGTTGCAAGAGCCCTGAGATTCTAGGGATACCCGTCACAGACAAGCTGCTTAGTCTAATCGGCCTTGTTTATTGTGTGGAATCGTCTGTGCTTCAATGCGATTCAATGCACGTCGAGCTTCATCCTCACTATCGCTTCCCATTTGGTCGAGGATGCGATCGATCTCGTCTTCCGAGTGCAACCCCACCCCCAGTCCCAGACTTCCTCCCTGCGGGTATCCACCATTATGTGGTCCATGCCTCTGCGAGTCCACACTTGGCCCCGGCTCGAAGTTTTCAGAAAACACCGACTCGTTCAAACTTCTCTGCGTGGGAGTAGGCTGCAAGAGACGAGGACTTGATCGATAGCCGGAGTTTTCCGGGCTCGACATGAATAGAAGTGTTTCAATCGCGTCTTGCTCCATGGCCGTACTTGGAGATTGCGGCCTCGACTCGTAGGGACTCCTCTGGATGGAGTGGGGAAGTCGAAGACGAGGAGGAATCGAGGGTGTGCCGAGACCCACCACCCTCGGTGAGCTGTGTATTGAATCTATTGACCCCATTCCACCGAGATCTTGACTAGACCGATGCCGCTTGTGGCCAAGATACGCGGCGCCCCCATTGATATTCAACGGTTTCAAGGGAGCCTCATTGGGGTTCGGTCGCCGACGCCGATAGGACCCTTGTGAAGCATCAATTTCCGCGGGGGGAGCCAACTTGGGTATATATAGTAATTTATGAGGTGAGGTGATGGCTGATTGCGAACGTCGATGCGACACAGTAGGTTTGGTTGACAAAGCGTTGGAGTCATTGTTAAGTTGTGACGTGGCATTTGAGCCAAGATGTAGGGGAGATTCGCCTTCTCCAGAATGCTCCAGGCTACGCGGCAGCTTCGACTGAGAATCTTGGGATCTCTCAATTTTGGCGGCGGCGTAAGAGAGTCGAGTTCGGATATGGACAGACAGCTACGTCACACGCGTCAACAACGGAAAACTTGTTTGAATATGGTGGGCGATGGATACCTGTGCTATGCGGCTCCTTCCACTGGACGGTGAATTTGTGCTTCGAGAACGACGTCGAAGGTAACCCTCAGGAAGTGATGACCGCGGCGACGTCGTTTGTGTTGATGGTAGCTTGACGTCTCCCGTTGCGGTTCTTTTTTGTGAGAGGCCAATTTCCGTATATACACCGGACCGCGCCGCTTGACCTCTATGAGATTGGCCTAAGTATGGCGAGTCGTGACTTTGTTCAGATTTAAGTGAGTGAGGTTTATCTCCCCCATCGTGATTGAGTGGGGGAGTGTGAAGAGGATCCTTGCACCGATTTCCCTCGAGCTCTGCGTATTCTGAGCTGCCATTCGTGTTGCGGTGGGCCACTCTTAAGTCATGCACATGCTCGGCTGAGGAAGAGGCGGGATTATCGATGGTTGTTGCATTTTGTGAATCATGTTTGGGTGGTTGACTCTGCCCGGGCGTGTGACTCTTGCGCTCCGAGGTCGTGATACGATCAGCCTGCTTGACTGCTTGGTCGAGTGGACCTTGAGTCAAGCCCTCAGCGCTTGAGAACGATAGCTTGGGGGAGCGCGGTGTTTGAGTATACCTTGTGCAGGCTGATCTCTGGGGTGTTGCTATTGTTGACGCGCCCAGGGCATCGTTCTCAATACTCGCGGCAGTCTCGTCATCGGAAGGCCCTTGACTGAGTTGCCCGCCACGCCCGTCGTTCATCATTGATCAACGGGACCAGTAAAGGTCGCGGTATACGACAGAATGGCTGAGTCAATAAGGTATGCGGACAATTTTGGTATATTGTGAGACGCCGGGTCACCAGCGAATCTCACCTTAGATATCGCATACAGCACGGCCAGTCCGATGCTTCATTGATCTCGCACTATGAGTGTGAAACAGGCAGTGCTGGTGTACATAAAGTCCCCCAACATTAGAGAATGTTATGTATTTGAAGTTTGCGTAATCGTCGCAGAGAGATGCGAAGTGACTACTATGAGTATCAGGCGCATCTGCCCGAGCCAGCGGGGATCGGCCCGTACGCGCAGAGCTGACCACGAGCGCGAAAACAGCGGACGGTAGGCCTTGCTTTTGCGAGCGACAAGGATTGTACCCGGAAAAAGTCCACAAGTGATTGAGGTATAATGCAGTTGACAAGATGGCGACGCCAACGCAAAACTTGGAGTATCTGCGCTGCGAGATCTGTACGTGCAATGAAAGACCGAGGGGTCCTCATCTGAACCCGCACGACCTTCTTTCGGCGGCGACGCGTTCTGAACGCGGTCACGTGCCGAGGTGTTCTGGCGACATCGGGAAACCTCATCGAGTCGATAAAGAATCCCGTGTGCCTGGCGGAGAGACTGGGATCTTGCAATGTATGCATCGCAGAGACTGTGTGTAAGATAGCAGCTGTGGAGGCAGGGACTTAAGTTTCAGATGGGGAGGAAACGGTAGCAACCAAGTCTCAATTCTAATCAGATTAAGGCATGACTCAAACTTGCTGGCCCTACCTTGTACGGTTCAGACCGTTTGATCCGTCCTTACTGCAAAAGGCTTCCTAGCGAGGATTCACCATGCTGAATAACTGAGTCTGTACGTTGAATGGCTACGCAGTCCACGTCATGTTCAAAATCGATCGATTGTGATGATGCTCAAACGCCATCCTCTATGCAAGTTGGGAGACGATTGCGCCCGTTCATATTGTAATTACTTTTCGATGTGTCCTCTACCAGGATCACTTGCGCTTCTTTCCACCGCCGCCTCCAGACTCGTCATCATTCTTTCGTTTCTTGCCCTCGCGACGCCAATAGTCGTCACGTTCACGCTTCTCACGAGCTGCCTTCTTCTCCAAGCTGTCAGCCACCTTGGCGCGGTAGACCTTGCGGCGCTCCTCTTGCTTGGCCGCACGCTTCGCTTGTTTCTCGTTCCGCATGGTGGTCAACTTTTGCATCAGATCGCGAGCCTTCTTTTCTTCTCCACCAAGAACAACAGCACGCTTTTGCATGTATGTCTTGTCTGGACGCTTCTTCATCTTGGTGATCTGCGACTTGAACGGCAACTCGGCGGCCAGTTGCTTCGGTACACGAAGAGGGTTAAAGTGACGTTCTGGACGCTCGATCTTGTGGTACGCAGAGTCCTTATTCATTGGCGTGGGAATGCCCTGGTCACGACGCACCTCACCAGTGAGTCGCATCCCTTGCCAGCCACTATCACCGGATCCACCTTCCTCTTGATCAAGCAAGTTGGTGACCGGGTTGTAGAAACGGTGAGGCTTGATAGGGTACCATGCGCGCAAGAACACGATGTCACTCATCAAGATCTTGTCCTCAAAGGTGGCACGGAAGTACCCTTCGGGTTTACTCAAAGCTCGCTTGATCTGGCCTCGAATTCCGGACACTGTCTTGATGGAGGCACCCTCGAACTTGGCGATCTCAAGAGATGAATTGAACATGTCCTTGATGAAAGCCGTGTTCTTGAAGATCTTGTAGGGTACACCGGTGAGCTTGAGCTTCTTCACGATTTCGGTGTGCTCATCCACGCTCAGTACAACGCCGGTCGCGGCAATGCGGAAACCGGGGTTCTTGTTGGAAAACGACTGGAAACAACAGAAACCAGTGTTCGGGGCAACCAGGGGGCCGTAGAAGACACCGAAGCAATGCATATGCTCAGGGGTATATTTGAGCATACGATTTCGGGTTCGACTGTCCGAGGTGCTGTAGATTGGCAACGACTGGAATCGGCGCCATCCCAAAGAGAAGATGAGCGGGTCATTGCTCTTCAAGATCTTCTTGTGCCATCGGTGCCGTTTGATACGGATCTGCACGTAGCCAAATCGATCTTCGGTGGGGGCTAGACCACCAACGATGACCGGGAAGCGAGGATTGAACTTGGCCGCGAACTCATAGGGCACGTTTTCGAGTACAATCCGAGCATATGTACCAGCCTTGTATCCTTCAGCTCGAGCACGCGAGGCCGGGTCAAGCTCCTCAAACTCGGCTCGATTGATGTCAAGTTGCTTCTGCATTTTGGCTTTCTGCAAGTCATACCAATCATCTTCCCCAAATTCACCTTCCATTCCATCTCGCTGACCGTCCTTCGCGTTTGCGAATCCTTCACGATCCTCCTCTTCGAAGCGGAGTTTGAGCTCCTCCTTCCGCTTCGCGTTGCGCTCGCGCTCAGCGTCGAGGTCGACAGGGCCATCTGCGGTCTCCTCTGCGTTGTCGTCTCCATCCTCATCCTCGCCCTCATCCTTGTCGTCGTCATCACCGAAGCCGTCGAAGGCCTCGCCTGTCTCAAGATCCTCAAATGCACCGTCACCCTCATCGTCCGAGTCCAAGTCATCGAGATCACCTTCTTCCAGATCGTCATCGGAACCACCTCCACCAAGCTTGCCAGTAACGAAGCGCCGTTTCAAAGACTCGATCAGCTCCTCGTCTCGCCATTTGCGTTCCAGCTCCTCGTAGTCATAGTCGGGTACGGCGCGGAAGTCTTCTTGGTCACGCTTCTCATTGTCGGTCTTCTTGAAGAAATCTTCACCCTCTTCACCGGCTTCAATATCCAACTCCTCGTTATCTTGATTTTCGCCGCGCCAGGTCTGGACGACCTCAAGCGGGGTGATGGACTCGTCGTACATCATCCGCGAGAGATCCTTGACGCGGAATGCGGGACGCTTTCCATGCAGAGCTTTCGCGTTTGAAAGCATGTTGTCCTTCCATCGTGCGTTACCCTCATCGTCGTCATCGTCGTCATCTTCGTCTTCCTCGTCACTGTCGAATTCTTGATCCTCGACCGACGAAACAGAGCCAAGGTCTGAATCGCTGTCGGCAAAAGCGACATCTTCGGCCTCGCGCTGTGAGGATCCGTTCTGTCGCTCCTTGAATTTAGACTCAAAGTCAGCAGGAGCCGAGAGATCAACCTCGTCTCCCTCCTCCTCGTCACTAAGGTCATCGTTGTCGTCTTGATCGTCTCCAAGATCCTCCTCTTCGTCATCCTCGCTAGCATCTTCTTCATCCGAATCGAGCTCCGTGACACGTTCTGTATCAGCGATGCGCGCATGGCGCTTGTGTTTCCTGCCGGTCCCTTCGGCATCCTCTGCTTGAGCAACAGTTTCACCACCTCGGAACAGGCGAATACCCTCTTCTGCTTCACCGAGCATACGTCGTTCACCCTGAAGACCAACGACGAGCTTTTCTCCAAGACCACGATTCTCATCCTCGGACTCGTCGTCGGATCCGCGATCAAAGGTGTTCGTCTTGAGGTCAATATATACCGCATCTTTATCCACCAGCACTCCACCAACATCGGACATTGGTGCAAATAGCAACTTTTGCTTTTCTCCCAGCCGACGTCTGTTGGACTTACCCGTGGCTTTCGCAATCTGCTGGTCCATGTAGGGAGTGGGACAGGGGTCGGGAAGCCCTTCAATACCCGAGACAGTCAAATCGCCGACACCGGGGACGTGCACTCGTGCGCCCTGCGCTGGGAAGTTCGTGCCGCGAAGGTAGCCATAGAGCGCCACCGTACGATCGCACTTTGGGTTCTCTTCAATCTGGGTGGGTGGCGTGATGTCCAAAAAGCGGTCGGCGAGCGCATATGGATGAGAGTTTCGCCAAATGAGAGGACGCGGGTTTTTCATTACCGACAAGAAACGGGACAGATTGTGGACTTCGCGGTCTGGGTAGCGCCCATTGATCACACCAGAGAGATAGAAGAGCTTCGCGCCTTGGTACAATTCGCTCCAAAATCGGTGCTTCAGGCGCTTCTTCGTCATGCGGAGGGTGCTCTGCTTCTTGAAAAGATCGAGATGAGTGAGAATACCGAAGACATTTCCCGGCATACCGCTCGTAGACAAAGCATTCAGAAACTCCATTGTTTCCATCTCAAAGCCATAGTTTCCATCAATCATGAGAAGAACAATATCGGCGATCTTCGCAACATCGATCATGGCGGCGAGGGAGTCAGAAGGGCACTCCAGGAAAGTGAGACGCTTGCGCTTGGTCGTGACCACCGTCAATGGGCCTTGTGGGGAGCTCAGAGTCTGCTTCGTGTAGCGTCGAATCAAGGATTTGAGCAAGGTAGTCTTGCCGACCTGTGAAAGTACGGATAACGGTTAAACACAAGCTCAGCGGTTGCTGGATGTGGCGAACAACTTACACCGGAAGGTCCAACAATTGCGACAACTGTAGGAGGGGCCTCCTCTGGCATGCGATCGACTTGCGGGACATGTAACCTCTTCTCCTTGACCTATATTTTGAAACCAAAGTCAGCATAGCCATACCACTTTTGACCGAGCTGGAATTTCAACCGTACATCGTGTGATCGAGCAGCTTGTTTGTTGAGCTTTCCGGGATTTGAGTACGCAAAAGCCTTGGGGTTTTGACCTGGAATCGTAGTCATGTTAGCGCATTTGAATGTCACGCGGCCTGAGGACCGGATAGCGTTTTTTCGCAAATTTGATCAGGGAAATGGGCAATGGACTGACCCTCGAACTTCTTCTTCTCCTTCACGGGGCGGTGCGCCCTATTTGATTGTTGCTCCATGGTGAGTATGGAAGGACACTTGTCCTGTCCAGTATCTTCAGAAAATAAAGACTACTGTGTCAATAATGAAGGTCTGGCAACGCAGCAGCACCTTGAAGCTGTTTCTCTAGATGATCCGAAATTATTATCTCGGGGCGGAAGAATATGAGACCGCCGGAGGAAAAAGAGTTTCCCTTTCAGGCTTAGCGCACAATTCGGCCGGGTAGAAGAGAAGCTGCTGCCTCAGGCCTCTGGTCTGCCAGATCTCTACGTAGGCTTCCGTGCCAAGTACGGCATCTTTGGTAGAACCAGGACTTTGTTAATGTCCAACTATTACAACTTTCAGAGACCGACGATGATCCCCCATTTCTTGGAATCTGGCTTGTCATTTCTGGCTTGTGTAGTCCGCGAGAAACCAATCATGAGGAGACCATTCTTCTCCATGTGGCTAGAAACATAGGATAGATGACAGTGACTGTATCTCTTGCTCCGTTCTGCAGGGGGGCACTTCAATGCTTCTTATCGCGGCGTCCATCTACAGCACGCGTGATCTTCAACTCAATTTTACCCCCTCAGTTCGTGGGTATTCGGGGATCCTCGTAAGTTGCGAGGCCCGGTATCGGCACTCACCGCGAAGAGGTACTGGTTGACTTTCCCGGGCCGTAATTCGTGCTCATGTTGACCTCTTTCTCTGACTGCCGGAAGGACTAACTGGGCATTCTGTACACCCAAACCCTCAAGATCGATATGTCTGTGGCGCGTCGACCTCCCCCAGCCTATGAGTCCTCACTGGCTGGTATTCAAGCAACAAGTGCTATATACCATAGAATCTCCAGGACAGCGTCCGACGCCACCGGTCGAGTTCTCAAAGAGTCATTCGAGATCCCTCCATGCTCAGGCCAGGCATGGACTGTACCGGCCGGCTCTGTCTGTCGTCTCACTACCCCAAATGGACCGCAAGTAGGTGACTTGAACCTTTGGAATGCACACAATCCGCGCGAACGACTGTGGGCTGCACGCACCCGTCAAATCCATGCATCCCATGTCTCGGTTGGCGATCGCCTGTGGTCGAATCTCCCATATCTCCGACCGCTTGTGAGCATCACCGGCGATTCACTGGGAGGCGGGCAGTTGCATGATGTGCTCGCCCCCGATGGAAAACGAGATCCCGAGAAGACCTTTCCGAGCACGCAATCTGGAGGGCGGGTTCATGATCTGCTGGGTACTCGCTGTGATCCCTACGTCAATATGCTGATGGGAGGCAAGACCTTCGACTTCCACTGCCATTCCAATTTGACCCGGGCCGTGGTCCCTTATGGACTCACCGAGCTCGATGTTCATGATGTGCTCAACGTGTTTCAAGTCACTGGGCTTGACGAGGAGGGTCGCTACTTCATGGAGGCCTCTCCTGCTCAACCCGGAGAGTACTTTGAGTTCTTCGCCGAGGTGGACGTACTTTGTGCACTCTCTGCTTGTCCCGGTGGTAGGTTCGGCTCCTTGACTTACTGCCAAAATGTTTGCACATTATCAGCTAATCACCAGAGTTCCGTCTACAGGTGATCTTTCCAATTGGGGGTGGGAAGATAAAGAGGGTGACATGTTAGCTTCCTGCCGCCCACTGGGCGTGGAAGTATACCAGCTCGTCGATAAAGACAAGGTGCTCGAGGGCTGGATGCAACCCCAGAGCCCAGCGTACAAGGGCATGCACGGAATGACCATGCCGGCCCGTTAGCCTTGTGGATATGTGGTGCTTGTAAGGATCAGCCTTGTAGATACGATATCTTTGAACATTACCTTCTCTTTGGGTCGTTGTATGAAACAGAAAGCGTATACAAGAAGTCATGTCCACTAATCGACCATTGTCACCATTACGCATCGCCATATGTACTTGTTCTCAATCTCAGATACAGATTTCCGTCGGGATACTGTAGAAGTAGACTCTTTATCGAGATACTAATCGAGTGGGCCTGTGCTTTATCAGCACGTGATCTGCCCCGCGTTTTGCATGCGCAACAGCGTCATCGTTGTGGCAGAGCTGGCCTTCCGCCTGAATTCCACCATCATCCATGCAATGTCCCTTTACATGCAGGCGCACCGTCGAGTGGCTGAAGTTTCCTTGATTTGGTCAACATGAATCAAATAAACTCGGGTGAGATTCGGCCTAGTCGAGTTACCGAAGATGGCGATGCGATCTTCATGGACAACATCAATAGAAATGTGAGGTAGCCGGAGAATGCATATGTTAGACTAGAGGAGATTCTGTAGTCTTGACTGTTCATACTTCCAGATGTGAAACTGCATAGACTCCCCCTGAACAGGTTGAACTGGTCGTACGCAGATGTACTCAAGGGTTCTTAATCTGCAGTGGCCGTCAGGAACGCGATTCACCTCGAGCGGGTCTTACCACTATCCAGGTAGGAGTGAAACGTGTCCAGCCCTCCTCACCAGTCCAATTCGGCACTGAGAACTGATGGCGTAAGCCCGCAGTCACTGCGTGCCTCGTGCCTCTCGTCGGCTCAGAGCCCAGCAGTCCCTCTTATCAGTCCGGACTTGTCCCACTAGTATAAGAGCATCGACCCCCCCCCTCTCCACCTGCTTATCTCCACCAACTCCGACTTCGAAACAACTTGACTTTGTCTTTACCCGGAAAGCCTGGAACTTCTGCAACAACTCTCAGCATCATATCTGTGCCCAACTGATCACCATGCCTCTCTCATACAACGTATGTGTCACGTCTCCTTGACCGGAACCAAGAACACATGACACTGACAGTATATTATAGGTCACTCTGAAGCCCGACGCTCCCGCGGAGAAGCTCGAAAGGTGGGCTTTCTATCTCGGCACACCGGCCCAACTAAAGACACATGGTACTAACTTGCCCGACTTCATTCTTCAGCGCTAAGCAGGACGCCGTCAACAAAGGTGGCTCCATCAAACATGAATACAGCTTGATCAAGGGCTTCGTGTAAGTACAGCACCCCCCGCCTTGGCTCCGCCCATGTTCATCATGCGCGCACATTGCACATTGCCTCTTCCCCACTCGCGAGCGCAAGCTGATGGTTTGAACCTTACAGTGTCGAGTTCCCCGATGACCATGTCGACACCCTCGAGTCTAACGATCACGTCCACGTGGAGAAGGACGGTGAGGTCAAGACTCAGTGAGGAGGTCACCTTCAATATCCTCTGGTCTTGACGTGCCTACAAGCGCTTCTCTTTGATGAGGATCTCCACGCCAAGGAATAATGCCTGGCAGCTCCCAACCTATGTAAATATAGTTTCTAGCCTACATCCTTCAGATTGCGGGTGTGTTGCTCAGTTGTGGAGTCATGAAGTAACGACTATTACCACTTTCTTGCTATTTTGACCAGAAACCTTCGTAGAGAGGATCTGTCATCCTCACGAGTGGCCGAGAGGCCCGAGACACTATTTCTGCACGGTCTACTGACTTTCCTCTACACGCCAGTCATGAAGTTGGCGGCTTTTCATGTTCAACAAGCATGTGAACGTGACACTCGCCCACTCCAAAACTTCAAGGGAACAGTATTAAATAAGAACAATGTACGTTAGTCAAGCAAGTGATAGCCTCAATTTAGTCTCGTGGCGCCCTGCATCCGGCCACGCGCATTGTGCCTCCTTGTCTAGCGGGGTGCCAATTCTAAAGCATTAGAGCCCGTCGTTGAGCCGCGGGTACCCGTCCATCTGCGCGGAGTCGCGGACCTTGAAAGCGTAGATCTTCCAATTCCGTCACCGCCCCTCCCCCTACCCTTGGGAAGTTGAGACTGTCAAGTTTTACTGTCAATCACCCTTCATCGGATGCTTCCCAGGACTCTCACGAAATCTGCGGCACCAGGGCTAATGTTCGTGAAAGGGCACGCTCGATACCCGCGAAAGTGGTCTCACTTTCCTCGTCATATCTCGACCTCGCAGCAGGCCTGGGACTGGACCACTCACCCAACAAGTGATGCAGCGAGGGATGATGTCGCACGATTGGCAGCGAGTCCTCGTCGTGCATTGACATTGGCAGACTTGTTGAGGTGGGTTTGACAGAGAAATACTCGCTGCGGAGCTGTTTAATAGAGAAGACTGACCAAGAATGGATAACCAGACATGGACGACCACCGCTTTCCAAGGACGCACTTCTCGCCTCCGCCAATTTCACACTCTCCCTTCTCCCTGCACGGCTTGCCTCAAGAATTCAAGCATTGCGCAACCTGCCTTTCATTGTGGTCTCGAATCCTCACGTGTCGAAGATCTACCACAATTATCAGCACTCGTTATCCACCTTGCTACCATACCAACAACGGCGAATCACAACGCTCGAGGAGGAAAATCAATTTGGAGAGGTGCTCGCGGACCTGGTGCAGACACATGCCAATACTATTCCTGTTCTCGCCCGGGGTTTTCTCGAATGCCGCAAATATGTGAGCCCCGAGGAAGTGACACGCTTCTTGGACACACACCTTCGCGCTCGTATCGGTACCCGTCTCATTGCCGAGCAGCATCTGGCGCTCCATTTCGCATCCCAACCAGTCAGAGATGAGTCGTCTTCAGCCGCTTCGTCTCGTAGTGGGAAAAGCGCTGTGCCATCAAAGTACATCGGGGTGATCGACACTGCGCTTCAGCCCGCACACATCGTACGCCTCTGCGAGGATTTTGTTGGGGAGATCTGCGAATTAAAATACGGAGTACGTCCGCGTCTCGAAATCGGCGGCGAGCCGGATGCTTCATTTGCCCACATCCCAGTACACGTGGAGTACATCATCACGGAGCTGCTCAAGAACGCCTTCCGGGCGACAATCGAATCCGGAAATGAGCGAAGTCCGATCGAGGTGACCATTGCCGCCGCACCAGATGTGCCAGGTAAAGAGCCGCCCGTTCCCGGGGATGCGGACACTGGGTTTGAACTCAGCAATAGCGGAGGCGCGCATCCTAATGAAGCATTGAGTTCGTCTAGCCCCACGTCGCAAAGCATCACCATTCGCATTCGCGACCGAGGTGGTGGTATCCCGCCGGAAGTCCTTCCACATATCTGGTCGTACAGTTTCACAACGTTTTCAGATGTGGACTTGAACTCAGATAATGGTAACATGGATGCCCTCAACACTATGTCGAGCAATAGTGGGCATCTCAGCAGCATTGCTGGACTCGGCTATGGACTGCCGCTTGGTCGGGCCTACGCCGAGTATTTCGGCGGCAGCATTGCCGTGCAGAGCTTGTGGGGCTGGGGCACAGATGTGTACCTCACCTTGAAGGGTGTTGGCAAAGTTGACTGAGTGAATCCGCGATGGTCATTCGCCTCTGCGACAAACCGGCTCCTATAGTACCTCTGCCTGCAGGACCGATACCCAGGCAAAACGCAAAAAAGCGCCCATAGCTCTGGTTGCAATCACATTCGGACCGTCATTGCCCGATCTGTGAGTCGCGCCGGTGGCCGCCATATCGAGAGCGCATTGCGGTATGGTGCTACTTCTGCGATGGCGTGCATGCAACAAAATTCAGCCTGAACCTCGTCATATTGTTCACCGGAGGTACCATGCTCGCAAAATCTTGAAAGGGTCAAGTCCTTAGGCCACATGAAGCATGATGTCCACCTCAGCCCTCTTCTCTCTCGAATGCCTAATTCATCGTTGGCTCATGGACTGGGAATCCAGCGTTAGCGCCTACACGGGTTCAGGAAGAGCGCCATGAGGTGTCCACTGTACTGGCCAGGGCGGCAAAAACGAAACGACTTGGTTTACAGCCGGTGAATGGCAGGCCTGCACATAATAAGGCATGATCGATCCTCACTCCTTGCGCTTAATGTGAGATAGCTCTACAATTACTCGATCTCAGTGACGACTTGCGTATGAGAACTCATTATATTCCTAGTCAAATTTTGATAAGCTGCATCCAAGGTCTTCGATATTGTATACAAGGTTCGACCGCAGCATGGTGTAGCGGTTTCAGGAGTTATATGGCAAGTTCCCGGCATGAGTGCCGCATCGGCGGTATCGGTGCTTCAGGGGTCCGTATCCTCAAACCTTTCCACCGCTTGATTGGGGACACGAAGCCGAGGTCAATCCGGCGAAGAGCAGATCATATCGTTAGAGTGGAGCAAGTGAGCCCGAGTGTTGATGGCGTGTGCTGAAGCGGGCTTCTCGCGGCCTTCGGGTGCCCCCGCATCTCCTCACCGTCTGCCCATGAGGCCCGGTGTTCGCCCCGAGATGAGTGTGGGGTATCCCCCCACCCCAAAACTCGCACAGCGACCCCAAGTTCAGGCTTTGATGCTTGATCCTTCTTCGCTTTACCGTCTTCTCGGACTTCTTTTATACCCCCCGAGCTCACCGGTCAGATTCGAGATTGGAATTGACAAATAATTCCCAGGTGGGATATATTCAGCCTTGAACAAGGAGTGATGTGAGTCGCTATACAAATGGAGGCACCTAGCTGGGGCAATCCCTCAGTGACCTCGGCTAACATCAGAACAGGGTCTATACTGCATCTGATGGCTTCTTTGAAGCCCTGTGGGAGGTTGGTCAATTGAAATAGTACAAAAGACTCTCGAGGCTGACAAGTCTACTAGGGCGGCGTCACTCATGTCTTTGTCAACCTGGGCTCTGATCATCCCTCTATCCTGGAGGCTATGGTGAAAGCTCAAAATGGAGGTAGCAAAGAATTTCCGAGAATTGTGACATGTCCAAACGAGGTGAGTGACTTTTGCTTTCGGAGCTCAATCACGGCCTTTGGCGGTTGTTTCAAGGTCCTTGTTCGGTGCATTTAATCCCTGCGGAAGTGTACTTTATTCCTACTGACCATAATTGTGAAATCAGATGGTAGCGCTGTCTATGGCTGATGGCTACGCTCGATTGACCGGGAAGCCCCAGGCCGTGATCGTACACGTTGATGTTGGCACACAGGGTCTCGGTGCCGCAGTACACAATGCCTCCTGTGGACGCGCGCCGGTTTTGATCTTTGCCGGGCTTTCTCCGTATACAATCGAAGGGGAGGCTCGTGGCTCGCGCACGGAATACATTCATTGGATCCAAGACGTACCTGATCAGAAGCAGATCGTTGCGCAATACTGTCGATACACGGGAGAAATCAAGTCTGGCAAGAATGTGAAACAGATGGTCAATCGAGCTCTCCAGTTTGCAACCAGTCATCCTCAGGGCCCTGTCTATCTTATGGGAGCACGAGAGGTGATGGAACAGGAGATCGAGCCTTACAAACTGAATCCAGCTCACTGGGGTCCTGTCGGACCAGCTGCATTGCCGCACCACGCCGTTGAATTGATCACGTCCGAGCTTGCCGCAGCCAAGAATCCTCTGGTGATAGTGGGCTACACTGGCCGGAACGCTCAGTCAGTGACGGGATTGGTGGGGCTTGCTGATAGCTTCAAGGGTATTCGCGTTCTGGATACCGGTGGCAGCGATATGTGTTTCCCTGCCGATCATCCTGCTTGGCTTGGTCTCCGCTATCCGGGACATGAAGCCGTTGAGACGGCTGACTTTATTCTTGTTATTGACTGCGATGTGCCTTGGGTACCAACCCAATTCAAACCATCCAACTCAGCCAAGATCGTGCACGTCGATGTTGACCCGCTCAAGCAACAGATGCCGGTCTTTTACATACCCGCCATGGCGACGTTCCGAGCAGATTCCGCTACAGCCCTGGGGCAGCTGAACCAGCACATTTCAAGCACCATGTCACTCCAGCGATTCATTACTTCTCGCGAGAACAGTGAGATGGGTCATATTCGCGAAAAGCAATACGCAAAGCGCCGGCAAGAGATTAGCGACCTGGCAATGAATCCTGAAGGAGGCGAGTCCGCGCATTTGAATATTTCTTATCTGATGGCACAAGTCCGAAAAGAAGTCCCTGCAGACACGATATGGGCTATCGAGGCTGTAACACTTACACCTCAGGTTTCTGATCAAGTCAGCGCAACACTGCCAAACTCATGGGTCAACTGTGGCGGCGGAGGTCTTGGCTGGTCGGGCGGCGCTGCTCTTGGTATCAAGCTTGCCTCGGACACAGAACACGGGGGTCCCGGCAAGGGCAAGTTCGTCGTACAGGTCGTTGGAGATGGCACTTTCCTCTTCTCTGTGCCCGGGTCCGTCTACTGGATTGCGCGCCGGTATAATATTCCAGTCCTGACAATTGTTCTCAATAATAAGGGATGGAACGCACCTAGGCGAAGTATGTTGCTCGTTCATCCAAATGGAGATGGGTCTCGAGCCACGAATGAAGACCTCAACATATCTTTTGCCCCGACGCCTGATTACTCTGGTATCGCAAAGGCTGCTGCGGGTGGGGAACTATGGGGCGATCGAGCCTCTACAGTCGCCGAGCTTGCGCAGAAGCTACCTGAGGCTGTGCAGAGTGTAATGGCAGGCAAAGCAGCAGTTTTGGAAGCGCAACTCGATGGATCGATGGGCAAGTTTGTTGGAGCATAATGTACATTACGTGACATAAGATAGATCTGTGGTAAAGAATTATGATTGTATGATTGATCGATATACACGATATGACTATACAGTGTGCGAAACATTAGTTCCAGAAATCAATTACAGGTTTCACGTTGTAAGCACTGAAGCAGCATTAAGCGTACAGTAGTGCAATGGTTGAAGAGTTCATGCACGATGCGTAATTGCATATACACCGGATTTTGTCCGGCAACGCTTGGCGTTCTCCTTCCGTTCTAGTGCTCACCCTCTCGCCGCTTTTGCTCACTGAGTAGAATTGAGCACGCCCCTGATCGGCCTGACCTGGTCAGTGATTATTATGTAATCAAAGTGATCCACTCACTGAGCCTGATCTGAGCGTCCTGATTTGCTCACTGAGCCTGACCTTAGCATCCCGGTTTGCTTACTAATCCCGTCCAGAGATGAGTGACCTGAGTAAGCAGGCGCAATAGAACGCGACACACTAGCTCGATCCCTGGACAACTTCTTCTTAATCTCCCATCCCATCGACAAAAATTTGGCGTCATAAACTGATTTAGCGACCTTTCCCTTTCCAAGCAGGATGTACGTAGTGAATATTGTTTAATTGGACAATTTGCCTTATCTTGGATTTGACGTTCCCAGGAGCATTCTCCGTTTTCCCCGATATATTGGCCAGATTTGGGAGAACTACGCAGGTAAATATGATGGCGTGTATTTCCTAGATGAACTACGAATTTTCCTGCATTTTTACTGGCCACTTTGCAGATCTCTCTGTGAAAATTTATATACCCTTCTACGGCCGCCTACTACTTAGCCAAAGATCTTTTACGTCATGCCATTTTCGCCATATTGAGTAGATACAAGAACAGGAACGTTCGATCTGCTATCCGCATGTGCCCAAACAATTGCTCCTGGGAGCGTCAGCGTGTTCCCAGGAATCCCTCAGGGGTTATCTTATGTGCGGGGTTGTTAAGCCAATTAAGTAGTCTGTGCATATAAAATATTCTTCTAGGCCGACGTGCTGTCTACGACAATCTTGAGGAAAGGAGAAGCGTGGTTGTCTCACTTGGAGAGCGGGGGTTGTGGGGCTTTCTACCAAGGCGGTGAGATGCCTCTGTCGTCGGACGACGAGAAGGCCAAGGCTCCTCGGCCACATGCCAGGCTCTGGCCCGTTACAGATACCCTTGGTCTCCGCCAATCAGATCGCTCAAAAATAATCGATCTATTCACACACAGTAGGGTTTGTTTCGGAACAACTACTTCTTCCTTCCGTCGAGGTCGCGCTTTCTAATTCCTCACGCTTTAAAAAGTCTGAAGCAATATCATTTTCAATCCACGACCGCCAATGTCCAATGCGGACATGATCCGCTTTAGAATCCTCAAAATCTTCTTCCTTTGTATCATAATCGAGCTCTAGAGAAGAATGATCTTCTGGTGCGTAAAAGTAGCTTAAAGCCCACGAAACGGTATGCTCATCAAATCCAGCCACATTGACCGCGTAATTGCTCGTCTCTTTCGAACTGCCCAGGGTCCGAGTATGTATTGCCGATGTCAAGAATGGCGAGAAGACATTTGAATGGATGTCAAATACGTTATGCTTGCTACCGACTCTAATTTGGATAGGAGGCGCTGCAAAAAGCGACCTGCAGCAAGGTCACCTTACTCCGATACGAAGGGACGACGAGTTCTAACTCGAGGTTTCAATTGGCGTAGAGAACATCTTTTAACCGAGCGAACACTGACTTCGGGAGAAGCGAGATCGTGTTGTTGTATAGTGAAAGGAAATTCCAGTACGGGCCCGAGGGAATCAGTAGTCTCAACGGTCTTTTAGACTTTACAGGTACAGACAGATGGATGGATGATTTTACTTACATGACCCCTTGCAAAGTTGGTTTACTCAACTACTGTAGTAAAAGATCTTATTTCATGATAAGGGAGTCTCAAATCTCGGACCAGCCAGATTCAAGATCAAGTAAGCATCTTTGAGGAGGATAAGCTAATTAGGCTTCTTCCGGTTCTAATCATACAGGTATAAGTTCTACATGAAAGAAGCCAATATACGCAGAAAGTCATCAGAAGTCGGACTTGAGTCAGAGCCAGGCGGCGAGAAAGTAGAAACAGAGTCGATGGGGGAGAAGCTAGTCAGGGCCTGCGAGCCTGCGCCCGACTCCGAAGAGCTTGAATTAAAGAGAGTTAAATGTAAAGATGTCATGGTGAAGATGAGATTTGGGAATGAAGTGGAAAACAAGGTTAGAAATCGAGGAGCCGGAGTGTGAGAGTGATAGAGGAAAGCGCGAAGTTTAGCCCACTGCTGCTGGAGATGAGGTAGTTAGGAGGATGAGGTCATCTTAGTCAGCACGGACCTAGGATCGCACTAGTAGGTGCCCAATGTGGGGACCCAGCGGAGCGATAACAGAAAAGCGTTGATCGATACCAGGCCGGATCGGAGAAATATTTCACCATTTCTGCTATCGCTCAGCACCAACGGTTGAACAATGCCAGAAATATTTGTATTATTGTGTCTCGTCAGAGACACTACAACAGTAGTTTAGGCTAACTTCTTTGGGATATACGCTTAGGGGGGGGGGGGGGGCCATATAATAGTATTCTTTTTTTCCCTATGGGGAGAGGCGTTCTGCCATAGCGGTCTGCGAAGTATAAATCATGTGACTTACGATCCATCAACCTGGCTTTTACGGCCGCAACGCTAGCCCGTAATTGGCTAGACTCGACGGATCTAGCTGCCAGTTGATACTACTAGCGACGATACTACTAGCTACAGCCTACGATGCTGGTGCGGATCTGGCTACGATGCTGGCTACGATGCTGGCTACGATGCTGGCTACGATGCTGGCTACGATGCAAGCTCGGCGTATAGGATTTAGAATGTTGTCGTGGCCTCTGACGAGGCACATTTTCAGTCCTAAGACCACTTTGGTCCTAGGACAGCTAGTATAGTGGGTGAGGCTGCTGGCACCCTATGAGAAATCCTGCGGCACCCTATGAGGCCTGAATTTCTGCCAAGCCTGTTATTACGGTAACTCCCATTTGAACCACCACCCTCTCAACTACACGCACGCTAATCACATAACTCCTTAGTTATCTAGTTGACTACCCTGAGTACTGGTGAGTAAGCAGTGGCTGAGTGATCACTGAGCGATCACATGACTGCACTGACCAGATCACTGAGCATGAGCCCGTGCTGACATTCACTCAGTGAGCCTGAGCCTGAGTGCCCTCATTAAAGCGGCGGCAGCCCAGACAGGAAAGCCCCACCAGGCGGACAAAATCCGGTGTATATAGGTGCGTATATTGATCAGGCTTAAGCACAAACTGCCCGATTTGCTATGGGCACGATAAGCTTATCGCGCCGATGCCGGCGATAGCCTTATCTAAGCGGGATTGCGGGGTCACGAATACACGAATTCAAAGTGATACAAAATACCGGGCTGACAGCGACATTGTGCGACTATTGATGGCCGTACCACGGTATTGCTTCGTTCCATGACCCCTCCTTAGCTGAGAGCCTGAGAGTAAGGTGCCTTGTACGCCCTACGCCCTACATTCCTTGAGGGCGGAGAAGTGCAGCTTTGTCAATGCACTGAATCCGGAGCAACTAATGAGACCTTGCCTCAAGCATGTCTATTGGTCGAAATTTCAAGATCATTGTCAAGACTTATGTAGCTTCTCCGTGTAAGATCGGAGACGCTGGTTGAGTGAGTCATGTGTCCAGATCGGACCCGCAATGCCGAGCGGATATTGTCATTGTCAAGTGTTCAAGTCCGCGGCCTTATTCCGTCTTGCTACCACAGCGTCCGTGTACTTTTTTAATTTCTGCCACAATCTTTTCAATTACGTCTCTAGACTCGATCCACATCACACGGACATTTCTCTCCGCTTGACAACAGCCTCCCATCACCTTCTCCTAAAAATTCTTGTCGAAACCGGAATTGCGCAAAGAGAACTTCCTTGCACATAAAGTCCTCCGCGAAATACTCGACGCAATGAGTCCACCGGCGCCAATTGATGTTGACCTTGTCGGTGTCACTGATACCTCGTCTGTCCCTGTGCCAGATCCTTTGACAGTCAACGGTCTTTCAGGATGGCGCGAGAAGATGACAAAGATTCCCCTTGGGGTCGCTGCAGCCTGTAGCAGTGATATGTTCAAGAGCCCGGTACGAAAATCGTCAACAAAATGGATCTGAGCGAAGCATTGGCTCCCCATGTGGCTACAAGGTATACTAAATGATCGTGAAATGGATTTAGGCTTGCTATACGAAGCCGAAGGCGAAGAACTTTGATCGTATGTCATGGTCCGCGAATGCGACAGATTTCGGGGTTTCATCTGACGCAGTGTATACAGATCTCTTGTCACTTGAGGCGAAGTCTCGTCAGGTGAGTCTCGATCTAGTATCATCTTCTGCCTGCTCTCTGATTCTTATTCTGTACATCAGGCCTCAACGTTGAAGGGTGCAGCCCGTTATCTCAAAAATCCAGGTGCGCACTCTCTACCAGCATGCATTTACAGCTTCATTTTTCTAACGCGCGAGTCAAGGAATCATCTCGCTTGGTGGTGGCCTCCCCTCTGCGGAGTACTTCCCCTTTGAATCAATCGATATCAAAGTCCCCAACCCCCCTGGCTTTTCCCCGGAAGCCACACAACAATCTGGCGCAGTCTTGCACGCTGGGAAGCACGACATCCGAGACGGCAAAAGTCTCTATGGTCAGTGGTCTCAGCCAGTCTCTCCAGGAAATGCCAAGTTTGAATAATCTCATTGATTAATGAATCCAGATCTGGAGATCGCTCTGAACTATGGCCAGGCTACAGGCTCAGCACAAATTTTGAGATTTGCCACGGAGCATACTGAGGTGAGCATCATCTGAGAGTAATGTGAGGAATGCACTGACTCTTGAAGATCATCCACAACCCCCCTTACTCTGACTGGCAATGTACTATGACCTCTGGTAGCACATATGCCTGGGACACGGCACTTCGCGTTCTGACCGAGCGAGGCGACTACATCCTCATGGAGGAGTACACATTTTCAAGCGCGGCTGAAACAGCCTTTCCACTTGGTGTCAAGACAATTGGAGTTCCTATTGACGCACAGGGACTGATTCCGGAAGCTATGGATGAAATACTTAGCAACTGGGACGAGAAGGCTCGTGGCGCTCGCAAGCCTCATGTTTTGTACACTATCCCTACTGGCCAGAACCCGACAGGTGCTACTCAGTCCGCGGAACGCCGCCAGGCCGTGTACAAGGTTGCTCAGAAGCACGACATTTACATCGTGGAGGACGAGCCGTACTACTTCTTGCAGATGCAACCATACGTGGGACAAGGCGCTGCCCCTCCTCCGCCACCTGCCAATCACGATGAATTCATCAAGTCCCTGGTCCCATCATTCTTGAGTATGGATGTTGATGGCCGCGTGTGTCGCTTGGAGTCCTTCTCCAAGGTCATTGCTCCTGGCAGTCGTGTTGGATGGATCGTCGCTTCTGAGCAAATGGTCGAGCGATTTGTCCGCACATTCGAGGTCTCCTCACAAAATCCCAGCGGTATTTCTCAGGTCGTTCTCTACAAGCTTCTGGATGAGCACTGGGGCCATACCGGCTACTTGGACTGGCTGATTCACCTGCGCCTGGAGTACACCAACCGTCGGGACGCTTTGCTTCATTCTTGTGAGAAGCATCTGCCGACTGAAATTGCTCACTGGGTAGCCCCGGCAGCAGGCATGTTCGTAAGTCAACCATATCACCAAATGTTGAGATGGAAGTGGACAGTACTGATGATCTTTAGCATTGGATTGAGATTGATTGGAAGAAACATCCTGGAGCCGCTGCCGGCAAGTCACGAGAGGAAATTGAGGAGGCAATTTTCCTTTCCGCTGTGGACAATCAAGTCCTCCTCTCGTGTGGAAGTTGGTTCAAGGCCGATCGCTCGGCCGTCATGGACAAGATGTTCTTCCGTGCCACATACGCCGCTGCCTCGTCAGAGAAGATCGACGAGGCCATCGCTCGTTTCGCGAAATGTCTCCGCGATCAGTTTAGCCTCTAGATTGAGCTGGTATCATATGCGTCAAAATGTTTGCTTTCAGCGAGGTCACGTGAATGGCACTTTGATATTAGCTCACTGCGTTTCAAAGCATGACTCGAAAAGAGTCTTTCCGACATTTCATCATATATTCTACGTATACCCATATATTCTACGTATACCCTCTTTCTTTATCTTCGAGAAGATAATTCTCACATCAAAGTCATCATCCCGTAAATGATTCTGATTGACTTAGAATCTCAGACACAAAATGTAAGTGCCATACCTAGTAGCCTGAGTGCCTGACTCAAGTTTAGATGCTCTGGTGCCTAATTAGCAAGGCGTAAAAATATTGACACCTCAGGCTGTACACAATCGTGCGATAGCGCACACGTGATCTTGGTGTTTCATATCGCTCACGACCACCAACATTCGAGAAACATTTAGTAAGTATATTTGCTACCGTCCTGTATTCAGTCTTCTCTGAGTATAAGTCCAACGAAGTTGTCTTCTGTATTTCTGAAATGAACAAAAACTAAGAGGCTTTCCGAGTTTTGACATCTTTCATCAATCGATGTAGCCAGGGATTGATCCGAGTACACCCACTTCGTTTGGCACTATAGAAGGTGAGTACAGTGTGAACACAGAACAAGTGATCAAAATGCTTGTTCAGTTCACGTGCTTGACGCACCTAAACGAATCGTTTGGGCTGTCACGTCAGTGTCGTTTCTTCAACTACGGCTCTCACTTTTCCTTTCCCTCTCCTCAGCTCTTCCTATTTTCCAAGTTCACTTCTCCCTCGTTCACTACGCAATACCCACAACGACCATACACCAGGACGTCCATTTGCGACTGAAGATCAAGATGGCTGATCAGAACTCTCAGGATTCTCTCGGCTCTAAGGGGCTTTCTAACAAGTCCTCTCCATCCGAGACTGATCTTGCTATCGAAGGAGATCGCTTTGGCAACTCTGCCGTGTTGACGAGTCTGCACGGAGGCACTGTGACTGCTCTGCCATTTCTGAACCGCCAGAGTACTCAAGAACCAGCGTCTCTCGCTCTACTTGCGTAAGTCCATTGTTCTGCAGGATTCGGCATGTTTCTGTCTCACAGCTGTTTCATTTACGCTTCATTCTCGCCTCGTTTCCAGCTCACGTTCGACTCACTAATCCACATTGTCTGAACAGTGAATCTTCTACTCGCTTTCAGCTGCCGAGAATCTTCCCAACAGACGGTACGCCTCGTCAGAAAGCTGAGACAGAAGACAGCTTGTCAAGCGGGTGGGAGACTGAGAGTTCTTCTTCCGAGGCAGCCATCGATCCCCGTGCCCTCCTCTCTGACCTGCTTGACCGTCTTGAAGAGGCAGCGTCCGGATCTCCTGTGCCTGTCTCCCAGTCAGCGCTCGCGTCATCTTCCAAGTACTTCGCTCAAAGGAATTCTGACGAAGACGAAGACAACAAGTCTGAGGACTTGCAGGCCCTGAAGCCTTACCCTGGGTCTGCTGGAGCAAGTCCACTCTCTGGTGCGGTCCCAAGCAGAACCTTTACTCTCAGCAAATCTTATAGAGTGCTTGTGGACAACTGCCCCTCGACTTGCTCTGAAAAGAGCCTGAACCTGGAGAAAAACAGCACAAGTTCACAGGCTGTAGAAGGTTCTTGCGCTAGCGCCAAAGCTGACGCGACTCCACCTGTGACGCCTCAGCCCAAACGCTGTCAAGAGAGAAAGGACCTGACGCCTGTCTTGTCTCCATTCCTGTTCGGTCCCTTACCAACTCCTACCGCACACCGACAGTTCATCACAACGTCACCCTCCCAGTCTCTGGCCCTTGCGAAGTCAGCTTCCCCTCACAAGCCCACTCCCACTTCGCCTCCGCCACAAACTCGACAAAGCCTACGCAAGGGAGCCTCAACACGATCGAGACTTCACCTCTCTGATCTGTTCAAGAAGCGTCAATCACCAAAATAATCATTGATAAAGGCAACGAATCCAGTTTGTGGGCAAGCTTGTCACGATAATTGTACAACTTCTGTTGTTCATCAGTCAAGCACCTTTACTTCATTTAAAAGCTTCAGTTGATTCAAAATGGATTCTCGAGGGTCACTACTGTTAGACCCATCCTCCGCGATGGCTGCAATTACCCGGCACAAGGCAGAAGCAATCAAGCTGGCACGAGAGCAAGGGATAGCGGTAAAAGAGATGTGCCGTCGCGCAAAGACAGACGTGCCTCCTTACGAGTTTGAGGAACTGATTGGCAAAGGTGCTTATGGACGCGTCTACAAAGGCAGAGAAGCGCCTTCTGGCCGACTGGTTGCCATCAAAGTACTTGACGTCGATAAGTTAGATTATAACACGCTGCGCGACTTCCGTGATGAATCTATCAAAGACTTCATCCACGAAACCAAGGTCATGAAACAAGTGAAGGACTCGGGAGCGAAGAACATCAACGAAATTATCGAAGCCATTTCCATTCATTCCCAGCTATGGCTGGTTTGCGAATATTGCCCAGGAGGTAGTGTGCGGACTTTGGTGAGTCATGCTGTCTCTCAGTGATTGATCAAGCCACTTATCTTGGCGCAGATGCGCGCGACAAATGACAGACTTGAAGAGAAATACATCATTCCAATTGCGCGGGAACTTGCAGTCGGCTTGCATGCAATTCACGAAGCTGGCATCATCCATCGAGATGTGAAAGGTACGCGAAGTGATAATGAATCATATCAGGATAGTCTCAAAGCTGCTAACTAGACTTTGTAGCTGCAAACATTCTCATTCACGAAGAAGGCCGTCTGGAAATTTGCGACTTTGGAGTCGCAGGTGTTCTACAGTCACAGCGCGACAAGCGATCGACTTGGATTGGAACACCTCACTGGATGCCACCTGAGATGTTTGCAACTCGCGGAGAAGCCCATAAGTATGGTAGCGAGGTAAGACTTCACACTCAATTACCCTTCGGAGGCAAATTCTAACTTAGCTTCAACTTGGCCAGATTGACGTCTGGGCATATGGGTGCACTTTGTTTGAATTTGCCACGGGAAACCCACCAAACTCTGGCCTTCGTGAACGCATGCAAATTGGACGACAGCTCCATCGAAACACACCTAAGCTTGATAGTGCTGGCTATAGTGATGGACTGAAAGACCTCATTGCATTCGCACTAGATTCAAATCCCGCGACTCGTCCAACAATGGCAGACATTCTTGCCCATCCATACATTGCCAATACGGAAGAAGAGTACCCCACATCATCAGTGAGCGAACTCGTGCGAAATTACTATCAGTGGTCACAAAGAGGTGGCCAGCGAGTTTCGCTTTTTCATCCAGGAGGTGCTGCAGCAGCTGAACTTCCAGGCACTGAAGAAGCCGAGGATGATTGGAACTTTAGCACTACTGATGGGTTTGAACGCCGCTTTTCGGTCATTGACCTGGATCAAATTGCCGCTTCACTTGCAGCATTGGAAGAAGATATTAGTCCTACTACCCCGCTCTCCGAGAGTGAACTTACCGAAGACATGCCTGACATTGATATGGACCCTGAGCAGAAGGCCAATTTTGATGAACGAGTGAGACGAGGCGCTGCGGCAATGGAAGGCCTCTTTGATGAGGAAAAGCCAAGCTACAAGTACGAAACAAAGAATGACTTCGTGCCAATACAACCTCTCCAACCGGTATCAGATTTGCCTCTGCGCACTGAGACTGATCGTTCGTCCGTGACATCCACATTCATTGACATTGATATTGGGTCCTTTGATTCATCACACTACGCAGCAGGCACACCATCGGCGCAGCCTTTTCAGCTCGCCAACGCGGACACTATCCGAGCCAACCGGTCGAGTCTTCGAGGTCACCGCAACTCGAATGAGAACAGTTCTCAGTCGTCCAACAGCGACGCGGAAGGGAGTGACTCTCATGAAGAGACCTTCAAGCCCTCTGGACCGCGGCCTCCGACAATGGACTGGAAGTTCCCTGGATTCATGCTACCAGAAGAGGAAGTGGCGAAAGAATCTCTCAAAGAAATACCTGAACCAGAACCAGAACCAGAACCAACACCAGCACCAGCAACGGCACCAGAGCCTGCCCAGGATCGTTCGTTCCAGGCCGAAAAGCGAGCTACCATGGAGTGGACCTTCCCAGTCATGTCAAGTCAAGCGGACGAGGCTATCTCTGGTCACAATGAGGTTGGACACCTCGAAACTCTGCGAGCGCCACATGTTTCCCAGCCCCCGCCTATTGAAGAGCTTAGCATTTCTCGCCCATCTACCTCCGCATCACATACTTCTACCATGTCCGATTCTGACTACGATCCCTTCCGATTTGACCGTCCCACGACCCCTCAGGCATATCTGCCGCAACGTGGAAGCTCATTTGACTCGGCTTTCCCGGTTATGACCGAATCAACCGATGATGAGGGCTCGGACTCAGCAGGTTTGCTTGATGGACCAGGGCCGGACGAGGAAGATGAACATCCTCTCTGGTCTGAAAACACTGAGATTTTCTCTGAGAACAATATTCCTCCGTTGCCGACTGCTATTCCATTTCACGGAGGTCACAGAGGTCCTCAACCGTCAGCATCAGAGCCAGGATCTCCAATCTACGATGAGCCCTTGCAGACTGCTCGTCGAGATTTCAATCTAATCCGGAATCCAGAGCCTCCATTCATCTCCTTTCCGCCTGTGTATCCTCCGAGCATGGAAAGCCTGATGGAGGGAGCCGACGATGCTACTATTACAGCGGAGCTAGACAGGCTATTGGGCGACTTCCTCGGCGCACTCTCCGCCACTGGAATGGCATTATCGACGACTACTACTGAAAGACAACGGAAGCCTGGTTCTTTTGCCGAGACAATTTGACGGTCTGTTGTCAGTTAGATATTCGAAGGCCAGGCTTCTTGAAACCTGTGCACTAGTGGAGTTTCATGCAGGAATGGTCGCTTTGACCTAATCAGTGAATCAAGCTAGGTGTCAGTGTAGACAGGTGAAGGATCAATGGTTTTTCTGTCCTAGAAAGTCATATTCTAATGTCGAGTCGAAGCTAATATCATACTTAATTTGTCCCGTCTCTTTGACTTCGAATTATCATACCCGATATTTCTGAACTAACGAATTTGAGTATTCTTTGATCATCATCTGAAAGCATGGCCGTCCTTGAGGGCTCACTATCAACCTTGCCTCTCACTCACTCGAGGGGAGTCCTCTGCCTCCAACTGAAAGTGACGGCAGAATGTTTGCCCTCTATACCCTTTTGGAACGTTTCCACTGGCCCCATGTGCGTGCATGTACGTGGACGTGTCTCTTCCTGCTCCCACTGCACACGTCCCACCTTCTTTGTTTCCTCTCTCTCTTTGTTTTCTCACTTTTCTCCCCAATTTCCACGAGCATTTCGCATCTTTCCACGCTTTTCGAGTCCACTCTTGTCTGAAGTGCACGATTACAGACAACATGTTTGGGCTCGGCCCCAACGCTTCCTTCGCTTTTCCTTCAAAGCCACCGCCGCCCAAGACTCCGAAAGAATGGCAGGCGGTCTTGCAGGAGGTTAAGCAGCTCTACGAAAACCGGCAATACAAGCAATGTGCTGCTCGAGCCACGGATCTTCTTGCGGCTACCAAAGGGAATAATGTAAGTGACTTGCATGAATAACTCATAAGGAGATCTTCGGATCGTATCCATGAGACTGATACCACTTATTATAGCCTGAGCCCATCTATGCAAGCTACCTTGCCTTTCATGCGGCAGTCTCATTCGAATACCTTGGTTCGACTGCCCATCTCTTTTCCAGCAAGAAGGTTACCTTCCTTGAATCGGCTTTGAACTCGTTTCTGGACTGTCTGTCAACGCTCCCAGCCTCGGCCGAGCTGCCTACGAAGGTGAACAGGGTTGTTGCAACTCCCCCACCAAGAGAGAAAGTGGTAGCTTTGCCCTCGTCACCCCGCACGCCTTCAAATCGCGTGAAACCTGAACGAACACCAGCTCGAGAGACGATTTGGGAGACTGCTTCGTTTGATGATCTGCAACGCCTTATCGAAAAGTCTCTCGCTATTCAGCAAGCAACTGCGAGAGAGTATGCCGAATACGCCCAGAGAGTGCGTGCTTTTGCTGCTGAGCACAGGGACGAGACCCCATTTGTTCGAGCCTGTCTGGCATCAGCTGAAGGGTTGGAGAGACATCCCCTTTTCCGACTTAAACTACCATCACCTCCATCTGACCGCCAGCATTCATCTACTCCCAAAAAGGTCCTGATGCCATCCCCACTCAAGATCACAAAGCCTGACGAGTCGCGCCCTGTGCAGCCCACCCGGGAGCCTCCTGATTCCGGGACTCCTTCAAAGCCAGGGAAGCGGGACTGGGTTGATTGGTCCTCGAGCGCACTTTTGCCCGACTCTTTCCTTGACGAGGACCCCGTCATCGATAAAGCTGGTGTTCAGGCCAAGGCTGAACTGCCAGGAGGGGAGAAGCTGTTCGTCCCTCGCCCCAACAGCAACCCTCAAACACCTGTGGTGAACCAGGTCTATGACATACGACCGGACAGCAGCACTCTGGGGATCTTTGATAACCTGATCCATGTCCCCGATGCTCACCAGGACGATGAGTCAGACATGCCTTCCACTCCTTGTCCTAGTCCCCGGATTCGCCGTCAAGCTCACGGACGCGCCAGAAGTGAAGAGACAGCCCACGATGGCTATGTTCAAAGGGCCAGTGGAAGTGAGACCCCGCTAGATCCCGTTCAGATGGCACGGACTGTCAAGTTCAACCGCCACGTTGAGCAGGTCCGGTCTCACATCAAGGACACTGTCTCGGAGCTTCGGGTGCACTTGGACCGGGTGCTTGACATCCAACACACCCGCCGCGCTCGAAAGATGCAGCGCGCGCAGTCATTTTGGAGCTTCACTCCCGCAGGTTCCGCCGAAGAGGCGGGGGAGGCCGCCCCTCGTGAATCCTCTCTGGACGCATTTGGCAATGCTGTGAGTAATGAGACCAAAGAAGAGCGAATTGCGCGGTTGCGCGCTGAAGGCTGGAGAACCGTCGGTCTTCGTAATCCGGAAAGCGCTTGGAAGGGATCTCATTATTACAAGGAGTTTTGTAATATGGTCCTGAATGAGCTGACGCTGCAGGAGTAAGCTGGACCTTGCTGGTGGTCAGATGTTTCCATCCCCCGCCTCTGTTTGTTCAAGTATTGATTGATGTGAGAGTACTACGTTTTACCAGTCTCTACTGTTCATGTACACGTGAAGTGCATGTCAGGTGTGGCTGATTGAGCGAGATGATACCCCTTAATGCATGTATTCTTAATTCTGATGGACTTTTCCATTGACGAGTCTCGTATGGGGTGAGACGAAAAAAGAACAATGACATTTTGATTGTCTCGCATTGAAGAGGAATCACTAAGATTCTCATGACCCATGGTGCTGGACTTGACTGCCAGACTAGGAACCCCTGAGCTTTCATCCAGGTACAGCCCAGCCGCGGGACTCGTAATGTTAATCGACAATCCAAGATCGGACGTCGGTAGTAGGATACGATCTGTTCGATGCACATCACAGCCCTTTGCTCAGCACTGTGCCAAGACCCCCTGCAAGTCCCTGCTTTCCAAAAAAGTCACCGAGTTCGTTGCCCAATTGATCTTGGATCTTGCTCAGATTCTGATCCTCGACCAACTTCTTCGCCGTGAGACTCTGTGCATCATGCGAGACACGGTGTTAGTGGAGCAGAAGGACTCGGATACATCCCGTCCCAGTAAGGTTGGAAATTTAGATTGCACTTACTCTTCAGACCATAAGATACTTTGCTTTCACCCATCGCCTCGAGGAGCATCTCTTGGAGTTGTTTCTGGTATGGATCTAGCAGACCAGTGACCCAGGCTCCGATCAAGATAAGCTGCGAGACGATATAGATGACAAGAGACCACATATTGGGCGCGAAGGGAAGCCTTGAATCTCAAGAGACGGGGACAAATTGATCGAGTATAGAAAATGGGGCCAAGAGCCTCGACTTTGAAACTTTGCAGGGCGTACCGGTAAGAGTGGAGGCTCCTCTATGCCTCATCGTCGAAGGTGAGACTGATCATGATAGAGTATTTATGGGTTGAGCCCTGGATGCATGCCCGTGCAACGCTTGTAGGTGTACTTGTGGAACCGATGACGTGCAAGGCGGAGGCCCAGCGTATTGATGACATGATGCCCGGGCTGCAGCTGCAGTGCGGCTTTCTATATGTGTACTACAAGCTTTGTAGGACAAAGTACCAAGTTTAAATTGCAGGTCAGATTACGGACATATCTGAGTCGGCATAGCTGACGCGCAGTTGCATTATACCCTACACTATGTGCTTGCATAATGATTTCCTCTTCTTATCCTCGATGTCTAAATGGAAAATCCAAAAGAAAGTAAGTCAGCAACCCCTGAATGAGTCAGTACAGTACTCAGGAAGTCAGTAGTAGTCTACTAGTTAGTAGTTACGAGTATTGAACCCTGACTTTGAATCGTTGAATGCACGGTCACCATGTATTCTTGGTTGCAGCCTTGGCACTTTTGCAGCTGTGGCTGTGAAGTGGAGACACAGGTCAATGTTATTGTTGCTGCCTGACAGGTTTGGCGCCGCCCAGTTTGTGGCTGGGCTCTTCCAGCTTATGTCCTCGATACAGGTAGTTGCTTTTCAGGAATATATATGATGAAGCCCAGCCGGGAATTTCATCTAGGTGGGACTTGATCAGAGGTCCTCTCCATCAAGAACGGAATAAAAGTTGACCTCAGAGCAAGAATCTGCGCTGGATCCCGCCCGGTCCATTCATGCATGGATAGCTTGGCTAGCTACATGGCTAGTGGAGCTTCGGAAGGATTCAGAAAAAGCAGCTCACCACCTGATAAAGCAGGACTGTATCAGAACCCTAGAACTGGCTGGTAACTGAAGCACGAGATGGGTCGTGGCGGTGCAGATGGTGTTCAGCCGTTATTCGGGGCCAAGGCGTGTTGATTGTTGGATCGGCTAGTAAGTGTTGTTGTAATATACTGATATAGACTTGTACTACTACAGTATACCAATATGTCCATTCTTTTGCAACGACCCCTCGCACTGGGTGACCAGTCTCGAAGAAATGTAGCAGGATGAGATTGACAACACGCCTCAACTTCGTCACCATTACTTGAGTCGTGATACTCGATGATCGAATCGATTGGTACGTAATTGACTACTACTAGTAGAGTCTCCTAGTCTACTAAGTCGGTCTAGTACGACAGATTAGTTATAACCGACGGCACTACTTGATACTTATAGACGACTACTACTACTACTACTACTACTACTACTACTACTACTACTACTACTACTACTACTACTACTACTACTGCTGCTGCTGCTGCTGCTGCTGCTGCTACTACCACTACTACTACTGCTGCTGCTGCTGCTGCTACTGCTACTACCACCACCACCTAACTTACTGGTACCTACTAGGTACTAGGCACGAAATATTACTCCTCCTATCGAGTGATTTGAGTATAAGGTCCCTTACAGCCAATGATGGTACAAAAATAGAACATGTATACGAGTACTGGTACGACGGACTAGTGCTCAGGTACTGTAGGGCTGTAGCCTGTTGACATCGGGTACCCGCTTCGACGTGATGGTTGACCAGCTGGGTCTAGTACAGGTACAAGGTCTGTGCCTTTCCGGTACTCCAGTTGTTCCTTTGCGCATGGGTATATTTCAAGAGACTCATAACATGATAACAGTATGTCATTCAACGTTCTCGAATCTTGTCGCCCGACGGCCTATTTCATTAATGTGCACTTGGTAGTGTACGCTTCTGCTGACAGTCGTGACTGTTGCATTGGAGTTTTATTGAATGTCCACTATTCACTGATTCAATGCTCTCCCGCCTGGCGATTCTTCTTCCTCATCTCCATTCCCTCTGCATCCATCTTGGCCCGCATCCTATTGCTCGGGGTGGAGGTATTCCTCGTAGAGTCGTAGGCTCCCAGTCGTAAGTACTCAAGTAGTATTGCCTGTGCCTTCTCTCCACCCTCGTGCCGAGCCACCGATGCATCCTCGTTGCAATAGGAGATCCGAGTCGAGTGAGAACCCACTTGCCTGTCACTAGCATCACTAGCAGTCAGATCCGGTCAAAAGAAGCTCCTCCGAGTCTCCTCCTGCTCTACTGGTCGTATCACTTCACTGGAAGACTCAAGCCCCGTCCCATCAGGGGTGAAACACTCCGCCCCTGGTCAACGGGTCCCAGCCAGAGTCCAGAGCGGCTGAGAAGGTCAACTTTGGTTCCGTGATTCCACCCCCCAAACACACCTGACCATCCAGCTCCAGCTCCAGCTCGGCTTCCTCAAACCACTGCTCCTCCACCAACATCCAACCTGGACTGCTCCTCTTGCTTCTCCCATCGACAGAACAAATACCAGCACTCTTCCGCCCATCCTCATCATCCTCCTCTACTTCTCTTTCCTCTCTCCCCCCTCCTCCTCCGGGTTCTTTTTTCCCTCCCCTTCTCTCTCTCTCCCTCTCCCTCCCTCTCCCCTCTCCCCTCTCCGCTGCGGGGTCCGATAGCCCACCGATCGCTCATCGACAGAAAACCTCTCTGCCTCTTCAACTCCATTGCATAAGGAGATACCCCCCCCCCCCGTCAATTCATTCCAAAAGCACCTGCTGTTATCTCTTTCTCCTTTTCACCATGAGTTGTGAGTCTTCCTCGTGTCGCGTCTTCCCCTGCTCGTCCTTTTGCGCAACCTGGTCGATTCCGATCTTGTCGGCGTCGGCATCGGCGTACGCACCAGTGCCCCTCTCAGGTGCATGCTCCGTGAAGGTTGCTGGGCTGCCCCTCCCCCTCTCCGTGAGCGGTACATCCGCTTGATCGGCGTGGCAGGCGCATGGTGTCATGAGATCTGCCGAGCGGATGTAATTCCATGCTTGCGATTCTTTTTTGTGTGCACCGCTGCTGGCTGTGGCATATTGCTTTACGGATCTCGTTGCTGCGCTGTCTCTCTGCTGCAACCAGGGTCAGCTCTTTTTTACATTTCCTCGTTTGCTCCCTGCTTCGCCTGCTCGGTCGAGTTGATGCCCTCGGTCGAGATGAGACAAAGGGTCTCTGTAAGATCAACGGACGGATGTGTACATGAAACTGACGGATTGACCTCTACAGTCGCAACGATGTTCAACAAGCTGGCCGGGCAGCCAGAGAGCTATGAGAAAAAGTAGGTGTCGTCCGGGCATAATAGCATGCGAATTCTCCGCGACGCCTATTGACTCAACCTGCTTGATCACCTCTATAGGGCGCTCTACAAATTCGGCCGAACCCTCGGTGCAGGCACCTACGGAATCGTTCGCGAGGCGGAGACGGCCGATGGCAAAAAAGTCGCAATCAAAATCATCTTGAAGAAGAATGTGCGTGGCAATGAAGGCATGGTCTATGATGAGCTGGAGATGTTGCAGAAGGTCAAGCACCCTCACATCGTGTCGTTTGTGGATTGGTTCGAGTCCAAGGTGAGCACCGCTCCGTCCCCCTCACCATGATTCCCCTCCCCCATTGGCGTCCACGCCCGCTGAACTGGTCGCTCTAGGACAAATTCTACATCGTTACTCAGCTTGCCACCGGTGGAGAATTATTCGATCGAATTTGCGAGTATGGAAAATTCACGGAAAAGGATGCGTCCCAGACCATTCGTCAGGTTCTCGATGCCGTCGACTACCTTCACAAACTCAACATTGTTCACCGGGGTGAGTGCTCAGTCGTCTCGTGTCAATATGTGGAAAACAACCCCTTTGCTAATTCCCTGGCATTGCGCGCCGGGTAGACTTGAAACCGGAGAATCTCCTCTATCTTACACGCGATCCCGATTCGGAGCTCGTCTTGGCTGATTTCGGTATCGCCAAGATGCTAGAGAATTCCGCAGAGGTGCTCACCAGCATGGCTGGATCCTTTGGTTATGCCGCTCCGGAGGTCATGCTCAAGCAGGGCCACGGAAAAGCCGTGGATATGTGGTCCCTGGGCGTTATCACCTACACCTTGCTCTGTGGTTATTCCCCGTTCCGATCGGAGAATTTGACCGACTTGATCGAAGAGTGCCGAAGCGGCCGCATCATTTTCCACGAGCGATACTGGAAGGATGTCTCGCAAGACGCCAAAGATTTCATCCTCAGTCTCTTGGAACCAGATGCCCACAAGCGGGTGACCTCGGAGGAAGCTTTGAAACACGAATGGCTGACTGGAGAATCCGCCGGTGATCGTGATCTGCTACCCGAGATTCGCGCCTACATTGCCCGGGCTCGCCTCCGCCGCGGTATCGAGATTGTCAAGCTGGCCAACCGCATCGAGGCACTCAAGATGCACGAAGAGGAAGGTCAAGAAGACATTCCCAGTCCTATGGAGATGGCCGGCAACGCCGCGTCTGCTGGACCTACCGAGGGGGGCGAGAGCGATGCCACTTCCCCTTCTACCAAGAAGCGCAGTCTCAGCAAGCTCGGTAACGGAGCCATCTTCCGCGAGGTGGTTCTGGCCAAGCTTCGGGATGCCAAGGAAAATGAAGAGCGAGAAAAGATCGAACGAGAGGCTCGCGAGAAGGCGTCACATCATTAAAGTAGTGATCGGCGGGTCAAACACTTGGACATGTTTTGTCCCTGTGGTTTTTTTCCTCCTTTTCTTTTCGTTTTTTTTTCCCCTCTTTTTCACACTGCTTGTGACGGTTCAGCTGGTTCATGGAACTTCATGCTCCCCTATTTTATTTTCAATTGTGGATATAATTGTGTGATTCCCCCCCCTCATCTATTCCTATTTTTGCGGAAATTTTCGCCTTGCCGGATGAAACGGTCGAATAGTACGTGTTATCAAGCATTCAGGACTCTTCAATCACCAGTATCCAAGTTTCTGTAACGCCTTGTTCTATCTACCAACGTCCTTTTAATCAAAAAGCCCGCAATTAGTATCGGTGGTCAACGGAGGGAGAGGCTTCACTTCTCACCTAGGATGGAATTTCTCGACGGTTTTGCAAGATGCCTTGATCGCTCGTCCGTACCTGTGCTAGACCTTGCTCGGGACCAAGGTTCTGTCAGGTTGTCAGTCTCGAACTTCTGAAGTTTTCGGAATTCCTGCAACCCAAGTAAACTGGGTGTCGGGTGTCGGGTGTCTTCTGTCTACTGTCTAAAACACCTAGCACTCTCTCTGATAGGGTATATAGAGTCAAGTTTGCAACTTCTATTCTTCCTCTTGTTTTGATCTTCTTCTCCTCAGTCATACAAGATAGAACAATAATCAGATCAGATTGTATAGAATCCTAATTGTCAGTCTACAAAACTCCAGTAGAACCCTCTAACCGCGCCATCCGAGCCTCCAGGTCACGCACCCAGGGCTCAACAGTATCCACATTTGACCGGAGCGCTTGCTCGCCCTGCTTCATCCGCTCTTCGACCGCGGTCAAGCCTTCGCGCCACTGAACGATTTCGGTAGCCATTTCCGCGTGACGTTTCTCCAACTCATTGAGTGATTCGGCTGCATGCGCTGCGCCGGCATGGCAGGCACGAAGCGAGCGGAGTCGGTCGAGAACGCTCGGAAGGAGAGGGTGAAGAGACTGGATGGTGGGCAACGTGGTGTAGAGCGCTTGGATCTTGGCGATCTGATCATCGTCAATGGAGTTGGACCTGTCTGCCGAGGTGAGTGGGAGGGCATCTGCGTCGGATGAGCCGGAGGCGATGCGAGCCGTCTGGGCGGCCTTGGCGGCGTCGGCGGCACGCTTTCGAGAAAAGGCGAGGGCGTCGGCGTCGGCGGTCATTTTGCGAATTCGTGAGGATAAGGCTTCGAGGTTTGGCGTTGTCGATGCAGCGACTCCTGCATTGGAGTGTGAACCGCCCGCGGCGGGATAATTGGAGCCCATCAGAAGACCGGTCAGCGCGGATAAACGAGAGGTCATCTGGTCGAGTGTCGGCAAGACGGGTTGCAGTGCAGGCTCACTGAAGGCATCCCCGACAAAGGGGTTCGATGAGGTTGAGATGCCTATTGAGCTTTCGAGGAGAGCCAGACGCTCCTCAAATGCGACTGCATGGGAGAGCAGTCCTGCCGATGGTTGTGGCGATGGTGCTCCTGTTGCTGCTGCTGCTGCTGCTGCTGCTGCTGCTGCAGTCTGAGACGAGACGGGTGTCACGGCCGAAATCGTCGTTTCGGCTGTCGACGCGGGCTCGGGCTTTCGCGTCTGGGAATCTGCACTTGGAATCTCGGTCGCGAGTTTGCGAGTCAAGGAATTGGCCGCCGAGTAGTGCGATCCCGCGGCATTGACACGCGATGAAGCATGCAAGTTATCCAACGCCCGACTCAACTCCGCGACGCCATCACCCAGGGACGCTGTCGTTTGACCAGCAGCGTCTGCACCATCCGCGTGAGAATGCGCAGCTTGGCCCTTGCACATGGAGGTCGAGCCGTCCTCTCGGCCCGAACCAGCTCTGTTCTCCATCTGTAATTTCAAATCTTCCACCTCCCGGCGCAGACGTGCCAGCCGTCTCTCGAGAGATTCATCTTCGCTGTCGCTCAGGTCGCCCACTTCCTCGGTCCCATCCTCTCGTAGGCGTCGCCGCCTTCGACTCTTCTCTCGCGTCCGATAGGCTTGACGCTTTGTGGAAATACTATCGGAGAAATTGGCCCCGCGCGCATCGACCGCCGCACCCATGAAATGAAGTCGCGCCTGGTCGGCATTGACCCCCTCGCGATCAATGTCGGAGTTGTAACCGGCGTCGTCATGATCTGAATCGGTTCGAATTGTAGTTGCCTTGAGGGGGTAAAGGTGTCAGCGTTTGGATTACCATGTGGTCAGACAACATAAGCGCTCAGGCTGAGCTGTGCGGAGGTAGGGCACTTGCGACTCACAGGAATGGTTGAGGCTTCGTCGGTTAGATCAGGGGTTTCGTAGATGTCCGGAGATGGATCCTATCATCAGAGTCAATTTCGGAGGGGGAGAAATGGGAAACCCCCTGATGCACAGACTTGAATGCTCACGCACCAGATCTGGAAGACCAGCGTATTTCTTGTTAAACGCCATAGCGATGTGATTGTTGGCGGGGAAGAGAAAACGCTGCTACCATTAATGTCGACATCAAACTCCCCAATCTGGCACGGGAGCTAAGGGGACCCACTGGGCTCAGCTGCGGACTGGATGGAATTGGAGGTGCCGCTGTGATACATTTGTAAGAAATCGATACCATACAATACAGTGGACAATGATATACTGTATTTGTTGAAAGGAAATGGAGTCAGACCGTCAGACTCAGTACCAAGCTGAAAGCCCCAAGCTCTCCTTGGGAACTCTTTGAGAACCTCAGGCCGCAGTCACGAGAGTCCACCGACGCCAAGACCTCATCATCGCGACTTCCCCTTTGGGACAACCCCAGTTCCCAATTCGGGTCAGCTCAAACGCAGTCACGCACGTGTCAAGCCTCGGAAAGACGGAACCACATGCTGGACCGCTGGACAACGTAACCCCCAAGCTGATCCACGCTACCCTCGCACGCATTGATTTGAGACCGTCGGTCACGGTCAGTTCAAGAGGTATATATACTCACCCTTGTTGTACCTGCTTCTTGCCATCCTGGAGATTTCCTTCTTCTTGTTTTCCACTGTCGTCTACGCTATATCCCCGCAGACCCGCCGCGACTTCCTTGCTTTTGCGGCCAACCTCGCCCCTACATATATAGTCTTTGATACAGATATACTACGCCGCTCTTCATCTTTGCTTTCTCCACTTCTCCCCCTCCCCCGCATACTACTCCTACTACTCTTTAGCTTCACTCATACCATACGAACGGTGAAAGATGGCTGCCCCTGCGTCTACCACAATGAAGAACCTCCAAGGCTCCTGGGTGATGGTACGGGGACAATATTCATTCTACTTCCTCTCTCTCTCTCTCTCTCTCTCTCTCTCTCTCTCCGCGATGAATGTCTACGAAAGACACTTGCTACATCAATCGTTTGACAAGGGACTAACTTTCTCCGGTGTAACCCAGGACTCAACTCTGTCCGACCCTGCCGACCCCATTCTATCTCTGGTAAGCAATCACAAACAAGTGGCCTTCCTCCCACAGGGGCAGGGGCCGAAAAAAAACAGTAAAAAAAAAAAAAAAAAACAATAGCTCTAATGGTTGTCCCTTTTCCCTCCAGCAAGGAATGAGCTGGTTCCTCCGCAAAGCTCTCCCCTATGCCACCGTGACCCTGCATGTGAACGAGTACGCGGACTCGACCAACCCGCAAGTCTACCACATCGACATCGACCAGGTCATCACCGGTGGCATCCAAGGCAGCAAGGAACATCGCCAACTGGACTGGCAAGAGCGCGAGCACGTCGACAACATCTTCGGCAGTCTGCGCGGCAAGTCTCGCTTCCTGCGCGGCTCCAAGGCGGACGATGGCCAGGTCCGGCCGGCGGTTGAGTTCCAGACGCAGGTCGGAGATGCCGAGAGCGATGCTCGGATCCAGCGGTTCTTGCGTGGAGAGACTCTGCTGGATGGCTCTGCTGCGGAGGGATTCATTGTGGACGAGGAGGGCGCGGAGTTTGGTGAAGGCGAGGGATTGTGGATGCAGAGCTTCGTCGTGAATGATGCGAATGGTTGGACTGCTGAGCAGGTGAGTTTTACTTTTTGCATTGTATCCTGCGCACAGTCGCTGTCTTTTCAGATCAAATCACGATGATGACTACGGTGATTTTCCCTCGGAATCCAAACATTGTTCATCAGTGCTGGATGATTTATTTTTCTCTTTTTTTTTTATTCTCTTTTCTTTTCTTTTCTTTTCTTTTTTTTTTTTTTTTGGCTTTGACACCTTTCGCGGGCGCGACATGTGATAACCCGGATACACTAACTATCCCCACTGCAGATCTGGGGTTTCGAAATCATTGACGGACAGCGCCGCCACACCCGTCGGGTGGCCGTGACCAAGGGCAAAAAGGTCGAACTGGCTCGACTGGTGTACAAGTATGAAGGACCCAAGGCTTGAAGTGGAGAAATCAACACAAGGATTGAAAAGGACTTGGGATTGGGCCCATGCTGAGGTATTATGGTAGTCTCGTATCTCGAATATAAACCGAGAGGTTTTCGATCACGCTCACCTCGAAAGAGGAAACAATCCAAATATACACACATACCTCATACCTATTGAAGGACTGTAGTCTCAACAGTCAATTGGCCTTACTCGATCTTTTACTGCTCATCTCAAAAGTTTTTTACGTAACTATGAAAGCTCGCAACGAAACACAGAGTAAAGGCAAGAATCACGCTTCATTTTATGCGACTACCGAGCTCTCCAGGAAACCACCTACTCCGCTGCCTTACGAATGAGTAGGCATCACAACACTAGCCTTGGTGCTGATTGCATCCTCGGACTTCCAGAAGCTAGTCACCGTCTTCTGCTGAGTATAAAATTGCAGGCCGGGCTTGCCGTAGAAAGTGTTGGCACCACCACCAGCAATACTCTTCTTGTTACCGGTGAAAGAGAACATGGGCAGTGGCACGGGAATGGGGACGTTGATACCCAGCTGGCCGGCTTCAATGTCCTTTTGGAACTTCGATGCGGTGGAGCCCGAGCGGGTGAAGATGGCGGCACCGTTGCCGTACTCGTTGGCGTTGATCAGGCTGATGGCGTCATCGAGGGTCTCGACGTTCAGGCACACGAGGACCGGTCCGAAGATTTCCTCCTTGTAGCATCGCATGTTGGGGGTCACATTGGTGATGATGGTTGGGCCGACCTAAGAGGGAGACGCAGAAAGAGTTAGCCCAGATTTCGATGTGGGCTCATGAAGCTTTTGGGGGCAGTCCTTACAAAATTACCGTTGGGATACTTTTCCGGCTTGCAGTTGCGTCCATCCAGCAGGATGGTCGCACCCTCCGCCTCAGCGCTGTCGATGAGGTCCACGATACGCTTCTTGCTCTCGGGACTGATGACGGGGCCGAGATCGGCCCCCTCCTCAAAGCCACCGTTGACATTCAGCGCCTTGGCCCGCTCGGCGATCTCAGGGAGCCATTCCTTGGTCTCGCCGACCATGACGGCCGTGCTCAGGGCCATGCAACGCTGACCGGCAGCGCCAAAGGCAGCGCCGACAATGGCGTTGAGGGCGTGGTTCTTGTTGCAGTCGGGCAGGACCGCGGCGTGGTTCTTAGCGCCCAGATTGGCCTGCACGCGCTTGCCATTGGCCGAACCGCGGGTGTAGATATACTCACCTGCCCGATTGCTCCCCACGAAGCTGATGGCCTTGATGGCCGGCTCATCCAGGATGAAGTCGACCGTGCGGGCGGCCCCGTGAACAATGTTGATCACACCGGGCGGGAAGCCCGCCTCGCGAGCCAGCTCAGCGAGAATCATAGCCGCACCGGGGTCCCGTTCGGAGGGCTTCATGACCAGACAGTTGCCAGTCGCGGTGGCGATCGGGATGCACCAAAGCGGGATCATAGCGGGGAAGTCTTATCACGATGTTAGTAGTGGGGTCTCATCGGGTACAGTACCACTCAGTGTGGAGCTACTTTCGTGATCGTGATCAGCCGGAATTCCACAAATACTTACTGAATGGGCAGATAGCGGCCACCACGCCGAGAGGCTCGCGATAGCTTCGAGTCTCCATGTCCTTGGCCACCTCGAGCACTTCGCCGGTCATCTGGGTAGTGATACCGCAGGCCGTCTCGGCGACCTGCAACCCACGAAGAACATCACCGCGGGCGTCGGCAAAAGTTTTACCTTGCTCCAGAGTGATCGACGCAGCCAAGCGGTCCCAGTTTGCTCGAATCAGATTGGTGAATTTGAAAAGGATCTGCTGTCGGGCCATGATGCTCGTTGCTCGCCAGGCCGGGAAGGCCTTCTCGGCGGATTGCACGGCGGCCTTGAGCTCTTCATCGGTGCTCTGGGGCACACGGGTGACAAGGTTGTTCGTGGCTGGATCGTGAAGGTCGATCCAAGTCGTGGCCTGAGAGCTGACAAACTCATTGTCGATGAAGTTGGCGGTATCGATCGGGTTGGAGATCTGGGTGTGGTCCGTCGGATATTCCGTGGCCGTGCTCGCAGCCGAGGTGGTGGCCGGAGTGAACTGTTTGGCCGTGGCGTGTAGTCGACGGGCAGCAGACATCGCCGCGGGTGTAGAAATCTGGGATTGAGAAGACAGACGCGATACGGGGGTGGATGTGATGCTGAGAGAGCGAGCACTGCCGACTCGGGTGGTGACTGGCGTGCGGGGAGCGGAGCGGAGAGCGGGGATGGTCCTCGACAAGGACCGACGGGCGGCCATGATGGGGAGGGGTAGATGGACGAGTTCAGAGGAACCCGGATGGTTCAGGAGACGGGGTCAGGGTGCGATTGGGTGAGAAGAGGAGGTGAAGGGAAGTGCAGCAAGGCGCAGGATGCACTGGGCCAAGATGCGGTATTACGTGGCGAGGGAGAGGCAGAGGAGGGTAGGAAGTAGAAAGAACGGCGAGTCTGGACATCGACGTGTGACGGATTTAATAAATGGAGCAACCCCAATGAGGAGAACAGAGAACAGAGGGTGGTTACCCCAGGCCCGAGGTCAACCGCGCTTCTTCCCGCTCTCCACGGGGCTGGTTGACCGCCGCGGAGACCGTCCCCAACATCCGAGAGCGAGAGATTGATTGCCTTGAAGGTACCTCTGAGGCTCTTCCACCTCAGGTCCCTTTTCAATGGTCCAGGCTTCCGTGTCATCTGTCCAAGAAATTCACCTATCATTGAAAGAGCACCAGATCATGGCAGTCAAAGAGACGACTATCGTTCGATATCACTCCCTTCGGTACTCATGGAAAAGTTAAATGGCAGTTACAGGAGTATGTGATCATAGGACCCCGACGAGGTATGCCTAACTCTGCCGGCAGAACTAAGGTACCCGTATATCAGGGAGCCGAGATCACAATCGACAGAGTGCGCTTGCAGATAAGCTACTACCTTACTGTTCGGCAAAACAGACCAATCAGGATTCTCACGATCGTTTTCGAATCGCCGAGGCTGCCCGCTCTGAGAGGCTCTCCGGAATGGTACAGAACGCGCCCTACGGGACCGCGCAGGCTTGGGACCACCGCGTTCGTCTACAGTCTACACTATAGAGCCCAGACTACAGAGGACCTACATTATACACAGTATAGATGGCAATGGTTGTGGTGGACAAAAGCAAATGTAGAGACATACGACGGAGGTCAACATCGACTACAGTGACAAGCTTCACATATCAACCTCGAAGGAATCTTCATCCTCGCGGCTGACCTCTCTGGAGCGTCCGTGCGGACTTCCATGGCGATGACCTACATGTACTAATGTAGGGTCGTCTTGCTGACGGGATATGTTATTCCCTATACGACTGCAGATTATCCGATCGATATGCGAATCAACATCTACATATAGCAGCATCCATGCAAGAGACGATCAATTTCACCAGGTCTTGAATTTTTGCGGTATCGTCTCACTCAACCGGGGAGACACTACCTGAGAAAAATAGAACTACAATTGCTCAAGTGCACAGATGGCATGATCAAGGGGGAATAAGAAGAGGCGAAGGAAATCAACAACAGGGTAGAAGTCAGAGCAAAGGAAGGAGAGAACCGATAGTCAAGCCCCCCTTTGGTGGTCACGCTTGGAGGGGAAAAAAAGAGGGTCTCGTGATTTACTCCGCAGAGGAGCGGGTGGTGCGCTTGGTAGCACCACCCTTGCCGGTGTCGGCAGAGGAGCTGGAGGCCTCGCCCTTCTTCTCCTTGACAGCGGTCACGGGAGCCTTGCCCTTCTTCTGGGCAGGAGCAGGGCTGCTGGAGCCGATAGCGCCCACGATGATGAGGATCGAGGTGAACAGGAGGGCAGCAAGGCCGCCAGCAACCTCGGGGACCGTCTTAGCAGCATTGATGGGATCCTCCTTGGCCAGACCGATGAAGTGGTCGACCTTCTGGCGAACAAAGGTTACGGGGTCCTCCTTGAAGCTCACCGTGGTTCCCTGAGTGGCAGGGTCCTCGGGCTTGGGCTTGCTGGCCTCCTCCTCAGCCTCTTCAATGGGGAACTTGACGTCGAAAGTCTCCTTGCGTAGTTGTTCAGCTTCCTCGACAGAGTGACCGATATAGATGTTGTCGAACAGAATGTCGTTCTGCATGGTCCAGATCTCGAAACCAATCTATAGGGGGGGAAACAAGGAACAATTAGTACAAGACAGAAAAGGCCAGGGGGCGGGAGGGAACACGTACAGCGCCCATGGGCTCCAAGTTGGAGGGAGTCTTGTCCTCAAAGAAAGCAGGGTTGGGGATCTTGCGGGGCGCCCAGACACCCTTATAGGCGGGGTTGTCGATCATGGGAGCGGACCACTTGCCCTTGTAGGCCGGGTTCTTGATCAGGGGGGGGTCCAGACGCCGCAGCCAGAGACCTCGGAGCACTTTGGGTTGGGCACAGTGGGAGCAAGCCAGTCGCCGTCCTCCTCGTCATCCCAGTCCTCCGGCTTCTCGGCCTCTGGGTCGGGAATGCTGGTCGGCTCATCGTCCAACCAGTCCTCCGGCTTCTCGGCATTCTCGTCGGGGATCTCGTAGGGCGCATCCTCGTCCCAATCAGCAGGCTTGGTCGCCTCGGGGTCGGGGATCTGAGCCTCATCAACCCAGGTGGCGGGCTTCTTGTCCTTGGGGTCATCAATCTCCTTCTCGGGGTTGACGGGAGGAGTGAAGTCCTCCAAGAGGCTACCGGCCTTGACGGACTCGCCATTGACGAGAATCTCGAAAGTCTGATCGGGCTTGACGATCAGAGTATAGAGGGAGGTCACCTTGGAGGTGCGAGCAACCGGGGGAGTCTTGAGATGCTTCTCCTCATACTCGCCGGTCTTAGGGTTCTTGTGACGGAAGATGAAGTGAACCTAGAAAAGAAAAGACAAAGATAAACGGGTTAGCGAGGCCTCATGCACCAGCGACATCCAGCGGATGCGAGGAATGTAGACCAAAAGCAGAATATTGCCCTTGGAAGTCTTACCTTATTGGTAGCACCACACTTGTCGGGACCGAACATGATCACGTAGGGAGTGGCGTTGGAGAACTCCTCCTGGTGGAGCTTCTTGTTCTCCTGGAGGAGCTTAAGGTAGGCACCGCCGCACACCAGAGAGTTCTGAGGCTTGACCTCATACTGGACAACCAGGGTCTTGCCCTTGTTATCAATCTTCTTGGGGAACTTGGCCGAAATGGCGTGATGCGCAGCCACGTTCTTGACCACAAGACCCTTGTCGCCCTCAATTCCCTTGAAGACAGTGGGCTCCTCGACCGCCCACTCGCCGACAAAGGCCCAGTCTTCGTCGGACTTGGGATCATCTTTCTTCGCATGCGAAAGCTTCCAACGGGACTCCCAGTCGTCGGTGAATTGCTCCAGGAAGGGAGCCTTGAGAGCGGAGGGCTAAAGCGACGTAAAGGACGTTAGCGACATCCTCCGAGACGCAAGTGCATTATACGGTATGCGTTAGTCTGGACGTACAGTGAAGGTGGGCTTCTCGATCACAGTGGTGGAATCGGGCTTCGCCTCGACCTCCTCGGCATGAGCATAGCCCATGAGGGTGGCCGAGGTGGCCAGAGCCGTGACGGCAGTATTAAAACGCATGATGAAACTTGGAGCAGATAAAGTGGGGGAGGAGAGAGCGCACAGCACAATCAATTGAGCAGGATGAGGGGGCAGGAAGGCTAGAAGAAGACGACCTGACCGGGAGAAAGAGAGAAGGTAATCAAAGGCGGTGGTTATATACAACAACGCGGTCTGCTACTGGCGAAGGTCCAGGTGGCCTCTTCATGGGTAGCTACCCCTTTGGGACTAGCGTAGCCGTGGGTACCGTAATGCTCCTTCGATTACTTTCGATGATCGCAAGTGAGAACGCGAGGAGACCTCCTCTTACCTGCCGATCAGACGGCGCGTCCTATGTTGACATGATGATTCTCATGGCCAGGGGGTATTCTGAGTGGTTTCATGGTTTGTAATCTTGGCAGCCTTAGCATACTACGATAGGCGCAATTGTGTTCTGGTGTACCTTTGCGTGGAAGTCCTCGGCCTGTCTCTTCGACGGGAATTAGCGCATAGACAACTACGCATGAACTAATTGGATTCAAATTGCTGTTTGGTGGAGCTGTTGATTCTTCCCCGCTTCGAGCAGAAAGAAGCAAGAAACTTGATAAAAGATAAGATTAAGAGCCGATAACGAACAATCGGGCTGGTGGATACGAAGTTTCTCCCGGGATGCTCATGCAGCAGCGAAATATTGCGTGTGGCCGATTCGCAATCTTGACTAGATCTTCGCTACGCTACGATCCTTGAATTCTGGACAGTCAGATGTGAGTTTCCATAAACCTTTCCTGACGCCAGCAATACAGCCGAGGATTCTTGAAATTAGCTCGTCTTTTCGCTCGTTTCAAGTTGACCAGAGCGCGTTGCATTGTTGTACTCCCCGAGTGCCCGCTAACTCAGATATTGCAGCCATACAGCCCACCATGGCCACCACACATGACAACGCTGTCGCAGCTGCGACCTCCAACAATGATTACCTCGTTCAATCCGATGACCCGGAGCACCCCGCGAACTTGATTCCGGAATTGTGCCGCAAATTCTACAATTGGGGCTGGGTCACAGGCACGGGTGGTGGTGTAAGTCACTCACGGTCGCTCTCCGCGGGGTAGCGGAAAAGAAGACTCGGGATGTTGATGACCAGATAGACCTCGATCCGCCACGGTGATCATATCTTCATTGCACCCTCTGGAGTCCAGAAGGAGCTTATGAAGTCGGAGAATATCTTCGTCCTTCAATGGCCCACCAAAAAGTACCCGGCCGAGGAACGCAACTACATTCGCCGTCCTTTGAAGCTGAACCCATCCGCCTGCACTCCGCTCTTCCTGACAGCTTTTGAACATGGTGCCGGTTGCTGTATTCACACTCACTCTCAATGGGCTGTCCTGGTGACCCTCTTGGTGGAGCGTGAGAAGGGACCCGATGCCTGCTTCGAGATTAGCACCATTGAGCAGATCAAGGGCATTCCTCGTGGCAAGGGCAAGGGCATGCTTGGGTATCACGACACCCTCCGAATTCCCATCATTGAGAACACTGCATTCGAGGAGGATTTGACCAGTGGCCTGGAGGCGGCCATGAACAAGTATCCGGACACCTACGCCGTCCTTGTTCGGAGGCATGGAATGTGAGAGAGACCCCCGACACTGATCATTTTTGTCCTCAGCTCGGGATGAACTGACTTCTTTCTAGCTATGTTTGGGGCGACAATGTCGCCAAGGCTAAGACTCAGTGTGAGAGTCTCGACTATCTCTTCCAGCTGGCTGTCGAGATGCACAAATTGGGCCTTCCATGGGTCAAGTAGATCCAGAAACTCTTTAGATGGTGATAACGACCTTTTCAGGCAGGAGATGGGGCCATCAATGCATCAAGCGGGAAAAGGATTCATCGCGGTTGCTCACCAAGCTGGATCACTGGTCATTGACGGAACTCTGCGATGTTGACTTGGGTATACCGTATTGAAGATAAACAATAACAAGCGGCAGCTCTGTAATTGCCGAGTCTTGATGTTTTATTGCCGGTAACTCTAGCTGCACAAAGGTAACAATTGACACGTTCGTAATGTGCAAGTTGGCGAGCGGATTCTGCAGCTTCAAGTTTGCTAATGTGTAAGCCTTCTTGTGAGCTACAACCAGCCCTGAGTTGAAGTGGATTGGAAGGAAGTACTAAGGTAGGGCGTTTACTGTGTACGAGTGTACGTGTAGTACTACTTTGGGCAGGTTCCCTCGAGCTGGGCGGGCGGCATCCCGTGAGTGACTAAGAGCGCGGCGCAGATCATCATCATTCATCCTCCACTCCACCTCCGTCGTCAGTACTTAGCTGCCTGCTTTCCACCGAATCTCTCGACTCTCAAGTAACGAGTGCACCGCACATGCACAACATTATCTGTCCTCCTGCACCTTGATACCCATTGATCTTATTTTGTTTACACATTTGCGCCAACAATGGACCTCGATACTGGAGATTCCCCGTGGGGCGGTAGGCAGTCATTGGTACCACAGCTTCATGAATTGTGCGCTGACAACGATCCAGATGAGCCATCACACTCTCCCACCCGACAAGCCGAATCGAAGCCAGAAAATCAGGATAAGAGTGAGTCGTGGTCCCAGTTGTTGCCAATTGCTACAACCCCTCACTAACCGCTACTGATTCTCGCTCTCTGCAGCTCCCGCTCAGCCCGCACCACCCTCGGCCGGGAGCGCGGAAGTTCGGACACCTGGAAGGCGCCCTGTACGGGGCACGCGGAAAATCAGCGCGCATGCAACGCGACTAGAAGCTGTTGATGACACCGTTGACCCTCTCGGTCCTCTGGGAGAATCGACTGCCGACCTCACAGCCCCTGCGGCCGAGGAGGCCCCGGCCCCTCCATTGAAAGAGTCGCTCGCAATTCGGGGCCCCCAGTCATCCTCCACGTTTGCCCAGATCCCCGGCGCGACCGGCCTCGCTGACTCGGTAGACCTCGAGGAGGATGGATCAGGCTTCCGAGGGCCCCCGCCTGTCCAGCCTCCGGCGGACGTTGAAGGGCCGAAGAGACAGACGCAACCAAGCATGAGCGTTGAACAGGCAGCGAAACCCTCATTTGACATCACTGTTGGAGATCCCCACAAAGTTGGGGATCTTACAAGCAGCCACATCGTTTATCAAGTCCGGACCAAGGTACGGGTGCCTTGCGAGAGTGAATTGAAAATGATGACGAAGATCAAGAATGCCCTACTGATTGCATACAACTGACCAGACTACTTCGAAAGCCTACCGTCAGCCGGAATTTGCTGTGAGTCGTCGATATCGCGACTTCCTGTGGCTGTACAATTCATTGCACAATAACAACCCTGGTGTTGTCGTCGCGCCTCCTCCCGAGAAACAAGCCGTGGGTCGCTTCGACACAAATTTTGTCGAGTCGCGAAGAGCGGCACTCGAGCGCATGCTGAACAAGATCGCCGCGCACCCGATTCTCCAACACGATGGTGACTTGAAGATTTTCCTGGAAAGTGAGGCTTTCAATGTAGACATCAAGAACAAGGAGAACCGCGAGCCCGATCTGGGACAGAACAAGGGCATGTTCAAGGGCTTTGGTATCTCAGTGGGCGGAGGAGGCAAGTTTGTTGAGCATGACGATGTAAGTGACAACTGGCGAGCAAAAACCTGGCGAAATCTTACTTAATTTTCTCGTTTGGACAGTGGTTCCACGACCGGAAGGTTTATCTCGACGCATTGGAGACCCAGCTCAAAGCCCTTCTGAAATCGATGGACACGGTTGTTGCGCAGCGCAAGGGTCTTTCAGAGGCCGCGGGAGATTTTTCTAGCTCTTTACACGCCTTGGCGGCGGTTGAGCTTTCTCCCGCGTTGGCATCTCCCCTCGATGGGCTTTCCGAGCTTCAGTTCCGAATCAAGGAGCTCTATGAGCGTCAGGCTCAGCAGGACGTCTTGACCCTGGGTATCACAATTGATGAATATATCAGATTAATAGGCAGCGTCAAGACCGCCTTCACTCAGCGACAAAAGGCCTTCCACACCTGGCATGCTGCAGAGTCAGATCTTCAGAAGCGCAAAAATACTCAGGAAAAGCTCCTCCGTCAAGGCAAGTCCCAGCAAGACCGGCTGAATCAAGCAAATGCCGATGTTGCGGACGCGGAGCGTAAGGTTCACCAGACTCGGCTGCTGTTCGAAGACATGGGCCGATTGATGCGAAACGAGCTGCAGCGATTCGAAAAGGAGAAGGTGGAGGATTTCAAATCCGGCGTCGAGACCTTCTTGGAGAGTGCTGTGGAAGCACAAAAGGAGGTAAGAATTCGCAAGGAGCTCGTTGTGAAGTTTCCGAGCATGTCACTGACTAGAAATTTGTTTCCAGTTGATCGAGCTCTGGGAAACGTTCTTGTTGCGACTCGATGCAGGAGAAGATGGCCTCCCGTATTATGTGCCCCAGTCCGAAGGTGGTCAACCCGGAGAAGAGCAGGTTCTCAACGAGCCCACGACGTCACGACCTGAATCTGGGGCACAAGCCGAAGGTGCGAGCGAAGCGGAGTGATGCGGAGACCATTTTGTTTTCTGAACACTTCTATACCAAGTCATTCTGCGCAGCGCAAGATAGGTTAATCGGATGCGGTCTTTGTCTCACCCATAACGGAGCGGGTCCCCCCCCATGTATTTGTGCTCTCCTTTACCTCCTGAATCATATTCCTGCGGTACACTACTCAGCCAGTCGAACGATACATTCATACCCTCCGCAAGGACCATTTTTCCAAACAGCCGGATGCTTGTAACGACATATCGTTAAACAAATGTTCATCCGACTTGATTAGATTTAAGGTTGTCAAGAGCTAGATGGGGTTTCCGTGGCTGCCAAAGTACAGGCACATCGTCTCATGACTGGTCAGTTCAGTCAAGTATTGCCCGAATGTTTGTCGAGGCTCGGAGGTTCAACGAGTTTTGCTCTCGCAATGACACCGTGAAGTGTAAAATCTTGATAAGATTTGAAAAAAAAAAAGTCCATGATGTGCAGCCCAATTCGGCATTTTATTTTCACACACTTTATCATACAATGTAGGCAGACCAGGTAATGCCACAGTCAATAATCAAACAAAATGCAACGGAAGTATAGTCTCAAGCCTCACAGCCCTCTGAGCGTTGTCTGTTCGTTCACTCGGCAGCTCACGAGCCCTAGTATCAGTATTTCTTCTTCTTTCCCGAGACCTGAGGCTCATCCTGGCCAAAGGAACTGATCAAATCCAACAAATTATCCTCTTCCTCCTGATCAGCCTTGGCCTGCGCCTCCGCGGCCTCCTTCTCCGCCTTTTTGGCGGCAGCATCCTGGGTTGCATCTCCAGTTGACGCGGCCTCCTCCGTCACAGGGGCACTAGCGTCCCAGCTACGACCGAAACGCGCACGGAAAGCCGCCAATCGACCCGCCTCGTCCTCCTCCACGTTCATCAGCTTGCTGCTGGAAGGGTTCCAGAGGAGCGAGTTGCGGGTATCACGAGTTGCCCGGTAAACGGGGGCGGGAGAAGTGGTGCGGTGGGTGAAGGCGCTGCCGTCGGAGAGAGTCACGAGTTGGGTGAAGGTGTATGGCCGCTTGGGACGGCGGAGGAGCGTGGCGTGACGGCACTGGGAGCAGATGAAGGTTGTGGATTTGATTTGGAAAGACGGTGATTGAGTGGGGAGGAAGCTGGAGGTTGAGCTGGATATCGTGGTCGCGGAGCGACGAAGGGAAGTGTGCATCGACATGTTTGTGATGGAGGGTGCCCTGAGGCCTTTGAGAAATGACTGAGTCGACTGGAGGTGCGTGTGTGTTTACCCGGCAAGGAGTGGTGAGGCGATTGCACCCTTGAGGAACGTGTGAATGGCAAGTGCAGAGAATGCGGAGTTGAAGCTGTTCCCTTAGACCCAAAGGCTCGTGAGTGCCGACGAAGAGAAACTTTTGGCATGTCCCGTCCGGATGATCGCCGGTTATGTAAGCGACCGGCGACGGACTGTCGGGGCGGTTTTCTTTTCGGGGAGGTGGTGCCAATTTGAAATGTATGGTGATTGTGAACATACCTTTGACGACTTTTCCAAGTCTTGCAAGCCGCTCACAGGTCGTAGCTCCAAGGCGATCACGAGATCAGAACCTGCATCTTTTGTCTTACGTCTTGAGGGCTAACTATCTCCTGGTGTCGGGTCAATCGAGGCCGGCAGCATGACGCTGCCTTTGATGCGAGCTGCGGCTCGGCACAGTCTCGGAGGTGAGTATCATGACATGACACATTGCTTATAGACACTACTGAATTGACAATGCTTATCAGGCAATAATCTTCATGTGCCGACATACAATATACACAATCGCACAGCACCGTCATTTCTGTCGAGCATCGTCCCAATCCCGCGCTCTACCTCATGTTCACAGCGACCCATTAGCAATGCGACAGCCTCCACCTACAAACAAGAAAGCCGCCACACAAACGAAGAACAAGATGCCCACCACAAGCAGAACAACCCTCAATTAGCCTCAAGATCACAACCCGTCGCATCTTCCCCCACAATATCAACCTCTACTCAAGTTCGGCTGCTCATGCGCCAGGTTCCTTACCCCGTAGCCATCATTACCGCTACCGATCCCACCACCAGTCCCTCCGAGACGACCTCCTTCCGAGGAATGACCGTCTCCTCCTTCAACACCGTCACACTTCACCCGGAACCCGTAATATCATTCAATGTCAAGCGTCCCTCCGAAACCCTCAATGCATTGATCAAGTCAGGCCGGTTCCTCGTCCATTTACTCGCTTCTAGTCCGGCTACCGCAACGCTAGCCAGAGACTTTTCCAAAGGCAATACCACTCTTGCATCGATACTGAGTGGCCACGGGGATTTTGAATTCTCGCCGCTGAGCACACATGAGCATAGCGAGCGGCCTCTACCCTTGCTGAGGCGCCGCGGCTCCGACTCAAGCCATCAAGTCTCGGATTTCCCATTCGTTTTAGAATGCACACTACACCAGAACATCCTCGACGTGCACGATCATTCGGTCGTCTTGGGCACGGTGGTACGGACGATAGAAAGTCCTGTCACACATTCGCATAGTGCGCATTCACCCGAGCATTTGTGTTTGACCTATGCGAATACCAAGTTCTGGAAGATGGGTCATGAGATTTGATTGTTGGACCCAAATCCTGATATGATTGACGAGGACGGGATTTCTACGTGTGGGAAGTTGTAGAATAGGCAAACTGGATCTTCATCGCATGTACATATACTTATTACAATTGGTCATGGAAATTCGGTCTACCGGATTTTACCATAAATTGTCCAATCATCAATACATATACCCTCTCCTTGAAAAAGTCCTTCCTGGACAGAGTATATATTATCTATGTGCCTTGTGACTGACCCCGACCCACGACCGCTGTTAGACTAGGTACTCACGTGTTGTCGTCGTTGACTTGATTAACTATTATGTTATTGCCAATCTTCCTGACAGCCACACCGGCTTCAAACGTTTTCGACAGAAAAGCTAAAAAGTCTTACAAATAGAACAAGCGAGCTGCCGCAACGGACCGATTGGAGAACAAGCGTTTTGGTTTTTTAGTCACTAGTTACAGGAGTGAAGGTTGACGTCTCCTCGGACCGGCCTGTACAAGCCTCATCACGTCACAACGAACGACTAGAATGCTAAAGAAGTTTGAGCGCGGAACCAACCCCTACGCGACAATGATACCGTCGGCAGAGATTGTGGAAAGAGAGAGCAAAGTGTCCAAGTCGACGAGGGCGAATTTAAATCTCGAATGTTGCAAAGGTTGCCCGGCACCAGCATCCGGGGCGGGAATCGGTGTGAAAGACCGAGAGCGCGGCCAAAGACCCACCATGCGCGAACAACCAGATGGACCTTTTTCGAGAAGCAGACGGAGCCTGCGACCATCTTACTCGCGTGTCGACCGGGGACTACCGCTTCCACTTCCGCTACCGCCGCTACCACTTCCGCTGCCGCTGCCACTACCAGCTCCACTCACGCGACTTGCGGCCCGTTGGAATGGGCTAAAGACTGGACGGCCGCCGTGTGGAAACGAGGCAGGCATGTCCGCACCAAAGCGCTGCTGCTTGTCGGCAAAGATGTCAGACAGCTCGACTTGAAGCGCAGGTAGGCGATGCGCTTCGAAAAAGTCCGACCCATACTGACTGCTGCGAGCAGAGCGATTGGAGAACGAGCGGTGTCGGTGGTTGAGATCAGTGCCGAAGAAAGAGGCGGCCCCATTCATATTGACAGGCGGAGAAGTGATGGGAAACTGAGGCGTGAAGTTGGAGTCGTGTGTCGGGCTAGTTGGATGCGACGAGGATGTGTGGTCGGGAGACGACGAGTTCTGTAGCGGACTTGACTTTAGTGGTGGAAAAGTAAGGCCCAGTAGAGCCCGAGCCGTGGGTGCAGAAGTTGTCGAGACTTCCATCATCGGATTGGTTCCGGGCAGATTTCCCTCGGGAGTCAGGGGACCAGAGTCCAACAGCATCTGCTGCTGCTGCTGCTGAATGGATTGCTCGATTGTCGAAGCTTGCTGCCAAAGTTGGCTGGTTCTCAGCTGATAGTCTTGAACGGCCTGGCTGATACTTGCAAACTGCTCATGGAAATTGGCCTCCATCTTGGCGTGATCTTGCTCTCGGGCAAACTGTTCCGCGGCACGGCGCTCTCGCTCGTTCAACCCCTGAGCATTAGCCGAAATGATACGATCGTACTGCTCATTGACCCGAAGGCGGCGACTCTGGAGACGCTCTCGCTTCTGGACAACCATGTTCAACTCCTGCTCCAAAGCCGCTACCTCTTGCGCCGAGGAAAGGCGCGCTTCGGCGATCTCCTCCTTGGTTTTATTGAAAAGCTCGAGTTGCCGATCGAATTCGGCCTTTCGTGCAGCCCATTCTTCCAGCTCCTCCTCCGGGACGTTCTCCATGCTGTCGAGTTGACCCTCCAGAACGGCAGTAGCTTCCTCGGTTTGCCGAATATTGCGCTCGAGTTGCAGTGAGCGTTGCTTTTGGCGATTCTCGTCGGTTCCACTTTGAAGTCGATGAGTGTAATTGTCTAATTCTTTTCGAATCTTCGAGATAGTGACTCTGTGGTCGTTCTTCGCCTTTCTCAGTCGGGAGCGCTTTTCATTTAATTTTGCTTCAGCATTGATAACGGAATTCTTCAGTGTGGTCGTCGGAGATGACGGTCGATAAGTCGGCTGCGGCGACGGTGTGACTGAGGCAACTGCTGTATGATCTGGTTAGAATGATGAAAGAAGAATACCAAGGCCGGTTCTCCAGCCTCCAAGACAAGAGCGTGATCTGACCTTGTTCCATGTCGGTCGTGACAGGAGTTTTGACACTCATGGCACAGATTTCCTCGTTGGTATCGCTCCGCACAAAGGAGCATGTGTAAGCACAGTTTGGCGCAAGTCCAGATATCTCGCCCTTCCACTGATCAGAGCCGGAGCCCTTGGACGACTCGGTCACCTTGGAGATCGTGGCCGTCGCCCACAATGCACCGTTGACGCACACGTAGAACGGATCAGCTTCTGACTTCAGGTGATCCGTATCTCCCACAGCCTCACCGAGTTCTCCGGCGGCGAATTTAATAGAGGAACTGTCCACGTCGGTAATCCACACCAAGCCTTCATCATGCACAGATACTTGAGTATCATCGTCCGTCAACCCCCGCGCCGTTTTCGACAACACCCGCGTGTTCTCATATTCCCGCATAATTGTGACCTTGATACTGGCAAGAGCCGACCAGAACGGCTGGCGGCTTCGAACTTGATTGGCTTGTCTTCGACGTTTTTTGGCTGAAGTTAATCGGTCTTTACTATCCTTCAACAGCTGACCATCGGGGCCCAAGAACGAGGAGGACAGACTCGCGGCGGATTCGAGAGCGGAGTCGGCTTGGGCCTGGGAGCCAGCAGAAGCTTCCGGGTCCCCACGCTTGCCAGTCCGCGCGGGCGCCGGCGATCGGTTCTTGGCCATGGCCCGTCTGGCCATTGCAGTACCGGCTTGTGCCAGAATATGGACAGCAAGCAGACTGCGCAGCCAGCTTGGCGATGATTGAGTTTCGGATCGACGGAATTCGGCGGGCAGGATATTGGTGTAGTGCGACAGAAAATCAGGACTGACTAGTTTGGCGGAGACCAAATGTGCGGTCACGAATTCTTGGATACCATTACTGCGGACAATGTGCAGCAGTAGAACAATGCCTACACAGAAAGCGTTCACTCCACCATTCTTCCCAGAGCCACCACCACCCAATGTGATGGCGACTTGAACATGAGCCAGATCAATGGCGAAGTTCTGAGCCCAGGTCCACATGAAGAGTCCCCAGAAGAGAAGGCAGAACCCGTCCATTGCAATCATCGTGCCCATGGAGGGCGTACCCGCGGGGCCCTGGAAGATGTCGAAGTTGGAGGATAGAGAGCCCGCGGCACTGCCACTGGGCGGCATGAAGGTCAAAGAGGCGAACAAGAATTGAACACAGGTCAGGACCATCGGCGGGAGTTGCAACAAGAAGATCAGAATGGCGATGGTGTCATACATGGGGCACGACTTGAGAATGGTCGACGCCAGTTGCAACGGATTGATCGAAGAACTGGAGCCCGACCGCTTCAGGATGCCCCGAGATGCTGAGCCTGCCGTGCCGCTGGTGGGCGGCGTGGCGCCATTTGCTTCGGTGCATGCCATGTCCGCGCCTTTGGATCCGTTTACAGTTCCCAGCCCATTGCCGTTCGACTTGATCCCATCTGTACCGGAGGAGGTGGCGATTGACGAGGTAATTGCCGAGTCACTGGTGGAACGAGACGAGGAGAGATCGAAAGGCGCGGTCGAGACGGCGGAGCTGATCGCGGTGCCGCTACCGGGGGACCCGTTGAGTTGACCACTGGACTTTTGCTTGGTTACTTTCTTGCCGGGACCGACGAGACCATTGTCGTGCCGATTGCTCTGGTTCTTCCTGCCCGCAGCGGATGAGCGTGGCATGGACGAAAGAGCCCGAAACCCAGGTCCGAGTCAGCTTGGCGGGATGAGGCCAAGGACTGGGACCAGGCTGGAAGGGGCGAGGAAGGATAGGAAAAGGGAGGGGCGAGGATTGAGAAGACGGAGACCCCGAATATGGTCGACTCAAAGGAATGTCGAGGATTCAGGAGAAGAAATCAAGAATCAATCGAGGGTTCAGAAAGGAAGGAGGGGAAAGGAAAGGGCAAGGAAGGGAAAAAAAAAAGAAAGGCTGCAGAAGTGGTAATACGAGGAGAAAGAAGGAAGGAAAAGTCTCAGGTGGAACTGCTGGCACGTAACGGGCTTTCAGCCTGGACCGAGTGTCAGAGAGAGGCAGAGACTGAAGACCCGTAATCGTATCGTACCGCCGCTGTCGATCATCCCCCAAGTGCCTGGTCAGAGGCGCGGTCTCGCCCGCTCTCGTGGTAATCGGCTGTATGGGCGATCGTAATTTAATCATCCATCGGCCTTGCGGTCTGCGGAGTCGCATAGTTGTCGACCGAACGAAGCTCAACCTCGAGTATAAGAGTGACCAAATTGCGGAGGCAAAACACAAGGACTGCAAGTCAATAGATGAAATTCGCCATCGCCACGCTCAGGCAATACACTGAAAACATTTTATTCCGACGTATGCAACACCGCCATATCAAACATCGACCCGTCGATCTCTGCCCGTCACAGCAGTCTAGGTTTCCCTATTCGGCGTCAAGTCACCTGCATGCTACCGTCCGTCTTGCGAACGACCAGAAAGGAATTGAATACCTGCCCGACTCTTCGGACAAGACTGGAGGCACTAGATCCACTGTTGAGACGACGTACGACTCGGCGTCATACTGGATCCCCAACGTGCCACATTTTCAGCCCGATACAAATCGATGCATTCCGTTATTTCAGAGCATAGATGACATCCATTGAGCCACCACCCGAGTGATGCCCCAATAGGCCCTACGAAAATTTGAGTCTCATGGCGGCAGGAGAGCCAAGTGCTGACCGAGTCGGACCTGTCTTTGCCAACATGTTTCACGCAGAGTTTCATTGCATTTCCTAAGCTACCCTGCTAGGAGCCTCTGGTCATTATAAGGAAGCCAAGATGAGATTGGTACAGTTTCATCCGGAATTGACAGCTGTTGCTGACAACAAATCAACACCACTCAAGTTGAGCGCACCAGACAACTCGGACCACCGGTCAGAGCCTCCCCGACAGAATTTCTTTGCTCATCTAGTTGGTGTACATTGGCCCTCATGAGGAAATGGGATTGGATCAAGTATTCTCATATGGGTTCACCTTACGGGAGCTCATTCTTTCACATGCTCGGCGGTGTCGCGTCTGGAGAAGAGGCTCATTTGCATACATGGAAGCTTAAGTCAAGATTTACAGTAATATTGTGTCGCTACTACCGTCCCTGCCAGCGAGGCACGAACTATTGATGGTACGTTCCTCTCTTTCTTCAGGCTCCTACACGCCTCTATTGTGTCAAATTAAGTTCCATGCCGATAGGCGATACCGAGGTCAACGAGAACGGTAGGCCTGGAGTTGGATACCGATCGAAACCATATTCTCGTGACCCGCTGTTTGATTTGTGGCTTGTCCGCCAGGTGCGACAAGTCTCACAGAGTGCCAGAAACGCGTGGATTCTACTCATTGCAGTAGAGGCGTGGGATCGTAGAATGTGACTTCTCTTTCAGCGTGCAGTCGGTGTACTGCTCCTCGACCCCTCGTTTACTCTAGCACATCCAATCAATGAGGGACCAGGTTGACTTGGCATCGCAAGGTTTGGTTGAAGATCAGCCACTGACTTTAGTAACGATCGGCATGTGGGAATGCTTGCTTGGTCCAAAGTTTGAAAAACTCAAGGTCCCTTGGTAGTAGCGAAGAGATTCCACCCACCAGATCCGACAGTAGTAGTAGTGCTATGTAAGTATGTAGTGAGAGATTCTCGGCCGGTCTCGAGAAGATTCACATTCCCAAAGATCAAGTCGAGGTTACGTCACAACAATAAATGCTCATACTGTAGGTAGTTAGGTACTAGGCAATCACGTTCGGAACTGAAACTCGACTGCTGGCGACTCCAACGACCCCGGTCGCAACGGTCGCTGATCCTTTCCCATGTCTCTGCATTGCTGCTGCATCGAGTTCCCGGGCGATCGGCTTGTTGCGCGGCTTGCGCCTCATGCCCGTGGTAAATAAAATGTCAGAATCTGCAGTCCAATCCGCTTAAAATGCAATGTGGTAGTAAATCTGTCGACCTTGCCGATGTTCGCCAACTTTGACCTGGCGTGGTCTAGTGGTGGTGTGTAGTTTTTACTCAGCATTGAATATTCAGTATTGTGCCCTAAATGAGCAGGAATACAGGATAGCCACCTGAACGGCGATCGGGTAACTGTAGATACTAGACTCGAGTGCAGGCACTGTGGTCAATTCCACAACACAGAGACCAGCACCGGCATTTGCATAGACCTCCAAAACATACTTCTTATGTTTGTCATGGGTCTACATGATTCTGGCAGGTATGCACAGATAAACCGGCCGTCAAGTGAGTTGATCGAAGGTATCAGGTCTTTTATAACCACATATGCTCCCGCTACATATTTCATGATACCGAGGTACAGAGTGTGTCTGTGTGACAACTTTGCACCTCTCTGGAAGTTTCTCTTACTCAACGCTGCTCGACGATCAGTCTACAATCCGTCGAAGCGATTCAATTGAAGTGACTCTGCTACAAGAGAAAGGGTCGGTTGGTGGGTCTGGGAGGCTTTTGTACTAAAATTGGCTCCGGATCCTGAGCCTTGATTTGTGACTTCCCCTCGAGGACGCCCAAAAATCGTTCTTGGGTAACACTTTCGGTACTGCCGGTGCCAAATTGCCAATGGGTCTGCCCTGGGCACAGCGCCTCCGAGGAAATACCGACGAACGTTCTCCGGGTCAACCTTGCCGGGCAGGCAAGATCGCCACGAATTTCCACCCAAAGTTGCTCGATTTGGAGCCGCTCGAAGCATTCAAAAGTAATCGACTGATCTTTTGTCGGACTAAGGGTAGCATTATTGAGTCGCTTCTGACGACGTGCATGAATCATGAACAGTGACACTTCTGTTCCGCCTGCATGTCCGATGGAATCTTTTGACTGTTATGGGACTTGATCCTCCGTCCGTGTGAGTGTGCCGTTCCACAGAGCTTCTCCTCGGCAAGTATACAGACTTCACGCTCCACTCAACCTCGAGGTTTTGATGAAGATCCAAAGACAAACCCGGCCAAGTTCAAGTCTGTGTTCAACCTCCAGCCCCTCTCGATAAGTTGCTGGACCCTCTGAGTGTCTTTGAATCCGCCATACTTGGCAAGATTGTGAACTTTTCTTTCGATCTCGTCCCTGTTGGAAGAAAAGTCAATTAGTGATACCGAGGCTGCAACCAACGGGAGAGGGTGTATATATACCTGGTCAAAGGAAGTTCTGGGTCTCCCTTGGCAAACTCGACAGACTCTGTGAACGACTGCCCATCCTTCGTTCGGACATCGACCGTGCCCTTCCACTTCTCGGGAAAAGCTCGATCAATCTCAGGGTCGAGTTCCATCTTCACACGCTGTTGAAATTCTCTCAAGGAGCTATCTTCAAGGTCGTCCTCGCCAAAATCCGTGATCATCGCTTGACCCTTTTTGGCGACAACGGCCAGCACAAAGCCCATGGAAAATTTGCTTTGATGTACGGTTTCTCCTTTACCCGTCATGCCGAGCACGTTGATCGCGGCCTGGTAGGTGTGGGCAACGACCGACTCGATGTCCTCAAAGACAAGGTTATGATTCTTCATCAACTTGAGAAGTGCATCGGCGCTAGGGTGAGTATGTCGACACGAGGCATGCCATTTGAAACTGGAGTGCAGGATCTCATAGTCATTGCCGAGATCCCCATCAATAGCCTCAGCATTCGTCGTGCCGGGAACCAGTGTCACGCCCATCGCGCGCGGTCCCTCCAGAATGTCTCTTGTGCCGAGAAGTCCGTCGCGAGCAGTGTATGCAGCGAAAATCCCATCGAAGCAAGCCTTCCCCGTATGCACTTGCTTCGAGTGTGTCGCGTCTATCAAGAATTGCCAGAGCCCTGCGGCCTGGGTACCAGCGGTCCCGATTGCCGACAGCATCTGTTCGGCATCTAGCTTTAGAAGATGTGCAGTCGCAGCGGCTACTCCAATTACACCACCAGTTGCCGTGGAATGGAAGCGCTGGTGCCAGTGTCAGCTTGGAATTCTTGCCTTGTAATGGGAAGGCTGACTGAACGAAGGTTGAGCACCTCATAGTGGGTTTTACCCAAATATCTGCCCACTCGGCACCCTACTTCGTAGCCAACCACGCACGCTGCAATGAATTCCGCGCCAGTAGCCTCCACATCCTGAGCTACGGCGAGGGCAGCCGGGAAGATCACCGTGGCCTAGTCATGTCAGCATGTCTTACTTAGCCACCCCCATGCACCATGGTCTAAAAGGTTTTTCTCAGCGCAAGCGCCATCGATGTGATTCGTAAACTCACTGGATGCATAATACTTCGATTGTGAAGATCATCCTGCTCCACGACGTGAGATGACGCACCATTCACCAAACTAGCAAACGCGGCGCTCGTCGTAAAGCCGAGGGCTCCATCGAGAACTTCGCTCTTTCCACTAGACGGGCCCATATGGGACGCGAACTTGGAAATTGCTTGAACTGCAGGATGATGCCGACCTGCTATAGTGCATCCTAGCCAGTCCACGAAAAAGTCTTTCGTTTTCTCAACCACATCCGTCGGCAGGTCGGTGAACTTGAGATTGGCGGCCCAGATTGCCAACCGCTCTGTTCTTGTGTTGTCCATTGTTTCGGTGCTGGTCTGCGAAGCCATGGTAACTGAGGAGACTGGGAGCAACGAAGCTATAGGAACAGGTATTGAGCGACCTTTGAATAAGAGGCGAGCGTCTTCGAGTGTTGTGCTCACCACCAAATGGGATGTCTAACCTCAGATAGTCAAGGAAGTATAAAAAGCCTACTCCGAGGCAACAGAAGGCGCGGCCCGCGGGCTCGCGGGGTAGAAGTTAAGACGGAGATCATAATCCGCATTAACCGGAACGTTACCCGTTTATTTCGATTTGTGAAGATCTCTTAGTTTGCGGGGTAGAAACTGCGGGGTAGTAAAGTTGAATGATCTCAAAGGATAGGAGACCAGCAAGCCATAAATGGGCCTGGCGTGATCTCGTCAATCTCGGTCATCGACAATTGATCCCCGAGGTAAAGGTATAGTTCTTCGCGGCAAAAGGTTGAGAATTTCATATTCTCGGGAAGAGTAGGTCGATCGGATCCCTTACTGAACGCGCCCCAATACTCAGACGATTGTGTGATCAATCAGAAGATTATCAGGATTGGCTGATATATCGTCAGATCCCGACATCACGAACGATGACAAAGTTTTCGAGATCCGTAATGAGGGTTGATGAAAACAGCAACGACTCTGATCTTGAAGTAGAGAATTGGTCGAGTCGGTCATAGTCACTTGCTTGGCTTTTTATCTTCATGAGCGTTCTAACCAATTCACTTTGTTGGCTGAGCTGAAAAACGGCATCAAGTATTATTCACTCGAGATTGTTGCTGGCAGCTGACGCAACATTCGGCTGAAGCTCTTGAAGTACCAAACCTTAGCAATGCACTCGCAAAGCGGCCGCGGCGACCCCATGATAGCATCCATATTACTACTATCTTACCTAAATAATACAACGACTACGGTCAACAGTGTGCCCGTGCGACAAGTTACCGTCGACAACTGCCCAGCCATCGATCAAGTCTGCGTTGAGGACGCTCAATATCATACGGGATTACGCCGGTCATTCGAGCAAGGTGTCATATACTTCCATGTCTGGATTTGCAGTCACGTCCCCCAAACGGACGGGAATGTAGCGAACCTGATAGTGTGTATCTACTAATCCACCTATTTCGCCGAGGATGCTTATCTAGCAAAGGGCTGGACAAAATTCCTCTTTCTTGAGATGTATCCAGTGTCTAAAGTCTTGATACTAGCGTGACCAGCGCCTGTAGCTCTCTGGTTATGTCGGAGCGGGGATACAAGCTTCATTTTCCTGACTTCTCGATCAAAGTCCCAGAAAGGATGGATGCAACGGGTTCCTCTGACATATCTCCAGCACATTCATCCTTGTACATTGAACGGAGAGAGGGCACGCTGAAACAAGCTCGGCTTCCTAAGAGTACCTAAGCCTTTTAAATTGTGGAACTTGACATTGGGCCGAGCACAATTTACGTATGGCACTCGCGCAGGTGTACAATATACCCACGCGCCATGGTTTTAGATCAATAAGAAGCCTCATTGGTGTCTATGTTCAGTTTATGCGGATCCGGTATCCTCTACAGCATCCTTACAGTCCCAGCTCTCGAGCTCGAGAGTCCGTACCTGATTCTCGAGGTCCGCAATCTTCTCCTGCCATTCTTTTTTGGCCTGCTCTTGTAATCGCCAGATAGCCTTGAACTGATCCAAGATGAAAGGTGGCAGCTCGGGGGTCTTTTGGTTCCTCCTGTAGTCGTAGGTGACAATGTCCTCGTAGCACCGTGCTGCCGGACGCTGACGAGCTTCGGACAAAATCATCACTTGAAGCTGGAAAGCGGACTGAGAGGAGGGTGAGGAATTTGGATCGTGGACTAGCTTTTGATAGACGGTGATTTTGTCGGGGAATGTCATTGGCTATGCGTCAAGGTCAACAGTTAGCGGATGCATGCATGGGAAGCCGATCAACATGTTCGCTTACAAACTTGTAGTCCACCTTGATACTTCGAAGAATCAATCCAATACCCGTCGAATTGAGAAGATTCAGCCATTTCTCCCGATTCGATGTGTCGACATGCAAGCCAATATTGCGCGTCCAATTCACACGAGCCGACTCGGCGTAGCGAACGTACGTGACATTGTTGACATGGCCCATGACATCCTGGTAAAGATGAGTACACATTCAGACAGCCTTCTGAGCCAACTCGTACGCAGTGTGTTTCGTACCATCTCTCCCCATACGACATTATGTCGGTAGAGGCTTCGTCGTTTCTCGTCGGTCAAGAATCCCTCACTGCCTGCAATCAATTCGCGCCAGTCACGGGCCAATTGCCGCAGAATATCGCCCGCACCCTCGACCTGCGCGGGTTGCAGTCCAAAACTGATGCATCGCCCGATTCGGCCCTTCATCGTGGTAAGCCATCGTGGATCGATCCCATGGGGGCGAGCCAGGGTGTTGTTCTCTTGGACCGAGGCACGCTGGTTCCCTGCGGCAGAGGTTGTAGAGAAGCAGCGTGTCGCTTGGAAGGGGATGCGGCCACGTGGGCAGGTGAGTGACCGTCCCACAACTGACCGGGGTATCATGGTCCCTGCGTTTGATCGAGGGAAGTAGGACAAATGTCAATTTGAGTCAGTAGCAGTCGTTTCGCTCCTGTTGACGCAAGGTCGGAGACCAGGCCAGCCCGTTCGGCTAAAACCCCGCAGAGTCCAAGGACAAGCTCCGCATTCCCCTCAATGTCTTTCCTGTTGATCAAATCGTCAACGTGCAGTTTAAGCGCCGCAATCTAATGACTTGGCGATCTCATAACATCAGACTCAAGATAGAGTTGCTCCTCTTTATATTCCCCAGCCTGCTATTGTTGAACCAAGTCTCTCGCCACACCTTCTGCCCCCCTAGAACCCCCTGCCGCTCGCTGTCGGGTTGCGTGTTCATTGCGGGCCGAGTTCTCCGCACCGTCCGACGTCACAGAGTATCACCGAGCTTTCACTCCTCGCCAGTCCCAGCTCCGACGTCTCGAAACCTTCGCACATCTGTCGAAAACTTTCCGGTACTGGGCACCAGACCTGACTCGCATCTTGATCACTCGAATGCGGCGATCATGGTAAACAACGAGCTGCGTCGCCAGGTGATCAGCATCTACAAAGGTAAGCTGGGAGGACTATGCGCGAGCTCAGTCTTGCACCAAGAAGGACGTCGATCGGCGCTAACCGCAATATTGAGTATAGAACTTCTCTGGCTAGGGCGGGAGTATCCCCTTGGATTTCAGTATTTCAGGGATCGACTCCATCGTGCGTTTGCAGGTCAAGCGCATCTCACAGATGAGGATCAGATTCGAAAAGGGATTGCTCGAGCCGAGTTCGTAAAGAAGGGTACGTCAACCAATACTTGCCTCGACGAGATGGCTCCACAATGAATCGCTGCTGATATGCTCCGAGTGTAGAGGTTGAAGCCCTGTGAGTTCACCCGATACACGGCTCTCTTGGCACAGACGGCCGCGCAAGCGCAATTCGATGAATACCTGCACCCATCTCTACACGAAGTGTTTCTATGGGGGAAAGCAATCGGCTCGCCTCTTCCCCCCTGATCCTGTCTTTTCTTACGCTTACTCTTCTTGCCGCACGGGCCACTGACATCTCTTTACCGTCCAGTTACTATTTGAAACGATACCGCACCCTCAAGCAGCGCTACGAGAGCCCATAAAGCCCGGGCTTTCGCGATTTAACCTACGGAGACAGTCGCCCTTTGGATCTGATAAAAGCATGGAGGTGGGTGGACTGTACACATGGAAAAGCGCCTTTCTCTTGGGGCTCCAAGCTTCAAACATCAGTTGGGTATAAAAATTAATATTTGACGAGATAAGCCTCAAATCAGGGGGGGGGGGTATCACCAATACATATGAAGCGCATTTAATGATTCCTTTCTCTTGCGCCTGTCAATCCAGCAGTGGAGACCCGTCCAAATGAAACAACCAGGAAAAAAAAATCTCTAGACGGTGGAGAATCATTTCTTTACTCCCCACCAGGCACTCACTTCCAGGCATTCGCCGCTGGCGAGGCCGCCCTTCAAGAAAAGGTCGCTATTCATTGCGGCCCACCAGCGGTCCCATTCGTCGCGGCTTTTCCCGCTGGCCTCCATGAGCATTGGCTCCATGCCTTCAATCATCTGCACCACAGTGAGCAGAGCCGTTCGTCGGATGGCGATTTGTTCGGGCGTCAGGGCTTTCCGAATCCGACCCTTGGAGTCTTTGCCCTGGCCCTCGCGCTCCCAGCGCGACTCTCCCAGTGGAATGGCAATGCGACGACTGTCGACATTTTCTAGCAAATCCACCTCTGAATTGAAGGCCAGTCCGATTGTGGCGCAGGGCAATGCAGTCAACTTGCGCCGGTCAAACGACTTTTCCACCCAAGAGTTATAGTCCACGAGGTATTTATTCTGGACCTGTGTGAATGGGGTGGCCGGCGAGAAGGTGTAAGTCCCGGTCGAATCCGCCGTCTCTTGGGCGTGGACGGGGGCCTTTCGAGCTGGAGCGGGATTCGGGAGCAACGAGCGAAACACCCAGTCGGAATCCCAGACCTCCAACACGCCGCCCGACCTCAGCACCCGCAGTGGCTCTTCTAAGCCCGAAGCTTGTTGTGCGGGACTGCTAGGACACATGCCGGCATCCTTGATAAAGACCAGATCGAAGAAATTGTCCGGGAAGGGCAGTCGCGACCTCCGCAGGTCATGCCGCTTGAATTGCCAGTTGACGCCTCGTTTGCGCAGGTCAGGCGCCAGAGAGACCACGTCGATACCGACAAAGGAGACATTGGGATGGCCCTGCCCAGCCAGATACTCATGACACAGGCCCGACCACAATCCGGATCCGCAAGCAATCTCAAGAATGCGCTTGGGCGGACGGTCGGCCAGATGGGGATTGCAAAATGGGCCGCCAAAGACACGCAGCAGCATGGTCGTGCGCAAGCTTTGGCGGTGGATCTCGGGCAAGTCGCATGGCAGCGGGTAGAAGTTCTCCGGGTCCCGAAGATAAGTGCGATCGCCGTGTCGTGCAAGCGGATAGTTGCTGTAATCTGTAAGGGAGCCGAGAGAAGAGGAGGAGTTGGCGGCGAAATTGGAGCTGAGGTTGGAGTGGATATCCGAGCCGGACGCTGCGGCGGCCGCAAGTGAAGAGGTCCCTGCCGACATTATGTGCAAGGCTCGAGACACATGGATTCCGAGGAGTGAGCGTTCAACGGGGTCCGCAGTATGGTCGCATTATCGATGCGCAACGTTCAAGTCATTCATGGGCCGGATGACATGCTTGCTTCTGAACTAGTGTCTACTGTCTAGAGCAGCTGGAGGGGGTGGAGAGAAGGAAATGGATACTGGTTCAGTTCGACTGCTGGCAAGAACGGGCAGATCGAATGGTCAGGGGGGGGGGGGGAGCTGACATGAATCGAGGACAGCAGGAAAATGGGAGAAGGAAATCAAAAAACAGTCTTTGCCCAAAAAATGGAGAATGTCAAGACAGCAGGGAACCTGGAAAAAGCCAGACTCAGGTAGAGAGAGAGGTGCCCCCCTACCCCTCCGAAAACGGTAATCGCCCGGAGAAAAAAAATTCGAATTTTGTGAAGATCGGGCGTTGCGCTTGATACGTTATTTGGAAGTGGACACAATTCCAGCACGTACACGACTGATGACTGTATGTGCACGCATGATTTGTCCTGTCAGGAAATCGGTTGATTTCTACATTCCATGTATGCCCACACGCTCCGTTCAACCCTCAAATCCAACACGCCTCAGATTGCCAGTTGTGAAGGGAAGGGACTAATGGCGGGGGAAAGTTGGGCAACCGACTGCAATCCGACTATCCGTCGATGCTCTGATCATGGGCTGGTCCCGACTCCTGAGTCTGGCTCTCTGGCCATGTATTACATCAAGACCGCTCCGGCCGCAGCGCCAGAAAAGGAAACTTGTCAAGATCAACCGTGGAAGCGCCTCTAAGACCTATCCGTGCATGGTGACACTTTCGATATATCAGTTCTCTTTGCATTACCACCACAAAAGTACCGTTCAGTGTACAGGCCTCGGTACTTTTTTTTGGCCTGACGCCAGAGGTGTTCCAAGAAGGCAGAGTACCTCATATCAGGCCCGAAAGGCGGAGAACACGGCGAAAGCACGTACTGTAAGTAACATTAGAGTTGCAAACTTGTCTACACTCTACAGTCTCCACTCCACATGCTATAGTCAACTGATTCGACTCTGATGAACCCAATGGACCTTACGAGCTCCTATTTCGCACGTATCATGTGAAACAGTAGTGGTGGAGAGCCAGGACTGGAGAACAGGGGCAACGGGCTGCAGGTACGATACAATCAACTAGAATAGCCCTGTAGCATGCCCATTCTAGGTCCCGTTAGCGAAGGTGAAAGATACCAAGAAGTTGACCAGCTATCAATTGCGGGGCTATCATGAATCTTTCTTATTCAATCAAGCGAACATCAATCAAACAACGGATGCCTTGGGCAAACTTCTCCCATGCACTGGATCAGCGATGCGTTCTTTGATTGCAAATCGGAGTGGAACGAGAAGTTGCTTCTCATGTAAGTGCTTGGAATTTTATTCCTGTGCTCTGATTGGCTGACTGTGGCAGAATTGACCGCCCCCAAGGTTACATCACGTGATGCCTCCCAAATGCTCGCTTCTGTATTGATCACATGATCAGTCTTGATCTCCGCTGGTGTCTCGTGGTCCTATTGTCTCGACTCTCGGGTGACTTGTCACGTGACTCATGTCTACACAATATCAACTTGCGTTGTAGATTTACGGTTTAACTTGTGGTGATGGGGGTCTACGGGGGCCTCCCCCGTATATAAAATTGAGAATATTGATGGAATCGGTAGATATCATAGTACCCTACTACAATTTGCACTTCTTGCCCCACGAATTAGAAGGGAGGGGCAGCACACTTGTATACACATGTACTGTACATTTGTACAGCACTGAATAATACCTAGCCATTCAGGTTGAAGATAACAATCGCCATGTTCTGGGATTTGCATCCTTTGTGCTGTGAACAGTCAGTGCCCTGCAGGAGAGGCATCATTTCATGTCACTACTATGCAATGTATGCATGAAGGGGATGCCTGATCCCGACGGGAATACGAACTAAGGAAAGAATGGAGGCCACTACGACCGTAAGCGTTAGTAGCGGCCTGCAAGACGCCTATGCTAACCAGGTATGGCAGGTGCGCCAAAGCACCGAAATACCCTGACAATCAAGGGTGGGTTTCCGAACAAAAAAACAATGGAGTACTCAACTCATACACTAACCGAGTTTGTGGTATGCAGATCTTCACTCAATAATAATGGTCCCAGAATAATAAGCTCATGGGTATCAAATCAGTACGCTGCTCTATAAATGCTAAAAAAAAACAATCTTTTGTGCCACTGGACGCCAGACGCCAATGCTATTACAATGGACGCTATCTAGGGAGGATTGACCTCCTAACAAAAAAAAAGTCTATTGAAGAACATATTCCTACTCACACAGGATGTTGACATCATGAGTCGGGTTCCATCTTGGAACTCGGCAACGCGCCCGGCCCGCTAAGCTCTTCACGTTTCGTGCAAGGCTCGGAATAGTGGACGCTAGTACGAAAAATCACTCTTCCGGTCTGGTCGTATGCGTTATCTGTGGAGGACTAGTCGACGACTCAACTGACTACATCCATTTAGTACCATAGTAGTGCTCGGACTTCCAACATAGTAGCCATTCACAGAACGTTCTTTGTTTGACAGGCCCGTTCAGCCAACGTGGTACCCATAGGTGAGGCATACGGGCCATCTCAAATTACCACGTTCTATAGGCTAAGGTCAGTTGCTCAGTTCCCCTAAGCAGTGGATAAAGTCCTCCCCGTACCGCGGCCCAGGGTCTCCATGTGCAGAACGATAATATACCAGTCTTGACCTCTAGAGCCATTTCTTGTCGCTTCAAAGAGGAAGATTTCGGTCAGTCCGTGTCTGCAGGCGCCCTCGAATCGGGATGTGTATAGGCCACCTCCAGACCCTAGGATTTGAAGCGTCTCCAAAGCATGACAAACATCGGTCATTTCTCTCTGTGAAAGCGACGCCGAAAAGGACAGCCTCCGGCGCCAAAAACAGCCGCCTCCTCACTGGATTTCGACCTGGCAAATATTGAACCTCGATTGATGGAACCCGTTCTTATCACAGTCATGAAGCCATCAGCATACTCGCCAAACACCGGAAACCCCGCCTGCTCTGCCAGATACCGGGTGATTATCACCGACTCAATTTCGACGGAGATTTCTACCCGGCGAGTGACGAGGAGAGCAGCAAAGGTGGCATATCTAGAGCCTGGCTCTCAGCTTCCATTACAGCATGTGACGCGCTCGTCTCGGAAACGCTGGCATCCAGAGGAGCAGCTCGGTTAGGAGTACAAGGAGAAAGTGCGACCGTCGGTTTGAATTCACCATCAGAGGAGACTGCCCAAATCGCAGGCTGAGGAGGTTTCATTCTGGAGACATGGCTCGCGTTCCTGAAGGTATAGATGCACCTTCGTCATCAACAAGCACCTCACCAGGCTCGAGATTACCATGACGACGAAGTAGGTATAGTGATATCAAACGTGCGATCTATTCTCTGCTCGATGAAGATTTTTTGAATACATCTTCCATAAGGTCATCGCCACTCAGCTTCATGAAGTCGGTGCGTGCGAGTCCGAGGGAGGAAGAAGGGTTCTGAAAACGGTCGACAAAGTCCTCGCTGATGGACACAGTGAGCAAAGAAATTTCACTGGACTAGATGAGAATTCAAAGTCAAGATAGACTGATGTGAAGAGCCAGCGTTGATTTTGCTCTAGGGACCTGCTGTTGCTTGAAAGGGGAAAATTTGTAAAAAGATGAGGAAGCTCCAGGTTTTATGAACCTACGGAATCGGAGATAAGTTCAGTAAATCTTTGTTGCATATTTCTTGATTACAGCTTTCAACGCTTGGAATTCCCAGGATCTTTAGGTAGAGTCAAGATCCTTCGAATTTCTGACACTTGCAGGACGAAGGGAGGCTGCGTAGGGCCTTGGACCACTTATATGACATCATGTCTTCCTCCGTTTCTTCCTCTCTCTTCCATCAGTCGATCCTCGGCATCAGACATGTAAGCTTGTGCCACCTTCTCAACCGCAGTTTCGTCTAAGGCTCTACGGATAGATAAGGTCGAAAACGCCGCCATTTCTTTTTGTTCTTACGGCCTCATACGGACGTGTTTTGGGCTTCGTAGCACACCCGGTGATGAGGGCAAGTCGATCAAATCTTGTCTTCTGCCTCATTTGAATAAAGGCTATGAGCTCTTCTTATTAGTTCCGAGTCTTTTGAAAGCATTCGTTAACATGATTCGATAAAGCAGACTGCATCTTTGCCAACACAACAAAGGGACTGTCATGGTCCTGCCAGATCCTAAGATTGAAATACCTCGTCATATGAAATCCACTTATACGGATCGACTCGGAAACTACGGTAATCTGGCCGATTCAATGCGTATTAGAAACCACCGGGAGCGCTCATATCAGAAACCCACTGTAGGGCGAGACGTTGGTGAAAAGGAAGATCTAGAAATCAAGTGATTGTTTTATAGAGAGGACCTGAGATGACGTGTACCTCTTGCAGGCTTATCGTACGCCCTGAATCCCCTGCATGCTCGCATGACTGAAATAGGTCATTTACGTGCAAAGTCGAATTAACACCTATGACTGATGGATATAATGTAGAGTCGACTACTCTTCGTAAGGCGAGATGCCAGAGGCCCCCGAGAAGGGAGAGAGATATAGAGCGCCCCTGTAGTCAAGTGGCGGTCAGCCTTAAACGAACGCATATTGGAAGTAGTCAGACACTGGAGGAGGCATGGACTTCTTTGCAAGAGCCTCAAAAAGTAGATATCGGAGACCAAGTCGTGAAAGTACGAAGACAGCTCCGGTCTGTTACGTCAACTATCTAGTGTGTTGGTCAATGCCCATGCTAGAAAGAACATGAAACAAACAAAAGGCTTCTTAATCAATTACATTTGTTTCAGAAGTTTGTCCAACGCAACATTGCCCCCCGCTTGTCCACTGGTAAGAGATGTCGGCTATATTACCTCGGGGGCAAAGATAAGTACGGGTCTATCTTGTGCACCGTTTCTAAGATTCTTGAACCCCATGCCAGATATCCAATCGCAAACCAGTATATTCAACGCGATAATAAAGATAGCATCGAATAAGTACTCAAGCATGACCATCTTCAGGGCAGGGTCTTCGCTCTTTCAGAGTGCATGGGATAGAAGTTTCCAACGAACAGTCCAGGCTTTCGTGTCTGTTTGGGAGTTGTTGGAGAAATGTGTAGTAAACCATAAGTTCTAGCATTACCTTAACTTCAAATTGATGAGATACGGCTACGGTAGGGGCAGTTGTATCGTGTATGAGAGGGATGAGGAGTGAAATTGCTCCTAGGGAGAGATTCTCTCTAGGCCGTGGACTGCGGTGCGTGTGCAGCAGAATCATATGCCATACAAACACCAATACACGGATGACAACCTACCTGTCTTCGATGATACATCCCAACTAGGGTACTTTTGCAACAAACTCGCACTTTCTTGGGCGGACGGTCTCTCTCAACCATATCCATTGCTAATTATGGATCGTCCAGTGCCATCCGGGCATGATTAACCACAGTCTCTTTCTATCATATGACAGACCTGGCGAAACGTCTAAGTTGCCAGAGAGAATTTATCTCATGCGTAGCATTATCCTTCCTACAGCTCCTCAAATGATCTACGGACTTCATGAGCTTAGACTAAGCTCCTTAGGACGGTGATGGGAGATCGGATCTAGACACTGAACTCCTTTCCCCCTGGAAGCGAGTCACCCTGCGCGTCTGCGGAGCAAGATGAAGGGACATACACCGGAATCTCGTTTTCCTTTTTCTACAGCTTACCAGAAGCCACTGATGCTGACTGGTACCGGTAGTGCTCCGGCTATTGCACGTGTATCAGGCCGAGAAGGATTACGCCCATTCAGTATGCTGGAAAGCCTCGTCTTATCCAGAAGAAAACGAGGAACTTGGACTGGCGAAATCCGGTAAGCCAGCCTGCGGTATAGCCAACATCCTCTAACGAAGGGACAACACGGAACATAAAACTTAATGGTTTTGGAAGATCCATCGCACCAAATGCGTTATACGTAACCTGAGCAGAGCATGGGGTCCTACAGAACTTGGCGCTCTTTTGGCCAATGCATGTTCTGCACCAGCCTCTGCGCCATATTTTGGCTATGGTGTTTATATCGCTTCAGTCTGATCTAACCATGTCGAGCAATCTTCGATACGAGATCCGAACTGACATTTTGCGGGTGCGCTCCTCGTGATATGAGGAACCAAGGTATGCAGGAGGATATCATTGCAGATCTAGGTTTACTCAACAGTTCATGAAGCCCAATATCCTTCCAAAAGGCAGTAATGGTCCTTTCTACTCGGACAGCCGGAGGTCGAGTGGTGCTGCTTCAGACAGAATCTCTTGTTCATCTTCGAATCAGTCTGCAGCCGTGGGCTGTGAGCACACAACCTGACCTTCAAGATGGGAACTGAGGTCCATATCCATTAAAGAAAGAATAGAATTGCTATCAAAAGAACGACAAAAACGTCACCTGTGGTGCCACTTTGCAGCCCGTTGGCTGTGAAAATGCATTATGTCTTTGATACAGGGATCAGAGACCTGAGCGCATTCGAAGTTTCTCCAAGGATATCTCTGGCAATAGTCAATGAAAATCAACGAAGGAAATTATCATTTGGAGGAGCGGCTCAAAGATGTCAAGGAGCACTTGGGATACTCAGGTGCCGTCTCGTCCGAGGAGATCGATTTGGACTATTTGAAGTCGTTGTTGGACAAGTACATCTCCTACCCTAGCGACTGGATTCAGTACTTCCACGATGACCTCGGCAAATAGATTTTGAACAGAATTCGTTCGTGCATGACCGACGAAAGCCCCTACAGCACGCTGGGATGCGAATTCCAAAGCGTATGATCTTACGTATGAAAGTATGGAGACGACTGGTGAAACACGTCAGAAGCAAGAGGATTATGATCAACGTGGACAGAACGACACCGATTGGGCAAGATGTCATTCCTGGAAAACTCATCTGCCGTCGTCAGCACCACATATTGACCATCACGAGACGTTCATCTCCTTGAGCCGTGAGAATGATTCAGTAAGTATTAGACACTGCAGTGGGAGAGTCGTCTGACGAATGAACAGACGGATTGATAGTACCCAGCTCAATCTGACTATCTGATCTGTTGTTTTATGACAAATGCATCTTTCCGGCCCATCGCTTTGGCGAAGAATGAAAGTTCTTTTATCAATCATCCACCTCCAGACAACATTACTATGTAGTATAGGTCGAAGAATTAGGGAGCAGCCGATAGACGAAGACATGTGCCACCTATTATCCACCTACACCGGCATAACGAGGTTCTTCTAGGTCCGACTCCGCCTCTCCAGCAGACTGGTACTACGTAAATTCAATTAGTGAAGTTGCTGCCTACCTACGCTTCGGTGAACATAACAAATAATGTTGAGCTTGGACACGTCTTCATTGTAGGACTTGAGTCCTGATTGCGGACTGAAACGTATAATCATCCATAGCATGTCTAAAGTCTTCGATTCATGAGCCGGCAACTTTCAATGCCGACAAAATCAGTTCTTCCAGGGGGTTAGTCTCAAATCACCTAGAGCTCAGCCTTCCCAACCAATTAGGTCGGTGCTATTGGTTAGGGACTCACTCAGGACCGGACGGAGACGAGATGACGGATGATCCCTCGGCCGTCACGTCAACTACACTCCCACAAGTTACTCGGTCGGGAATTGTGTAGTATCGAAAATTGGAACTTGAAAAGCCGACGTAAACGAGTATCTAGCTGATGACAGAGATAAACGACATCATCGACGTTCCATTGAGAGCTCTCAAGATTCAGCTTCGGACCGTTGCCGATAGCTCATCGACGCGTGCAGTACATATACTTCCACTCAATTCGGAATAGCTTTCACACCTGTAGGCTACAGCTCGCCCATCAAGGAATCCCGTGACCGTCAGAGCTTATTGAAAAGGGATCGGAAGGCTTGGCGTGGATCATATCCGGTTGGGTTATACCACGTGACCAAAACTCCCGCCTTCGAAGCAAACCACCCATCAAGAGTATCATCTCAGAAGCCCCTCTCTCAGCCGCTGTCTATCAGTCTTGTTAATTGGACACATGTGCGTCTGATTCCATTTCTGAAATATGGAGATGGACTTTCTTCTGACTTAGCTCTCTACGACTAGTGTGATCGCGGCCCCGAAGCGCGCTCGTGACTCCTCCGCTCAGCCTCCGCCCTTAGGTCCTGGTCCAACACAAGCAGTGTCCACGGAGAGTTCCAGCTCAACCTCCCCACCCCACCACCAGACCACTCTCGTCGCACCAAGGCAACCCTAGACCAATTTCACTCGACAAACATACACGTTGGAGGGGTTGTACTGTCGCAGAACTTCATGTTGAAGAAGAGAAGAGGCCGTGCTCAATTCACCATTCCTTTTCTCATCGCTATCTCCATCTGCCCCTCCGCCTCACGTTGCCAATTACTCGCCTTCCCCCGGTGTCTTACCAGGGAAATAAGCCACGGTCTCGTCTGCCTCGTTAGATGGCAGATGGTACCTACAGGTTCCAGCAGCCTGGGGCCGGGCAGTATTACTTCCAAACACAACCACAGCAACAGCACTCGCTCCAGAGAAACGCCATTCCGAGCGGAACCAACTCACCTGGTCGACTAAAGTTCAACCCAAACACTCCATCCCCTTCTCGATCACCTCCCGCAAACCACCCAACCTCACTTAATCCATTCACCATGTATGGGCAAACTCACCAAAGCCCGCATGTGATGATGAACGGCGGTCAAACCCATCAGCGATTTACCATGCAGATGCCGAAGTTCCAGACGCAATCTCACCCTCATCACCATGCTCCGCAACCAACTCACCATCACACACATCAATCGCACACCCAGCACGGCCTGGGTCATCAGCAACATTTCCCCACTGGAGCCCTTGCCACCACGACGCCTCACTTTGCTGCCAATCATATTCAAAATGGCGCGTCCACCACGGCAGATGATGACATTGACGAGTCCATGAATGAACATTGGCAGGAGCAGCTTCAACTTGCCGCTGAGTCTCGACAGTCTACCTCACCTCACCATTATGCCCGCATCATGGCTCAGCAGTCCAAAGGCATTCAGATCATGCCGAGCCAAAATGACCCTTCCGATCACAAACTTCTCGACGGCCGAAATGGGACTGTTACTGTCAAACCGGCTTCCCGGCAAGGTTGGAACGCCCTGGATTTCGGAGGTCAGGGTCTGCGCGTCATGGCCAGCTCCTTGTTCAATTACACTTTCCTCGAGAAGCTGTATCTTAATCACAACAAGCTGAAAGTGTTGCCTTCAGCGATTGGACAGCTCCGCAAGCTGACCCATCTCGACCTTTCAGGCAACGAGCTGAGTGAGCTTCCGGAAGAGATTGGCATGCTGACCAACCTCAAGAAACTGTACCTTTTCGATAACAACATTCGCACTCTGCCCTACGAAGTGGGGTACCTTTACCGTCTGGAGACGCTTGGTATTGAAGGCTGTCCCCTTAATGATGTCCTCAAGTCTCAGATCATGAAGGAGGGCACCAAAGCACTGGTCAAATATCTCAAGGAAGAGATGCCAGGTGAGTAGTTGCGGGCTATGAAGCACTTTTCTGCGCATGGCGCTCTCACAAGTCTCCCAAACTGACCGGCCGTTTTTGCAGTTCACCTCCCGCCTCCCGACAGAGACTGGATCATTCTGGACGAGACCGCGAGCTCCAACAACAGCCCGGCCGAAAAGATCACTGTCCTCTCATACAATACCCTATGCGACTCCTCTGCCACGCAGTCACATTACGGTTATGCACCTTCTCGTGTCCTCTCATGGGAATTCCGTCGCGAGCTCATCCTGAACGAATTGCGATCTCACAATTCGGACATTGTCTGCCTCCAGGAGGTGGACCAGGGAAGCTACAATCACTTCTACCGTGAGCAGCTTGCTTACAGTGACTACAAGGGAGTGTATTGGCCTCGTGGTCGAGCAATGGGCATGCAGGAGGAAGACGCCAAATCTGTCGACGGATGCGCTATTTTCTACAAGGGCACCAAGTACATCCTGCTCGACAAGCAGCTCATCAACTTTGGTCAAACCGCGGTTCGTCGACCTGACGCAAAGGGTCAGGATGATATTTACAATCGTCTGTGGCAAAAGGATCACATAGCTGTGGTTGTGTTCCTGGAGAACCGGTTGACCGGCGCTCGATTCATGGTGGTGAATGCTCATCTCTATTGGGATCCCGCTTTCAAGGATGTCAAGTTGATTCAGACTGCCATTCTTATGGAAGAAATCACGAAGCTGTCAGATGGTTATGCCAAATGGCCTGCCTGTACTGACAAAACAGCTTTCCGCTTTTCTGAAGCTGAGAGCGGCCCCGAGAATGCGCCCGTAGTTGAGCCAGCTCCGTCCATGGAATACGCGAGTGGAGACCAGATTCCGTTGTTGATGTGTGGTGACTTCAACTCCAATCCTGGATCTGCGGCTTACAACCTCATTGCCAACGGACATCTGCCTGAATCGCATCCTGACCTCGAGAAGCGACTTTATGGTAACTTGAGCCGTATTGGTATGACTCACCCGTTCAAGCTGAAGTCTGCCTATGGTTCAATTGGGGAGCTCAGCTTCACCAACTACACGCCGGATTTTATCGATATCCTGGACTACGTGTGGTATTCATCTAACACACTGCATGTATCTGCACTGCTTGGTGAAGTTGACAAGGAGTATCTTCGCCGTGTTCCTGGGTTCCCCAACTTCCATTTCCCAAGTGACCACATTGCATTGTTGGCGGAGTTTACCGTCAAGGGAAAGAAGGGAAAGGTTGTGGAAGCGGATTTCGGCCCTCAGCGGCACTGAGAACATGATCCGCCTCAGGTCGGAAATTGGCGTTTTCTGTTCATCCTGAGATGGCTACATGGACTTTCCGGAGCCCTTCGGTCATTCGCCTTCTTCTCTTGATCTCTTCTGACTTGCGCTTGCGAACCTTGGAGTAGTAGCTGATCCAGCCATTCTACACTCTACCCGGCTCGTTCAATACCGTTCGTCTGTTTTGGGCTCCCTTCTCTCTGTTTCTGCGTTGCCCCATCTTCCCGCATCTCCCAGCTCTTTCGATCAAAGCCCAATCGACCTGAGTGCTCTCCCCTTACGTACCCCTTCACTCTCCTCTAGCCTCGACTCTCTCGTTTTCTACCTTGCCCTGTTTCCACATCTTCCTCTCTCTCCTCTTTGTGCAGGTGCACGCTCATCCGGTGCGCTTGTGTGGCCCGCCTGAGGTCTTGTTCTGGAGATCGTCTTCGGAAAGTATGCGACGAGAAGATTGTTGCTCCATCTACCTTCCGCATCGTGCTTCTCCCTCCACCTCTTCTCCTACTTTCCCACCCCCTCTTTCCTCGTCCGCCTTTCTTTTCCTGCCTTTCGTCCTCTGTTTTCTTTCGCTTTTTTTTTCTCGCTCTTGAATCGTTTCGCAACATGGAAGGAGGGTGTGTCGATACTTTTCGATTCCACATCCCACCTTATCCTGAAGCGCCTCTGTAAGCGGCTTCATGACACATAGGGTGGGCCGGTGTTTAGGTGGACACGTTGGCTGAAGGGCCTTCGAATGAGGTTGCTTTTGTTTTGACGTTTGATTTTCAAGGCGAAAGGCGTTTTCCATCTGAGCAATGTACTTATTCTCTTCACGTCTCTGAATTCGAATGGAGCACACAGCACGGCTATTCGAATCAACATGCAAAGTCCAATGTCGTAGCTCAACTAGTCGATTCTCGCTGTGATGCCCTCAGTCTTCCGCAACGAGGTCGCACCCTGATGCTGAATACCTCATCTTCGTCGACCATAGCGAAATATCGACTATACTGTGAGCATTTACTTCAGTAGGTGTTCTTCGATGGGAGGGAAGCTTAACGCGTTGGGCTGAATGAAGAATGATTGATAAAAGGGTGGAGCTTTCCAAAGGAAGCCGAGGCCAATCAAGCTTGACACTTTGCCGCTCCGGCGGGGACTGGCGAGCGGCCGACCAATTCTCGGCTCGCAGCTCAGCAATCACATGCTGCTTCGGGCACTTACGTTCTGCTGGCGCCCTAGTGACCAAGCGTGGCTACCCCAGACAGCCAAGACCATTTATCATATCCCAAGCGTTCCTTCTCAGAGCTGGAAATCAAATTTCGAGCAAGCCTCTAGACTTGCCCACCATGAGTGTTGAAGAGGGTAGCCACACTCTTCCTGACGAGACTGAGCTGTACACCAAGACATGGAAGGTGTGTTCCAGAGCCCCAGTCGATGAACCACGGAAGAGGTATCTTTGGGCCGTCTGCTAACAACAAATATCGTTCTACTACAGTCGGAGGGATCACCCAAGGCTATACTTGCCCTTGTTCACGGATTCAGTGATCATTGTATGGATCCCATTCACGATAGATTGGTACGCGATACGTGCAATTGACTAATGTTCCCAATCGCAGGCAATGCCTATTATGATCTCTTTCCAACACTGGCATCAAACGGAATCGAGGTTCGAGCTTTTGATCAGAGGTGAGCCAGTATCAGAAGCTGCACCCCCGACATTTGAGCCTTCCGCTCTTTCTCCGCGAAGACTACAGTTCACTGACCCAACGTACAGGGGCTGGGGACGCTCCTTCAAGGGGCGCAAAGACCGCGGAAATAGCGGCGGTACCGCTCTGGTCCTCTCGGACCTTCACTCATTCTTACGAGCCATTCCCGTCCCACCTAACGTGCCTCTCTTCGTGATGGGTCACAGCATGGGCGGCGGCGAGGTGCTCAATTACGTATTGCACCCAGACTCGCCCTACAACCAGTCAACGGCGCGTCCCCAGCTGGCAGGCGTTCTATGCTACTCACCTTTAATTGCATTGGACCCTGCGACTCGCCCCATGGCCTTCACGGTCATCATGGGCCGACTGGTCGCTCGGGTTTTGCCCAAATGGCAACGATACTCTCCCCTGGACGGCTCATTGATCTGTCGGGATGAGCAAGTCGTGAAGGACTACACCTCGGACGAGCTTTGTCACAACACGGGTACTTTGGAGCAGCTAGCGGGGATGTTGGATCGTGGGATTTGGTTGGAGAAGCTCAAGGAGGAGGATTTGAAGAATACCGAGGTCTTGCCAATGTGGTTTGGTCATGGTAATGGAGATCGGATCACGAGCTGGGATGCTACAAAGAAGCTTGCGAGTGTTTTGGAGAAGAAGGGTGATGTCACCTTTGTTACATATGAGGGAGGATATCATCGAGTACACATGGACCCGGGTGAGACGAGGGAACAATTCTCGAAGGATGTTTCGGACTGGGTGTTAAAGCAGGCATCCACGTACTCTCAGCCTCAACCTGAAGCTGAGCCGCAGCCAGTTCCTGAGTGATTCAGTCGAAGGGTTACTGAGAGATGGCCTTGAAATATTAACACAAAACATCGAAACGACGCGGGAGGGGAGGATGTTCCTGGAGAAATAGATGTAAATCTAGACCCGGACATTCATTATCTGTACACTAAACACCATCGTCTCGTGTCGCTACTATTATACATTTTTGTTCCTCATCCCCGAGGTACATACAATTGGATGGGAGGCAATGGTGGTGGCATCCATTTGTTGGCAGCCCCATGTCTCGCCAAAGAACTTCCTCTATGTAGTGCTTTCAGAGGGGTCTTCAATACGACGCCACACCCCGATGAAACCTCCGCCTACGGTCCGGATACCGACCTTGGGTCGGCAGACCATGACGGGCTCATCATTCTTGAGAGGTACATCGGGCAGGACGATCTCATCAGGACCGGCCTCCGAGTCTTCAGCCTGCTCCGCACTTGAAATACCAGTAGCAGCTGCATCCTCACCGTCCGACTCGACAGGGGGTGCCCACGATGAGGGATCAGCCGCAGACTTTTTGTACGCGAGTCGAACATCCCAATGCCGGCCGCTCGTCATGCCGAGACCTAGTTCAATTACCCTTTCTTGCACAAAGGGGAGTCGATGTTGACGGATGGTCCGCACGCACTCCCCAATTTGAGTGATGCTCGGCATAAAGACAACAAGATAACCACCTCGTTTCAATAGAGGGGCCACGGGAGGAATCCGCAGATCGGCCGAGGGCATGTCCAGCATCACATGGGACAAGAAAGGTTCAGGAGCTGCGTCGCTAGAGGAGGACAACGCCATGACCTTTTTGCTCCTTCGCTTGGACTGCTCAGCGACCCAGTCCTCAACCGAGCCTACGTGGAAATCAACATTGCCAGCATAGATCCCACGACGAAAGCCGTTGACATTCTTTTCGGCCAGGGCTGCGAACTTTCCAGAGACGTCCACCGTATGAATCACTGCCTTGCGGGTTGCTCGCCAGGCATCCCATTCCCGCTGAGCCGTGTCGATATCCTCAGAGCTCTGTGTGCCATCCGTGGCCGGTGTGCTCTGCTCGCCCGGTCGAAGCGCTCGGTCCTTCAAATACTGGATTTGTGACCCGGCCGGACGTGGTGGAGGTGTTGAATTGGCGGCGTGAATTGCCCGGGCGAGGTGAAGCGTCAATGAACCATGTCCTGTCCCTGACTCTAAGATCTCGAGAGGAGGTTGTGAGTCGTCTGTGGCTGGAGGGTTGACGTGAAGATCGAGGAGCGATACAATCAAATTGGCGTCATGTGAATAGATCTAGGTATCAAGACGTCGTCAGCGACAGAACTCAGAGTGTATGTCTGTGAGGTTGACAACACGCGTACCGGAGTGACGAGACGAGGACTCAAAGCGACATATTCTTCCAGCGTTGGCAGACTCAATCGGACATCGGGACCTAGCACCATGCTCTGCGATTAGCTTGTCTGACGAGGACTAGGGGGGTTTTCTTCTCCGGCGAAAAGTCACCTACCTTTGTGTGCAGGGACTGCATCCCAGACTCGACTCCCGATGATCTTCTCATGTGCAACATGGCCACGACGCAGATTCGTCTTGTCGCCGACTTTCAAGGGTTTTGTCAGTTGAGGCTGTTTCTGGTGAATTACCGCGCGGTCGCCCTCTGTACGCCTGGTCAGCTGATCGCAATTACCATCAAGCATCACCCCGGGAGTCAACTGTCAAATTTCTTTGCTGTCTCCCCACGTTGTGGTGTTCCCCATTCGGACCTGCAACGCACCTCGAAAGACAGAGAAATCGGTGTCAATGGCGCGCGCTCGCGCTCGTGCTCGAGCGATGTTCGTCGTCACACGACTTGCTGGAGCTGGCGAAGGAGCTGTTCCAAAGACTCGTCCCAGGATTTGCAGCAAGCGAGTCATTGTGGCTCCGTGACATCAACACCGGCCCTGGTCGTGCCTGAAGCCCTCGGAAATTTCTCCGACAGATAAATTGGAATCTGCCGCCGGTCCGAACACGATCCACTCCACTTTTTCTGAGCCTTGGGGAAGCCCATCCCATCCATCAATCCAGACTCTAAAGGGTCCATAAGGGTTCCTGACATCTCAAGTGTCATATCATCTTGGCTCTTCTGCCAATCGCAGACTGACCAGATGTTAGAGCCGTGATGCGGACCACCGAGTCCAATTGGACTCCCCTCGAGACCCAAGTCAGCGCTTCGTCCACCACCATCTGCTGCCAATTGCGCGACCACATGCAATTGCACTGGGCTTGAAAGCCAAAATGGTGGACCATGACCCACTTTGCAAGTTGGTCCCGTCCTGTTCATTCAACATGAGAGCCTCTGACGCGCTGCCCTCCCCAGGATTTTGTTGGCCGCCCCTCCTCGTCGTTCTGCGGTCGGCGGTGCGCTCTTCACCGGAGGGGAACCCCTCCAGGCGGTCCGAGTCCCGAGATGATTCTTTAGGGAATTCGACATTTGCGATTACTCTCCTTCTCTTCTGCACAATTGCGCAATCCGTGAATACAGACGCCCTGCATCACTTTTGCTCATAGATACGAGGTTGTTGTTCAGGTCCACGCCCGACTCGACTCTTGCTCTCCGCTCGCCTGACAAGGTCTACAGTGCCAGCTTCGTGTCCTTTCGCATCCACGATGGGGTCCACCGTCCTCCCGTACATGGAGACCAAGCCCAAGGTCATCTTCTTCACTGACTTTGACGGCACAATCACAGTCGACGACAGTAGGCCATACTTGAACCCTGGGGGACGGACATTGAGTTTGCATACTGATTTTGTGAATAGGCAATGACTATATGGTCCGTACGATTCCTCCCACTCCCGCACCCAACGTTCTCGCTGGCCGAACGATGACTGACTGACGTAGATCGACAACCTCGGCTTTGGTTTGACGGAACGCCGCAAGTTGAACGATGAAGTCTTGGAGGAGCGTATGGGCTTCCGGTATGGATTGGCGCCTGTAGTTCCTTTCGATGTGCTGCCTCGTGACAGATGTGACTGACTATTCCTCGCCCTCAGTGACGCCTTCCGCACCATGCTCGAGAGCATCAACACTCCCTACGACCAATGCATCGAGATCCTGAAGAAGAACATGAAGCTGGACCCTTACTTTGAAAAGTTCTACTACTGGGCCGAGGAGAACAATGTCCCCATCGTCATCTTGTCCTCGGGAATGCGCCCGATCATCAGCGCTCTGCTGGAGCAATTCCTGGGTCACAAGCCTAAGAGCCATCTTCACATTGTCTGCAACGAGGTGATTCCTCGCAACGGCAAGGAGATCAACAGCGAGGGAGGGTGGCAAATTTCCTACCACGATGACAGGTGAGTCTGCGTCAATGCTCGGGTTCCATTGGAACGCCTGTAGTCCCCGTTACGATGACATATCATGCTCACGCCGGTCTTCTGTTTGGCAGTCACTTCGGTCACGACAAGTCCCTCGAGATCAAGCCCTATGCAGCTCTTCCCGATAGCGAGCGCCCCATCCTCTTGTATGCTGGTGACGGTGTTTCTGATCTATCGGCTGCGGCTGAGACCAACCTTTTGTTCGCGAAAGAAGGCAAAGGTAGGGTATTATATCACAGCACTGGGCCCCAGGAGTGAACCCACGACAGCTGACTCTTATCTCTTTAGATTTGGTGACATTCTGCCAGCGCCGCGGCATGCCTTACACGACCTTCAAGGACTGGTCGACTATCCTTGCCTCCACGCAGAATATTCTTGCTGGCAAGAAGTCGCCCAGTGAAATTGCCGCTGAGACCAAGACAGCCTAAGCTTCAGTTGGATTTGCATCTGGCCCTCACCTGACCTGTCACTGTATATGCACGGTAGATAGACTTGTTCTCCAAGCATAGACTTCCTCACGAATAGATCTGAGATTACCTCATCAGTCTACATAGACGTTGTTGAAATCAATCAGACCAACAATCTTGGTTCGGTTATAGTTCTTTTCGTCTAGACATGGAGACCCTGAAGAGGTCAGTTTTGCCACAAAATAGAGCGCCTTCTTTCGAAGAGTGCTGGACTGACATTGTGAAGTCAAAATTGTTGGGCAGTGCGACTGGAGTTTGTACGTGGTAGTTGTACAACCCAAATGCTTACATGTTGGACTTGACATGCTCCATCTGTCAGCTGCCGGTCTCCTCGGCAATTCACGCGAGCCTAAGGAGTGGTCTCGAGTGACCGCCTACCGGTCATAGTCCAAGCGTCCGCTTCAAGTTGCTCCTTTCGAGAAATTGTCCAGTTTCTCCTGAACACGTTAATCTTTCGATGGAACTGAGGACTCTGTGAGTGGACCAGTCGCCTTCGGTCCCCTTCCGGCCTCATTGACGAGTCGGTTTTTCACACTGAACTCGGTGGCATGATGCACCTGCGCGACACCCTACATTTCTCCAAGACCTTGCCAGGGTGACATCTAAAACTATCATGGCTCGCCGGCTCGTAAGTGCTAATGAATCTCCTGCTTGGGCTCAGTTGCGCTCTCTAATACTTGGTTGCTGGGTTTGATTAAACTACCCTACGAAGTCCTAACACCTCCTTTTTCCAGGTTCGAACGGGCATTCAGCTCGGCTTGTTAGCTACATTTACAGTTCTCATAGTCCTCTTTCTCGACAGCAAATTCCGCGTCTTACCTGCGTCCATTCATGGCCACCTTCCCATGCACTATTCTGGTTATGTGATCACCGATGTCACAATTACACAATGCTCGACCCTCAATCCCTTTTCAAGTTGCAAGCTTGACCCGGCAGCCTGGTACCGCATCGAAAAAGACCTCTATCTGCGCAATGGCTGGACCTCGACTGCGTATGTTCAGTTTCAACGAAAGAAAGAGGAGGAATTGGGCCCGGATGACAAGGTCGTCATTGACTTGAAGATCAGCCGGCTGACGCCTCCTGCTGAGCCTTCATCTAAGGGGGAGGTTGTGGAGACCTGGGAAGCTCGTCCCGGTGGAATTTGGCTGAGGCGATCAGCTTCGCGCCATGCCAGCGATTCTGGCAAGGCAGTCACTTATATTGATGTTCTTTTTGGCGCAGATGCTGTCGACCCACGTTTGAACTGGGAGGTCAAAGACACACCACTGTTGCTGGATGGATGGACGGAGAAGCTGGAGACCCGGTTGAGCATTCGGCGTGGAAATCCCGTGAAATTGAAGAAGCCTGTGCCTCGCATCAACGAGAATGGCCGATTTAAGGTGATGCAGCTTGCGGACCTGCATCTCAGCACAGGACTTGGTGATTGTCGGGACCCTGTGCCCGCTGAGTTGATCCCGGGCCAGAAATGCGAGGCTGATCCTCGGACCTTGGAATTTGTGGAGCGGCTTTTGGACGAAGAGAAGCCAGACTTCGTGGTCCTGAGTGGAGACCAAGTCAATGGAGAGACTGCACCAGATGCTCAAAGCGCTGTCTTCAAGGGGGTGAAGCTTCTCGTGGATCGCAAGATCCCTTATGCCGTGATCTTTGGAAACCACGACGACGAAGGCGATATGACCCGCGCTCAGCTCATGTCTATCTATGAAGACTTACCGTACTCCCTTTCTGCTGCTGGCCCAGAAGATATCGATGGAGTCGGTAATTATATCGTCGAAGTTCTCGACCGCGGCAATGGCGCGCACTCCGCCCTGACCCTCTACCTTCTCGACACGCATTCGTATTCTCCCGATGAGCGTCAGTTCCGCGGTTACGACTGGGTCAAGCCAAGCCAGATTCGGTGGTTCAAAAATACTGCGCAGAGCTTGAAGAAAAAGCACAAAGAATATACCCATATTCACATGAATATGGCATTCATCCACATCCCACTTCCTGAGTACCGAAACGACAAGAATCACTACAAAGGAGCATGGCTGGAAGCACCCACGGCACCTGGATTCAATTCCGGCTTCAAGGACGCCCTTCAAGAGGAGGGGGTCCTGTTCGTCAGCTGCGGACAGTAAGTGTGAAAATTATTCCCGCAAGTCATACCGTGCCAAGAGACTTACTTTTTTCCCTCGTTTGTAGTGACCACGCCAATGACTACTGCATGCTCGAGAAGGATTCCAATGAGAAGCCTTCTCTGTGGATGTGTTATGGTGGTGGGGCGGGCCTAGGTGGTTATGGCGGTTACAACGAATATGTTCGACGGGTGCGATTCTACGACTTCGACATGGGGCCCGGTCGAGTGACCACTTATAAGCGTCTTGAATGGGGCAAGACAGAGATCAAGCTCGACGAGATGATGATTGTAGATGGTGGCGCTGTCAAAGGGCCGAGCGAGCAATGATGAACGAGCTGGCCGCCGACATGTTTGGGACTGTCTCTTCATATGCGCAATCTGCATTTGCATGTGCATCTTCGATTACCATGAGCGGCATCCCTGACTGAGTCTGCCCCAAGTCAACTGTCTCATGGCCTCTCTACTTGAAATCCGGGGGTGTTTTTTGGGCTTATCGCGAGCGACATGTTATGATACTGTTATTCTTACTCCGCCTGGGGAGCTTTCGTGTTCTCTCGCCCCTCTCATGATTGCCAGGGATATACGCAATGGATAGCAAAGAGCCTGTGAATACATTGTCATGGAATGGAAATTATTATCACCTGGGGGTTGGGACATTTGTATCTCAAACTTGTCACATCTACCACCACTTTTCATAAAAGATCCGACTCTTTCCACCCTCCGCCCCCATGATGATCTCGAGCATTTCCACCATCGTATCCGTCATCTGCGGTGGCCCACACACATAGGCCACGCTTTCTCGCGAATCTCGCTTGCCATCTTGGCCATGCACCGCCCTAAAAGGTCCCTTCGTCCCATCCTCCTACAGTGAACGGTCAGATCTGCGGGTGACTCCACCGAGACCTGCTCCGAAGAACTCGCAGGCGTCAAGAAGAGGTCCAGTGAGACTCGCAGACGTCGAGCTTGCTGCTGGGAGCGAATGATGGACCGAATTCGTGGGAGGAACAAGATTTGGCTCTCTAGGTCCTCGATTGATGGTGATTCACTTGACTTGTGAGCGGCAGTGTGGCCTGGCGGGAGGCGACTGGAGTAGAGGAGATGAACATGTAATGGGGGAGAAGTGGAACTTTCGTTGTTTAAATGGGCAAGTATTGAAATCAATGGACTGTTCGTATGAGGTTAGCTCTCTCAATCGGTCCGAGTGTATCGAATCAAAAAGCAGGCTCATGAAATCCTGTCTGTGACGAATAGTTCAGTTGGATCGTCACTCTTGGGATAACATACTTGATTCCAACACCGCCCGCAATCATCACCACATTTTTGATCGCACTGATCTCGTTCACACTCGGAGGCCAAGTAAAGCTTCCCCCAACCCGAATATTCAACGGTTTCCCCAGGATTTCCTCGAGGGGCTTCCACAGCCATGCCGCGGGAGGATTAGCCTGAGCCTCTTGAACTGCCAATTCTACAAAGGGCTCTCTGCCTCGAGACTCAGAGACTGATAGCTCGGGGTTCTCGCCATCTGGTGGGTCGATCGGCGAGTCTAGCGAGGGTAATACACGGGCGTCTGCGGGCGTGGATGTGATGGTGAAGCCGCCGGCCGTTGAAATTGACGGGATATGAACGTCTAACCACTGACCCGGTAGGAAAGAAAAGGGTTCTTGATCTAGTCCGTTACCCTGGCCCTCGTAAAGATGTATCGTCAGCTCCCATTCCAATTTATCCTGTTTGCTCTACTCTCTCGTCTGCCTCTGCTTCATGAGTCAAATGCAATCACCTCAATTGAATCGGGTGAGCTCATCTTCTACTGGGATCCATGCTCTGTCACATGACACACAATGCATGAACACACATACATCGTCACAATCCTGTCTCGGAAGAGTCAATTGCAGCAACCGGACCGACGAGTTGGCGTATTCCACATGCGACAGCCGCACCGGGTATAGTCGATTCTGTCGGGGCTCTGCCGCCGTGCGAAGCTCGTGTGGAATCGAGTCCTCGCGCCGGGAGCTCATCACGCCACGGCCACGCACGATACGAGATGTGATGGGGATGAAGATGGGCGGGACACTACTGCGAGACCAGGGCCGATGTATGGATGGGGCTGGTAGCGCGAGACGAAGATGGTGAATTGGATGGCGAAGTGCTTGCATTCCCACCCTCATTTACCCGAGTAGTAATACAACACTTGATGATGGAACTGATGCGAGCAGCGCTATGGAAGTAGGACGCCAGGTTGGAAATTGGAATGGGTGTCAGTGATGTCGTTAGATGTCTCGTATGGAGCTCACGAGAAGCTTCATTGAGGCGTTCCCAGTGGAGAGTGAGAGTGAGAGTGAGTACCACTGGACTCGGTACATCTAAATGCTTAAGTTGATGAATGGCTCGGGACCACATGACTTGACCTTTCCACAATCCACTGTAGATACTAAAGGTTTGACCTTCTTTCATACTACTTAAACCTCCAGTCGTCACAACTACCTTTTAACTACATTCCATGGACGTTGAATGATGACTGTGTCTAAGCTTTTCATCGGTTTATCTTGATCATCAACTAGGGCGTCTCATGCCCAGTCAACAAAGTGTCCAATGGAGAAATCAGCAACTCGCGCTTCTCGTGTGTGTGTGACCATACCTCAGCAGCAGTACTGGATGTTAGTCTGTGACACAGTGCTACTAGCCGCAGTATATCACCCCCAGCAAACCATGCAAGCTCAATCACTAACCGCCTTCCGACCATCCAGGAGTCACGGTCATCCAAGGTCTGGTGTCCCTTGAACATGCTCCGAACCCCGCTTGACCGTAGCACACGCCGGTGAAGTACAAGTCGTACAAAGACCACATTTTCCAAGGGAGAACACTTACACTCGAGGCGAGTGGAGCAGACGGTCGTGCAGATCGCCTCCCATCACACTCTCGTTCGGTTTTTAGCGTGTGATGGCCCGACAGCCTCTCCCCGGCTTATGACTGACGATTGGCGCAGCATCGCTGAAGCCATGCGTGCTCTGGCGCTTTGCCGCTGCCGGGGATTGGCCAGATGCAGCTGTCGGGAACACTAAATGGCAATCGCAAATCCAAATTCCCTGCTGATTCGTGTGTTTTCCCCTCTCTCCCTCGAGTCGATGCAGCTTCGTGATGAACATGGTTGAACGAGAAAACCCCAGGACTCAGCACCGTAGGGTCGCCGGCAGGAGGCCTCATATACAGAGCCGGTGATCCGGATCCAGCAGCATCTTGAAAAGCTTTTTCCTCTTTCCTCTTCTTTTGTTTTCAATCGTTTGCTGCTTGGATTTCATCTTACGTCCAACTCTCTAAGCTGAAGAATCTCGACTTGTCGCTTGCACATGCGAAGCGCTGTCTAGATCAGCCAGCCGGCCTGGCCGAGAGTCCGCGTTGTACGAAACGCCAAGTGCTGCCTTGCTCTTATCTCAAGCAAGGAACCTCGATCTTCATTACAAGAACTGATAGTGTGCGAGGCAACGACCTCTCACACACACCGGTCGCTTCACGTCACAATGCCGTTCATCTTCCCCAGGCGGCATCGCCACTACAAGCTCACGCTCTGGCTGATGGTCGTAGAGCTTCCGGTCACAGTCGCCATCTTGACGCTGACGGGTATCGCTTCGCACAATCTATATCGGACACTGCTGTGGCAGGATGGCGCCGATAATGGGTTCAACAGTGCGCCCAACGCAGCGCTGTACGCCGCTGCTAATTATCGACCGTATACAACTCCCATGGTCTGGTCAACTTTGTATGTTTTGATCATATTCCAATGCCAAATCAGGTTCCTCGATTTCTACTAGGATCTCTCAGTTAATCATGGCCACTTTAGCCTGGACAAGTTCAATCTGATCATCGGAGTGGTCAGCACCTTCTTGCTGATCGTCAAATTTCCGGTGCACTGTCTACATCTATTTTTCCCCCCAATCGGTGCCTTCATTCACGGTGGCATCATGATTCTTTACATTATCTCTGCTCGCTTCCAGGCGAGTAGTGATACCTCCGATCCCAAGCATCCTCAGCCCGGAGCGCCATGGTATATCGCCAAGAATTGCGATGTAGCAGCCCACAAGTCCAACATTCACTACTGCCAGCAGGCAAAGAGCCTTTTCGCGGTCACAATCATCATCATGTATGTGGAGTACCACCCGTTCAGGGTACTTGACCCATGGATTATCATACTGACCGAACCTGTCTTAGTGTGCTCTACTTCATCGAATTCGCCGTCATCGTCCACTCATGCTTCGTCACCAAAGCCGAGCGGGACGAGATTCTCGAGCAAAGAGAAGAGAAGCGCATCGAGAAAGAATTCGAGGAAGAAATTATGAAGTCCCCAAGAATGATCCCCATGACCCCCGCCTTCTTCGGCCAGGATCACCCGGGAATGATCCCGCGAACACCAGGATACCCTCCTGCGGCCGCTGCCATGCCCGTCAGCCACGGCGAGGGCCTGTATTCGCCTTTCATTCATCGACCGGAGAATAGTCGTACACCGGGCTTTAACCGTCTGGGGAGTGGCAGTATTTGTTCCGATCTTCCACTGCGCGATCATTCGAATCTGTCGACGCCACAGGGGCCGCCTGAGATGCCTCAGGGCGCCGAGGGGCAGAATGGACAGGCGCAGGGCACATCGATGTATTTCCCGCCGCCGCCCAAGAAGGCGTCGAACAAGTGATTTTTGTCGCTAATATAAATCAATCTCAAATGTTCTATTTCTCGAACTACTATGATCAGTAATTAGACCGCCGAACTCACACAGCTCACGCAGTAAATGAGGACAGAAGCTAGCTCTCCGCGACATGAAATGAATATCGACGTCATACATGTTCTCGAATGAATGGATATACTTCAAAGATACCGAGGAATTGAGATGCCCTTATTTGAGATACCCTCGACTACCCTAGACAACAATGGATCTTGATCTCCCATCCGTGGTTGTGTGTGTCCAAGTGTTTTGCTTTATCTTCAAGCCAAGTCATTATACCATGTTTTCGTGTACTCAAAACCCCCAAATTGAAAGGAAAAACATTCCGCAGAGAAACAAGAGAGGAGACCAAAAGATGATCCAATATGTACACCACCTGCGCAAACAACAAACGCCTCCATTTGAAATAACCGGCCTTTTGTCAAGTGGTCATGAGGTCATAAATCATACTGCGAAACGAAGAAGTGAGAACGAGAAGTGAAGGTTGGGGCCAAGAGCAGAATCATCATGCCAGGGCAGGAACCACACAAATGCGCCGACCCAAGTAAGGTTGAGAAGGGACAATAGTGGGAAAGAGGCCGAGTCAATAGTCGCACCTCTGTTGAAAAAGGGGTATTGGAAATTGTGGGCCAAGAGGGGAGGGGGTATCTATATTGAGCCGAAGAGAAGAGGACAAAAAAAGAGGAGGGATCATCTTCGTCGTACTGAGAGAAGCACCGGTCTCACATTGGGAAATTCAAGTGGACTCCTGTCGTTTCTTTTCCTTCTTTGACCACCGCACTGTTGGGGAATGTAGACGTGAGCAAGGGTCAGATAGTCGCGGAAAGAGACAATCGAGATATCGCAACTTACAGCCGCACGCATTACACAGCGTCTTTGGCCCACTCGGTCCCTTCCGCCACTCCGGGGAGTCAGCCGTACCGCAGTCGGTACAGACATGTTGTCCCTTCAGTCTTTTGCGCCGGTCACCCTCCTGTACGTTGCGAGCTTGATCGGCTGCAGTGGTGATATCAATATCACACTGAATGAGGCGGCCTCGGCGCGCCCCCGTACTCAGCCCTCGGGATCGCTCGCCATCGCCGTAGTAGAGACCAGTCATTACCTCGATGCCTTCGATATGTGAAAGGCCCCCAGTTCGAGGGGCGTTCTCAGAAAAGTAGTCCCCTTGGACATCGTCGGATTCATCCGAGTTAGGAGCAACGGTCTCAGTGGATTCTTGGTCGCTGCCACTTCCTTGTGCAGCCGACTGTACGTCAACCATCTTATCGTCGATCTTGTTGTACGATAGTCGAGACAAGCTGGCCTCCTCATCTTCCTCTTGGCGGAGCTTGGCGATTTGCTGCACTAAGCGTGCATTCTCAATCTTGTGTTCAAGGAAGGAATCGAGCAGGAGAGAGTTCTTCGTCGGATACGGCCGACACATTATGAAGAAGCCCGTACACCGATCCTGACTAGTCGAGTTTCTTCGTCCGGCGTCGTCATTCTCGTTTGCAATGTGCGGATGACCGAAGGCTTCCACCAGAGAATACGAATTGTTCGATTTGTGTAGCCTCACATGAGTCCGAAACGGTTGATTCATGGCCACCGCATCGTCCATGTCTCTCAAAAAGATCCCTTTATCGTCTTCATGTATATATTGGGTGAAGAGGCTACCCTCGAGTTGTTTTGCCGCGCGACCGGTGACTGACTTGCAAGACGGCGACGCATAAGTGATTCGACCTTGAGCATTAAGCAAGAGTAGCAGGTCCTTCATCTCCTCCAACACCCGCTGTGTCCACCCAGGGTCGCTTTGCATATTTTGATAGGCCCCTGTTTGCTGTCCCTGCTGCATGGCATATTGTCCATACGATCCGGCGATGCTCGTTTGCTGGGACTGCTCGGCCAGCGTGCTCTGCGCCCCTTCGATTGACGCCGATCGCGACTGTGGAGTCAGATGCATGTTGTTGAAATTCATATGGTTCGGAGTCATATCGATCACAATATTATTATCGAGTCCGGCAATTCCCACCTGAGTACCAAACCGTCCTGCGTCAAGAAAGGCGCGGTGCGTGAGGCCGACAGTGCGCTGGCTGCTGGCCGTCGGCTGTCGAGGAGGTGTGACCGAACCAGACTGCCCGGCTGGCGCATTCCCCAAAGGCGGATTTCGATGCTATCTGTTGGAGAGGGGCCGTTCTCTTTTTCAAGACAAAGGGAGCCGCCGGAGCTGCTGTTCGGCGCACAGTTTGCTCAGTGGGAACAGACCTTCTGGGTAAACCCCTTCTGACGCCTTCTCAAACATTCGGTCAGAGTAACCTCAGATCAAGGGTTCGAGGGCACGGAAATATCAACCGAGCTCGCCTTGGTTGGACTGACCGCATCCGCCGATCCAGAGGGGCGAGCTTCTTATGTCAGCATGTGATCATTTTAGTCACGTGAGTTCGTGTTAGGTCGGCGCGCGCTGAGGAGCGCCGAGGCGCACCGTCCGTCCTTTGGAGGCAGAGAGCTGACTTCGTTTCATTGTTGATCAGCTCCTCGACCTTGCTGGTAGCTAGCCCCGAGCGCACTATCGTCAACTCCAGAACATCTGTAGCGCTGGACTCACAGGTTTCCAAAACATACACCCGGATCCAGATCTTCTTTCTACATTGAAGGATCCATAAGAGTTCCACCTTTCCGGGGATCACTACAAGAATGTATGCGCCGAAATACCTTGATCGCCATACTGGGTGATGCAGTCACTAATGAATCCGCAGGTGTAAGCGCATTGCCACCCACAATAGATAGCATGTAGAGCGACTCACTCACACGATCCATGCGTCAGCGAAAATTGACAAGCTCTCGATTCTGGGGTAAATACCTACTCCCGCAAGTTTCAACGCCGTAGAAAGAGACCACAATTTCTTTGTCGCCAGGCTAACGCGGAAAATTTCATATCAGAGTTCGCTCCTTCGATAACACACGCAGCGAGACGATACAGTTTCAGACTCCTCTCACGCTAATTGTCGGCTACAATGGATCAGGAAAGACGGTATGCTGGCTCGGCATTTCACAGTATATGGACAAACAATGCCTGCGCAGCAAGCTAATCGATCCTAGACCATTATCGAGTGTCTCAAATATGCTACCACCGGTGATCTTCCTCCCAACAGCAAAGGTGGTGCCTTCATCCACGATCCCAAATTATGCGGCGAGAAGGAAGTTCTTGCCCAGGTAAAGCTGTCGTTCAACGCAACATCTGGCGCAAGGATGGTTGCCACACGCAGTTTGCAGCTCACCGTGAAAAAGACGACAAGGCAACAAAAAACGCTGGAGGGGCAGCTTGTGATGGTCAAGAATGGCGAGCGCGCTTCGATTTCTTCGCGGGTCGCGGAATTGGATCAGATCATGCCGCAGTACCTGGGCGTCTCAAAAGCTGTACTGGACTCTGTGATCTTCTGTCATCAAGACGAGAGTCTTTGGCCGATGAGCGAGCCATCGGTACTTAAGAAGCGTTTTGACGAGATATTTGAAGCGATGAAGTACACCAAGGCCATTGACAACATCAAAGCTTTGAGGAAGAAACAAAATGAAGAACTCGGGAAATATAAAATCATGGAACAGCATGCAAAAGAAGACAAGGAGAAAGCCGACCGAGCCGAAAAGCGATCCATCAAACTCCAGGACGAGATCGAGGCGCTCCGAGAAGAGACACAACAAATGTCCAGGGAGTTGCGACGTGTTGCGGAACTAGCCGATAAAGCTTGGAAGGAATCCGAAAGTTACGCGCAAGTCCTCGGCGCTCTGGAAGGCAAGCGTATCGAGGCAAAGAGCATTGAGCAAACCATCGAAAACCTCAAGAGACACCTCGTTGAGCTCCGTGAATCCGACGAGTGGTTGCGATCCAACCTTGAGCAATTCGAAACAAAACAGCTCCAGTACCAGCAACAACAGGAGTCTCAGAAGGAGACCTACATGGAACTCAAAGAAAAGATTGACGCTGCACGACATAGACTGGGTCTGAAGCAGGCCGAGAATGGAAAACACGAAAATGACAAAGCCAACTACGAGCGTCAGCTTCAGAGGCGCCAAAAAATGATTAATGACACCGCTCGTGATAATAATATTCGTGGTATCGACGACGGCATGAGCCAGTCAGAGATTGACGAATTTATGCAAAAGATCCGACGTCAACTACGAGAACGGAATCAGGCTCTGGAGCGCATGAAGCGGGAAGCCCAGCGCGAGCTTCGTGGGGTACAAGATACTCTCAACGAAATTGGACAAAAAAAGTCTGCGCTACAAGAGACAAAAAATGCTGCGAGAAGACAGATAGCTGCCAACGATAAGGAAGCGTCTCTGCATCAAGGGAAGATGAACGAAATAGAAGTGGATGAGGGTGTCCAAGCAGCCCTGGAGGCCAAGATCGAGGAAACCAATGCCGGTCTCGAGCAAGCCAAGGAGCAGGCCAAGGCAGCTTCATGGGACCAGCAAACCGAAGACATCACCTCTCAGTTGCAGCATCTTGAGGATCAAGGTTCGAAGCTGAACACCGAGCTCATCGAGTCTACGAAGAAGGCAGGTGACCTGGCTCGTTTGGATCACCTCAAAAAAGAATTGAAAGACCGAGAACGTGCTCTACAAACAATGAAGAGCGCACATGGTGAACGACTGTCAAAGGTCGTTGGTCCTGACTGGCTACCTGACACGCTTGAGAAAGACTTCCAACGAGAGATTGATAGTCAATCAAAACAGGTCGCCGATGTGGAGCGCTCTCGTGACAGTGTCAACCGTGAACTCGAGCAAATTGAATTCAAGTTGACCAACGCCAAGAAGACTCTGAAACAGCGGAGAGATGAGCTGAACGACTGCGTCAAGGAGATCCGGCAAGCTATTGATGCTGATCCAACAGACTACCCCGAAACCGTCAAGGACCGTCAGGCCCAGTATGACATGGCTCGTAAAGACGCCGACCAATTTGCTGGTATGGGAGAATACCTCAATAAGTGTCTCGATGCAGCAAAGCGAACCAAGATGTGTCGTACATGCCAGCGATCTTTTAAGAATGAGACAGAGCTTCAGACGTTTACGAGGAAATTGGAAGCTCTAGTCAAAAAGGCGGGATTGGACGCCGAAGATGAGGCTTTGCAGGGAATGGAGAGTGATCTCGCAATGGCTCGCGCTGCTCATGGGTTCTATGAGCAGTGGTTGCGCCTCTCCGAGACTGAGATCCCAGAACTCGAGAAAGAGGAGCAACGCTGCGACTCGCAGCGGGATGAACTCTTGAATAGACTGGAGATGCAAGACCGCACAGTCAGCGAGAAGCAGGAGAGCAAAAGGGACGTCGAGACACTCGCAAAAACAGTGGCGACCATCTCCAGATATGATAATGAGATCAAAAATCTCTCGTCTCAGATTCAAGAGCTCTCGGCAAAGCACCAAGACGCGTCGATGAGCCGCACATTGGAGGATATTCAAGAGGAGATCTCAGCCATCAACGAGAAGTCTCGGGCTTTAAAGAAGACGCACGCCAAGCTTACGCAGGAAAAGGAACAGTCTCAAACCCGGATCAATAAGCTCGAGCTTCAGTTGAGAGACGTTCGTGCTAGTCTCAGCACCACAAAGTTCCAGCTGGAAAAGAAGGCTGATTTGCTGGTCCGCCTGGAGGAATACAAGAAGCTTAATGCTCAGCAACGTGAGGCTATTGAACAAGCCGACAGTGACATTGAGGCTTTGACACCCGAGTTGCTTCAAGCACAATCACGATACGATGACATCAGTCAAAAAGCGGAAATTCGCGAAAGAGACTTGCAAGCTGATATCAATAGACTTTCTGACAGTATCCACCAGTTGGACCTTGCCAATGAGGAAATCAACTCCTACCTTGAGCGAGGAGGTCCTGCTCAACTGGAGCGTAGCAAAGAAGAGCTGGTTCATCTTGAGAATGAGATCCAAAAATTCGAAAGTGCACAGGCCGAGACCACAAGAGAGATCAACAGGATCTCTACCCAGCTCAAAGACAGCGAGAACACCAAGCGGCAATATTCCGATAATTTGACGCACCGTCAAGCCACACGAGGCTTGAAAAAGGTGCTTGAAGAGATTCAGGAGCTGGAAGAGCAAAATGCCGAGGTCGATCGCAGCCGGTTCAAGCAGGAGTCAGAGCGATGGACTCGCGAGCACAACGCACTAGCCGCGAAACAAGCCAGCAAGATGGGTGAAATGAAGTCCAAGGACGATCAGTTGATGCAACTATTGGCCGACTGGGATACAGACTACAAAGACGCGGCAAGCAAGTACAAAGAGTCGCATATCAAGGTCGAGACTACAAAAGCTGCAGTCGAGGATCTTGCACGTTACGGCGGTGCTTTGGATAAGGCGATCATGCGGTACCATAGCTTGAAGATGGAAGAGATCAATTCCATTATTGGCGAACTCTGGCAAAGAACCTACCGCGGAACTGACGTTGACACAATCCTCATCCGATCGGACAATGAGAATGCCAAGGGTAATCGGTCCTACAATTATCGTGTCTGTATGGTCAAATCCGGCGCCGAGATGGACATGCGTGGCCGTTGCAGTGCCGGTCAGAAGGTCCTGGCCAGTATCATAATTCGACTTGCCCTTGCTGAATGCTTTGGTGTGAATTGTGGACTCATCGCTCTCGACGAGCCGACAACTAACCTCGATCGCGATAACATTCGCTCTCTTGCTGAGTCGTTGCACGACATCATTCGCGCCCGTCAACAACAGGCGAACTTCCAACTAATTGTCATCACGCACGACGAGGAATTCCTTCGTCATATGCAGTGCGGTGATTTCAGTGATTACTACTGGCGTATTTCACGCAATGAAAAACAAAAGTCAATCATCGAAAGGCAGTCTATCGCTGAGGTAAGTAACCGGTCCTTCCCCCATGGCCGTGTCTTGGGCATGAGATCGCATGACTTGTACTGACTTCCGCACTCCACACTAGGTCATGTAATGGACTCACAGTACGACGAGGAATTGGTGGTCATTGTAGGACTATAGGCAGACCCTGTTCTTGCCTATTTTACCGTTGTTGGATCCAGGATCTTTGAGATGAGCTAACTAGAGACCCTTGAGCTGTATCGATATTTCCTTATATACCGATTTGATTTATGTTGAATTTGAAATAAATTGCCGGGGAAGTAAAGATTCATGATCCAGCTTTTTAGTGTCGTACATCAGCTAGTCGTCAACTGCCATATCCTCATCGGCGTCCTCCTCATCCAGAAGAGGCACAAACCGATAGTCCACAAAGCACCTCGGCCCTGCAGCAGCTTTGAGCCCAGCGCCGACCGACCGTCCCGTTGGGGTTTGATCATCAAGATCTACCATGAACTGGAAGCTGAGAACACCCTGCCGATCTCCTCGTATACTGACTTTGTTAGCAACGGCCATCGCTCTTGCCGCCTTCTTGATCAGTGCGAAACGATAGCTCTGTTGAATTCGCTCCCCCATCGACAAAGGAGGTGAGACCTGGAAAGTCTCGGTGACCGTGGGAGCAATTCTAGCCCTGGTGGCGCGTGGTCGCGTGGTTCCATCATCAGTCAAAATTTTATGTGCCTGTGAAGCACGATCTGCCTGCGCTGCTCCGCTCAACGAGTCTTTCTGTTGATCAACGGAGAACTCTACTGTCGATTCGCTAAATGGTCCACCGGCGCCAGAGAGGGCAAAATAGGGCTCTCTGGTGGCACAGGCTGATAATCTGAGCAGTGTTGGATTTGACGAATCGAGCTCGGCGATAGCATTGTGAAGCCAGGCCGAGCGCATGATAATCTTCATGATGATCGCATCGCGTTGGAACGGGATGTCGATCTCTGCATCTTCGGGCTCGTAAGTGACCAGCTCGCAGGTCGTTTTCACGCCTGCTTCGGTGATTGCAATGCTGAGGGGGGCGCCGTAGTGAGCGTACTGGAGAGTGCAGGAGCGGTCCATGAGCAAGGCCGGCGCTGAGAACGCGCTTGACGCCGGATTTGTTTGAGGTAGATTCGAGTCGCGAGACCCGTTTGGCTCAGCTAGATCATTGATTCCAAAGATCTTCAGTGTCTCCAGGAGAGCCGATAGGGAGACGATGAACTGTGGGAACTCGGCATCCTCGGTGGCATCCGTATTTTGCGTGGACCCCTCGGCGCGATTCCTTTGTGTCGATGAGGGTTGGAAGGTGTAGCTGGTGAAGAGAGACTTGTCGAGAAATGCCAATCCCTGAATCACACGGCCCTCTTCTACTGAGAAGCGGAGACCATCGGGCGTGATTTGGACGGTTGCTTTGGCGGCAAAGCCGATACATGAAAGCAGCGTGAAAAGGTAACGGGCATTGCCTGAGACTCCAGTGAATAGCGGCTCCATTGAACGAAACTGCTGCGGCGAGCTTATTGCCGGGACAAGAAATACAGGATTGGAAATTGTGAATAGCGATGGACTCCCGGGCTCAGAGCAGAGCCTGTCGCAGACCAATGAAGTGGCTGACAAGCTTGTGTTTGCCAATTGGGGACGTTGAAGTCGATTCTGAGAAGTGAGAAGGCAAATGACCGATTGACCAGAGACTGTCCAATCCTCTGGCGTACAAACAGCACGCAAATCGCACTTGATATGACCTTGTCCCTGTCTTTCTGTCCTGTCTACTATTCCTGGTCTCGACTTCGTTTCTTTCTGTCTTTTCGTCTTGTAGAACAGCGAGACGTTCCTTGAAATATGGATCTTCTTGGAATTCATTCAAGAAGAACACGTCCGTCAGAGCCTCGGAAGCGGCCCCGCCAGCGGAATCCAAATATACTACCACTCACCAGGCAGGTCCACGGGCTTCGATTAGTGCAATATCCAGTTCACTTCCAGATGTTTACAGATTCTGGGTTCATCATAATAGTCTACGAGAAACCTGAAAAGGCATGGAAGTGGAACCTCCAATTCAAGGACGTCACATTACAAAGTGTGACCGTGCCCAAGGATAGACGCTGCTCTGCATCGTTCTCTCGGCACTATAGCTCCCATGGCTCGCCATGAAATTTTAAATCACAAGCGATTCTCGTCTCGAGTGACGAGAAACTTTACCTAGAGATCGGGGTTGTTCAAGTCCATCGGCACAGCGATACTTAGATGCAGAGACAGCGCCTCAGCAGCTTTGGCTTGAAAGAATCAGGTTCATGTTGGAAAGCTAGCGCAGCTTGGCTTTGCAGATGAGTTGGGACAACGTGAGAGCATAGAGCAGATATCCATGGACAGGGTCGATAACCGTCGCCCTCCGAAGGAAGCAGACTTCGCCGTCTGAGCCTGGTCTTTCAGTAAGGAAGGAGCCCAGAATCAAACATCACTTTCGAAACGAAGTCGGTGATTGAAATGTCCTTTGTTAAGGCGGTCTCTCCGGTCCTTCAACGATACAGTGCCGCCTCGCCAGTGATAATATCCAAGATTTCCCCCGAGGCTTGCAATATCCCTCACCGCAAAGAGGACACCTATTGCGCCTAGGTTTGGTCCGTCTTCCTCAATTCCTGTGAATTGCCCTTGATCTAGACCGGGTATCGATTTAAACATAAACTCCGACAGCACAAATGGTGAAAACAGCGCCAAATCTGCAGAAGTTGACTGATCAGCGCTGTTTCGATGGACATGGAAGCTTCCTTTCGCCCACTCACCCAAAGAGCACAGATGCTGGGACGCCGAGAGATGCGAGACTGAGAAATGACCGGTCTAGATTATTGAAGTTAGCCTATGGGATGTAGGAAGAGAGATTTTGAAATTGCGTACTGAGGCCAAAGAGTCCTGTAAGAATGATGGCTGTTGAAGAACACGTCAGTAGCGCACGAGTCGGAGCGGTGATACACTCCCCGTACCAATCATGAGCAGGTTGAAGCCGACCGCAAATTGGCTATCCTTTGATACGAATGGGTGGAAGGGAGTTGCCGAAGCGGCATCCCAGGCTTCAATCAAAGACATGACAGGCAGGTCTGCTGGACGACAAAGGCTCAATTGATATATGGATGAGCCCAAGGTCATCAGGGGACATGAACTATACACATGCGCGACCGGTCGATCTGGCCCATCCGGAGGAACATTATTCCGGATGCGGATTCCGGGGAGGCGTTATCGCATCTCAAGAACGCTCAAGCTCCGACCATATTTTGAATGCGACAGCTACACCCCCCGCAATCATGGCAGTCGAGACCCCCCAGAGTATGTGCTGCGCGCATGGAGTTCAATGCACAATTATCTTGGCTCAATTGACCTAACAAGATATAGGCACTAAAAGGAAGGCTTCCGAAGAGCCAGCTTCCCCAGATTCTCAACTGCAACCCAGCAAGAAAGCGCGTACTGATTCTCCAGTGAAAGAGGTATTTCAAGTCCACCGGATGACTGCAAACTCGGCCAAATCCACGATTACTGACGCGCTGTTCGCTATTTGTCTAGGAGGATGGTGTGCTACGAAAGCCCCCACTTCGTATAGTTCCATTTCCCGAAAAGGTGACTACTTCCATCCTTGGCCCCGGCGCACGCGCTGCATATGTACACCGAGCTGGGCTGATCAGACGCCATTTAGCCTGCCGTTATTGAAGAGCGACATGGCGATATCGAATTTCGGGTCGTCAATAACGATGGGTCACACGATAGCTTCATCGTCTTGACAGGGCTCAAGTGCATCTTCCAGAAACAACTACCTAAAATGCCCAAGGATTACATTGCGCGACTCGTTTACGATCGTTCACATCTTTCTATTGCCATTGTGAAGCACCCCTTGGAGGTGGTCGGGTGAGTCGAGTCTCCGGTGAGATGGACGGGGTAGGTGGTCAACCGCTAATACCCTGGAAACAGAGGCATTACCTACCGACCATTCAACAGCCGCAAGTTTGCTGAGATTGTCTTCTGTGCCATTTCATCCGATCAACAAGTCAAGGGTTACGGCGCACATTTGATGTCCCATCTCAAGGCAGGTAAACATCGCTCTTGATCCTGGCTACACTCGACTAATACGCACTCGTTTTAGGATTACGTCAAAGCGACATCCCCCATCATGCATTTCCTTACCTACGCCGACAACTACGCTATCGGGTACTTCAAAAAGCAAGGTTTCACAAAGGAAATCACGCTCGACAAATCCATTTGGATGGGCTACATCAAGGATTACGAAGGCGGCACCATCATGCAATGTACCATGTTGCCCAAGATTCGATACCTCGAAATGGGTCGCATGCTCTTAAAGCAGAAAGAAGCTGTACAAGCCAAAATCCGTGCTTTCAGCCGCTCTCATATCGTCCATCCGCCCCCGAAAGAATGGAAGAATGGCGTCACTAAGATTGATCCGCTCACCATTCCAGCGGTGAAAGAGTCTGGATGGTCCCCTGATATGGACGAGCTCGCTCGACAACCCCGGCATGGTCCCAATTACAACCAGCTACTCCATCTTCTCAACGATATGCAAAATCACAGTGCTGCTTGGCCGTTCACGCAACCTGTCAATCGTGACGAAGTACCGGACTACTACGAGGTGATCAAGGAGCCAATGGATCTTTCGACCATGGAGGAGAAGCACGAGAAGGACATGTATCCTACACCGCAGGATTTCATCAAGGACGCCATGCTGATCTTCGACAATTGCCGTCGGTACAACAACGAGAACACGCCATACGCGAAGAGTGCCAACAAGCTCGAAAAGTTCATGTACCAACAGATTCGGAATATCCCCGAGTGGTCGGTACGTATACACTGTGCCCTCATGAATTGCTCTTACAATTTGCATTTAGATGTTTCATCATGTTCAATGGCTAACCATTTCTCTCGACAGCATCTTGCCGATGGACACTAATGATTGTTTTGGTTTGATTTCATTGGGCATGGAACGGAGTTTTTGGACAAAGATTGGATCGATTTGGAATACCCCATGCATCTCATATTTCAGCGCAGTCTTCCACTCTTTCTTTATGGCACGAGATGCCTGCTTCTTTTCTGAGGCCGTCTATTATGAATGCTGATCGCCGCTTTGACTGGTTTGATGAACCCGGATCCGCGAGTAGCGAGTAACAGTCTTAGTCGGTTACTGAAGAGGATTTCTAAAGAATGGCATAGATCATTTATCTTGCATGTAGACTCTCACAGTGCTTTCTATCCATCTCGTTCTGCTACTCAAAGCTTGCTCAGTCGATCACCGGTGGTTTAGATAACTTTAATTAGCACTATGATGCAATGTCCGTTAGCACATCCATTATTTACAGGGGAAATTGCGTTGTGGGTCGGGCTGCGCGGAACAACATTTCTACGGACTCGATCGCAGACCACGAAGGCTTGGGAGTATCCCCAACTGAAGGCTTCACGCGACTCTGTTTATCGCGCTGGTTGTAGCTCTTGCCTTCCTACGGGATCTCATTCATTCGTTTCGCTTCTACAGTGTTGATCTCGTATTTCGGTCTATTCTCAAATAGCCGCTGCAGTGCAGTAGTCTTGCAGAGGAGGTTGGCGATTCAATTCTGACAAACAAACACAAAACCGTCATCGCTTGGCTTCTCAGCGACAATTCTATTTCCACGCCTTGAGCCCAAAATTGTCTATCGCTTGGCCTCGTTCATTCCTTTTCCAAACATCATCATCACTCCTTCAACAACTTCTGCTCCCACTGGGCCGGTCATTTCTTCTTTGGCTGTGTTCACGGCGCCCTGCCCCGTTCATTCTTTACGGCCGCCCCTTATCGTCACCCCTCCCCGTCGATTGACAGCGAGCTACGTTTAACAAAGCAAATCTTGCCAGCCGGGAAAAACCCGCTAGCTACCTAGTATTCAGACAAGATGGCATCACACGACTCTTTCTCCGACATTGAGCAGCGAAACCGGCTGCCGACCCTTTTCGAGGTTCTGAGTCGTCGCACTTTGGCACCTGTCGATCTCTTCTCGTTCTACATTTACATGCGTGATCAGCATCGTTCTGTAGATTACCTTGACTTTTGGTATGTGTCTGCAACACGAGACCCTCGACGTCAAAACACTGACTCACCTACTTGTCTTCTTTATCCAGGCTCGATGTCTCCCAACACATGTCACTTTGCCGTCACTATGTCCGAGAGCTTCGCCGGTCGGTCTTGGTCGCAACGCCCGACATGGAGAGAATCGACAGCCGTGGATCCGCAATGCTGGAAAATCTGGAAAGCCTGGGCGACATCCCACTAGTGGAGGCTGGTCCTTCCCGGATGCATCAGAATGAGAAGGATCGTGATGCTGATCATCGACTTTCTGCTTTCCTTCGCTCAGAGGGTCATACCTCTCACTCCCCTCAAAATAGTGTTGGATCTCAACAGTCCGGTCTCGACCGCAGGCCTAGTAGCGGCAACGGAAACGGGGTGGATTCGAATTCTCCGGGTCATACAGTTGGCCGTCACGACATTCGAGCCAGCGCGGAGAAGATCCTCTACACCTATCTGTTACCCGGCGCTGAGCGAGAAATCGTCTTGCCAGAAGCCATGGTCTCGACCTGCATCAATCTGATCGAGGATGATGGCCGTGACGACCCGCAAGTGTTTGACTCGGCGAAGGACTATGTCTTTCAAGCCATGGAGCGCGATGCCTTTCCGGGGTTCTTGCAGGCCAAGGCCCTGGGGAACCTGGTGCCGCTTAGCATCATTGCCCGCTTGGCCTTTGCTTTGATCTGTTTCGGTGCCGGCTTTTGGGCTGCCTTCTACGTGGTCCTCCGCAATGAACCTCGCCATGTCCGCTGCTGGGTCATCTTACCCTTTGCCATTGCATCATACTTTATTGTCTCCTACCGGTACAAGATCGATCCGGTCATGGCGTTTTTGGGGTACAGCGAGTACACTTTTATGAACTGGGGCGTGATTCGCGAGCCTTATGTTCGGAAACTCTTGAACAAGCGCGCTCTGATCACTGCCTTGATGTCCTTTATCACCGCTGCTGCATTGAGCATATTGTTCATCTTTGTTCCTGGAACCATGCTGTAAAGACGGTCACCAACCAATCCCGCAAGTGTCGATTGATCGCCCACCTACAAGTATCGGTCACTTCAACGAGTACTGTGCGCAACAGACGTGACTCGACCTCGATTACACTCCCGGCAGGCGACTTTTGTTGTTTGCTTTTTGTCTGCTTCTGTCGTGCCAAAAGGGCCCAATCTAGCCTGCTGGGCGACAAAAACTTGCAGTCATCTGCATCATCTCCACCGTCCCAACGTTCTTCTCTTTCCTCGCCACCGGGTATCCCCAATCTTCTCTTTCTCTCTTACCGTGTCTATAATTTGTCTTATTGGCCATTCCTATCATGTCTTTTTCCGAGCTCCGTGTTTTTTTTCTCTTTCGAACAATACCCCTTTATCATTCTGGTCACTAATTCTGTATTTACGTTATTTATGATTCGAGTCGCCAGATCTTCTGAGAATGCAATTTGCCCAGTTGCTTTTTGAATTGCATTGTTCCACCAAGGCGTAAAGATCGGTGGTTCCTAACCGGCATGTGGACACGGGCCCGAACATCGATCCAAGAGACCATAAGAGAGTAAAATCCTGCACTTGAAGAGGGTTGAAAGGTCATCATAGTCGTAAATAGCCAATATCTATGGCTCTAAGTTCTCCGGCCCACCACACGCTTCGTCTGTCGATTCCCCGCACGGCCCAAACCGGCGCCTTCATCGATATCCATGCGGAAGGCATTATCCCCATTATCCGATTCGAAACCATCATGCTCATCGAAATCATCAGCTTCACGTTTATTGCGCCCGAGTCCCATCGTCGTTGATCGCACTGCACCTCGCCCCATGCCGGACTTACCGACTCGTCCGTCTGCGCCACTCCCTCCGTCCCCGGGACCCGCCTGAGCCTGTCGCCGCTGCACGGCTCCGGCCACCTGTTCCTGGTAGACCTGATCTTTCGCATGGCGTTTCTGCGCATTGGTCTTGACCCGGACGATCTCTGCTTCCAAGCCGGTGATGACTTGTCCGCATCGGGACTCCCACTCGGTCAGGATGGTGACCATCCACGGCAGGGAATGCGGGGGTGCATCCCGGAGAGAAGCCACGGATGTGACGTTGACGGTGGGTGGGTTGGAGGCGGGAGACAGACGGGCAGAGATCAAGTTGGCGTAGATGGCGGTTGTCACAAGCGCTTCAAGGTCGGCGGCAGTGGAGAGGGATAGGGCATTGATTAGAGATTGGTACGTTAGGGGTTTGGTGGTGGCGGCGAGGGAAAGGAGGGAGAGCAGTCGGAGCTTGAGGGCTTGATCAGCGCTTAACTCGGGGAGGTTAGGTGTTTCTGTTGTGGTGGTGGGATTGCCCACGAAGTTAGCATTGTATTGGGCGGAGAGGATGACGAGAGAGATGTGTCACGAACCCTGGTAGTCCTGCCATGTGCCCCAGGCAAAGATCTCCAAGAGCTTCAAGTACGCTTGATACTCCACTGGCGTGTCGGGAGAGCCAAGAGCCTGAACGGTGGTTGTTTCGAGAAGCTCGGCAAAGACGTAGGTGTTGGGAGCGGATGTCGCATTGGTGATGATATTGCTAATGAAGCGCGGCGAGGTGGCACTGTTGGAGGTCGCCAGGGCGATGAATGGCTGAAGGGCTTCCAGCGCCCGAGCATGTGTTTGGTCCATGATTGTGTGGTGGGAGATGCGGGATGCGGGATGCGGTCAATGATGAACGAAGAGAAGAATCAATCGCCCGCGAGAGAGTGAAGGGAGATGGGGTCGGCACTTTGATATAGCAGAGTCTTTTCTCCCCGAACATCCAGTGTGGGACCGTGGAGAAGCCAAGCTTGTCTGTAATGTGTTCACAGATGAAGTAATGAGGCAGAAATGGTCCAGCAAGTAGATCAATCGATAGCGGAGCAGTTGCTCGGATAGCTCGTGGGTCGGATTGATAGCGGAGCTATGCTGTAAAGTGTAAACATCACAAACACGACAAACCAGGCAAACATTGGTGATTATCTATGGAAGTATGGAGCCTTTTTTCAGACTGATAAGCACGGAGGTGGACTTTTGTCTACTACTGAATACTGATATCCAATCTTCAACTTGAACAACGTAGTGGCCTATTGATTCATTGAAAGTCATCGTTGATGAGTCCATGTCTGTACCACTTGCATACTACTATGTACATACTCTACCACAAGGTGTACCTTAGTAGTGTACTATTTACGATGTAGTAGCCAGTGGCCACCCAGCTGCTGGGTGATGACTAGAAAATCGTTGCCAAGATCTTCCGAAACATAGACCGGGCTTGGTGAATGTTGCCAAAGGGCGCCCCTGCCCCGACCACGGGGTGATTGCGACGGAGAAGAGGGGCGACAAGTGGTTCTCGCTCGTATTGAAAGCATTCTTGCACATATTTTGATTATCAAACTCAATATAGTTCCAGTAAGCAGGACACATCAGTCTAGAGCCCTGGAACACATGTACATAGGGTAACTTAATCCTATATTCGATGGACGTATCGGGCCTACTGAACAGGGACGCATCCATGCAGAAAACACTGACGGACTCGTGACACCAAAATACTCATATGTGGACTTGTATAGGACTCGCTGGCCCTCTAAGACTCTATCATTCTGAAGAAGAACAGTCTTTCGTGTTCACATCCCGTACTCTAGTCATCTTCGAAGATTGCCATCAGCCGGCGCCCACCTTAACAGCCGGAGCACATGACCGAGTCTCACATGATAGTCAACTCTGTTATTGAAGCCTCGTGTCCTGGATGATCCTGGTCTCTGAGATAGCCAGACTGGGTGTTCATCGTGATTTTGATCTGATTGCGCGCCCTTGCTGTTGCACGAGCGCAATCTGACCTGGCTGCTGAGTTTCTTGAATCATCGCAGGTGAGACTACCGTGCAGCTCCTCATCCACTGATCACGAAGGACCCTGACCCGGCCCTGTGGGCGACTCTGTCAGACCTGAAACAGATGAAGAAGACCTGGCAACTTTATTCCCTTCGGTCGGTGTTTCAGCATGTTCGGATGCCTCCGCTTGATCGTCTCTGGTGGATTGCTGTATTCCTACTCGGCCAAGGAGGCAGAGTCTGGTCGTCGGAGATTGATTTGGAGAAGGTCCACAGGGCACAGCAACCCGTAGCGACAATGTCCGTGAATTGTGCATCCCTCCATTCTGAGTATGCATACGAGTATGAAGTATGGACTGCTGAACTCCTAAGCTGCATTAGCACCAAGGGACTAATTTATAATCAACATTGTAATAGTATGACTATGCAACCACAGGACCGGCTGCATCATGCTCTGAGTGGCTCTGCAATCTGCGTCACTGCTCTCACCTGTTCTTCGCGGCCTTTTCCACTTCCATCGGCGCGATGTGATGGACCGGATGGCCAGCCGTTGGATCGCATTCCCGACTCCACTTTCCTCCTCTTCAATGCTGTCGAGAGTCAGCACAAGACGTCAAAATCATTCATCTATACATATACAACTTGTGCCCCCCTTGCTTCCCGTGATCCCTTTCTCTTTCGCTTTGTCGCCCGTCCTGTTCCTTTTTTTACTTTTGCTTTCTACCTTTCTCCTTCTCTATTCTTACGAAAGGCTGAATTTCCTGCTGGACAGTCTGCGCAAACACAGTTGATGCTCATCGTTTCATCGGCGCTTATCAGATTACGCCAGCGGACTATTTAACATCGTGGATCTGGAACGTTCGCCGATCTTTCCGACAGCTTCCGTCCTGCGCCCGCGCAATTCCTTCATCATTATTGATTGTTACTGCGCTGCGCTAAACCGGGCACATCCCCCACGACACTGCTGCATGCAACTCCGATCACATCCTTCTCTTCAACACAGGCAATAAATCCACCTCCCCGTCTCGTATGTCCGTCCTGCGAGTGTCGTAAACCGTCGAATCTCCGCGGAGCCAGATTTTGCAAACGCTGCACGTTCCACATCCCCACCGCTCGCGATGGCTACCACAATCGTCAAGGTGGATGGCATGACATGCGGCGCATGCACCTCGGCCGTGGAGGGGGCCTTCAAAGGGGTGGGAGGTGTCAGCGATGTCGCCGTCAGCCTCATGATGGGTCGTGCGAGTATTCAACATGATCCATCAATAGTCACGCCTGCCAGAGTGGCGGAACTGATTGAGGACTGCGGCTTCGATGCAGAAGTATTGTCGACGGAGGAACCTCGAGAGACCTCAAATAATTCAAATCATGTCGCGACCGAGCCGCGCATTTCAACCACAACACTAGCAGTTGAGGGTATGACATGCGGCGCATGCACGTCGGCCGTGGAAAGTGGGCTCACGGACGTCGCAGGCGTGGTCTCCGTCAGTGTGTCTCTGCTTTCAGAACGGGCAGTTGTGGAGCACGATGACGGTGTCATCGGCGCAGCGCAAATCGCAGAGCTCATTGAAGATCGGGGATTTGGTGCTCGAGTGATGGAAACCAATACCACTTCTGTCGCATCCCAACAACCAGTGGAGCAGGCCTCCTCAACGGGAAACAAAACAAGCCACATGGTCACCACCGTCGCGATCGGCGGGATGACCTGCGGTGCTTGTACATCAAGCGTACAGAATGCTGTTGCCAACGCTGACGGTGTAGTTCAATTCAACATCAGCTTGCTGGCAGAGCGTGCCGTTATTGTACATGACTCATCCGTAGTCTCTGCTCAAGCACTGGCTGCCATGGTCGAGGACGCCGGCTTTGATGCCACGATTGTTTCGTCTGAAATGCAAGAGCCCTTGATCAGGAAGACGCAGCAGGTGAATTTGAGCATTTATGGTCTGCAGGACGCTGCTTCTGTTTCTGCCTTAGAAGAGACCCTCCGGGACCAACCGGGGGTCCAGTCTGCATCAGTCAAATTGGCGACATCGCAATTGAATATTTCGTTCGACACCTCGGTCATTGGTATTCGCTCTGTCGTCGACATAGTCGAGCGTGCCGGCTACAACGCATTGGTCACCGACACCGATGATAAAAACGCACAGTTGGAATCCTTGTCTAAAACTAAGGAGATTCAGCAATGGCGGCGCGCCTTCCTCACGTCCGTATCATTTGCCGTGCCGGTCTTTTTCATCAACATGATACTTCCCATGTACTTACGCGCCATTGATTTCGGCATGTTCCAGATTGTCCCAGGTCTCTACTTGGGTGATGTGCTTTGCCTCGGTCTCACAATCCCGGTACAATTCGGTGTCGGAAGACGGTTCTACATCACCAGCTACAAGTCACTCCAGCATAAATCCCCGACCATGGATGTCCTGGTGGTACTGGGTACTTCCGCGGCCTTCTTCTTCAGTTGCTTCACCATGATCATGGCCCTTCTCAGCAAGCATCACAGACGTCCAAGTACTGTGTTCGACACAAGCACCATGCTGATCACATTCATCACGTTAGGCAGGTGGCTTGAAAATCGAGCGAAAGGACAAACGTCGGTTGCTCTTTCTCGACTCATGTCATTGGCTCCGTCCATGACCACAATTTACGAGGACCCCATCGCTGCCGAGAAGCTGGCGGATGAGTGGGCGTTGTCAGAAGGTTCGCCTCAGATCAGTTCTCATTCGTCCGATAATGCCGCTTCGGTCAATCCAAAAATCATCCCGACCGAGTTGATCCAGGTTGGAGATATTGTGATTCTCCGTCCCGGTGACAAAGTTTCTGCCGATGGTGTTGTCATCAGGGGTGAGAGCTACGTGGATGAGAGTATGATCACGGGCGAAGCGCTGCCCATCCACAAAAAGAAAGGGAGCCACATGGTCGCTGGTACAGTCAACGGCACAGGAGCTATCGATATCAAGGTGATTCGGGCTGGCAAAGATACTCAACTGAGCCAGATCGTCAAACTAGTACAGGACGCTCAGACAACTCGAGCCCCGATCCAGCGCATGGCCGATATCATTGCTGGTTATTTCGTTCCGATTATCATCGGTCTCGGATTGACCACTTTCTTTGGTTGGATGTTCCTCAGCCATGTGCTGTCAAACCCCCCCAAAATCTTTGAGATAGAGGAAAGCGGCGGTCGATTCATGGTCTGTCTTAAGCTGTGCATCTCCGTCATCGTCTTCGCCTGTCCCTGTGCTCTCGGCCTCAGCACACCGACTGCAGTCATGGTCGGCACCGGGGTTGGCGCGGAGCATGGTATCCTTGTCAAAGGCGGAGCTGTGCTCGAAGCGGCCACCAAGGTCAACCACGTCGTGTTTGACAAGACTGGCACGCTTACCACGGGACGTATGAGCGTATCTCATGTAAAAATGGAACCTCATTGGACTGCAAATGACTGGCGACGTCGGCTGTGGTGGCTTGTTGTCGGCCTCGCAGAAATGGGCAGTGAGCATCCCATTGGTCGTGCAATTCTCACTGAGGCACAATCCCAGGCTGGCAATGCGGGAGAAGACGGTTTACCCGGCAGCGTTGGAGACTTTGATGCTCGCGTCGGTCAGGGCATCTCGGCTGTGGTTGAGCCCGCGTCCAGTGTTGAGCGCGTCCGCTATCATGTTCTACTGGGCAATGCGGCATTTTTACGATCAAGAGATGTCGACCTGCCTGCTGCTGCCGATCCTGACTCTGCAGATTTCGGTGGGGACCCTGCTCGGACAGCACCCAAGCCTTCTGGCAGCGCATCTGGAATCACTCGAATCTATGTCGCCATTGATAACCACTATGCTGGGTCAATCTCCCTCCAAGATAGTGTCAAAGAGAGCGCGGTCGCCGCAATTGCCGCGCTCCACCGCATGGGAATTTTCACCTCCATGGTCACAGGCGATACCATGTCAACTGCTTTATCTATCGCCTCTGCAGTCGGAATCCCTGCCTCCGCTGTGCACGCATCCGCTTCCCCCTCGGATAAAACCTCCATCATTTCTTCACTCCAGCTCAATGGTGATCGCGTGGCTATGGTAGGAGACGGGATCAACGATTCGCCTGCTCTTGCGACAGCATCTGTCGGCATCGCACTCGCCTCAGGAACGGACGTCGCGATGGAAGCGGCTGATATTGTGCTAATGCGTCCTAACGACTTGCTTTCTGTCCCCGCCAGCCTCTCACTATCTCGCTCGGTCTTCAACCGCATCAAGCTCAACCTTGTTTGGGCATGTCTCTACAATGTCATCGGTCTCCCCTTCGCCATGGGTCTCTTCCTCCCATTCACCGGGTTCACCCTCCCGCCTATGGCGGCCGGTGCTGCGATGGCCATGTCAAGTGTTTCAGTTGTTGTCAGTAGCTTGCTTCTCAAGCTCTGGCGTCGCCCATCGTGGATGAAGGTGGAGCGATTAGAGAAAGAATTAGCGTCGGGCGCCATCACAGCTGATGGCGTGTCTCGCAAGAGTGGCTGGTGGACGCTGGCTGCTATTCTGTCCGACCATCCTTCATCTATTCGTCGACGTCTCACAGGAGTGCTGACGCTGCTATGGTCCCGTGTCTCTGGTAGACAGGGCGCCGTTCGGGACGATAATGGTTACGTTCCTTTGCAGACTGTTGAGCCCCCAGTGTGATCCGTCCAGATGAGTGAATGTTGGACTAGGAAAAGGAGTATATGCCGACGTTGGAGACTCAATCCTTCTGGACTATATTGTTTGGACGTTTTTATGGCTTTTCCCATTGATTTAATTGAGCTGGATTTCTCAATTGGGGCGTGCTTGTTCTTTGGGTGTTCTTGATTTTCGACCGTTAGACATTGATACCTCTTTTGTACACTAGAAATGCTCACCTATACATGCTTATTAGCCTCTCTGCCTTCCTGTTATACGTCTCTAAACGACAGACAAGCAATTGCTAACATTCAAAAGATCAACGGTCTTCGAGTAGATAGATAGGTAGGTAGCTCACTTGTTGAAGTGACTCGGCTCCAGAACTTTCATGTCAAGCTGAACAGGTTCAAGCGTCACTGCAGTCATATCATCTCTCTCGCCTACACGATTCGTATCATTGATATTTACTGTATCATCCACGTTACTATTGCGTCCAGCTCGGCTCTAATCACTTCATTCCTTGCTCTTTTCAGATATTTGACTCGACCTGCGTATGATCTTCAAAAAAGTGAGTAAAGCATCCCCTATGTGCTAATTCTTCAGTAAGTTTCCGTCTTTTGCAAAGAGGGAAGATTTGAACTGCTTTCGCTGGCCATGATGCGGGACAAACTTCGATGGCCGTGGCTATGAACCAGACGCATCAAATAACCGGCCCTGCATGCACCACCTCAATAGAATATGGTCTGATCGTCTCATGCACTGTAGTCCTGATCTGCATACTGGTCACAGACTTGCATCAATTGCTGACGAGTCTCAGAAGCCTAGAGAAATTCGTCAGCGTATGTGTGTTCGTGGCTCTCTGTTTCCCGTGCTCAAGACACAAAAATGACGATCGGGACAAATCATACAAATGGCATATGGCCTGATGAAAGCCAGATCAGTTGCAAGTGAGGCAATTCCCGTTGAAGTCTCCATGCCGTCTTGGGAGGACAGACCATGTCATGTCTACCATGGAGGATCGTACCTGTTACCACACCGTCAAACAGTCAGTTGCGGTTTCACATACACTATTCAAGAGCCTGCCTTTGTGGATCAGACACGTACCGGGAATGTCCCGAATCTTGGCCAAATTTTCACTTTTCAGGATCTGGCCGTCATCCAGCCAAAAGTCGTTCACCATGTAGTGAGCTTCGAGAAGAGCATGCGGCACCGACCACGCTTCATCATCCAGCATCTGGAAGTCTGGAGTCTCCATGGGACCCCAACCAATACTCAAATCCCACCGGTTCCATGCTCTTGCGGCTTCGAGCCGTATCTTGGGGTCATTCGATTGGAGTCTCTTGTAGTAACTTGCGTTTGGATGATCACGTTCCTCTTCCGACAAGAATTCTAAAAATTCGTCCTGGGCTTCAGGAAACAGATTGTTGACCCCAAGAGGATCTCGGAACCAATCAAGTTCCAACTTCGTGGCGGTGAAGACGCCAAAGATGACAAGTGAGCCCACAGCGTGAGGGTAGGCTTGTGCGTAGAGCAGAGCGAGGGTAGAACCCCAGGAGCCTCCAAAGACCATGTGCCACTTTGGGATTTTGAAATGCGCTCTGAGTGTTTCGAGGTCTGCGAGCAAGTGGGAAGTATCATTCTCACGTAGTTCTAGCAGAGGCTTGGATCGTCCAGTGCCTCGCTGGTCAAAGAGAACCACTCGGTAGATCTCGGGGTTGAAGTAGACAGTGTTCGCTTTGCTGATATGACCTCCAGGGCCACCGTGGAGGTAGAGGACTACCAAAAAGTCAGCTCTAGAGTATTGAGACCTCGACATCGGGTGACAGCATAGCCACCTACCTGGTTTGCCATCGCGCTTCCCGTATTGCTCGTAGTAAAGCTGGTGAATCGAACCTACGGGGACCACGCCCTTGTCGAAGGAATCCGAGTGTTCATAGCCGCTCATCTCGCGAAGTGGAAGAGGAGCTGCCAATATGAAAGTATCTGGCAGCTGTTGGGCGCTTGAGAAGTAGTGCAATTCCACAACGCAGGCGGCCGAAGAGAATCATAGGTGTGCTGTGGTAGAGTCGTTGTCCGATATGTTTGACCAAATGGCCCAGCACCCCGTGATCGTGTCACGTCACTAAGTGCGTTTGGGTAATGAGTCACGAGACTGTCGCACTAATCAAGTCGATCGTACAGTATGAGCCCCGGTCATGTTTTTTTGGCCGTTGACAACCAAAAGGTCATGGATCCCAGTGAATGTAATACATGCAGTCAGCACAATGTCAACCGAACTCTGATCGCGGCCATTCCTGTGATTGAGGAATTTCCCTCGGCCCAGTTTTGCCTGTATCAGAATCCCAACTCATGGCTCCGGACTGATGCGTGAATCATCGACTTGTATTGCTCAAAGGCATAAGGTGACATCCTTCCAGTGTTCTACTAGTATACTCATTTTGCCTGACGCTGGGCGGCTCTAGCCCGAAGCTAGCGACACCGAGTCATGTACATTCAATGATGAGGTAGCCCCGGGGCCGATAAGCAGGTGCCACAACACTGATCAGTGAGTACCCAGCACTACTAAGAATACCTTTGACACTAACACTTCCAAGGCTCGAATCCAAGTAGCAATCGACTCATGATGGACATCATCGGCATGGTCTTGATATGACCCACGACTGCAGTCATACTGCACCAGCATCAATAAGAGGATACACTGGACGGCCAGTCGTGTCAGAAGCTACCTACAACACACTGATGATTATACGCTTTCACTTCGACCCGTAAGACCACCAGCTATGGCGCCTCCAATATGCCCACGCCAAGATGGCTCACAAATCTGACAGGCTTCCTTGGAATCTCTTGAGCTTGCGGTATACATTATGTTGATGTCGCGTATGGATTCCCCACGACCTGCGACCCTATGGTGCGCGAACAGTCTGCAAAGGACCACCGACGGACCGAATAATATCATAGTATCTGTGGACGACTTGTACTATGCGCATGATATTCGTCCGTAGTGACCAGGGACTACCAAAAAAAACAAGCCTTTAGTGGGCCTAGACAACAGATGGGCTTCATAAAGTTTCCTACCTGATTGGAGCGGCGGATAAAGAGCGTTGACGTGGAAAGCTGGAGATGACCGACAATGGAGAGATGGAAGAAACACCGTTTGGCCTCATGTCATTATATGACCTGTTAACTCCAGAGATTCCCGAGCTGGCGTACACGCCCACTAAAGTTGATATTAGGGAGGCTCGGAGCTTGCCATGCCAATTTCGTCCTATGGAAATATTCCCTAGTCCTACTATCATGGACCAAGTCGACTACAACCCAGGGCGAGTGTTCCCAATCCCTCATGAACCGTTGCATCTGCTCAACAAGAAGGTGCTGGATGACTCACTTGAGTGGTTCTACCAGGTTATTGTCAAGGGCACAGTAATGGCAAAGGGGAACAACTACAAGCATCTTCACTGGGAGAAGGCCGTTTCGGGAAACCTCGTTTGGAGGCTGAAGTTTGTTGACTGTGTTCTTATGACTTCAAAGCCACAAAACAAGAAAAACTGGGAATCATTATACCTTACACAAACCCAGAAAATGATAAAGACACATCATGATTCGGAGAGGAACCTTTACAAATGAGACTCCTGCTCTTTTAGATCCAGCTATAAGACGGAATTGTAGGTCGTAATTCATATCGTCAACAGTGGCTTAAGTAAGAAAGCTGTAAGGACGCGAAGGATTGCCTAATGACGCCTAGAGTGCCTGTCCGTGTAAATGCGTCGCCAGCCTACTATTGACTGTCCTCCACCTGCGACGGTTCGCTGTTGCCCTCCGTAGCGCCCGTGGAGTTCTCGTTAGGTTTCGCTTCGTCTTTTGGCGTGTCATCATCAAGAGAGATATCACCATCTTGATCAGGTGCGCCCGTTCCTCCTTCTGTGGAATTTGTCTCGACGGGTGATGTATTCGAGGTGCCATCATGCTCCTCTTGAGCAATCAGCTCCATTTCTACGCCCTTGCCATCCTGTAATCCCAGATCCTCTACGCCCAGCACGGACGGACCACGTGCGTGGGGGACATCTTCAGATGGCTCAGTGGGAGAAGAGGCCATACCTGGCCTTGGAACATCTCCCCCATCAGCGACGGGTGCCTCTGATAGTTCAATCTCCTGCGGCGGTGGTACGGTCGTGATATCTGCAGTGAACCAGTCAGTATCTCTTTCCCCCAGTTCCCATCCTGCAATAGTGGAAATCAAATCACATACGATCATCCAGCATGACACCATCCTCTGCGACAAATGATGTGCCGCTTAGCCAAGGAATAGGTGTCAGAAGCGCCCCGCCCAAGGACTCATCACTACCCAAAGCAGAAGCGTAGTCTGCTGTTGAAAAAGCTCCCGCGCTATTCAACGAATTGGGGGTAATTCCATTCGCCTGATCTTTGGTGTTATTTGATGCACTGAGTGGAAAGACGTCGGCACCACTGGTCACAGATATCACACGGTCCACAGCACGGAGATAGGCAGGCAGGGATTTATAGTGGGCCGAAGGGTGAAGGATGAGCTCCGCAAGCCTCTGAACGGTATGAGGGGGCTTTTCGGTGAAGAAGGTCTGGATGGAGGAACGAGTGGATCGAAGCAGCAGCGCAAGGGGCGGTGGGAGAGTGCCAGTCGTCTCAGTGCCAGTAGTCTCCAAGGGCTCGGACGCAGACTGTGATGTCGAAATCGGGTCGTTCAATGGCACTGAATCGGTCGCAACACGCTGCTGATTATCAGACTGGATGCTCCCTGGTGCGTCGTTCTCCTTGTTGCTGCCTTCGGGGGGCGGATACAAGACGGGTTGCGGGGATTGCGGCGGCGCATGGGAGCTCGGTGATTCCCTTGGCATGGGGAAAACATTATGAATATTCTGTGAACATTTGTCAGGAAATGTTTCATCCGCATCGCGCTCACACAAACATACATAGTCCAGCCGCTCCAACAGAGGTTGAACCATTCGTTTCCATTTCTCACTATATTTGGTTCGTTATCAGCTTCGCGTCATGCGCCGGGTCGGGCCTGGCCCCCCAGATTCATACGTACGGGTCAATGGACCCGCCATTGGCGAGCACTGTTAGAGCCTCCTCGTCTAGAGCCGAATGTCAGCTAAAGCTAAACGTCATAATCATCGAATGAACACATACCTAAAGACATTCTCACTTCATGGGCAAAAGCTGCACGAGACAGCGACCAAGGATGTTAAGCTTCGGGCGGCAATTGCATTAACCCGCTGATTGGGCGGAGGTAGCTAGTCTTATCGATAGCGTCATGTGATTTCTCCGCGAATTTTCGGCGGGGCAACCCATGACTCTTTAGATGATCCTGGGGATCCCGCATACTGACACTGGTGAGAAATTGTCCATTGCACACTCAGACAACATGTGGAACTCTCGCAAAGTCGGTATTCTTGGGGGTGGTCAGCTTGGACGTATGCTGGTTGAGTCCTGCAACCGATTGAACATCCAGGCAAATGTCTTGGACGCCGAGAACTCCCCGGCCAAGCAGATCAGCTTCCATGACGGACATGTGACCGGCTCCTTCAAAGAGCGCGAGGCTGTTCGTCAACTCGCCAAGTCTTGCGATGTGATGACCGCTGAAATTGAACACGTCGATACCTACGCCCTCGAAGAGGTTGCCTCCGAAGTCCAAGTCGAGCCTAGTTGGCAAGCGATCCGAACCATCCAGAACAAGTTCAACCAGAAAGAGCACCTGCGCCAGTACGGAATTCCCATGGCCGATCACAGAGAGCTGGTGAAGAACACCTCAGAGGAGTTGGCGGAGATTGGACAGCAATTGGGCTACCCATTGATGTTGAAGTCCAAGACCATGGCATATGACGGACGGGGTGCGTGATGGCGTCTATACAACCCGATCTGGGACCGAAGCAATTTGCTAAAGCATCTGTGTCAGGCAACTTCCGAGTGAACTCGAAAGAAGACATTCCAGAGGCTCTAGAGGCCCTCAAGGACCGACCTCTGTATGCGGAGAAGTGGGCCTACTTCAAGATGGTTCGTGAAATTTCCCTGTATTCCACCAAATGCAGAGTCGGCCAGAATCTGATAGATTGCATTGTTTCCAGGAGCTGGCTGTTATGGTCATCAAGACCAAGGACGAGGTTCTCTCTTACCCAACCGTGGAGACCGTGCAAGAGGACTCAATATGCAAGCTGGTGTACGCGCCAGCCCGGAATGTCTCCAACAAGATCAACGAACAAGCCCAGGCTCTCGCTCGTAAGGCAGTGGCTGCTTTTGAAGGCAAGGGCGCTTTCGGTGTTGAGATGTTCCTGCTCGAAGACGACAGCCTGATGCTCTGTGAGATTGCTAGTCGCATCCATAACTCCGGCCACTACACAATTGAGGGCTGCGCGCTCTCTCAATTCGACAGCCACATTCGCGCCATCTTGGATCTGCCCATCCCTGCCAAGAGTCTCGAAATTCGTCAACCTTCTATCATGCTGAACATCATTGGAGGCTCCGCTCCTGACACTCACCTCAAGGCTGCCGAGGCCGCCCTTTCAATCCCCAATGCGGCGATTCACCTCTACAGCAAGGGCGCTGCTAAGCCCGGGCGCAAGATGGGTCACATCACCGTCACCGCGGCCACCATGCACGAGGCCGAGACGATGATCCAGCCCTTGATTGACGTTGTCGACAACATTCGCGCTCAGCGCACCGATATCAAGACGAAGGCTCAGTCCTCTGGACCGTCCAAGCCCGCCCCCCAAGTGGCCGTCATCATGGGCTCCGATAGTGATCTGAAGACGCTGGTTCCCGGGCTGAAGCTACTAGAGAGCTACTTTGGTATTGAGCCCGCGGTCGAGATCACATCTGCTCACCGCACACCCGACTACATGGCCAAGTATGCCGCTGAAGCTGCCTCCCGCGGCATCAAGGTGATCATCGCCGCCGCCGGTGGTGCAGCTCACCTGCCGGGCATGGCCGCAGCTCACACGGCTCTGCCTGTGATCGGTGTCCCCGTCAAGGGCAGCTCGCTCGATGGCGTGGACAGTCTCTATAGTATTGTCCAGATGCCCCGCGGTAAGTCCTCACCCCCGTCACTTTTACTCGTACCCTAGATTCCCGGAAACTGTCGGACTCTAATCGATTGAACTCAGGTGTTCCCGTCGCAACCGTCGGCATCAACAACAGTATCAACGCCGCTCTTCTCGCCGCGCGCATTGTCGGCGCCTTCGATCCTTCGGTCCAGAAAAAGGTCGAGGCGTATGCCGAAGAAGCCCGCGCCGAGAACATGGAGAAGAAAGGCACCAAGCTGCGCGAACTTGGATGGGAACAGTACTTTGCGCAGATGTAGATTTGACAGCTCACGCGCAGCCAGAGCAAGGGCGTCACAGCCGACCCCGTCTATACGTTGCCCAACGTTGAAAGGAAAATGAAAAAAGGCCAAAAACAAAAACAGCGAAAGATAGAAAGGATTAGGTTACTCCCGGATTTTTGACACACTACTTGATGTACAGCGAGATGGGCGGAGGGGGGCGTTTCAAAATTACATATATGACTTTCAGGACCAATGAGCAAGAGTATTTGAAGTAGTGGTGTGTTTCGGAGTACATAGTCGGCCAGTGTCTCGGCGGCTCGAGATGATCTATATAGGATTTTTCCGCTTGCGTCGAAACACGTCGCTGGTTGAAGTTGGTTGGGCGGCTATAAGAGATCTGTCCATCCAGTTCGCAGTGAAGTCGACTTTAAAAAAAAAGCTGTCCTTATCTGACTAGTATCTGACTGGTAGCCACGCGAGTGAGCAAGAATGGAATCATATGTTCTGAGAAATACTTGTATTTGCAATGAAAGGATATAATCGACAGAAACCCATACACAGAAGGTCGCTATGCAGGTCAAGAGCAAGCACCAGAGAAACCACAACACCGTGTATTGCAAGAACGGACAATCAAGCAACTTGGCCCAAATACACCGCTGGAATAATGCGCGCAAGGAAAATAACTCGCCAACACATTACATGAGAAAGGAATGAGGGGAGGCGAGCAGAGCAACTTCAAGCCCGCACGAACGTGTTGAGAGGAAGGAATGACAAGGAAATCAACGAATACTCTGCCTCCAGCGATCAATAAACTCTTGCTGAGCTGGCTCGACAGGCTGCTGAGTCATATTTGGGCCACAGCCGGCCGGCATAGCATATGTCATGCCGCCTGGTACACCCATCATCATGCTATTGTATGCTTGTGCGGCAGGGTAATTCATGGTCGGGTAGACATAGGGGGCTTGCTGTTGCTGGGCCATGGGATAACCCCCGTATGCTTGCTGATTGGGGTTCAATAGCAAGGATTGGGTTGACATGCGCCCTGCATGTTGTCCGGGAATAGTATTCCCATACGGCAGGACGTCGTGTGAGGCATGTCGAGCCAAGGATGCATGTTGTGCATGGCGTGTGTGCGGCAGAGCCGCCATGCTTCGTCTTGTGTGCAAGTCCCTTGCATGATTCCCACGTGGAGGGCCGTTTTCCCGCTGCAGGCGAAGCCGCCTTTGCGCCAGTGTTTCGTTCTCGAGACTGGGTTTAGTAGCTGGCGCAGGCTCTGCCTTCTGCGGAGCCGTTTCGGCTTTGGAGTTGATCTCCGCGAGGACTTCACTTGCAAAATCGTTCTCCGCTGGGTTCTGGCCGCGCAATCGCTTCATGCGTTCAGCCAACGTCTCGCCTTCATCTTCGCTATTGCTTGCCGGGTTGTTCGCTTCTGATGAGCGAACCTCGGCTTCTTGATACATGGGCCGCTTTTCCGGCACGGGCTCCCCCCGTAACCTAGCGCGGCGTGTACTCAAGGGCTCGGTCTCTTCAAGCTGACGTCTTTCCATGAGCCCAAGCGGACGTTCTTCGACGGCACTGGGGGCTTGATCAGCATATAGCATGGCGAGTGGGACATCCTCGTCATCAACGGTGTCGCGATTGTTCCACGCCAGGGTAACAGGTCGGCGCCGTCTTTTGTCACTCTGTCTTTGTGCCATGGCATCCATTTCCAGCAGAGTAGAATGCATCCCCATGGCCTGAGACGCAGTTGGGACGAACACTTTCTGTCTTTGTCTCAACTCATGCTTGCGTAGATCCAATTCGGCCAAAAGTGTATTAGGCGGTCCCACGAATTCCACGAATTCTCGATCTTCCTCTTCGTGTGGGCCACTCGCCAGCGAATGCCCTTCTTCTTCTTCATCATCATCATCGTAGTCGCTCTTGCCATCGCTAGACTCGCCAGCGCGATGTTCCTGGTCAGGATAAGCACGATCGTCTCGAAGAGCCCCAGTCGCTTGTTGATCGCCAGTCTGAGGACGCGGATGAACGCTCAGGTGGTGACCCATGGAGATGCGAGATGTCCGATGTCCGGCCAGCTCCGCAGGATTCGTATACAGGATCTGGCGTTTCGACTGGGAGAAAACCTGCGAGCCCACGTGGCCTGCGTAAGGATGATCGGTGAAGGCAGAGACAGGCGCGTGCGCAGAGGCGTCCAAGATGCTGTCCAGCGTCGCCACCGCCGAGTGCTGCTTCACATCCACTTCGAGGGTGGTGCTCGGCTTGTCAAAGAACAGATTGGCACGCAGGTGCGCGGGGATCTTGGATTGCCGTTTGTCGTGCTCGTGAGGTCCCGCGCGAGGAGGCTGAGGCTGATCCGAACCCGGCAGCCACAGGGCTGATTTTCTATCCTCGGCGACAATCGACGTCAAGAGCTCGGTGCGACGCTTTTCGCGGTCAGCAATGGGTTTGCGGGACAATTTCGGCGGCAGGTTCAACATGCGCGGCACTGGAGCGGGATAGTAGACCATGTTCTGGCCCATCTGCGGCTCCTTGTAGGGGTGCGGCTTGCTTGCAAGGGGGGTTGTCGCAGTGACATCCGACGTATGGAATTCCCTCGATCCAGGGGGTGAAGTGCACGCCATCGAAATCAGTGAAAAGCGTCCGGGCTTGTTGAAAGGTATCGCCCGATGCGGCGGAGGCTGGTCGGTCGACTTGTTCCGGCTCGCCATACTCGTGGGTATATTGGGGTTGGTGGCCTTCGTGCTGCTCGGGCGCGTCGCTCAGGTGCGATGGCACGGGGCCATTGCTGGACGAGGGAGGTGGTGGATCGATCACTTGATGACCGACCTCGTCGTGCTCCGGTTCTGGGAGCTGGGCGAGACGCGATGCGCCCGAGACGGAGCGCTGGCGGGTGGAAAAGGTTGAACCACGCGACGCTTGGGTCATGGGGGAGAATGCTCCATTCCGCAGGTTGATGGAGTTTGTTGCGGAGCTGCACGAGCGCCGCTTCTGCTCTTGATCCATCTTACGGATCTCGCTGCCAATGTCGGCCGAACTGGAGCTCAGACGCTCTGCACTTTCTTCCAACCGGGCCACATTCCCCACATACGCTCCTTGAGATGACTGTAGATCGGGAATTGGGTGATTGATGGGGAGGTCACTCGAGGCACTGCGCAACGGGGGTTCCGGAGAGGAGGACGGTCGCGCAATGGCCGTGTTCAGTGGAGGAATGCGGCGTAAATGATCGCTGGAGTGGATGGACTGGCGAGCTGATTGTGGTGGTGGTGGTGGTGGTGGTGGTTGCTGCTGCTGCTGTATAGGGGAAGGAGGGGGAAAGATCGGCATCGTAGTCATCCGCCTCGACAACGTCGTAGCTCGTGGTGGTCATGGAGCGGATCATCGATCCGAGTCGGCCGAGGCTTGGCTGTTCGTGGCTGCTAGCGGCTTCTAGCGGCGCGTCGAGGTGAGGGTCGGCATTTGAAGGATGATTCACGGCCTCATGCACCGGAGACGGTGCGCACGAGACATCCGAGTCGGAGTCGGACCCGGACACGACCTCGTCGATTTGCGCGACGGCGTTGTACGCCATGAACCGCACCGATGTCCCTGCTGACTCACACTGGCGAGACGAACGGGTTGGGAAGAGATTGGACGAAAGGCAAGGTCAGGGGGAAGGAGAGGAAGCCCATATGCTACAATGAGTCTTGCGGTCGCACACAGTTTCCAGCGAGGCAATGGTGGTTATTGTGGTTGAGTCCCAGGTGAGACGAAAAGGGAGGAAAAGGAAACTGAGGAAGCGGAGAGGCAAACCGAGACAAGAAATAGGATTGGAATAGCACGCTGTCAGTGGACGGAGTCGTCGCAGTGGCATGGAAGCTTTCATGGACCAGTGATTGTGTCACTGTGTGTAGCTCTCGTTGAAGGGTATTATTCCATCGTAGGTTTTATCTTCCAATCTCCACCGAACAAATGGAACCCCCGAATCAAAAGCACAGAAAGAAGGACTGTACAGGATTGGCCTTGATTTTGTTTTCTTTGTTTTTTTTTTATCATTTCTCTGGATTGATTTTCTGGAACCGGGAGTGCCCTTTGGGGGATCCTTTTGAGAGTCCATTTCTCGAGTCTTCTCGGGGATCTTTGGCGTGCTGGAGTGCTGGACCCCTTGCGGATCCCAAGTTGGGCCAGGGCCGTCTTGGGGTCTTTGGAGAGGCGTGGGGAGTTGCTAAATTTGGGTGTGATACCCACCGGTAGGATCCCCGGTACGGAAGAGTGACCTGGAAAGTGTGGGAGGGTGCCGTCCCAGTCCAGGTCACTGTGCCGTACTGGGCACAGTCTCACCCAGGTGTCGGGAGTGTTCAGTGTTCAGTGTTCAGAACTTCAGTGGCAGCGCTACTGCTGCAGTCCAGTCCACAACTTGACGCGGTCTGAGTAGTTCACATTGCCTTGCAGGGTGAATCTTTTCGTAGGGAGTGACTCTCTGACTCGTGGGTAACTGATTTCCCCTCTACCAGAGTACCCTCTCTGGCTGCTTCGTGGAGCAGGCTATCTTTCCTCTTTCCAGCAGAGTTTCCTTTTTCTGCGCCTCAAACGAAACGACTAAGTTACTATGTAGTGAGTCGTTACCGGTGATGAATCGATGATTATTTATCATTTACTATTTAGTGGTCAGCTGACTTAGTAGTACTGTAGACTTCAGCGACCCTTTACTCTATTGGAGGTCATCGATCGTGGATGTCCAAGTCTGCTGAAAGAGATGCTCCGCGAAGGTACATGAGCTTGGCTACTTGATAACGTGATAGGAGAGCTAGTAGTAACATGTAGGTACCTACTAGCTTCTACGTACGTATCACCAAGTCTGTCAGCAGAGTTCTACACAAGACAATCTCGCCTCCGAGTCCGACTTCTGCCAAGTTCAATTCTAACGGTCACACTAAACCCACTGAACCAGTAAGTCGTAAGCTCAAACTCATCACGACTTCCAGTAGGCCAGTCTGGTACCTGAATGCCTTGGAGAGTCCCAGACGGGCAGACTCACAGGTACTCCCGTCCGACGTCCGTTATCGAGCCGCGCTCCACGGTTCCACTCCCAACATCCACCCTGAGCCGCGGCATGAGGTCTGGGCCAACCTCGAGCGGCATCCGCTCCATAAATCACTCGGCCTGCAAGCCACCGGGCACCGGAGACGCACTTTTCTCACCATCGAAGCAAAAGCCTGCTGGTCCTCCCGATAAGGTCCCAAACCGGCTTCCCTCCTCCCGATCCAGTGGTCCAAAACCGGCTACGAGCCTCGTGCCAAGCCTAATCTATCCTTCCATCCCTCATCCATCGTGGGCTTTTCCTGCTCGGATCTCGCGTACAAATCACACAAACCTCTGGCCGGTCGGAAAGGAGGTTGAGCGCTTATCCAGCCCTGTGGCCCTGTCGACGGGTACGTGGATTCGCCAAGTCGGATGAGCGTGCAGTGTGCACTGTGCAGCCTTATCAGGGTCGAGAGACATGGCGAAGTCCTGGACGATAAGTCGAAGTTGCTAAACTTCCTACTGTAGTAGGACAAGGACCACCTAATAAGCGGAGCTGAATCAAGGTTCGAACTAATGTTATAGTGACCATGACAGCATCATCATCATCATCATCATCATCATCACCACCATCAATCCTGTCAAAGCTTGAGCTAAAGGTTGCTACATGCAGTGCCAGTGCCTAGTTTGCATACATGTCACGGAAACTTTTTTCTTTCCACCACAGCGGGAATCCCAAGTGGAGAGAACCACCGGGACCCAATGTCAAAGTGTCAGTGGAAAAAAGAAAAAAAGACAAAAAAAAAACATCTTTTTGCGCACGGCCTACCGCGCTTGGTTCGGGTCAAAACAATCAGAATCATGAGGCCTGGATTCAAGATTCAAGATTCAAGATTTCAACGATGCGGTTGCATCACACATGGGAGTCCCTGCGGAGAACCGCAAACTATACAGAGAATACTACTAACACGAACTTCATCTGCTGGTCCCTTTATCAGAGAGGTCGGGCGAGAGGCCCAGACAATCTCGTCCACAGGCACACGCTGACGGGAGAGCACGACGGGGTGTGTAATACCCGCAAGCTATACTTCACTTCACTTGCAAGCATCTCGTGCCGTCTGTCGGTAAATAGGTATCAATCAGAGTTTGGACTGCCAAGTTCCAACGAGTGGAACACTGGAAACTAGGTGGACATGCTCTTTAAAGTAATCACAAACCTGGCAGGGCACCGGGCTGTCATCTACCGGTCCACTTGATCGGCATAGTTCCATAGGTTGGTACAGACTACAGACCATTCGGGTAAGTGTATGCTGGCGAAAAGTTAGAACACTGAGACTACCTAGTAGGACTAGTAGACTACTAGACTGACTAGAGTACGATACTTTGCTTTTGGCACGATAAGGGAGATTTGGAATATTCCTAAGTTCCCTTAGGGCTGCGAGTGTTCCACTAGCCACCTAAGAGGCCGAGATAAATTAGGTAATGATGCAGTGACGGTCACGCCTACGTACCTACCTATACGGTAGTTAAAATAGGGAGGCTGGAACCTGGACGCAAAAGCAGTATGGATATAGAGACTTCGGTACAGATCTCAAGCTGCCTCTATTCCTTTGAATGGTACACTATGCATATTGTTAAAGCCGTCGAACACCGTGCAGTAAGACATACCTCCTAGCAGGCTAGCACCCTCATGTAGTGAGGGTCTGTAATCACTGTAATGGACATACGAGGCCGGTCAATGTTTACTTCGCCGAAGTCGTCATTCTTAGTGGGATATGGACATGAGTCCAGGTTTCCAGGTTTGATGGGCTGTATGGTAGACTCATAGGCCTTTTCAATGGGTCTCGTAGAGGGGGTTTAAAAATGGTCTTTCAGATGTTCTTTGCTTCAATATTCATCCAAAAGCCCTGCCCCCCCCCCCCCCCCCCCCCCCATCCTACACATGTAACAACCTTATAGAGCGTGGACCTTTCAACGAACATTAATTGCGAGCAGAGATTCGGGACCCCGTGTAGATCGTATAAGAACTGATGTCCAGGGAACCGAATGTGACCTAAGGAAATACAAGATCAGGCTGACCAGATGAAAGTGAAGAGGATTAGCTTTTCAATTCATTTGGTTAAAATGGATGATGGTTTCTTCGAGAAGGATCGAATGAACGTGAATTAAGATAGTACAGACGAGCCCACGGTTCGGCTCGGTACCTGCACATGGTGAACAAAAAGGTAGAACAATACAACTTTACACAGATTAATGAACGGACTTGGAGTGATAAACACCACCAATATATCAACCACCCCCCAGTCAAGGCTTGACCAACGTCAAAAAGTCAAGAGACAAATCCTTGAAGAAGCTGGCCCCGCCAACTTTCTCAGGATGCCCGGGCTGGGTGACGTTGCAGTAAGTGTTCCAGTTACCAGCGGCCTGGCTCTTCTTCTTGATCAGTGCCAAGTAATCAGATAATAGACAACTCTTGCCAGGGCCCCTCTGGCAATTGGCGACAGGGTAGACGGCGTCGTTCAAGAGAATGCGCACGTAGGTCTCATTGCCGGATCGTCGTCCAGAGCCCACCTGGCAATTCATCGTCTCAAAAGCCACCGTGCCACGCATGGTAATAAAGTGAGCGACGTTGTACAGACGATTCTCGGGGACGCGGTCGAGAGGCAGGGGCTTCTCGTTGTCAAAGATTCCCATGGCGGAGGTCATCTCAGCGATCTGGTTGTCGTTCAGGAACGACATGATCAGGGGGGAATGTCAAAGTGACTGCCATCCGCAGCAATGCCAGTCTGTCCTGGACCCTCACTCAGTAAAGTGATGAGACTTTCAAGGAAGGGCAGGAACAGATTGCGTGCTGGGCCGTCGGATCCTGGTCCCACCTTGTAGTAGTAATGCAAGTCTTGAGAGTAGGCGTAGTGGCGCAGCTCGTCCTCGGTGAACACACTGCACCAGTCGCTGAGGCGGCCAGTGATCTGAGTCTCATACCCGCACAGGTAGGGGAAGAACAGAATGTCTGACTCAGTAAAGGTGAGGTTGCCTCGCACAAGCTTGTTGATGCGTTTCAGGGCCTTGGGGGTCCAGGTAGCGTCGACTGTTCAAATTGAAAGAAAAGGATTTCGATCAGCTTCCCAGCCCTCTTGGAAGTACAATGCATCATCTCCAGTGAAGTAAATAGCAACTTACAGTCAGTCACATTGTTACCGCCGCTGGAAGTAGTTCCAAACTTAGGACACGAGTCCGATGGCCCAAGTGAGTTGCCAATGGCATTCACCGACCCTGTCGAGTTCACACTCACGACCGTGCCATAAGTGTCGACAAACTCGTAGAGGTAGCCGTGCAAGAAGGCCTGGGCAGTCTGAACTACTCGAGACTTGTTGATAGGGTTTGCATACTGGTTAGCCCACACGTAGAATGGATTGCCATCCTCGTAGAAACCGGGGTCTGAAAGTCGCCGGTTAGCTTGTGCAAACGAACGAGGTCGCCATGATTTCTTGAGGCCGACTTACAGCGGGCACGGAGCTGATATCCCAAGTCAGAGGCCTAGCAAGAGTCAGCCGTGGGTGAGTCGTAAAATCAGGTCATGGTGAAGAGGACCGACCTCCTTCCATCCAGTCATCGACTCCTGCGCAATTTGCAGGCTCGAGTTAGTCAGGACCGGGGTCCAGTCCTTAATAAAGGACAAGGTATCGCAGGCCTCAAAGTCCGAGCCGTTCACAGCAATTTGGATCTACGCAATGAATGTCAATCTCAAGGCCATGGGAGAATACACAGAACCGCCGCCGTCTCATATACGGGGACGTGAGTCGATACCTTATCCTTGAGTGCAACCCAGGAGTTGTAAGAGCCAGTATCTGGGAAGCTGTATCACGACAATCATCAGCGATAGGTTCAATTCATCATTACGTTGAAGAGACGCATTTGTCCGGGAGTCTGTCGTACCGGCTTCCATGTCTCACCACGTAAGCTGCCTGTTGCACAGTGCACCGGTCAGGCACCTCGTTCTTCACGCCGTTGACATTGGGTCCAGGGAAGTACGGAGAGTTGGCCACCGAGTACGGCAGGGGATTCCGTGAAGTCTTGCTCGATGGGAAAACGATGTCATAACCCGGTGCTAGCACAGTACCAGCAGTAGCCTGGCTTGTACCGGCAGCCAAGAGCAGAGAGGCGACAACGCTTTTTGTGAAGAAGCTCGCCATGACTGATTGACAAATTCCCTGATCCTGAATCGATTGCCTAGGAGAATCTGTTTTCAAAGCAATGAGTCCATGGTCATTTGCAGCGCGATGAAGTGCTTTCTATATAGTCCTCTTGCTAGCAGCTCCAACCGTTCATCACCCGAATATGTACTAGTCTCCGCTAGCTCTAATGGGAGGTGGTGGAGGCAACCACCTGCAACGGTTTCCGGAACCTATGACCGACGCACGTGTGCTTCGGCGTCATTTAACCGAGATGATAATCATTGACTAGTCACGGAGGAATATACTATCTGGTTTGCGGGTAGCTCGCTCGTGTGGCTGGCCCCGCTGTTCGGGATGCGTGTCTGACATTCAAAAAGCCCCGGATGCCAGGACATAAGCCAATTACTCGAGGTACACAAGGGAACGTGTTCATGACTGCACCGGAAAAATTCGCTCGCTTATATTGATCGTTCTTCTTGCAATTCAATGGTCTACTACTGTGACACTCCACATTGTAAAACGAAAGATCCGCTGTCCCCGCTTACGCAACGGTGGAGTTGATTGAAGTACCCAAGAAGGACTGACCCAGCTGCGCCGCGGCGGATGTCTCTAGAGCCGTCACAGCTCCATCGAAATTGGCAAAGATAGCACCGATGACGGACTCTCCGCAAGTCTTCTCGGCTTTCTCCTCGCTGCCTTCGGAACGTTTCCGCTTGAAATGAACTCCCGGCGAAACTTTCACACAGTTGTACTGCGACTGGGCTGCTCGGAGCTGGCAGATTTCACCTGACTTGCAGTCCCCAGTGCAGGAGGATACATCCCAGCCACGGCTTTTGCGAGCAATGTAGTCTTGAAAAACGGAGTCATTGGTCTCGAAGATGGCAGTGAGGTTATGCCAGAATGCAGGTGTAAGTTCAGCCGAACTGTCAGTAACAGGCGGACTGAGCAGTGGACCATACGTTTCCTTCGCCGAGTAGTACTTTTTCCACACTGGTTTGGTCTGATAAGATGGATCCGTCATATCCGTGATGTATACTGTGAAATCGAGCACTGCGAAGGTGACTGGATCAATGGAGTACACGCGGAAAGTCGGGTTACCCGAGGTTGGGGTCAAGGCCGGTGCAATGTAAGACATCATAGTGGCAGTGCCAGCGGTCTGATCGGTGTAGTCAGAGTAGGCAATCTCAAACTCATCCTTGTGAGTGTGACCGTAGAATGTTGCGGCAATGATCGCCTCGTATCGCTGGATGATCTGATCGAAGTAGTTGGAACCATCATGGAAGGCGTCCCCGGTGCCCATGGGCATATGTCCAAGAAGCCAGACGCGTTCACCTGCGGCCTCGGCTGCGCTGAGCTCGCTGACGAGCCAAGCAAGCTGACCGTTCGGGTCCGACTGCATAGTGCGCTCATAGAGCCAGAAGTTCTCCTTGTAGTAGAAGTTGGTATTGAACGAAATGATGCGTAGATTTCCCTTCGGGTACTTGACCGAGTAGGATCCATATTGATCCGCGGTACTGGCCGCGGCTGACCCAATCCATTGAGTCCAGTCTGAGGAAAGCGTGTCATAAGACCACTGGCTGGAGATCGTGGTGTCGATGTCTGAAGGTGGGAAGGAATTGACGGGGGCGACATCGTGATTGCCAATCACACCATAGACCAGGTTCAAGTAGGAGGGCATTCGAGTCTTATACGCATCGTTCAAGTCATTTGTCACTTCGGTTTGATTCACAAGCCACACTGCACCTTCGACCACGTCGCCGGTGAAGATCGTGAAGGAGGCGTCGGGGACAAGACTCTTGATCGCCTCATACATGCTTTCTTCCAGCGTCACAGGCGAATCGCACTGATGGTTACCATATTGGCCAGCCGGGAAGTCAGTATTTCCCGGCGCATCAGCTGACGTATATGGTCGACAGCAAATATTCTTCGTGCAGTTGTAGCTATTGATTAAGGTAGTAAGCAATCAATCATGAATATTCACAGCCGAAAGGTGTTACTCACTTGGCACCTGTCTCGTAGGAAAGATCGACGTGGATGTCACTAATGTGAACGACCTGAATGGGAGACTTTCCACTGGGAGGAGGGCGCACAGCATTGGCGGGTTTTGCAGAGGGGAACTTTACGGTAAACGGGGTCACGGCGGGATAGTCGCAGAGACCGAAAATGGTCGAGCAAAAAAGCGCCGCAGTGTTGGATGGGATGGCCATGTTCCGCAGATCATGCGCCAAAATCGGACCTTCGCGTGCAATTGCACCAGCGCAGACATCTTTGTCTTCGACCTGAATCATGATATTTAGAATGTGTGGCTTATATCGAAGGTAGGTGTAATGCTCGACTTACCCCGGCTAGAGTGCAAACCTCGGTGATCACATTGACAAAGTCATCGTTTCCCAGGTGAGCTACAGCCTGAAGTACCACAAGAAGAGACTAAATTTGGAAGTCAGACTTTTTCGAGCATTGAATATGAGAATCTACATTTACGGTCAACTCACTTCGCATGCAGAGCAGGTGGCCAAATTCTTGATGTCGGACAGAATATCACCAACAGTGTCTCTCTTGCTCAAAGATTTGCCTTGGACAGCAAAAGCTTCCCCTAGGCAGCCGACCAAAATAGCCCAGCGGAGAAAATGCATCCTCACAGACAGTCGGAATGAAAGGAGTAGATCGGCAACTCGGGTGTGACTGAACTCTCGGTCTCCAAAACAGTGGGGATCACTTTCGCAGCATTTATAGTTGAGTCTCGGCTGCGAAGCCATGCACTGAGTAGTCCAGTAGATATCGAATAGGCGAAACGGAGGCAATAACGTGCCGTCGCACTCATGCCCGACTGACGTTGCATCTCCAGACGTACGTCGCGGGCGTTATCCATTTTGCACGTTCTCGCCTGACAGGCAGTCAACGAGTGTGTGCAGCCGAAGCCCTTCCTCATGGCCTTTCTTGAGGTGGCTTTCGGCAGGGGCTGTACTTTCTTGCTTTGCAACGTATCACCACCAGTGCTGATTGGTGGACTTTGGATATCTGAGTCGACGAAATGTCTTACTGCATCGGTTAGTATAGCAGGTGTTCAGAACCTGCATTAGTCTCGACGCCGTGTGACAATCTCTTTCCTGAAGGAATCCAAGTTGACAGCAGGCCGACGGAGTATTACCCTCTTTGGCCGGAAATCTTTCGGTGACTATCCCAATCAGTTTAGTGCTCTGCTCGCTAAGCATTTCGGATGGCGTCTGCACATAATCCCGAGCTTTCTAACAATCTGCACATGGTTTAGGTGCAGCCCACCCGTACACCGACCGTTTCAACCCGACTCGACACTTCTCCAGATTGATGAGCGTCTTCAGTCTGCATTAGTCAATACGTACTGCATGAGGTTTCCTGATGCTCGAATCACCTCTAGAGCTTCTTCCCTATTTTGTCTCATCAAGTTCAGCTCCGTGGTTAGCCGCGGATTGATGCCACGAGCCAAGCTGGGGATTCTCTTCAGTTTCGTTCAGGCTCTGTATCTGCCAGAAACTCCCCAAACAGGATATGGCGTTCCTTATGTGGTTTATAACTGTTCGGAACATACCTTTTGTCCCATGCGAATGAATGCACTTAGGATGGGTCTTCATGTGGTGGGGTTTCAGAAACTTCGAACCTCAAGACTTCCATCCATTCTACCAAGACGAGGAAATGTAGAGGATGCAGACGGCAGGACGCACATCAGCGATCTTGAATAAAAGCTGCAGCTGAGGCGCTTCAAGCGCTTCATATAACTCAGTAAAAGACTTAAAAGTAGTCATTCCAAAGTCGCCCTCGACGTGTCGGTGTGAAGAATTCGAGTCTCTTTCACGAAAGTCACATTCTGAACCAGTTTTAGTTCATGATATAATTGTTATGCTATGAGCGTACCCAGCCAGCACTGCCAGCAGTACTAGAAGCATAGTTAGGTGCACGTGATTGAGTGATCAATTTACCCAAATAGGCCGATTCGAAACACGGAGCGCAGCACGTGACTTCGCGGTGCCCAACGCGACTCTACACGTCCTGCATCCTCCTCGATAAAGTCGACAATTGTGGACCGGAGAGGTTCAGGAATCGCGACACAGTAAATGCACCACAATGTCTTATTATGATATTGACTCCATCTTGACAGATGCGCAGGTAGGCAGTCGTAATATGAATTCGACATAGTGGATATTTGATCAACAATTCGCGACTGACTAATATTAAAATCATCCAGAAACTGCCCTGCACATTCGAATTGGAAGTTCCCGGGCTAGGAATCCTCGAGGGCAACCCGGGTGACGATGTGAGTCTCTAAGTCAGTCCAGGTGCCACTTGTATATGCAGGCTCTGATGTTGCCCAGATCAAAGCCGGAACTCGCATTGACCTACCATTATGGCTAGGTGAAATGCTTTCGATCGGGTAAGATGCTATTTCGATGTCACCTCGACAAGGCAAGTTCGAGCGCAAAGTTTGGACTGACTGTCATGTGGGATTGTGATAGTGCCCGTCTAGGCACGTCTCGTCTGGTTACATTGGACATGCCAGATGCGCTTGCAGAACGAGTGATGAACGCACTCAAGGCCGATCCACGAACGGTTGATCTGCGAGCGTTGGCTCCGCACTTTTACACTTTGAGTGAGCGGATACTGGAAATCTTCGAGGAAGAAGAGATGGTAGACGTGTTGATCAACGTAAGTGTTGCCCCGTTCCTTCTTTGCTTAATAGGAGACCTCTCTTGAGCACTTGCTGATCCAGAAATTCAGACCTTCAAGAAACGCGCAGCTGAAATTTCAGATCATGCACACAACCCACGAGGTGCAGTTGGTGATGGTGTAGATTTCCTCCGTGGGCTCGATGAGACGGAAAGGCAATGTAAGTGTCTCTGGTGTCCATCCACCACAGTCCGCTGTCCGCTGTATGGCTGAATCAGACGGCTGATTGTCTCGCAGTGTTTCGTGCAGCCCATGATCGTGCGAAGCAGGTGCGAATCTGGGCTGGAGAGGCAAAGAAGAAGTAGGATTGTCATTTTACCAATTCTCGAAGAAGTGCCTGAATGCACATGTGTATGAGGACATCTTTAAGATGGACCTGACAGGCTTGGACTGAGCTGTGCTCGTCTATGAAGATGTACGATCAGGAATCGACTAATGAATTTGACCACCGATATCTGGAACGAAAATATATTGAGTCTCGTTGAGCATGCATCTCTTCGAACTTTTCCTCTGCTGAACTATATGAAATGCGAGTCCCAAAATCGCGGGAGATCGAACAAAAATGTGATAAACTCGAAAGAATAGGTAGGGTCTTTGGTTTTGTAGCAGGTACTGATGTCAGGCCTTAGGTATTTATTTTGGCAAATCCAGAGATTTGTCGGGCATCGTGCAGCCGACCTAACCAGCCCACGCATGTAGTTACTACCTATTTCACCGAACGTTTAGGTAATCCAGATGGATGGAGTGCGTATACTGTATAGTGCATACCAACTTTCGAGAAGCCTCTCTGTGTTCGGCCCTCGAGTTGTGGAATACGCATGCGAATTGATGAAAGACGGGAGAACGTAGCGAAGGAACTCCCACAGCAGATGCATCTCGAATTCGATATGGCCGATTTGATTCATGGCTCGGGGATGAAGTAGCAGCACCCGGAAGCCTGAAACAGTGGTCAAACGAGGATCGATGAACAGGGACTGTCTCTCTCTCTCTCTCTTGCATTGTCACTTTCGTCAGAGTGCAGGACCCCATGTACGTAGGTACCTAGTCATAGCCATTTTCTGGAAGTCATGCTGGCGAGTCTTTACAGGATCAAAGGACAGAAGACGTCATCTAAATTGAAGACGTCAATACATTGGAGAGGAATGGTGATCTTCATAAGGAGATTTACCCGAGGAGTAAAGGTCTGTCACCTCTAACTACTAGGTAGTTACAAATAGTCCAGTACTAAGTTACCAATAACTTATGTACCCCTGTACCCGCCGCGTCCTCGACGTACTTCATGACACGGAAGACTTGGCTAAATAAGGGCTTACCAAGCGATGAATTGTTGCAATTCTACAAAGCAACACTCCTGTCGTCCATTGCGACCTGCACTCAAAGACGTACGGCAATCTAATGAAATAAAGCTACTACTACCTCCCTAGTGCAATACTGCAACCTTCTTACCTACTTGTCATGTAGTTACCCATGTAACTAAGTACATGCTCCAGTATGTACTTACTATGTAGTACATAGTATGTACTACTGCTGTCCCAAAACAGCCGGCGACCACCTAAAAGCCCCACACTTCATTCCTGAGGCGGGTTAATTCTCCTCCATTTGTCCCTTTTCTCATTCCAAATGTCATTAACCACAACAAACGCAGGAGCCACTCGACCTTGAGCCTGCCGTTGAACCGCACACTCTCGAGCTGCGCTGGAGTCTATTTCCAAAGTCATGTTGGACGTCAAATGGGCAACGGCCAAGACTGGCATTGTCTAAATGCGTGTTGATTACTTCTGCGATCGGACCTCACTCGTTCTCCTTTCTTACACCTGCTACGGGCCGGTCAGTTCAACCTGAGGCCGTCACACGACTTCCGTCGCAAAATCACCAATCTACACGTCAGATTTCTCTTTCAAGGCCCATGTATTGCAGCAGTTTCGCCGATGCACATCCATCGGAAGGGTCAGATCTCAATTCATAGTGGGCTCCACTGTCTCATTGGCGCCCGTGGCTCTAAATAGTGGATTGGTCTCCACCTGCTATTACGTCGCGGCGATCGAGCGCGAGACATTGTCCCTGCCTTTTTTATGCATTTTTCTACGTTTTCTTTTCCTTCCCCTTCAATCCCAGTTCCCCTCGCGTGGTGCAGACGATGGTTGAATGTCGCGGTAACGGGGCAACGCTGTCAGACGTTCAGATCGTCTAAAACACTGTCTTGAAGAGCGCACCCAATCCCAGTCGTGGGGTGGCCAGATCCGTTGGACCATACTCCCATTGCAGGTGGGAGAGGCTTGCTAGACTCTTTCCTGCATTAACGCCATTGTCCGTTTTGCAACGGGTCAGAAAGTTGTTTTGGACAAGCGACCAATTGCCTTGACCAGACCAATTGTCCAGCGCATGATTTGCGCCATGATTGGACATGGCTACACCGTGGAAAGATGATAAACCCCCAGGGCAGAGTCCAGCTGTCGCTGCTCGCTCGTCAAAGTCCAGGGCTCCGAATCACCACGCTCACTCCATCCTGGCGACCGGCGAGCCCGTTCAAGAAAGTCGCTCTGCTCGTATGTCATCCTCGACGGTCTCCTCACCTTTCATCACTGGGTTACTCCGGGATTCACAGGATAGGCCAAACTGACATTGATCTCTAGTCAAATCAGGGACGTCTCATTGTCCCTCAAAACGCACTGGGAATACTCATCATCTGCCGGTGTCTCGTGTCAAGGCCGGTGAGAACATGTATACGCCGCCGCGGGCCGGAAGTGAGGCTTCCTGGCGGACTGAGCAATCGCCCAGTCGCACCGAAGCCAGAACACCTTCGCGACAGTGCCGTGAGTCCTCTTCAAACCACTCCATGTCTTTTTTTGCGGCGCCTGGTTGACAATCAATTCCATGGTTCAGAGCAAAGGGAGAGCGCCACACCCACCTTGACCAATCCGGCTTCCTCTCTGCTGCAGGATCTTCTCAAGGAACAGCGTGCCCATCGCAACTCACGCGGAACACTGGCCGACGATTGGAACGAGCGTGAGCTCCGGACCCCGGACGGCTCACGCAGCCGCGAGGACTCTTCGTCAGAAAAGGGACGAGTAACTAGCGAGCTCCCCGTGGATGGGCAGCGACAACCGAAAGAAATGGGGATGAGGGAGATGGATCAGGTGGGTTCTCTTCGAGCGCGCAGGAACATATCTTCAAACACTTACTTTGATGTCTCGATAGTATGTCTCCAAGATGAATAAGCTGAATTTCGACTTAAAGCTTGAAATACATCACCGATCCGAGCAAATGAAGCAATTGCGGGAAAAGGTTCAGCGCATGGAGGAAATGGAGGCAGACCTGCTACGAGTGCATCAACTCGAAGAAGAAGTGCAAGTGCTTCAGAATGTGAAGAGAGAGAATCAGCGACTTCACGAGCAGAACGAACTGCTGTGCCGTGAGCTCGACAAGCGGAACCTGGCGGTCACCGAAGCAGTCCAACTCATCTGTCAGCTGGAGGCCAAACTGAATGCCTTTGAGACAGAGCAACGGACTCCTCTGAACTCGTCCAGTCGGCTGGTACTGGACGGTCCAAATGCGTCCACTCCCAGGAACCAAATTGTGATCGAGATACCTGAGCGAACATCATCTAAGCGAAGTTCCACCGCTCTGAATCGATCCATCCGATCACGTTCCACCGAACTTCACCAAGTCACCAAGACCCCATCTTTCCTTCGCGAGGCCAACCAGAGCACGTTGACATTACGGAGCCTGTATGCCCCGGATAACAATGTGTCTCACTCGGCCCTGAGTGCTATGACCAGATCAGAAAGTCGTTGCACCTTGGAGCAGTCGCCTGACTCACCTCGACTCAGCGTCTTGAGCGAATGTAGCGAACTGAGACCTGTCGGTTTATCTCCCGAGTGGGATGAAAGGATCAGGACCAATCTTCCGCTCCGGCGAGTCTCGTCTACAACCAGCAGCGTGGATAGTTACATACCTCCATCCAAAAGAGAGGAGAGACATGACGATCAAGTTGACCACTGGGTTGACTTGCAGCCGGATGAACCTGATACTATCGTCCGACGAAGACAGAACCGAGTTGGAAATGCAACCTCGCAAAGCGTGAATCCGTCTTTTGGCGGAGAGCTGTATTCCATTAAACCATCTCGGGGGCGCCCGCCACTAGATACGCTCTTCGGGGGCGCTCGTCTGCCCCCAACTCCCGACACGATGAGTACAGCCGGTGCACCCGCGCACAAGAGATCGGAAGGGAGCATCTCGGCTGTTCCAAGTCCTCGACCTGGGCGAGACCAGAGACATGACAGGCAATCTCTGGAACGCCATCGCTCTGTAGGTGAGCTCGCTTCCCGGCAAACCTTCAATCCCAGCGATAGTGTACAAACGGTATTTGGGGACACACCACGCCTCGGCACCTTCAGCCCGTCTCCCACCTTCTTACCTTATGTTAATGGTGCCAACCAGGTGGGAGCAGTCACCACCTTTGAGCACCCAAATCAAGCCTTATCCACAAGGTCTGGTGATCCGCTGCAACCTCGCAGACAGCCGGATACTGTCTTCTCGATGATGCCCCGTCAGTCTTCCTTCAAGAAACCGCGCCCGAAGTCATTCGGCCCCGGGTCGTTTAGGCCCGCTCGATGGGTGTCCCCGTCGTCATCTCCCCCCGCCACGCCAACCGACTGGATCGCCGCCGCTGCAAAGGCAAAGCACGATGTACGGAATATGCCTCAGTGCAATCCGCGAGAAGCTACCGGTCAATTGATTTTTGAGGACAACTCGAGCATCGAGTCTGCCGTATCCGAACCCGATGCCCCGGAAGTTCCAACTCTCGATATGAACGCTCTGGAGGTTGTTGAAAAGTCAGTATCGGAAGCGATCAAGATTACCGACTCCCCCGCCGACCCTGAATCGCATCCTGATCATCGGCGGCGAATCAGCTTCATGCCACGCTTTTTCCCTCGCGCCTCCACCCACAAACGTTCTCACGAAACACCAACCGCCAATGAAGCACAGATTGCTGATGATATCGAGGAAGACGGCGCACCATCGCCCATCATTCCGAAAACTCGAACTGTTGGCAACGCACGCCGGAGACCTTTATCACTAATAATCACCAGCTCTGCGGATACAAACCCTTATAGTGTCTTGGCCAATGAAGACTTGGGTGCACCACTCAAGCAAGAGCCTTTACACCAGTCCCTCAACGAAAACAGGCCCAAAGCCGGACCTGTCAATGGTGCGGCAACTATCGCCGGCCGACCAACGACGTCTCACAGCACCGAAACTCATAAGCGTCGCGGCTCTTTGAGCATCTTTGGGTGGGTAAAGGGCATGACTGGCAAACGATCTGAGAACCTGCTGTCCCAACGAGCTGAGAAGCCCAAGGCCACTGAGAACATTGCACCAGACTCGATACCGGAGGGCCAACTGCCCCGAGCCGAGTCTCCAACCCCTGTCATCGTTCCTGACGAGTACTCGCTCACTGGGCCCCCGGGGCAATTGGATGATCAAGGACGGCAGCTGCGTTACGTGAGCCGATATTCGCGCCGGGCGTGAAGTGACTGTCTTGAAGGATATTTGGGCTGGTCAACTCCTGCTACTTGTCTTTTGTCTCATTGCGAGCATGGTTCTCCACGCTAGACTCTGGTCCTAGCTCTCGAACGATATTATGGAGGACACTTCTTAACCTCTTATCCTTGGTATACCTCACTCGACTTCTCTGTCCTTCAGGCGGGGACGAGAGTTGCAATCTTTCTTATTTCCCTGATACGCGATAAAAATGAAGTTATTCTGCAGGTTCAGAAAGGTAACTGATGTTTGTGCTGCGGGATCGGTCTCATGCGCGGAAGAACGCGATGAACGAGTTGAGATTCAGCTTATTATAAGTCTAATACCATTTATAAAATTTGAAGTCATCCCCAGTGTTATTATCTCCTTGTATGCTTAGAATGGATATTGAAAGAGACCTGTTCGACACGACCAAGTAAAAGGCATATGAACGGCTCACCTGTCGAAAGTCGTAGATTGGATGCCAGTCCTGCGCTTTTGTCTCACAATGGTGCGTGGGGGATCCGGAATTGGGCACTCCGGTCTTTGAGGAAAAGAGTGCAATCTCTCACATCCGATCATATGGGTATGTCCTTTCTGGTAGGGTTCGGCAAGGACTTCGATCGACCTCAATACAGGCTCCATCGCAGAAGGATCCGCCGTGTCCGGTCCAACACGGATGGCGAAGTCTTACTTGGAAGATGTTTGTCAGACTTGCGTGTGATATTGGCGTCGAATTCTGGCTGAGAAGAACCCGTCTCAACAACCCTGATCGCGTCATCTAATGTACATATTGTTTTGGGATAGCTGTGACCAGAGGTATCGTGAATTGAAATTATCTTTTTTGATCGCCTGTCTTTGTTGATCACCGAAGAAGGGTTTCCAATTCCCTGAGTGGCTCAGTACCATCCGTGACCACGCTCACCCAACTTCTTCCTCTTCGGATTCATTGAAATGACCCGCTGACCCGGCAAAGTATCTGCGGTAAATGCCGCTTCGAAAATACTGGCAATCCCTCGTTTCGCATAATGTGAATGGGAAAAGGAATCGTAATCGTCCTTTAGCCCGTTAATCGCGCCCCACTCCGGTCCAGCCGGACTCGTCCCATCGCCCAGATCCGTCCAGCGGGTGACGACAAGAGCCTGTTTGAACACAGATCCCCGGATATGGGACTTGTCCTCGGCAAGCTTGATCTCGATCAGGTATTCCGAGGGACATTCGGGACACCGACGCATGGGCCGACAGAATCCGCACAAGGTGACGATGGAGTTGGGATCGAACCGGGTGCCGCTAATGCGGTCTTTGACCTTGTGCTCGAGACCCTGGAGACCGGCTGTTTCGCGGGGTTTGGGAATATGTTCGAGGGCGCATTTACAGGCGGGCATGAGTTCGCCGTCGCGCCAATGGGCGCATGCGGAAAAGAATGGCCAGTAGTCTTCGCGGGAGTATAGGAGCATGCGTTGGGCGGATGAAGTCAGACCGGCTGCGGCGAAGGTCTGGCTGGCGACGCGCATGAGGAGGCGGCCTTCGTGGATGTGGAAGCGTGAGGTGTGTGACCAGCCGTCACGTTCCCAGCGGCGGCCGAGGTCGGTTGCTTGGAGGCCGTATTGAGGGCCGTAGTAGTGTGCGCGCGTGGCGAGTTGGACGAAGGAGAAAGGGATCGTGCGGCCGTGGGTGATGCGGCTTCGGGGTTGTGGGTTGAGCGGGTTTTGTGCGTGGGGGCAGGTGAAGAGAGGGTTGATGACATGTGATGGTTTGAGGCGCTCGAGGCCTTCTTGTGTTCTTCGGTGATATCGTCCGCAGGGGAAGCAGAGGAGATGGTGAGGGAGAGACTGGTCGAGTCGGATGAGGAAGTTGATTCGGTAGGTGTAGTTGTCGGGGTGTCGCAAAGCTGCAAATGGGGCTTTGCCCAGTTTTTGATATAGCGTCCGGCTGGCGGACGCCAGACTTGCGGCATCTGCTGGGTTTAATAGTCTGGCAATGCGAGTCCAGAGCTCTGGGGAGAGTTTCTCCATATCGGGCTCACCAGGCTCACGTCGATCATTGTCTATCTGAGCCGGTAGGTATCGGTCATCTGGATCCAGTAGGCCCAGGGTATGGATCATCGCCGTATAATCGCGCCGTTCACCTAATTGAGAGTCGAGCTGTGCATGATGCTGCTGGTATTTCAGCCGATGAGCCTGGAGAGGTGCCAACTCGGGCATTGGGGGTGGTCCCTCATCGGTGCTAGCTCGTGCGGCGTATCGTAGGTCTGGAGTTGATCTATTGACGCTGGACTTGCGAAGAGTCTGACGGGATTTTTTAGGACGAAGTGCATTTGCAAAGAGGGATCTGAATCCAGACTTCTGGTGACTAGGACCAGGGCTCTCAACAGACATCATGGTTCTGGAGTGATGTACAATCAGAGTGATGATGTGAAAAGCTCAGAAAGGTTGGCAGGTCGAGGTTTTGGTTTCGAGGTCGCTCGCCGAGGAGATCCGTTCCCACTCTTCAGCACAAGCCGCGACTCTGCGGGATCGTCATTGCAAAGCTGGACCCACTTAGGCCGGGCCAGCCGTAGATGGAAATGATAGAATGACGGACTGCGTAATATGCTAAGGTAAGGATGATGACTGGACTTGGGGCAACGGGAATGTATGGGCATTCCTGACATCTTATGTGCTAGCCACAGCAGGTCATCTTGAGAACCAACGCCTCGATGCACATCTTGTGTAGCACGTGTCTATTGTTAGTAGGAGTCACTCACTTGATCGAGCAAAAGATGCTATCCAGTTAATCTATGGGCGCGGAGGGCCCGCAGTGGGCCGAGGCTTACTTTCGGCGGCGTTTTGGCGACATACTCGGCCGATATGGCTCTTTCGCGTAGGAACCTTATGGCAGTCACATCTTGCAGATATGCAGGTAGTCTTTAGGAAGTCATGAGTCTAGCTGAATACTGAGCAGATCCTGGTAAGTACTCATGGGAGATTTGCAGGGTTGAAGTATGCGACTGGAGGTTCCTCAGAGGTAATGCCTCAGGCATGAGAACTAAACAAAAAGAAAAAGGTGCCTCAATGTAAGGTCAAACGAGCTATACTCGCTAAGTACTCTAAGTTCACGAAGCCAAGTAGTTAGAGTTGAGTAATGCCTATAAAGGCTATCTATATCTAGTATGTTCCCAATCAGTTCAATGCGTTCAATATAGACGAGGAAGGCACAACTGAACCTATTCGCATAGATCGATGAAGCACACTACAGTCACTGGCTAAGAGTCTTGCAGCTTAGCTCGCAGTTCAAGAAAAAAAAGAATCAATACGTCAGGAAGCCCGTCTACCTGATCTACGGTTCTGAATATATGAAGTTCACATTTTTAAGACGGTCTTTTCGTTAAAAGAGATCAATCAAGGAACAGGCAGTATATTTAATCGGAAACCGAGAGACGGACATGGTGTTGCAAAGTCGCCGTGAGATGATCATATTCCTTCAGAAGCTAGGGCCTATGAGTACTACCTAGTAGGTCGTGTTCGCTGAATAATGGGTGTATACGACCTGACGGTATGTTCATCCCGAAAACAACCTTACAACTGCCCTTGCTGACACAAAAAGACCTCAGAAGGCAACTGAGCAACCATACAAGTAGAGAAAGAATTGGTACCTAGTCACATATTATGAATTCACATTGTCACGATAGTGCTACATTACAGGCCAATTTGAAAGTCCTATTTTGGTATCAAAGTCACAACACAATCACTGCATCGCTTAGAAGCGCTTCTCAACAGCCTTCCAGTTGATGACCTCCCAGATGGCCTTGAAGTACTCGGCCTTGCGGTTCTGGTATTGGAGGCTATGACAGAGTCAGCACTTAGTTGGCCACAAACCCCCTTTCACACCAAGTTTGAGAGGGCAAAACTCACTAGTAAGCATGCTCCCAGGCATCAACACCAAGGAGGGGCTGGTACTGGCCAACAACAGGGTCTTGGTTGGCGTACGTGCGGATGCCGATCTGGCCAGTCTGCTTGTCCTTGACGAGCCAGGCCCAGCCACTGCCCTGGATGCCGGCAAGGGCAGTGTTGAACTTGTTCTTGAACTCATCAAGGCTACCGTAGGTTCCATCAATGGCCTGAGCAAGGGAGCCAGAGGGAGGCTCACCACCACCGGCGCTCTTGGGGGCCAGGTTCTCCCAGAAGAGAGAGTGGTTGAGGTGACCACCACCGTTGAAGTTGATCGCGGGCTTCAGCGCAATCTGTGCAGAGATGTCATTCTTGGCCTGGGCCTCCTGCAGCTGCTCAATGGCGTTGTTGTAGTTGGTGACATAGGTGTTGTGGTGGTTCTTGTGGTGGATCTCCATGATCTTGCCGGAGATGGAGGGCTCAAGGGCGCCATAATCGACTGTGGATCTGGTGATTAGTCGAAGCTGAAACAGAACGATACAAACATGAAGGATCATTCAAAATGTGCTGGCGGGGCATAGCCTACAAGAAAGATCGGGCAAAGTGGCCTTGCCGCGGGCAATGGTCAAGCCTGCAGCTCCGGTCTTGAAAGAAGCCGAAGCACCCGAGCGCAGAGCGGCGCGGGCAGAGGAGGCGAGAAGAGCAACCATTGTGAATGCAACTGATATGGAAGGTGTGATGGAAGTGAAGTGAAGTATGTGAAAGGGGGAGAACAGCTGGAAAAGATGTCAATCACGGTTGACAAGGGAAGAAGCTGGGGAAATTGCTAGAAATAGACTACGGTTTGAGCTCGGTATGAAGTAACCGAGCTTAACGTCATCGTGTTTTCGCCGGGTACGGAATATAGTTCTTCCGAAATGGTATCTCCACGTGAATCTCGCCGAGCTCTCTCTGCGTCCCCAAAAAGTTGTCGGCTGACGTTGTCAAGGGCCGTCCGTTTTTCCAGCTCGTTGAGTACGGTAATGGTGTGAGAATCTACTCATGATGGAGTCTCCGTCATCACATGCTGGACAAAAGCGCAAAGTGAATGAGATGAGTTCATCTGACGAAGATGAGCGGCCTACTACAGGTTTCCGTGGCTTTGCGCGAGCCCGCGAGCGCTCCGAATCACCTTCACGCATGGGTGGCCTGGGAAGTGCTGCTCGCAACCCATGGAACAATATGAACGGTGCTTCGACAGCAGAGCCCCCTCGAGGCGGAGCTGCCTCTCGCGGTGGAAAGCCCATGTCCGGAAATTCGTTCGCCGCCCGTATGATGGCCAAGATGGGATACAAAGAGGGACAAGGTCTCGGATCCAGTGGTCAGGGTATCGTGAATCCTATCGAAGCCCAGGCGCGACCACAGGGAGCTGGACTGGGTGCTGTACGGGAGAAGACGAAGCAGGCTCGCGACGAGGAGAAGCGGGAAGCGGCGCGACGAGGCGAATCGGTCGAGGATAGCTCCGACGAAGAAAAACGCCAACGACGCAAAAAGAAGCAGGATCGCAAAACCGACTCGAGTCGCAGTGGCACGAGTACGCCTGTGCCTCGTACCAAACCCAAGTTTCGGACGGCACGAGAGATTGAAGACGCAATGGAAGGTCTCGAGGTGCCCAATGTGCTCAAATCGCTGATCGACGCTACCGGAAAGGAGCAGCGAGTCTTGACGTCGACAGCAGGTCTTATGGCGACACAAGAATTTGTGAGCCAGGGTGAATCGGAGGCTCTCAAGATTGCACGACGGGCGCGCACCGATCTCGAAGCCTTTGCCGACGAATGGAAGGGCCTGACTGAACGGAAGAAATTCATCGAGGACGAGGAAGCTCATGTGATCAGCGAGTTAGATGCATATCAAGATCGGCTCAATCACTTGACGGGCCTGATCGCTGCGGTGGAGGAGCTGGAGATATTCGAGGAGGGGAACAATGTTACCTCGAAATTCCATGAGATGACCCAGAAGATTGAGTCAATGGACAGCAAGTATCGGGACATTGGCGAAGAACATCGCCTAGTCGAAACAGTGGTCGCTGCTCTTCACCCGCTATTCCGGCAGGCCATGGAAGATTGGGAACCTCTACGCAAACCGGATTTCCTTGTAGCGGACCTCCTCCGCCTTCAGCCTATTCTTTCTCGCCGGCCCGAGAACGGCGTCACTCAGCGGTCGTCAACCACTCCCTATGAAACTATGATTTACACGCTCTGGCTACCTCGTGTCCGCTCCGCCTTTCTGAATGAGTGGGATGTATACGACCCCAACGCTGCCACGGCGCTGATCGTTGCTTGGAAGCCCATTGTGCCGTACTTTGTGTATGCCAACCTCATCGACCAAGTGGTGGTGCCCAAGCTTAGTGGCGCCTTGAAAAGCTGGAGGCCCCGAAGCAGTCGACGACACCCTTCCCAGCAAGATGGGAAGTTTCCGTGGTGGCTATTCACCTGGTTACAATATCTGGGTGATCGACACACGAACCCTCAGCAGCCTACAGGTCTCATGTCCGACATGAAGAGAAAGTTCCGCGTGGTGTTGGACACCTGGAGCCTTCGTCGTGGGCTGGTCAATGGGATTGAATTGTGGCGCGACGCACTCGGCCCTGAGTTTGATGTGTGCCTTCGCAACCACTTATTGCCACGCCTGGCCCGCCACCTGCGCGAAGAGTTTGCTGTGAACCCGCAAGATCAGGATCTGACCGCGTTCGAAGATGTCCTTCGATGGAAGGGCTTTTTCAAGCCCAATGTGATGGGGTTGCTGTTGGTGGCAGAGTTCTTCCCCAAATGGCACGAGATCTTGTACATCTGGCTCACCAACGACCCCAACTACGAAGAGGTTGGCGCGTGGTTCACCTGGTGGCAGAGCCAGATTCCCAAGGAGGTCAATGAGCTGGCCATTGTGGAAGAAGAATGGACCAAGGGGCTGCAGACGATGAACCATGCAGCAGAACTGGGAGACCGAGCTGCGAAGGAACTCCCGCGTCCGATCCTCGACCGTTCCACCTCACTACCTAGTACCCGCGACGACAGCGTCAGGGAGGCCGCCGCTGCCAGCAAAACTACCCCGGCGGCACCATCCAAGCCTGCCATTGTGGAAGAAATCGCGTTCAAGGACATTGTGGAGAACTGGTGTGTTGAACAGGGTCTCATCATGCTGCCCTTGCGCGAAGCGCATCCCAAGAACGGCTCCCCGCTATTCCGCATCACGGCGAGTGCGACGGGCAAAGGTGGCGTGGTGGCGTACCTCCACGGCGAAGTGGTTTGGGTGCAAAATAAGAAAGCCAAGGATTTCTGGGAGCCGATGGGGTTGGAGGATGCCCTGGTTGAGCGTGCCGAGGGACGGTAGAGAAACAGCGCTTCCTGTCTACGAACAAGAAAGATGCCCGATTGATCATATCATAAGTTAGAGATACCCAATTCGATGTTGATTTTTGTGGATTCCATTCATCGATCATCCCCTCCCGTCTATCTGTCTGGGTTTCAGGAATGTCATTTGCACAGAGCTTTGCTGGGAGTGCTGGGAGACGCGCCACAGATCATACTGGGCAGGGAGTAGTAGTGACACTAGTGAGTTAGGTAGATTCCTGGTATATACTGAGTCAGTCCCCGCTTCGGTATATTCCCCAGATGAACTGGAACAGGACGATACCAATCGCTCCCCCACCGGAGAATGGTGAAGTTCTCAGACGCCAACCCAGGAGATGCTTAGGGCAATCAGGTCGCAGAGACACTATGCAGTCCGTTGGCTCCTCAACTCGACGCTCCACAGCAAAACCCTCGTTTCTGGTCCTTTCATTTCTTTTTCCTGTCTGAGCAGGAGACCATTGCCTCCTGGTGCATGCAGACAGACAGCACTCGTACACTCCACACCGGCTCAGCAACAGCTTTGGCAGTCGGCCATCCGCGACTGTAATGAGCTGATAGTTGTGTCACATATTGGTTAGGGGTCAGTCTTTCGGGAGTTCCGTCTTCATTCCCGTCGTTCGGCCGATCTGTCCAGTCACATGAGATCAATTACTGTGTCAGCTTTCTATAACCAAGAGTTTCTGGGCTGGTTCCCGCGTCGATCTGTTGTCCTTCTGGATCTGCCCAATCAATCCTCTCCGCGCTTTCGGCCTCGGGTTCTGGTGACGCTAAAGGGGGTTATGCAACGGAGACCCACCCGCCTTTTTTTCGGTCACGAGCCAATCACCAAAGCCCTGATGGTCAGCATCTGTCACTCACCCAATCACCACCCACAGAATCCTGCCCCTCCATGGCTCCTCCCGGCTTGAGCAATGACCCCATGCTGATTGGTTGTAGGTGGCTTACATGGGGACCCACCTCAGTCTCGAAGACGCCCTGCTGACTTTTGAGTCGCGACTGATTGGGTTTGCGGATGAATAATTCCCACTTGGATCTCCATCGCTTTTGGGCTTGGCTCGTTTTGAGTCTCTGCAAGAGGAGGGACCAGGGACCATCTGGATGGAAGCTGCGGTGACCACGATGGAGGCCCATCGGAGAAAAAAAAAAAAAAAAAAAGTTGAAAGTTTAAAAAGGGAGAGAGGATGGTCGGTGGAGGGGGGTTGAAAGGATACGCTTTGTCGGACCTTTTCTTTTGGGGGTTTGCTTTTTCCCTTTCTCTGTTCCTTTGCTTGGTAGACACAGTCACGACTTCTTTGTTGATCGCCAAACATCGCCTGTCTCTCCTTGTGGTCTTTGAACCGAATAAGACAAGCTGGATCAAGAGTACTAATACTACGTTTGGAACACACTCTACCGTCTACTCCGCTGGAAAGCAAACCTGCCTTGTCTTGCGTGTTTAGTCACCACCTTTCCAAGGTCCTTATCTCTCTCTCTCTCTCTCTCTCTCTCTCTCTCTTCTGGCCCCTCTCCCAATACTTAGAGCGCGCCAACTGCCTCGTCATCATCCGAATCTGAAGCTTCCAGAACTCGATTCTTGCGCCACCCTTCCAGGAGAGATTGCTTCGCGTGAGGGCGCATCTGTCTGACGTCAAGTTCGCCTTTCCGTGGTTCATAGTGATCCAATTTCGAGGTGGCCATCTCCAGAAGGCATTGGATTGGTACGACCCGCGCGACTCAACTGCTACCTGCCATCAATCCCGATCTGGATTGAACTGTCCAACTCCGCCAGCCTCGTCAACACAGACCCCTCAATTGAGCCAAAAGGGATCAATTGCAATGGCGCTCCTCTTTTTGAGAAAGAAGCTGTTTCCCGCACCAGAGCAGGACAAAATACACAGTATGTGCGATCTGCCCGACATGTTGCGTTGCCAGTGTGAGAATTCAGTGTTTCTAACCATACGCGCGTTCCACCCTACAGGTAAACCTCTCCTCGGACGCACTGACGACCAAGACACCATTCGTGGAGACGCGGGCGCGGATCTCGAGTCCCAGCGCTCATATGATACCTTTGGGCGCTGTGTGAGCCACGATGGATCGACCGGCAGCGGGTCGCAGCGCTCCCGCATCAACCCTCGCATTATCTCTGACGCCATTCTCGGTCTCTCCGATGGACTGACTGTGCCCTTTGCCCTTTCGGCGGGCCTCTCTGCCCTGGGCAATACCAAGGTCGTTGTGTTGGGCGGCCTGGCCGAACTCGCGGCGGGTGCCATTTCAATGGGCTTGGGTGGTTATGTGGGAGCGAAGAGTGAAGCGTGAGTCTTGGAGAACCACCCTCTGCATTCAAGAACGAAAATTGTCCACGATGACCTTTTGTTCGGTGACCATTGGCTGACATTGCGTTTTTTTTTCTTTCTGTCCTTTTTTAGTGAATCGTATGAAGCCACCGTACGGGAAACAAAAGAGCTGATTGACAGCGATCCATCCGCCACTTACAACATTGTTCGCGACACCTTTACCCCCTTTGGTCTCTCTCCATCGGTCATTGACGAGATCACACGGGACCTGCACGCCTCATATGACCGTCTCCTCGAGTTCCTCCTCACCTTTCACCATGGCGAGTCGGCGCCCGACTGCAACCAAGCGTGGATCAGCGCGCTGACCCTGGCGGTGGGGTACTTTGTGGGCGGATTCATCCCGCTGATTCCGTACTTTATTGCCTCGCAGGTGCTGGTGGCTCTGTACTGGAGCATTGGCGTCATGGGAGTGACGTTGTTGGTCTTTGGATATGTCAAGACGTGTGTGGTGAGGGGTTGGACCGGGCGAGATAATGTGGTTGCTGCCATCTGGGGAGGTGTGCAGATGGTCTTTGTCGGGGGAGTCGCTGCTGGAGCGGCGATTGCTCTGGTCCGTCTGATCGATACCGGAGGTGCATGAGGATGCACATCGAGAAGACTGTAATGAGAAATGAACCATCACATGATTTGATATAGCGCCAGCAACAATACCACAGCACTACTACCGCGTGCAGCTTTTGGCATCCACAACACCAAGCATCAATGGAGTTACAGAGTCATGGTCAATATGTCTGTGTTTTTTTGTTTTTTTTGGGGGGGGGGGGGTTCTACTTGTGGTCAAGAGCATTTCTATGACATCGAATCTACCTGACCGAATTGCATCTCGCGAGGGGCATTCGGAGTTCAAAGGGTCATCTAGCAGGATTGGAGATTGACGAATCGTCCAAATTGGGTACCAGTAGTGACCGCTAGCCTTTGTTTGATGCTCAGTACATAGATAACCCCTCCCCCGAATCCATTTAAAGGATGAAAGATATCCATCCATCACCTCGCAGCTGTCAGCCCCTATACTTACAGCTCTCCTCATACTGGATCAATATAAACTCTACACATCCAAAATAAAAAATAAAACTCCACAAAGTCCGTCAACAACCCACCGATATCCAATTTCACTCTTCCAACGCCCTCCTGACCAACTCCCTCCCCTTCTCCGACATCTCGATCCTCAACGCCTCCCGTCTCCCCTCCTCACTCATCTTCCCCCAGCTCTTCCTCAAAATCCCCACCATCTTCTCCTCGTCCCCCAACCCCTCCCCAAATCCATCCAACTGGTCGTCCAAAAACACCAAACACGCCACATCCTCCAACATCTGCGTCTCCCGGTCCTGCCCCTTCCGCAGTCCCTCCTTGCGCACCAATGCGCCCACCCGCCCCGCCTCCTGCGCTGTATACCCGCTCTCCAGACAGATCTGCTCGGCGAGCGCGGCCTGGCGACGCTGGAGCTCGGAGCGCCAGGCGTGGTAGCCCGGTTTGGTGGGCGGGTAGGAGGAGCGCGGGATTTCCCAGCGGCGCAGGTGTTGGGCGCGGATGGCGAGGCGGAGGAGGTCGGTGGAGGTGGAGAGGGGGTCGAGACGAGTGAGGTAGTAGGTCATTTTTTGGGCGTAGTGGAGTTCGTAGGGGATGGTGGTTGTTTCTGCGTCTGGATCTGGGGTTGTCGCGTTGGTGTGGATGGTGGGGTTGCGTTTGGGGACAGTGATTCTATTGGGATCGTCGCTGTGGGCGGCGTCGATTTTGGAGAGGGCGAGCTCGTATTTGGATTTGTCGGACATTTCGAGAGAGAGAGAGAGAGAGAGAGAGAGAGAGAGAGAGAGAGAGAGAGAGAGAGAGAGAGGGTGTGTGTAATCAATTGTGCAAGGTCACAGTGATCAGTGAACACCAGCTTCTGACTTTTAATGGAATGCACTCGTAGTACGTGCTCCGGAGATACAGTCCCAGCCTTTCAGAAGCGAGATAAACAATCGAGGATGGGAAGTTCAACAAGAGGCAGACTCTCAATCTCACCTTCTTAAAGTAGTGGATCAAAAAAAGACTCTCACCTTCGCTCGAATCAGCTGATCCCCGCATTATATCGGCCATGAGTATCAAATGATCGGTTCTGCCCCTCCACTATCCGACGAAACACTGAACCGTCTCACACTCTCCTCCGCAGATGGACAGTACCACTGCCCACGGATTCGTCGAAGTGAGCTACAGTCTCATGGAATTGTACAGTCCTGCCAGTATAATCGACCGATGATCGTCCGCCTTGCCTCCCTGCTCGGTCGAAAAGGATACTGCCAGCCTGCAGGACTGTAAGTGAGCCCTTTTACCCCGATCAACTTTCGAGCGTGGCGGGGGCTAATATGCATATGCATGTGCCATGTTCGCCTCGGTCGGGATCTGCCGTCACTCTTATCGCTTTTATCAGCGGCCCCGGGATCCGTGATACCTCGTGACTAGTGCTGCTACCGACACTCCTACCGTACCGAAACGGATCACTTATCTGCTTTCCGACACTCTGACAATCCAGATGCAGTAAGCTTCTTGATCGCAGGGTCCTCCGTTGGCCAGAGTATAGGTGGGTAGACAGGTATCTCCATAGCTTGTGAGCTGCAAAGTCCATGGCTAGAGTACTACCTGAGCAGGATAGGTAGGTTAGGTTAGTGCCGTAGCGGTCGTGGCGTCTTGATCATCGACATCCGCATCAACTTCAGCACGTCCAAAGCAAGGAGGAACTAATGTTCACAACATGTGGGAAGGTGGACATCAACGCGTCTCCCTTGGAGCTCGAAGCTGCAGAGACAAGCTACCGTTTCAGGCGACCTATATCTGGAAAAGGCTGGATCGGGAATGTGCTTCAAGAGGCTTGATATGATAAAGGGAAAAAACAATTACATCGCAAAAGGACGATTGTCCTCATCTGGACTATGAGGACGGGACTAAATTGATATTTATTGATATTGTACATTTGGAAAGTAGGATCCTGCAGGCGAGGCCACGTGCAACGGACATGAGAAAGGCACATGAGAGTGAGGGGACCAGTACTGAGTAGGTAGGTAGGTTAGGTAGGTACCTAGGTAGATACCTACCTCCGAGGAACTTGTTTAGGCAGTAGTGTTAGCACTTTGGCTGGTTGTCCCTAAGTATTCTCGACGGGGGAGAGCAATATGTCATCGCCGTCCTATATAAAAACCCAATGCCAAAAGACAAGGTATAATCGCGTCCCTCATGCCGGACAACCCTCTCGTAGCTTCCTTCCCCGTCTTCTCGTCCTTTCCATCATGTAGACCCAAGGTGATACGTCTGATAGCCATTGACCGCCAGCGGTGCCTGTTGATACGATCCTTGACTCATTCCATATGGCCTTACCGGCCCTTCTCGCAACAGCTTTTCCAACGGTGCCGACTGGCGCTCAAAGTCTTCAAGGGGTTGATCCAGCCCCCATTTCCGCTTGGCATAATGCAGCAAGTCGCGCACGTACGAGAGACACCGAAATGTCCGGGGCCGGACATTGATCCGGTCCTCTTCGGCCAGGAGAGGGGGATCTGGTGTGCCTGAAGGCACTTGAGGTTCAGGGGGCATAACCGAGCTCAGCAAAAAGTCCAAATCATCGAGAAGGGTTTGAATCAAGAGATGGCCCACTTGCTGGACACGGGCAATGTCCAAAAAGGTGAAAAAGGGCAAGGCACTTGAGTTTTCCAGTACTTGATGGATCTGGCTGATAAAATCCATGCACCGGTCAAAGAGAAGTGCTTTATTGTAGTCACAAAGCACAGGGTATCGATTGGAGGGGGAGAGAAGAATGATGGTCGTGTAGAGTAGTTCGAGGCGGTAGAGAAGGGCGAAATGTTTGGGAGCGCTGGACGGACAGTCATGGTACCACTCCCGTGCTTGGGAGCAGAGCGTCCATATTTGGGGGATCGGTTGTGGCGACGCATCCCGAGAACTAAAATACATGTCGTGATATCCCCGAGATAAGATTTTCCGAATTCGGACAATGTGTAGCGCGGGAGTAGGGTTGCGCAAGAAGATCGTTTTAGACTCGGCGGTCGAAGATGAAGTATCGGTGGCCGGAAGTGCAACATCCACCGACTCGTCCGAAAAAGTAAATGTATGATGTAGCGCGGAGCTCATGCCGCTAGAGAGAAGGCGATAGAGAGCACCAATCATTAGTCTCAAGGAACAACCCTCTCAACACGTTCAGTGCCAATCGCCGACTTACCGGTCCAGGCTGTAAATGCAATGAAAGACGCGCCGACGTAAGTCGAGTCGATCCTGGTTCAAGGCGACCTCGGTCGGAGGATCTTGATGGAGTCCCAGATCGATAGCGACTCGGATGGCCATCCCCACCAGGTGCCAACTTCGAAATCGACCTGGATCAACGAGGGCATATTGAGCCAGGAGCAAGATGGCCTGTATGCACGTGATGGACCCTGGTCGAAACACATCATCGGCGTAGATGAGCGCTTCGGAGACCAAGGCCAAGGCGCGCTGGTGATTGCGGGCATTTTTTTGATAGGAGACGGCTGCGGACGCTATCGCCAGCACCAAGCGTACCGTCCAGTGGTCAAAAGGTTTGGCAAACCGACCGTCGGACTGATATACCGCGTCGACCGAGGTCCAGAAACTGGTCTCCACGAAGAAAGGTAATTGTATAAAGACATTATCAAAGTAGTATTGTAGGAGAGGAGTAGCTTCGTGTCGCGCCGGCAAAGGATTCGGGGTGCGGGGTGGTGGGTATCCCACGGTGGCGACCGATAGCAGCAGATTCGCGAAACTGGTCTTGGATGTGATGCCCTGAAAATCTCGCGAGGTCGCATTCACCGACAGGAAGCCAAAGTCCCCGACCAGGTCGTCGATATCGGACACTTCTCGACGATGGGCCGGGCCCACAGGCCCATCCGAGGACGTTGATGTGATGGACATTTCGCGCACCACCCCATGTTGGCCGTCGGAGGGGATGGAATTCTGACGATTTCGGAGAAGGGCGATTTTCTGTTCGAGCTTCTCACAGTACCCCTCCAGAGATGCGACATAGCTGCGCTCTTTCCCCTTGGCGAACTCGTCGCTGGCTCCCGAGCACAGGGCTTCCTTGCCCACTTTCTCACAGGCCGAACAGGCCGGAAGCTTGCCATCGCACTTGATCTTGGCGGTCCGACATCGTGAGCAGGCGGCTACGGGCCGACTGACTTTCAAATGGGGATTATCCAGGAAGCTGTTGGCCATGACGGGGATCCTGGCAGCTCATGGTCCACCCTCAACAGAGGGAGGGGGTGGGGGGTACCTCGTCGAGGGTCGACGGGGTTGCCAAAAGTGGGAGGAAACGAAAGACGGAGGTAGGATGAGCTCTACCCCGGACGAAAAGCGTTAGAGGGAAAGGAGTTTAGTCGTGAATCTTTTTTTTTTGGGAAAAAAAAAGGTGTTCAGGGGGGCCAAATGGAATGTGAGTGCTGACTGACTAGTCAGGCTTGTCTTTGCTTTTCGATGGTAAGCCAATCCTCCCCATGCGCGTGCAGGACTGGAATTCTGGAAGAAAAGGTGAGAATTAAGCGGGGAGCTGGAGCGCGCGCGCGAGGGATTTGGTTGTGGCACCTTTTGCACGCCGACCGAGGCCCAATGGCGACATCAACCAGTTGCTGCTGTGATGAACGATGTACTTCGTACTTGGAAGTAAGTATGTAGCACTACTGTCAACTTGTAATGTCTAGTCTAGTGGTACTACTGTATTACCACTATCCGCCCTACTGGTGTTGGCAGTCTGGCCCTGGTAAAATGTACATCATGTCTCTCGTCGGCCGGTCGCAATCTGTAGGAGTCGAGGCGTAGCAGTGCATAATCCGACTATGGCTGGAGAATCTCCACTTGGTCTCACTGCAGATCTGCATTGAGAAATAAGTGTCTTTCCTGGTAGTGGCTCCCTAGAACACAACCATGGCCATGGCTACAGTGACAAGGAGGATGTCCATGTGTGCAGCAGTCACTACACCTAGTACGGAATCTGCGGAGTCATGATCACTTTTGTATGGACGCAGAAAGGACGACGGAGAGGTTGGAGGAGGGAGCGTCAATCCGTATGGCCAAGGCTCCCAGCACTGAACTGAACGCAAGGTTCGCCCCGCTTAAACAAGGCTAAGAACTGACCAGATTCGATCCCAGTTCCCCACCGGATCGTCGAGCTTCGACCACCGACTAAATCGTGCCGCGGGAGTTGAGCAATCCGCAATGACAGGAGTGATAGATACTCACCTGATCATCAACCAGTTCTTGCATCAATGTGGGAGAGTCCTGGCGACGAAGGATACCAACAGTTGATAATTGGACTCGCCCGTCCGACCATCCGGTTTTGAGTATGCTTCCCCGTCGAAAGACGGCTAAACTTCGGCGATAAGTATCAAGAACGTCTTCTTAGTCTGTAACACTTCCTGCACAGAGTACAAAGTGCACTCAATTTCCAGATCAATATGAGCGAGTGTTCAATATGTTCAGGTACCGACAAGTATGGCGAATCTACAGCTAAAACGAATCGACGCTCGACACGACTCGATACATGCGTCTGTCTCTGTTTCATCCTGGCCAGCCTTAGCCCTTGACTACCCGGTGAGGATAAACAGCAGGCGTTCACCATCGGCATTGCAGGGCTGCTCCAGGACTGTGACGTAGAGTTATACAGGGGCAATATCTTATGAAGTCGAAATAAGCTACTGTCTTAGACGACTCGGTACTGCATCAACGGCTACGGAGGTCACCGTCTACCCTATTTATCTCAGAAGACAAATACACGTGACAATAAAGGCCCGATATTCGTAAACCTACCCCCGCCACCGGTATATAGCCCACCGTCGACCCGTAGACCTAATAGAGAGGGATTCTTCAGCCGACTTCGGGGCGTTCAATCGGGACCATTGAAGCCCGTACCGCGTGGAGTAATGAATGACCCAGCCCAGTCACTAGAAATTAAGTTCACAGTTTTCAGCGTTCAGGCGTACGTGCATGAGAGGCTCAACTGCTCTTGATGATATCTGGTGTAGTAGTAGTAGTAGTAGTAGTAGTAGTAGTAGTAGTAGTAGTAGTAGTAGTAGTAGTAGTAGTAGTAGTAGTAGTAGTAGTAGTAGTAGTAGTAGTAGTAGTAGTAGTAGTAGGAGTAGTACAAATAGTCCATGAGCTCATCCATATCATCACCTCCAATTGAAACCGCATCCCATGAAGCTGGTGGATCCGACTCTTTGCTTGGCTTTGTTTCCCCGCGCAAGTCCCACGGTTCGAGCGTCGGAGGCGCGGAATTTGTGATCCCATCCATTCCTCTGGGGAACCAGTCTAGAGAACATCACCGTCACACTACCTGGCCCTCTGAATCAGTGGGTGATAGCAGTGAGTGCTGGAGGTGCAGTCTCCACCTGCACTACACTTAAGTAACCTGGATTCTCAGTAGTGCTAGTAGGTAGTAGGTAGTAGGTAGTAGGTAGTAGGTAGTAGGAAGTAGGTAGTAGGTAGTAGGTAGTAGGTAGTAGGTAGTAGGTAGTAGGTAGTAGATACTAGGTACTAGGTACAGATAGACCAAGGTTGCTATACGACTACCAAAGTGTTTCTGATGCCCTTAACCGGGGCTCAGCCCGGTTCCTTGTCATTTGGTCCAGACCACCAGCCGGGATACCAAGACAGCTTTCATCTCACCGTCGCTAGGAGTTGTTTGTACGGCATGTGATACTGCCGACTCACCGCAGTCCATAGCTTAGGTAGAATCTCTCCCCCTCAGCAATCTCACTCCTCATCCCTCTCACACATCGATACTGCTGCCCCTACAGTAGCCGTATCCCATCAGGAGTCCGTAATACGGTATTGACCCAAGGGAGGCTCCTGCGTATGACGGTATGGCCTTTGACTGTTTCATCCTCGGCCGAGTCCCGGTGCGCCCTGGCTTATGTGACCCAGTCAACGGTTGAGGTCGTTTCCAACCGTCGTCGAAAACAATATTACGCGGCTCTCAAACAACAGTACCAGTGCCCAACGTCAACCCGGGGAGGAAGCTTCAGGTACTAATCATGCACCACTCGTTCGTATCACCAATATTTGCACCTCCCGAATGGGCAGTCATGCACGCGCGGGGACCTTGACGTCCAAAATTTCTGCATGATTCGATCATAGACTACTCGCAAGAGACGGTGAGCAGTCTTCGATTCCAACTTGCAGGCGTGCTTCACGCACTCGGCACTGAAGCAGAGAGGCACCAGAGACCCTGGGATCTCCTGGACTTGTGTGTGACGTGTAGAACATCGGATCCAAGTCCAACTGGTAACTCCGCAATTCAGCTGTGAAAGGGCAGTAGGCTAGTACTTGCCTCAGGACTTCCAGTGTAGTATCCTACGCTCCCGTTAATACCTTCACTATTTTATTCTCATAAGGATGACTAATGATCCTCCACCGTCCACTGCAGCGGTGGAATACAGACAAATTGTACCTGATTGATGGATCGTAGCCTCCAGTCAAGGACATGTCTGTCTGGCTCTCCGATAACCATGAGGATCGAGGCCCACACACTCTCTGATAGCTTAAGCTGCACTGTACAAGACTACAAAGAGGTCTGGGCACACTCCCCGGTGGAATTAGGAATATCGCGTTCTGGCGTGGGAGGCCCGAGCGTGACAGTAATTTCTGACTCGATTTTCGGACTTACTGAGCATGGTAGTCTGTAGTTCTAAAGCTTACTACTACTTTCCGACTAGTCGTATGTTGGGTGATTCAAGCTTCAACCACGGTCCATACTCCAGACTCCGGCTCAACCGTCTTGTTATACACAGCGGCCAAACCACCTCAATTGGAGAGGCTCCGGCACCAACAGCATCCATCATCCCCCACCATATCCTTTGCTCGCAAGCTCCACCGGCCACGGACTCCCTTCCTCCCGCATCCCGCAACCCGGATCGCTTTCAACATCATAGTCTCCCCCCCCCCCTTCCAAAAAAAAAAAACCAACTTATAGGGCTATCGACCAATCTAGTGTGGCAGTCGCCAATTCCAACACCCCCCCCCCCCCCCCCCCTTCGGCGACGATCGCGTCAGAACCGTAGGGAACACAGCTCAATCGGAGATCCACCCTAAATCGTTTCGGAGCGGTCGCGGTGTAGATCACGCAGTCGTCCCCTCTCATTCCAGGGATCGATCTGACGATTGCTCGGCCTTCAAAAAGCACCCGTCGATCCCCTAACGTGCTGACCCGCCGAACATCCTCACTTCGTCTGCTTCCAACGACGAACGCTCCCACTCTGTCCGCGCGTGACCCTCGATACCCTCCGCATGACGAGGACCATGTCGGTCGCGTCAAGAGCATCTTTCGAACCGTCGCAGCGTGCTTTGAATGGCATTCACGGGCAACACTCGTGCATGTGATTGCTCTCTTTCTCGTCTTCTGTGCCCCCGGGAGTGGCGATCTGCCCACGAGCTATGACCCAGAGCGCCCACAACTACGAAGGGCACCTATCCCCCGATCCCTATGCACTCGAGACGCCGGATGGCCGTATTGCGCACACTTTGACGGCCTGCACGAGGTGTCGAAAGGTATGCTACTCTTCAATCGCGCCCCTCCCCCCCCCGTAAAGGCTTCGCTTTGTCCCGGAGCTATAATCGGCCGACTCCCTCTCCCTCTCCACTCGTGTGTCGAGGGATAAAAAGGCAGGAGACTCCCCAGGTTAAGGGTTGCGGAAGCTGGCAAAAGAAGGGTAGATAAATAAAAACAAGAGACAGATGGCATCTCCCTCATTGGCTTGACTCACACACGCGACTAATGAGCGGGCTCTTTCTTCCAGCGGAAATCAAGATGCGATCCCGGTATCCCTCGCTGTGCGCCTTGCGAACGAAGCAATGCGAGGTGCGTCTACTACGACTCGGCTCGCGCCCAGACAGTTTCCCGATCCCATATTGTGGCCTTGAGAGAAAAAGCCCGCGCGCTCGAACGAGAGCTGGCCAAGGCGGAGCAGGAAATCCAGCACACGGCCGATGCTGAGCTCATGGTGCGGGGTGCGGGACGGATTCGTTTCTCGGACAATGACGAGCCTCGATATTTGGGCGCCTCCAGTGGTATCGCCATGACGCGGCTGGTCATGGAGATTGCAAAACAGAACACCGACTCCAAAAGCATCAAAGATGTCGTTCCGGAGCTGACGGCTCAGGAAATCAAGGCTGCTTTCGCTCAAGAAGACGCCAAACCGACCTCAAAGGTCTACCCCATGATCAGCTCAATCCCTTCGGACAGCCTACCTCCTCGATCTCTGACGGAGAGACTCATTGATCTGTTTGTCGCAAAAGGTCAGTCGGAACCCTGCGCTCCTCTGGGTTGCCTCCATTCTCCAATTGTTATGCATGGGAAAAGGTGAACCTGCTGTTGACCTATGGTGAGACTGACCTGAATTTACTGTACTAGCCCAGGCACTGCTCCCGACCCTACACATTCCGAGTTTTCGTCGGGAAGCCGAAGAGGTGTTTGATGGATCCACCGATCCGTGTCATAACTTCCAATTGCGCATGGTAATTGCCATCAGCATGCAGAAAATGAGTCCAGCTTTCGCCGGATTGGCAGACAGCTTCTACCTGGCCGCCCTTCCCTTCTTGGAGTCCACTTTGAAGCGGATGGACTTGCGGGCATTGCAGTGCCTCGTGCTGATAGCGCAATACTCCATGTTGACTCCGACGAGAACCGCTTCGTACTGGGTGGTGGGCACCGCCATGCGAATGTGTCAGGACTTGGGCTTCTGCGATGAAGCTACCATCACCCAGTCGTCCCACGGAAAGCCTCTGAACCCGCTGGAGTTGGACATGCGCCGCCGCCTGTTCTGGATCGTGTCATCCATGGAGTTCGGTCTGTCTCATAGTCTGGGCCGTCCAAGCGCCTGGAGTGTGACACATGACAGCGTGAATGTCCAATTCTTTGAACTGGTGGACGATCGCTTTATCACCGAAGAGGGGATTAACCCTCACGCGAAGCCGGTGATGGCAAAGTGTATTGCCATCCACTTTTTCAAGATGCGCATTCTTCAGCTCGAGGTACGCCGGATGCTGTACCTGAATCGACGCGACACCCCGACCCACGATCAAGATCCCTGGTTCCAACACATGCTCGCCAAGGTCGATCACTGGGTGGAAACTTGCCCGAAAAATGACGACGGCTCCGGACTGAATGTGAAATGGTAGGTCTGATCACTCATTCTCAACCTCTCCGTAGTCCTTCTCTGCCGTCCTAGCTGCTCTAACCAGTTCCCTTCTTACTTGCAGGTTTCAAGGCAGACGAAACACCATGATCATTCTCATGCATCGCCCGTCGCCTCAAATACCAGAACCCTCCGTTCATGCGGCCAAGATTTGCTATGAGGCAGCGACATTCAACATTGCCATGCATCATGAACAAACCTTCACACAATCAGTAGACCTGACCTGGATCTTCACCCAATCTCTGTTCATGGTCTTCAACATTGTGCTCTGGACGCTTTCCTACCCCGAAATTCGGAAAGAGCATCCCATCGACGAGGTTCAGTCGTACCTCGATATGGCCCTCGAAGTGATTGTCCACGCTGCCGAGCGATGGCCGGGCGTTCAATCGGCCTTGATCCTCTACAAGCGCCTAGTGGAAGCTTGTCTCAAGGCCTATGCCACCGAAGAGTCTTTCGTGGTCCACTCCCCATCCAACCATCCCACCCCGACTTCATCGCAGGAGGTCGCGACTCCTCCGGCCATGTCCAGCCCATCAACAAGCACGACGACGTCTTTCTATACGCATCGAAATCGCGCAGCCACCCACTCCATTGGAGATAGTGCATCGGCAGGCACCGTCTCCAGAGGTCCCTCGGTCGACCCTCCCGGCTCGTACAGCAGTGCGACTCCGAATTACACTACTCCTGCCTTTACTTCACACCCTGCAGATACTAGTCACCTGTCCCCAGTGACCTCAACCTATGACCTCCAGTCGACTATTGCAGCCACAGATGCGGATTTGCAGCAGGCACCGCCTACATACTGTGCAACATCAGGACCTTTCTCTGACCTTTCTATCGATCCGAATACCCCGCACAACGCAATGCCTTCCATAGTGCCCGGTCTACAAGGCTGGGATCCGAATTTCTCACTGGCGTCCACAACGGCCAGTCATCTGGCCTATATCGATGCCACCGTGGATCCAATGCAATGGACTCTCTCCATTGGGGATCAATACTCGAATTACTTCAATGAGCCGTTCCCCACGCCATCATGGAGGGAGCGAACACTTAGCCAACAAGAGCAGATTGAGCTGATGGCATCCTTGGAGTATAACATTCCCGATGTCTCAGCTCAGTTGGGGCACGAATCCTATGCCTTCTATCAGTCCTAGCCGTACTGAGTCTGGCAAAACGGCTGCGGTATACTGTATAGTGTATACAGCATCTCTTCTTTGCGGTCCCTTGATGAAGTCGTGGCGCGTTACCAGAGATGGTTCCTATGCGCCCATGTGCACATTGGATTGGTGGAAGTTAATTAGCTCTTTTCATTTGTGAACGTAGGCGAATGGCTAAATGTTGAGGGTCTTGCGACATTCTTACAGCTAGATTGTGGAAGTCTGTTTCCAGTGTGGAACTGACTGCGTTGAGCGACCTTGTTCATAAGTGTATCAACATTGCGGCTATGCGCCAGCGCAGACCAAACTATAAGGAGATCTTCCAATTCCAAAGCATGGTGCACCGAGGCCGTAGCAGGCAACTCCTTAGACCGTCCTTTAGTAGCTAGTAGCTACCTATTGCACACATAATGCTTCCTATGTATTCCTATGTAAGGAAGTGTCTTGTAGGACGATATATAGAACAAAGTAAAGCTCTTAAATACTCTCAACCAAATCTAAGAATCATATTGAAACCGAATTAATTCTGATGAAAGGCAGTGAAATTGAGCTCCCTTGCTCTGAGCCCTTGGCTGGGGCGGATTAAATCGCCGAGACACCTTTCCGCAAGCCGAGACCCACGTCATGTGACCTGGGCTCATTTCGCCTCTCCATCTTCACGCCATCGTCAGCGGATGTCTACATCAATCTGTGCTCGACCCCCTCCCCACTCCTCACCTCAGCCCAACTCAACCTGACTGTCGTCTCAATCTGCCTTTGGAATACTTGAGCTGGGAACCTCTGTCTGTGCATGAATTAGGTCGACCGCGAAACCACCTCCTCGCCCGCGCGAGAGCGACCGTCGCTGACCCCGACCCGGGATTCCCCTCTCCAGACGCCCAGTCTTCGTGCCGCAGGCCCTGCAATCGTGGAGGCCAAGTGACCAGCTGGAAGATATCCTCTGTGGCGCGGTTCTTCTTCTGAGACAGGTGACTTTCTCTGCGCGAGAAAGATCTGATGTCTGATCGGACTCCTGCCATCACCTTTCCCGCTGGTCCTCTTTCACCTCCTTCACCTGCCGCAGGATCATCATCTGCTTCTAAAGAAAGCCAACATCTCCCTCCCTTCTTGAATCACGCCCCACAGACTCCGACATCTCCTCCGTTGATGTCGGTCAGCGATTCGAACAATGGTTCCAACTTTACATCCACCCAAGCACCATCGAATCAGGCGACAGTCCACCACCATTCTTCACACGGCTCTTCTCCCTACTCCTCCACGCCTGTCTCAACACAAGCCTCGCAACCCCCTACATTGAGTACAACAAACTCGTTCCCTACGCCGGCCAGCAGCGTGAGTGGTCATCTCACTCATGCGACCTCGTTTGAGGAGCCGGACTTGAAAGCTCTTCAGCCTGGGACCCAGGCTGCTACATCCACCATGAACCCTGGATCTGAACCTCAGACGGCTGATTACATGCATACCGATCATGACCGGCAACCGATTTTCCCTTCTTCGACTGCAAGTGGTCTATGCGACGGCGCTGCCGACAAGAAACCGGACCCTGATGCGATGGACGTGGACCAGGAGCCAATATTGCGCAGTGGTACACATGGTCTCGGATTAGACTCTCTCCAAAAGGATTTCCAATCGGCCTATCATCTTTGCAAGAGCTGTAAGACATCCCCCCAAGAATGAGTTCTTGCCGTCTGTGGTCTGTTCAATCGGACGCGCTTGCTCCCACTTGCTTATCTTGGGTTCTGTTTTTGTGAAATCTCGTTAACACAGTGGTCTTCATTGCTCAACAGCGCCTATCCCTACGGGTCCAGATCCCTCGTGGGACCTGATTTCTCTGTATGGACTAGGTTCGATTGCGCAGTCTGTCGCACGGATTCACCCCGTCACTGGTGAGAAGATCAACCGGCTGCGGAAGTCATATGAGGGCAAACTGAAGCCTCTGGGTCTGGCGGGCAAGAACAAGCCAATCAAGACGGATTCAAGCAAGGAAGGCAGCTTGCGATATCTCACTTTGTGGCCCGAAGAGGAATGGCAGAATCAAAAGGTGTTTGGCAAGCAAATCAAGACAGCTGACATGGATTCCGCATTGCTCGGTCTGCAAACCAAGGCGATGCAGCTTCAGCCAGGGGTGGCGCCCAATAATGACTTTTGGGAAGATGTCTTGGGTCTGGAGAAGCCAGTGAAGGTCTCCGGTCCAGGGGACATGGGCAAAAAGGGTACGCCCACCCCGGGAGGCCGGTTGGGTACTCAGCCGATGGTGGCCAGTGGCGCGGGCGCTACAGATTTGGGTGATAGAGCACGCCCCAGTCGCGGTCGCAAGAGAAATTACGATGATAACAGCTTCGTCGGCTATGGCGAAGGCTACGCTGATGATGATGACGAGACCGGGTTCTACTCCAATGGAGAAGGAGCCGGTAAGAAGAAACGAAAGAAGGTTGGTGTCGCTTATCTTGTCATTTGGTGCATGACCTCGGAAGTTCCTGACCGAATTCACATCGCTCAATTAGGATCACGTTTCTAAGGTTTCAACCCCAATGTCCGAGCGAAGTGGCAGCTACGGAGTCGGTATGTTTGGCATCGGTGCCCGCTGAAACAAGAAAGCTGTCCGGACACTCTGGCTTTTCGAAAACAAGGGGGGGAAAATCTGCAGTTTCTACCATATCTGACTCTGACATTGAATCTACCTACTTTGCCTTGTCATATTGGTATTCAAAAAAGGATGGCCCCGTGATTCCGTTTGAGGGGGGGTGATTGTTCGCATTGTTGCAACCAAGCCCGCCCGTCCGGTCAATTGGCTTGCGTTCTGTCTGTTGGGTTTCTACGTCTCCGTCCGCCGTTTCTTTTTTCTGACATTTACCTTCCTTCTACTTCTCAGTACATGCATTACGGTGCTGGATATACCCGGCTTACATCTATGGGACGGCGTTCAAAGGCGGGGTTCCTTTTTACTTTTATTGGTGGGACTGGGTGGTCGTTCGAGTCTAACCTTGTAGCTTTATGTCTGATTACTCTGATTGAGATATTTTGAAATGCAGTATCTTTTTTTTTGTCTCTGTGATTCGACTTGCGAGATGTGGCTGCGTGGTAGGGTACTATATGGACCTGCTGCTGCTGCTGCTGCTGCTCTTGCACGGGTTATTGATTCATGGGCGTAGTCTCGATGATGTTCTCCATGATGGGATTGATATTAGTACGTGTATCACAAATCAGTCACTTGGTGTACCCGCCAGAGATCCGAATTGGCGGTCTAGCATAAGCTCGTCTACGATTGAGTCCGCTGCGATGACTCTCAAAGTATCGATAAAGTCTGCAGGTGGCTGCTTTGCAGATTCAACCCTAGGCGCCGTCAGGACCCCGTAGGTTCAGTGTCCAGTGTCCAGTGTCCATTATTCACTTTGGATAGGCGTCTCGGTGCCACTCGTTTTCGGTCCTGGCCGTCCGAACTCGATGGAACTAGGAGGGGTTGCACGATACCGTGCAGAGTACTCCGTCTTCATGGTAAAAGCGTTGAAAAGGGACTTCCTGGCATATTGATTTCGTTGGCTGGAAATAGCTCCGTAGAATCGAACTAATCGAGCATTTTCCAAGGTAGTGAAACGTGAAGGCATATGCGTGATGCACGCGACGGGGGACAAGGCTCTTGTCCAGCGGCTATCAAGCCGTGATGAAATGCCGAGATTTATACAAGACGGTCACATCATTTCGACTGATTATGCTAGCTTTTAGCTGCTCAGGTCACTGCTGATCAGTGATAGCCTGATAGCTCCTGAATCATTGATACTGTGACATCCTGTTCCCCCGAGTCATTTCAACACATCCTCGGCAAAAACTCTTTCGAGACCACTGTATTCGTCTTCTCGAAGCAAGTGCCGAAATCGGCGATCTGCAATGATGATCATCCCTCCAGGAGCGAGATGAAGTAAGCGACAGAGCGGGCAGTGGAACTGGAAATCGTCCTTGACAGAGATACAGTTGATGGCAGAGGATTGGTATGGGAGAACTTCGGGTCGAAAGGGAGAAACCGAACTAGAAGTGAATAGAAGTGAACCGTACGCGTCACCCGAGCGGTTCAGACATTGGAGGCTCGTTGACGCTTCACCCGGTCTAGTTCGACAACGCCCTTGGAAATCATGGGAGGTCATTGGAAGGTAAGGCTTGGCGGTGTTAGCAACCATGTGCAGTTGTGCAGATTATTGCCGTGGAAAAGTCGGATCGTGATCGTTCCAGAAGCATGAGATGGATGGGACCGTGGGCCCCATGGAGCTCCTGCTCAGGCGTCATCCGTGGTAGATTGACTCAAACTCCCGACGGCGGATATTTGGGGGCTGCTGAGTTTTTCTAGAGTTTTTCCTACTTGTAGTAAGGTTCAGGGACTGGACCTGGGACGGTGGAGGACTGGAGGTCGAAGTACAGTACATTGCTAAATCCAGTGGTGGAACCTTTTCGGTGGAAGTACCAAGACAGGGGTGTAACTGTGTTACTTTACAATCTCCAATTGTACATCGGTCCACGCGGCACTGTTGAGCGCGGTAAGAAAGTTCAATGCTCGCATGGGCTGAAAAGTCTATTGCGACGTGATCAAATCACGATGCACATGGAAGCCGAGAGGATATCCAAGTGGAGATGTTTCCAGATACACGATTGGTGACCGTCAGGCAAGCTTACAACCACAAAGTTAGAGAATTTCGTCAAGGATGTCCTTCTGCTCGCGTACTTATCAATGAGCATCTCATTTGAACGATGTCCCCTACTCTCTACGAACTCTATGGAAAATCTCACTCGGATGATCCTGTATCAAGTCGAAAAAGTCTGCGACTGTCCACTTGTAGTACAGTCGGGTTCTGTTGAACTTAGTCAAGTCTGCTTGTCATTCACTGGCTTATCAGCAACGCCCCGTTCAGCCGTTGTTGCGCATCTCTTGTGGTCTAAGCGTGCCGCTTAGCACGGAAATCCAAGTGATCGACCACCGTTGCAATAATGTGCATTGTGCATTGTGCAATGGTGCAGAGGGAGTGGAGAAGCAGAAGAAATTTAGCCCCCGATACCGAGGTTGCCTTTTGCATTGCCTTTTGCATTGCCTTCTTTTTTCACTCGGATGTGGCCATATGGCATACCTCATTCGAATCTATAGTGTAGAAGCATGGATGTCGCTGCTCAACAGTGGTCGGTTACCCTTTACACACCGCCCGAGAGAATCGCTCGAGGGGAGTCGTGTCCAACGGTAGCTGGAACCAATCTCCTCTCCTCAAACGTGTAACTCGATCTCCCAGTTCCATGGACTCGACATGCATACCTCCCGGACCTACAGGACACGGTGGAGGCGATCTTGGGCATGGCAATAGGCTTTTGTGCTTAGCCAGCGCACTGGAACGGCCTCCAGCCAGTCAATCTCCATCCACCCAACTTCGATGGAGACTCTTGACGCTTTCGCACGTTTGCACGCGACTCGGGCGCCGCAAGCTTTTCTGGCTCGTCGCCGTGCGTCAATCTCCACCGCACTCCTTGGTCAACCCAATGATGCACGAGGCAATGTTGATGAATGGACCAGAGGCTTATCTCCGCCACCTCCTTCCTGTACTGTACAAGCACCATGGCAGGAGGTCTTTTTGCCATGTGCCTCCTCTATGCTGGACCCTCTTCCTTTCCTCCTTTCTCCTCGCCTCATCACCCCCCTGGCCTGCATTTCTTCAGCCCTGGCGGTCTCGAGCCTCAAATCTCCCGTCGGAGCCTCCTATTATTATTCCATGACCTGTACATACCTCTAGGGTTCTATCAGTGCCGTCCGTGCCAGATAGACCCCTTACCTCCCATACAATCTGCTCTGGCATCCCCCCCCCAATACGAACGAGACGGCGGCAATGACCCATTCTCAATTTCGCCGTTCCTCTGTTAATAGTGAACTGCAATCTCCTCCCTCACCAGGCCCAATATTGATGGAAGCGACCTTTGTCGCATATCTCTGGTTGCGCCCTGTGACGGGCGCCTTTTGACACCAGGGTTTACCCTGACTGTCTTCGAAGTATCTACAACCATTGCAACAGAGAAGAGCATGCCCCGATGGTCGGCCACAATGCCTCTGTCGACAACTCCACCTATACGGAGCGGTCGATTGACTCCTTCACGGAGCGGACGATCCTCGCGTGTCTGATCGGCATTGCCTGGTACAACGCCCTCGAACTGATAGTGCTCTGTTTCTCGACCTTCAAACGCTACGGGGGATGCTATTTCTGGTCCTTGCTTGTGGCCTCCTTCAGCGTCATCCCGTACGGCTTGGGCTACCTCCTGATCATCTTCAGAATCTTCCCCAATGAATTCTCGGTTGCAATGGAGCTGATCGCCTGGGTGGGCATGGTCACCGGCCAATCGCTCGTCCTGTGGTCCCGTCTACATCTCGTCGTGCACAGCCGCCGGGTGCTGCGCGCGTGCCTCGCCATGATCATCATCGACGCCATTCTTTTCCACCTCCCGGCCGCTGTGCTCGAGTTCGGGGCTCACACCCACAAGGCCGACCTCTTCGTCCCGCCCTTCAATGTCTTTGAGCGCATCCAACTCATCGCCTTTTCGTTGCAGGAGATTGTTCTCTCTGCGCTCTACTCTTACGAGGCCGTCCGACTCCTCAACCTGCGACCACGCGGTCACTACCGGGGCACGCTCCTCCAACTTCTCATCGTCAACCTGGCCATGATCTTCATGGACGCGGCCATCATCGGCGTCCAGTACTCGGGATACTTTGACGTGCACGTCACCCTCAAAGCCATGTCGTACAGCATCAAGCTGAAGCTCGAGTATGCGATTCTGGGCAAACTCGTCCATTTCACCGAAATGAGCCACAGTACCAATTCGGCCCCGACCGATCTCTCGGACTTTGTCGATCTCTCCTACTATCATCCAAATCAACCACGGGTGCCAGACGGTGGAAGTCAGACGCGATTTGTCGGTGGACCGGACTCACCGTACGAGCGATGCGGTCAGACCCCTTCAAAAGAGTCCTCCCATGATGCTGGTACATCGGAGGCCTCAACGCGGGTCAGTACAAGCAATGAAGCTGTACAGCGGTCACTATGATATACCATGTACAAAGGTCGATAATAGCGCTGGTGCGCTGTACACACTCTACTACACATTACCTCGATAGCATCGAATCTATAAATGATCAATCCTCAATTATCTTTTCCATTGTGTTCAATTTTGCAGGACTTGATACATCTTCACATTGAGTCTCTTCGATTCGTTCATTTTCCTCTCTGCACTTCAACTAGATCTAGTCATCAGCGCCAGCAGGTGTACCTCCCACCAGAAAGCCGTGTCCGATCCTCTCAGCAGAAACAAGAGCTGGCGATCCTCTATCAAGGCAAATCCTCATCCGCCAATTTCCATCCATTCCCTTTCCCTATTCCCTTTCCCTGCTCTTTTCCACGAGATCTGCGCTTACTTGTAGAAACGCAGCGAGGTGACAGGGACGGGGCCGAGCAAGATCCTATCCCCAGCTACCTTATGGTATCGCCCAACAAATCTCACCTGTACGAGTCAGCAGCGAAACCCAAGAGTCGGTGCTGTCATGAAACCTCCGTACCTCTCTACATCGAGCCCAAGAGGTCCTTTGCCAATTTCAGCTTTTGATATTGAGCGCTCGCACAACCGTGGCTCACGCTACTCTTTTTGCTCTTGCCGCGTGGATGTTGTGCTTTCTCTGCAGGGCCGAAGTCATCATCGGAGCGGCATTACTAGAGTACTAGGACCAGGTACGGTATGAAGACGGGGAGACTCGTGCGGAGCCGATTTCTCAATGTATAGTTGAGACATCTTGCTGCAAATATACTGGGATTGCTGACTTGTGTGAGAAGGTATACGGGTAGATTCTTGTCTAGAAAGGGATGTGCTCCCAGATTCCAATCGCAACGATGGATCCAGGCGGTGCGGTACAATAGGCTGGGATGCCGATCGTGTTACTCGCTTCCAATCTCTTTCAGATGGCCGCCGTCCGTAAGGTACAGTCAGCAGTGTTTGGACCTTTCACCCGCTATATTAGGTCGTTCCTTTCTAGGAGGGAACCCTCCATCCATTAGACTGCCTACCTAAGTTCACGGTGACCTTGGCGTCTACAAACCTAACATGATCCTTGGACATGCTGAAACTGGTGTCTATACGGCTTGGCGAGATTGCATGGGTCATAGGTTTACCTGCTGGATGAGGCATGCGGGCTTCATGTGGAGGCCTGGGGCTGTTGATAAGTCCGGCGAGAAGCCCATTTGAAATGGAGGCGGGAGACGGAGTATGGCGGAGACGATGAACCACTTTATTGTTTTTATACGATGAAGATCTATGACTAAACGCCTGAGCGGGACAGATGAGAAGATTTCCGTCGCAAGCTCACGAGTCACGGCCCTTTCGTCTGTGATGAGGGTGAAGCTATGTGTGATGATACACCGGTTGCGTTCTGAGTTCATGAGGTGGACGTGAAAGGAAAGAATCTAACCACGTCGATGGAAGGTCTGTGGTTGTGCGATGTCAGTAGAGCCTGAAACCCTAAAAGGAGGTGGGCTGAGTAAGGTTGCTGAATAATGTCACCTATTAACTTGAGTTAGGATATTCCGCCCGAGAGATCAATAAGCTCGGGACATAGCTGCTTCGCTCCTGAAAGATCGTACCATGGGCGCTGGTGTATATGTCAAGTGAGAACATCCATCTCAAATTGGTTGTTAGGTGCGCAGTCCTGGAATCTCAGTGGCATTCGATAGATCTGAGACACGGTCGATCTACTGAGCCGATCCATACGAATACATATTTGCGCCGCCCGGAATGTCGCACGACCTAATGTAGGGGAAAGCCCCGTCGGGATTCGAAGGTAGAGATGGAACTGCACTCTGACCCGTCAAACTCGACAGTGACTGCATTTCAAGTTGGATGTTGACTCCGGTCCTCATTCCAAGCTATATAGGAGATGAGCTACAGGACAGTATTCATCGCCAGAGTTTGGAAAGCACATTCATCAAGATACCAACAAGAATGCGACGACTCTCTACCAGAATGTTCATGCCTGAGGCATGGGATGTTAACACCCATGGGGCCGTCGGAGTTTGGTCATGCCGAGCCATATTAGGCAGTAGGTATTGTAGGTAGTAGTACTAGGTAGTAGGTAGTTAGGTACTGGTAGTTATTGAGGGACGGAGTTTACTGTTTTATTAGCTTGGGTGATTACACATCTAGGATTCGTCATAATTACTTGTAACACATGCCCCGTTGAGCTTTGTGCTCCTACTTAGAAGTGGAATCTTGTGAGATGTGTTTCACGGTAGGTCCATCAGCCTCGTCAGGGTTGACACCCATTGATCCACAATGAGAATTGGACTCTCGATGTAAAAGACTTTCTTGGCTCCGATCGAGGGAGATGGCAGTCATGAGGCAGAAAATGATTGCTGGCTGCAGTACTGATTCCGAACTCAGCACTGATCAGATTCAAGACATGGACTTTGGCAATAGACCCCAAGACACACACTAGATAAGTACCTAATATGGACTCGTCACCGCTGCAGATCGATCAATGCACCACCCTAACCCGGAGAGCCACGGAGCACAAATTCAGTGGTAGTGCCACTGTGGCAGTAGTGTGGTGAGCCACGTTGATCATACCGGGGTAAATGGTAGGATACTCACAGTCACTAGTCATTGGGGAGGCTGGAAAAGGAGGGAGCCAGCGAAACACACGTCGATAATGGAGAATGGAACCAAGGGAAAGCAAGGAGGCTGGTGACTTGGACCATTGATTCAGTGAGTAGTACCTAAGTGATCCATCCGTCTCCCCCTCGATCGGCAGTGGTTGTGTCTGTTGGAGTCCGTTGGTCCTGGATCGGGTCTGGAATTATTTAGATCCTCTGTTAAGGTTCAGCTCGTGCCGGGTTCGTGGTCCCGGGCTGGCTTTGCGTCCACTGGGTACGAGTGGGTTCGTCAGTGGCGGTGCGCGAGAGTTTGCTGTGAACGGCAGAAACGCGGCACAACTAGTGGTGGATGCTGGCAAGTAAAAGAGGAGAAGAAAAAGCCCATAGAAGTCTTGGGAGCATTGAATTACTACATGAGTGGTTGAGCGATGAACTGGCAAAGACTCATGAACTGGTGGCTTGATAGGTGGCCCAACACTGGTTCGATCATTGACGATCCCGCTGCTGATCCCCTCTGTCGACCAGGGACACCACGCAGCAAGGAAAGCAAGAAGGAGAAGAAGAAGAAGTATCAAGACGAAAAGTCGGGAGCCGACCAAGCTTCCGTCATTATTGCGTGTCTGGTTGACCATGTTTGTCCCGCCTCCGGGTTCATGGACGTATTTCCTATGTATGGTGAAAGGGCTCCTGCTCTTTGGGCGACCAGTTTGGTACCAAGCACGAGGTAAAGTCACCCTGTTGCAGCGGTCTGATTGCATCTGTGGCGCAAGTCTGATGCACATGAAATGCGTAGTGTAGCTGCTGTAGCATAGTCATACCAGATAGCCGACCAAGGAGTAGAGTCGGTAGCTATCATACATACAGGTCAGGTGCTAAGATGGGGAGACTGTCGCAAACATCTTCGGGTACGCTACTGCATCTTGTCCGTGATGCAGTCCAGTAGGTGTGCCAAATAGTATGTAACTACTTAGTACTGACTACTAGGGAGTCAGTTCGTGGGAGATTGAAGTATTGCCAAGTCTTTGGATGACGTCAGATGGATCTCTTGCAGAATGAGGACAGCACTCCCGGACCTGGAATCGAGGAACCTGCAGACTCGAGCCGTAAACCCAGGGCTTAAGAAGTTGGGCATGATTGCGCTCATCGGAGCAATCACAGTACAAATATACCTTGTCCATTCTGGGTAGAAGAGTAGTACACTAGTGGCAATGAGCAAGTGAAGGGTACTTACTTCTGCCCACTTCAAGTCCTGACAAGGACTTCTCTCCGACTCCAGTGAAAAGGTGTAGATGAGGGTGTTCAATACGGCTAGCAACTTAGCAGCTTCCTTTGAGGGCTGTTCGAGCTCTAGTGGATAGTCTCCAGTGGATATGGTCCATTGGATCCTCGGTTAGCAGACAGTAGGACCAAGCTATTTAAATTGCGAGTCCATAGAGCCGCTGAATGGGTGATGAAGTGTGTGGACTGTGGAGTTACTGGAGTTTTGTAGGTGTGGACTGTGGACTGGGCTGTGGCCGGTGAGGTGGACTCGACTCGGGAAGAGCCTGGACTCTCGAGTAGACCGCAGGTCCACAGTGGCTTTGGCGACGGGTACCTCTTCCCAGGCCTCAGGCGGTACTCGAACGCGCTACTAGCCTTATGGATGGGGAAGAAGGGGGTCAGTGGGAGACTCCCACTGGGAGTTGTGCCAGTGCCCACAGGTGTTTTTCAAGGAGTTGAAATCTTGATCCAATTCCCATCGAAAAAAGAAATGAAAGGATCGAGCAGGGGAGCACGAGCACTAGTAGTAGTAGTAGTAGTAGTAGTAGTAGTAGTAGTAGTAGTAGTAGTAGTAGTAGTAGTAGTAGTAAACTACTACTTTTTCTCATTGAATTACCCTCGTTACTGAGATGGAATTATCCCTGGAGGGATGACAGTATGCGCTCTTGAGATCACCTCCGCACATCCAATTGATCGCAATATCCTACCGGCTCCCTGGGCAGTCAAGATACTGGGTACTCGTACATTATTGTCGTGGCTTCACCACGCCGAGAGGGGGTTTGTTGTGATGCTGATCGCAAGAGGAAAAAGAATTGTGGATACGGCTCCACTCCACCATCAGAGTGACGTCAGGGCTAGTGGTTGCGTCAACTGCCGCCGACGGGGGTTACTCCAGTCCCGATGGACCTCACCCCAGACAAGAAAAGGGGGAGACAGTTGAAGCTGATGAGAAAGAACAATCTCTCTGGTATCTGAATGACTCATGGGCATCAATATGGATATTACAAAGAACTAAATTTCTGTTTCCCAAGAATCCAATGGACCGCACTTGCAGCACGAGGGCAATTGCTCCACGAAAAATGATAGAATGGTCGAATTCAGTGAATCACCACCGTGAGTACCCAGTACAGTACACACTACACAGTAGAGCTTCTTTTTCAGCAATCGATGAGATCCAAAAGTGGAGTCCATGGGCGGATGGCGCACTGATTTTCATGGGTCCCATGCATCTCCGAGCAGCACTTGAGTTACCGTGAAACCAGAAATCAAGTGAGGTACAGATGCCTCAGGGAGCTCACTCTCACTGGCTCTGGATGATCCCGTCCAGGTCGAGGTCGCATCCCCCCTATCGTCGTCATCATCACGACGCGCATCATCACTAACATCACCACCACCACCACCATCATCATCCATCATCATCATCATCATGGTGTACCACTGTTTGCCTCTGCCAGAAGACTCCTGGGCGACACTAGCCTCGGAGGGGACACGAGCACAAACCCATACTACCTACCTTACCTGTCTAGTTCTACTCTCCTAGTAAAGTCTATACTGCTAGTCACGAGAAGTAGCACTAGTCCTAGTTGGAAGTTGGGAACATCACACATAGAATCAGACAAAGTATCTTTCTCTTGGCCAAGACGTACCCATACTGGTACTCCCACCCGGCAAGTAGTGTCCATGTGCAGCTGCTTTTGATGGACCATGTGACGGAGTGGTACCTTCCCCCGCACAGAGTGTATACCGGCGGAGTGACCTGCCCTGCAAGCGACTGGGGCCCAGTCCAGGGCTGACGCTCGCATGGATTCATAGTCGTCATCCCTTCGAGACAGCCTGCTTTCCTTGGCCCATCGTCCCTGTCCAACGTCTTCATATGCTCCCATCCGCCCTGCTCGCCCTCTCTCTCTTTCTCTTCTTTCCATCTTCCAATTTCCCTCCCCCCCCCCCAACATAATTGTGCACTCCGTTTGCGCTCCTGCTTTTTCTCAATTCCACGACAGTGATACCCCCAACTCCAAATTAATTTGACGACCCACCGCTCTTAATTCCTATTGCCTAATCTTCCACCCCCAAATCGACATCACCATCATCCTCAACAGCCTCCGGTGAATCATCGAATCGGCGTGTCGCAGGAAATACCAACGCTGTTCTTCACAATAGCCGGGACCCAGTCACTCCGAGCTCGACACACACCAGCACATCTCCAATTGATCCTGCAGTCCGCCTCAAATATCCCGTGATCACCGCCGTCCCATCCATTGTCACCATGTCGCCCAAGGCTCCCGTCAACGTCCCTACGGACCCGAAGCAGAAGGAGAAGGTACATCGCCTAGGCCTCTTGCGTCTCCATTGTCAGCGCGCTAATCAGCATGGTGTACTCGACAGGATATCAACCAGAAGATTCAGCTCTTTGGCATGTACCATGGTACGTCATCACAATGGTGCTCGAGATCACGGTCCTTTTTCGAAGCAGATGCTAACTCCCTCTACAGCTTTCAGCAAGGGCAAGCTCCCATCGGTACGTGCAGCAGCGAAGGATGACATCACTGCGGGGCGTCCAGGCTTGGGGTGAACGGTCCACTAATCAATTGTCTTCCTCGTGCAGAACAAGCAATGCGATATTGCTTTGAATAGCGCCTTGGCCTCCAAGGCCTTGACCTCCCCTCCCAACGATCTCTCCAGCGAAGGCCGTATCCTCATTCAGGATCTCCGCAATGTCATTGAGCAGGCCAAGATCCTCTTGCTCTCCAAGAATGAAGGCGAGCTGTTGCAGGACTTCATCTGGCAAGCCCAGCACATCAATGCAGGCGAGGTCAAGGGTCCTACTGCCCCCATCAACAAGGAGGCTGGTCAGCAGGATGCCAACAAGACCCTCGAGGGTCTCAAGACCTTGGGAACCCTGCTGATCACCAATGGAGAGTTTCGCAAGATCCGTAAGTCATGCAGACACAATGTCGGAAGCAAGACGAGAGATCCTAGACCGCTGATGACATGCAGTGAGCGATGCCGTTACCCTCATTCGCGACATGGCCGCCGACTCCGCGCAGAAGGCTGCCAACGCGGTCCGCCCTCCCGAGGAGATGTTGTCCAAGATCGATGAGCCCGCGGAGCAGAACACCTGGCATGAGAAGCCCAACCTGTCCAAGGAGGACATCAAGCAGCGTCTCAGCAAGAAGAAGAACGTGAGTCTCCACAACTACGCGAGGGTGCTTGCAAAGCCTTTACTAACCTTTGGTTTAGAGCACTGAACCCCTGGACACTGCGACTACCAGCCCCAACAATGCTGCCATGCCCGCTACTACCAACACGTCGCCTAACGATACCACCATGCCTGCCAACGCCAATGCTCAGCCTTACTCCGAGACTGATGCCAACTCCATGACCCCGTCGGAGCAGAGCTTGCGTAAGAAGTACGGCCAGCAGACCCGCGCCTATCTGTCTGAGAAGGTGCCCAAGGAGCGCCGCGAGCAAGTTATCTGGCGCTTGAAGAAGATGATCATCGAGATTCAGGGTCACGCCGACTGTAAGAGCGGATCCCTTTTTCCCTGCCACGACCCTAGCTCATCTCAACTAATCCTCTACAATAGACCAGCAAGCCATTGAGACCTTGCTGTCCATGGCCGAAAAGTACGCCGGACACACCAAGAATGTCTCCTCGCAGAGCGGTAGCGCTGTTCGCAGCGTCCGATCCAACGAACGTGTGCAGTCTGTTGAGCATGACCTCCGTACTTTGATCGAGCGATTCGCCAACAACACTTCCCTAGCCGATTTCTTCGACTCTCTCGACAACATCTACCGCGATGCCGACTCCGATCCGGAGCTCCGTGGCTGGTTCTCCAACATTAACACTTACATCCGCAAGTGCTTGCGCGAGCAGGGCTTCATTATGCAGGACGAAGCCACCCGTCAGTGGAATGAACTCTACGACAAGGGTCGTTACTTGCTCCGTGAGCGCTACCGCACCCACACTGATCGTATCGTGGATGAGTCCAAGTTCATGGCCGATCAGTTCGACAAGGACCCCCGTAACAAGGCTCTGGCGGACGCCGTCCAGAAGCTCTTCTATGACCTGGGCCGTGACTCCGGTGGCAAGATCGTCTTCAAGAAGCATCTGCTCAAGGATATCCGTGACGTGATCATTCCCGGTGTTATTGAGAATGTCCGTTACATTCCCATTCCTCGCATTGAAGTTTCAGACCCCACTGCGGACGTCGTCGTGGAAAACCTCACCATCGAGAGCGACAACCTCATGCCCAATGTGATCGAATTCGGCAGCGACAACTACTTCCGCTGGGGCCGCAAGAAGATCAGCAACAAGCGTGACAACAAGATCATGATTGCCGCTTCCGGCATCCAGGCTGACCTCCGCGATGTCAGCTACTACATCAAGAAGAAGGAAGGCTTCCCGTCGCTTACCGACACCGGTATCATGGACATCTTCTTGGGAGGCGAGGGCTTCGGCTTCAAGATTGCCGCCTCCACCGCCGACAAGAAGGACAAGGAGCACTTTGTCAAGCTCGACAGTGTTTCTGTCAACATCAAGAACATGGACATCAAGCTCAAGAAGTCCAAGCACAAGCTGCTGTTCGCTGCTTTCAAGCCATTGCTCTTCCGTGTTGTCCGTCCCGCCTTGGAGAAGGTCCTTGAGGCTCAGATCCGCAAGGCCTTCACTGATGCTGACGCCTATGCCCGCAACATCCACGATGAGGCTCGCCGTGCCCAGGAGGCCGCCCGTGAGGATCCTGAAAACGCTCCCACCATCTTCTCTCGCTATGCCGACGCCATGCGCTCTCGCGCTCAGTCCAAGGCCGATCAGGCTAAGGCTGTGGCTGACCGTGCTAGCCGCACCAAGGTCCAGACCGTCATGACCTTGCACGACTCTATGTTCCCCGACATCAAGCTGCCCGGCGGCATCTCCAACAAGACCACCGAGTACGTTGAGCTGGCTGGCAAGGGTGAGAAGTGGGAGTCGCCCATCTTCAGTATCGGCAACGCCGCTGAGTCTCGCGACATCCCCAGCGCCGGCCCCGTCACTCGCAAGCCGCACACCACCGCTGCGGACCGTGTCGGTAATGCTGCCCACGGAACCACTCTGGCTGGTACCAGTGACCACTACACCAACGGCAACACTGCCGTCAATGGTAACGCTGCCTTGGATAGCACCGGCGCTCTTGGTGGTGTCAACGGTCACTCCAAGGTTGATGGATATCCAGCTCATGGCTTCTCTGACGAAGTGGACCAGGCCTTTATCAACGGCAAGACCACTGGCCTCGGCGGGAATAGAGCCCCCAACACCATGATGGGGACCAACCAGCCCGGCCTCGCCATCAACACTCAGACTGTGCCTCAGCCGGCTACTGCCTTCTAAGCCGATATTTCGTCTTTGGCCGCGGACCTCTCCGCCTCCTGTCGAACAGAGTGGGGCGCTGTGCTGTGTGTCTTGTATACATATCCTCCCGACAAGTAGCGTGGCCGGGCCTTTGGCCCGGCTCGAGACCCATCAGCCAGATACTCCACAGTCAGGAGTATTTGTAAGTGTTAACTATATACAATTATGAAGCGCAAGGAATAATAGGGGAGTTGTATCGTACCTTTTTTGAATTAGTTACATGAAGTCAAAATACATTCGCCAGTTGTTAGCTTTTCTTAATTTTCTTGGACTTGGGTACAGCCTTAGAGACATCACCTCGAATATATCACTAAGCCCTTCGAGGCCTACGGGCTCCGGTTACTTACGTAGGAACTTTACCTTCGGCCTGGGTGACTAGTCACTCGCCAACTTAGGACCAAAGTGGTCTTGGGATTGAAAATGTGCCTCGTCAGAGGCCACAACAACATTCTAAATCCTATACGCCGAGCCAGCATCGCAGCCAGCATCGTAGCTAGTATCGTTGCTAGTAGTATCAACTCGCAGCTAGACCCGTCGAGTCTAGCCAATTACAGGCTAGCGTCGGTGCCACAAAACCAGGGTTAGGATCCGCGGGTCACATGATTTGTCCTTCGCAGACCGCTATGGCAGAACGCCTCTCCCCCTCGGGGAAAAGAATACTACTACTATATGGGCCCCCCCTTAAGCGTATGTCCCAAAGAAGTTAGCCTAAACTATTGTTGTTGTGTCTCTGACGAGACACAATGAATCATTGAATACACACTGCCACCGCTATTGATAATTGACGCTTGTGTTGCCTTGGAAGTAGCAGTCTTAAGTAGAGTCAGTTTCAATGTTCGGGTTGATATCCCTTGTTTCAAACATGGAACTCGCGACTTATCAAGGCCATTGAAACTATTCGAGTAATTGATGGAACTGTGATCTTGGGGACGTACAGTGGTACATGTCCATGGACACAGGCAAATAAGCCAACTACATATACCGAGCTTGGACCAACACTCATGGACCTAATACTGGGCGAATGCTTCTTGCGAATGCTTTTTGTATAGGTTGATCAAGTCGACGTTATGCTATCTTCGTGTTACAGACACAGGTTCTGCTGTTTCGAAGTTTCCGAGGACATTCAAACCAAGAGTCCCGTTGGCGTACCGAGCTCTGCAATCTCACAGTGAGCGAGTGCGGTCGCGACGGTACACCACCGGTCAGCCCAGAATGATGTGTTCTCCTTTTGGTATTTAAACCTCCCGATATGCTTTCAAGACAGGTCAATGGAAATGCCACAAGTGCCATTGAGAGCGTTGTCGCGTGTCGATGCAGTGTGGTAAAAGTGGGAAGCTCAATCCCATCGGGTGACGTGACTTGGATCTCATCTGCTCGCCCGACTGATAACGGGTGGCCCTAAATTTAGCAGCCGGTCTATCAATCCCAAAGACTGGAAGAGGGATTCCACTTCCGCCCTGAGTGAATCAATTGCACTCCGCCAACATCGACTACGCAGTGGGACCCTTTCCCCCCCCCCCGTGATTAGACGGCCCAGTTATTTCAGCCTCGACTCGACTCAAGCAAATAGTAGTCATCGCTTGCATTCTTACTCATCTGGCATGCTGCGCGAGGTGTTGAACGGATTGAAACCTCCCAATCAAACAGCACGCCTGACTGGGCTCCACTCACAGCACGATGGTATGTGACGTTGACTGCTTGTTGTGAGAGGATCTCCGTCGCTCGAGCCCACTGCGCTGTCCAGAAATTGTCCGCCATGGATCTCCACGCCGCATGAGCACTTGGGAAAATTTAGCGTCACTCATCATTCGACCGTCGATCGGAACTCCCGGGACCTAAACGGTCATCATCATCATCATCATCATAATAATCATGCCGCCGTCTACAGTCTTCTCCTACTGGCGCAGGGATCATCGGCGTTCGACCGCGCCCGTGCCGCCACCAGTGGGATCCAAAAGTGCGACGGCCAGCCCGATCAGCCCTCCGCAACTTGCTAATAGCTATGAGACCTCTGTCTCCAAGGAGCTGCCTGGCGACTCGCACGGCTCGGTTACAGATGGGTCGATCCACCACGGTCACCCTCCCGAAAGACTCACATCCAAGTCCACGACTCTTCAAGATTCAGTCGCGGCCTACTCATCTTCCACGCCTAGCCTGGCTCGCCACACCCCTCCTTCGACCGACAGTGAAAGGACACCTGGGGAAGCGGAGCTCGTCCAGTCAATTCCAAAGTCGCAATCACAGACTACTTTGCCACTGCCAGTTCCTGATGCACGTCTCGAGCATGGTGAACCCGAGTCCAACTCCAAACCCAACTCGCCCTTTCGCATGTCTCTTGCTAAAGGGCTACGGAATTTGCAAGTCTCACCCGCCGAGATGCATCGACGGTCGCCGAGCGCTGGACAATCTCCGTTCCGCCGCAGGATGTCACCCGAGGAACCGTCAATAGAGAGGTCGATGGGAACTCACCAGAAAGACGCAAGGATGGAGCCTACACCTGCGACAGCAACGATCCGGCGGGGTGGTAACAATGGTGGTGTTGGTGGTGGTGGCGGGGGAACTGATCGAGAGGGATCAATGGAACAATCTAATCACAAGTCCGGCAAAGCGATGCTTCACCTATTGAACCCCATGGCGCTCCTGGCACGCCGACGGTCTGCCCAATTGAGTAGTTCTCGCGTGGACGATACGAAAATCAGTACGCCAGACTCGATACCGGCTATACCAGACGACTACGATCCGCGAATCCGCGGGAAAATCGTTCACGATTTTTCGGCTCCGCGCCCTCGTCGCAATGTTTCCTGGAGCTCCGCGCTGGTAGCTGATGGAGGTCATGGCTCCCGCAGCTCAGAGGACCGGCGCTGGAACGACCAGGTCCCGAGCACCAACCATGATCATTCGCCTGCTTTCAAAGAACACTTTGAAGACGAGACAGCTGTGCCTCAAGTCGAGAACACGGGATACCTTCACTCGACTTTGATGACCAATGCCTCACAAACAAGTGACGGTGACATGTCGTTACCAGTCTTTGCGCGTAAGCTACCCTCTGAAGTACCCGAACATGAGCCCGAGCCCAAGCCCGAACCCGAATCCGAACCCGAAAAGCAAGAACTGTCTCCTTCGACAAGTATAGTCGAGGATAAAATAGATATCAGGCATACGAAAAAGTCTGTGAGAGTGGCTCCGCAGAACATCATCGCCCAACAACCAGATCATGATGCAATCCCGCTTGTTCCACAAGCCAACTTCGGCCTGCCGCGTCATTTAAAAAGCAATGCTTCTCGATTCAGCTTTGACATGGGGGGTGTTGAGTCCTCCACTCAAGAGCGTTTACTCGAGGAGAAACACAAGGAAAAAGAAGCGCGGCGAAAGATCGAAGGTGGCTATTTCGATGATTTCGATGACGATTTCGATAACGATATGCTGGATGACTTTGAGGGGCTAGAAGAAAAGATACCGGGCGTCAATGCTGACGCTGATGATGAGGACTACCTCGATCCCTCAATGATCAAATCATGGGCTGTTCCGGGACTCTCCCCTGTGATTGCGAGTCCAATCGTGCCAGCTCCGCCTACACTCCATGAGAGCCAAATGGAGGATACCTTTGACGAGTTGGATGGCGTCTCCCCAGAAATTGAGGAGTCCGGGGCTGCTCAGCATGATATGGCTGTAAGCAACGGACTACAGGCTACCCAACCACCAATTGCGCCTCTGGGTGTTGAGACCGCCAAACATGACGCGCAGGACCTCCCTGCTACGTACAGCCACCATCTCGACTCAATTGACGGCGACGAAGACGACGATCTATACTTCGATGATGGAGAGTTCGGGGATTTGAGTCTGGGAGAGCAAGAACATGGCTTCGATGAGTCTGTTTTTGATGATGAAACTAGCCATCTCTATGCGAGAAAGCCGGTTATGCCACCAATTGAGCCACAGCAACGAGATGCGGCCAGTACAGCAATTGATCACGAAAATCTTGAGGATCAACTTCTTCATGAAGAGAGCACGAGCGAGGGTCTGAAACATATGAACAGCGTGGCTGGCGCAGCTGATTCTATCAAGCGAGGTCCATTGGGTGAGCCCATTCCCAATATGGGCCCTCTCCGCACTCACGGGGGCGTACTCACCGAGCAAAATTTGGAAGTGCTTCACAATGCCCTGGCATTTGCCGCAAGCGAGGCGGCGTCTCGGGGGCGATATGAACACGCTTCTAGTACGAGCGAGCGTTCGGCGGCACAAGAAAGCATTTCACAGGCATCGCACACGGCCGAATCTCAGCCGGGACTTGTGTCGGATGATAGCCGTCTTAGTCAAGGCGCAGACATGGCCAGCTTTGATGACTTCCTGGACGATAGAATCTACGACGATTACGACGACGACTACTACGACGACCCAATCGTGGCGGCTGCCAACGCCGAAGCTCTTGAAAATGACGACGAGGGCTTTTACGGGCAGGAATTCGGTTTCTACGCCCAAGCGCATGGCGCCGATGGTGGCGAGATGACCAATGGCGGATACTTTGGGCCCCGTGGCGTCGAAGGTCTTACGCGCCGTCACAGCAGTCGCGGTAAATTCGAGGAGCCCAGTCTGACTCCCATTACCGAGCGCAGTGAATGGAGCACGCGCAATTCGATCATTTCAGTGAAGGCGCACGGCGCGGCCCATTCCAATCCTTCCATGCCCAGTCCCGGCCTGGCCCAGTTAGTGGATCTCAATTCTCTGGACGATGACATGTCGCTCAGCGCCCTGATGAAGCTTCGTCGCGGTGCTTGGGGTGGCAGCAACGGCAGTCTCCGCAGCGGTGCTGCTAGTCCTCAGCCACATACATTACCTTCCTCTGCACGTGGTAGCTTCAATGGTACGACTGAGGCTAGTCCCTCTGAGATTCGATCTTTTGCAGACGAAAGTCCAGCCGTAGCTGGACCGAGTCGTGATGAGAACCACGAGACAGACAGTCGGCACTCCTCGTAAAGGAGGCTGCTTTTTGACCGATGCTGCTCCTTTCATCAAGAAATGTGCATGTCGAAAGGGCAAGACTACCTTTTTCTTTTCTATTTATTCGATCCATCTGGTCTCTTGACCATTATGATACCCTTCCTTTGATTTGGGATTTTGACACATTGGAAATCATGGACCTGCTATATGTGTATTCTATTGCCAGCGTTTGGTCTTTTTTTTTTTTTTTTTTTTTTTGCATCTCATGACTTTGGGCTTTCCAGACCCGGTTTCAAGGGCTGTATAGTAGCTTTCTCATGTGTTAGCCGATTGTTTATTGTTCTTGTTGATACATCTCTAATATTTACAGAAAGTCTGTTAATATACGTGGCTACTCATTCCACCGGTTTCTCTAGTCTCTCTCCTTGGATGTTGGCCGTTCTGAATGTGCTCTTTCATTTATTTCCGCACTGGGTTAGGCTCTACCGGTTTGCGGGGGTTACCAGGTTTGTCAATATTGATAAGGCACAGGCGACTGCGAGAGTATACATTCATGATACCGTGATGAGTAGTAGACTGGATCGAGTCAAGTGAGGCGTTGCATCGGGTAGTTTCACTTGGGCCAGGAACCAGGGACGGCAATACAATGAAAGCACTGTAAGTGTAAGCGCAGAGTGCCGAGAGACACAAGTAAAGGTTACGCTCGGGCTGTAAGGTCTAGGAAGTGGGTGTAGGGAACTTAGGAATAGTATCTGTGAATGACCACCTGCAAAGTCACAGTCACTTAGGTAGTCCGCGATTCGGGTTGGTAGCCAGAGAAACAGTGCATCTATCAAGATGGGGACAGTCCCGTAGATGGTGTTCATCGATCTGAAGTATGTAGCTCCGAAAGCGACCTTTAATCGCCGATTATCGGACGGCAGTCGGGACGTCTCGACTGTTCGTGTGGTTTAGTGGCTAGAAGGAGCCTAGGAGCCTGACGGCAACGTTCGTATGAAATACGATTCAACCAATATCCATTTCGAGTAACTTGTACGTTTGCACTTTGTAAAGTAAGTAGTTAGTACATCAGAAACGGTAGGGAGATGATTCTCGCCCTGCGCTGGAGGACGAGCTCGCTATTTGAAGCGTCCACATTGGCGCATACTACTACTACTGACCTGCATAATATTCTCTTCCAAAGATAAAAAGTAGCGATGCCCCAGTCGAGCACAGTAATAGGGGGCTCTCACACCTATGTACCGGGCGGGCACTCCCAAAATCAGCAGCTTTGAGAAAAAAGCATAGACCTAAACCGTGCCAGTATGGAAATCGATGCCGTAATGGAAGAGCTCTGCCGACCGATTGGGCCGAAATCACCCGCGTTGCGCCGAGATGCTTAGCCGGCGGCGTTCTTGTCTGGGTCAACGAGCCGAAATGGTGAAGCTTGAGGACAGCAGAGAATACGAAGAGAACTATTAGCTGAATATTGACGACAGGATGAAGTACAGTGCCGAATCTGCCGATCAGCTGGACTGGAAGTTCACTGCAGGATGGGCGTTACATAATATTCAGGTCAGGTGGACCGGTCAGCAGGCGTGAGTCGATATCAACAGCTGGGAATTCCTAGGATCTACTAGTAATGGATGATCCGCGACATAGGAGGTACCTCTGCATGGGTCTCGATCGGTACATCGGCATGCTTCTCCATTGAATTCCATTTTTTTTTTCCGTAGAAAAAGCATCCAGTCTAGACTGCAGCGTAGATATATGAGACTGAGAGTGTCCAGTCTCGATCCAGAGTTCAGGAGTTTTTCTGCCGTCCATTCTGTGTGCCTAGAATCTAGAATCATAGAATCAAGGAGCGAATTCCGGCCCCGGGGTGTTGAACGACCGCTGCGGCATTACGTATGCTCCAGCTTTCGAAGGGTATCAGAGACAGTTGTCCGTGTAGTAGTAAGGCTGGAGAAGACCACCTCCCAGGCTCTTGCTAGCAACCTGTAACATCACAGCACCACACAACAAGGCGGACAAGCCGACCGACTGGGAAGAGGTGGAGGTTGCCAAGTGGCGGTTGCCAAGGGCGGTGACTGGTGAGTGGTACGGAGTTGCCGCAAGTTGCAGGCCTGAACTCTCCTCGACGTGGGTGGTTGGCCTGAATGCCTGATGGCCCTGGCACTCCGCCACTGCCGCTGCAGGCTCAGCTTGCCAGGATTCTGTTTCTTGCCCTTTTTACCCTCTCCACTCCTCCCCATCTGTCCCGTTCATCGCTTCTCCCTTCCCTTTAGTGGATTTGTTTCTTTTGTTTAGCAGTTTCTCTGCTCTCTGATGAGTCCCGTTTTCAAACAGGTGCTACGGCAATTCTAGTCGACACCTGTCTCTCCGCGCGACCCGTGTCTCTTGTGCAAAGAAAAACAACCCAGTACGTACGGAACCGTGCCTTTTTCTCCGTCTTCTCGGCACCCTCGGCAAAGAAAGAACAAACCTCTTCTCGGCGCTCGCAACCGCGAAGAGATGCCGAAGGCAGGAGATAGCTTCCAGAAGAAAGCTAACACATGTCGGAGCCTAGCTGATCTCTCTTGAGTTTCACTGTCCCATCCACCCCCTTCCATTCATCTTAATACACGTCGGACCAAGCACGGAAAAAATCCCGCAATGTTCAGGAATACCGCCCTCAAGGCCACCCACAGCAATGTGCTGCGTGGTGCAGCCACGGCTACTTCTCGTCGGGCCTTCGGCCTGGCCTCCACTGCTCGCAGTGCCTCAAAGACGTCATTCGGTCTGACCAGTCGCCGTCCCCTCGCCGTTGTCGACCGTGCCTTCAAGGGCGCTCGCCTTTATGCTTCATCTGCGGAGGGCAATGCTCCTGGAGTGGTAAGCAATATATGACTCTCTGTCTCGCGCAAGCGATGTCAGCCATCACACATGATCATACTGCGCGAAACATCGCATCGATCGATCCTGAAAAAAGAGGCGACCACCCGACTAACGCGACGGCGCGAAACTTTTTTGTTTGCCTTCCTTGTGAATTAGGACCCCAATGATTCTTTCCTCCAGGGCAGCACTGCCAACTACGTGGATGAGATGTATCTCGCCTGGAAGCGGGATCCCTCCAGCGTCCACATCTCGTGGCAAACCTACTTCAAGAACATGGAGGAGGGTCACATGCCCATCTCCCAGGCCTTCACTCCTCCTCCCACTCTGGTCCCCACCCCTACCGGTGGTGTCCCCCAGGACATGCCCGGCACTGGCCTCGGCGCGGGCACCGACGTGACCAACCACTTGAAGGTGCAGCTGCTGTGCCGCGCCTACCAGGCTCGTGGCCACCACAAGGCCAAGATTGATCCTCTCGGCATCCGCAGCGACGCCGAGACCTTTGGTTACAGCAAGCCCAAGGAGTTGGAACTAGACCATTACGGTTTCACTGAGCGCGACCTCGACCAGGAATTCGCTCTCGGACCCGGTATCCTGCCCCGTTTCATCACCGAGACCCGCAAGAAGATGACCCTCCGCGAGATCATCGACGCCTGCGAGAAGATCTACTGCGGCTCCTACGGTGTCGAATACATCCACATTCCCGACCGCAAGCCCTGCGAGTGGATCCGTGACCGATTCGAGGTTCCCCAGCCTTACAACTACTCCGTCGATGACAAGCGCCGCATCCTGGACCGTCTGATCTGGTCTTCCAGCTTCGAGTCTTTCTTGGCCACCAAGTTCCCCAACGACAAGCGTTTCGGTCTGGAGGGTTGTGAGACTCTCGTTCCCGGTATGAAGGCCCTGATCGACCGTAGCGTCGACTACGGTATCAAGGATATTGTCATTGGTATGCCTCACCGTGGGCGTCTCAACGTGCTCTCCAACGTGGTGCGCAAGCCCAACGAGTCCATCTTCAGTGAATTTGCCGGCTCTACTGAGCCCTCCGATGAGGGCTCCGGTGACGTCAAGTACCACTTGGGTATGAACTTTGAGCGTCCCACTCCCTCCGGCAAGCGCGTCCAGCTCTCGCTGGTCGCCAATCCCTCCCACTTGGAGGCTGAGGACCCCGTTGTGCTGGGTAAGACCCGCGCTATCCAGCACTATAACAACGACGAGACCAAGTTCGACAGCGCAATGGGTGTTTTGCTACACGGTGACGCTGCTTTCGCGGCCCAGGGTGTTGTTTATGAGACCATGGGCTTCCACTCTCTCCCCGCCTACTCCACTGGCGGTACCATCCACATCGTGGTGAACAACCAGATTGGTTTCACCACCGACCCCCGCTTTGCCCGCTCGACCCCCTACTGCTCGGACATTGCCAAGTCCATTGACGCCCCCGTCTTCCACGTCAACGCGGACGACGTTGAGGCCGTCAACTACGTGTGCCAGGTCGCTGCCGACTGGCGTGCCGAGTTCAAGTCTGACGTTGTCGTTGATATTGTTTGCTACCGTAAGCAGGGTCACAACGAGACCGATCAGCCCTCTTTCACCCAGCCCTTGATGTACAAGCGCATTGCCTCCCAGAAGGCTCAGCTTGACAAGTACGTCGAGAAGCTGATCAACGAGGGTACCTTCACCAAGGAGGACATCGATGAGCACAAGAAGTGGGTCTGGGGCATGCTCAACGACAGCTTCGATCGCAGCAAGGACTACCAGCCCACTGGCCGTGAGTGGCTGACTTCGGCTTGGAATGGATTCAAGACCCCCAAGGAGCTCGCTAACGAAGTCCTGCCTCACCTCGAAACCGCTGTCGAGGCCAAGTCCCTGCAGCATATCGCCGACAAGGTCAGCGGCAGCAGCATGCCTGAGGGCTTCACCCTTCACCGTAACCTGAAGCGTATTCTTGCCAACCGTAAGAAGAGCGTCGAGGAGGGCAAGAACATTGACTGGGCGACTGCTGAGGCTCTTGCTTTCGGTTCGCTCGTTGATGAGGGATACCACGTCCGCATTTCCGGACAGGATGTTGAGCGTGGTACCTTCTCCCAGCGTCACGCTGTCCTTCATGACCAGGAGACCGAGGCTACCTACACTCCTCTTCAAAACATTGGTGAAAAGCAGGGTAGCTTTGTCATCTCCAACTCCTCCCTGAGCGAGTTCGGCGCGTAAGTACATTCCCTGCAAGTCCTTCTGAGATTGCCGCGCATTGCTAATATTATGACTCTTTCCACCTTCTTCCAGTCTTGGTTTCGAATACGGCTACTCGCTCACCTCCCCGGAGGCCCTCGTCATGTGGGAGGCTCAGTTCGGTGACTTCGCCAACAACGCCCAATGTATTATCGATCAGTTCATTGCTGCCGGTGAATCCAAGTGGCTGCAGCGCTCTGGTCTGGTTGTCTCCTTGCCGCATGGTTATGATGGCCAGGGTCCTGAGCATTCCTCCGGCCGTATGGAGCGCTGGCTGCAGCTTTGCAATGAGGAGCCTCGCGTCTTCCCATCCGCTGACAAGCTGGACCGCCAGCACCAGGATTGCAACATGCAGATTGTCTGCATGACCGAGCCTTCCAACATCTTCCACGTCCTTCGTCGCCAGATGCACCGCCAGTTCCGAAAGCGTAAGTCTTGTTCCAGGCAAACAGCCACCTGTTTTGAGCCTGTTTTCGCTGACCTTGATATTCTCTCCCCCCAGCCCTTGTTATTTTCTTCTCCAAGTCGCTTCTGCGTCACCCCATCGCTCGCTCTGACATTGAGGCCTTCACTGGTGATTCCCACTTCAAGTGGATCATCCCCGACACTGCCCACAAGACCGAGGCCATCGACGCCCCGGAGAAGATCGAGCGTGTGATCATGTGCTCTGGTCAGGTGTACGCTGCCCTTGTCAAACACCGTGAGGCCAATGGTATTCGCAACACTGCCATCACTCGTGTTGAGCAGCTGCATCCCTTCCCCTGGGATCAGCTCAAGGAGAACCTCGACAGCTACCCCAACGCCAAGGACATTGTCTGGTGTCAAGAGGAGCCTTTGAACGCCGGTGCCTGGTCCTTCGTCCAGCCCCGTATCGAGACCATGCTCAACTCCACCGAGCACCACAACCGTCGCCACGTTCTCTACGCTGGTCGTGCTCCTAGCGCCTCCGTTGCCACCGGTCTCAAGGCCGTCCACTTGAAGGAGGAGCAGGAGTTCCTGGAGGATGCCTTCTCCATTCACCAGGACCGCCTGAAGGGCGAGTAGATGTGACTTGTCATATTTCACTAAATCGGGGAGTCACCCGCATTTGGATACTTGATTGGGTTGCTTTCCTATGTTCATGGGTTTTGCCGGAAGCTAGCGTCCGATTTCCTCTGCTTTTTCCCTCCGATTTTCTTTATGTGATTACTCTGTGTACTACAACTTGTTCATTATCACTTTCATGACCTTGATTTTTTTCGTCGTGTCCTGGTACATACGACCTGTCAGTCCCGTTGCGCTGGACGTGGTTTGGTTGATGCGCTAGAGATTTTGTTTTGTAAAATACAAATTCCATTGACAGTTGCATTGTGAGAGACATCCTTTCCAACCTGCAATATAACGGTCCTTATTCGTAAGATTGAAATTCGCACATGCTGTCCTCAAATTTAAGGTTGCCCTGCAGACCCCTGCTGGTAGTTCGTCCGCAATGCACGAACTAGGTAATCCGGTCTGGTCTGGAATGCATGAGAATATAGGCAATTCTCCCGAAGCTTGTTTTAGGCCCACGTTCTAGGTATCGCTATGTCCATAAAATCACGGAAAACTACCCCCAGTACTATCAGGGTCTCCAAACAAAATCCCACTCAAGCTAGCAATTGGTACAATGGTGAATGTCTGGGCTATCCAATGTAATTCTTGAATTTCAAGTGTGGTAGATCGAACATGTAAAATGCCCGGTCGCTACTACACAAAAAGGGGGCTGACGTCATGAAACGCTGGACCGGCAGCCAACTCAGTAGCAATGATGAGTCGCGCGTGGTTGTCTCGGCCGCCTCATATTTCAGGCGATAACTCTCACCTGATCCCGTGGGCTCTTCTCCGCACGCAAAGTTTCCGGCATACTTATCACGTCTTCATGTGTTGAACATCTGCCCTTGAGAGCTTACGTTGGACGAATTGTGTGCGCCTTGTTGATTAGATCCCAGTGATATGCTAGCAATCAGCATTGGATTACCTAATCGTCCATCTGGTACGACCTAACCATCGGTGCTTGCTGCTTAGTCGTCATTCTCAGTCGCAGTCCGTTTTCCCGCCCTCCTCATTTGCACACCATGTCGGCCGTGTCTTCAACTGCCCCAAACTCGCAACAGGGTCAAAGCACCCGTCAATCCACCAGACAGACGCGCACAAATCCATCTCGGACGTCCAAAACGGTTGGTCGGTCTTCGTTTGGTTTGGGTCGTGGACAAGCTGCAGAAGTTCCCTCGACTACCCCTGTTCCGCATGGCTTCTACCCTGCGCTTACACACTTCACGGACGCGATTACTGCTTTACCACGCGAATTCCGCAGACACAACTCGCTGCTGAAGGAGGTTGACGCCAAAGCGTGGGCGCTGGAAGAAAACCTACTTCAGCTCCTGCAGGTTGCTTCTGAGTCGCAACCTGTGCCGCACCCGGCCCACCCCGCTCCGATTGTTGCAGGCGTCGTACGCGAGGATGTCTTGCCCAAGGTGAGTACCGGATCCTCATCGCCAGTTCTGGCTGTACTCTAATCGTTCAAATTGATTTTTGACTTACCCCGCTCTCTGTTTCTCAGGACTTCGCCCAGCCTCCAGAGTCGCCTGACAGTAAGAATCGTCGGCTCCTCTTCGATCGTGTACGGCAAAGTCTGACCGATCTGATGATGACCGCCGACGAGAAAAACCATGTGATTTCGAATGCGAACGAGGAATTGGACCGCCAGGTCATCCGCTTGGATACCGTTTTCCCTTACATCGCAGGCGAGATCAGCGACGAGGCTCGCTTGGGCAGTCTTACGCACTGGGCATACTCAAATAAGAGCGCAGCGAAGGCTGCGACGAATGAACGTCCACGTCGTGAAGCCGTGTCTCAGCGACAAGATTTATCACACGTACTCCACGAGGCAGAAGCTGCGAGTCGAAGCGAGGCACGGCGGGAAGCTGTTAGGGCTCGCGCTCGAAGACCGAATGCCGATGCCGATTACGAGGAGGGTCGTGCGCCCCGCAAGACCAATACAGGAAAAGTCCGTGGAGAAAATGCGACGGGGGAGACTGCTGCGCCCAAGCGACGCAAGGTCGAACGGCCTGCGCCTACAGAGGGAAGTACGCCCATGGAGCGCTCAGCCAGTAACGCCGGTGGGCAGCGTGGGGCCAATAAAGAAGGGGGTGAAAAGAAGAGGTCTCGCGCTCCGAACCCGAACGCAGCTACGGCTCGCAAGAAGTATGTTTTCTGACCCCTTCCCATGCGTCGCAAATCCTCTTGAATCTCATGTTGCAGTCGGCTAAATTGTGACGTGTACAGGACCGCTGTTACCTCGAACGCCGGCTCACCTGTTTTGGCTCCCTCGCCTCTCATCGGTACTTTCAGCAACCAGGCACGTAGTGCTGCTAGCCCAGGACCTAATACCACACGCCCTCAATCATCGAGAGCCCAGCAGACGGGTACTCAGACAAACAGCTCTCGACAGCGACCAACTTCATCTGCTTCCACTCGCGTTAATCAATCCAACTCCAGTAAGTCCCGACAAATGTCACTCCAAATGCTTTATCTTGTCCAGCGCGGCTGACCAACTACTGCTTCAGCCAAACCTACGGAGTCGCGATCTACTGCTGCCCGTGAGCTAGTTAAAAATGAACCTGCAACCATCGAATCACGAGCTTCCGAGAACGAGTCCGCAGCTCGGCCGAATACCTCGGCCACTAGCAAACGCGAAGAGGATCGGCCCACGGAGGTTATCGAGTCGCAACCCACAAAGACGCCTTCGACCGCCACGGCGACAGCAGCAGCGACGACAACGACAACGACGACAACGACAACGACAGCAACCACAACAAACAAGGGCCGGAGTTCCAAGACCTCCACTCCTCTCCTTTCCACGATTGCCGAGCCTACTTCATCTCGCTCAAGACCCAGCCGAGGACAGGATTCAGCGCCTAAGCGCACGGCCAAGAAACCTCCAGTGCAGCCCGTCATTCCATCTGACGACGAATCCTTGCAGGAGGGAGATGACGAAGACGAAGAACAAGAGCCAAGATACTGCTACTGCAACGAGGTTAGCTTTGGCGAAATGGTGGCCTGTGACAACGATAATTGTCCACGGGAGTGGTTCCACTTGTCATGTGTTGGAATGACCAAACCCCCTGGAAAGAATGGTCAGTTCTCTCTCACCCAGAAATTCTCTTCCTCGTGTTCTCTGCGCGAGACTTGCCCCTTCTCGATGATACAAAGACTAACGCTCCTCCAGTTAAATGGTATTGCACTGAGTGTAAAGAGAACATGCGACGAAGCCGCAACGGGCGATGAATTCGGCTGTTCTCTTGTAGCTAGAGAGTTGCTATAACGTGGGGACACTTGAGAGCTCCAGATTCTGAATTCAGATATCTAGTCTGTGTTGCTCAGGTCTGGTGCGAAACTACTAGTACCTGAATCCATCATTGGACGTCTAATGACCAGAATTTTCTTGGCCCACGCTTGGCTGTTGGCACTAGTAAGACGTAGTTGCTGGGCCTAACACGGAAGGTATCATGATCAAAGCCTGGCTTTGGTCTTTAGTGTTGTCTCTCATAGGGTCCGTTGAGTATGATGTGAATCAGTCTTATCTTGACAATCATCCCAATAGCGATGTAAACACATCAAAGGAGCCCTTCCATTCCTAACACAGAGTGTCGCTAAGGAAAGCGGGAACAACAATTGCCAATTCCCACATCTCGAACCCCGAGATATCCTTCTCCGCCTTGCTCTTTTTTCTCTTGCTCCCTTGTTCTTTGTTTTGTTTTGTTTTTCTTGCGATCTTCTCTCCACGATGAATTTCAATCAAAACATCCGCTCTCTCCATGAAGTCGTAACCACCCCATACCATCTACGCTCTCCTCCTCCGATCCCCACCAAGATTATCCATCCCGGACGCCGACGCAGCAACCTCCCCCTCCAACCTCCTCCTCATATCCTCAAACCGCTCCGTCTCGCCACCTCCGCCTGCACGGACCCCCCTCCCACTCCCATCAGCTTCACCCCGAACGCGACGCTCCCTTTCTCCCACGATCCACGCAGGAACCCGGAAGCCATGCGTCGCCGGCGAAAGGCCGGGCAGAAGTTCCGCGCGCCAGGCCATTCCAATAAACCAGCCGATTGCGGAGGGGAGGAGCATGTGCGGGAACTGGGAGAGCGCGAGCTGTGCTGCGACGAGGTACGTGGTTGTTTTGTCGGAGAGGAGGATTGTTAGACTTGGGGACGGGGGTTTAGAGCTTGGTGTGTTGGTGCTGGTGCTGGTGCTGGTGCTGGTATTTGCGCTTGGTGGTTGGGTTGTTGTGGAGGTTGAGTCGGGTGATGAAGAGGAAGAGGTGCTGGTACCGATGCGAATGCGAAAAGTATGCGGAACGGTAGCGTAGTACTGTGCGAGCAAGGCGAAGATCATTGCCGTTGGCCCCGAGGGAAGATAGTTGAGCGCGTTGAGAGAGAGAGGACGCACGAATAGCGCCAGAAGAATGGGCGGAAGGAGTGTTGTATACGGTAATGTTGTCAAAAGAAAGGTCTAAGAACACGAGAGAAAGGCATCAAAAAATCGGGTTCCATTCCAACAGTCGGGAAGAGAGACAAGCATCCTCCTCTGAGCCACACAAAATGCGCCCTGCGAAACTTACCGCCATTTTCCTCTTCCCCCAAGCCCGCTCAATCACTCTAAGATGATACACTAGCATTGCCGCAAACAAAGCCTCCGTGGAGTTCGTAAACCCCGCCACATGCCAGGTCAGAGCGCGCCAGAATTGCGCATAGGGCCAAAAGTGCGGCGATACATGAATCGGCGCAAGGTATTTGATATCGAATATGGAGAGGGCAATTGACGAGCCGATGGTGTAGATGAGGAGACCTTTGGTAATTGGGGTGTTCGTGAACCCGGATGTGAGCATCGTGGATGGCGCGCCCCGCGGGTTGACAAATTGTCGGGGTTATTTGGTTGTGTAAGCTTGCGATGAGAGTGGGGAGGGGGAGTGTGTCGTGTTTCGATGAGGAGGGATGTTCGGATAAAACAAGTACGAGGGTGTCGTTCAGAGTATGACTTTTAGGGTTGGGGAATCCGATTGGAGTGAGATTGGACTGCTCAGTGGTTTGTGGAAAGGAAAGGAAATGTGCAGCAAAGTAAGTGCTTAGGAAAGGTGGAAGCTCTCTACACTCTGGAGTGGATAAGCTCGAGGCCAGATTGGCATCGGAACCCGGAAAATCCGGGGTACCTCGGCATGCCGATCAGGCAGTTTGGTGACTAGCTCTGCGAGATATTCTCCATGAAAGTACTAGTATCCTGCTCCACGTGGCTGACAAACAAGACACAGCAGGCTGTTGGATACGTTGACAATGCTGGCCCACTTACACCCGATTCAATGGAAACATATAGACGCTTACAGCCAGCACGCAATTATTATATTGTACAAAGCGGGGAGCCTCAACTACAGAACGAACATGTCTTCGTCCATCGACGCGAATTGCGGTCTTGATGAAAGATCCAGGGTCATCTCAAGGGCGATATTCGTGAGGGAGAATGTTTCTAATTAGCTGGCGTACTTGCTTCTCGAGCTACTTCCGCCTTTTCCGCTTCCAGGGCGCTTCTGTATCGATTCAGTGCAACCTCCAAGGCTCGAATAGTTGGACCCAGCAGCTGATGCACCACTTTCTCGCCACCTTCAATGTCGTCCAAATTTAATCGAGGCTTGCGCTTAGTCTTTTCGTAGTATTCGCGCGCCGCATGTTTTCTTCGATCCACCTCCACCTGCCGCTCAGCTTCGGCGTCATTGGCAACGGCTTTAATGCGCTCCATGGCGCGACTTAGAGACTCAGAAAGCGACTGTACTTCACCCGCACGCTCGGGGTTGCCAGAAAGAAAAGCGTGCCAGAATTGGTGAAGGAACTCGGTTGACGTCGCATGAGTCAAGGTCAACCGGTCGTAAAGACCAGGCGATAGACCAAAGGTGTCGGAAGCAGCTTTTTCATTCGTCTGCTCTCGCTGCTCGCGAACAGCGCCCAGAATTTGAGCAAATGCGTCATGGAGGGCGGCGGACGAACCAACGGGTCGCTGACTGGCCGGTGCGTCCTCCATCTCCTCGTCTTCATCATCGCCTGGGTCAACCAGCTTCTGAAGTGGAGCATCGCCTCCGAGGGGTAAGTTCTGTGCAATATCAGATCGAAGTGTTTTGAGCACCTGCTCCGGATCCCGCTTGGCGAAAGCGCGAGCTTGCTCGTCCTCCTGGGTCTGGGAGAAAAATCGATTTTGATCGCGAATATTCAGAGTGACACGAGTCTGCTCTTCATCGCCCTGCAAATCCCGAAGTTGCATGCTCTGCCAGGTCTCCTCATCTATGCCAATCGGCGCGGTCACATCTCCATCGGCCGGGGCAACATTGGACATGATCTTCTCGCTCAAGCTATTCAAAGTCCGAATGATGGGTACCTTGTCGGCACCCGAGGGCCGCATATCCATGTCCGGCCTGTTACCCTGGCGTTGACTATGGTGGACTTCATTTCCAGCCAAGTCCATAAAGTGTGGCACGTAAGCGTTGCGAGCAGAAGCCGTATTTTCTTCCCGAAGATACTTATCCAAGATCGCATCTGTCGCATCTGTCTCAGAGATACGCTCCCCACGCAGCTTCTTGAACAGTCGACTTTGGAAGAACCGGGACCAGAACTGCTGCTCGCTTAGTTTCGGAACATTCTCGTCGTACACTCGCTTGACGAGCGGGTGTTGTGAGAAGATCAGCGAGATCTGCTCCTTGCTGATATTCAATCGGGTCACGTTCTCTTCGACGCGAGGCTTGAGGGATGAAAGCACGTTGTAAGAGCCGCGAGTCTGTGCGCGCTCAATCGCATGCGCTCGTAGAAGATGTAGTCGCGTCGACCAGAATTGTGACATGAACTGGGCAGAGGTCAAGCTGTCGGGCTTGGTCTGAATAGATTCCATGAACATTCGCTGCAGTGACGGGTCAGCCTTTAGCAAAGACTGTTGCAATTCGACATCCCCCTTCAGCTTGTTATCATCATCCCACGGGTTCTTCGATGAACTCGCCGAGGAGACGGCATTGGCAATCGCCATGGCAGCGGATAAGCCTCCGGCACCAACAGCACCCGGGACAGGTGTTTGTGCTGGGGTGGTCGCTTTTCCTGCACTCATTCTTGCGCTCAATGCGTTCTTGATGGCGTCGGCCTGAGTGCGCGCTAGGTCTGGGCCGGCCGTGAACAGAAATACATATTGGTCCGGCTCACTGGCAGGCGGTGCATTCGGAGCAAGGGCAAAGATCTTGAGCATCACTTTAGGATTTGTGGCCGGGGTTTGTTTTAAGTCTGGAGCAGGTTGCGCGATTAGTCGCATGATCGTTGCCTCCCGAGAGATTAAAGCAAAATCACAAGGGAGCTTTCAAACATACTGGTAATTCCAGAGACAGAAATATTGACACCCGGCTGCCCTGCAGCTGCCGGGGTCCATGTGAGCGTCTGTTCATCTTGCGAAAGAGCGAGAGTGCCATCCTTCTTCTTGTACGATGCAGCTCCACTCGGTGAGGCCATCCTCGCGAGTCTCTACAGCTTCCACTGTCCTGAGCAGTGCAACAATGAAACCACCCATCGAGATCAAAGACGAGTCTCGAGAGTAAGGCTCCAGTGAAGCAGGTGAGAAGGCCTCGTGTTTAAGAGGGTCAGGACTGGGAACAGAGCATGAAATTACCGTTCAGAGCCGCAGTGCTTGAATCTAATCATCACGTGATGACATCATCGGCCCTTATCGAAGGTTAGGTAGTCGGCAGCGGTACTGTGGAATGTAGATGCCCCGTTGTCGTAGTGGTACTAGTTACTCGAAAGTAAAAGACTTTGTCAATACAAGTAAGAAACTACGCGATTTCAGCTTATATTTGACAAGGGCAATTAATGATGCGATCAATGAATATCAGGTTCAAATAGGGTTACAACAACATTCCGTTGTTCTACAAGAAGCGAATATTAGGATTTCAAGAATTTTCATTGAGTAGAGTGATGCACAGAACGCCTGTAATAGTATATGACATGTGACAAATTGGGAGCCACGATGAGCAACAGCAGGATGAACCAGCGCTGAAGTTGTCTCTGATGCTTTACAATTCCCTGGAAGAAAACAACGCAGATGAAGAGCAACAATCCACGTACGAAACCAAGAGCTAGAATGCTGAATTTTGAAAGCCATGTTGCGCGCCGCCATGCATGGAACTCCATGGATATCGTCATTCAAGTCGTCAAAAAGCAAGCAAAGAAAATGCCATCCCTCTGGAAGAAAACACAGGAAAACCGACCAAGCATGCAATGATCGAAGAGCTGAAGATTGATCAAGAGAAAAGAAAAAAGAGGAGCAGAAATCAGCAAGGGTATTGATGCCGCAAACAAACCAAAAAGGGGGGAAAAAAACGTGGAAGACGCGGTGAAAAATGAGAATCAGTAATAGTTCTTCGCTCCGGCCCAACACGGAAAGCAAAGGTAGAGAAGCTGAACGGCAGTCTCCAGAACATGTCATTTTTTGAACATGTAGTGGCCATAGAGTCCACCCACGTCACCGACGGCCATGGGAATCTTGCGCATACCCCACCAGCGAGCGCCCATTTTCCAGGAGCGCGAACCATCATCGACGGGTTCACTGGGAAGGGATGCCGGGTCACGAACGTACCACCCGCGGCGGCCAAGGTCACGGACAGTCCAGCCAACCGAGACACGCTGTGTCTTGGCTCGTTCACGCAACGGGGTAATGATTTTGTCACTGAACTCAATCACCTGCAAAGGGTAGCTGTGCTCCGAGAGCAACATACACGTGCTGGTGTTGAAGATGGTGGCGATGGTCATCTGTGGCACCTTTGCGAGGTCGAGGTAGCAGAGTGTGCTGGGACCAACACCATTCGCGGCTTGATTATCCGAGGACCGGGAGAAGAATGAGTTGACATCCTTGACAGATAGATCCGCAGAGCTGAGACCCAGTTCTTCCAGGTGAGCAGTCAAGGGAACCAGAAGCGGGACATGCTCCGAAGTGATCTTGGCACCTCCAAGGTTCAAGGAGCGAAGAGAGGAGGGCAATTTCGGCAACAGTGCGGTGACATCGTCCTCCTCCAGCAAGCGGAAGCGGGTTGGGTCATTCAGGAGGTTTAAGTAAGCCAAAGAATCACAGACGGCGGGATGAGTGGTCAAGAATTCGACCAAAGCAGAGCTCCGCAAGCGGGTGCAACGCGAGAGGCCTAAATGGGTGATGCGAGCCGTTTCAGGAATCGAAAAAAGAGCCGAATCGTTAACCTGCGTGTGGGTCAGATCCAGATGGGTTAAGTTCGTCAATCTCGGCAAAAGGAGGTCGAACATTGGCGCTTGGATCGTGCTGCATTCGTGGAGGGAGAGTCGCATAAGATGAGGCATGCTCAGGGGCAGAGCAGGGCCCCCGGTCAGAGCTTCGGTGAAGACCTGAGAGAAGGACTGTGTGGAACAGCCGCACAGGTCAACTGCCCGGAGGTTGGGGAGGCCCATGAACAACTTGCGCACCACATCCACGCTCAGATCCCCCTCGAGGTGTTCCTGCAGCAGACATTCCTTCAGGTTAGGCAGCAGATCCAGGCACTTGAGCAAGGTGCGCGAAGTCAGATTCTGAATCTCGGCATTCATCTGCTTGGTGCGCCCCAGGCCGACGGAGGTGAAGTGCGAGAAATCGAGTCGGCGCACCAGTGTGCCGAGAGCCGGGTAGGCCGACATGTGATTGAGAGCTTTGGAGAAGATAACTGAATGAGGGAAGGTCATGTTCCGATACAACACGCTGAGAGTCGCCGCGTGCAATGTGCGCGATGTGAGCAAGCACGATACAAGATCCACATTGCGAGGTGTGTAGCCATTGGGTGGGAGATCGATGGCCAAGTAGGAGATGCATTGGTCTATGGGCAGGGATTAGCATACAGGCACTGGGAAGGGATACTTTTGTCTGATACACAGGGCTCGTTGGGCGCGGTGACTTACCGAGAAGCTCTGGTGGTAGTCTCTCCAGCGGCGAAGAGCCCGGCTGTTGCTCTTCCTGCACTGGCTCTACCACCGCCTGCACCTCCGGGACCTTGGGTACGCCTAGCTTTGGAGCATGGTCATGCGACTCCCACGCCCAACCTTTCGACTGCATGCCTCCCAGACTGCGAAGGTCGCCATAGCTGCGGCTCAGACTCTTTCCACCAAGCCGGATCTGTTTCCAGCCCAGAAATCCACCGCACGGGCAGCAGAAGTCGGGGGTTTGCTGCATTTCCTGCGCAGTCGGCCTAGGAGACTCCTTTGGGGAAGACACGTGCTGAGTATCGACAAATGACTGCGCAATGCCTGGAAACCGACAAAAGATATGTAAGCGAGCATTCACACGCGATTGGGATACAGAGAGCGATTCGCCACCACCGATCATCGCGCAGACCACGACAATCAACAACATACCGTCAACGTCTTCCTTGATCGAGCCAAAAGATGGGCGCCGGCGGCTGCTCGACCTAGATCCGTCCGGGGTATCGCAAGGCGAAGGAGACGAATCGCGCGAGAGAGTATCGGCGAACGACGAGTTCGACAAGCGGGTGTTGATCTGCTTGATGTGCAGAGGAGCCACCGAGGGAGCGGAAACAGAAGCCATCGTGAAAGAAAGTCCAAGGGGGAAAAAAGAGAGCGGGTCCTGGAAGAAGAGGTCCCAACCGGGGGGGGGGCGGCAGCGTGGACAAGTCGGTACAGGACGTGAAGTCGAGTGGGAACACAAAGGCCCCCCAACAGGAAGGGTCAAAAAAATAGAGTAATTTTCCTTTCTAGAATCGCAGAGAACGTGCGAAGAGTGAGGGAGTAAAATGTCACAGCTTCCCCGGATTTCAAGCGGAAAAGAGTTTTCGGTCAAGCGACACCAGGGCAGAGCGGCGCACGGCGGTACTGTAGTCCAGTTGGAGAGAATGGAAGGTTGACTAGAGGAGGATCGCGACGGCTTAGGGCTATAGTTTTGGCGTAGTTCGATGGGAGGGGCGGCGGGGAAAAAGAAAAAAAAAAGGCAAAGTTCTTAGTCACAGAAAAGCCCGTGCCGGCGTTCCACACGCCCAGTGAGGGAGGCCGTCGCGGTTGAGTGGACACAACGCCTAGAAAAACGGGGATTTGCGACTGTAGGAAGTGTCGGACCACGAGGAGTGCCGACTCACCGAGGACTTCTGGAAATCTGTGTGTGAGAGAGTCCTGCTGGTCCTGACTCGTGGCGATGTCGGTGAGGTCAGTGTTGAGGGTGATGGTGTACTGACGGTCGTGGTCAGCGGGTTCGACGAAAGACGTTTCACTGAATGAAGGAATCGGCCAAGCGATACGATGACTGCTTCCAAGGTCCCGAATTTGCAGAGGCGAAAATGCGAACAATTATCTCAAGTCGGTGGCAGTTGAAGGAGGTCAAGATGTCTGGGTGACTGGAGGCGACGACTCACCTTGGAACGGCGAAGGTGAAAAGAGAGCGAAAAAAGAGAAATAGAAAATCCCAAAAATCTGGGTATGGGCCGCAGCCCAAAGAGGAAACCCACTCTAAATGGCATTTTTGGAGATGCAGAATTTACGGAGTCGTTCGCGTTAGTGTGGCGGTGATGGAATCTTGACTTCAATGACAGTATAAACATGCCGAACGTAAATGAGATGACCGCCAGTTCCTATGGACTACACTGTTCAGTGTATGTACTTAGGTATAGGGAGAACGCATGGGCTTTCCATCATATCGACAACAAGAATTCAAGAGCCACTGGACTCTGGCCACTACGGCATCTCAAGTCACTGCCGGGTAAGTCTGGGCGACGTCGACTGAATCTGGACTCTGGACCAACAAGTATCTATCCATGAAGCGGCATTCTCTCTGATATTCAGCAGATGCAGCATATTCGAATTGACGCTGGAGGCTCCGTCAAGATAAATGAGCCTCAGGTTGGAGGTTGGCTCAATTGCTCGCATCCACTGACGAAGACCTTGCGTCGCCGACCGTCCGATCATGATTGTAAAATCACAATCATTCTTCTCAGGGGAATCACGTTCAACTCGAACAATCACTTCCGTGTAAATTACAATCTGATCATGTACTCCGCTCCTCCTAGATCGTCTTCTTCCCAAAATGGTAATCAGATCGGACCTTTTATTTTGGGCACCATTTTTGACTTTGAATTATGCAAGCGGCCAGCGCATGGCGTCACCTGGGGTTGCGACCACAATACTCGAAAGCAGGGGTTCCGTCGATCAGCCTCAGTCTGAGAGACGTGAGCTTGTTCCAGCGTTGGAAGGGCTAACATGAAGCGCGATGTGAAAACGAAAGAAAACGCGACCAGAGCATCACGAATTTCTCTTCATCATCACACACCCTTTCGAATCTGGCCCTGGGGGGGGGGGCTTTGACCCTTGGAAAAAGAAAGATGAGTTCTTCATCTCCGACCGGACGACCCCGATTCCCAGAGGGACCCGTTCCCGCTTCGGGATTTTTATGACATAATTAGAATAGCTGCCGTCGAAGGAGCCCCCGATTAGGCAATGCACAATAAGAAGTGCGTGCTTCAGCGTCTTCGCGCAAGCGACTCGCTGATATGGATACAAGCATAGACACGTGAATTGACAGTGCCGATCTGACCATTTCCACTTTCAATAATCGACTGGCTAGTAGCTAGTAGCTACTGACCCAGCGCACTGAGCGGAAGTACAAAGGAGTTTTGAGTATGACTAGCGAACCATCGACGGGGTCAGTGATCCCCGTGACTAACCATCGCCCTCTACCGTTCTGGGTTTAGGCCAGCAGTAGCCAGTGGGCTAGCCCTCTTTTGGTTAACATGACTGCCAGCTCACCCCGGGACTTGGTTGCGTTCGTAGTATTGATTATTATGACCACCGTTAAGGTCTCGGACAACGAGGTCCTTCAATAGGCCAACTGGTCACTAGGCTCACTACATTGACTACTGACTACACTACTACAGTAGTGTTAGGGGGGGGGCAGTCAACAATACCTGTAACAGACTCAGTCGTTGATCGCCCGGTGTTGTAGACAGTAGACAGTAGACTAGACACTAAAACAGTTGGGTAGTACCCTAGTATGTCTTCCAGCTCCATGATCCATACGACACACAGATTCTGAACCTTCAAGGCAGGCAACGCACCCTTGATCCCGAAAGAGACATCTTCTTGGCACGCAGTGGCTGGGGATATATTAATTTGTGCACTTCTGTACTCACTCCTTAGTACTACAGTAGTAAATGTACTACTGTCGTAATAGATTGTCGAAAAGATTTTGTTTTTCTTTTACCCCAGACCGCAAAAGTGCAGTCCAAGTTCTTGTTGGGTAATCACATCGAGGGGCTGCCTGCAGGTGCCATTCGCTCACGCGGCCGATCATGCGGGGGAGCGGGCGATCCATTACCTAACAGCAATCACCTGACTCGGTCTCATGACCTGTCGACTCTGGAGTGTCTTTGACAAGCTTCCCCATATTTTGGTGGGACAGCCCATCGAGGATGGTGGCATTTCATGGGCGACGTGAGAATCGACCAGAATTGACTTTCAACTGCCCCCGAGTCAGTTGATCCAGCTTCCACATTATGACTAGCCACGATGTGTGGAAGTACCGGACAAGCCTCGAGGTCCCGGGACCGCGAAACCTGCTCGTGAATAAACAACCTGCATTGGATTCGAGCTGACCTCTCCACGCCCGCGCACCCTCGTCGACGGAGACGTCCATTGACGACGGACATGCCACACTGGTTGCTCACTGCAACTGTGTCACTGACTAGCGGTTAGTGGTTCCTGCCAAACCCTTTTTTCTTTGTCATGAGTCTTTGAGTGGGTCGAGTACTGCCTGCATGGGTCGAGGAAATTGACCCGTGTCTCCTTGATGGCCCCAATATGGACATTCGCATCTCGGCGAGACGACTACGGAACAGGTATACGAGGTACATTGCTATGTAGTTTCTGCAGGAGAAGGCGGATGCGACTGAGGCGCAACTCCTCGTTTCATGTTGCAGGAGATCAATCCCACTCGACAACGATGTCCTGGTGACGAGCTGGTCCCCGATGAAAAGGGAATGAGTCCCGATGCGAACAGCGATGTGGTCTCGGCTCTGTAGTTCAGGATGCAGCATGCAAGTTGAGATTTGGTTCTCCGTGTCCCGCAGTACTGCCGGCGTATGTGCAACAGTCCCGTGCCGACAGCATTTGGCAAAGGCTTGGTTTCTCCCTGGACCTCCGACTCTAAGCGAAGGACGATCGTTCGCGAGCGGAGAACACCGAAAGGTTGAAGGCCGCTCTTCGCTTACTCCCTGGTGAGGCTGGGAACCGGAAGGCTGGGATCGCGAGGCTCACCTACCGTATCCACCGTAGAGTACACCGTACAGTCACGCCTCATCAATACTTGGAAGGGGAAGCTTCTCGGCACTCTGCACTTTCTGCACGACGAGGAATTGAAGCATGTGGCGGCATGTCCAGACTTTCCGCTCAGCGTAGATATGTACTGTACAATTCCCAAAGCTTGGCATTCCTTTGTCCGCCAGGATGGGAAGGCATCGTGTCCATCCCTTCGGTCAATCACCTGCACGATGATCGACGACCAGAACTCGCGGGAGGTGCACCACTTGCAAAAAGCGGTGGAATGGCGGTGGAATTGCCAAGATAGGGCGGGTTGTTCATGAGCTCTTGGGGTACTTTCCTCCTTGCATGTGATATTGTACAAGACTTGGTCCAGTGCGATCGTCTCGTCTCATCACATGATCAGTCCAATTGGAATTTGGGGCATGGTCAGTCAAGCAGGTGGCGCTAGACAGTACGTCTGCAGCTCTCAGGATCAACCGTCACTCTCGCGGTGTCAATCCAAGGAACGGTCCCGGACCACTCGGCCGTAAGAGTTGCGAGGAAGAACCCGGTAAGCAGGCCTACTGGCAAAGCTCAAAGTGTCCTTCGACATGTTGATCTGGTCTACGCCGGAACTTTGACTCTTCCTTTCTCGCCTTGGGAGTTACAAGCTATTGATGTTGAGGGTTCTTCATGCTGCATGGAAAACTTGCGAACAAGCCTGCCTCACGACCTATACTACAGTCCAAGCTCACTTCCCCCACGGAACTTCCCATACCGAGCCTGTCAGAGAAACCGAAATGTCACGGTCTGCTACGAGCCAACAACGACACAAGCATGTGCAATGCACCGTAGCTGAGAGTCCTGTGTCAAGCCAGGTCTTCCGGAGGATCAAAACGTCATTGTACAAGTGTACCGTCATCCCGCTTGTTTGCTGATTGCTCTGAAGGGTGGCGTCCTCGCGACGTGAAATCCTTTGCCTCGAACGATGTAAGCCCCTTGATGAGCGCACCACTGCTACTCTCGGCGAGAAGCAAAGACTGGAGGCCAGGGTCTCCGCTCGGGGTATCATGCCAAGGACTCGATGGAAAGAGGAAAATCTTCAGACACGGGCATGCAGTCCTGCATCACGGATGTACAGTGTCTGTCTCAAGCTGGGACGTGTAGGCGCGCTGGGCTGAAGCGGGACCCTAGGTCTCGGCCCTTAGACAGGTGATTGATTGCCCAAGATGGGATCCTGATGGACTAGATGGATTTACCTAGCGTACATGTGCGAGGTCTGCATCTCTCTGTGTCCTGGTGCCGACCTGGATGCGGATACAGATCCCGAAGTCGCGGGCGTTGACGTGGATATTCACGAAAAAGCGTGTTAGCACATGGAAACCACAAGTGGTGGTCCGTAAGGATCAGTGGATGGGTATTGGCGATCGGTTAGCCTTACGCAATGGAAGAACCCAAGGTCTCACAGACCATTTTTATATTCTCGCCCTGCGCTCAAGAGAAGATAGCCGTTGCCCTTCTCGACATCAGTGTAATTGATCAACGCCAATTGGAGTTGAGGAGTTGAGAATTCGAGAATTCCATCTCAAATCAACTAGAAGAAAGTTATCTACCTAGATAATAGGTGGTGAGGAGTATTCCTTTCATTACGATATAGAGAATGCCAAACAGTAAAGAGGAGAGTGTCGGGGGGACAATGTACGCATACTCACCACATTGAGCTTTATGCCAAGGCGCAAAAGAGAAACTGGGCACATACGTCAAAAGACAGACGTCTGCAAGTGGCTCATTGGAAGCGAGTCGATGAATTCCGCAGACGGACAGAAAATATGCGCATTCTGAGGAGTATGTCAGCTTTTGTCGCTCATTGATGAGTATCACGGGCTTTTTCCAGAAGATCGTAGCCCTCCAGTCTTCTGGAAAGACGTCCACTGCTTCCTCACGTCGGCAATGTCTCCTCCCGCTGAGAACTCAGATCTAGTCAAAGCTGAGCCTTGGATGAGTCGGTTTTTTTCATTCTATGCCCTACTTGATACCTGGAGATGATGATGCCAAGAACCATTTAATGGTATTGAATACCTTATACCTCAAATCGACAACGATCAAGTTCTTCCATGGAAAAATCACAGGATCGTAAATTTCAACTGCCATCCAAAGCCTTATCCGGCGGATCGATCACATCATATAAGACCCGCATCACCCATAGTCGAGTTCTTCCTATCATGCCATGAGATCCAAATCAAACATTCCAAGAATTCTAGATTCCCTTTCCGCCGTTCTGGAGAGACCTTCATGACTCGCAACAGCCCGAGACATGCCCCGTACTTTGCACTCCCCTTTTCTCCCAAAAACATGGACTTGAGTCATGATCGGACGTCTGGAATCTCCACACATAACACCCGGACCACTGAAGTTGTCCAAAAGATATTCCCCAGACATTGATGCTCGCGCGGAAGCCCAGATCCCGGACCCCTTCGGCAACATGCAGCACTGGAGATGGGAGGGTTGGAAGACGTACCCGGATACCAGCACCATGTCCCTGGGATTGAGTCAAGCATCGTGCAAACAAAGATAGACACAGACTGAAGGCAGAAGGAGGGTATGGAACACATTTTGGAAATCGGAATGCGTGTCTCGTAAAATGAGACAATTGAGAAGTTTCGGGAACTCTTCTCCATTTGATCTGAACGTTGAATCCTAGTATGATGGACGGCATGTCCGAGATATTGAGAAGTAAATTTTTGATATCAGGTATTACCTAGGTCCAACCGAGGAGCAGAAAATCTAAGAACTACACTGCTAGGTAGCTAGTTCTTTGGGAATGGGAAGCAGACCTCGTGGATCGTGATTGACGAGCCACAAATTTTGTCCTCCATCATGGCGATGTTGGTGTCACCTTTGGCAGAAAAGTTTTTTTTGACGAGTTGCCTAATAGCGAAGACACAAGAGTAGGATATTCGACTAAGATGCACTTTTAGGGCCAAGAAACCCCACGGTGTTTGAGCGTCAGGTGTGTTTCAAGACTCACTGTTCATAGGTAATTCTCGCAAAGGGGAGAGGCCGGAGAGCTATGAGTATGTCAGGAATGACTGATTCAAGATAGATTGAAGTCGAAGTATGAAGCGGAGATCCCCCATGATGGTGAGTATTCATCAACATCAATCATGAACGAATGACGAGAAGAATTGTGGGAGGCTCCAAGAGGGAAGAAGGAATCGGAATGAAGGTGTTGGTCAATTGCAATAAGGTGCTGCCTCCAGCTTCGAGTCTAGAATATGCATGAAAAACTACCTATTCAAAACGCAGGGGAAACATTCAAGCCAAATTCGTAACCATGGTCTAATTTAACGCCTGTGGAATCAAAAAAAAAAAAAACTCAAGCCGAATCTATCCCCTCCACATTGAGATCTCGAGAAATGATGACAGATGCCCGTGCAGTAATCATACAGAATACACATCTTCGAAATTAAAGGAACAATCCCTCGTGGGAATGGCTCCTCATGGGAATGGCTCCTCATGGAAATCACGACTCCCCGCAATATCTTTCATCTATTCAACGGCCGAATCGTCATCACCACTAAGGATAGGGTTCACCTTGGGGTTCCACTTCAGCTTGAACTCTTGGCCGAGCTCTCTTCGAACCGCGGCCTTGACAGCCTCCAAGACGTTGTCGAACACACCAAAGCTAGCAGGGTTGTTCTTGTCGTTCTCGCCGTCTTTGCCCTGAAACACACCCGTACGCACCAGGCACGTGTTCCAGCCGTACATGTTGCCTCCCACAATGTCAGACTGGGGGTTATCGCCAATCATGTAAATGTTTTGAGGCAGCTTGTTCTCATTGTGGATTTGCTCCATCCACGACCGCAGCACTTCATCAGCGTAGGTGTAGGTCGCGCGCTCGGGCTTGCCGTAGACAACGCGCTCCAGTTCAACGCCTGTGAGGGCCTTGTATTGGGCTTCGATGGCAATGCGAAAGGCGCCCTGGGTCAATCGGGGAGGGCCCTTGTGCTCGGTTGGGAAGACCAAGTCACCCTGGGAGAAGTAGATGGGGATCCGGCTGGAGACGGGATCCTGGGCGCGAGTGAGGAGCTTGCCGTCTTCTGCGAGCAGCAGGTCGAGAATCAATTGCATGTCGGTGGCGTAGTCGCGCGAGTCTGCAAAGACCAGGATCGCGTCGAACTTGATCTGGGAAAAGTCCTGCGGCTTTGTCATGGCGCGGTCTGCGTCAGAGAACACTCGCCACGGTGAAGCGCTCGGGTCCCAGGCGAGGATATCCTTGGGATGGACGGGGTTCTTGAAACCATAGGTTTGAGCTACTTCACGGGCCTGTACACCTTCACCGCCGCAGACCAGTACCGTCTCATAGTACTCTGCAAGGGCCTGCATGGGAGTGTGCGACTGGATAAACTGATCCGTCGAGATGGGCACTTCCAGGATCTCCGACAGTTGCTCACAACGGGCAACCTCGGGCTTTCCGCCGCCGTTGGTGAGTAAAATGTAAGGGATCTTGATCCCGAGCTCATTGTCACCATTGAGCATCTTCAGGGCCTCCTTGGCTGGTTCAATGGGCTCATTGCCGTGTGCCAGCACACCGTCAATGTCAAAGACAAACGCCATGTTCTTGGCATTCGCCACTTTCTCCTTGGCCATATCCTGCACCTGGGAGGCCAGGATATCCCGCGATACGGCCGGGGCAGCCCGCTGCAATGAGGCCCGGGATCGACGGGGCGAGCGCGGAATGGGCAGTGAGGTCCCGAAGGAGTTTCGCGAGCCTCGCCGCGCCTTCGTTGAAGGCGAGAGACTCAAATTGTGCATCAGGGAGCCCGCATCACCCATGGAGCTGCGCGAGGCTGGGATACTGATGGTGTTGTCTGCATGACTGGGAATTGGCAGGGCAGCAGCCCGGGGGGACAAGCCAGAATGACTCGCCAAGGGAACATCCGGAGCTACTAGCTCTGCGGTGGACTCCTCTTCATCGTAGTGAGGCATAGTGAAGGACCTAGGCTTGCTGGAAAAAGATGAGTGGAAAGGAGGTCGGGAGTAGTAGTGTTGGAAGGCAAATGTGGAGTGACTATGGATAATTCCGTCAAATACAAAGATGTGGACAATTGAGACTTCAATCTATTGCCCAATTGCGGGTTTGGAAACAAAAGACCTGTAACAAGTTGGAGAAGCCGATTGTTGAAGACGGGGAAAAGGTGATAGGCGTGCTCAGGGCTCGTGGCTTTTTAAGTATCTTGGAATCCGGATATTTCCTGAAAGGTGTACCTCTGTCAGGTCGATAAGGAAAGCGAATAGTGTCTGATACTGATCTCTAACTGCCAGAAGAGAGGTCTCATCGCATCTCGGAACGGGGTTAAATAATTCAAAATTGAAAAAGTCATCAAAAAAAAAAAAAAAAAAACAAGAAATAAGGCTCAAAAAGAAAATAGGTCGGGTGTGGCTCATCCATTGAGGTACGGGAACGGACTCCACCGGGATCGGATCTCTCCTGGGAGAATATCGGCCTCACTTGGCAGCGAGCCCGTCGGGACCTTCAATGAGAGATGCGTATTTCTACACATGGAGAGATGTCTCTGCGAGGCGAAACCGTATCAGCCATCATTTACCCAGTACGAACCAGTAGTGTCCATCGTTTGTACGCGGGGGTTTACATCTACGAGAAGGGAACGGCCCGGACAAGCTTGTCGGAATGAAGCAAGGAGGCTCGGGATTTCTCCCGAGCCCCTGCGTCAGCAATCGTTCTACGTTACTACCACCAACTTAGTAGGTCCCTCGCAAGTGTACTTTGACCTGACCTCTTCCCCGGATAGGCCGTCTGGGTGAGTTGTTAACTTGTTACCACTCAGTCCACTCCGGTTTGCTCCTGTCATATATAAACTCAGTGCTACCGACTGGTATCTGGCAAATGTGTTGCAAGTTAGGTCTCAAACAAGTCGTCACTTCTTCGGAGACACAGAGAAGAGTCGGTTGGACAGTACTTCAGTCAGAGTGTCCAGGGTAGACGCACCCCCGACATTCTGCGCTAGACTGACTGACTTCGGCAGCCACCAAACCCTGTGCAAACCACCAAGTGGGTCCCGACTCGGATGGAGCTGAGCTCAGACCCACCTGAGAGCAGCCGATTGGGTGCCTGAACACTTCTCCCGTGGAACCGTTGGTGAGTCCATTGCGCCAATGACTGAATCTGCAGTGGAATTTTCCACAGATTCTCGCTTTTTTCTTTTTTCTTTTTTTTTTTCTTTCCAGTCCTGCCCATTTTGGGCTTTGCACGATTTCCATTCTGTTGGACTTGGAAGGCATTCTCAGGAGCGGATGGACAAATCACGAGGGTGATGTCATGGGTATGTGATCCTCCAGGGACCGTGGACTCGGCTGCACCACCATATCGTAGGACGTAGGACCACATAGTAAACATACTGAGTCCTGTGCTGTCTCATGAAATCATCTTGTCCAACCTTCTAGAAGTGCTTGCCTTCCCACCATGATCTGTGGTTGTCTGAGAATCTTGAGCATTGAGAGACCAGTGAGTCGGGACCCCGACGGGATGACGGTGGACTCTATTCATGAAAGATCATCCTGTCTATAGAGCAGCCAAGCCAATGCTTCACCCCTACCTTGACGGAGTCTTCACTTGCACGAGGGCTGTTTATGAAGCGGATATGATGGGTATTCTTCCATGGACTAAGTACCGAAGAGACTGTTGATCTAATCCAAAGGTCTTGTTGAATAGCGGTTGCCAATGCTACGGAAGAGAGTTGACCGGTCCATCTCTACTCCTCATATCAGAGGAATCAATGGATTGAGCCCTTGATCAAATATGACTAGACAGACTGTCAATGAATTGATAACCATCACACTCTGCCCGGAGTATCTCGTACGTTGCGGTATGGAGTTATAAGTGACCTACCGAGCGCAACGGATCTCTCTTGTCCGCCCGCAGTATATACGAGGCGTGTGTCTGATCCCGAAAGGCCGAATCGTAGTGCCCCTCCGACCCCACCTCTGCAGTACCAGACTACCGGCAGCGTCATCACCTGTCTCCCCGAAAATCAGAGCAACCCCACCGACCACTACTTCTTAACTGCCAAACCCCCAGCGTCGCGAAACGCTTCCTCTTTCTCTCTTCCACACATTCTCTGAGCTGCACAAACAACACTTGCCATCCTTCTCTTCATCATCCCACTGTCACCATGTCCAACGGAAAGACCTTCACATTGAACAACGGGGTCAAGATCCCCGCTGTTGGCTTCGGCACCTTTGCCAGCGAGGGCTCCAAGGGTGAGACCTACAATGCCGTCACCACTGCTCTGCGCACCGGATACCGTCACCTCGACTGTGCTTGGTTCTACCAGAACGAGGACGAGGTGGGTGATGCGATTCGAGACTTCCTCAAAGAGAACACCTCCGTCAAGCGTGAGGACCTCTTCGTCACGACCAAGGTCTGGAACCACTTGCACCGCTACGACGACGTCCTCTGGTCGGTCAACGACTCTCTGAAGCGTCTGCAACTCGACTACGTTGACCTGTTCCTGGTCCACTGGCCCATTGCTGCGGAGAAGGACGGCCAGGACAAGCCCAAGATTGGCCCTGATGGAAAGGTGAGTCAATTGCACCCTCGTTGGCTTGTCTTCGATAGCGAGGTGACTTGGAAGTCAATCAAATCATTTCCTCGTCCTCGAGAGACTTGCCCCTCCCCAAGCCCGCCAGGTCGAGTGCCGTATTCTAACACTCCAGTCGATGTTGCTTTCCAGTACGTGATCCTCAAGGACCTTACCGAGAACCCCGAGGAGACATGGCGCGCCATGGAGAAGCTCCATGCCGACGGCAAGGCCAAGGCCATTGGTGTCTCCAACTGGACCATCCCCAACCTGGAGCAATTGGCCAAGATCGCCAAGGTTCAGCCCGCCGTCAACCAGATTGAGATCCACCCCTTCCTGCCCAACGAGGAGCTGGTCAAGTACTGCTTTGACCACAACATCATGCCCCAGGCCTACTCGCCGCTCGGCTCCCAGAACCAGGTGCCCACCACCGGCGAGCGTGTCTCTGAGAACAAGACTTTGAACGACATTGCCGAGAAGGGCGGCAACACCCTGGCTCAAGTGCTGATCGCCTGGGGTATCCGCCGTGGCTACGTCGTTCTCCCCAAGAGCTCCAACCCCAAGCGTATCGAGTCCAACTTCAACAGCATCGAACTGACCGACGAGGACTTTGAGGCCGTCAACAGCGTCGCCAAGGACCGTCACTTCCGCTTTGTGAACATGAAGGACACCTTTGGTTATGATGTTTGGCCCGAGGAGACCGCCAAGAACCTGTCTGCTTAAGAATTGAGACCTGGGACTTGTGGGGCTTATGACAAAATGGTTTAACGAATTTCAGCTATGAATTTTTAGAAGCAAACGGATATAATCTTACCAATTGATGATGACAGATCATGTGAAGTCTTCGTCCGCGAATCAGACCCCCAGCTATCTGATAGTTGACCTGGGAATTTACAGCTCTGCAACAGACCAGACGTAAGCATACACTAGACGGAGTGGGTAGACGTTCCAACGTCTACACGACCCGACTATGCCAATTCATAAGGTTCCCTTCTCATCTTCGTAAGCCAATGATCTGTCCAATATCCATCCACAGTCATACTCAAACCTACCTCCGACAGGTACGGACACCCCTCCTGCGTATATTTATGTAAGCCTTCCAATTCACTCGATTCCAACATGGACAACTGGCCAGCGAACGAGATTCCTGATTGCACGATGCAATGAAGATGTCATCCCGCCCTCCTCAAGGATCGAAGCTCCACTTCCCTCTCCTGGGATCATCCATCTCCACAGTCCACTTTTGTTGCGTCTTGGCGGGATTGCTCGACAAGCCGAGAGGGCACAAAGGTGGATAACAAGCGGGCCAGGCGGTCATAGCAGCGTCAACAATCACGGAAGAACTTACGAGATTCATTTCTGACCGGGTGCGGTTTTGACCATCGCCAGCGGAATGGATCATCCGAGGTAGTGGAAACATTGATGGTCTGAGTAGTAAGTACTGTGTACTCGTGCCATTGCCACCGCACGTAGACTGGAAGGTCTATATACGACGTACATCCAAGCGGACCCTATGCAAAGCAGGAGAGGTGAAGGATGGAAATACACGCGACTTGGACCGGCTGCGGGACAATGAAACCAGGTCGGAATCAACCGGTGTGACCGGTGGGCAGATCCGGAAGTGCCACTTCGAACCTTGAACCTGCGAGGTACCAGGGTCCAGGTACCTAAAGGGCTCCAAGTCATTCGAAATGAATTGGAGATGTTGGATCTCTACCAGTCTACCTGGGGGGGGAGATTGTCCCGTCTTTTATTTACGCAGGAGACAGATCACAGGCATAAGGCCATGGCATACTGTAGAACTAGAGTGTAGTCTGTACGCCGTACGGATACTACATGGTACATACTACATACATCCATCCATAGAGCCTGGATTGTTCATGTGAAATCTACCGAGATGGAAATGACGAAGCTTGTCCATAGGCCTTCACAAGACAGAACAGCTCCATGTCTGGGATTTTCCCTATAAAGTTATGTGAAGCAATCCACTCTAATGGATATGAAAGACACCCAAGAATATCGAGAATTGACATTTGAATAGGTCTCAGCTCGCAGGACGTTAAACACCCCGTTCGCAAGTAGAAGCTATCCACCCGATCCGACTTAAACTGGGCGACAACCGACAGGAACCTCGGACTCGACTGAGTGCAAAGAGTCAAGCACTTGAAGATGAACGTAGGTGACTGTTCAATCTCCGTGACGATACTTTGCAACGCTTGGTGTGTCTTGCAAGCATGTGGCGGCCTGGCGGGGTGAGGACTGGGTAGAACTGCCGTCTTCGTGAATTATGTCGCGGGGTTCAGCAGTTCACATTGTCAGTTTAGCTACGACTTGGGGCTAGTTTCGAGTCGGGGGTCAATGAAGCATGGTATGAATATTTAGACCTGGTCCAACGGACTGCTAGGTCGAGACGGGCATGAGTAAATACACAAGAACGATTGAAAGGGTCGTGACTAGCCCACAAGCACCAAGGCACATTTGAGCGCACAGTCTTCAGCAAAAGAAAAACAAGAGAACAAAAGTGGTATCTTCAAACAAAGTGCAAAAAGAAAACGAGAGAACGAGGTGCAGAACGATTACTGTATGAACAAACTCATAGACGGAGACTTTCTCTCCAAAAAAAAAGAAAAGAAAGACAAAATTGACGAGACGCATAATTCATCCCAAGTAGAGGACAAAGTCACTTCTTCAAATTGAGTGTTGGGGATTCAGGACCGCGCCCGAACCCGCTTGGGCATGGGCGTACATCCTGCATTGGTTTGAAATGAGGTCTTTCGCTTCATCCCGTCGGAGCCTCCAATGCTAGTGCTGCGAGTCGGGATTCCACTCGCAAAGTGCGACGCGCCACTGGCGCCGCTGACCCCAGCCTTGTTAAGTGTGGTGGACAGCATCCCAGTGCTGGGAGATTTCGGAACCAGTTTACGGCGTGGCTTGGTCGGTGTGGATGGTGCCCCGTTGGAGGCAGTTGACGAGCTTGCGAACGTGGTGGGCGGTTTGCTGACTCGCCCACTGCCCGTCTTCACCACCGTTCCCGACGCCATGGCGGAGTCACCCAGCCTTCGGACGCGGCGAGACCGCGGTGTAGTTGACACGGGAGCAACCACGCTCGCGGGCTTGTCGTGATTGAGACTGAGGGCTCCCTCGGCCTCGGCCTCGCGGGATCTCTTGCTGCGCACGCTGCGGGAAACAACGCGCGGCGGCTCCTCCGCTTGGTCTTCATTGGGAATCGTCTGCGAAGGAGGCTCCGCGATGTTCTCATGGCTATTCTCCGCAGAGTCCTCATTGCCCGCCTCGAGTTCTTCAGCTGCAGAGGCTGAAGTCACCAAGTCGCCCTCGTACTCGACCATCCGCTCCTCGTTCCACGTGACACTCTTGCGAGGCTTCGAGCTTGGCTGGCGACTTGCCGAGTAGTCACGGAATGGTCGCCGTTTCTCTCGAGTGTCACCGTCCGAGCCAGAAGATTGTTCTTGGGCCATGGCCTGGAGCGCGTATTTTGGCATCACCGAGTCGCCACGATTATGCTTGGTATTGCGCCGCGTAGCCAATGCCAATTCTTGCGCTTCCGTCCGTTGAAGGAAGACGAATTCGGTACCTTTGGCGCGGCGCAGCGCAATGGTCTCGCGCACAGGAACGATGGGAGCTGATGGTGCCTTGACACGAGCACTGCGGCGACAGGCAGGACTTTCATGGCCAGACTCTTCAGGTTCCTCTGCCAGACTCTCGACGGTGGGTTTGGTCTCGCAGACAGCATCGCCAACCACGAGCTCGATCTTGGACGGCGACATCTTCACTTTCACGGGCGAGGGTGAATTGGTATCGCGGTCCTCAAGAACTCTTCGGGAGCGCGGAGTCTGGTCCTTGGAACATGGGGAGGAACTCGCTTGCTTTGTAAGAGTAGTATGAGCAGTCACGGATTCTTGCGAGGTCTTGAGGGAAGCCTTGGCCGCCCGCTTAGCCATGGCCTTGGACAAAAAGTCATTGAGAAGCAACGTATCCTCCCCGTCGAGCGAGCTGCGCAGCGCCGATCGAACGAGGGACCCCTTCTGTATCTGAGACGCGTTTCGGACAATCTTCGTGGGAGTTGGTGCAACGTCACTATTTTCCTTCCGCGCGTCATTGGCATCTGACGACTCGGATTCCGCACGATCTCTCTGCTCGGCCGAGCCAGACTCTGATTGTACCAGAGGCGCGACATTGGATTCGATGGACGCTCTCGCGGGGCTTTCGATAGTCTGGAAAATAATTGGTGATGAGGTAGTCATTGTTAGATCTCCGTCGGCATCTCCATCCTCGCGAGGCTCCTGAGAGCTCTCAGATGTCGATGATTTAGCAGTGCTTGATGCACTTTCGCTGTACACCTTGAATGATGTATCCGGTAATTTGCCTTTTCAGTATGATCAGCAACTCAGCTCTGCACTCCATAGGGTCGGCATCATCGGGTGCACGATACTCACGTCTCTTGCCTGAAGCCTCTGATTCCCACTTCGTTTCCAGAAAAGGACCCTTCGATTGAAGCGAGCCTCCAATATTGCCTACTGTTGTCTCGCCAGTCGCGACACACAGGCGCTTGACGCCGCGCACGTATGCGGAGTCCTTGACTGTATTGATGGCCGTCTGTAACGCATCTTGATCCCTGGCAACGGACGATTCCACTGTCTGCATGTTGGAGAAGGACGTCTGGAAGCGCTTCCACAACTTCCGCTTGAGGCCAGCCTTGAAAGGAGTTGCTGGCTTACGTTCCCAGAGGCGGGGAATCGCGCGCAAGGCTTTAATTGGTGTGAAGCGGAACGAAGATTCGTCCGCGGTAGATCCGGACGGGTCGCTGTGGCAGATGTCGCGAATTCACGCGTTTCGTTAGCGAATTGTAAGTCCTTCCCAAAGAATTCCTCCTCGCCCGTCGCTATGGATGCGCCAGAGCACACGAATGAGAAAATGCCAAATCTGGCGCGAATCAACAGAAATGACTCCCTGAATCTAGCGCGGTGTGCGGGAAATTTCCAATCGTCGTACGCGACTGAATCGTGCAGAATTGCGATCGCTTAAGGAAATGATATGGAGAAAGGTAACGAACCATGTTGGAACCCCCTGGGGAGCGGAGTCGTCAGTCATTGTTGGTATTAACACGATCGGAATGTGTCAGGCTTGGTCTGGTATGTGAGTTCTTCGAGAAGGATCCGTCGTTCACAAAATCTGACTGATGCCACGAGTATTGCACATCCGTCGTTACGAAATGAAAACCCGTAAATAAGCCAAAACTTCGAACACAGAGGGTTAGACGTATGTCGTTGTTGAAGACCATGTGTCAATGTCAACGTCGCTGACTTTGTTTAATTTTCGCTTAGTCTTGGAAAGCGGGTGTTTAGACTAGACCCACCCGTTGCCTCGCCAACAATCCTGATGGATACCAGGACTGATGACGATGAAAATATAGATGTGGCGGTCTGCTTGTTTCGCCCACTTGGTGAACAACCGAAGATGCAATGAGCGGTCAATGTGGGAGTGGGTATCTCATCCTCGTATATTGGGGTTAAATCGCGAACCATCTATAGCATGTCAACTTCGCGAGAAATGACAGACTTATCACTTATCAATGGTATAAGCTAGTTCAGTTACCATCTACCTTATTTGGTAGGTACCTACCTACCGGCCAAACTACTGGAGCGCTTGTGGTTCAATTGATGTATCTATGTACGTGGCGAGCTATAGTGGTAGTATCTTCGGTGCCTAGGTGGATGCAGCTCACTAAGTTTAATCCAGAAGTGTACCTCCACCTCGAGCAATCAGGTACTTCAAAGCTGGTACACAGTTCCCATTGACTAGAATACACAAGATTGAAAAGGGGAGTTCCATCTTTCTTATAGCGTGAGACTGTCTAAACACATAATCAATGGCGTCCAGCGGAAAGCGGCATTCCCCTTTTGCACATTCATACATGGACAAGTTGGTTTGTTCCATCCTCCCCCATGGCTGCTCTTCTGAGGTCAAGGTCAATGCATACATATATGAACGGTCACCAGCGGCACCGCCGTGTGATCTGATAACCACAATAGACAGCTCTTAAGAAGAGACATACCCACAGTCTATCAGTCATTGTCAGTCCTTTCTATTTCAAGTACCCTGTCATGTCTGGTTCCAGCAGTCAGAGTGAGACATACCAATCACGATCTGCTGGCCCGTCATCGAGGTATTCTTAGAAAGAGAAATGTACATATCGGCGCAATCGTCGAGGAAGACCTGTGAATGGTGAGCTTCGTGCTACTTCAAAGATCATTCGAAGCAAAAAAGCTCATCAGCTTAGAGGAGATGGGGGCCCTACTTCATGTTTCAAGGTAGACCTCTCTTTCCACGCCGTGATTTGCTCATCGGAGAATCGAGCGCCCTGAATGAACCAAGCAATGGGTGAGCAGTACGCTCAGCAGAGACATATCAGATATCTGACTTGAATGACTAGCAATATCTTACCCAGTCGGTCAGAAGTAGACCTGGCAGCACGGCATTTATCCGGACCTTTGGCCCTTGACTGGCCTTGAGACACTGTAGGAGATGTAATCCTACAAATCAGTGAGTCAACCTATTGCAAATCATCCATCTCTGTGCAAGCATAAACCAACCGGCAGACTTGGTGACGGAATAAGCCATGCTACTTCCACCCGGCATGATACCCTGTATGAAAACATTAGCAACAGAATCCCTTGCTGAGTACCAATCAACACGAAGAACAAGGACACGATACCGCAATGGAGGAGGTTGCAATGAAGACACCTCCGTCAGGGTTTGCATTGAAAGTTGGAGAGGCCTCTTTGAACAAGAAGAGATTGCTTTTGACATTCGTGGTCCAACACTGGAGGCAACTTTAGTGGAATTCTATGGATAGGGCCGGTATACCTTACCCGGTCCCATTCATCTTCATTCATAGCCTCGAGATCTCCAAACTCAGTGAACTTCGTCCATCCCTAGCAGAGAGAAAGGACAATCAACAGGTTGAAAAGACACTGAATGTGACGGCTGCCACTTACAGCGTTGGAGATGACAACGTCTAGGCCATTCAGCCGCTGAATCGTATCTTGCACTAGCCGTACACAGTCTTGCGCAATGCCAGCATCCTGCGAAACATTGGTCAGGGCCATGACAAAAGCATTGTCTTCAGGGATGTGGCCACCATTTTCATGAGCATGGTCTCACTCAATTCGTACCCCTTGGATGGTAACTGCTTTTACGCCGTACTTCCGGGCCAATTTCTCGGCCAGCTCTTCGGCTTGCTCTCGGCTAGAGAGGTAGTTGATTGCCAAGTTACTACCCTCGATGGCGAACTTCTCTGCAACAAGGGATCCAAGGCCTCTGCTCTCATGAAGTCAAGTTTGAGTCAGTTGGAGTGAATACGAGGGGTGTCCATTCAACAAGTCCACAAGATCAACGCGAGTTGAAGCGTGGGAACGTACCGCGCCCCGCCGACGACGAGCACATTGCGACCACGAAGGTTGTAAGGCATGCTGGCAGTCGATTCAAGGAAGTATGACGAAGCAGTATTGCTGGGTTGGCTAAATGTCAGTGTTTGTTTGTTGAGCCCTGTTGAGCGAGCTTTAAACTCGATATAAGCTTTGGCTGCCCCTCTGCCTCGGTGCAGCTACAGTAAACCCGAGCGCTACCCCGCAAATATGCCCGCTACAGCTGCCCGCGAGACTGATTTCTATAGAGAATACAGCCCGCATAACATGTGTCTCTAGTCCGAGAGGTTGCTTGCGAACCTAGAAAAAACGATTTTTATACGTTGCGACCTTCGTATGTTCTACCACGCTAGTTATACTATTGAAGAAATACAACTTCGCCATTTGCCGTCCACCCACTTCTCATGAATTACAACCCAGCTTTTCGGTGAAATCGGACAGCTCCATTTGGTTCTGTGACACTCGTGGCCTGAGAACGGACTGCCGCATAGATCATTGCCATCAAGCTTCTTGAGAAATGGACTCATCAGCCATGTTGCTATCTGAACATAAATGGCTAAAGGCTCGGTCAAGTAAGGCGTAAAAAAAGAGTGAAGAGCTGTTGCCTTGTATAGTTTCCAACTCCGGTAGCCAGAAATTCAAGTCTCGTAGGATAACAAGTGCCACCTTTGCTTGAGACTGCATTTTCTCTTCGCAAATGCTCAACCCAAGGAACCGTTGGCTCATAATCTGGTGCTACGTCGGCGATGCTCAACTGGCGAAGAAGCATGACCTCGGCTCAGAAGACAAGCTGATTTGCTCTGACAGCCATGACAGAAGCAACTCCACCGAAGCCCGGGAGGAGGCGCTGACCATGAGGGGTCACCGTATACTATAAACTTGTAAAGCTCACAGTCATGCCACTAGCACGGCTCCATCTTGCAGAAGCACCAATAATGGCGTTCGTTCCTCGAAAAGCCGCAGAGGGACAAGGACCACCCAAACATCGTTGTCAAAGACAGATATTCGAGGCTGCTTTGGTGGACTGGACCGGGTCCCAGTTGGCCAATAGCTTTGATCGTAGAAGGAGGGAACAGCAAAGCAATCCATCAATTTTATCAAGTCGTGTCATCGTAACGCCGTGCCATCTACCAAGTCTAAGCGCGAGCAGGCTATGCCATGAAATCCTCGAAAATGGTTTCATTGTCAGTTGCCCTGCAAGTCGCGCTCGTCAAAAGGATCGCCGAACTCATCTGGGTTAACAGGAACAAGTCAGTAATTTGGAATTTCAACATGCGGTCATCATCCTTGACTAACCCAAGCTAAAATCTTGATCAACGACGTGTTCCATTGCTCGATGATATTCATCTTGGGCACGCTTATTATTCCAGGCGGTCCCTGGCAACTCGGGTATATCACCAGCTTGTGATTCTACAAGGCTGGACATGCCTTTATCGTCTGCGGTGGAGGCGTCGATCATTTGCTGCGGCTGCGAGCCAGGCGGGGAGAGCTCTGATGGAGCATCCATGTTGGAGCGATTGTGAGTGGGAGTGCGAGCGCCGGAATCGAGAGCGTCAGATTCAGATGGGGTAGATCCGATAGAGGAATTCATATCCGAATCACCGTCAGGGTCTCTAGATCCTGAGTTCAAATGTCAAAACAAGAGTCATCTAGCTAGCAAGGTGAATGAGGGGAAGTAAGAAACGGAGTAACGAATGGAGATCAGCATGAGTGGAGATTCCATCGTGTCTCCATATCAAGACCAATCAACATCAGACAGCAACTAGAGTGCAGGAAACAGACCTACCAACAGCCATTGTGGTGGTCAACGCCAAATCGAATGCTCTGAAAACTGTTGGAGCGTCCGAACGGGAATCGTGATTGCAACAAGAGGGTGGGCCAGCGAAAGAGCGGAGATCGACGTACCCGGCCTTGGGGGCGGTGGCCGCCTCATTGTTGGAATCGGAGTAATTTTTCTTTTTCTCAATGCAGTGTTTCCCCCACTATTCACTGAGGAGTTGAGAACTATTCATTCAGATCTACCCACATCACTTAGCCCACCATTTCATTCGATTCGACATCTTCTGCTTCACTCTGCTCGCCTCCCTTGTCCTTGGAACCACGACCATCCTTGCAGACCATGAGTACAAATCACGAAGTTCCCAATGCCTGGGATGCCGACTGGGAGTCTCAAGCTGATGTAATATTCCCTTTTGGTCATTGACACTGAGTCATTGAAGCCATGCGACGCTCTAGAACTTGTCCTCCTTTCCAGCAGAGGTGAAACACAAGGACTCGGTCGCTAATATATGTCAAACTTGCAGCAGCTGGCGGATCAGCCGATCATTGCACCGGAGAAGAAGATATCCTCTAAAGTCAGCAAGGCGCAACGGAGGGCGCAACAGGCCGAGTTCAATCGACAGCTCTGGGCAGAAGCGTAGGTCACACCACTGGCCATGAATATGATTTTCACCTTGTCTAAGCATAGTTTCATCTTTAGTGAAGCGCCGCAGACATTTCACTACATGGAAGCTCGCTCTGAGGTGCCGCTAAAACAGGACTTCAAACCGACGGTCACTCTTCTCAGTCGAAGACCGCAGACTGCTACAAGAAAATCACCATCTCTAGGGGGAGTCGATGGAGCAACAGCTGGACTGGGACAACTCGGTCTGGATGACGACGGGGACTCCGACGACGACCGCAGCAAGCAGCGTCAACCGACGTTTGAGGAACGACAAGCCATGGCCCTCAAGAATCGTGAGGAGAGACAGAGAAAATACGAGGAAGCACGAGAACGCCTGTTCGGGAGCCCTTCTGCTCCGACGTCCGGCAATTCCACACCCAGAAGTACAACCCCGCCCCACCATAATCAGTCCGCGGAAGGCCGAGGCAAGGGTAAGGGCCGGGGTGGGCAGCGAGACTACAGAGAGAAGCGGGACTCGTCTTCGGTTTCGAACAGGTCTAGACAGCAACTCTATGATCCGGCGAGTCCAAATCGGTCAACCGGCGGATCTCCGTTTCAGAGACGCGATCGCTCTCGCGGAGACAAGACCGACGTCGAAAAGACAGAGCTTCCTCAACAACCAATTCGAAACCCACGAGGCCCGGATGCTAGTGGGAGAGGAGGCTTTGGATTTGGACCTCGGGGTGCGCGGGGAGGCTAGAAAGGAAGGACAGCTCGATTCAACTGGTTATTCCACCCCATCCGCGAGACACAACACATTATCGCCATCCCATCTGTGCCACTAGGTTTGCCGCAGCCGTTTGTCAATCTATCAGTTCCCCATTTATATCGTACCGGGGTGTTTCATACTCATGGAAGTCCTCGGCCCGAGTTGATTGCATTTGCGACCTGTGACGTGTTGGGTCGATTCTCTGCAGATTTCGTCAGCAGTCCGTTCTTTTCTCCTGCCCTTTGTCTTGGGTACTCACCAGCATATCGTGCATAGCTGTCCAGATAAAGCTCATCCGTGCTCGTGGTCGCCTGGACATGCTTGTTGGAGTCGATTGCATTCACCCACTCCGCCCATCGCGTGCCATCCTCGGCATCCGGCCATCCCCGATACGGCTTCATAACTCGGCGAAGCCGAATTACCCAAGGAGCAGCTTGGACGTCCACGAATGAGATGTCTGGGCCCAAGAAAAAGGGTCCTTTGGCATCGGCAGCCTTTATCAGCGTGTCAAAAGCTTTTCGCAGCTCCATGGCATGCTCCACCTGTTTGTCAGGGTCCTGTTCTTGCAAGAGCCGATAGAATCCTGGCACAACGTTCCGATTGATCTAGCCGAGGAGGTCAATGAAAGTTACATGGCTTTCCGGCATTGCTACCCACATGGTCTGCCCACAGTCGGCAATGCGCGCGTGTCTTTGGATCATCAGGCAGAAGTGGCGTACCGCCCTTCAAGTCTTCAAGCTAACGTCAACGACCATGATTAGAAGGAAACACCTACTTTTTTTGAATCAACACATCACTCACATATTCCATGAGGATGTTGCTTTCATAACAGCCCCAGTCGCCGTGTCGCAGGGCTGGAACAAGCCCTCGTGGGTTCACTTCAAGCAAGGACTGCGGCTTCTCGTACGGGTCGACTTCGATGTATTGATAGGGCATCTCCTTGGCCTCGAGGGCTATCCACACTCTTTGCACGAAAGGACTTAAAAGTCATCACCTGTACATGAATCACAGCCACTGTGTGGATCTTCCGAGTTCTGCATCTTACCAGAAACAGCTTCCATAGAGCTTGAGAGATGTCTCTGCTAAATGGTTGGCTACCGTGACGGCAGCATCTCCTGTCGCTTTGGTGTGATAAGATTTTTGACTTGACATATCGTTCTGTATCTTCTGACGGCACTGCGATGTATCAGAAATCAAGACTACTGAATGGTTTCGATTTGATTAGGAGCTTGAAAAGCTTTCGCTTTGGCTGGTACTACGATCCAATGGTCATGGGTAACTTGCGGGACTGTTGGCTGTGACGTAAGAACTACCAATCGCGGGGAAATTGCAGTGCCAAGGTACCGCCTTCACAGTAGCGTCTCTCTCACCTGTCACATGTGAGAAAGGCGTTATCAATCATCTCATGCTTAGGTCCAATCCATTATTACCTTCGATCTTTAACTGTCCACGACTTCACACACTCTCTCCAGTGTAACTTATTGGTCATGGTTGCCCCCTGCGAATTGGCTCCTTCGACTGGGCGGCAGTGACAACGACATTGTGCATCTATTTGAACCATCGCTGGCAGTGTTATTCACACTTTGGGTCTCGTAAGAACTTCTTTAATTTTCAAAGTTAAGAATAGTCAGAGTACAGCATTGTTCACTACGGCCAGTGCATTCCAGAAATCCACCGTTATAGAAGGAACAGTTCAATGATTTTGACTGTTTCAACGTGATGGGGGTCTCACGTTTTCGTCAAGAAGATATCGAACTGTTTTGTCATTTGCATACTTCAACACCGAGGCACCACCATATTGTACAGCATCTGTTACGATATGCCAAGCCCCAATGTGCCCGGATACAGCAGCTTGCTGAATGAAAGCACAGCATCTGGACCGGCTGGATGTCAGTGCGACGAAGCGCCCATTGAATGTGAAAGAGACCTCGGGGAAAGCACGGCCAGACTTCGTGTATTGAAAAGTGGTTCCATCCTTGGGCTGACTCAGGCATCATCCTTTCAGAGTTCAAAAGACATGAGGTGAGCCACAAGTCCAGATGTGCCTTCATATCGACGATATCACTTCAGTGTATTTTGACTGCCGTGATGCGAATACTCAACAAAATACAAATGAGGGTGACGATCGCAGGTTCGCCAAACCAAGCGTTTCCAAATATCTCCGCCGACAGCAAGACTTCCCTCTTTACAAAGACTTCTTGTTCGGGTGTCTCTTAGCGGCCTCTGAGTTTGCAAAGGGGTATCCAGATGCCCGCTTGTCAACGCCTGTCTTTCGACTAATCTTCCCATTGCTTGTCGCAAAGAGCAGACACCATAGGCCAACAGCGGCAATGGAAGCGTTCACAGCCACCCCAAGAGTGAAAATACCCTGTCCGGTGGTCACAAATCTCGTGTACGCGTAGAATGCACACGCCGATTGAAATAAGAAAGTGATCATTAATGTTGGGTTGGCGTATGGCGCTTTAGGATCTGAGTCTTCGGTTGTGACTGGCTCGGAGATCGTTGAAGTCAAGGGGATCGAGCCAGTCAGCATAGCTGTCAAAACGGCGATTGTAAGAAGGCTAAAGCCAAGACACCGAGCAAAGTAGACCTCGACCGCTGTTTCGAACGATTAGTCGATGGCATTGGCCCCACGAGTGGAGGATTGACAAGGCATGTGTCGGACTCACATGAGGCTTGGCGAGTCTCGTCCAGCATAAGAGCTGTGATTATCCCCGGGCTCAGGATCAGAGGTAGGCTTTGCAATGTAAGCCAACCCGCCGTCGAATAGGTATACGCTCGGAAAACCTACAGCATCATAGCCCGCGATCAGTGTTTGAGAGCTTATCAACCAAGATGTCAAAGGCCGATGGAAGACTGCGCGCTGGCTTGATCAACTCACGTCCATGTTGTTGGTCTGTTCCACGTTTTATTCTCGTTCAAAAGCACCTGAAGGTCGGCAAGTAAGCGGTAGAAGGAATATAAGTGAGCGATTGCTAGGGACAGTTAGGATTGTTTAAAAAGGTAGAGAAGCTGGAGGAGTAGGCAGCTTCATACCTCAGTACCTACCAGCCAGCCAGCTGCATGACGTCATTACGTAGGTACCACTTTGTCACTATGTGTTCAGGGAAGGACTGATTTGTCTCCAATTACGGTATGCCCGGGACGGCGCTGAGAATAATCCGAGGGATCTACAATTCAGGGACGTGTAGCAAGATATCTAGGTCGCGTGGGTCAAACTATATTTGGGTTTTGAATCTCGTCGGGGTTGTTGAAGTCGCGATCGATTCCCTTGGGGTTGACATCAAGTATCAACTACATACATGCTGAGTATGGACGTTCTGGCTTTTAGCCCAGCTCATGACGCAAAGCCCACCGGGGATGACTGATGAATGAAGCTTTGATTCTGTGTTTTGGTCGTTATCCGATGTTCACAGTCAATTTCTCGTCGACCGTAGTCAGTGAAGTTGTAGTGTTGTACTGTACATAGTTACAGACTACAGAGCGTATTTTCGACAAGGCTATCCGGAAAGCCCGGATCGAGGACAAAGTTACTATCAACATGGATAGCTTCCGAGGAATCTGTCCAAAGCGGAATGGAATGAAGCATATACAGCTCGTTTTTTTTTTTTTTGGAAAATAGGGGAATATGCAGAGTTCGAGGGCCTCAAAAATGGAAAAGAAGGTTGTAAAGTATTGTTTTCAATGCAAAAATCTAGCATAATCATCCAATTATCACCTCCAACACCAAGAAACCCCAACAAGCCCATGCATCAACTCCTGCAATGAGGACAAAAATTCGATCATGACTGGTTCATGTTGTTAGCCTGCAAGTATCTCGCAAAGCTGCCGTCAGCGTCGGAGGGACCGCTTTGGGAGCCCGACAGAGCTTCCTTGTACCGATCCGATAGGCCTTCATCGTCACCGGCATCGGGTGTATAATCATAATCATAATCTCCGTCACTGAAGTCCTCTCCATCTGCCAAGCCTCGTTTGATGATCTCGTCCTCCTCCTCATCTTCCGCCTCGCTGACTGTTTCTGGCCCAGTCTCTGGACCCTTGCGATTCTTGGACGAACTGGAGACGGACATGTCCTTCATGAGTCTGCCAAGCTCCATTTCCCGCTGAGTTGACTTTTGCTCTTCACGCTCCTTCTTCTTTCGCTCAAGTTCGGGCTTGTAGTCACGCTCGAATTCCTGGCGCTTCGTTTCGACGGCCTCGAAGAACTCGTCCACTCCATCACCAGTCATAGAACTGACACCAACGACACTCAGGTGCCGATAGAACTCTTCCAACATGAGACTCATGCTGTTCAGCAAGGAGCCCATGTAGCCGCTGCCGGCGCCAAATCCGCCGGCACCACCTTCACCACCGAACGTGCCGGCTTCCTCCTCTTCACGCAAGGCCGCTTGAAATTTGTCAAAGTCGGTCATCCACTCCTTAGCAAATTCAGCATCCTTAACATCGGTCTTGTTGAAGACCAGGATCATTGGTAGCTTAGTCTTGTAGAGGATACTGCATGCGTAAAGCATGTTACTCATGAAAGTGCTTGTAGAGCTCGCACGCGGGGTATCGATAATATATGCGATCACAGTTGGGAAAGACGAGGCCAACGTCTCCAAGAAAATGCTGCCTGATGCACTCCAGACAAATACCTCAATCTGACCCGGAGTGTCGACCAGGATATGTTCAATCGGCTTCGCATCGGGAGTCTCGGGATTTGGAGTCGTGCGCTTCTCAAGTAAAGCTATGATCTGGTCCACTTTCGTCGCAAACAAGTTCAGAGACGTCAAGATGCCACCGTTTGGCCCCAGGTTGTACTGCTTCATCACTTCTTTGTAGTTGATGGAGTCTCGAATATCAATGTTACTTTCGAAAGGCACGGAATGAACTGCGGGGTCGAGGTTCATCACGTAAGGAATGTTGTTTTCGGAGTGAAGATATGAGTTGATTCTTTGCATGAATGTTGTTTTTCCGGAGCCTGCCAATTGCAACCATGAGCCCAAACTCGCGCCTGTAAGCTGTGAGATAGAGGCGGTTTCTTACCTGCCATGCCCACACAGACCACAGAAACGGCCGGCGACGCCATGTTGAAAGGTTTTTGTATGCGACAGGATTTTAAAGTTAGGAAAGAGATATGCGATTCAAGGCACTCCCACTCTTGTACAGGATGAGGTTTTGGCGTACGTTGAGAGATACCTGTGCTAGTGGCGTGAAGCTCTTTTTTTTTCCTAGAACCACAACTTTCTTCTGGCCGCGGGGAAACTGCCGATCGGCGTCCGTACCGCCTTGCGGGTAAACGCTAAACGTCATGCCGTCGCAGTGATTCTGTGCTAAAATGTCCAACGAACGACTCTGTGATTTACACTTGCCAAAATGACATTGGAAGATTTCGAAAAATCGCTTGCAGAAGCGCAGGATAAGCGGCATTCAAGAAGTGAGAAAGATCGATCTCACCGAGAAAGTCATCGTGATCGCGACCGCAGCAAAGATCGCTCTAGCCGGCATCATCGTTCCAGCCATCATCACCATCACAGACGGCATTCGTCCCGCTCTCGAGAACGAGGGAGCACACGCGATCCCGAATCCCGCCGCCATGACGAAGACAGTCATCGACACAAGCGCTCGAGACACTCACATGACAGAAGGGATGACCAGGACCGCTTGCGCAAACGCCAGCATCGAAACGACAAAGATGACGATCAGCCAGCTCCAAAGACTCTCGACCCAGAAGATCCCAGTACATTGAAGCGAGACTCTTGGATGGAAGCACCATCTGCCCTTGACATTCAATATGTGCATCGTCCTAATCCAGAACGAGTGGAGGAAGCTGCGAAGCCCAAGATGCTCCAGGCTGATTTCGAACTCAAAATCCACGATAAAGAGCTCAACAATCACTTGCGCGACCTCAAGGATGGAAAGGTGCTAAATGACTTGGAAGAAGAGCCTGCTATACATGAGGTGGACTACACGTTTGGGGACTCCGGGTCTCAGTGGAGGATGACCAAGTTAAAGGGCGTTTATCGAGAAGCTCAGGAAAGTGGCAGACCTGTCGATGAGGTTGCCACAGAGCGATTCGGCGACCTTCGCTCTTTCGATGATGCAAGAGAAGAGGAAATTGAAATCGATCGTCGCAAGACATACGGCGAGTCATACGTCGGCAAAGACAAGCCCAGTGGGGAGCTGTTTCAAGAGAGAAAGCTGCAAGAAGGGCTACATCGACAATCGCATGAGCATATCCGAGATCCAGCCGAGGAACTCAGCGCCGAAGGTCAAGGCAAACCCATGGATACTGTGCAACCACTGAATACGACAAAACCCCTCGACCAGACGGCGCTGAATCGCCTCAAAGCCCAGATGATGAAAGCGAAGCTGAGAGGTGCAGCAAATGCGGCGGAACTTGAGGAACAGTACAATACTGCCGCAGCTGCAGTCATGTCTAATCGCAGCGAGGCAGACGTAGTCGTGCTTGGTGTTCAGCAAAATCGCATGTTGGCCGGCTCAAAGAATGAGGTCAAAGCGGTGGACACGAAACGCGGCCGCGAGCGGGGTCTCGTGGAGGACAACGAAGACATGAGCATTGAGGACATGGTTCGAGAGGAGCGGAAGACTCGCGGCCAATTCGGGGGTGAAGGAGCACGGCTGGCGGAGCGTATTGCAAAAGATGGCAAATTCGAGGTGAGCCACATGCCGATCGTAATCGTCTCTCGGTCTCTATGCAGGATGAAAGAACTAACGGAGTCACAGAATGACTTGGAGTACATAGATGAGCAAGCTTCTAAATTAGCTAAACGAGTACATCGGTCGGAGATTGACATCAAGAGCGCCACTATCAATGATTTCCGCAAGATGAATCGCATTCTCGACAATTGCCAACTTTGCCATAATGAAGATACGAATACTCCACCTGTCGCTCCGGTGGTGTCGCTCGCTACAAGAGTGTACCTCACGCTACCGACTGAGCCTGAAATCAGCGAGGGTGGCGCAACGATCGTCCCAATCCAGCATCGGACTAATCTCCTGGAATGCGACGACGATGAGTGGGAGGAAATTCGAAATTTCATGAAGAGCTTAACGCGCATGTACCACGACCAGGGCCGAGATGTCATATTTTACGAAAACGCGGCCCAGCCACAGCGGAAACGCCATGCCTCTATGGAAGTGGTTCCTCTACCCTACAGTCTCGGTGAGACCTCGCCAGCGTTCTTCAAAGAGGCCATTCTGAGTGCAGAGTCAGAATGGTCGCAGCATCGGAAGCTCATCGACACTTTGGCCAAGTCCAAGCAAGGTCTCGGCAGAAATGCATTCCGCCGAACGTTAGTCAAGGAGATGCCCTACTTCCATGTATGGTTTGAACTTGACGGGGGACTAGGCCACATTGTTGAAGATGACAATCGATGGCCTCGGGGTGATCTGTTTGCCCGCGAAGTTATCGGTGGCATGCTCGATGTCGCACCCGACGTAATCAAGCGCCAGGGCCGATGGAATCGTGGTGGCGACCCACGAGTTGAAGGGTTCAGGAAGCGCTGGAGAAAGTTTGACTGGACTCGTGTTCTCGTCGAGGGTTAGTCTGAAAACGAGATTTCATGTAGGCTTTGGCAATTGTCATCAAACGTCTACTAGTCCACGGCAGGAGTAGCTGGTATGACCAATAATGACAGGCAAAGAAAGCCGCTTTCAATTTGGAAGCCGTCCAAAGACTTTACCACCTCGTGTGGCACATACTGTAGACCGCTGTATCTCATGCCGCCTTAGCTTGGATTTCGTTCCTGTATAATGGTATACGATCGGCATTCGTCCAATGCACTGTATGACTTGCGCCGGCATCACTTCGGCTTTTCGATTGAGCTAATATTCCTTGCCTGATTACCCTATTTCTCAGGGTCGCTGTGTTCGGTCGATGCTATGAGTGTATGTCGCAAAGCCTACTTGCGACGGTTTCTGTCTCCCATGTGCTGTTGTGGGGAATGGGCCGACTTCCAATGCGGGCATTTTCTCGGAGATAAATGTTGAACCCCGTAGGTTGCCGTCGATTAGGACTAGTCCACGCGGGGTTCGTCTATCAATCGGCCGATAGCAGTCAGTCACGCTGCCCCTCAAGCGTTGCTGATTCAATCAATTGAACTGGCAACCTTGAGTACCTATCAATTCCGTGACTCTTACATTCCCGCGCCTGCGTCATTCGCTCCAATTGACGACATCCATATCGGAGCTGGGGTTCTCGGCTGACTGTGGAGTCAGGATCGCTGAATTTGTACATAAGTGAGTACCGTGTTACCTCCGAACCCTCTAACTATCTCTTGGAACGTACATGTACGTGTGTCCCGGTCCAGAGCATAGTCCGGGTTGAATACAACATCAGCAAGACGGAACATGGATTAGTGAATCATCTCGAGCTAGGGTGTATCCATACATCATGAGCCGTTTAGCTAACATATGAGGAAAATCAGTCCCAGCATATCCTCCACTGACCATAAACATGAATTCCCAAGAAAACAAACCCAAGGTTCTGATCCTTGGAAGTGTAAACTTGTATGTGGGATGACGATTTGACATACTCAGCGAGAAGGACCAGCTAATAATTGGATATGGACAGTGCAAAAGACGCCTACGAATCATTGAATCAAATTGTCGAACTCGTGAAACCAGCTGCAGAAAACAGAGAGGAATTTATTGAAGAATGCCGCAGGGGCACCTTTGACGATATCAGACTAGCTTACCGCGATTTTTCATCCTCCCGGATCACCGGCCTCGTTGATCAGGAGCTCATTGATGCCTTGCCGCGTAGCTTGAGGTTCATGGCATCATGTGGTAGGCTTTCCTTCAAATAGGACAAGGTGTATATATGGGTGATGCTAACATATATCGGTTTGTTTAGGGGCTGGCTACGACCAGCTGGATATCGATGCCTGCAGTGCGCGCAATCCTCCGCTACTGGTCTCCAACACGCCTACCGCAGTAGACGATGCTACAGCCGACGCTAACATGTTTCTCATACTCGGCGCACTTCGAAACTTCAACGCTGGCATGCATTCTCTGCGCCAAGGCAAGTGGTTAGGTCAACCGATACCCTCATTTGGCCACGACCCTAGGGGTAAGACCCTGGGCATTCTGGGCATGGGTGGCATTGGACGAAACATGAAGGCGAAAGCCGAAGCATTCGGTATGAAGGTGATTTACCACAACCGCCACCAACTGAGCGACGAGCTTGCTGCTGGGGCGCAGTACGTCACATTTGATGAATTGATGTCTTCGAGTGACGTTCTCAGTTTGAACCTACCTCTCAATGTAGGTGCATGGGTCCGATTGGGCGCAATCAGATAGAACACCTTGGGGAAGTGTCGCATGAGCGGCATCTGTCCAGTTCATCTGCTAACAGGATGACAGAAAAACACCCGTCACATCATTAGTACAGCCGAATTTGCCAAGATGAAGGATGGAGTGGTCGTGGTCAACACAGCGCGAGGTGCTGTTATGGATGAGGCTGCCCTCGTGCAGGCTCTTGAAAGCGGAAAGGTATTCTCCGCGGGACTCGATGTCTTTGAAAATGAGCCTGAAATCCATCCTGGATTGTTGCATAATCAACGAGTGATCCTTGTTCCTCATATGGGAACGTGGACTACCGAGGTAGGTCAAGCAGACGTATACTGCCTTGCATAGGAAGGAGGTGACTGACATTCTAGTAGACTCTCACGGCGATGGAAACGTGGGCGATTGACAATGTAATTCAGGCTCTGACGAAGGGAACGTTGAAAAGTCCCGTGCCAGAGCAGTCTCATTTGAAGTGATAGCTTCTTTTTGATTCGAAAGGGATTAGAATGGTGTGAGCCATCTACATTGGTGTGCCTTCGACATCTGAACCAGAAATATAGAGCAAATTTTGTCATATCGCTATTTCGCCCTGAATAATGAAAGTTAAATCAGTGTCATCATATGAGGTACCTGCTTATGCAGTGCCTGTACACTGAGCGTTTAGTAGGGAAAGAGCATTTCAATTCGCTCGCCACGATCCGGTCGTGGAACGGAGTAGAGCTGTCGGATCCTTACGCTCGTGTGCTTAGATGCTCATATTAGGTTAGTTGGTTAGATTCATGAGGAATGATGACTAGATCATTACGCTTTGATACTATGCAGGACGAAGCTCGATGCGGCGATGGTTCGGTGATCTCTGAGGCTTTGGCCGAGTGCGACCGGTTCATTCTAAAGCAATCACGGACTTACCTGAGGCCTGATATCAGTCTCATGAATCAAGCAGATGAATACAATGGGACATCATGGCAGACAACCTTACATCAGATCAACTAGATGCAGCGGCAGGTCCGCCTGTAAACTTCCTCATTTGGACTAGTGCCATAGTGGCGAGAGCCAACGCAATCTGATCGCCGTCGCGACCTTAATTTCCCGTTGTATATTCACTCTGCAATAGTCAAGATGGCTGAATACTGGAAATCAGCTGTACGTTTTCCCCATTACATACACTATGATATCTTCCGCTAATCTCGTGTGTGTCTGTAGCCTCGCTTTTGGTGCAAACAATGCAAAATATTCATTCGAGACACGCCCTTCGAGAAGACCCAGCATGAAGCGAGTCCTAAACATCAAGGAAGCCTAAAGCGCTTCCTTCGAGATATCCACCGCAACAACGAACAGCAACAGCGCGAATCTCAGCGAGCCAAAAGTGAAGTTGAACGATTACGGCAAGCTGTATCCAGTGAACCCTCGAAAGATGATCCGAATGCCTCGGCGGCGCCATGGAAGAAGCGGGCCGCGCCAGTGTCTGATGCTGCCAGTCGGCCCGTGAGTCTTGAGGAAAGAAAGAAGCAGATGGAGCAGCTCGCTGAAATGGGCGTGGCAATCCCCGACGAGTATCGCGGGGAGATGGCTTTGGCTGGAGAATGGCAGACGATGTCGGAGACAAAAGTTGACGAGGCAGAGACCGGTGTCAAATCAATTGGAGTCCGGAAACGCAAACTTCAAGGCAAAGACGATGAAGATTCAGAGGAAGAGTTCACCAATGAATCCGCGCGGTTGGTGAGCAGAGGATGGGGATCCCGGATGAGGTCTTATCCTGGGACGCAGAATGAAGGGGATGGGGACTTGGATGCTCTGCTTGCTTCGACCCAGGACCTGAAGAAAACCAAAGTCTCAAACACGGACGCCGACTCTGATGGCGTGAAAAAGGATCAGCCAGAGGCCACGACCTCACAGGCTACGAAAGAAGAGACTGCGAGAGACTCGAAGCTCAACGAGACCGACAACCCCTCGACTGTCAAGACAGAAGCTTCGGAAGATCCATCACCTAATCTCGACGAACCAAAAACACCTGAAGAAGCGGCTGGTCCCATCTTCAAGAAGCGGAAAGCCAAGATTATGAGAAAACAAACAGCCGAGCAGTCTGATAAACAATGATTCAGACTATGCCTCGGAGACCGAGCGATTGGAAGAACTGCTCGGGGCAATTTTGCAAGTTTATTGTCTGCTACTCGATCTACAAGATCTCCAAAATTAATGCAGAGGTGATCTGCAGCAGACACATTTATAGTCTCGACCACAGCCTGGTACCACCTCGACAGCGTTTCTCAGTGAAAGCCCGACAATTGTGCACGCAAGAAAGCGGCTTTGTCCTTCAATTCACATGGTCCCGCACTTTACAATATCCTTCAGACCGGATCAGGGCCCTGGCAACTCGAGAAAGCATCAATTCGAGATTCAAGGTATGCAGATTTGACGTGTTGCTGCTATTGAAGCTGTCCGCTCAGCCCTCAGGCTACTATGCCCGGCAGAAACTTACTTTGCCATGTGATGAAGCTACGAATAATGAAATTCAGTAAAACTTGCTCTCAGTAAGTTTTTCGCAGCCACAAGTTTGCGCACGTTTCACTTTGTAAATATCTATCCGTGCAGAGGTTTGTATGCATGGTGTAAATAAGCTTGTTGTATAGACTTTAGTGTTGCCACTCCAATTTTTTCTCGGCGCTGGAGCGGAGAACCTTTGGATCGCCGGAAAAGAAAGCTGCTTTAGTTCGCTCCTTCAACTTCGCGCAACTCCCTCCGGCTGCCCACCAAAATCAGAAACCCGCCGAGTTGACCAGCAGCTCGCGCCTCACCACCCTTTGTACAGACACCCAGTGTCATTTTCATGTGAGTCGATCCTGTTCAATCCACGATGAATTGCACCATCCGGTCTGCCCGCATTGTCCTGTCCGAGGCGCATTTCTCTGGCGGTCGTCAGCCATTCCCACGCACCACTGTATCTCAAGCCTTGGCTCCGCGATCGACCATCACTCGAAGAAAACCTTCCTCCCGATCATTCAGGATCATCGTACCAGTTGACGACGTTCGCTTGATATTCCATTGTGGGCGGGGAAGGGTCTTTGGGACTTGAAGCACAGAGAATGCGACAAACCTTGAGTGGGTGACGTTCGCATGGAGGGAAAACGAGTGGCTTCGCTACTGAGACAACAGTCTCGGTCAGCGACCATTCAAGAAATATCACGCGCTTGTTGAGTCTCAATGGCCGAAGGTGGCGTCTGGACGTCAAGACTTTCAAATCGTGCCATTGGCAGTTTCCTCCGTCAGGTAGAAGTCGCTCGGCTATCGGGGACTCGGAGGAGAGCTAAGCATGCGCGACATCATTCACGATGCTCACATGAATTGCATTGCTCTTATCGAAAAGCTACAAAGACCCGCCGCAAACCGCCGAGATTGGGCGGGACCGAGACTGGCAAACGCGACTCGTGGAAGGACTTCACGCTAATAGCTTTTCGTTTAATCAGATTCACAGCGATAAATGATTTATACGTTTCAGCCGATTCGACCTGGAGTGGTGCCTTCACCCAGCCGCAAGCAGCACAGTCTTTGACCACGAGGTGTACAGTTATCCTGCATTGATCCAGATAGGACAGGACCGATCCAGACCCCTAGCGATAAAAGCAGGCCAGCTTAATTGCATTCCATAGAGGGCTGGCACAAGACATGGCCGAGTCGTCTGAACCACATGCTGGGGGACCGGTCCAAGAAGGCCAGGCCCCAGCTTCCCTTGGGGCTGATGCGAGGGTTCCAGCGCCGGTGACCAAAGAGTCACCGACAGGTGTCGCACAGTCGTCACAACGATCAAACGACGCATCGATGCTAGACTCTACCCAACCGTCGACGCCGCAAATCGAAGACCAAAGGCCAGCGCCGCCCGAACCCTCAGAACCTTCAGAACCGGTCAAGCCTGAACAACCATCAGGAACACCGGCCCCTCCTCCTCATCCGCCTTCTCCTCAACCAGCGCAACCCCCCACACCTGCGCCATTGTCTTTGCCCAACAATGCAGACATTACGGCACCAATTGAACCGTCTGGTTCTACGGAGCCTCCTACATCCGCTGCCCTTGTGGCACCTGCTGAACATGCTGAACATGTTGCGCCTCTTCAATCTGCTCCGCCTGCTCCATCCGCCCCGTCCGCTCCGTCCGCTTCGCCTGTTCTATCAGCCCCATCCACCCTGCCTGCTCCATCGGCTGAATCTGCTGAGCCTGCTACGTCCGTTGCGCACGATACCAACCCTGGGCCTTCCAATCATGCGAGCGCAGAAGAAAAATCGGTGCCAGGCGGAGAAAATGGTGCCCCTGGCAGTAACATAGAGCAGCCAGGAGTCCCCGCGCAAAATATCCCATCCACCTTCCCATCGCTCCCTGCGATGGATACGTCTCTGCCTCCAATCGACACCTCCCATTCCCTAGATGAGAACGAGCTACCGTCATTCGATGCCGCTCTTCGAGCCGTCAGCTCGGCATCAGCAGACGATTTGGCGCTGCCAGCGATTGATACAACTTTGCCCGCCATAGGCACGGATATACCAACCATGGACCACCCCTTTGGTGATGACAGTCACTTTGGGCATCACGACTCCCAGGATGGAGGTGATCACCCCATGGGTACTGGCCATGACTCGCTTCACGGGCCCATCAATGGCACTACGCACTATCAGAATCCCCCCCACGACAATTATCAAACACCGGCGAATGGCAACTACCAGTACAGCTCAGGCACACCACACGATGGACAGCAACCCTCGCAGGCTTCGCCCCAACATCAGTATCAATCCCAGCCACAACAGAGTTACCAATCGCAATCGACGGACATGTATCACACCTCAGGTGGAGGATTCGCCAGCGTCAATGCCAATCCCAACAGCCACGTCCAAGGACAAACTGGTCAAATGCCACAGGCACCCATTGGCTCTCCTATGCCTTCCAACATGCCCAACATGGCGTCAATGGGGCAATACATGACAGGCTATCCCTCCAGCGTATCCCCGTCAGGCATGAGCCCAAATTCGCAGATGGCCTATTCCATGCCTGGGGATCCGAACAAGATGTTGTCCAGTGGGCGACACAAAAAGGAGGTGAAGCGACGCACGAAGACAGGGTGCTTGACCTGTCGCAAACGCAGAATTAAGGTACGTCAAATGGATGGTCTCATAATTGGGGAAATTGCCCTGTTGGAGTTTCGGTTTTGCACATTGCGCGCCGCGGGGCCTACGGGCCTCGCTTGTTGCCGCAGACCCCGCCCTTTATCGTTTATTTTATCTCCCGCGCTTAATTTGCAGCCACACCCCCCTCCATTCTCCCCGCTGCTTGCGATCCATTGATTTACTGAGTTGTGCAGTGTGACGAAGGTCATCCCGTGTGCAGAAACTGCGTCAAGAGCAAGCGCGAGTGTTTAGGCTACGACCCGGTGTTTCGTCCTCAGGCATCCGCTCCGTCGGCCATCCAGCCCGCTCCAAATCCCCAGGCGCCGTCGCTCGTCGTCAATCCTCAGGGTCCTCCAGTGCAGGCTGCGCCCTCATATCCCTCTGCGCCGCCCGGGTACATGCCCGCTTCATCCCAGCCCTTCGCACCCTCACTTCATTCCGAGTCTCCGAGCGCTTCCACAGATCATCACGACAACGCAACGGGCATAGACCATTCTCTTGCGACAAGTACTGTATCACATCATTCCACAATGCAGTCCACAAATGAGTTCAGGCCGCAGAGCTCCGAGCATCTCTACAAAGGTACGTCAAGGCAAATTATCGGTAGGAGATCTGCAGGTTCGCCGGGACATTGGCCTACATGCAGCTACTTTTGGACTCCGACCATGGCCGAAGCTAACCATAATACCGGTGTTTGCAGCCAAGAATCTGAATGTCAATGACTTGATGGCTTTGCGAGGAATATCTCCTCCCCCACCACATACGATTGGCACACTTCCACCTGGGCGCCTCGAAGAAATTCAAGCGGTGTTTCTTGCGACATATGCCCCTGCCATTGACAAGTTGCTGGAAGTTCGCTGGTACGCAGACAAAGCGCTTTCTACGCTTATGGCAGATGCACAATTGATGGCCGACTACTCTGCTTTGATTAACGCCTTCAATGACTGGAATCTCAATGATGGCAATACGGTTGCCCGGCTGGAGAGTTTCGAAGCTTCGATTATCTGGCGGAGCATGACTTTGTGTCGTCAGACGCAGTCCACGGATAACAGGCAGGCAGGTCAGGACTGGAACTTGATTGCAGCAAGGGCGCGCCTGAACGCCATCGAAGCCCTTCTTACTTGGACACATCTGGACCAGAACCCTTTGTCCCACACTCACCGAACTGAAGCTGCCACTCCTCCACACCAGCCTGATCAGTTCATGCAGCGCCAATTGGACTTCTGGAGCGAATTAGGCGAGTTTCTCACCCTCCACGACAACGAAGCAAGCTCGGCTAAGCAGATCGACGATACTCTTGGTCGCTGTCGTCAACTGCTCGACACCTATGAAAATCGTGATATCATCTACTCCATCGCTATTGCCAGGCACCTCGGCCAACGATGGGCAGACTTCCCCAATAGTCTTCCCAAAGCCGGGTACACAACCGAAAAGGAGGCTGGTACCAAGCTTTTTGTCGCGCACAAGTTCATCGAGGAAGAGGCCGAAGGCAAAGGCACGACTCAGATCTACAAACGAATTTGTTGCATGGCTGTCCGTTCATGGTGGGTTGCTCGCGAGTGACTCATCACATGAGGCCCGAATTCGACGAGTTTTGCTTCCATTCCAATAACAACAGCCCATCATCATCAGCGTCATCGTCATTGCGATGTGGTTCGTTCCTGTTCCTATTCCCATTGTTTCACATCAACTTCACCTCATTGATTGCGCAGCGGCGTTGAATTTGCCTGCGATTCAAAAAGCATCATGGCCTGGCGTTACGATCTTTTACCAACGATTCCTTCGAGATGCGATTCTCTATTTTCCCCCAATCCTGTGGCTGCGAGCTCCAGGGGCCTGGTTGTACCATGTACGCCCGGTCTTACGGCGTTAAAACGGCCTTGGCATTGACCTTACGAAGCAGCTCTGTTCACTTTTATTGTCGGTTTTCCTTCTGTACATTTCCAATATTATTCCGCTAGACAAAATCTAGAGGGCCTCGCTTCAGCGGCTAGACAATTGAGTATGATCACAAGACCAACCCCAAAACAAAAACCTCTAGTTGCCGTCAAAAGGGCAGCGCCAGCTGTCCAGAGCTATTGCCAGTAAATAATGTTTTTGTGAATATGTTAGTGTAAATGATCAGACCGAAGATCTCAAGCGGAAGGTATGTCCACTCGAATCTTCATTTCACCTGTCTCGCCCTGGAATAGGAATCCAATATCACGCGTAGATTCTGTCAGTTCGATCTCCCGTCTCGTGAAACGGTTGCTCCTGGCCAAAGACTCGGGATCTTCAGGTCGTATATCATCGAGGTCACTGTCATCATCCCAAGTGACTTCGCCGTCCTCGCCTACCCTCTGTTCGATTGGGTCCCACTCGTCCGTCTCCCAAATCAGCCTGAAAGAAAATGGCGTCAGGCCGAACAGGCGCGAGACAATAGCTTTGACCTGGTAAGCATCGAATGAATTAGGGACCTCTTGCACATGGGTTTGTGAGTCGGAGAGCCGAAAAGCCAATTTGACGAGGCGCGCGGCCACAGACCGAGGGTGGACTTTTCTTCCCGAGCCATCCCCCTCGATAGTTCGTGTGACAGCGGGTTCTCCGTATAACTCGCAGAGTGCTTTGTAGCGAGGATGCGAGGCTACGATGGCGGGCTGTTCTGATTCGGAGGTGGCGGAGAGTTCCTTGCCAATGAGGGAGAGGTAGTACATTTCGGCGTTGGAGCGATCTTGTGCAGAGATGGTGCTGTAGTTGAGCACTGTGAGAGAAGCTGGGAAACGAGCTAGTGTGAGCATGAATGCTTCGTCTAGTGTCATGGGCTGGGACGCGCTCATGCTGGACGTAGCGGCGGCGATGGCTGGGGGCAGAGGTGATTGATCGTAAAGAGGGTTCGTGGTCATCCGGAGGGTAGTGAGACCGGGAAAAAGAAGAGGAACTTGATTGACAAAGTCCCATGAGGATATTTTGTTGCGGGACAGGTCCACGGAAGTGACTGAGGGAGGGAACGTCCAGGAGCGCTTTGCTTGCTCGGGATCTGCACTGATGGTGTGGATATTGTTCCCTCGTAGAGAAAGATGTTGCAACGTTGGAAGCTCGGCTAGTGGACGTAATGCAGAAAGCGACTCGAATTCATTGTTCTCAAGAATCAGTGTGGTAATCCGGATGCCTGACACCGGGACGGCTATGTTGTTCACTTGATTCCCGGATGCCACTAGATTTGTCAATGATGGGAATCGGGATATGACCTCGACGATCTGGGCCGACTTGTTAGTGATCTCTTGTCCTTTCAATTGCATGGGGCTGACTTCTCACGCACCTCATCCCAGGTCATCAGCGTGTCAGCAAGATGAAGCTCGGTGATGCCTTGAAAGATCAGTCCGTCTTCTAAAGGTTGGAAACGATCGCCACTAGTACTCGACTTAGCTTCCTGATCAAGTGCTCGCATGTCGTGTTTTACAACTCTTCTCGCGGACATTCATCGCACTTACTTGACCTTGAGCTTTTTCAAGCCCTTGAGCTGACTGCAGATGTGCCAGACATGTCGCCAGCTACTGAGCAAATTTCGACTCAAATCCAGCTGCTCGATATTTGGACATGTTGAAGCGATCTCCCGAGCCACTTCAAGGGCTTCGGGTTCTGGCTGCTCATAAGAGGACAGTATTCCTGTCACGCACAAGCCGTCAAGCAAAGCAATGCGTAGTTGCTCCAACTGTGCAAATTGTCTGCCAATCTTATCGAAGCCAACTTCTTCGACAACCTTGCCGCTGATTTCGATAGGGCCTTGATTGGCCTTGCCAACTTTTCGGGAGTTTGAATTTTGCGTCGACTCCTCATCTTCCTTGGCTGCGTATTTGGCTCGCAAGGCGTCCAGGAAGCCTCGAGGTGAATCCGATGGCCTTGACGGGCGCACAAATGAACCCGCCGTGGGGTGGTTGCTCTTGCCTGACCATCAGGTTAGTGTATCACAGTCAAATTAAGTGTGCGGAGTGTACAGGAAATTTCTCTATAGTTCTGGCTCATACATGTGAATTGCTGCTCTCCTTTATGCTCCCCCGAATGCTTGCCTCTCGTGGGGTCGTCCCACTCAACGCCTAGCCATTCCCCGGTGGTGCCTTTGAGAGGTCCCACAAAGCGAATGGTGCATCGCTGGCCATCGTAGGACCGACGATGACCTACAGTGATGGCAGACATGTCGTCAATTGAGCTTTCAGGATTCTAGCTCCGTGGCACTGCAGATACAGGTTACTATCAACATAAGCCGCTGTACCTACTTCTAGTAACAGTATTGTCTGAGTTGGACTCCCGCGGTGCTTACATAACCTCCCAGGGTTCCACTCCCCGTCCCGCCTAGCGTCGGACTGACTATCAGAGCTCTGAGACGTGCGCAGGTTGGCCATTTCTTCGCTCCTGCAACACACTTCAACAATCATGGATTACCAGGTATTTATGCACTACGATGAGGGCTTTCTTCACGCCCATCCACGCTGTGTCGAGTCGACAACTGACACATCTCTCAGAATCGCGCAGGCTCCAAATTCGGCGGCGGAGGCGTTGCCTCCCACTCCGCAACCAACGCAGATCGTCGTGAACGTTTGCGCAAGCTCGCGCTCGAGTCCATCGACCTCGACAAAGACCCCTACTTCTTCAAAAACCACGTCGGCAGCTTCGAGTGCCGTCTCTGCCTCACAGTCCACCAAAATGACGGCTCCTACCTGGCCCACACGCAGGGCAAGAAGCATCAGACGAATCTCGCCCGTCGCGCGGCCCGCGAACAGCGCGAGGGTAAAAATCAAGATCCTTCCACACTGCCCGGAGCAATGGGTGTGCAGGTCAAGAAGCAGACTATCAAAATTGGGCGACCGGGGTATAAGATTACCAAGATCCGAGACCCGTTGACTCGGCAGATGGGATTGTTGTTCCAATTACAATTCCAAGAAATCACACCCGGCATTGTTCCCCGTGTGCGGTTCATGTCGGCTTTTGAACAGAAAGTCGAGGATCCCGACAAGAATTTCCAGTACCTTGTTGTGGCGGCGGAGCCATATCAGACCTGTGCTTTCAAGCTGCAGGCCAAGGAGATTGATCGCCGGGAAGGAAGGTATTGGACGTGGTTCGATGAAGACAGCAAAGAGTTTTGGGTTCAAATCATGTTCAAGACGGAACGTGAGGAACGGTTCAGTGGCGTGCCCGGCCTAGCGCCCACTCGGACGTGATGTCGAATACGCATTTTCTTTTACATCATTCAATTTTAAGGCAATTTCAATGGCCGAAGGATTCGGAGAGGGACTCTGGCGTTTGGGTTGCACTCTAATTAATTCTCATCATGTCATGTCTATATATCGCAAATGGTGGCTTTTTTCCAGAAGTTTGACACAAAATACCCGTCTCTCGCATTTGAAGTAGGTCATCTTTTCCATATCAAACCGCCAAGGGGCCTGTGCTGGACTGCTTTAAGACTGCGTGGCTGAACTACCCTTTCCAAAGGAACTATTTCTCCTCGAATTGAAGTTTCTTTGGCATCAATTTAGGGACAAACAGTGCACAATGTGTATCCTCGTCCAATAAAAAAAACAGTCGATATTTGCTTCCGCCTGTGCTTTGCTATCAAAGGAAATGCCAAACTAGACCTCATCAGATTGCGTTTGATTTCATACCCCAAAGGTGAGGCTCAAAGTCGAATTTTGAGAAATTTTTCACGCTTGATATGCTGGCTGGGCTAAATAACCCAAAGCGAAAGGGATCAAAAAAAAGGGATCAAGGCCGCGATCGGAGTAGAGCGTTTACTGATTGGAAATGCCAAAGCGCAGGCCCAGCTGCTGCTCTGAGTATACCACCAGTCACCCCGAGAAAAGCAGACGAATTTTGGAGACCATTCACAAGAGAGCACTTAGTTGCTCTGGAAAGCATTGAAGGCTTTGTAGGTGTAACCGATGAATGGTAAACTCATCTCGGCCTCTTGCGACTCTGGCATGGCCCGAGCTTGGGCACGGTGGATGGCGCTTGTATCCTCCTGAGGGATCTCGTCAATGGGGAAGTACGACACATCGATATTGGAGCTGAGGCGAGGCTCGAAGGGCGCCCGGATGTTGCGTAGCTGATCCCATACAACACCACGGAAGAACGGATGGTTCTTTATTTGCGTGGCACCCCCGTGCTGTCCACCCTCGCTGCCAATACGGTGTTCAGGATCACACAAGAAGCTTTACAGGGTTATCAATATCAAAATCCGAAAGAAAAATGAGGAGCAGTGATTGACATACCTTCGAATCAATGATTCAGACTCACGAGAGAGAACCAGCTCGTCGGGGAAGTATAAGCACTCGCGCCAGTTGACAATCTTGCGATAAGTCTCGTGCGTTTCCTCCGCACAGAATGGCGGCCAGCCGACAAGACATTCAAACATAATGGCACCCACTGACCACCAGTCACAGAGATACGTGTATCCTTGGCCGTTGAAAATCTCTGGCGCGATGTAATCGGGTGTTCCAACAGTGGAATACGCCATGGCACGGCGAGACTTTCGCCACGTGTTGATTTGGCCACGATTGGAGACCGTCAGATTGATGGCGTCGTTGAAGTAGCCGGAGTTACGGTTACGATCCTTTGACGTGGAGTTCTTCAGGAGGTTCTGGTAATAGGCGTTATCGTGGGTCTTTTTACCGCCAGTGGATAGACCGAAATCGGTCAATTTCACATGGCCACCACGGTCGAGAAGAATATTGTCAGGTTTGATGTCACTGGGAATTGGTGTTAGCACCAGTTTCTCAGTTCAAGAGCAGGGAGATCCGGGGTATATGGAATGAAAACTACATACCGGTGAAGGAAACCAAGCTTGTGAACGGCCTCAATAGCCATGACGACTTCGGCCATGTAGAAACGTGTGATATCCTCGGAGAAAATCTCGTACTTGATAAGCATTGTCATCAAGTCACCACCGGGCAAAAACTCCATCAGCAGATAGAGGTAGGCTGTATCCTGGAAGGAAGCGTGCAGCTTGACCAGCCAAGGGTTGTCCTTTGAGTCTGCTAGAATATCACGCTCAGCCCGAACGTGCGCCAACTGATCCTTCTTGAACATCTCCGATTTAATGAGAGACTTGAGGGCGTAGATTTTGCCATCCGTTTTGCGCTGCACCAATTTCACCTCTCCGAAAGCGCCCTTTCCGATGATCTTGATGGTCTGGAAGTTCTGTGGGGTCTCCTTGGTGCGGAGGAATCGCAAAAAGTCTGATTCTCTCTTGGAGATTCCCTCTGCTTCTTGGCGCTTTTGGGTCGCGGGAATGTTCGCGTCTTGGAGGGTCTTGTCCAGGTCAACGGAGCTGAAGGGTGCGCAAGGGCTCATGTTAGCTGCTGATTGGCAGACGAGGATCGGAGACTTGAGGAGAAATGCAGAAGAGTCAAATGTGCATACCGCATGTTACGATCACGAGCTCGCTCAATGTTCTCGTGGAAGAAGACCGTAACCAACTCCTTGGCAGCCTTGCCGCGCTTGTGGACATTCTCCGAGTACCGTTCTGGGTGGCGCTGCAACTCCTCGTGCTCCGATGGCGGGCGGGGGCTTCGAGGCACTGGAGGGACAAGGTGTGCAGCCTGCGCCTGGCCGGCCGGCGATCCTCCCGCGGTTCGAGGACGAGAGGCCGGGGACGGAGCCCGGTTGAAGAAACCCCCTCGGTTGGCGTTCAGGTCCTGGTTGGAGAATTGCTGGATCAACCCGTTTGTCGCATCATTGGCATACCCGGGGCGGGTCTGGTAGGCTGCCTGAGGTGATTGCAGGGCCTGTTGCTGCGCATACTGCTGATGCTGTTGCTGTTGCTGCTGCTGCTGCTGTTGAGCATACTGAGGATTCTGGGCAGTATAGGGATGTTGCATGAAGTATCCCGGGGCGTAAGCGGGATTTGAGGGGTCGACATAGTCCTGAGCTCCTGGGTTCTGATAGATCGGTTGGGGGAAAGCGGATGGAGTCGTGGGATAGGCACGGCTGTTGGCCGCGTTGTAGTTGCGGTCATTGTAGCCGTAGTTCGCAGGCATGCGATTGTTGTTGTTGTTCGGATCCATCTCGACGACTGGTCCTTTCTCCCGAATGAGAAAAGAACACGAAATCAAGCGTGGTCAGAGTGGAAAGGATATGGGAGATATGGAGAGGTTCGTAGAGACGTGGGAGAAAGGAGAACGAGAAGGCGGGGGGATTGTTTCAAAGAAGCGGTGGCTCCCTCAGGAGGCAATCCAGTCCCCCCCTCCTCAACGGGTATTAACCAAACATTGTCGCCAGGGGCCCATCCACATCAATGTGGCAATCAGTCCATCGATTTGGGTGGATGACAGAATCTATTTTGGTAGTCTCGATAGTATTTTCTTGACTTGCTTGTGAACCTGGGTTTGAACCTATATGCAGTCCTCGAAGCTGACCTTCCGTAATGGAGATATTTGTATTTTTTTTTCAAGCAATCTTGGTTAGCCAGTCCGAGAGTCTTCAGGCTACTAGTCTCGTCTCCGCCCATGATCGCTCATGTATAGATGAGCCTCAGCTCAAGTTTCTTCGAGCTATAGTGTTTTCGACCCCCCGAACAAGAATCGTTGATATTGATAGTGAACTGTGGAGTGATATAACTTCCAATGGTGTTTGTTTTAGCGCTCAACTTTACACTCGGCCACTGAACAGAACCTAAGCGCCGAGTAATTCCTCGACCAAACAATTCATTACTGCTAGTTGGCAGAATATGTTTATTGTCTGTCAGTTCATGCGGACAATCATATTCCAGGGTAGGTATTCTTCCCGAACACGGCAGATGATGGGTGTTGCCAACAGGCGAGATAGTAGTCTGAGACGTTTTGTACAAAGTCATAGGCACAAAATCGCAGTATTTCAACTACAAGAACTGGCGGTCACGGGCTACCAGCCTTGAGACACTTCCATCGATCTATTGAAATGAAATATAGTGTATTTTCTAACATGGTTTGTCGTATGGTACCAACTACAACTACTTTGCTGTCCGGCCAGTTGCCGCCTCTGGCACGTGATGCGGATACTCCAGGGCCCGCTCAACTTTTTTGCGGACACTCGCCGCAACAATCGCGATCGTTGGGTTCACAACACAAACAACATGGCCGATTCATCTAATTCTGGCACCGCTGCTGGTGCCAGTAAGCCCAAGGTGGCTCCGCGGCCGCCAAACCCAGTGTTCAAGATGATGGGTATGTGTCTTGTTTTTCGCGCCCTTACACGGGCATTTCGCAGAACCGAGCGACTGACACCATCCGCAATGGCTTCTAGGCATGTCGAACATCCGCTTGAGGCTGCCGTCTCGGAACTGGATGATCTTCCTCACAATCACAGGCTCCTTCGCTGGTGCTGTGATCTACGATCGTCGCGAAAAGCGCCGTTCACAACAGAAATGGTGTGAGCTTGTCTCTCACATTGCCAATGAGCCGTTAGAGGTGAATGAGATGCGCCGCAAATTGACCGTCTACTTGGCGGCACCCCCGGAGATGGACTGCGAGTGGCGAGAGATCATTTCAAGGAATATGTCAAACCAATCCTGACTGCCGCCGCACTGGATTACACGGTCGTCGAAGGCCGCCGCGAGGGAGAGGTTCGTGCGACTACGGCAGAGAGCATCCGCAAGCTGAGGCGTAAGGCCGGGGAACCAAGCTCTGTTGTCGAGGAGCCTACGGTCGAGTCGGCAGTATCGGATATGCGAGAGCGCATGGGGATCACGGACGAAAGCGGTCCCAAGGGCGATCTCGTGATCGGACGGCATACCTGGAAGGAATACGTGCGCGGCCTGCATGAAGGTTGGTTGGGACCATTGGACCCTCCGCGTGCCCCCGTTGTGGAGAAGCCGATTGTCGAGTCACTCGAGGACACTTTGAAAGACACCGCAGGCGGTGATAAGCCCTCTGACGACGGCTCGACAAGTACGGAGCAGAACTCCGAAGAGGGCGAGAAGAAGGAAGAGAAGCGCTCGAAATTCGCCGGTCCTGCTCCCGCCTACATCTCTCCTGCCGACTACCCCGAAGCTCACCTCCCGCCCTCATTCCCTCAATCCTTTGACAGCTCCGTGCCCATCGAGTTCCCCCACATTCTGGGCTTCCTCAATACGCCAATCCGCCTGTATCGCTACCTGAACCAACGACATCTTGCCGAGAACATTGGCCGCGAAGTTGCAGCCCTCGTTCTCGCCTCTGATGCCCGACCCTATAGTAATTATTCCAGCTCATTGACCGACGACTCTCTTCCCGACTCTGTGGGTGGCATTGCCGAGCAACAAACCATCCTTGAGTTGGAAGAGAAGGAATGGCACAAGTCTGTGCACAAGCCTGATGAACATAACCCCGAAAAAGAGCGTGAATGGACAGAGAACATGGTGCTTGATCAGCGCATTGCCTCACGCATGCAGCGCGCTATTCTCTCGCCTGAAGATGAATCGCGCGCCCAGCGTGTCGGTGCTCAGGAGGAATACATTCTCGGCCGGGAGCGACCCGCTCCCGTCCCATTCTGGCAGCGCATGTGGATTAAGTACGGCTATGGCGAGGACGAGGAGACTCTGCGGAGAAAGCCGATCCTCCCAAACGTCGACGTCGATGGTGAAGATAATAACTAATGACCCCCTTGCTTTGGGGCCCCGTGAGAGCCATAGACGACGGCCGCTGTTTTGGTGTCTTTCGCAAGGAGATTTACGTGACTGATCTCGATCTTTTGTATGACCATCTGATTCTCCTGTCCATCCTGTATATTAGTCAGTATTAGAGGCGTATCGATTTCCAATGGAATATATGGGGAGCCACAATAAACTTAAATACTCAAGTCTCGTGCGGCCGCGGTCCTTTATAAGTACGCCAGATAACTTTCCAGGCGCCTGGTAGACACCTCTGCCGAGATTATCGTCGATGGCCTATGTCGGCTATGACTTTCTTTCAAGCTAAAAGCGCAGCATCATGCAGCTCTCGCTTGCGCGGACAAAAATCCAGCATGTACAAGGAATTTCCAACTCCAAATCTTGTGACATTGACATGTAGAGGAATAAATTGAAGTTTACACGGTACAAATGCACATGAGCATTTAAATGGTATCTTCGTTTTTGGGCAACCACGTTCACCGCAGTTCATCTCCGATGTAAATTGCTTCATGTTCACCTGCACATTGGTATTATCACCGAATGTATCCAGTTGTCAAGGCCTCAGGAATGCGACGGGATAAGGTTACCAGACCGCTTAAGTCTCGGGCGATCAGGTCCGGCCATATTTCAGAAGAGAAATCTATTCGGCGTGAAAGGCAGTGGCCTCTGGCCACTTTGCGTTCGCTTTTTGACGGAAAGCGGACGGGTCACTCTTCCATTTCTTCAATGTCTCGAGGGCAGCGACTGCATCATCAATAGTGATGCTGGGCGAATCCAACAGCGCCACGACGTCCTTGTCGCACTTTTCCTTGCTGTCAGGCTTGAGCGCTTGACGGGCAGACAGCGCGGCCAGGACATGTCCGGCACTGTCTTTGTTGGCTGTCAGGTAAGTTTCGTTCCATTCCTCAAGGCTCTGGGATTTGGGAAGCAGTTTCTCGAAACCTGCGTCGACTGCTTCAGCAATGGGAGAAGGAAGAGGCTCTGAAAGACTGTCAAGAGCCTTGCGGAATTGGAGCAGCTGGAGGTGGAGGGCGGGATGAGAGGGGTCCAGGGCATGGGCGGCCGAGAGGCATTTCAAAGCCAGCAGGTGCTTGCCTGGAGAGAGTCTCATGTCAGTGAATGTTTTTTTTCTATGAAGTCTTTTGACCAGGACATACCTCGCTTGAGATAAACCTCGGATCCAAGGCATTGCACCTCCACATTCTGTGCATTCAATGACAAAAGAGGCGTCAGGAACTTCATCGCATCGTTCAATGGATCCTTTGTCTGCACAAGTGTGTTGCCCAAGGGATCAGGGTCCTCCTTCTTCACCTCGCCATCGGCACTCTTGGCATTGGCGGCGGCGGCCTTGCGAGCCTCACGCTTGTCGGCCTCAATCTTCTCAAGACGCTGTTGCTCCTTCTTGGCTTTTTTGAGTGCCTTCTTACGCTCGTTCTCGTCCATGACAACATCTCCATTGACTCCAAGGCCGTTGGGACCGTGCTCGAGATCGGGCTCGTCGTGAAGGAGAAGGTAAGACTTCACGGCAGAGATGGCCACGCGAGCGTAGAACGGGTGCTCGCGCAGACGGTCCTCCCACCTCACCATATCAACGTAGGCTCGAATCATTCCCTTTCGCAGCGAGAAGCTGTGGAAGTCGACTTGATCTTCCTGCCACGTGTCAAAGATATTATAGACAGCGTGGAATCGCTTCAATGCTAGGCCGAGCTTCCTTTGTCGCAGATATGCCTCGCCATCTTCCGTCAGATACCACGTGCATTGCATCTCGTGAAGATCGCCCAACGCTCCGCCCACTGTTTCGTTGCGAGTGAATTTGCTCATGTTATCCAAGGCCTTGTCATTCTCATTATTTCGGAGCTGGTACTTTGCAGCCTTGGAGTTGATGTATCGATCCTTCTCATCGAGAAGGCGCGCCTTCTCCATCTCTTCCGCAGCGCGCACGGTATTGCCGTGGTGCTTCCAGATCCGAGCCTTTGTCATCTGGTATTCCACAGCCTTGGGTGCAATTTCGATGGCCTTGTCCACATTCTCCATAGCCTTGGTGAGATCGCGACTGAGGTAGTAGTTGTAGTGCTGAGCCAGGAAATAGTATGATGATGCCAAGAACTCATCCTTGTTCCCATTTGAGCCGTTCTGTTGAGGCGACGAAACATATCCTTCCACCAGCTCCTGAACTGCGTCACGCTTGGCGGGGTTAGTATACAGAAGCTTGATGTTGGCAAAGAGGGAAGGGACACCCTTCTTGAGCATGCGTTGCAGGTATGCATCCGCAGCCGCCTTGAAATCCTCGCCCTCGAGGAAATCCAAGGGGATGCGGCGCGCGGCATCACCACGCGGGTTCTTCTCCACCCATTCGTCGTAGAGGGATTTCAATGCCTTGTGGTCATCGCTGGCAATTTCCTTGGCTTGTACCAATCCATTGTAGTAGACTGAGTTCTCCGGGTTTCGATCCAAGAGAGCAGTGTACGCATCTGCGGCCTCAGACTTGCGGCCTAAGCGGAGGAGGTAATCCGCCTTCATTTCCATGACAGCGAGAACATCGGTGCACCTATATCCAACCTTCTCCAAGTGCTCAAGAGCCCGTTCCAGATTCCCCGTCTCGGCAATGATCGAGTTCTTGTACAGGCAAGCCTCCGAGTGCTCCATATCTGTGAGGGGCGGCGGGGTCTTGAGTGTGTCTTCATACGTTGTCAACACCTTCTCTGCCTCTTCCAAATCGCCCGACAAATGATGAGCGATTGCCAGAGCAGTCCAATTTAGACGGAAACCGGGGCGTGCTTGAAGCATCGTGCTGCGACTTTGGATGTATCCCTGAAAATCACGCGTCTGCATTTGGAGGAGCGCAAGGTCACGCTGGATTGGCTGCGACTCAGGTTCCAATCGTAAAGCGAATCGGTAGGCCTTGATCGCCTCCTCATAGTTCTTTTCTTGCCGATACAGGAGCCCGTAAACGTGCCAGCAAATGTGCGACTTCATGTCGATGCGCAGAGCCTCCTTGGCTAGCGTAAAGGCCTCTTCCAACTGACCCATGTGGCTCAGAATGAGAGCCTTCATCGCCTGCGTATCGGCATGAGTTGGATTTTTCTTGAGGACCTGCTCTGCCGTCTTGAGGCCTACCGCAATGAAAAGGCAGTTAGTGGACAGCTCGGGACCCTTTGAGGCGGGGTAGGCGAAGGGAATGTATCTGAACCTTTCTTGTATTGCTTCTGCTCGAAGTTCCGAACTACTTGACGGAACAAGGCTTGGTCCTTGGAGCTCAATGCTTGCGGCATGGTGGGCGACGCTGCTGGGAAGCAAAGGAATTGACTGGTGCGAAGGAGGAATCAAAGTGTGCGGGGAGCGGCTGCTCCGAGTCCGAACTTGACAGATTAGCTGCACCGTGCCGATAAGATAGGGCCGAGCGCCAGGTTCAACTCTCGAAATTTACATCCCTACTAGGGAAGCTGTGTACCAGCAGTATAATTCGCAATATTTGATTCGTCAAATACAATCTTCGAGATAGGATGACTGCAGTAGAGAACAAACGAAATTTGTCTCGACCCAACCGCATCTCGATGTCAATCTGACGGTAAATTCTTCTACCATGGAAATGAATACTACACAATGCGCCTTATGCAAGTCATACATGCATGGAACACTCCCGGCGTACGCTTGAGCAGTGACAATTGATAAGATCAGTCGTGCTTGGAAGGGACAGCGACCATGAAAGTGCCGGGCTCGGTGCAATCTGGATCGAGGTCCTCTAAATTGCGGTAAATTATGTCAAGAAGATGGGATTGTTCCATGCCGCTCCATATATGCAGTAGATATAATACAAGTATGCTTGTGTTCGTGTGAAGGGTGCCGGCTGGCGATGAAGCCCTAATTGAAGTCAATGGCGTTCGACCTCGAAGACGGAAGATTCGAATCCCCTAGACAGACAAGAGATATCCACGTCAAACCGGGTTTGGTCCACCAAAGTCTCGTCAAGCCACAGATGCAACGTGGCGATCACCGTGAGTGCGTCTTTCGCCATGTGTTCAGCGCATCCTCCCATGAGGATGGAGCATCGGCACATCTTTCTGTCACCAGGCCCCAGGTCCGACTCCGAATGATCTCTTCTACGGTTCTTTGGTTACGAATCAGATTGGCGAGTGACTCAGTCCGGGCCTCTCGGGGGAAGAAGCGCGCTGAGTATGGATCTAATCGCTCATCCACCACTCGCTCCCGGTCCCGGGCTGATTCTGTGTCGCGCAAGATCAAATCCGGATCATCTGGATCGGGACTGGTCGCCACACCCGCACAATAGTTCAGGACGTCTGAACGAGTCTGCCACGAGGGAAAGAGCACGTTGTCTCGGAACCCTTGACATGCGGAGGGGTCAATTGTTTTCCGCGATGGGGAGCCCGTCTGTCGCGCAGCTGTGGAGGACGGATCCCAATTGTTTCTGGACGGCGTAACCAGTGCATTCAAATTCTGCGTTATAGAGTCATCAATCGTGGACCGAGACAGCCGAAGGAAATCTGTTAGATACTGCGGTCAGCTTCACATGGATGGTGGCGACACATCGGAGCAAGCACAGTGGAAAGGTGGACTTACCTTGAAGAGCCGTCTCGTTGAAGCAGAACTGAGGTGTCAGCGTTAGAGTCTCAGTCGAGATAGGCTGTGACATTTTGTTGCCGGCTGTTGCCTCCGAACCAGGTGTCGCCGTGTTGCGAGCCCAAAACCACTCCAGCTTGGACGTGTATGATATGCTGTTTGTGAGATAGGCCCTTCGATGACGTTCACTCGTTCGCCAGAATAGGTCTGTAGCACAAAAGGGACACTCCCTGCAGCGTAAAATGTAGCTGATAGTTTATGTGACCAAGGGACATTCGTTTCTCCGGATAGCTTGAGATGATCGCTATCCTAAACCCTCAATGAGGTCGGCCATTCTCGCCGCATGACTGAATGCCAGTCCCGATCAGGGCTAGCGTCCGATGTGCTGCTGAATAATGGGTCCGGTTCCAGCTCTGGAGCCCGCAGGCCCCAAGCTCGTTCCTTTGCAGCCCAAGCTGAGCTGTGGCTCCACTGGCTTGAATGCTCAATGACGATGTTCGGCCGGTCCATACGTGATGTACTAACTGTAATGAGAATACTAACCCCAACATGAGCCTGCATCTCAGTTAAGGGCTCGGATCACTTGGACAAGTACTGTACCACGGCAAGTGCCGGACCTGCCGGTCCATTTGCACCTTGACAATCTGATCACGTGGTTTCGTGTCGCGCGTGAGATCTCGTGTCAAGCTCAAGGGATCCTGTCGTGCACTCCCCATTCCTGTCCTTGTTCCTCTCGGACTGCGTCATTCTCCCTATCTATCCGTTGTATTATAATCACGATTGAACTGTGGAAACCTCAAGATGCCTGAGCTTGCTGAAGTGGGACGCATTGTACATTTCATTCGACAACATCTTGTTGGAAAGACCTTGTCCAAGGTGCAGGCGAATCATGACGAGATTATATATGGCAAAGTCGGCACAAGCGCGGCGGAATTCCAGAAGGCCATGCAAGGAAAGAAAGTGACCGGAGCTGGTCAGCAAGGAAAGTACTTCTGGATGACAATGTCTACTCCACCGCACGCGGTGATGCATTTCGGAATGGCGGGCTGGATGAAGATCAAGGACCAAGACACGTATTACTATCGCTCAGATAAGCCGGGCGATCAGGAATGGCCGCCCAAGTACGCTAAGTTCATCCTGGAGACAAGCGAAGACCCCCAGACAGAAGCCGCCTTCGTGGACCCGCGTAGGCTGAGCCGCATTCGCCTGGTGGACTGTCCCGCCGAGGAGATTCGCAATCACACCCCTCTCAAGGAGAATGGTCCTGATCCTGTTGCCGATAAGGACATTGTCAATGAAGCATGGTTACGCGACAAGCTCAGGGCCAAGAAAGTTCCAGTGAAGGCGCTGCTGCTTGATCAAGCAAATATAAGCGGCATCGGAAATTGGTTAGGGTAAGGCTGGCAGCTGGTCATTCTTCCTGGCGAGAACTTGTGTGACTGATCTTGATTTGATTCTAGAGACGAGATTCTGTACCACGCCAAGATCCATCCAGAGCAGTACAGCAATACTCTCAGTGATGAGCAGATCAAGGAGCTCCACAACTCACTCCATTACGTCTGCTCCACGGCTATGGATGCTCTTGCAGACTCCGAAAAGTTTCCTGAACATTGGCTCTTCAAGCACCGATGGGGCAAAGGGAAGAAGGATCACCCGAAAGCGCTTCCCAACGGAGATAAGATCACGTTTATCACCGTGGGAGGCAGAACAAGTGCGGTAGTTTTGGCGGTTCAGAAGAAGTCCGGTGCGGTTGCGACGGACAACGGCGACGGCGGAGAATCTGCGAAGCCCAAGCGCAAGAAGCCAGTCAAAGAGGAGGAGGAGGAGGACGAGACTTCTGATGTTGATGAGAAACCAGCGCCCAAGGTGCTGAAATCTAAGGGGCGAGGAAGGTCGTCCATCAAGAATGAAGCAAAAGATGAAGATGCAGTGAAGGAAGAGTTGCCCCAGGATACTAGTCCTCCTCGACGTCGATCTACGCGGTCAAGGAAGTGATAGTAACTTGAGACTATTACCCGAACATGAGCCGTTGACTAATTTCACTGAATGCAAAATGATCTATATTTCATATGGACACAGGAGTTTCATCATAGGAAGATTATACGCATCGAAAGGTTGGAAAGGCGTGTCTTTTGACCTCATGACCAAAACTCGAGAAAATTGCAAGTCAGATTCGGGAGGGAAGTGACATTTTTGAAGAGTCTTTTTCATCAGAGAAGCCGCTATGGAAGTTACTCGGAGGATTTTTTGACTCGCAGGACATGAAAAATGGGGATGCACGAGCCAGAGACTTGACCTAGGTACAGGCCATATCACACAATGATGTAGAAAGACACTTGCTGTTTCTGAGCCACCGCTCAGATTTCTAGGTCATGCAAAATTGCGTGGAACGTTTTGAAGTTCGTGTCGTTAGCCGGGTCGTAGACCGCAAAGACGATGATATCAAACCATGCTTTGAATTCAGCCGCCGTGAGAACTCTCCGCCAGCAATCTGCGACCTCTTGAGGTGGATGACCAAACACACCACATCCCAAGGCGCCGAGAACAAGTCGTGTATGTCCATGATCAGCTGCCAAGCGCAAAATGCTGCGCATAGTGTTCTCCATTCGCTCGCGCTGTTCAGCACCGGCGTATTTCTTGCGGGTCAGATCCAGCGCTGGGCTTGCTTCTGCAGCCACGGAGACGACCGAGATCAAAGGAAGACATTCGGGTCTGTCGATCCACATCTTGAAGTATCCCTTGTTCTGGTTCTCACGGAGAACCAGAACATTGCTGGTGTAGACGCCTTCCTTGGCCTTCAATGGGTATAACTTTGAATCAAGTCCATGGTGGATCAAAGTGGTGCGATACACAATTTGTTCCTCCTGAGCTGTGGCTCCAGCCTTCCAATCTCCTCCGGGAGTGGTTGCGTTGGCGAAGTTGAGGACAAGGACACGAGTCTTTCTGGCTACTTCCAAGATATCCTCTGCAGCTTCAAGAGCAATTGCAGCGTCAAGGGTATCTTTGTTGATCACTTTGACGGTAGTCCCATTGATACGGCCTGGGTGCTTGGACGACGTTTCTTCCGAGTCGAGAGTGGGAACATCATCCCAGGTAAACTTGAAATTAATACCAAAGGTGCCCTCATATGCATCGATAATGTCTTTAGCAATAGGTTGAGCCTGCCACGCGGTGAGACGTCGTGTGTCATTCATGTCTTCTTTTGCATTCCTTGGGAATGGGCGCTGAGATGTGGTGTATCTCCACGGCTTGGTTCGGGCATTGTAGGCGCTCATTTTAGCACCAATGTCTATCAGAACGAGGTGATGATCGATCAATCGCAGCAAGTGGAAAGGAGTGTGAGAGTGGTACGTAGCACAATGAAGACTGTGATGACTTGATCATGGGCGCTGATCTTTTTAAGTCAACTCTGAAAATGACCTCGTAGGAGTCGATTCCAGGAAGAGTTGCAGGGCACTCAAATTCCCCTGTTTAGGCTCTTACGAGTCAACATTCGCTCAGGCCTTTCTTTGTCAAAGAACTTTCATTTTCACTGCACTGATACTTCATAGTGTGCTGGCATTACCCAATAAGGTATAGAACTGAGCTTCTTTGCAGCCGTATAGTGCATTACTACAAATAGAACAAAGAGTCCTTTTGAGACACTCTTACGGAGTAGTTCCCATGCCGCCAATGGCAAGGCTCGTATAGCGCCTGCAGCCGGTCAGCGCGGGGAACGGTGCTTATCGTGCTTATCGTGCTTATCGTGCTTATCGTGCTTATCGTGCTTATCGTACTTATCGAGAGATCTGCCCCGATATCGCGAGAGTTTCCGCGCTTTTGGTGGAACTCGCCACAGATGACAAAGCCCGACTGGGCCGCAGTTGGTTCTATGCACTTGACTTATTTTGCTTTGTTATTCGATGCTGCTGGACTCACATCCTTTTCCCACTTTGGTCCTAGTACACCGCTGTCGTTAATTTTACGGGCGAAGCCACTTCTTTGTCCTACACCGGAATTTTGCTCTTATCAGTCTCAGCCCTGGATACTTCTATCGCAGCTTAAACGTTGAGCGGGGCTACTTAGTTCGTCCTCGAGCAGCCCCCGCCACCATGAGCGCAATTCTTTCAGCAGACGATTTGAATGATTTCATATCACCAGGAGTGGCATGTATCAAGCCAGTAGAGTCTCTGCCGAAGAAGGGGGCAGAAACTACAGAGGTAAGTCAACCGATCCCATTTCTTATTTCTTACATGCCAAGAGCACGTTGGTCTGACTTCTGGAATCCTAGAATGCGTATGAAGTGACGACGGAAGATAAGGTTCAGCCTGAGAACCTGCCTCCTGCACAAATTTCATTGACGGACTGTCTGGCATGTTCGGGCTGTGTGACCTCTGCGGAAGCAGTCCTCATCTCTTTGCAATCCCACACGGAGGTCCTGAACACTCTCGATGCGCACCCCGAAATCCCACTTGCGCGAGACGCCCACGGAACCACAATTGCGGTCCAACACGACGACAGTGAAGGCCGACTATTTGTTGCCAGTGTGAGCCCTCAGGTCAGAGCCAGTCTAGCCGCCACATACGGCATTCTTGAGAAGCAGGCGGGATGGATGATCGATCAGCTGCTGCGCGGCCCGCAAGGTCTGCGCAGCGGTGGTAAGCACGGCAGTGGATTCACATGGGTAGTGGATACTAATGCAATGCGCGAGGCTGTCTTGACTTTGACTGCAGACGAACTTTCGCAATCAATGGCGGACACAGCTCCCACCGCCGACGACCCGAATTTCGCTCTTCCGAAGCGGCCTATCTTGTCGTCTGCTTGTCCCGGATGGATCTGTTACGCGGAGAAGACGCATCCATTTATTTTGCCGCACCTTTCGCGACTCAAGTCCCCCCAGGCACTTTCGGGCACTTTTCTCAAGTCGGTCTTAAGCAAGTCGTTGGGAATTTCGCCGTCTCGAATTTGGCATCTGGCAATTATGCCGTGTTTCGATAAGAAGCTGGAGGCCAGTCGAGAAGAATTGACCAACGTCTCCTGGCAGGTCGACGGTATTCACAATGAATCTGAACTTCAGCAGCCTGTCCGAGATGTTGATTGTGTCATCACGACTCGTGAACTTCTCACTTTAGCCGTATCTCGAGGCGTCTCCCTGACGCAGATGCAGCTCAGTCCGCTGTCTTCTACATACAGATTGCCGTTCCCAGTGAAGTCGCTTGACTCATTCGCCTCTTCTAGATACTCCTCGAGTGCCCAGAACCTGGAGACTGGAACATCGGGAGGCTACCTCCACCACGTTCTGCAATCGTTCCAGGCTCGAAATCCTGGCAGTCGACTCGCGGTAAATAGGGGCCGTAATGCCGACGTTGTGGACTATGTTTTGACTGCCGAAGATGACCAGGTTATCCTGAAAGCAGCCCGGTACTACGGATTTCGCAACATTCAAAATTTGGTTCGAAAATTAAAACCTGCCCGCTCTTCTCGGATGCCTGGGGCGAAAACGACGGTAGGACGACGACAACCGGTATCTCGTAATGCCACCGGTGGCGCATCGGGCACAGACTATGCCTACGTTGAGGTCATGGCTTGTCCTGGTGGGTGCACCAACGGGGGTGGACAAATCCGCGTCGAGGACGCCAGGGCAGTTCAAGAACCGTCCTCGGCCGGTGAAGTCGTTCAGGATGGAGAAAATGGCAGCTTGAAGCCATCCCCTCATGAACAACGAGCGTGGCTTGCCCGTGTGGACGAAGCATACTTTTCCATGGAATCCGATACCGAACATGAAGACTCGGAGACCCCCCGAGACGAGTCGCTTGGCGAATCGGAGACTCGGATTCACAATGCTTTACAACAGTGGTCAGACTACATGGCTATTCCCCTCTCGAAACTTGTGTACACCACATATCGCAAGGTGGAAAGCGACGTCGGTAAAGATCAACTTGATGTCAATGACACCACCAAAGTTGTCGAGCTCGCGGGGAAAATTGGTGGTGGGTGGTAACGACGGACTCATGTCTTTTTGATTTTGTGTTGCATTGTCTGCGTGGAGCTCTCTCGTACAGTCGTCATGACCGATTTTGGACGACTCGATACATATATATACCATTTCTGCATTACATTCTGAGCCACTGTGGGTTTGGTCTTGCATTCTACATATAGATCAGACGAAGTTGATACATGCGAAACATCTCATGCATACATAGTTCCTTTTCCAAGTTAGACTATTCGCACGGGATCAGTGTACCACTGCCTGAATAAGTATCTGGGGACTTCAGGGGTCTTCGAAATAGTTCGTCCAAACTGCAAGATACCTACCATGCATTCCCTAGTTACACCATGCAAGACGACTGTCCCAAGACGATCATTCAGAGACGACTCATCATGGATGAGCCGCCTACACAGATGAGAATCTCTTGATTTTGTCCTAATTTTAGAGGTCAGATTTGACCAGTGTTATTACTGTGGCCGAATGGTGACCTTATTTGAAATTTTACATTTTGTGAAGTTTTCCAGGTATTAGTATCAGACGTCCTGCCATTAAAGCGACATTCGTTGGCCTGCATCCCCCTTCAGCGGACTTACTAGTAGTCCGTCGAAGGGCTTGCCCGTCACTGTGCAGGCGGTCTGACCTGAGCGTCGTGGAGATGTCTTACATAATCAATCCCAAATCGCGGCCCGGGGAATCGACCGCCTCCATCTGCTCCACCGCGGCGAAAGAAAAAGAACTTCGCCGACATCCAAGCACAAGCAATCAGTACCTCTCTCATTCACCCTGTCCGCGCTCTCGCGATCGAAACCAAGCTGCTCGCTCTCGCTACGCTGTTCAAGTCCCCTCCCACCCAGAAAAAACTCCATCATCATGTCTCGCGAAGCCTACCAGGTGCCCTCGATGGGCGGTAGCCAGAACAACTTCTCCAACGAGGGTAGCGGTAGCGCCATGGCTGTTGACAGCCCTGCGATCAACTATATCTGCGGCCACTGCAGCTCGCGCGTTCCTCTGCGACGCAGCGAGCATATTCGCTGCAAGGAGTGCGGTCATCGTGTGCTGTACAAGGAGCGGACTAAGCGGTGAGTCTTTCTGAGAGCTTTGCGTTGGTTGCAGATAAGAAGATGTGAGCTGATCTTTTCATGTTTGACCCCCTGTACAGCATGGTCCAATTCGAGGCTCGTTGAGTTGAGCGCACAAGACCCGCGAGAAGTTTGATTGCTTGGGTATTGTTCGCGCAGTCGGAACCAACCCAGGTGGAGTCGAGATGAGTGGGATGTGTTGAGGTGTTAAAAACGTTGTCGGTCTTTTTTCTTTTCTCAGTTTCTGGGGTCATATCTCGTATGACCTGATGCATCAAGTGGCGCTCGGGAGTTTCAGCATGCAAATGACAGTCATCAATGAGATGGACCAAACGGCACAGTGCCCATCAATTTTACGTTCATATGAAAATCTACGTGCTTTTCTTACCTCGCCAATGTCAAGTCCTTCCGAGATCTGCCTATGAAGACACCCTTTGCAAATGGCACATAGACATGTGCTTTTAGTCTACCACACATAGTAACCAAATTCAGACATGAATCTCGAAAAAATTGACAAAAATGTCCACAATCATCAGTTTGAACAGTGCAGTGTTCGAACAATCATCATCACAGCTTCATCACGGCATCATCACAGCTGGTTGCTGACCTCGATGAATTGCTCCAGATTCTTGAGAGCCTGGCCGCTCTCAATCGCCCAGCGTGCGCGACGCAGACCCTCCTTCCAGCGCCCGCCGCCGGGGCCGCGCTCAGTGATGACCTTGCCATCATCGCCGTGGCCCATGTCACTGGTCTCTGCTTCGCAAATACCCGACGTGACCAGCAAAGCAGCCACGTTCATGAGCACAAATTCAAGGATGGGATCGTCACGAGCAAGCTCATTGCGCAGAATGCTCATGAGCTTCAACGCGTTGTCCTTGGGGAGCTTACGCCCGCCCACCTCGGTGAGAGCGTGGGTGGGCAAGCCAAAGTCTGAGGGGTGCAGCTGGAAAGTATCTATCTTGACAATGGTCTTGGGGTTCGGGTCTTCTTCTTCTTCATCGTCGTCGTCGTCATTCTCCTCTTCCTCCACGTTGTCCTCTGAGGGCTTGTACTCCGGGTTGGGATGTTCTGTAAGTCTCCAGCAGTTCGTAATGCCTGCACAGCTGATCTCGTCCATATCCTCAGCACCACAGACGACCAGAGCCTTCTTCGCGCCAGCATGTCTCAATGCATCAGCGAAGACAGGGCCCAGACTTTGGTACGCCACGCCGACCACTCGAGCCTCAATCGCCCATTCAATGGGGTTGGCGAGGGGTCCCATCAGGTTGAAGATGGTTCGCAGACCGAGAGCACGTCGGACGGGGTTGGCATACATCATGCCCGGGTGGAAGTTTGGTGCAAAAAGGAAGGCATAATTGGTTTTCTCGTAAACCTTGGCAATGTTGGTGGCGTTCACGGCGTTGATATTGGGAGGAATGGGTTGGATGGCATTTAGAACGTCGGCTGATCCAGAAAATGAGGTTTGGGCCCGGTTACCATGCTTCGCTGTCATCAGCAATGGCGACGCGATGATTGACGACGTCGTAGAGACATTGAATGTTGAGTGGGAGTCTCCACCGGTTCCGACAATGTCACACTGGAATTGGAATCCAACTTAGTACTTTTCCGGTACAGAAATCGAGAAAGGAACTCTCACCAGTCCACCTTGATAATTGCCTTCACGTCTTCCGCGAGTCCTGACAATTTTCCGGAGCTCTGACTTTTCGATTTGAGAGGCAGCTTCTCTCATGCGATGGGAACATTTCGCAATGACATCAGCCTGCTTGTCTTTTCCCGTAGAGTGAAGAAGGGTGAGAAGCGCCGCAGTTTGAATGTCAGATAAGCGGTCCTCAAAGATGAGGGCGAAAGCAGAGGCGATGTCATCGGCGCTAACTCGGATATCCGCTGTAGCGGGGTAGGCGAGTCGCTGAAGAAGTGGTGAAATAGACACCACCTCTGGCTTTTCATGCCTTGGTGATGAAGGCATCGTTGGTAGATTGACGAGACTGTTCGGACGAAAGGCTAGTCAGCTTTGAGAGGTCAATGGGTGTTTTGATCAGACGAAACAAAGACCTGTGTGACTCAATGCGCTCAATGCATTGGTAAACATCTGCGGCAAAACACGCTACCGCCTCGCCGTACGCTAATCCGTTTTGAGAATCTAAAAAATATCACCCGCTGAACTACTCCTCCGCTCCCCGAAGGCTGTCGTGATCCACATCAGTCTCGAAGAATTGGTGTCGCTGTGCACCCGCCATACAGTGTTCAATATGCCTCCACGTGTACGAGTTCCATCGTTGCATCGCCAGACCCTGAGATGCCCTCAAGAACTTCGGGTCGCGTCTCGCAGCGCCAGCACCGTTGCTGCGCCTGCAGTCACACCCGCGCCATCTATCGAGCGAATGACTCGCTCCAAGGCTCCGATCGCAAGGACACCTCCTGCCCAGCTGCCTTCTCACCGCAACCCTGAATACCGACGATCACAGCTTCTGCGCCAATACACGTCGCTCATCCGCACATCGCCATTGATGGTCATCTTCCAACATAACAATCTGAAGTCCATGGAATGGGCTTCAATCCGACGAGAATTGACCAAGGCTCTTCAAAAGGTGGACGAGAAGATTGCTTCTGAAGGACGATCGGCTCCACAGCTGGCGCCGTATATCAAGCTGCAAACCATCCAGACCAGTATCTTCGAGGTCGCCATTCGAATCGTCGAGTACTTCCGGCCCAACCAGGCCGCTCAGGCTGCCGGACAGCCTCCGAGTGCTGTCGACCCCATCACACAAACTTCCGCCGAGCTACCGGCCCTCTCTGGCTCCCGGGACGATCCTGCCTTGACGCATGACCTGTCCCGCGCCGCCTATGCTGCGGTGAGGAATCTGAAGGGACGCCACGAGCTCGGCGATATCCTTGTTGGCCCCATTGCCATCCTCTCCATCCCTGCCGTCTCCCCCGAACACATGAAGGCCGCTCTGTCGATCCTGACGCCAAAGGAGTCTGGATTCGCAGCCCCTACCCGTAAGGGTAACCCAGACTATCATGACCCGATCGTCCAGACTGGTCTCCAGAAGCTCAATTTGCTGGCTGCTCGGGTTGATGGCAAGGTCTTTGATATTAACGAGACCAAGTGGGTCGGCAGCATTGAAGGAGGTATGGATGGTCTGCGTGCGCAGCTGGTCATGGCTCTGCAAAGCATGGGATCCAGCGTCACAAGCACTCTGGAGGGAGCTGGAAAGAGTCTGTATCTTACTATGGAGAGTCGACGAAGTGTTTTGGAAGAGGAACAGAAGCCCGCCGAGGAGAAGACAGAGTCTTCGTAATGTGGCGCCTCTCAAATTCACATTTATTTTGTATAATAGCGGCCAGTATGGGCCTCGGGTTATAGAGGACTCTTGGCAACGGACTTGTCTCGCATTTACATTGGATCATTGTATATCTTCTTCATTTATTTCGTGATATGGGCCTTTCTTTCATGATGTCGCTGTGGATACAAAAAGGGTTAGTAAGTGATTCGGTATCGTAAGTTACATGGCAGCGGTTTCAAGACGTGTCTTTTGGTTTGTACACTTGACCACCTGATTGCCTCTCTAGTTCTCCCTCAAACGCAGTTTGGCATTCATTCCGACAGTGCATCGCACCAGGTCCCAGTCACCGTCTAATCCCACCCAATCGGTGACCAAGATACCGGTAGAAGAATCACCATTCTCATCATATGGACGACGACACAGGTAGTCGACGGTGGCCGGGTTCACCTTGGCCGCAATCTTCTCGGGCCACGTGTTCGGCCGCCAGAAATTGCTCGCGCTCAAGAAGTTGATATAGAACGGGCATTCACGACCCTTGTCAGGATTCGGAATTTCGCCAAACGGATGGCTGTGCCGGCTCGCCCGGTCGATATGCTGCCTCACATAGTTGATCTTGTTGTCAATGTTGGTGGACTCTTGGACCTCGTAGAAATCTTGGATGCACAGATGCCCACTGGGACAATTGGCATTGGGATGGTTGTCTTCCCATCCACAGCCATCGATGCCCCAGCCGAAAGTGTCGTGCTGTTTCTTCAATTCGTCGGGGATCGAGAAGCGGCGTACGAGCACCACTTTTCCCCGAACCTGACCCAGAGTGGGAGGCCATGGCGTGGTCCACCAGCGACTGTCGGGGCGGATGTAGTGACGGGACAGGATCTCAGCCAGTTGCTCATCGGTGGCGTTTCCGGGGCCCTCGCGCTTCAGAGACATGATGACTGTCTCGGAGGGGTTCTGGTCCAGAAACTCATTGACTTCTTTCATGAGATCGCGGAAGTATTTGTTCCCTGTGAGTGAGATGGGGAAGACACTGTGCACGAGGATCAAGTCATCCTTGTCGAGATCTTCGGGGTATTGAGGTTGCACGCGGATATCAAAGAAGCGCACTCCGTTCTGCAGCTGTTCCTTGGGGCCCACGGCCTGGCACCGGACGGACGGCGGCGCCACGTAGCAGGTTGGGGAGTTGTGCGTGCCAGGAATCGATAGCCCAGGGAGTCGAATGTCGTCGCGCAGCTCATGCATCCAGGCATTGAGATTGGCCGAGGAGAAAATCGCCAAGTAAGACTCGTTCGTCAGGTAGACGCCTGTGAGGCGATGTTTGGAATTCTCGGACTCGCACTTCATTGTCGCCGATTCGGCAGTGGGCACGGGGACTTGAATGGTGTGCCGTTCACCTTCGACTTCGAAGGTCAGGCGCATGCGCTCTTTGTCCGAGTGAACGAAGGCTCGCCTATCAGTCTGATTCGTAGTGAACGGATCAATGCGCACATCGAGCTCATTTTGGTCCTCGAAGGGACGAGTAGCCTCACTGATTGCCTTGACGGGCTCTGCAATGCGCGTGGTGTTGGTCAGCACTCGGGTAAAGTTTCGTGCAAACAACGCGATATTATCGCCTGCATTGCTATCCTGCGGCGACTCGAAGCGCTCAATGCGCCTGAGAATAATTGGGGTGCTGGTGCTATTGCGAACGGTAAGCTTCTCGGCAACCATGATGGGGGTTGAGTGTGAGAGCTTCCCCCGCGAAACACAAGTGGACTGGGGGACTAACGGAAGATAAAGTTTGTCGCGGACGGGGGCGCAGTCAGATCTGTTTTTCTAGCGCCAGAGTCCATGCCACGCCGAGACAGACAGATCCATGACGGAAGCTGCACACTCAAGCGAGAGCACCGTCGACTGGCGGCTGCGAATGGATCAACGTGTGGAGCGGAGTGTCCGCAAGAGGCGTTAGCTCCTCTGGATGAACCCCCACTCCTTGTCCTCCAAACTGGATTTAGTGTCATTGATTTCTCGTGGGGGAAATTCTCGAATCGTCTTGCAATATGGGGGCAATTTGCTGGCGCCTGAAATTGATGGATATGGGGGCTGACTATTTGACACTACTGCTCGAGGGAGTATGCTCGGAGTTTTGTTCGATTGAAAGTTCGCAGGGCTGAGAACGCACGTCCGTTGCCAACGTGGGTCGAGCCACAAAATCGACTACCTCCCTCACGCAGTGCGCAACTGCGTACTTTTAAGGTTCCTAGATGCCTAGAGTCTAAGTGCACTGCTATTTAGTACGTACTTGGCACTACTTGAGTACTTGCTACTTAAGGTACCTAGTATTTACCTACTACTGACTGCAGGTCTATACTACGTGGGTCTCATGTTGTCGGTAGTGGCTCATCTCTTGAGGCTCTTGTTCTCCCTTCCGCCGCCAAGACGATGGCTTCGTGTTCACTCTCCTCTCTCTCTCTCTCTCTCTCTCTCTCTCTCTCTCTCTCTCTCTCTCTCTCTCTCTCTCTCTCTCTCTCTCTCTCTCTCTCAACGGCAACTGGACCGCGACTTTCCCTGAGCGGCCTCAAATCACGGAGCCCCTGGACACTACTGTATAGTGCATACTGCATGGTCATACTGCATTGATGTGGATTAAACTAGTAGCCCACGTATTTCTCGCTCGATTCATCCTAATACGATAGGCAGCCTAATTGAACCCTTCCACGGCTGAGAGACGTTTACGTATGCCTCTGGAAACGGACGCGTTGCGCTGGAGATCAGAACGAGCATTTTAAGGCATATTTAAATTGTTCATCGTTCCGATATATCAGGTTTGATTCAATTTCCATTGACTGTAACGGATCTTCACCATCAACGATTGCCAATGTCTCCATCTCAGGCGTTTCCAATCGACAAAAGCTCGGTGCCGGCAACGGCCGCCCACTCGTCAAAACCACCGCCTCCGCCAGCTCGCAATCCCAAGAATGCAAGGTCTTCGAACACGAATGTGACCTCGGAAGGTCCTGCTTATGGTGATTTGCCTGGCGTCGAAAAAAACGCCAATGAAGTCAAGTGCAATGGCACGGTCGTGTTCTCCTGGGCAGGAGATACTCTGGACACCATCGACTTTGACTTTCTCCGCACCAACGATGACAACCTCAAGGGAACAGTTACCCTCCGTCAGGTAGTAACAAACTATGCTGGCAGCGGCCAGTCTCGAAAGGTTGCCGCAGAACGGCTCTACAGGAGTCTTGGACGCCTGAGATGTCTTGACCATGCGATCGTGCGATACAATGCCGGATTGCGTTCGCAGACCTCTGAGTTCTTTCAATACTGGCGCCGACATACCCTCAGCTTGCTCTCTGGGTTTTGGATACAGATCGAATGGGGATTTAGCGACGATTGAAGTCATTGGTCTGACTGAGCTGATCAACCAAGTCGAGGAGATCGCCGGTCCCGTCATTCGGGCGGCCAGAGAGTTGATCTCAAATGGAATGCTCTCATTTGACGGGCTGGGAGAGCTGTTCAGACCCGGCATCCCTGTCAAATGCACATCTGTACCTGGATGCGGGCCCTGCGTGTATAGAGTGACAGATCCGCGCTGTCGTTCGTCATGGAACAGCTTCCTCGGCATCAGATCTTGAGCGAAGACTCTGTGACGTTCTCGAGTTGTGCGCAGAATGGGATGCGTTGGCCGTTCTTGACGAAGCAGACGTATTCCTGGAGACTCGTTCGACGTCTGATCTAATCTGAAACGCGATGGTGTGCGTGATACCTCGCATTCTCGAGTACCATCCTGGTATTTTGTTTCTCACAACCAACCGTGTTCGCACGATTGACCCGGCATTTGGGAGCCGCATAACCGTGGCTCTTCGCTACCAGGCCCTCGATGAAGAAGCCCGTATGAAAATCTGGAAAGATCAAGTGGGCCGATTGAAGATTGAATCCACGAGCGGTGAGATCAGCTTTGACGCACTGGCAAAAGTGCCCTTGAACGGTAGACAGATCAAGAATGCCTCTCGCTTGGCTGTGAGCCTGGCTGCTGAGAACGGCGCTCTGCTGAGCGAGAGGTTGCTTCTGGATACAGTGGGAATCATTTCACTTGGGCATCAGAATATCTTGGCGGGCGACACGTGAGATGTGAGAATCTGAAATGGATATACCCGGCTATGGTGGACCTCTTGTCGAGCTGCATGCAGGTGGGATGAGACAAGAGGCGCCGTGTGATTAGCGCCGTTGGGCTTCCACACTTTCCAAGCAGTGTGGCTTGCTGTAATGAAGGGCTTGGAAACAGAGTACTCACATTGACTACAACTCATCCAAGCTCCAAGCTTGGAAATTAGAAGGCTGTAAATATGATACTACCAGACTGGATAGACTGTGTCCAGAAGCAGAAGTAGAGGAATGCTTACATGCCTATTAAATCTACTGAATGTAGGACTCAAGACCAAGGCGAAATGGAGGCATTCAGACTTCATCATGCAGTTGTCTCCTGATACTCTCCTATTTCATACTTGAAGCGCCGAGCTGACCGCTACTTCCAAACTACCGGGGTCCACTGGAAGCAGGTCAAGCCCCAGGGAAATAGCCAAATGGCAATCAGACGCTGCCTTATTTAGTGAGATGGCCTACTCCTGAGTAGAAAATCGGGACTCCGGTTGAAGCCTATTGAAAGATTGGCCCTTGCTAGCAGGATAGGACCGTGGTTTTCCAGATCAAGAACACAAGTAGAATATCTGATCTTCACTCACGCTTATTCTCAACATGTACGCGTACAACCCAGCTACCTAGTAGGTAGTAGGTACTATTTAAGTAGCTACTATAGTAGCTAGTAGAACACCGGTTTACACCTCCGGAATATCCGATTCCTCAGGTCCCTCGTTATACCGATTCGAAGTGACTGGTCTCGTATGACGAAGACGATCGCCCTGCAAAATATTGGACTCGTTCACCGCTTCTCGTTCATCCTGTCCTGCAGCCATGGTCAGCGATCGTTATTCTGCTTCCTTGCTCAAACGGACCGTTGCAGCATGGAATCCCCAACGGGACCCCTCCATTGGCGGAAACATACGCAACTGTCGATTAGTATCTGCAGTTGCAGGATCTATCGGGTCCTCGACCGGTTGATCGTCGCTCTGCACAGGAACAATCTCGTCCTGATCTTGGTTGGCGCCGGTTACGTACGAGGTATCTGCAAATGCTCGATTCACGCGTGACTGGTCACTTTCTCTTTCGTAGACGTCCTCGGAATCTCGATTGATGGGATTCGACATTCTGTGTGGATGTGCAGGTTTGAAAATCGTGGAGTTGGTGGGAAAGTTAGGGATCGATGAGGAAAGGCCTCGGCTTGGAATGGGGGATGATGATGTACATAGCTGCCTACCTTACCGGATTCAGATAGCTGCAAGTTTATAAAAATCTTGGAGGCGATTGGAATCTGGGGAACGAGCCTCCACCGGGTATTGCCGCTCCGCTCATTATCACGTAATGGTAGAGTAATGCCTCGTTCATTGGTTCCTTCGACAAGCTTGGAGATTGGGGCTAGAACTGGGCTTACATGCTTGTGATTGCGGAAGCGCGGGGGTGGAAAGGTTCTGGATTGAAGACTTCAAAGCCCCGTGCGGTCGATTGTTTCAAGAAGATTGCATCGTACAGTAGTAGGCCATAAGCTTGCAATCGATGGTGTTTGCATCCATATGCTCTCAATGTCCACCCCTTGTATACTTACTCCCCGAGCATGTACCACTGTCGCAAAATCAAAGACTACGAGGGCTATGAGATGATCTTCAATGACACCTCTCCTTGTCGGCTTTATTCCAAAGGTCTCAATCTCACAAGTTGATTATTGTAATTGGGTTGGACCCCAAGACTTCAGCGTCGACCTCAAGCACGTTTCATCATGACGTGAGTAGATCTCGCCATCTGATACCCGGGTTGAAACCCTAGAATTACGGCAACTGACCGCTACTATCCCGCCTCGATATGTCATACTTGAATCATGCCTAATGCAGTAATGGTCCGATCTCTTCTGCAGTGCCGCGACTGGGGTAATGGGGGCTAGTAAGCAAGCTCGCAGGATCCATGCATTCATGCATCCATGAATCGAATTCCCTTCGCGCTGGAAGAGTGACTTGGCTCACAAGCCTGGAATCCTTTCCAACTCCCCACGATCTCGATCCTCCCGTGCCCACCCAGGAAGCCGTCATGCAAGATTGGAACGAATTTTTCAAGATCTGAGACGGGGCCAGGCCCACGGAACCGATAGAGTTGGCGTTGATGAGTTCGATTGAGTTTGTCGATTTCAACCCCACAAAAAGCATATCCCGATTCACAGTGGGGTTTGACAGGGCGGAAACGATCCCATTCAATGAAGCGGTTGTTCTTCGAGATTTGAAGCTTAGGTCTGCTGTTTGTGTACTCCCTGGTCCTTCCGTAGGATGACGGCGGATATACGCACCCCTTGGGGCATCGGACCCAGTTTGAAGCCGGTTTCCTCGCTGGGGGAGAATCGATTGTTTGAAGCTAGGGAATTCGGGGAAATACCGGTAAGGAGGCTTCAATCCTTGATTTGTAGCTCAGTATTTTGGTTGACGACGTCAAAGCTGGGACATTGCAACGACGAGATGATGGAGATGGAGACTGCCGTGTGAAAGGAAAGGTATAAAGCTGATGGAAAAGATCCCGCTGGGCCCTAGACTTTTTTCTTCATCATCGCAATCCCAAGCAAGACATACAACATCTTCCTCCATTCAATCACCCTTTCCACCTTCCTCGGAAACCCGTCTACTCAACTTCACCATGACTGACAACACCAACCCCGGAAACTTCGCCAACCGCTCCAAGGAAGAGGTCAGGGAGATTGCCAGCAAGGGCGGCCAGTCCAGCCACCAAGGTGGCTTTGCCAGCATGGATGCTGATAAGCAGGTCAGTATCATCTCTGTCTCTTCGAGCGGGGAATCCCCAGCCTGAAGAGGGTCATATATGCCATCACCTGTTTGTGGTCTTCTTCTCAGGACTTGACTTCAATACTGACCTTCTGTCCAGAGAGATATCGCCTCTAAGGGTGGCCAGGCCTCCAGCGGTAGCTTCAAGCCCGGTGACCCCCGCGCCAAAGAGGCCGGTCAGAAGGGCGGCCAGGCCAGCGGAAACACCGAGTCTGATGAGTAGATTCGATTAAATTGGATCCTCTGCTCTTGATCCAGCATCTAGCACTGCGATGGCGAGCAATCGTTCAATCAATGCCTTTGGTTTTTATCGGCCTAGTATCCAGGCTAGATTCGTTGGTCATCATCCTACGATCTTCTGTTCTCGCTCGAGCGGTCTATAAACAATCTCATAATAATGTCATGAATGTGCTCAAAAACTTTTAATACTGTTGTGTCCTGTGCATTTGCTACACATGCCAACGAATTTGGGAGGTTAGACCAATGACTGAACCTATTTTTGGCGCAGGGAGGGATTATGTATCGAATGGTTGCATAAGCGTCCTGTCAGGTGTGAATGTTATATTTGCTAGCGCCGAGGCATGTCCAACGAGTTGATGTCATATCCTCAGACGACTTGATACGCTATTATGAACAAGATTTGCAAAAATTCCAATTTACAGTCAGGTCGGTGCACCTTCCAACAGGCTTGACATTGTAGATTGAAATAACTTTAACATAAGTCATATTCGCATGTATATCCTCCCCTATCATGAAACAGATCAAGTATCGAGAAACCTGCTTTGAAAAGACTCCCTCCCACCAATTAATCCTCTGTCGAAGCCTCCGTAACCCTGAAGATCATCGTCATTTGCCACCTGTCACGCTAGACTAGCGTGGTGGCTTATCGGGCCAGGTACAATCACAGAACCGTACGCTGGGGCTTCAAACCAACTGATCCGTCCGAGAATACGACAGGATCAAAGTGGTTGAGTGTGCCTTTTGATCTGATTTCGTATGTACCTCTCCCCCATATGAATCAAGTTTGGGGTTGTCTGTCGAATACTTGTTGTCGCCATCCACGACAGATCGCCGCCAAGACGGGACGGAGTTCCGTCCATATGATCGGAGGTTGACGTTCGGTAGATTCATCCTACCAATCGTCGCGTGTCCCACCCACCATCTCTCCTTCCGCGTCACGGCCAGAATGAGATCACATCGCCATAGCAATCCAAAATGATCGGGTGGTAGAGGTAGACTGTAGTTGTGTTTGGGTGTTCGGGTTCCCTTCCACCTTTTGGCTTTGGCCGGGGAGGTAACGTGGCTTGCGTCTCGGCACAGCCCTTTTTCGCCTCTCTACCTACTTGGCCCGCTTTCACATGTGACATGACTTGTTGTCCCCCTGCAGTTGGCTCTGCTCCACGGTGAATCAGCCACAGCCTCCCGTCATCGCCTCTTGCCTGACGTGCATGTCTCCACCCGATGAGTTGAGCCATGCTTTGAGACCGCGATCTACAGTACTTGCACTGTATCGAGTGGACCCTTCCAGTTCCAACGTTGGATGTGCACCATTCGGGAAAGGGGACGAGATACGAGAGGAGAGCTTGCTGGTTTCCTTGGCCCAAGTACCCAACAACCTACTAGCCCTATACTAACGATCGTACTTGTTATGGTGAGTCGTGGTACAGCAGTACTTCTAACTTCGTAAGAGTCTGAGTCTCCCGCGGAGTGATCCACTTACCCCTCCTCCCCCCTCCACGCCGATGCGCAACCCAAAGAGCCCCACGCCTGTCACTCTGACGGAGCGATGATGTGATGTTTTCTGGCAGCTGGGAAAGAATCATGGCAGTGTGGCTGCATAACCAGGTTCCTGCGCCATACGAAGATCTCATGGAGTTCGAGTCGCAGATGACTTAAATATCGCTACAAATCCAGCAGATCATACAACATCCTCTTCATCACAAACAAACAAACTTCTCATATTCCAACCTCTTTTCTTTTCCAAACTCAATTCACAATGGAGTCCGTCAAGGTAAGAACAGCTGTCAGCGGTCATACCTGAGGCATGATCACACCTTGTTATCCTGTATCTTTCAAGTCACTAAACCAGATGCCTTTTTTGCCGTCTCTTACAGCAAGCCGCCAACTACGTTTCCGAGAGCATCCAGGGTACTGGTGCTCAGGCTTCCAAGGAGGCCAACAAGAACGTCGCCAAGGACTCCGACGCCAGCCTCGGCACCCGCGCCTCCGCTGCCAAGGACGCCGTTGTCGACAAGAAGGACGAGAGCGTCCACGACACCAAGGCCGACACCAACAAGGGTATGAACTGAGCCGAGAAGAACAAGCACTCTTTGTGATCACAGGCTGACCAACTCTTTCACTCCGCCACAGAGGCTGCTAAGCACTAAATTTGGTCGTCGATGATGCATGCAGCTGTTGCAGCTCTTTCGAGAACGCGTGTCGGAATAATGTATTCTTAATTGATCTTTTGAGGCTTATGATGTTATGATACAACCCCATCGCCATGAATCTCACTATTTTCAACTTTGAGTATCTTCCATTCTGTGCACTCTTGGGTGTCATCTATCGTACTCCTCCTCAGGACACTAGTTTTTCGTGATTTTCGTCGTTTCGATCCTTATCAGATGCATGCATTTGGAACACGTTCCACCGGCACTAGTCCTGCCTATAATGATTCCAGTCTCAAAAAATACCCTCGACGACTGCTCCAAATATCCAGTCCAGTCGCATTCATTTGCTGTATTCAACGCGTCTAGCATCAGCAGTACTCCAATCTTCTCTTCAAGAGTCATCCATTATACAAAACAGAAATAGGTACTCAAACGTGCATAACTTTGCATTAGTATGCATGCAAGATAAACCCCCGAGTTCGGCTGGCCCTGGCAGCTGTTCGGTCGAGAACCACGTGCTCCACTTGAGGTGAGATGCGGGCAGCGGCGACGGTTACGTAGGCCATGCTTGTGCATCCGTATGTATATCACTTCAAAGTTCGCCCTATGTAAGGTTCATCGTCTAAAACATTGACCAGCTCATCACTTCTTGATGTTCGTGGTTGCATCAACTTGCTTTCGGGATAGTCTTGGACCTGCAATATATCAAGACATGCTGCCGAGGGCGGAAACGACATTGATGAAGATTTTCAAGATTGATTCATCACCGCCCTCCATCATCCGAGAGATCAATGACGCTTTCTCTATTCTCCTGGACTTTGAGCTGCATAAATACCTAATGACTCTGTATCGAAGAGTTTCCGGCCTCGGCCAACGCCAGACAAAGCACTGAGCAGTGAGCACAGGGCAGGCTCATCCCCCCCCCCATCCCCCTGCAGTTTGAAAACACACTCTGGGTCCAGCCTCCATCCCGGCAAATTTCCTCCCGAGCCAGGACCCGAGAAGAATTAAACGAATCTGTCGATACGAGGCAACTTTCCTCTACGCATTGCAAGCTGCAGATGGTGGCACGGGCAAAAACAGGCGATCGTCACACGGGCTAAGCCTTTTATGACCCGTCGGCTGCATGGCTGCATAATCGGCTACATCATCGACTACGGACAAGCCTTTTTTTGTCGACGAGCTAAAGCGTGTGGCTGAAGCACGTGTATGAGATGTGTCGATACTGTCGAATGATTTGGTCGGATTTCAGCATGTTGTGAGAGAGACGAATCTTGATCTGTGTCACCTTTGGGATTGTTTGCGTGTCGGGGAATACGTGTGACGGTCGGCAATGAGGTCTGAGGTAGATGTTGGGGTCATATGAAGAAGATGATTTCCGCGTAGGGGGCCTGGATGATTTCAACAGTTCTTGATCATCCATTTTGACTCCAGCATATCCATCTGCTCAGCCAAACCCTAGTGCACACTGCACACTGCACACTGCACAGAAGCTTCCCTTCATCACAAACATGACCATCCCCCACTACGGCGTATGGGCCTGCCAGCCTACGAGTTACACGGCTCAAACCGAAAAGCAAGACCCCAAGTCTCCTCATATCTACCTGCACTTCACAGATGATACATCTTCCACCAAGAGCCTTGAGGCTGCCATCAATGTCAAATCCATCGACAAGGACACCCGGCTTGTCTTTTGGGTGAATCGTAACTTCCAGCACCCTGTGACCGAGACCCTCTCTGCTCTCGATCTGGGATTCCACCTCACTTCTCCACCGAGTGATGCAGCCCATCAGAACGACAATTCAAACTCCCAGGGTCAGGGTCAGGACCAGAACCAACACCACAATCACAATCACAACCATGGTCATGGTCATGGTCATGGTCATGGTCATGGCTACAGCCACGGCCGGAGCAACCGAGGACAGCCCGTCCGTCGACAACAATCAACCCTGCAGGGTCTGGACTTTGTCCGCACCCAAGATCTCCTCAATCTATCGTCGGGACAAGTACTCCCCCACGACATCCCAGGCCCGAACAACGATATCCTGGACCACCTCGACCCCATTCTTACCGACGCGATCAACCAAAAGGCCACCGGTTATATCTTTGGCTCGTCTTATGGCTCGGGGATCCACGATGTGCATATGAACCAGGGCAGCCTGCCCCGGTTTGAGAATGGGATCTATGAAGATGGTGCCCTGATCTTCAAGTTTGATGATGGTCACTGGGAGGCGGTCTTCCTTGCGTTTGCCTCGCAAAAGGTACCTACTGATGACCGGGGCGAGGCGTTGTCGGATAGTAAGTCGTTGGCGGATATTTTGGGCCAGGGAAGGAATTGATCGGTGACTCAGTATGGAGAGACCGAGGACGGAATTCAACCGATTTGAAGATCTTGATGAAGCCACTGAGCTGTACCTCCAAGACTTATCATCATACTTGGATGCAAAGTTGGACATTGGATCGCATAATTCGACGAAAGCGTACATGAATCGTTTACCATCATAGTGTTTTAGTGCGTCCAACTTCTGGACACGGGAGTCCATCTATAGCTGAAGCTTGTACCGTACATTGCATCAGCAATTATCCTCGAAGCTTCCCCGATGACAGTACTACTATGATCTTCTTAGATAGATGGCTTTCAAGCTCGAAGTTGATCGACCATCAGTTTCGGCTGTTCACTTGAACGAAATACCCCAGACACGGTCCATCGGAGTTCCTCCCTGCCTCTCGCACTCCCCCGCATCAAGTCACGTGCCTTTCCACGTCGGTTACCCTCGGCGCGGAGCAGGAACACCAGTAGATAAATGCCATGCTGGGGCTCATCTACCTCGAGTAGTTAATGCCCCCCTCCTCCCCTTTCTGTCATGGCTTTTTTGTCTTCTTTGGTGGTGCGAATTACAATCCCAATTTGCTAGAGGTTCACCAGCGCTCTCCGAGGAGAAAGTCATCATGAACGTCCTACGTACAGGGGCCAATGTTCCCCGGATCTTGCGATCCAGTCAACCCCGGAGTCTTCTCCGCACGCACTTCCGCATTCAACCCGCCCCGAGCCGGGCTTTTCATGCTGGCCCCTCGCTTTGGGGAATTAAATCGCAGATTTTGAAGGATGTTGGAGAGGGTGAGTGAGCTCGAGGCTTTTTATTTTTCTCACTTTATTCCACTTTGTTCTATGCACTTCTTGGGTTTTGGCAATTGCTCGGACGATCTTTCTGAATTGACGATCTCTCCCCATCTAGGTATTACTGAGGTCCAGATCATTCAATGGTATGTGGAAGAGGGGGCCCATATTGAAGAGTGGAAGCCGCTTTGTCAATACCAGTCGGATAAAGCTGTCGACGATGTGAGTATCAGTCTTGGAATGCCCTTTATTTTGGGACGGGGATGGCCGCTAAAATCAAACGTACGAGTCCAGATCACGTCACGATATGCGGGTGTGATCAAAAAACTTCATTTTGAAGCGGATGACACGGTGCCAACAGGCAGGGTAAGTAAATGAAAAAAAAAAAAAAAAAGTAGCCTTTCATCACTCCTGGTCTTCCAAGAGCTCATTTGAATTTTCTCCCTCAGGCCTTGTGCGATATCGAAGTCGAGGACGGGCAATATCCCGATGACCATGCTGCCCACGAGCCAGCACCGGAGGCCGAGAGTGCGCCTGCAGTGACAACTCCAGAGGTTGAAGCACTGTCACCCGTGCAGGCTGCAGAGACCTCACCTCTAGATCCTCAACTTCCAATCACCGAAGAGCCTGCGCAGATTCCCAAATCGAAGCACGCATCTCTTGCGACTCCAGCTGTGCGAGGTCTCTTGAAAACGCACAACGTGGATATCCTGGAGATTACCGGCACCGGCAAGGAAGGACGAGTTCTCAAGGAGGACGTTCTCAAACATATCGAGACACGAGACACATCCCCATCACAACAAGCCCTCGCCCACAGCACCACGACAACAACAACCATGACCACCAATTCCACCGTCGACACCCGACAGATCGAGTCCGCCGTCCCTCTCACCCCCATCCAATCCGCCATGTTCAAAACCATGACCAAATCCCTCACCATCCCCCACCTCCTGTACACGGACGAGCTCAAGATCAACGACATTTCCACCATCCGCAAAAGGCTCCTCGCCGACTCTCGCGATCCCAAAAAGCTCACTTTCCTCCCCTTCGTCGTCAAGGCCGTCTCCCTCGCCCTCACCCAATACCCCATTCTCAACGCCCGCATCGACACCACCACCGACCCCAATAAACCCAAACTCATCATGCGCGAGAGACACAACATCGGCATCGCAATGGACACCCCACGAGGCCTCATCGTACCCAACATCAAAGACGTCGCCAACCGGTCCATCCTCGACATTGCCGCCGAAATTGCCCGGCTGAGCGCCCTGGGACGAGAAGGTAGATTGGGCCCGGCCGATCTGAACGGCGGCACTATTACCGTGTCGAATATTGGGAATATTGGCGGGACGTACGTTGCGCCGGTGATTGTTCCGTCCGAGGTGGCTATCTTGGGTGTGGGGAGGACGAGGACGGTCCCGGTCTTTGATGAGAAGGGGGAGGTGACACGTGGAGATATGGTGAACTTCAGTTGGAGTGCGGATCATCGAGTGATTGATGGGGCGACGATGGCGCGCATGGGCAACCGGGTGCGTGAATTGATCGAATCGCCGGAGCTGATGCTTTTGAATTTGCGATGAGGCAGAGAATAGAATTTAGAATGTGGAATGTCACAAAGGCCCTGTGACGGTGATGAAGAAGCTTTGAGGAGTCAGCGACTTCCTTGACGTGTAGCTTTCTCTCCTACATGAGTTTCTCCCTCACATTCCAGTCCTTTCCAGTTGCAGTACCCGGCTCGTCATGCATAGATGTAAGCACGGAAAGAGTGCCATTGTATACTCCATCGAGTTTACTGATACTTGGTAGTTGATAAATATGATGTGGATTGCATTTGTCCCGACGATCGGGGTATCAAGAGATGACAACCTCCGCGAGAAGATAATCATTCAAAAGTCATAGACAACATGCAAGCCATGGAGAGTCCCAAAAGGGGACCCTGAAACTTAAAACGCCTCTGGTAGTAGCCACAAACACAAGAAGAACCAACAAAAAAAAGAAAACAAATGTAATGCGTGACATAGCAAAAGAAAAAGAAAACAATTCATCTTGAACACCTGAAGATTAAACCTGCCAAGTAGATGATCAAACAATGTATGGAAGAAAGGACGGGAAACTCCTGTTCAGAGACACCAAGCGGAGGAAACAGGTTTTCCTCGCATGCAGAAAGTAGACTCAAAGGACAGTGTCAGAATGAGGGCTTCGTAAGTACTCATTCGAGGTTCACAGGTATTCCGAGAGCTTTTTTGTCACGACGTCAATCACCTCTTGCTGGACCACATCCGGTGGCCCTTCAACGTTGATCGTGATGGCGTCCCATTCCTGCTCGGGCTCCTCGAGCGTCTGCATCTGAGATCGGACCATGTCACTCTTCATGTAGTGCGACTTGCGCTGGCTGACCCGCTGCATGAGAACCTCCTCGCTGAGCTTGAGATAGACAAAGTGGATCAGCACGGACGGAGACCCATAAGCGGCGACCCGCATGACGTCGCGGTACTTCTGCTTCAGCGCCGAGCAGGCGACCACCACGCCGGCGGGAGGGTGGAAGTTGTTGGCCTCCGATGGAGAGAGAGCTTCAATGGCGGCGTTGCGCAGAGAAATCAGCCAGTCCCAGCGATCTTCATCGGTGAGAGGGATACCATTCCCCATCTTTTCCTTGTTGGATTTAGGGTGATACTATTAAGGAAGGTAAGGCACATTCCTGAGTCAGCCATTCGAGCTTGCACATCTTGGGTCTCTTCACGCGCCGTCTCTTGCAGAAGGAAACTTACATCGTCGCCCTCGAGGAAAGGGACTCCCAATTCTTTTCGCAGACCGTTTCCCACGGTGCTCTTTCCGCATCCTGCCGGGCCCGTGACCACCCAGATGTGCTGGACATGGGTAGGTTTTGGTTGCGTCTCACGGATCGAGGTCGAAGGGTTGGAGGACGAGCCGGGAGTGGTTTCAAAATTGGGCATGCTGTGGCCCTTGCCTACTGAGACTGCAGGCGAATCTACTCTGGTAGAAGCGTGCGGAGGCTGAGGACGTTCACCGGCGGAGAGCATGATTGAATGTTCGGGCTTCCGTGTCACCCAGAGTCACTTGTTGTCGTATAAAGAGACGGCAATCGACCGTTGATTTCTTTTGTTGGTTGCGAGGACGGTGTTGGATCCAGGGAATGTCGGCGACAGAGCCGAATAAATGACGAAATGATGCGGTGATTTGGGCGAGTGGACAGGATAGGGGAGCGTCTCGAATTGGGTAGACCTTATTTTCTTCTTCGGGGGAGGTGCTTGGTATATACCACGAGGCTAGCCTTGTCCTTGTCGGTTGATGGGACGCTTTACGTGGATGAGGGATGTTCTTGGCTCTGGAGGGATTTGAAGACCAGGTTCAGGCACGAAGGCGATGGAGACCCGGCAAGGAGGAGAGGGAAAGAAAAACGAACAATGTTGAACTGTGAGAAGGAATTTGGGCCCATCCTTTTTTTTTTAAACGGACTGATCACACTCTCCTTCCGGCTCTTGGGAAATTGGGCGCATCCGACCAAAGCAGAAGCCGAGTGGGGGAACCGACCGACAGCCTGGAGAAGAGGGCGGCTGATTGGGTGATGCAGGGTCCTTCTCAATACCCGAGTGGAGGAGATGTGCACGCGGCGAGTGGGATGGCTTTGGCTGGGGTTCAAAAGTGGTTGTGATGCAAGTCGCGGAGGATCGCGGGGACGAGATCACTCAACACCGTTGGAGAGGAGACCGGCGAGAGTGGTTGGCCTCTGACCAGGCGGAGTAAGCCACAGCTATTGAGGATGCGCTCTGAGTTCCCTCACGATTGTGTCGAGATGAATGATTGTGCAAGCGGCCACATGATGTCACCTGCTATGACTTCAGCCTGATGCTGTATCCAAATACGGTATTGGCTGTGTATTAAACTACCCCCACGCTAGGGGTTCGGTCTACCGATTGGTGTTCAATTGCCGCCCCCGGATATTGATGACCGTACAGAACGTGAGCAAGATCAACTCGCTCCGTACAGTTACTCACGGGACTACAGCACCGAGTCAATGAATAGGACTTAGTGCTCACTACTCACTGAGTACTGACTACCTTCACAATGGAAGGTTTGGAAATAAGGACCTTTGCAGAGCAAGTGCGTGGACACGAACGTTGACCAAGCATTGAATTGATCTGGGCTTTGGCCCGCTTCGGGCAAACCGGATAAACTCTGGGATCCTAGTGTACAGGGTTGAGAGTGTGATTGACAGGATAATGGGAATGAAATGCTACGCGATCAGAGTGCCTCGGAGTTGCGCTCCTAGTAGTGCTGGGTCCAGACGCCTTTCGGGTGTCTGTCAGTGTCTAGTCGATGGTTTCTAGGACCAGACTATTGCAAATACTCAATACCTATCTCAGACTTTCCCTCTTCAAACGTTGAAGATTTGAGTCACTCGTGCACTTCGGCAGGTTGAACGAAGGCTCACAACCATAAGTCGAAACACGGAGTGTGCTACTACTGATGTACTCCAAGGTCTATAGTGCCCATTCTACTCTCACGGGAGTTGCATTGCAATGGTACCCACTAGCTAGTACCTACTAGCTAGTAGCTAGTGTAGCGCTGTACTGCGCTTGTTGCTCGAGAATTATGTGCTTTCGTGGCCCCAAGTTCCACCCCACACATGCACATTGCAGTCTGAAATGCCCAATGACCATGACACATACCACATCCACCCTTTCAAGTGATCGATCCGCAATCGCCGAGAATCCGGGGGAACCTCTAGCGCATGAGGTCTTGCGTCGCGACCAGAGAAACCAAGCTCATTAACGTCAAATAGCCGACATGTTCTAACTTCTGGATACTTCGGAAAAGATGATCCGATGCGCCCGGATCCACTCCAGCTTGACTCGAGACGGACTGTTGGAGATTACTAGTCGCATCACTATCCTCTCCAGACCAAGTTGATTGAGTGTTACGACTTTGGCAATTGCAGACGAGCAATCGTTCTAGACGGCATAGATTGGAGCCTTGGGGCTCGGAGCCAGTATGCAGGCGACTTTCCATCGGCCTCATGCTCCTCTCAGTCAGTCAGTTTTCAGTCTTTTTCGGTCGATATCAGTTTCAGGAAAAAAAGCCCCACAATCTATTGGACAGCTCAATTCTAAAGAGTTGTCCGAGTAAGTGAGTGAGAAATACGCTATAGTACTGGACTCGTGGTCAAGTATTCGTTTTCTTGAATGAATGTCAAGCGAACTGCGTCCATGTTTGTGTGGCATGTGATACTGCTGACTCACCGCAGTCCATAGCCTAGATTGAATCTCTCCCCCGTAGCAATCTCACACCTCATCCCTCTCACACATGGTGATGCTGCACCTACTGTAGCCACCTCCCAACGGTGAATCCCAACGGTGAATAATCCTACCTTGTGGAATGGGATACCTCTTGTACTTCAACTCAACAGCTAAACACTTCGGGTCACTAAATAGTCCCTGTTAGTTCTGTACTCTGCACCTTGTAGGTCGGTAAGTCTAGGTTGTAGCGTTGTACTACTGAATCAATCAGGTCCAGCCGCCGGCGGGTGCCTGCGGGCTCTTACATAATCAGCCAGATCGGGGCGGCGTCACGGGCGGGCAGCAGTGAGCAGCGGGCACCCGCTTGACGTTGCGAGCATCATCGCGAGCTCCCGCATCTCCGAATCGCCAATCCCTCCAGTCCAACAATGGCGGCCCTCTTCTTCTCCACCCCCGTCGACATCGACGTCGTCCTAGAGGATCTGGACGAGCGCCAGACCGTCGATGTCAAGCTTGACAAGGGTCGCCGTGAACGCGTCCCTCTGTACATGGACGGAGAGTCGGTCAAGGGTGCAGTGACCATTCGACCCAAAGATGGCAAGAGATTAGAGCATACCGGCATCAAGGTGCAATTCATTGGTTCAATTGGCAAGTCTTTTTGATAACAGCTCATTCACTTCCATCTCGGTATAGGTGATGGACCGCTAACATGTCCTCCACTCTTCAGAGATGTTCTACGACCGAGGCAACCATTACGAGTTCCTGTCGCTCGTCCAGGAATTGGCTGCTCCCGGCGAGCTGTTACACCCCCAGACCTTCCCCTTCAACTTCAAAAATGTCGAGAAGCAGTACGAATCATACAACGGGATCAATGTGAAACTGCGCTACTTTGTGCGCGTCACGGTCTCCCGGCGCATGGCCGACGTCATTCGCGAGAAGGACCTCTGGGTGTATTCGTACCGCATGCCACCCGAGACCAACAGCCCAATCAAGATGGATGTGGGTATTGAGGACTGCTTACATATCGAGTTCGAGTACTCCAAATCCAAGTACCACCTCAAGGATGTCATTGTCGGCCGGATCTACTTCCTGCTCGTGCGCCTCAAGATCAAGCACATGGAGCTCTCCATCATTCGACGGGAAACCACTGGTTCTCCCCCAAATCAATACAACGAAAGCGAAACACTCGTACGGTTCGAGGTACGTAATCATCATATGTCCACACGGCACCTGCTGCCCCCGGATGGAATCTGTGCGGATACGGGTCAGATGCTAAGATACTACGGCGGCTAATGCAACTCTCAGATCATGGACGGATCTCCTTCAAGAGGTAAGCGACCAGTCGCTTCAGCCAGCCGTGCTTGAGAAATAGAACAGCATCCGCCATCACCCAGGATCTGGCTTGGATGTCGAAGCTTCTGGTGCCGAGTGCTGATCATCGATAGGTGAAACCATTCCCATCCGTCTCTTCCTTGGCGGATTCGACCTTACACCCACTTTCCGCGACGTCAACAAGAAGTACTCAACACGGTACTATCTGAGCCTGGTTCTTATCGACGAAGGTACGTCATCTTCCTGCCTCTACAGTCCCGATTCAAGCCCCTCTTGAACTACCGGTCGCCCTTCACTGTCGCATACTCTCTCCAATGCTTGGTATCCAATTCGGCCACAGCTTGTAGTCCCGCAAGGTATTGGCTTCGATACCATCTGTCTTGAATTGGAGAACTCTTATCCTTGACGGGGAGTCCTGTCCGCACCCTACAATCTTTTCCATTCCGTTCCTATTCACGTTCCGACTGCAGAGAATCTTGGCTAGCCTGGCGCACGCGAATTCGCTGACTGATCATATACATATACAGATGCCCGGCGCTATTTCAAGCAATCCGAAATTGCGCTCTTCCGTCAGGCCCCTGAGATCGCCGCCACCCCGCAGATCGCTCAACAACAGCAAATCCAGCAGCAGGTGCTCCTGCAGCAACAGCAAGCAGTCCTACCGCCGGGATCCGCCACTGCGGGCCCGGGACGTGAGATCTCATCTGCTGCCTCTCGAGAAAACAACGTTCCGGCAGCTGTCTCGGCTCCTGCAGCGTGAACTTGACCTCAAGGTTTGGAAGCACTCTGCATCAAATCACACGTTCAGTCCGGGTGTAGACACGCGAGGAAATGACCGTTCGCGCTCATCTTTGCCCTGGCCTGCCTCACTCTATACCCACCTTAGTCTTCGTCTCCCACGTTCCATGACCTCTTCACCCTCCAAGGCTCTTCCTCTCTGTATTGTTTGGTGCCGACTTTCTTCGGCTCCTCCCACCGTTATGCCACGATACCATCCTGTAGCCTACTTACTACTCATGTCAATCTGTTTCTCGATCATATGCCGATCTCGCGCGCTGACTTGGGACATCAATGTGAACAAGACCACCTTCAAATCATTTACAGTGCCCTCGCTGGCTCATGAACGGAAGTGGATGTCCTCCCTCCCAATTCACCAAAGACTTTCTCATGTAGTATGCGAATTTGCTCGATCGCGAGCGGCGGAATTCTTTGTAAGTAGTACACTTAGAATTCATCCAATTTTGATCAGCCTAAGGGACAGCTCAATTGAAAAGCCCTGTGTATCTATAAAAGGTTCCCAAACAACGATCTACAAAAGGAGTAATTATCCACTGACAGTATACCCTCTCTTTTTTCTGCCCCTATCCTCTCCCTCTCAGATTGACAATGATCCCAAGCTGCATGGTCATTCGAAATGACCAAGTTCCTGTAGCACCACACTGAGGGCCTGCAGGACCCTCCCATCATCTCGTTCCTTGCCAGCAACACGAACGGCTTTCACGACAAGCGGAAACATCCATTCCAAATGCTTACGATAATGACGGCCAGAAGCGGACTCCTCCTTTGACGAGAATGTCTTGATGCACGTCGAGTCCGGGATTGCAGAGGGTTCGCTATGCAGATGTTCCAGACTGTCGAGGAGATGCAAGAGTTCCTTGCGAGCTGGGGTAGGTTGGGGCATCAGGCCGCGGAGGGGCTGATCAGCGATGAAGCTCTTGAGGGAGATTGCGCAACGCAGGAGAAGATAAGGCGCGGTGGAGCACGCCATTAGTGTACGTTGGCTAAAGGTTGGGGTATCGGAACCTGAAGTCGCCGCCAGCTCGAAGAGGGAGTCGATCAGTACGTACGCCATCTGTGGTCGAAGCGTGGGGGGCGGATCAAAGGTTCGTCCCGGCCGGATGGTGTAGAAGTCCCGCAGGGGATCTTGCTCGATGGAGGTCAAAGGCATGTCTAGACGTTGGGGCGCGTAGATGAATGAGGAATGGAAGAGTGCAAGGGCGAAGCTCTGACGCACGGTATCCGGAACAATTGCAGCGCCAAGAGAGGGCAAAATCAGACATTTGAGACGAGTGAAGGCGGCAATGTCGAACTCTTCGTCGGCGGCGATTCGAGAATGCGGGAGCTGCTGGGTTTGATATCCGTGTGCTGACACCATGCCATGAGCAATGTTCACCACACAGCGCCAAAACCGTGCAATATCCGCTCTTTTGGCGCTGTCGTACTGCTTTTCCACGTAAGGAACTGCAACTTCAAGAACTTTGAGCGTTGCCGTAGAGGCTTTCTGCCACATATAGGGGTCGCGGTCTTTTCCTTTCCAGATGTACTTCTGCAGGATCAGCGCACCAAATCGTTCAAGAATCAAGGCCAAAGCGTCATTCGAAAGGATATCTTGCTTGATACCGAATTCTGCAATGTACCAGCTGATCAGGTCAATAAGGGTCTTTGAGAATGCAACAAACCCTGGCTTCCGCGAGTCACTGCTGGGGTTCCATTTACTCAAAGGTGAGTCTGACAGATCAGCCAAGCATGACAGGATGGCAGCCTGTGAATTCTCTTTTTCCATGCAAAGCGTCCTCAAGCAGCCGATCACCAAAGCTTGCACTGCAGAGCAACGCTCTGTATCCGGAGAGTACGGCGGATAAATCGAATTCCATACCAGTAGGCGCAGATGCTCAAGGATCGTATCAATATGTTCTGCGTCCAGGTGACTTTTGTGCAAATGGTATAACTGCTGAAGGGTCTGCATGTACGCCAGGGCAGCATCTTGGTTCGACCGATTTTGGTCAACGGGGTTCTCCTCTCGCATCGGATGGCCGTTGGCCCACAAAGTCCATACGCAGTGGCAGGCTTCTTTGCTCAATTCCCCGGATGAGTTGCACTGGGTCAAGATCGAAGAAACACTAGCAAAAGTGGCCTCACTGAGTTCTAAAAGGCGCATGTCGACTAGTTTCTGAAGGAAGTCGAAAAGTCTCTTCCAAGATTGAAGGAAGTCCTCGTCGCTCACTATCACATTCAAGAAGTTGGCAACCAGGCTAGAGACGCCTTTAATCACGAGTACAGTAGTCTCGATCCATGGCTTGAGCTCGTTTTCAGGGCCTTGCTTCTTCCGGACCTTTTCCAGGACATCTGAGAGATTCCCAACCATGGAAAACAGTACTCGATTCAGACACAATCGCCACGCTTTTGAAGAGAGCTGTTGGCCATATGCATCGAAAATCCTCAGCAAAGTATGGACTGCGCTATTCCGGATCTCTGACCTTGAATCAGAGGCAATGTCCACGATACGGAGTAGCAACAGGAGCCATAGACAATGACTGGATACTGATAAGTCCTCGCTGCAAGAAAGTGCCTCAAGATCATCTTCGCGAACAGAAGCATCGACATAAGCGCCAACGGAGAACTTGTCCATTCTCCCTCGCAAGAAGTCCGAGACGTTCCAGAAGAAAGTAGTTGTTGTCAATGAGATGTTGAAATCCTGCGTCTGGGACGCAAAGTCATTGAGTGACTGTACAAGCGCCAGAAGACAAGGCGCTGGTAGAAGCGAGACAAAGTCAGACGCAATCAGATGTAAAGACTTGTAGGCTGCACGGACAAGTCGTGGACCCCCCGGATGTGCTGGATGCCTACGCTCGGAAGACGAGCCTTGTGTGACACTCTCGGCTTCACTCGTCACTCCGAACACTCCAGAGATCAGATCGAACACAAGACTCCATCCATCTGTGAGCGTCTCTGCATACTGCTCCAGAATGGCGTGCAAGGTATCCAGGCTCTGCTCGTGGATCTCAATAACGGTAACAGGGACCGACTTTGCATGCACTTCGTCGGACACGTAGAGTCTCGCGATATGTTCCTTCAAGGTCTGCAAGTTCCTTGTCTGTATTCTGTTCCAGGTCTCATCATCACCCAACCGCGCTGGTTTCATGGTGAGAAAGATAAGAGAATTAAGGTTGTTACAGGCCTGCAGACGAAGGCTCGTATCAATAGATTGGTTCGCACTAGCCGCAGTCAAACTCTCACTGAAAAGCTGCCATGCCTCCAGATTCTCCTTGTCAAGTGACGAAAGCCGCTCTAAGTTTGCACGGGCTATTTCGTTGCCTTTATCCAGCACGAACTTCAACTCTTCATCTTGCATCCTTGATTTTCCGACAATTAGCGACACGCGGCGATTATTGTGATGCATTCTCCCGGCTTGCTGCGAGTTCTGCGGCGCGATTGGCGACTTTAGCTCCTCAGTTAGTTCTTCCGGCGTGGCCTTCCGCTCGGTAAAGGCAGACACGTTCAACAGCGCGAGCAAGATCTCTTGGAAAGAATTGCTTGGATAATCGCTTGTACTTTCAAACATTTTCGCGGAGGCTGACTGCACCGCGATCACCT